TCGTCCACAAACCTTTATCAGCGCCACCGAGTGTGTACAAAGACGTAGTGTTGTCCCTATCGCCGGCGGTTGACATGCCAACAATCTCAACTTGGATATCTGGGTGCCGATTTTCGAGTGAGGCTTTAACAATATTGGCTTGTATCATTGCCAGCTTGCTTTTTCTCGTACCGAGTTTGAGTGTGACCATCTTCTGTATCTGAGGTGATGATAGTTGAGAAGACAGTGCGGTACAGGCAGATATCACATCAAACTACAGGTTACAAAATTAGCATTGTTTAACTTGTCTACATTTTATGCAAATATCATTTTAATTTGAAATAATAAAAACTTGGATTCTTTCGTAAACACACACAGCTACACGTCGTCATTCGAGAATGAGAACAGCGCGTCCTTCCTCTCTTGCTCTCTCTCCCAACGTCTTCTGATCTCGTGTAATCCGATAGAGAAGAGGACGAGTGAGCTAAGCACACCCATATCTCTCAACGCAAGTGCTTCCGTTTGGAACACAGCTTGAAGCGTAGGGATGTAGACAAAGCACATCTGCGCAAGGAATGAAACTGCCACAGTTATAAGCAACATCTTGTTGTCGCCGAATCCACATGTAACTCCCCTGTTTTGAAGCGCACTGGCCAAGTCCAAAACAACGAACGCGGTGAAAGTCATTGTCTGGTCGCGAGTTGAAAATCCGTCTCCAATTTCGTAAGCATAGATGAAAAGAACACCAGTGATAATTATTGAAGCAGAGAAAAGTACTCTTGTTAGGAGCCTGTTGGTAATGACTGACGCATTCTTTGGACGAGGTGGACGCTTCATGACCGTCTTGTTCACTGGATCTACACCAAGTGACTGTGATGGTGGTCCATCCATGATTACGTTGATGAAGAGAATCTGCATGGCATTGAGTGGGTTGCGCATGCGTAGTGCTGTGGAAATAGTGATCAAGCTGAGTGCAGCGACGGCAGTAGAAAGCTGGAAGCTGAGGAAATTTTGTATGTTGTAGAAAATACTCTTTCCTGGAGTGGTTGTTAGTTAGGAGTTTTATGAAAGGCAGCAAACCAGCAAACCGTACCTTCTTCAACAGCTGGCAAAAGCGTTGCAAAGTTGTCGTCGACGAGAATACAATCAGCAGCCTCTTTGGCCACGTCTGTACCACCTTTACCCATACTAACACCAATATCAGCCATCTTGAGAGCAGGTGCATCATTAACACCATCACCCGTCATCGCAACGACTTTCTCAAGCTTCTGTAGTACTCCGATAATTCTCATCTTATGCTTTGGTGAGGTTCTAGCAAATACACTAACACTGTTAATACGCTCCATCAGCTCTCTCTCTGACATGTTATCCAGCTCCAAACCAGTGAGACACTCGCTCGTATCTCTGCGTGAGTTGGTGCTTGGTGATGCTGGTCTGACACAGAGGCCCAACTCTCTAGCAATAGCAAGTGCAGTACGCTCAGCGTCACCGGTAATCATAACAACGTGAACACCTGCTCTTTGCAATGAAGCGATGGAAGCAGCCACGCCAGGTCTTGGTGGATCCTTCATACCTTGAAAACCTGTAAATATGAAACCACTAGTGAAATCTGAAATGTTGCTGCTGATTCTGTATGCCATACCAATATTTCTCAATCCTTTGTCACCACATTCATTACCCCTTGAGAGGATGAGCTGGCGAGTAGAATCGTCGAGACGGACGGTGTGATGACCAGATGCTGTCAAGTAGCTGTCGCAACGCTCCAAGACTCTCTCCAATGCTCCTTTAAGGTAGTTGCACTCTTGTGGTTTGCCCTCAGCATCGCTAGCAAGTGTACCGGTGACTAATTGAACCTTGGACTCTGACGAGAATGCTTGTTCATGACGGCGTACAAATGACGTACGTTTATCATTTGTACCTTGCCCTTCAATAACATCGACAAGGGCTACATCAGTAGGTTGTCCAACATTCTTACCGTGCTCATCCTTCCTTGCGTTGTTACAAATGTTTCCAATAAGTAGTGTACGTTCGAGGGCTGGGCTGATTTTATCGAGCTTGCCGTCTATAGAAATAGGACCATCTGGAACTGTGAATGCTTTGGTGACAGTCATAATATTTTTTGTGAGGGTACCTGTCTTATCTGAACAAATAACGCTAACAGAGCCAAGTGACTCGACAGATGGGAGCTTCTTGACAATGGCCTTGCGCTTGCTCATACGGAGAACACCGAGTGCGAGAGTGACAGTAGTGACAACTGGAAGACCTTCTGGAATAGCTGCGACAGCGAGAGAAACACCTATTGTGAACATTTCGAGCCAGCTGCGTGATTGAATAATACCGATCAGGAATATAACACCGATAACAGCAAAGGAGATGATAGAGAGCTGCTTAGCGAGTTCGTCCATTGAGTATTGAAGAGGTGTGCGGCGCTCTTCAACGTCCTGCATCATAGTAAAGACAACACCAAATTCAGTCTCGGAGCCAGTACCAACAACCAAACCTCTACCGTGACCACTTCTAACGAGGGTTCCCATATGTGCGATACATTTGCGGTCACTAACACCGACGTTCAACAAATCAGATTGCTCAGTGGTTTTCTTCGTTGGTTTGGTTTCACCTGTGAGGTTGCTCTCGTCGATCTCAAGGTCAACTGCCTCAATAATGCGAACGTCTGCAGGGATACGGTCGCCAGTTGAGAAAGTAACGACATCGCCTGGAATAAGGTCGTTGGCGAGCGGTGATGAGTTTTGGCCACCTCTGACCAAGTGACAGTAGTGTGGAACGAGCTTGTTTAATGCTTGCAAAGACTTCTCTGAGCGCGTTTCTTGGACGAATTGAACAGTCAAAACGATAATTACTGCAAGAGATATACTAATTGAATCGTCTACGTTACCAACCAAAGCTGAGACAACGGCCGAACCGAGTAAGAGAAGGATCAGCGGACTTTCGTAAATCTGCTCGAAGAACTTTTTGAATAAGCTGTCACCTGCTTCAACCGAGAATTCATTAAAACCGTATCTAGGGCGCAATTCTTTCACGTCGGCAGAGCTCAATCCGTCTTTAGGGTTTGTGTTTAATCGAGCGATGGTTTGCTGCAAAAAGAAAGTCAATAGCGCGTCCACACTCCAAAGAAAACACCCACATCGACTGATAGCTTTGCGTACTGTGCTGACGGCGTTGACGTGTGAGCAGGATCCGACTCAAGAGAATGTGTCATAGCCTTTCTTCTATCGTCGTCTTCTTTCTTCTCTGCGGCAGCTGAATCGAATGGGCTTGGAAGCTCTGAAGGCTTCAAATGAGGGAGAGATGGTTTGCGGGCGTTAGCTTCAAGAGATGCCTTCCTGAAACTGGTAGAGTACGTGTACAAGCCTTCAGCGTCTGCGACGGTTGTGGGAGATGTGTGAGGGGGAGTCTGGTGTGCTAATCTAGCAGCCTCTTCAGCTGTTGGGGGTACCAGAGATGGATGATAGCTCTTCAAACCTTCTGGTTGGTTGTTATAGAGCGTTGAAGATGTGCTTCCAACTGGCTTCACGGGCTTTTGATCGCTTGAGCCTGAGTTTGTGCGCTTCCGATCTCTAGGCATATGGTGGTAAGAAGACAAGGTGGTGATATGGACAGTGAAATAAGATAAAAGCACTTTTTATTCTTAGATGTTTTGTATACCACATATGCACGCGCTTTACCTCCCTCTTAACCCCGTTTTCTGGCACCTTCCGCTCTAGCCATCCTCGCACACGTCACTCTCAAACAAAAGACCAAAACATGCAAAAGGAAATAAAAATATATTATATCAACCTTACATCTTCTCTAATGGCGTCAAAGTGAGTAAGCGCATCGCACTGCCAAGAACTACACGATTTGTCAGCTATTTTTAACTCAGTTGGGCAACCCTAGCACTCACCGTCTCTGGCACTCATGAACAAGTACAAACGGGCTTCTGCCAGTTTCTTTTCTTGTCCTTTAACCTTCAACATTTCAAGCAAGCTAGATACAACATGGGTTAGTTGAAAAGCATATGAGACAATGTTATTTGGCTCATGTGTCTTGAGGGCATTCTTGACGACATCTGGGTACTGTGATAACAGATAAACTAGCTCTCTGGCTTTTGGTTCAGTGAGAAGCTTGGTGTCAACATCCTTGGTTGGATCTTCAGGAAGCACAGTTTCGTCAGCAACTTTACGTTGAATGGATGACATTCTGACGTGAGCGTATTGGAGGTATGGTCCTGTGTCACTGTGAGAGCGTTAAATTGCATCACTCTTTCACAACACCACCCACCCTTCAAATGAAGTCATACGGTCCCATGCAAACTTGTAGTTCATGATTCTACGGCCAGCCATGTCCTGTATCTTAACAGCACTCAAACCGAGTGTATCAGCAGTCCATTCTGGATTTTCAAGTTGATCGTACTTGTTCATAGAATCCTTCTTCATCACATCAAGCATAACACTCTTAGCTTCGTTGAGGATCTGATCGAGGAAGACTGCAGTTCCTTTACGAGTAGACATACCCATAACCATACCAAAGTTAATGTGAAGAAGGTTCTTGGCCCAGTCATACCCAATCAAGTCCATTGCCTTGAACAATTGCGCAGTGTGAAGATCTTGTTGAGAAGCAATAACATAGATCATCTTGTCAAAGTGGTAATTTTCATGACGCTCAGCAGCTGCAGCGAAATCACGCGTCAAATAGAGTGTTGTACCGTCCATTTTCTTAACGACAGCCTTACCAAGCTTATACTCTTCGAGGTCGATAATTTGCGACTGACCTGATTGCTTGATGAGACCCTTCTCATGCAACACATCAATGGCCTTGTTTTGGTTTTCTTGGGAAATTTGAGATTCACCGGAGTAAACGTCGAAGTGGATGTTAAGGCGTGCGTAGGTATCCTTGTACTTTTCAATGGAAAGATCTCTAAATTGCTTCCAGAGAGAAAGGGGACCTTCCTCGCCATCTTCCATACGTTTAAAGAAGCGTCTGGCTTGGTCGTTGATGGTGTTACCTGCTTCTATCGGAGCTGAGTCTTGCTCATCACCACCCTCTTCAATATCTTGACTCTTCTTACCAAGCTTCTCGTCCTCCTCCTTTGCCTCATTATTGACACGCACATACACTTCAAACAAATGACCGATCGGGTCAACCTTGAGCTTCTCCTGGCTACCATAACGCTCAAAACCAACACCCAGAAGACCGAATTGCTTTCCCCAATCACCCAAGTAGTTCATACGAGTAACCTTCCATCCACAGGCTTCATATAAGTTGGCCAAGAAGGCACCGATAATAGTTGAACGCAAGTGGCCTGCGTGGAAAGGCTTAGCGATGTTTGGAGAGCTGAACTCAATAATGACGTGCTTGCCCTGACCAGAAATGGTTGAAGTACCATACTCTGGCTTTCCTGATGGGGATTTGTTGGACATGTAGTGAATCTGGTCCAAGACATTTCTAATAAAGTTTTGAGTGGTAGCTTGAAACGTGACAAAGCCCTGCTTAACGGTGCACTTTTCAATGTACTCGTTAGGCTTAAAGTTGTCATGTACCTTCTGAGCGTGCTCTTTAACGTCACCAGGCAGTCTAAAGCGAGGAAGAGCAATATGGAAGTCACCATTCTTTGAGCCAACGTGTACACCTTCATAGGCCTTTTCTAAAGGCAAATCGAGCGACTTGTTCAGCTCAACCGCACAGGCTGCTTTGTAGCTGTCAAGGATACAGCGCTCTGGCTCAGTGTTTGGGATAAAAGGTAGTTGTGTGGACATCCTGCGTATATTAAATACTGGCTGATAAAATCTTCTCAATATAATCGTCGATACGCCTTCTTGAACGAATACAAAGAGCGATTGAAGAGATGGCGGAAAATCAAAGAAATTTTAAAAGGCAGCGTGTATTAGGAGATGATGATGGATATGAGCCAAAGAAGGATGATCAGGAGATTGAGCTCGAAGATGAGCTTTTCAACGACAGCCATCAATTGGGCGACGCGGATGAAGACGGTGATGGTGATGAACCCTTTTTTATAGATGAATCTGCGCCTTCTCATCCAAAAGAAGTTTGGGCAGACGATGACGATAAGGACTTGGAAATATCACTCGCAGACAACTCAAAGCTGCGTAAGCTGAGAAAGGAGGAAGACGAAGACCGTGTCGGTGGTGATGATCTTGAAATCAGGCTCAGGGAGAAGTTTGTCGCTGTCTTCTCTCTTATCCTCACACACTTACACTCTCCAGATTCAAATCTATAAATCCTACACCAGCTTGGGCTTCACAAGCTAAAAATAAGCGCAAGCAGCGTGAAGATGACAGTGACGACGATGAGGACGATATTCTCAATTCAACCGGTCTCAACACTCTCACCAACAGAAAAACACGCCTGAGAGCTGGTGAGATTAAGGTCGAACGTCTCAAAGACGTGATTCAGACAGACCAAATTAAAATTGTTTGCGTGCAATTTCATCCTATTATCAACAACCTCCTTCTCGTCGCTCAGTCTGATCGAAGACTCAAGATATACAACGTTGAAGGTTCCAAGAGTACTCTTGTACAACAACTACACGTCAAAGATATGCCCATCACTACTGCCATCTTCAACCCTACAAAGCCTTCAGTTTTCATAGGTGGTCCTCGTCCCTTCTCCTACTTATTCCACCTCGACACTGGTGCGACAGAGCGCTTCAAAAACGGTGACGACGTTGTCAGCGCTCATGCAAAATTTAACTCGGATGGCTCAATGATCGCTTTAAAAGGAAAACGAGGACATGTCGAGTTGTTGAGATGGTCAAACTCTGCATGTGTGCCTAGTGGGAGTGTCAAGATGAACAAGCCTGTAGCAGACATTGCGTGGGGGAAAGATAGCAGCACACTGTACACTATCTCCGATAGTTCCGAAATTAGTACTTGGGACGCTGTAAGGAGACGATGCATGCGGACCTGGAAAGACGAGGACAACTTTGCGCCTACTAGATTGTCTGTTTCGAAGGATGGCAAGTTTATTACTATCGGATACAAGAGTGGTATTGTCACTATATACGACGCTAGCTCACTCAAACTCCTCAAATCAATTGGAAACCTCATCACTACGATAGATAAGCTGGTATTCAACAAGGATACACAACTGCTAGCATCAACTTCGGCCGAGAAGAATGACCAGCTACGTCTCATTCATATTCCCTCTTTCACTGTCTTCCAAAACTGGCCGACAGCTAACACACCACTTGGCAAGATACAAGCAATTGATTTCTCAACTGATGGTCGCTGGATTGTGATTGGAAATCACAGAGGAAAGCTGCTCCTCTACCATATCAAGCACTACAGTGATAATGTAGCTTATTAGAGAAGTGGTGATGTCACAATTGTATAAATTACTCTGATAGAATACATAATTTATTAACACGACAATAATGAATAGTAAAACCAAACAAAAACATGAAGAATCTAAATAAGGTTTTATCCAGTGATATTAATGTATAGCAGGGTATTGTAATCCTTAACAAAAGCATTCGTAATAAGATTGTATTGTTGTGTACAATTGTGATCGTCGCTTTCGTCATATCCATCGTTAAGGAACGTGTGTTCATATGAGAAGTAAGAGATTGCTGATGCGTTTGCGGATTCCTCTAAGCCGTTACAAGTGCTTGATGTAAGTTTGTTGAATGGGACGTTGTGGGTATTATTGCAGTTGTCATTAGTCGGAGGTGAAAAATATATTGAAGAAATTGTTGCAGAGGCAGTCGCAGATACTGTTGAGGAATTCTTTGAAGAAATAAAAGAGTGATTCTCGAATGGATTGAAGTCACTGAGTCGAAAATCCATGGAAATCCGATGCAGAGCCAATGGCAGTAGTTTCTGTGACAGTCATAGAAGGAAATGAGACCTTTTCAATTAAGTGCTTTGACGAGCGTTTGAATTGGGAAAAGTAGCTGTAGATGAGAATAGCTGAATCGCTGCGATGTAAAACCTGCTCACCGCGGTTCTTAAAGGCATTGGTAAGTAAGACTCCGGCAAGAATTATGGAGTGCTTGAATAGAGGGTGTCCGGAGGGCTTCTCTTTTCAAAAAACATCATCAACAAGCCTTCCACGGTGCCCGCCATGACGTCAGTGGAGATAAGTCTTTTTTTAGAAGTTGTGAATTGATCAACGTCTTTTTGTGCTACAATCGTGATTTGAAGAAGATAGCGATTATGCCACAAGTACTTAATAAGCAAATAGCAGATATCGGCCATGGATTGATGGGTATGTGATGCGTGCCTGGCCATTTATCTGCTTATTAGGATGTTGAAGGAATGACTTGGACCGATAAGCCTATACCAATCGACGAGGCTATGGCGGTGATGAAGAGGAGCATTGAGGTATCCGGAGGAAGTGTAGCGTGGAATGGCGGAGAGTTCTACGGTCCTCCAGAACACAACTCTTTGCACCTCCTCAAGGCTTACTTCACAAAATATCCAGAAGACGCGAGCAAGGTTGTTCTGTGCATTAAGGGGGGTATCGATCTGAAGGTGTTTGCTCCAAACGGATCATACGAGTTCTTATCTTCATCAGTCGATAAGTGCAATGAGTTACTTGGTGGAGTGAAGAAGATTGACCAATTTGAGCCAGCTAGGCGTGATCCAAACCACACATCACAACAGATTATTGAGAATCTCGCGCGTATCGAGAAGGAGGGCAAGATTGGCGGTATCAGCCTGTCTGAGGTCGACGAAAAGACTATCAGAGAGGCCGCGAAGGCGGCAGAGGATTTGGGAACGAAGGTGTCTTCTGTAGAAGTTGAATTTAGCATGGCTTCGCCAGATATTCTCTACAACGGCGTTGCGAAGGCTTGCGCTGACTTTAATATCCCGATCTACGCTTACAGGTGAGTACTTTAGCGTAGAGGATGAGATTTTCTAACGTAAACCAACCAGTCCAATTGGAAGAGGTTTGCTCAGTGGTAAAATTAAGAGTAACGCTGATGCGAAGGGAATGGCAAAGCACTTTCCACGCTTCCAAGACGGCAATATCGAAGAGAATCTCAAGCTGGTGGCCGAGGTTGAAAAGCTGGCAGAGAAGAAGAGATGCACACCAGCACAAATTGCAATTGCGTGGGTGAAGTATCACTCCAACAGGAATGGTCTGCCAACCATCATTCCTATCCCTGGTGCCAGCTCTGTCCGCCGGGTCGAGGAGAACTTGATCAACAGCATCACGTTGACAGACGATGACATGAAGCATCTCAACGAGGCGGTGGAGAAGGTAGAGATAAAAGGCGGCCGCTATCCTGAGTAGCTTTCCTAGCTGAACCGGGGATAATGGTGCCTTTTTATTTTTTGATTCCAAATTGACGATTTTATGCTGCAATAATGTGTGATAAGGTATCTAACATGTCCCAGAGTCCCAGAGCCCTAAAATGTCTAAGCCGCTTGTCACGATGTGATGAATGTCATTTCCGAAAGCACTCGCCTCGATTACTGCCAAACACACGCACATCCAATTTAAACCGTTTTTGAGGTTTCACGTATGTGCGAGGACAATATAAGCTACTCCAGCACCTCCGTTGTCGCTTCTGGTCACGCAAACCTCTCATGAAGATGAAAACATGAAAATCTTAGCTATGATGATGATGATGAAATCTGATTATATTGTCAAGACGATAAATGTTAAACTGCGTCCATCAATACTTTTAAAGCATGAGGAGTCAAAGGGGGTGCTGAATTTACTGGAAGCGTTTCTTGACTAGCGCCGTAATTTATAAATTGTTGGCGGCTCTCAATTACGCTGAGCCACCGTGAAAATCTTAGCTATATTTTAAAATTTTTGGTAATTTACAATCAATATTCGAATCCAATATTTTTCAAAGTAGCTAGATATGATAGGCTTTCGTGGTCTAGTGGTTATGACATGTGCTTTACAAACTGTATTTCAATAAACAAACTTGGATCGCACAGGGCCGCCGGTTCGAACCCGGCCGAAAGCTTTTGTCTCGGCTTGGAGCCACGATAGCTGAAATGAAATATATCTTATTTTTCACTAATAAATGTTTTTATGTTTGGAGGTCTCTAGGTGGTTTATTGGTCGGATGGAAGCGGGAGGAATTTAAGAGAATGTTTTGTTAGCATTAAGCAGTCTGATCATCATAAATCACAAGCAATTGCAATCCTGCCGTGCTGCAACTAGTAGAGTGAACGCGGATGTGATAAAACACGTGATTTTGAAAGTTGAAGGTGGGAAGCTTATGCAAGAGAGAATATAGCTTTAATAATATCGAAGTAGGCCATAACGCCTTGGCTAAACTCTTCACTCGGCTTATCCGCATCTTAGACATAAGCGAAAACAGGAGTGAAAAGAGGAAGGATATCGCTGAAAACGCTGATTAGAAGGTATGCGTACAAACCAGACTAAGAGTACTTTGAAAGAATTAGAAAATAAGCCGGACTTTAAACGGGAAGATGGGGTGGATAGAAATTCACAGATATGACGGTCATCAGGTCAGCGAATGAAATATTAAGAAAGCGCGTCATTGGAGATGTAGAGTATATTAGTAGAATGTGCCTGGTTTATGTGTTCAGGTTGCTCCCAGTAGAATGTAGTGAGGAGTATAGAGGTGGCCGTAGCCAAAGACCATCTCCAGAATAAGCTGGAATTCAAGCTCTATATTGTATTGTAAGAATATGTATTGCTGTCTTTTTCATCTACCACCACCACCACACCAATGAAGGGAATTGTTCGCGGAGGCAGCGTCGCAGGTGAGAGATGGCCATCATTTCAGCAGAATCAGCTAACACAGCACAGCTCGTACGTTTACATCTTCTGCGAGAAGATCAGTGGTATATGCAAGAGATGGCACACTCGAGCACGACAGCAACGAGCTTAGCTTGAAGCAGCGGTTAATCCAGAAAGAGAATGGTGAGATAGCTTAATTCACTCCAATCATCATCTAAACAAGCCATTTTAAAGTCGAATCACTCGAGCATTTGGGATCCACGCAAAACTCATCTAACGCCTACAAGCCATGGAAGACGAGGCTGCCTACGTCACAGCAGCCAATTGACAGCTTAGTTGGTGCATTAACAGCAGCAGGTGCTCACCTTGGACACAATCACAGCGAGTGGAATCCTTCAATGAGACCTTACATCTACGGCACAAGGCATGGACAATCTATAATTGACTTGGAGCAGACACTCGTTGCCATTAGGAGAGCAGCAGCAGTCGTCAGAGGCGTTGTTGAGCGTGACGGCATCGTTCTTTTCGTTGGAGGCAAGACGAGGACTACGATCGTGAAGAGAGCAACTGAGAGAGCAGCTGAGAAATTGGAGGGTAACGGGTTCTGCGTACCGAACAACTGGCTGCCTGGTACGCTCACTAATCGCTACAGATTGTTGCCAGGAGGAAAACCAGAGCAACCACCACCACTTCCTGATTTGGTTGTGTTCAGTAATCCACAGACATATCCACACGCACTGAGGGAGTGTGCTCTTACTCGAGTACCGACTGTTGGATTGATGGACAGTGACGGTGATCCAAGGGGTGTCACGTATGCCATACCCGCCAACGACGACAGCGAGAGAGCGGGTGAACTTATTATCAATCTCCTCGCTGAAGCTGGAGCAGAGGGCTTGATGGTCAGGAGAGAGTTGGAAGAAAGTAGACAGAAGGCGCAGAGAGTTAAACAGAGGAAGCAGGCGGATGGCGCGTGAAGTGGCAGTAGTATAATGCATACATGAAAGATTACATAGACAAAAGCAGAAAGCACAGGCAAACACACAGACACACCCAAAAACAGCATTGTGCCTTATCTTATGTGCCTGTCCGAAATGTGAAAAGATGTGCGTTGAGGTGTGCACCCCCCGCGTGAGCCTTGTGAAAATCCCGTGCATCGTGTGGATGAAATAGAAGGCACATGAACAGGCGCCCCTCTCTTGGATCACTCCTTCTTGAACCACCACGTTGAAATAGGCTCAGCGAGTGATGGAAGAGCAAACTGAGCAGACCAAGAAGGAATACATCAACAACGCCAGTGCGCTACTCGCCCAGATACAATCAGCCTCCACAAAGCAAGTCCAACAGAGTCCGAGCCTGTATTACTACAACGAGTACAAGGCAGCAACTGAACCGCTTACCACGGCCGCACAACAGTCTTTCCCGTACAACCCCGAGTACCAGCTTAGACCGATTGATGCTGGCTACCGTCAGACGACTCTCAACAACGATAACGGTGGGTGGGATATAATAGCGTGGATTCTGGCTCATTTGGCTTATTAGAGATCGAAAAGCTCAACGGGAGGCATCCTATAGACCTCGCAAATATTAAATACGACGATAAAGTTTATGTTGTGGGTTTTGAGGGCGTACTCGACGATACACTCTAAATGCTTCTCAGATCCCGCAAGGTGAATCTGAGAACTTGCGGCTGAATAGAGAGCATGAGCTGTTTAAAGTGGGTTGCCTAGGCTCGCAAACGCATAACCTCCTAACTGTCACGCCCTCGCGCAGTTCATTATCGGTGGCCTTTGGTGGGGTCCGCTTAGTGAGGTTGTCTCAAGAACTACACGAGCAGGAAAAAAGGGTGTCATCGGCGATTGGGGTGCTGGGACTGGTATTTGGTGTGTTTTGTGTGGTTTAGAGAGAGCAACACTGATAATCCTCTTTCAGGGCAATGGAATTAGCTCAGCAGTTCCCAGGAGCAGAGTGGGTAGGCTGTTTTCATTTGAACTGCTCTAAATTACCCTACAGCACTCACGGCAATGACATCCAATGCATCACGCCAATAAAAGGGTGAGTTAGTTGATTTAGTTGGGGTGTTTTTTACTCACACTTCCTAAAGACGACAAGTACCAAGGAACTGGTAGGCTTCACCTTTTCTTCGTCGCCACACCCTCTCACACTTGCACCAGCTTCTATAGATGCGTCGATATCACTAAAGATCTCACATTGGCATATCAACCAGAGAGTTTCGATGCAATCCAAATTAGATGTTTATATGCAGCTATACAAGATTACCCGGCGCTCCTTAAAGACACACTCCCACTTCTCAGGCCAGGTGGAATGCTCCTACTAATGGAACCCAAGTGGACTACTGTTTCGCGCTCCACGACCGCTGGACCTTGTTGCCGCACTCTCGCTACCTGGATAGAGCAATTGTTTGTTGAGAAAGGTCTAGACCCAGGGCTTGACGGTGACAGGCTGGAGACTTATGTCAGAGCATCCGGGGAGTTTGATGAAGTAAAGAGCAAGGTATTCCATGCTCGTATTGGAGCATGGCCGGCGTACTCGGGGGTTGATGTGGGTGGAGAGATTCTTCAGGAGTAACAGTGCTAACAAACACCTCAAAGCTCCCTAATAGACATGTTGCGCATCTGTTTGCAGACGATCTACTCAACCTGTTTAGATCATTTATACCCATTTTCCTTAAACGAGGTTACTATGAACCTGATATCAATAACATAATAGCAAGAGCTGCTAAAGAGACGACGCTAACAAAATATAGAATTGTTGAAGAGCTACATTACACATATGCAATAAAGAGGCAGTAAATGGGACATTTGTATAGAAGAGGAATAAATTTTTATTTGGCAAATCATTAAAGAAAATTCGTACAAGTGCACGTGCACAGCGCGCAACTAGAATTTCATCACCGTGACGAGGATATACATTTGACAGCTCTACTTCTTCCTTTGGAAAATTCCGCTGTGCTGATGAACTGTCAAATGCCCCCACTTGGCGTGCATTTGCGCGCGAGGATGTACTGATAAGCAAAGCACATGATTTAAAACACAATAAAATCACACAAACTAGTCAATGAAGAATGAATATTTACTTAAACGACCAAAGGTGATTTGATTTAGTGAGGTAATCAACTTTCCTAATTTGGATGACATTCCAGTCAAAAGCACACTAAATCACTTGGCAGAAGCTTTCAAGTGCGGCTAAGACTGCTTGACCATCAACTCCCACCAACTACAATTCTTTCGCTATGTCATTCCTAGACGGGGAAAAACAACCAAGATACGAAGAGGAGGATAGCCCGCAGCATGAATACAACGCGCTGGTAGATTATATCCACAACGTTGAGTTGAGAAAAGCAGACGACGCTCAAGATGTGCAAGACGACAACATCGAGTATAAGAGGGTGAGTGGTATTACAAACTGAGACATGACTTACTAACCAACAAACTAGCCGTGGTATGCGCCTTGGAAGAAAATCGAAATTAGACAGCAAGGCAAATCAGTGCCAGATGATTGGATGCATGCTGATATTAAACATGGTATCAGCTCAGGTGACGTCGATCCACGTCGTCGCCAGTTCGGTTTCAACGAGTTAGAGTCTCCAGAAGAGAACTTGGTACTCAAATTTATTGGTTTCTTTAGAGGCCCTGTCCTCTATGTTATGGAAGGTGCCGTCGCCCTTGCCGGTGGTCTTCGTGAATGGGTCGACTTCGGTGTCATCATTGGTATTCTCCTTCTCAACGCTTTCGTTGGTTTCTACCAAGAAAAGCAAGCTGGTGACATTGTAGCACAGCTCAAAAAAGGTATCGCTCTTCGTACTATCGTCATTCGCGATGGACAAGAACAAGAAGTCGAAGCAAGAATGTTGGTTCCTGGCGATATTGTCGTCATCGAAGAAGGCTCTACTATTCCAGCAGACTGCGAGTTGCTTGCAGACTACAAGGACAAGGATGGCTCGAGAGCTAGAGAGGTATTCGAAAAGGTGAAGGCAGAGACGAAGAAAGAAAAGACGGAAGATGAAGAAGACTCTTATGGTAAAGGCCCATCCATCTTAGCCGCCGACCAATCTGCTATCACTGGTGAATCTCTCGCTGTCGACAAGTACCACGGTGACATCGCTTTCTATACCACCATCTGCAAGCGTGGCAAGGTGTTTGCACGCGTCAAGATGACTGCACCAATCTCTTTCGTTGGTAAGACAGCAGCACTCGTCCTCGGATCTAACGAAAAGGGTCACTTTGTCAAGGTCATGAACATTATCGCTGGTACTCTTCTCGTTCTTGTTATTGTCTTCTTGTTCGCCGTCTGGATTGGTTGTTTCTTCCGGAACGTAGAGATTGCTCAACCAAGAGACAACAACTTGCTTGTCTACACTCTTATCTTCGCTGTTATTGGTGTTCCAGTTGGTTTACCAGTTGTTACCACCACTACGCTCGCTGTTGGTGCCGCGTACCTCGCCAAGAGACAAGCTATCGTACAGAAGCTCACCTCAATCGAGTCATTGGCTGGATGTGACATACTCTGCTCAGACAAGACTGGTACTCTTACCGCTAACAAGCTCTCGATCCACGAACCATACACAGCCGAGGGTGTTGACATGGATTGGATGATGTGCGTTGCTGCCCTCGCCTCATCTCACAACGTTAAGTCATTGGACCCTATCGACAAGATCACCATTTCCACTCTTAAGGAATACCCAAAGGCAACAGAAATGCTCAAGACAGGTTGGGTAACAAAGGATTTCAGACCATTCGACCCAGTATCCAAGCGTATTACTTCAATTGTCGAGCGTGACGGTATTACTTACACTTGCGCTAAGGGTGCTCCAAACTCAATCCTCAAGATGTGCGCATGTCCACCACAAACAGCTCAGGCCTTCCGCGACCAAACTATGGAATTCGCTTCAAGAGGTTTCCGTTCCCTTGGTGTTGCAGTTCAAGAAAACAATGGTGACTGGCAAGTACTCGGTTTGCTCGCACGACAGCAACGAGCTTAGCTTGAAGCAGCGGTTAATCCAGAAAGAGAATGGTGAGATAGCTTAATTCACTCCAATCATCATCTAAACAAGCCATTTTAAAGTCGAATCACTCGAGCATTTGGGATCCACGCAAAACTCATCTAACGCCTACAAGCCATGGAAGACGAGGCTGCCTACGTCACAGCAGCCAATTGACAGCTTAGTTGGTGCATTAACAGCAGCAGGTGCTCACCTTGGACACAATCACAGCGAGTGGAATCCTTCAATGAGACCTTACATCTACGGCACAAGGCATGGACAATCTATAATTGACTTGGAGCAGACACTCGTTGCCATTAGGAGAGCAGCAGCAGTCGTCAGAGGCGTTGTTGAGCGTGACGGCATCGTTCTTTTCGTTGGAGGCAAGACGAGGACTACGATCGTGAAGAGAGCAACTGAGAGAGCAGCTGAGAAATTGGAGGGTAACGGGTTCTGCGTACCGAACAACTGGCTGCCTGGTACGCTCACTAATCGCTACAGATTGTTGCCAGGAGGAAAACCAGAGCAACCACCACCACTTCCTGATTTGGTTGTGTTCAGTAATCCACAGACATATCCACACGCACTGAGGGAGTGTGCTCTTACTCGAGTACCGACTGTTGGATTGATGGACAGTGACGGTGATCCAAGGGGTGTCACGTATGCCATACCCGCCAACGACGACAGCGAGAGAGCGGGTGAACTTATTATCAATCTCCTCGCTGAAGCTGGAGCAGAGGGCTTGATGGTCAGGAGAGAGTTGGAAGAAAGTAGACAGAAGGCGCAGAGAGTTAAACAGAGGAAGCAGGCGGATGGCGCGTGAAGTGGCAGTAGTATAATGCATACATGAAAGATTACATAGACAAAAGCAGAAAGCACAGGCAAACACACAGACACACCCAAAAACAGCATTGTGCCTTATCTTATGTGCCTGTCCGAAATGTGAAAAGATGTGCGTTGAGGTGTGCACCCCCCGCGTGAGCCTTGTGAAAATCCCGTGCATCGTGTGGATGAAATAGAAGGCACATGAACAGGCGCCCCTCTCTTGGATCACTCCTTCTTGAACCACCACGTTGAAATAGGCTCAGCGAGTGATGGAAGAGCAAACTGAGCAGACCAAGAAGGAATACATCAACAACGCCAGTGCGCTACTCGCCCAGATACAATCAGCCTCCACAAAGCAAGTCCAACAGAGTCCGAGCCTGTATTACTACAACGAGTACAAGGCAGCAACTGAACCGCTTACCACGGCCGCACAACAGTCTTTCCCGTACAACCCCGAGTACCAGCTTAGACCGATTGATGCTGGCTACCGTCAGACGACTCTCAACAACGATAACGGTGGGTGGGATATAATAGCGTGGATTCTGGCTCATTTGGCTTATTAGAGATCGAAAAGCTCAACGGGAGGCATCCTATAGACCTCGCAAATATTAAATACGACGATAAAGTTTATGTTGTGGGTTTTGAGGGCGTACTCGACGATACACTCTAAATGCTTCTCAGATCCCGCAAGGTGAATCTGAGAACTTGCGGCTGAATAGAGAGCATGAGCTGTTTAAAGTGGGTTGCCTAGGCTCGCAAACGCATAACCTCCTAACTGTCACGCCCTCGCGCAGTTCATTATCGGTGGCCTTTGGTGGGGTCCGCTTAGTGAGGTTGTCTCAAGAACTACACGAGCAGGAAAAAAGGGTGTCATCGGCGATTGGGGTGCTGGGACTGGTATTTGGTGTGTTTTGTGTGGTTTAGAGAGAGCAACACTGATAATCCTCTTTCAGGGCAATGGAATTAGCTCAGCAGTTCCCAGGAGCAGAGTGGGTAGGCTGTTTTCATTTGAACTGCTCTAAATTACCCTACAGCACTCACGGCAATGACATCCAATGCATCACGCCAATAAAAGGGTGAGTTAGTTGATTTAGTTGGGGTGTTTTTTACTCACACTTCCTAAAGACGACAAGTACCAAGGAACTGGTAGGCTTCACCTTTTCTTCGTCGCCACACCCTCTCACACTTGCACCAGCTTCTATAGATGCGTCGATATCACTAAAGATCTCACATTGGCATATCAACCAGAGAGTTTCGATGCAATCCAAATTAGATGTTTATATGCAGCTATACAAGATTACCCGGCGCTCCTTAAAGACACACTCCCACTTCTCAGGCCAGGTGGAATGCTCCTACTAATGGAACCCAAGTGGACTACTGTTTCGCGCTCCACGACCGCTGGACCTTGTTGCCGCACTCTCGCTACCTGGATAGAGCAATTGTTTGTTGAGAAAGGTCTAGACCCAGGGCTTGACGGTGACAGGCTGGAGACTTATGTCAGAGCATCCGGGGAGTTTGATGAAGTAAAGAGCAAGGTATTCCATGCTCGTATTGGAGCATGGCCGGCGTACTCGGGGGTTGATGTGGGTGGAGAGATTCTTCAGGAGTAACAGTGCTAACAAACACCTCAAAGCTCCCTAATAGACATGTTGCGCATCTGTTTGCAGACGATCTACTCAACCTGTTTAGATCATTTATACCCATTTTCCTTAAACGAGGTTACTATGAACCTGATATCAATAACATAATAGCAAGAGCTGCTAAAGAGACGACGCTAACAAAATATAGAATTGTTGAAGAGCTACATTACACATATGCAATAAAGAGGCAGTAAATGGGACATTTGTATAGAAGAGGAATAAATTTTTATTTGGCAAATCATTAAAGAAAATTCGTACAAGTGCACGTGCACAGCGCGCAACTAGAATTTCATCACCGTGACGAGGATATACATTTGACAGCTCTACTTCTTCCTTTGGAAAATTCCGCTGTGCTGATGAACTGTCAAATGCCCCCACTTGGCGTGCATTTGCGCGCGAGGATGTACTGATAAGCAAAGCACATGATTTAAAACACAATAAAATCACACAAACTAGTCAATGAAGAATGAATATTTACTTAAACGACCAAAGGTGATTTGATTTAGTGAGGTAATCAACTTTCCTAATTTGGATGACATTCCAGTCAAAAGCACACTAAATCACTTGGCAGAAGCTTTCAAGTGCGGCTAAGACTGCTTGACCATCAACTCCCACCAACTACAATTCTTTCGCTATGTCATTCCTAGACGGGGAAAAACAACCAAGATACGAAGAGGAGGATAGCCCGCAGCATGAATACAACGCGCTGGTAGATTATATCCACAACGTTGAGTTGAGAAAAGCAGACGACGCTCAAGATGTGCAAGACGACAACATCGAGTATAAGAGGGTGAGTGGTATTACAAACTGAGACATGACTTACTAACCAACAAACTAGCCGTGGTATGCGCCTTGGAAGAAAATCGAAATTAGACAGCAAGGCAAATCAGTGCCAGATGATTGGATGCATGCTGATATTAAACATGGTATCAGCTCAGGTGACGTCGATCCACGTCGTCGCCAGTTCGGTTTCAACGAGTTAGAGTCTCCAGAAGAGAACTTGGTACTCAAATTTATTGGTTTCTTTAGAGGCCCTGTCCTCTATGTTATGGAAGGTGCCGTCGCCCTTGCCGGTGGTCTTCGTGAATGGGTCGACTTCGGTGTCATCATTGGTATTCTCCTTCTCAACGCTTTCGTTGGTTTCTACCAAGAAAAGCAAGCTGGTGACATTGTAGCACAGCTCAAAAAAGGTATCGCTCTTCGTACTATCGTCATTCGCGATGGACAAGAACAAGAAGTCGAAGCAAGAATGTTGGTTCCTGGCGATATTGTCGTCATCGAAGAAGGCTCTACTATTCCAGCAGACTGCGAGTTGCTTGCAGACTACAAGGACAAGGATGGCTCGAGAGCTAGAGAGGTATTCGAAAAGGTGAAGGCAGAGACGAAGAAAGAAAAGACGGAAGATGAAGAAGACTCTTATGGTAAAGGCCCATCCATCTTAGCCGCCGACCAATCTGCTATCACTGGTGAATCTCTCGCTGTCGACAAGTACCACGGTGACATCGCTTTCTATACCACCATCTGCAAGCGTGGCAAGGTGTTTGCACGCGTCAAGATGACTGCACCAATCTCTTTCGTTGGTAAGACAGCAGCACTCGTCCTCGGATCTAACGAAAAGGGTCACTTTGTCAAGGTCATGAACATTATCGCTGGTACTCTTCTCGTTCTTGTTATTGTCTTCTTGTTCGCCGTCTGGATTGGTTGTTTCTTCCGGAACGTAGAGATTGCTCAACCAAGAGACAACAACTTGCTTGTCTACACTCTTATCTTCGCTGTTATTGGTGTTCCAGTTGGTTTACCAGTTGTTACCACCACTACGCTCGCTGTTGGTGCCGCGTACCTCGCCAAGAGACAAGCTATCGTACAGAAGCTCACCTCAATCGAGTCATTGGCTGGATGTGACATACTCTGCTCAGACAAGACTGGTACTCTTACCGCTAACAAGCTCTCGATCCACGAACCATACACAGCCGAGGGTGTTGACATGGATTGGATGATGTGCGTTGCTGCCCTCGCCTCATCTCACAACGTTAAGTCATTGGACCCTATCGACAAGATCACCATTTCCACTCTTAAGGAATACCCAAAGGCAACAGAAATGCTCAAGACAGGTTGGGTAACAAAGGATTTCAGACCATTCGACCCAGTATCCAAGCGTATTACTTCAATTGTCGAGCGTGACGGTATTACTTACACTTGCGCTAAGGGTGCTCCAAACTCAATCCTCAAGATGTGCGCATGTCCACCACAAACAGCTCAGGCCTTCCGCGACCAAACTATGGAATTCGCTTCAAGAGGTTTCCGTTCCCTTGGTGTTGCAGTTCAAGAAAACAATGGTGACTGGCAAGTACTCGGTTTGCTCCCTATGTTCGATCCTCCACGTCACGACACTGCTGCTACCGTCGGTGAAGCTATCAAGCTCGGCGTTGGTGTGAAAATGTTGACTGGTGATGCTGTCGCTATCGCTAAGGAGACTTGCAAGATGCTTGGTATGGGTACTAATGTGAGTCACATCTGAGACACTTATCATTTTTGCTAACAAAACTCAGGTATACGACTCACACAGACTCATCGGCGGTGGCTCAATGGCTGGTTCTGAAATGCACGACTTTATTGAAAACGCTGATGGTTTCGGTGAGGTCTTCCCTGAACACAAGTACCAAATTGTTGAAATGCTCCAACACCGTGGCCACTTAACAGCCATGACTGGTGATGGTGTCAACGACGCTCCTGCACTCAAGAAGGCTGACTGTGGTATCGCTGTTGAAGGTGCTTCCGATGCAGCTCGTTCAGCTGCTGCTGTCGTTTTCCTCGATGAAGGTCTTTCAACTATCATTACTGCTATCAAGGTCGCTCGTGAAATCTTCCACCGCATGAAGGCTTACATTGTCTACCGTATTGCACTCTGTCTCCACTTGGAAATATATCTCACACTCTCAATCATCATCATGAACGAAACCATCCGCGCAGACTTGATTGTCTGGATTGCCTTATTCGCTGATTTGGCTACTGTCGCTGTTGCATATGACAACGCACCATACGCTCTCAAGCCAGTTGAATGGCAACTTCCAAAGATCTGGATCATGTCAACCGTTCTCGGAATTATCTTGGCAGCTGGTACCTGGATTCTCAGAGGTACACTCTTCCTCAACAATGGAGGTGTTATTCAGAACTGGGGTGGTATTCAGCACATTCTTTTCTTGGAGGTCTGTCTCACAGAGAACTGGTTAATTTTCTTGACAAGAACTGGCGAGGGTGAGTTCAAGTGGCCATCTTGGCAACTCACTGGTGCCATTGCTGGTGTTGATATTCTCGCTACAATTTTCACACTCTTCGGTTGGTTCCACTCTGATGACGAAGATCACAACGGTCATACCGACATTGTCACTGTTGTCAAGGTTTGGTGTTTCTCTATCGCAGTTATGATTGTTTGCACATTGGCATACATTGTCATGAACAACATGAAAGCAATCAACAATATTGGCAGAACACAGAGAGGAAAGATCGACAGACGCGTTGAAGACTTTATGAATGAGCTCCAAAGAATCACGATTGTTCACGAACGCTCTGACAGAGATGTTTACAGACTCTACGGTAGAACGCAAGGTCTTGATGCAGACAATTAGGTTGATCTAGACTTATAAGGAATGCATGGAATATATCCACTCACTCGCACTCACGCACTCAATCACTCAGAATAACACACTCGTTATATTCCCCAAATCCTCATTACTATACAAACTTAGTAATTAATTTATTTTTGCGAATATTTATGTTCTATATACTTTACAATACAATACATTTGATTTAATCAAATTATCTATAATGGCTGCTCATGGATCCAGTCTAGTGCACCCGGTATGCTGTGCAGAGTATGCCACGATAAGCGTTGAGACTTAGACATCCGACTTTCAAGCATATAGGCTAAATGGCGGTGGAAGAGTGGGAAAGGCAGTCCATATGCGATGGCTAGGTTTATGAATTTCTGAGAGTGCTATTAGAAGGGAAGTGAGATAGCAAATAACAAACCTACATCAACGCATTCCATCGGTGTCTCATTATACCCCGCAAACATGGCTGGGTTGGAAAGAATACCGCGAGCGCTCATGACGCCATTGCAGCCGGTGACATCTCTAATGCGCAAGCTTTCATCGAGCGACCAAGCGTCACCATTGGAGATGGTGGGTACATCAGAAAAGGACTGCGCGAGACGAACGCCATCTAAATTGACAGGAGAGGTGGAAGCCTGTGTCCTATAACGACCGTGTATACCGACGAGCGACACACCGGCAGCGACAGCATTGCGAATGAGCTGCTCAGTCCTCTTTTCATCCTGATCGATGCGTATTTTAACGGTTACGGGGAGAGAGCTACCGAGTCTATCGTGGGTAGTGCGAATGATATCGCGCACAGTCTCCGGACGACGTAGGAGGGCGCCACCAATTCCCTCCGCGTATGCCCAACTGGTCGGACAACCAGTGTTGAGATCGATAGCGTCGACATACGGCGCTATAAGTTCAGCAGACTGCATGAAGGGGACAGGCTCGCTGGCAGCGAATTGAGCGATGAGAGCACCGCGTGTAAGTTGTGAGTGTTTTTCGAAAGCCTCATCGTGCCATCCCGCAGTGCGTCTCCTTCGCAGCTCAAATACACCTCGTTCGCTTGACGAAGTAGAGAAATCAGACGCACGAGCATACTCGCTGCGGGAAAATTCAGTAGACAGCATCATGGGTGTGTAAGTTATGTGGGTGTTGTATCCCCCACACAACTCCCGGAAAGGCAGCTTGCTGTAGCGCACCATCGGGGCTTGGACGGTCCAAGCGGAGTATTCTGCGAGGAGTTCCGCCGGCGGAATTTGGAGGGGCTGTGGCTGTGACTGAGAATCTGTCTGAGATTGTACCCGTTGAGGTTGGGACATTGTGGGTGTATTCTATCAAGAGGACTGGTGCGGTCTTCTCTCTCACCTGTACCACCATGTCCTCTCGCAGCTTACATCTGCTGCTTATCTGCATCTGTATCACTCTCGGTAGCCTCCTCGCAGCGCTCTCACCGCAAATATTCAAAGTTCGACAGGAGAACATTATCAAGCTTGCGACGCTCGGCGCTGGACTGCTCGTTGGCAGTGCGTTGGGAATTGTTATACCAGAGTGGGTGGCGTCTGAGATATGATATTATTCCCGGCTGATTACGCTTTAGGGGCGTCGAGAGCATTTATGAGCATTCGAGCAGCACGGAAACAGCCTCACGGAAAATAGGTATACTTACCACTACTGGATTTGTTATGATGCTGCTTATAGATACGCTCATAGCGCCGCATAATACCCATTCGCATGGTAAACAAGATGTCCAGCACGATGAGCGCGAGCACGACGAGCACGCCGAAGAGGGTCATTCGAATGGCCACAACCACGCCCATGCGCCACGTAGAATGCGCTCTTACACCCCCCTACGCCCGATTTCTACAATCAATACGTCACCTTCCAAGGCCATTTCCAAAACTGCGGGCTTGACGATCCACTCGATTTGCGACGGTGTTGCTTTAGGCGCGGCTACATACGGTGATAACGGCGGTGGATTGAGTTTGGTGGTGTTCCTCGCGATCGCTGTGCACAAAGCACCTGCTAGTCTTGGTTTATCCAGTAGTTTATTAAATTTGGTGCCGCAATTGAGCAGGACCTTTTATAGACTCTGCATCGTTATTTTCTCCCTCTCAACCCCATTCTCAGCATTCGCAACTTATACTGCACTCCATCTCCTCAATCTGGGCACTGCTCTAGGTAGTATTCCCGGATACGCGCTTTTGTTCTCGGGTGGCACTTTCCTCTTTGTGGCTACACAGGCCACTTCCGAACAGCTAGAGTGCTCTACGGATAGGAAAGGCTTTTTGAGCATGTATCTCATTGGCATTTTCGCACCTGTACTTGTATCAGTTTTCTTCAAACACTCACACTAAAGAGGTTATTACAACAGATTAGAATTATAGTAGATTAATATTACAAGTGGTGTGCGAGTGTGCGAGGTGCGTGAGGTGCGCGGGTACAAGTGTGCATACTGCAAAAGATGCAATGGCGCTGTGTACTACATAAAGTCTGATTTGCGCTATTTAATCATCCACCCTCCTGACATCTGCGAGTTTGGACGTACCAGCAGCAGCACTGGGACGGCGTTTAAGTGATTGAGAAGAGGAGACTTTGACTGCTTTACGTGGTGCTTTACGTGGACGGATCTCATCCTCAACGACATCCCTCTGTTCAGCTTGAAGATCGCTCAAGTTTAGCCTAGTGCTGCGTCGAGGGTAAAAATCTGATTCTGATTGTGTATCTTGTAGAGATGCAATGTTGGTATCTACACCACCAAGAGCCACAGGAGCCATACTAGCCCCAGACAAACCATCCAAGCCACTCTTCAAGGACAAATACTCGGATTTCAACACGTCTATCTTCTCAAAATCGTAGTCGTCGACAAAGTTGAATGTTTTCTGACCAGAAAGAAGTTTCATAGAGTGTTTGAGAGTCTTGAGGTAGGTGAGGAGACGATCTTTGGTTTGTTTTGTTGGTGGTTTACTGTTTGTGGAATCGTCGATGTGTATGACATTACCAGTGAGCAACTCAACCCTCTTGGTAGTCTCAGTTGTTAGATCCGACAGCTCACTACCGATTAAATTGAAGGTATCTCTCCATTGAGCGTTTTCTTGAGTGAGTTTTGATTGAGCTTGTTGAGATTGGTAGAGAGTGCGTTCAAAGAGGGAAGAATCAGAGTGGCTGTCGCCATTACTAGTCCCAGCACCAGTACCATGCACCTCTCTTCTCTTCAAATCTTGAATGTTTTGTTTTTGAATGGATTGAGTTACGGATTTGGAGAGGCTGAGTTGATGACGAGATTGCTTGAGTAGATGGGAATGATCGGATAATTGGGATTGTAGTGAATCGATGGTAGCAGACTGCTGTGCCAATTGCTGGTCCTTGAGGATGATGGATTGATTGGAATCAGCTAACAAACCAGCCAGCCTAGTATGCTCATAATCGTTATTCTTATCTTGCTGCTTAAGTTTATCAACTAATTCCAAATTATCTGCCTTTAAATCTAAAAACTGGAACAACAACTTTGATAGCTCACTTGGATTTGAAAGCTTATTAAATTCAATGGGATTATTTAAATATCCTCTACTAATGAATTCATCGTTGATGTGTTTATATGTCTTGTCCATTGGTGAGAAGGTGGCCGTCGATTGTCACGTTTGTGTTCTTCAACCAACATCAATATATTCTACTTCTATTATTTTTTTATTTTTACTTGGAATTTACTAGTCATTCTTCTTAACTATCAGACTTTCTATTAACTTGATAAATATCCCTATTAAAGTAATAGTCATCCTACTAAATTACTAGTCACCCCTATTTACTTACTAGACATCCCTATTAAATTCCTTGTTTCCATGAAACCACCAAAAACACCGAAATTATCTCCAACTCGTTCAACTGCAGTTGACAATCACTTCATTAGTCCCTACAACAATCCAAATCACTTCAATCATCTAGGCTCCTCTTCTAAACGCTACACACCCACCTCCTCACCTAACCAAGATATCCAACAACAACAGCAGCTATATACACACATACATCCACCTGCTACACCAAAAATTTTCACCATTGCTACTAAATCTTTGTCGTACGCTAGGAGTTGTCAGGAGTTTACTGAGGATGATGTATTCAGTAGTCCTTTACCCCTTGCACCATCGAATAAGGCGAAAAAGAGAAGCAATCTGAAACAGAGCGATGACGATAGTGAGTATACGGTCTCACATTCACTTAGCGGAAACAGACCGGTAAAGGCAACTAAACATCGACACCTTTCATCACCCATCTCATCACCCCACTCATCGCTCCCCTCTCACAGCATCATCAGCTCACCAACCTACAACAAGCTCAACGAATTTTCCCTTAAATCGGAGACTGAGCTGGTTGAAGGGCTTGTGGAAGGTGGTTTAGAAGAAAGTGAAAAAAAAGGTGAAAAAGGTGAAGAACTAGGTTTAGAACCAACAGAACCATGGAAACAAATCAACTACTCACTTTTCGCTGAAATCCCTGTGGATGAATCAATGTTTTGAGCTTGACACTTGCTTAATACTCTTAACTCGACTGGATCATGTAAATATCTTCAATGTATAATGTATAATATTAGAATTGTTACACCAAACTCATGCCAAATCCTCCTCTTCTCGGTAACGCATTGCTACTCTTATTCAATCCACCGTCATACTCCTTCTTGGTTTGAATACCTCCAACAACACCATCGAGCTCTTTGACTCTCTCGACGAGGTTGTTAGACGTGCCATCTATCCATTGAAGGGAGCTAAGGTGAGCATTAAGTATAGCAGCGATCTGTCCAATCACATCCTCCTGTTTAGTAGTTTCCTCTTTAGCTCCAACGCCGCCTGAGAGGAGATTAATTTCGTCGATCATAGTCGACAGATTTCTGCTGAGGTCATCGAGTTCATCGTTGACCGTCTCAGCAAGAGTGTAAGATTTGGTGCGTTCGTTATCAGCCACACCAACACCTAAGCCAACGTTCTCTCCACCATCGAGCAGCTCCTCCGTCTCTTTCTCATACCTGGTTAGCACGACGTCGAGTTCACGCTGCTGAGCTTCTATGTAGTCGAGCGATTGGTCAACACCCAGCTGAGTCTGCTCAGCTTGTACTGTTTGGTTGTATATACGCGATATTTGCTCTGCATTCTGACGTAGTACCCCATCCCACGCTTTTACCTCGTGACCTATCTTGTTGAAATCCTTCTGCTGGGTTTCGAGTTCGCCTGTCCAGCGATGAGTGATTTCGTCGAGCGTTTTGTTGCGCAGGAGTGATGGCGTGGGTGATGCTTTAACGGCGTTGCTTGTGGTTGTGGAATTGCCTGGTGTGGATTTCCCTAGTGCACTCACTGAGAGTGGATCTTTTGTTTCTTTCTCCTTTTCCTTATCTGCGTCTTTGTTCTCTCCGCCGAGTTTGAATGAAGAGAATCCACCAGGTGCAGGTGCGGCAGGTGCAGCCGGTTTAGCCGCGTCGTCCTTCTTCTCTTCAGTGGGTTTGGCAGGTGTACCGCCGAACGAAAATCCACCAGTTGGTTTGGCAGGTTGTGAGGGGTTGGACTGTGATGGATTCGACGCCTTAGCTGCATCGTCCTTTTTCTCTTCAGAGGGCTTGGCAGGGGCACCACCAAATGTAAATCCACCAGAAGTAGCAGGTTTAGGTGCCTCTGCAGGTTTAGGTGCGCCTAGTCCACCGAGACCTCCAAATCCAAATCCACCGGCTGGTTTGGATGTATCATCCTTCTCTTTTTCTTTGTCTTTGCCCTTATCAGAACCACTCAAGGAGAATCCACCACTGGGCGCAGGTTTTGGTGCATCATCCTTCTTCTCGTCTGGCTTGCCGAAGCCGCCGCTGCCGAAAGAGAAACCACCGCCTCCACTACCTGATGGCTTGCTCTCCTCCTTCTTCTCTTCAGGCTTACCAAAAGCTCCACCACCGAACAAGCTAGGTTTAGGCGCGTCATCTTTCTTCTCCTCTGCGAGAGTAGAGAGTGAGAAGAGTATTTAATGTGTATAGCGCGCAACTCACCGGGCTTGCTTCCCATTCCAAGACCACCGAAAGTAAAACCACCTGGTTTAGGTGCCTCCTTCTTTTCCTCTGGTTTGGGGGTATTACCAAAACCCATAGCACCCAAGTTGAAACCACCAGAAGAAGGGGCAGCTGGAGTAGTGGAAGGGGTGGTTGATGAAGGTTGTGAGGATGGTTGTGTGCTGCCGAATGCGCTACCACCTGCGTTTCCACCGAACAAACCACCACTACCACCTGCACCAGGCGTGCTTGGATTTTCTGCTGGCTTACCGAAGCCACTGAAACCACCAAAGCCAGATGATGGGGTGGTTGACTGGCTGTTACCGAAGGAGAAGGTGTTGTTTGCTGGTGGGGGTGCAGCTGGAGTGGTGGATCCCTGGTTGCCAAAGAGAGATGGCTTTGCTGGTGTATTTGATTGTGGTTGTGATGGTGGTTGTGCACCGAAGCTGAATCCCTGTTGTTGTTGCTGTGGTTGCTGCTGCTGCTGCTGCTGGCCTCCACCAAATGCACCCGCACTATTACCGCCAAATGAGAATCCTGCTGAAAATTCCAATGAGTTGAGCAATTAACGCGTATGTCTACCAACTCACACATGGTTGTTTAGGAGTGAGAGGGGAATTCACAGCTATAATTTAAACGACGAGCATGAATAATCTGTTGAGCGTGTTGGGGTTAATATTATTTGTTAATATTTCAGCATTAGCAGCAACTGTAAATGATAATATAGTTAAATCCACAAAGCTATTCCACTCAACTGCACACTCAACCACTACTTATCACGTTAGCGGGGTGGATGACGGTACATACGACATTCTCATTAGCCCTAATGAGTTTGATCAGCTGTCTCATCTCTCCGTCTCTCTCAAAGAATCCGGCGAACAACTCCCCTACACGTGGTTGAACGGTGATTCATATGTTCAACCCTATAATTTCAAGAGGCTCGCAGTTCAACTCCCACCCAACACACCACAGCTCACTCTAGTACTCTCTATCTCTCTCAACAACCCAAGCACTCCACTACCATCCCAGCTCACCCAGGACGACCTCGCCTACTCACTCTCCTTCAAGACATACACACACGTCGTTACCCCGTATCACACTAACGAAATGCGCGTTAAAGTGCGCGCACCCACCTCCAAAATACACCGATATGGCATGACGCATGACGACAGCAAGACGACCAAGAACGGCGGTAGTATGGTATATGGGCCGTGGATGGACGTAGCTCCCTACTCAATCCCTACAGACCACATTGAGATACTCTACGAAGCTGCTGGCCCGAGATTGAAGTATGAGGTGAGTGAGAGGAGTGCCCAGGTCAGTCACTGGGGGAATGTGGTGAGCTTTAGAGACGATATCGTCGTGCGCAACAACGGTCCTTCTCTCAAAGGCCAGTTCACGCGTCTAACCCATCAAGCCCAGACCTTTTTGAACGTGTTGCCCACGAATATCGCCACAATGCTTAGTGTCCGCCTACCAGCGCTCTCTGAGGAAGTTTTCTTCGTTGACCAGATCGGCAATGTCACTACTAGCCACTACAAGCAGGGCGATGGTCACTCCTCGCACTCCCTCTTACAGCTCAAGCCACGCTATCCACTGATGGGCGGGTGGAAATACTCGTTCAGTATCGGCTGGGAGAATAGCCTGAGGTTTGCTGCTAAGCTGGCTCGCGACGGTACAACCAGATTGAGCATCCCATTCAGCAGCACTCCCGAGGATGTTGCCGTCGACAGGCACACCACTCGCATCATTCTTCCCGAGGGTGCTCAGGTACACAGCGTGTACGTTCCATTCGAGGTGGATGTGCAGTACGAAACTACGACCTCGTACCTCGATACCATCGGCAGAAACACCGTCGTACTCTCCAAGCACAACACTTCTGATGCGCACAACGGCGACGTCACAATCGTTTACTCACTCTCCCTCTTCAATGCTCTCAGAAAACCCCTCGCCGTTGCCGCTGTGGCGTTTGCCCTCTTCTCGGCTGCCACCCTTTTGAGACGGATAAACACGAGAATATAAGCAGGCATTATAGTATAAATAAAAGTGATAGATTCTATAGTCATCTCATCTCATTATATGTGCAAATGTAAATGTGCTGTAATCTAGTCATACCCCGCTCCAGATCTCTTCTTGACGCGCTTACCACCCTTGAAATGTTTCTTACTGCTGGCGACATCAATACCTGCATCCGCCATGGCCTGTTTAGCTTTCCTGCCTTTAAGGAGGGTACCGTCATCAGCGACGATGCCTTGATGAGGATACATATTAACGCGTGAGAAATCCCCGTGCTGCTCTGCAGCTTTGCCTGCGAGGGTAGGGGTGAGTTTCGCCGGGTTTTTCTGAAAGAAGGTGTGATCGAGGGAGCGAGCGTGACTGGCGCCCTTCATCGACTGCACCTTGCCTTGCTCAGAGCCGATGAGACGACGACCGAGTGCTCTCGCACGGGCTTGCAAGCGTCTGCGCATGGCTGCGTTGAACTCATCCGCACTTACGCCCGGTGGGGGATGGCAGAAAACGAGTTTGGCGTTGATGTAGTCCTTCAGTATGATACGCGCCGCGCGCTGCTCGTCTGGATTTCCACCTGAGCTGCCCTGGCGAGTGAAACCGCGAGCGACTGAGCAAGATGTTAGTGGGGAGTGTTCTAAGAGTGCAAGTGAAACGTGCTACTCACCTGCGAATGCCGTTGCTAGTTCTTCAGCAGTAGGCACGCCATCACCTCCATCTTCCACCGCACGCGTATCGATCTTGATACCATACAACCCCTCAAGCACGCTCTGGGGAACGCGGCGCGCGACTAACTCGAGCGGTGCGCGCCAGTCGCGCATATCGTCAATAGGCAACACACCATCGCATACCAGCTCAGCACGCGTGCTAGCAAATTGCGGGAATACCAATCCTGGACAATCACATAACACAAGCGATTTACCGAGTAAGTGCGTCTGCAGGTGCTTCGTCTTACCTGGTGTACTGGACACACTCACACGATGAGCTCCCAATAACGCATTGAGCGTTGAGGATTTACCGACATTCGGATACCCAACTAAACCCACTGTCAGCTTGTGCCCGGCGGGGAGATAGGATAGGTCGGGCGCTTCGTCGATGAATAACTGCTCGAGTTCGACTATATTGAGCACTCGCGTGCGGCGTTGCTCGCTTTGTTGAGAAGGTGGTGGTGCTGGAGTTGTGGATTCGGCTGCTACTGTGTCTTGATTGTGTGCCTTGCCGTCACCTTGGTCACCAACTTCTTCACCCGTCTTCAGCTTCTCGACGGCGTTGATGGCCTCGTCGACATTAACTGGCAGACCACGTGCATGGGAGACGTAACCTTCTGCGGATTCGATGGGAGGGTGGTGTGGTGGGTGTGAGTGATCCTGTGAGTGTGGGTGTTTCTGCTCCTCCCCCTTTAACCCATCCAACCCCGCAGACTCCACTATATCCTGCACCTCAAGCTGTTTCCTCTGCTGCTCCTGCTCTTCAGCTACTTCAGCGACCTCATCAGCGTTGAGGATTTCATCGCGGACTTGTCTAACCACACGGAGCTGCTCGATGAGTTCCGAGGCATTAAGGGCGGAAAAGAAGGCGTAGCGTATCCCTTGAGCGTCGAAATAGTCAGCCCATCTTTGGCGTTGCTCAACGTCCAGCAAGTCAGCCTTATTGATGAGAACGAGTGAGCGCTTCCCCTCGCCCTGCATAGTGCCTTCAGTACGCCAATGTACCTCTTTTGCACCCATTTTGCGTGTGTACGGGTCTAAATCCCTCGCCCAGAACATCTGTGGGTTACGACCGTCGACAATCTGAACAACCAGCTGAGAACGCTCAATGACACGCCAAAGTTGACGCCAGACGTTGAGATTGCGCTCGTAGGGAGTGAGGAGGAGGCTGTCATCGCTCTCAATAAGCAGAGCAAGATCTCTGCGCCAGTTCAAAAAGGATTCTCTCTCGGATTTGTCAAGCTGTGCGGGGGTAGTACTGGTAGACCACTCTGGTCGCTGTGGGAGCTTCAACTGATCTCTGTTCAAATCATGTTTCTTTTTAACTTGAACTTCTTCTTCGTGGGAGAGGAGGAAGGGATTGGCGTGGCCAGCGACTGAAGGGTGCTGGATAACTGTAACATTCTTATTTTTCTCAGCCGTAAACTCAGTCTCAGCCATAGCGGCCGTGTTAAGAAACTCATCCAAATCTTTCTCCTGCGTGATGGAAGAAACGCCGTAGTCAGTGGTGTGCATCTGCGTATCCTTAGGAGGTTCTTTACGCTGGTTATTAATTAGAGCCCTTCCCAGCCCTGGGTTTTTACGATTCCGTGGGAGTGGTTTGCTCATTTGAGTGTTGGTGGTGGGGGTGGAAGAGTGGGATCAATTAAGTCAAGTGAATATCTTCATTGAGTGGATTTTAGATTTAATTTATTTTCTTTAATTTCCCTCTTTATTCTAAACAACCATCATTTAACAAACAAATGAAGCCACTTCCCAAGGCTGCGCTGTTTTGTGCAAAGTGAGTTAATAACAGAATATTCTACATAATCTCATATCACAGCCTTCCTGAGCAACTCGCCGACGACGATCTCAAGCTCCAGCTCAGCCATCTCTTCTCCAAGTACGGCAGAGTGCACCACGTCAAGCTCAATAGGGATCGCCAGAACAGGCTGGGTGCATTTATACAATACCAATTACCTTCCCACGCAGACGTCGCTCTCAACAAATCCAACAAGATATACCTCAAAGACCGTCTCCTTAGGGTGGAGAGAGCACGCGTTAATCGCAGTCTACGCATCTCTCACACCCCACTCGACTCATCAGCCATTCAATCCACTTTCTGTAAACACGGCGACATGGAGTCGTTCCTGATTGGTCCAGCTGTTGGTAGTGTTCCTGAGCAATCAGCCGAGCAAGGTGAATTCATCGTTAGATTTAAATTTAGAGATGATTGTATGGCTGCATGGTTCGCACATCGTCAATCTTCCCTCTTCCACTTGAGTTGGGCTCATGAGCGCAGTCGAGGGGTGCACAGTGGCCATAACACAAACAACACACTTATCAACGATAAAGGCAGCTTTCCTCCGCTGGTTCAGTCGCAGCAACCAAAGCAGATTACCTCACATCACACTGCCTCCGATGACGCAATCAACAGCATCGGCGCACTCGACTTGGCAAGTGCCCCTACCAACAAGGCAATCACGGCGAGCGTGGACGCTACACCGTCTGTATTTCTTGGCGCGCGTTCCGAGTCATTCCCTGAGATGCGCCAGGGGAAGGGAGGAAAAGGGGAGGTGGAGTTGCATTTGCCGGCGGGGCAGGAGAAGCAACAGTCAAAAGAAATTGTTCACCCGCACGACTCACCAAATACGCCGTCCCGCTTTATACCATCCACGCCCCAACTCAGCCCAGACATGAACGAAGCCAACCAATCACTCGAAACGACATCCACACATCCACTTACTCCCCCATCGCAACCATTTTACGACACACGCCCGCCACGCAAATCTTACGGTAGAGGTGGTGCGTTTGAGGGGAGAGGTAGGGGAGGTGGTTTTCGCCGTAACAACACACGCCCGCCTAGACCACACAACCACAACCACAATCAACATGGCAAACGATACTATCTCAATATGAATTATCACGAGGGTGGAGTAGGAGTGGGAGCGTTAGGTGAGTTAGGCTCATCAGCTGCGTATTACTACCCCGGTTATGCCGCGCAGCAACCTAACAATCTCAACCTCAACCTCAATCACACTCAGGCACAAGCTCAGGCTCAGGCTTACTACACGCAGCAATCGCAACACTCACAATCTACACCCGCCTTCATCCCTTACCCAGCTCTTAATCTCAACCTCTGCCAGGCTGTGATGGCCTACCCGTATGTCATGCAGCAGGGACAGCAGGGACAGGGACGAAGAAATAAAATAGGTGAGAGCAACACAGACACGATGGAAATGACCATGGTAGATGGAGGAAGTGGAGGTGTGGGAATTGGTGCTAGTGGGAATGTTGGTGATGTTAATGCAAATGCAAATGCAATTAACGCAGTGCAATCAATACAAACACACGCAGCACACACAGCGCACACAATGAACGCCATTCATCCCATTCATCCCGGTCACACAGTGCACACAATGCAAACACTCATGCCCCCTCTCCGCGCCACTGGGTTCATGACTACCAATGCAGGCCTCGTGCCACTCTACAGCCCGCAGGATCTTGAGAGGTGGAATGAGGGGTTGATTGGGAGCGGTAGTGGGACTTTGGGAAGGACTGTGGGGGATGCTCAATTGCAGCAACATCAGCAGCAGTATTCAGAGCAACCAGAACAGCCACAAGAATCTCTCAAAGATAACGAAAAGAGTGCGGGGAATACAGCGAATCCAAAGAATGCCCATAATGCTGACACCACCACCACTACCCATTACGACCAACACAACCATTCGTATTCGCACTCGCAATCACACTCACACACCGACCACACCAACTCGGCTCTCTCTCTGCAGCCATACCCACTGCTGCAACAGCCGCGTCCGCAACACGTGGTGAATACGAATGTCGGGCTGGGATTGGATACTGCTGGGGTCGGGAGGGCACCCACGGGTAAAAACACAGGAAGTGTTAACCCGCCCCGCTTTTTTGGGGTATCACCTCCAAGCCAGCCGTATCAGGAGTGGGAGGGAGTGAATGCAGATAGTCATACCCATAATCAGCATTCCCATTCACATTCACACCCCTCCGTCAGCACTGCTTACTACGATAATACATCACAACCAGTCCAACACACCCCTCCCCCACCCGGTTTCACGACAGGCCCACCTGGACATACACCGGGTGTGTATGGGCGTGAGAGGTAGTTGGGAATCAAAGGTTGTTGCTGTATTTATCCATACCCAGCAACATGGCATGGCATGATATAATGGTGCCAATCAAGTACCAAGAAAGCTTACGATATCATATAGCATATAGCATATAGCATATAGCATATTGCAACACAGCAACACAGCAAAACAGCAAAACAGCATACAAGACACAAACAGAACTTTATTTGATTTTTTCATCACTTTTACTTGTACACATGAATGTAATGCTATACTTTTGATTGAGACTGAGACTGAGAGTCATCAGCGATATGTGTACTGCGCAAGTGTCTAAAAACCGCGTAAGCTCTAGAGACGTGATTGTGAGTAAATTCCGGAACAAGTGTGTAGCCTTCAAGAGTGAGAAGGGAGTGGATACGTTCGAGCTGTCCGATCATTCCCTGTCTATCGAGTTGGGTGTGTGGGTCAGCGAGGGACAGTGATGCATCAGCCAGCTCCGCTCTGCGACTATCTGACTGATGGAGAGTGTGCAAGGACGCGGAGCAGAGCCCACACTTGCACTCAAACCCGAACGTGTCCTTTAATTTCCGTTTACGCGGCTCACTCGACATAGCTACCAACCCAGGCAAGTACTCTATCGTAACCTCACCCCCACGCGGGATATCGCGCATCGCGTACACCTCCATACGTAGCGTTGACCAGTCCATTGCTTGTGCGCAAGTAGGAAGGCATGAATGGTTGATGCGGCTGATGTGAGGGAAGAGGAAGGAGGCGTGGGTGGGGGGAGTGGGAGTGGGATTGGGATTCTTCTTGTTGTTTCTGTTTCTATCGCCATCACTCACAATCCCACTCCCTTCCCTGCTGCTCACCTGCAATGCGACATCGGGGAGCTGCAATTGAAAACCATTAGCTGAGCGTATAGGTGCGGATTCGTCCGTGTTATCGTGCATCTCAGCGGCTATTGCTGTGTCATCGCTGCGTCTGCTCAAACTGAATAGAGTGGCGCGGGCACTGTCTGTGAGGGCATCCGTCCAGCGACGCAGCTCAACCGCACTCATACCTTCCTCCCACACCAACAGGGGTAATTCAGCTATAAGCAGCTCGCCACGGCGTATATCCCGCCGCGCGCGTACCGCTACGCCCGCGTCGGCTGTGTCGTACAGCTCGAGGGGGCTCTTGTCGCTGTTGAGAATGCTATCGCTGCCGCTGTCGTCATCGTCATTGCTGCTGCCGCTCGCACCTCCCACGCTCCCCAGCACCACGGCGAGGATATAGGGGAGGAGATCGGGGACAATGTGGGGGAGGTGCTCGGTGGCAGTGGGAGCGGCAGCGTGGGAGAACTGGCGGTGTGTGCGCTGTGTGCGCTGTGTATTGGGGGAGGTGCTCGTTGGCAGTGGGAGCGGCATCGTGGGAGAACTGGCGGTGTGTGCGCTGTGTGCGCTGTGTATGCCGCAGCACCGGAACACTGCGCAGTCCACCTCGGAACAAGGACAAGGAGAAGAGCCGGTTCATGGGAGTTGGAGGGGAGGAGGAGATAAGGGAGATAAATGGAGATTAGAGGAGATGAAAACTGGTAGAACGCTACACGAGTATTTACGCTGCCCATCTCTCACCTCCCAACTACCACCACCAACACCTCAATGACACCGGGGAAACCGAGCTATATCTGCGAGATTTGCAACGCTGGATATTCACGGGCGGAGTTTCTGCGCAGGCATAAGAGATCAGTGCGTGGGTGGTGCGAATTACCCCTGAGTTGAATTGGCTTTAACGCACCCCGCCAGACCAGAAAGAGGCGGGTAAAACTTTTCATTGCTTGCATTGCGACAAGTCGTTTGCGAGGAGGTGAGCGTGGTTGTATAGCGTAAAAGCCACTCTCACGCTGCACAGTGACGTACTCAGCCGACATCGGAGAAGGTGTCACACAGAGCAAGGTGGAGGTGGTAGCAGCAGCAAAGCCAGTGCCAGCGCCAGTGCCAGTGATAGTGACATGGACAATACCAGCGATGCTGAATTAGTGCATAAACTGCCAATAAATAGCAGCAACAGCGGCAACGGTGAATTGACGAATCAAATTAATATATTTGATTCGATTGGTAGTTTGATTGGTGCAGATTATAGTGCAGATTATAGTGCAGATTATGGTGCAGATTATGGCGCAAATTATGGTTCAGATTATAACACATACAGCCAACACAACGAATACAATAACACCCTCAATCACCTCCTCAACAACCCAAATCTCGACACACTCGCCCCAGAGAAGGCAATCCGCAGAATTGAATTCCAAGACGTCACCACTGCATCAGGAGCCTCTTACAATCCAACACACAACGACGCAAACGACAGATTTTTCATCCCACAAGAACGTTTCGCTGGCCCTTACAGCATTGCTCACTGGGGCTTGCCACCCCTCAACCACCTTTCTGTTCTGTGCGCAAACGCCCTACAAACTACAAACGTACACCTTCCCCTAATGCACCTCCCCTCCTTCAAGCTATCAGATACAAGTGTATGCGTTGCTTTTGCTTTGTGTAGCACTGGCGGTAACAGTCCTAAACCCTTCAACAAACTGCACTCCTTCGACAACTCCTCCCTCACTGACGCTGAACTCTACTCAAAACCAGGTGCCTCAGCTGCTGAACAGACTGGTATCATTAGAGAGGTCGTCAGGCACGAGAAGCTGGCAATGATTCACGGCAGCTTATCCAACAAGTCAAGTAAAACCTCTCAATCCGATTTCATTGGTTTGATTATGGCTTTGCTCATTTACTACGCCCCTGTTATCTTAGAGGAGGACGCTGCTAGCAGTATTTGGGATGGTATTAATGGTGGTTTTGGTTTTATTTGCGAGGTGCGTTGCTTTTACTTCTGTATAATCATTCTCACTCTCCAAAATAGGCTATGAGATCTTCCGGTCTCCTCCAAACCTCTGCCACATGGCTAAACCCCGAAAAACCCAAGCTCACCTATCTCGGTGAGCGTTCAAAAGCTTCCGTCTACATGGCCTGGAAGAATTGGGTAAAAGATGAGCAAAAACGGAGGGCTATTTTCATCATATACCTTGCTGACCTGCTGGGCGGGATAGCGCAAGGCAAGCCACCTACTTTGCGGGTAGACGAGATGAGTAACGTCCCTCTACCTGCCAACGAAAAGCTGTGGGCTGCACCCACTGCCCAAGCCTGGGCAAGTCTGATAGATGCCTCCACACGCACACCTACGCACGGTGAAATGATGTTCTGTATATTCAACCAACTCGATGACTCCCAATTCAGTCAGGAACTTGGTCCATTTGCGCGCAATATCCTCATTTCTTCCATCCTCAGAGGTCTTTTAGATATAGGTCTCGTCGATGGCGGTAGCGTGGGTAGATGTTATTTACAAGGTCTCGATCAGTCTTCGACCATATTTGCTTTCAGAAACGCTCTTATTGCCTGGAGGAGGGGATACGATTTCGACATACTCTGTCAGAAACAATCTACTTATGAAGATCAAGTGTCGTTTCAGCGACAATCTACTCTCTTCTCAACCAACTCGAAAAGTAACATGGGTAGCCGTAGTAATAGCTATAGTAATAGCAACAGTAATAGCAATAACAGCAACCCAGACTCCACTCACACATCCACATCCACAACCTCGGGTAGTCCTCCAACGAGCTTCGATCCATCACCGACGAAAGACCACTACATGGGCGTCGGCGTTGGCAGTAATGGTACTACAACTACAAATACAACTACACCTACAACTACAACTACACCAATTGAAAATGAGAAAAGACCTCCATTCGTCAGTGAACCACTACCTTTCTTTTGGATGGCGCAGCTGCTGCTCAATATTATATCTCCTGAAACTTCCCTCTTTTTCAACTTTGTCACTCCCCCTCAGCAGACTTGCTACAATGTTCCTAGGTCTGGACGAATTGGGATGCAGGATAAAATAAAGAATATGGATCTCAAAGGTATGCTTATTGCGTCGCGGACATTTGCAAGAATGCAAGAGGGTATGAATAGCGGGAGTGTTGGTGGTAGTGGCAGTGGGAGTGGCAGTGGGAGTTTTGACAGTGTATATTAGAAATGATCACTCGAATCACCTTCCACAACCGCACACATATCTACAACTGTAATTACCCACTAACATACTGCATTAATTTAAGACTCAACATTCTTTCTGCTCGCGACCTCTAAAGCTATATTTTGCATTATTGACGATACGTCCATTCTTCCCACATATACACGCATTGTATTCACTTTATAATACATACCATACACACGCAATCTTTAAACAAATCTCCATGCATTATTTTTAACACCTAAAGATACAGCGACTGACACGAGACAACTGAATTTGGCCTATCGACCAACTCGAGTGCCTTATCAAACTTCTCCTTAAGGTCGTTGTTACCAATAGCATTAGCTGCTGACGACATTTGTCTGAGAAGTTCTTGCAATCTCCTGAAAGCTCTAATGATGGATCCCTCGAACACATCCGTGAGTGTGCATAAATGCGCGAATGACTTGCCTTTACACCACTCCATAACTACGTTCATTAACTCCACCTTAAATGATCGTACGTAGACCTCCTCATCAAATGACAACTTTGATTCCAACGATATCTTGGCTATTCTCCTAGCACCTTCTTGCAGAATATGTAGAGGTGCTTTCAAATCATTGTCGAGTGTCTGATTAGCCTCTGACTTTTCATCAAACACGAAACATGAAAGAACGGCTGCAGATTGTTCGGGTGAGAGTTGATTGAAAACACCATTAAATATCATCTCCGTCAGGAGCAATTCATCCCCAGTACTAATCTCACATGCCACTCTACCCTTCATTTCTATAACATCTGCCTGGGAAGTAAACCCAAGTCTCCTAAGCACTCTTTTGCGACACTTAAGTTCATCCAGCTGTATCACATCTTGCGTAGTCTGTATCCTCTTCTTAGTCTCCTTAACTTTATTGATCAGGTTCAATTTATTCTCATAACTAGCGTATATCCCTTCAAGGCGTTCGTCAGAGTATAGCTTGTTCTCCTTGAGCTTCTTCTCGAGGATTGCTACTCTGTTAATCAACTTGGTAAAGCCTTCATCCTTGATATTCATATTCTCAACAGGGTCGAGCATGGCGACACCTTTCGGGAAACGCTTCTGGACCTCTCGCACACTCTTGTACGCCTGCTCCTTTGCTTGAGCTGGTCTGAGGTCCTTTGGAAGGAATAGTCTGATATGGCTCACACCATCCAACGTCGACAGTAACACTGGCACTACCATAGCTTCACCCTTTTCTCCAGCAGCACATGGTCTGAAAGTGAGAGATTGGTCTGCGTTATTCGAGTTGCGGTCTTTCGGTACACTAGATCCAGCTGCACAATTGAGCAGCACATCTACTATATATGTGTCCTGTGGTTTGGTGTCCACTGGTAGTGGTTTTTTGGCTGGTCCAACTCGCTTGTTGTAATTCACAACAACACCCCAGCCGAAATTCATCTCGTGGTGCTTCACTTTAACTAGTCTACCAGGCTGGAGGAACGGCAGTGCGTAAGTTGGCAGGTTCTGCGCTTGGCGTATATCACTGCTAAAATCTTCCAGTTGCTTTTTGAGGTTGTAGTATTCCGTAATAGCCCCCTCTTCAGGCACGACGAGTTCATCTCGCTGTGCTTCCATCTCCTTTAACTCTTTCTCGAGCTGGGGGACAGACTGCGTTTGTTGGTGCTGGTAGAAACAACGGTTGAGCATATACTCAGGTGAAATACCCTCGACGCGCATTAGATTGAGTATCATGTTATACCCGAGGTGGAACGCCGAATCCAGTCTATCGGCTTCTCCTTTCACCATTCCTTTCGCGTTTGTTGGCTCGAGCTTCTCGTCACACATCATTATAACTATTCCCCTGTCATCAAGCCCTCTTCTACCTGCACGGCCTGACATTTGGATATATTCACCCCCTGTTAAGGTTCTGAAATCCCTGCCGTCAAATTTGCGGACGTTGGTGAATACTACTGTCTTTGCAGGCATATTCAACCCGATAGAGAAAGTCTCAGTTGCGAATAGCACCTGTGTTTGTTGCGTCAGAGAAGCATTTTTCAACTATTCAAACACACCTTCAAAAGACCCTCTTGGAACAGAATTTCAATTGTTTCTTTCAGGATTGGAAGAAGACCACCGTGATGAATACCGATTCCACGCTGTGGTGTGTGATTAGATGTGTGCCTCAAACAAAGACACCCCACTCACTCTCAACAACGGCAATATCTGCTGAATCTGAGGTAAATTCTTATCCTCATCATTGAGATTAGCTATGGCATTGTTGAAGACCTTGCTGACCATATCACGTTCTTGATCACTGTTGAACTCCAATTTCGACATCTGCAACGCAAGGTTTTCACACTCTCTCTTACTAAACGCGAAGACGATAACGGGATTGTAATTCCTCATCATAATCATCTTAACAATCTTGTAAATATCAGACTGATCTTTATTGCCAGCGCCCTTCTTCGCGCCCTTCTTTCCATTCTTACCGCCCTTTGCAGCATCAGCGGGGGCTTCACCGCCGGCATCCATGAGCGCACCCATTGCCTTGACAAAGTTCTCCTCTCTAAACTGACCTTTCTCATCGACGACGAGATGTATGCCCTCTCCGCCAGCCGGGAAGAGGTAGTGCTGCAGAGGAGTGGGTCTGTAGTTGGTGTATACGACGTGCACTGGTTGATTGTGCGTGTGACACACCCACGCAGCGAATTCGTGTGCGTTGGGGATTGTCGCTGATAAGAAAACATATCTGACCTTGTGTGGGAGGAGAATAATAGTCTCTTCCCAGACTACACCTCTCTCTTTGTCACGCATGTAGTGAATCTCGTCGAATATAACCCAGGATACCTCGCGCATTATCTCTGAGCCTCTGTACAGCATTGATCTTAGAATTTCAGTCGTCATGACCAAGCAACTTGCTGAAGGATTGATGGTGACATCACCAGTCATGAGACCGACATCACCAAAGTCTGCCAACATTTCACGATATTTCTGGTTGGAGAGTGCCTGAAATGTGCGTTAGAGCGTCACTCATACCTGAAATTTACACCCACCTTGATTGGAGAGGTGTATACAACTCTCTCGCCTCTCTTCAAACACTGCGCAATGGCATACTCTGCAACAACCGTCTTACCGGCACTAGTGTGAGCTGAGACAAGGACGGACTCGTCTCTCTCTATCGAATTGACCGATACGCGCTGGAATGGATCGAGGGTAAACGGATAAGCTCTTGCGGGTTCTTCGGCGGGTACGTGTTGCGAGATAGGCACATATGGGTAGTTGGGAGGCAGGGCAACCCTATGCCTAACCTGGTGATTGAGGGAGATCTGACCAGCTGCATCACCATCTTCTACACTGCCCGATAAGCCTGCTGCTGCTGCCACTTCACGGGTCGCTTCCGTCTCCACTTCGTCTGCTAATTCTACAGGCACTGGTTCTTGGTTTCTATCGTAAATGTCGTCTGCGTTGGGTTTTTGTGTGTTTGATGCAGCATCCGATGGTGCTACGCCTGGTGCTGCAGCTCCTTCACCTCCTGCTGGCTTAGATACAGATTTGGACTTCTCGTCATCATGGATCTTGGTCTTCTTCGAATCTCCATCGGAGTCTTCTGAGTGGGCTCTTTTGGACGCGCTCGTGCTCAGTTCCACTGGCTCGGATGGGCCATCAAAGACGTCGAACAAGTCTTCTTCCATTTCTAACTGATGGAAGTATGGGATCAAGAGAGAGTGGGGTTTGTAGACGAGAGATGCGGCTGCGTAGGCGTGTATATATCAGAGTCATTCGTGTAAATTCTATTTAAATTGTGCATATCTTGTTTGTCCATGTATAGCTGCTTGTGCGGAGATGAAATAGAGTCGAAGATGCATACAAATCAGCAGACAACAATAATCTCGTAATATATATGTATATGTAATCTCTACTTGTCAAGGACTCCAGCTTATCTGATGTGACGATATCAACGACCTTTCATCACTGGACAGGCTATGAAGCGGGAGCGGAAGTATGGCTGATTTATAGCCTTTAAATCTCACCGCACATCCGCCAGCTACTTTCACGCTCTCTAAAGCTTGCGTGCCTTGTTAAAGATGCGCAGACGCGTCTTCATACCAAATCTAAATGCGAATCGAGAATGAATAACTGGATTTAACTTATCGAAGCGATTCTGCCACCGAGCACACGATCGCAACCACTAACCACAAAGCAGATACAACACATCCAAATGGGATTCCTCAACGCAATCAATTGGCCAAAGAGGTCTGTCAGAGTCTCAGATGTAGCTTCGGAGGAGATCAAGGTGGGAGTTGTCGTGGCGAAATAATCGATTAGTTCTCATATGCTACCTGGCAGGCCATGGGTCGCTCTCCATCTAGTCTTTCTAGCCGGTCCAACAGTATCACTCCAAATCCGACAGCGATTAGTCCCGCTCCATACTCTGCCTCACCCGATCCTGTGAGCAGGTTGCTAGAGGCATCGGACTACTCTAAACATACTATGTAGGAATGGTGGAGCATCGATCACACCTCCGCGGAAGATGACGATGACATGCATGATCCCGGTGTAAGTGCGGGGAAATCAACGCGCGTGTACCTGCTGACACGCTCAAAAGACAGCTAGGTGCGCTGTACGGATAAACACTCAGACACCATCTAACACCCAAATCAACAGAAAATTAGACAGATCGGGCCATGCGTTTACTCTCAGAGGTATAATGAACCTCGGCTGCGTTTCCCTCATTACAGCTGCACTGTTGATGTTGTTGTGAGTTTGCTTCTCTACAAGATAGTAAAACCTCACCAGCGACAACAGCGCTGGTTACCCACTCCTAGAAGCTTTCAGAAAGCGAGATCCTGAGCAAGGCGGCTCTTACGGCTTAGGCGGAGTCAATGCTACCGGACAGATTCCCGAATTCGCTATCAATTTCGGCATGATAGACTCCGACACCCCCCAATCAGCACATCGTCGCACGAGCTTCGATGGAAAGCCGCAGGTTTTGGTGTTTTCTGATGAGTTCAACGTAGACGGCCGTACATTTTATCCAGGCGAAGACCCATACTGGGAAGCCGTCGATCTGCACTACTGGGGCACGAACAACTTGGAATGGTATTCTCCAAAGCAGATCACAACCACAGAGGGCAAGCTCGCAATTACTTTGGATGAGAGAGAGACACACGATCTGGATTATGCGGGTGGTATGATAACATCGTGGAACAAGTTCTGTTACTCAAACAACGCGTATTTGGTAGCTAGTATTGCTTTGCCTGGTACAAGCGATGTCTGGGGGCTTTGGCCGGCATTTTGGACCATGGGGGTGAGTAGTAAGATTTTCACGACGCACGTTGCTAAGGTATTTGCAGAATCTCGGCAGAGCCGCGTACGGTGCTTCTCTCGAGGGTCTTTGGCCATACTCATATGACACGTGCGACGTCGGCACCGTCGCTAACCAGACATACGACGGTGTACCCGCTACTGTCGCTAATAAAGAAGTCGGTAGCAAGTACCACGAAGGTGCGCTTTCTTTCCTTCCCGGGCAGCGTCTGTCAAGATGCACTTGTCCAGGCGAGTATCATCCTGGTCCTATAGACAGCAAGACAGGGGAGTTTGTCGGCAGGGCTGCTCCTGAGATTGATGTGTTTGAAGCACAGGTTGAAATAGCGTCAAGAACAGGACAAGTTTCGCAGAGTGCGCAGTGGGCACCTTTCAATGCTAACTATGAGTTTATTGATAAACAAGGCACAACGTACGAATTCCACAACGATGAGGCTGAAATAAATGTTTACCTCGGCGGTGTTTTCCAACAAGCTACTTCGAGTCTGGCAACGACAAATCAGGCTTGTTACAGTGGAGAAAATCCTACACCTAACGGCAGCTGCTTTTCCGAATACGGCGTAGAATTTTCAGGCGGACCTGACGGACACGTGGTGAGTACCTTCCAAGTCATATGACTGTATTCTTAGTCAGTGTAGACATGGGCATCAGATGGAGAGGAGACTTGGACTTTGTTTGGGAGCGCAATGGGAGCTGACCCTGTGTCTCAGATAGGACAGCGACCAATCAGCGAAGAACCAATGTATATCATCCTCAATCTCGGTATTTCAAAGAACTTTGGTGATGTCGACTTTGAGGAGCTCGTTTTCCCAGCGATCATGTACGTGGATTGGGTGAGGGTGTATCAGCCAGAAGGAGAGGTAAACGTGGGCTGCGACCCGAAGAATCGACCAACTGCAGATTACATAGAGCACTTCAAAGAGGCCTATCAGAAGTGAGTGAGATATTCCAAATTGAGCGCTTTTAATAAAAATGAAACAGTCCAAATATGACGACATTTGTCGACGACTATGGTAAACAATTCCCAAAGAATAGCTTCCTAGGAGAATGCTAAATTGTAGAATACTTAATTTCATTAATATTTTCATATTTTATATTTAGGCCGTAAATCTGTGGATATCTTTGTCGCGCTAATTGCTCTCCCTTCAGTCACACACGTTCATGATCGCCAACATTTTCAAGAACATAAAACGAGAAGACAACTCAACCAGTGGCAGCGGTTCAATACAAGAGAAATCAAGCGCAGACGACGACGACTTGAAACCGCCGAGTCGTTTCATCGATTCGCCTTTTCGCAGACCGCTAACGTTTCACGCGTTCGTAACCCCGCCATATCCTTTAGCACCATCTCCGGGGTTTATCATGAGCATTAGAAACGCTGTCTGCTACAGCTGGCTCAACCTTCTTCTCCTGTCTGCCCCGATCAGTTGGGCACTGCATCAAGTACATATATCAGACATTGGCACTTTTGTGACTTCAATCCTCGGAGTCGTTCCTTTGGCTGCTTTGCTCTCTTTTGCCACCGAAGAAGTCGCACTTCGAACTTCAGTGCCACTCGGTGGTTTACTCAACGCTACATTAGGCAATCTGGTGGAAATAATCATTGCGATTCTAGCTTTGGTAAGATGTGAAATAAGCATTGTTCAGTCTTCGTTATTGGGTGGTCTCCTCTCCAATATCCTTCTCGTTCTCGGAATGTCTTTCCTGGCCGGTGGGATAAAATTTAGTCAACAGTCATTCAAACAACTCCCGGCCTCGATAAATACGAGTCTTTTGATGCTCTCAGTAATGTCTCTGATGGTTCCTCTTGCGTTCCATACCATCCTCGGTGATAAATTTCCAGATGACCCTGATTCTGAACAAACTTTCATCTTGCAAATGTCTCGAGGTACTTCTGTTATTCTCATTGTTATCTACTTATGCTACATGGCATTTGTGTTCTATACCCATCAAGAAGAGTTTCTGGATACCATTGACGATGATGAAGATGTTCCACTAAATCCAAAATCTTCAGCGAACCAAACTAATTCATCAAAAGCAGATATACACGCAAACTTACAAGCAAACGCAAATTCTAACGCAAATAAACAAGAGCAACCCCAAGACTATTCCCGCTCAACATCTATTTCAGACGACCTTGAAGCTGGCTTCAAAAGACCGCAACTTAAAAGAGCACGTACTGCGCCTATCATTGCTACCCCTTTGGCGACCTCAACATCTAATTATTTCTCTTCTACACAAAGCGATACTCCGCGCTCATTCAGTAAGCGTCAGGTAGAACAGCCGAGATTGAATGTATGGACGAGTATAGCTATTCTCGTTATCACTACCATACTGCTCTACTTCACATGCGAGGCTCTCGTAGACTCGATACAGGGCATATCTGAAAACACTAGCGCGTCCAAGGAGTGGATTTCGCTCATTATTTTGCCTATTGTCGGCAACGCCGCGGAGCACGCTACAGCTGTCATCGCTGCAGCTAAAGGTAAACAAGAGCTGGCTTTGGCAGTGGCTTTAGGATCTACTGTACAGATAGCAATATGTGGGTGTCTTTGCAATTTTAAGTAGTCTGACTAACAAATCAAACAGTCGTTATTCCACTCGTCGTCCTTCTTTCTTGGATTATTTCCAAACCACTTACTCTGGTGTTCGAGCCTATGGAAACTATGACTCTCTTCCTCTCCGTCCTCCTCGCCAGGTTCGCTATTGAGGATGGAAGAAGTCACTGGCTTAGCGGATGCGTACTTTTCGGAAGTTACTTTATTATCGCTTTGGTGTTTTGGTATTTCCCCAAGCAAGACACTTTTGAGCTTATTAGATGTGTTGCTTGAGGAGTGTTTAGCGCAGATTCAAACGCATTTAAATGCACTGCTATGATTCTCTTTTACGAACGAAACGAAAAGATTACAATAATGAAATGAAATGTAAATTTAACTAGTTCTTCGTCAGTCGCAAGATTTTCTTGACTTCTTTAACTTCTTCCAACGCGTCTGACTTGCTTTAAGGTCAGTCATAGTCTTGTTCTCGTTGTCGTTCTAGCTTTCGCTTTGTTATACATATCTCTCGTATAATACATATAATATTTAGAAACTTTCATACAACTTTGTTACTACAGATTATTACTTTCGTGGCGCGATAAAGCGTCGAATTAACAATGACTCAACTGTCTAGTAATGGTTGCCGCTCCCCGCTTGTGTTCTGGGGCTTGTCTTTGTACATTTGAACTTGGAGAAGAATAATGACATCAAAAACGATGGTACCGACTGATCCGATCAGGAAGCTATTAGTTGCGTATAAGACTAAAAATGACGACAAAAAGTTTACTCACGGTAACGATTCAAGCAAATATTTCATGGCTTGAGGATGGGACTGCTGAAATCGTGGCGATGACAGTATCGACATGGTATAAAAAGAGTTTCCCAACAAAGCGAACAAGAAGAGGAAGACAGAAAGACCCTCAACAGATTTACGTTGATAATTATAGTAAATCTGCGGCATCCTGCTGCTCAAGTAGAACGTTACACAAGCCCACGACGACAGCTTGCCAATGATGATGGCGAGGTCGTCACTAACGAGACCTTTTGCTGAGATAGACGGGAGAGGAAGGGTGGGTGCAGCGCCGACACCTACCGTTAATCCGAGCGCGACCAGACTGGCAAAGGTGCGACTCCTGCTGTTTTCCGCTCTTCTTACTGAGTGCGTCTGTGACCTCCGTGATCGTTTCAGCGTTACTGGCGGCTTCACACTCGCGCTGCGATCAGACACCCGGTTAATGGAAAGTGAGACAGTCTGCCTGTGCGTAATCATCCTCGTCGTCGACCTGCCTCTATCGTCCTGGTAATTGCGATACTGGAGATATTGCCCAGTGAGCGCCAAATCGACCAAGATGAACCATAATGATAAAGCGACTTGGAATGGCAGCTGATTCGTATATATACATCCCAGGAGGTTGAGAAGATCTCCTATGAGCCATGTTATGATGAATTCCACGCTCAGCCCTTCTATCGTCTTCAGTTTGTGGTTTTTGTACACTTGTGGGAGCTGAGCGCATAACCAGCTCAGGACACTTAGGTATCCAAATATTTCGCTATGGGAGTTCATGCTTGTGATAAACAGCGTTGTTTCTTTTCTTTCTTCGTAAAATACCCTTGGTCGTTCACTAATGAAGATCATAGATAAGGTTGTTGCGGAGTCATATCAATGACGTGAGAGTGTAGATTGCGCAGGTAACTTTAGCCTATCAAGGCTTGTTTCTCTAACAATTCTCCTCTCGTCTTGCTCCACGAGCGCAGTCATGTGCACAATGCCCTTCTCGGCAGGATGGACCGGCTATCTATGAATGAATACGAGAATGGAATTTATTTCTTGCAAAAGTTTCAGAATATCCCATTGGTCTGAATGTTTCTCGCAAGGAGATAACTACTAGCATCTATTTTCTAAACTCGCCTCAGCTTTAACATCAGGCGGACGTCTCTTTCAGCAAGAAAACTTTAGGAGATGCTGACACGAACTTGATTCGGAAGATAATGAATCTTTCAGACTCCAACCTATGACGTCGCCCCATATCTCCGGAGATCTCCGATCAAAAAGTGTAAGCTTTATTTGTTACACAGGACACAGAAATGTCATGTTCAACTTAGTACAATGGTGAGGTCGGATAGTGGTTATTCCGTTGATTTCAAGCAAAGAGCTTTCCAATTAGATTGGGACTGTCAATGCTTTATGCATCCTGGGTTCGAATCCCAGTCTCACCATCCTTTTGCTTTTCTTTTGGCATCATCTATTTTTGATTTCTCCAACCCTGATCCATGACTGTTTAGGTAGATTTTATTCGACGGTGTAATTCGTTGATGGGGAGAAGTTGGTAAGGAAGAGCGTGAATATTTATATCTACACAACTTTAACGAAGAGAGTTAGAGATCATCCCGTTTTCTTTCTTACAAAGGGGTATTGCGATTATTTGATGGTAATTTAAAGCTTTTATCTTACCATAAATCACAAATTTGCTTCAAGATGCGCTTTTTACTGCTAAAGATTTGATGATTAAAGTGTCTTTGCCAAACCTCAATTAGGGGAGAGAAGGATGTAAGTGCACTAAAGTGAGAAGCGAGTTGGGGTTGCGAGTATGATTGATATTTAAAACGGGTGATTGAATGGCAGCTGAGTGTGATTTTCAAGGGAGATGTCAACAGGAGTATCATGTGATTACAGCATAATATGCTTGCATCAACAGGGGATGTAGTCTAGTGGTTATGGCGCTTTCTTAGCATGGAAGAGGTCCCCGGTTCAATTCCGGGCATCTCCAATGACTCTGATCATTTCAGAGTATCTTTTTGCATATTTTAGCAATCCACACTTAATTTTATTCAACTCATCAATCATGCTTTAGTGTGCTTTAATATTTTGTGTTTTCATAATATTAACCAGTTTTGTTATTATTATCCCCTTATCTTCTCTCACATACAAATGTAAAATTCGGTGTGGAAGGGTTGTCGACTTGAAATGACACAATCTGTTCCAAAATCTACATTGTATCGTGCCCCACCGTCAACTTTTTCTTATGAGTTCTTTTTCGTATGCATTTTGCTGTATTATTAACACGTTGTGCATGTTGAATTCACAGTCTCACAAGTTTAAACACATCAAAGACAAAGTTCTACAATGGATAAAATGATTAATAACAAAAAGAAAACATGACTAATTTACTCGATCAACTGTCTAAATCTCTCTTGAATTTCCTGTGACTAGTGGTTAGCTAATGCTTATCTTTAAAAAATACATCAACTCACGGTATTAAGTTGATCAAACTTGCCGGTAATATCCTCTTTACCTTGAGATGGTGACTCAAATTTCATTTGAGAGAGTTTAAACATAACATCGGAGACACCGTCTTTGATATTGTTATAAGTAAGATCACCTTCGACGATTGCATTTTGTGCGGCTTCATTGAAAGCAATAAAATTGTCAAGCATACCAGCTGTTTTGTAGAAAGGACAGAAGCGATCGTATTCACTCATACCGTTTTGTTGTAAAAAGTCATCTTTCAACATTCTAGCCAATTCAAGTGTAACCTTGTCATTCTCACCCAAGGCACTCTTACCGACCAACTGAACGATTTCTGCCAAATCCTCCTCCTTTTGTAAGATAGATTTAGCTTTTGAACGTAAATCTATGAAACCAGGTGCATTATCTTCGTAGTATGGTTCAAGAACGTTGGTGTATTTTGAGTAGGATACGTTCCAGTTAACAGAGGGGAAATGTTTTCTCTGTGCGAGCTTCTTGTCCAAACCCCAGAACACTTGTACGATACCAAGGGTAGATGATGTAACAGGATCAGAGAAATCACCACCTGGCGGAGAGACAGCACCGACGATAGAAACTGACCCTTCTCTGTTTGGTGATCCAAGAGTACTGACACGACCAGCTCTCTCATAGAAGGAAGCCAATTTACCACCGAGGTAAGCAGGGTAACCGCTGGAATTGTGGTGAGTATATAACCCCATTATCATCAATAAAGACAACTCACGAGTCAGCAGGCATTTCAGCTAATCTACCTGAAATTTCACGCAACGCTTCAGCCCAGCGAGAAGTAGAGTCAGCCATCATTGCAACGTTTTTACCTTGATCTCTAAAGTATTCAGAGATGGTGATACCCGTGTAAATGGAAGCTTCACGAGCTGCGACGGGCATGTTGGAGGTGTTAGCGACGAGTGAAGTACGTTTCATGATTGGCTCTTCACGACCGTTGACTTCGATAGTGAGTTCAGGGAATTCGAGCAGGACTTCAGCCATCTCGTTACCGCGCTCACCACAACCGACGTATACGATGATGTCTGAGTTGGAGAACTTGGACAGAGCTTGTGAAATGACAGTCTTGCCACAACCAAAAGCACCGGGAATGGCAGTTGTACCACCTTGAACACATGGGAAGAGAGAGTCGAGAATACGTTGACCGGTGAGAAGGGGGTTGTTCGCAGTGAGTTTCTCGGTGACTGGACGTGGAGCTCTGACTGGCCAGAGTTGTGCCATGGTGTGGTTGGATTTCTTGCCCTCGAATTCAGTTTCGAGGACGACGTCGTCGACGTTATATGCGCCCTTCTCAGCGATATGAGTGACAGTACCGAGTGAACGTGGACCAAGCATCATCTTGTGGTCGTTGAGCAGAGAGTTTTCGTAAACACTGCCGTAAATATCACCGCCAGACAAGTGATCACCGACAGAGACAGATGGATTGAAGTCCCATTGAACACCGCGGTCGAGAGCATCGGTGTTTATACCACGTGGGATATAAATGGATTGAGATTTCTCCCTAATGCCCTTTAAAGGTCTCTGAATACCGTCATAGATGTTGGACATTAATCCAGGGCCAAGCTCTACAGATAAAGGCTTTCCAGTGCGGAGGACAGGATCACCAACTGTCAAACCGGAAGTCTCCTCATAAATCTGAGCAATAGCCAATCTGCCTTCAATTCTAATAACTTCACCAATAAGTTCGTCATGACCGACTCTAATCAGTTCGTACATAGCCACGCCATCGAGTCCTTGTGCGATGACGACGGGACCAGAAACGCCATAAACGGATCCGAGATTTGATTCGCGTTCCTCATCTTTAATTTTATTTAAATCTCTGCTCATGGCTGTTTAGGTTTAAGTTATACGCTCATGCCGAAAACGCAGTCAATACATTACCCGCTTTCTGGGTTATTTGCTGTGAATAAACCATCTGGTCCAACTTCTATGGCCCTTTTAGATTCTATCAAGCCGCTCTTTGGTTACTCGCAGCTGTTCAAGCCTTCAGAAGACGCTCCACCGCCACTGCCATCTGACAAGAAAAAGAAGGGCAATAAGTGGCGCAAGAGTAAAGGTGGCGGTGGACGTGGTATCGGTGGATTCGCCGTCAAAGTTGGTCAGGGTGGTACGCTTGACCCACTCGCTGACGGTGTGCTTGTCGTTGGTTTGAATAAGGGTACTAAGAAGCTAGCGGATCTGTTGAATTGCTCTAAGGAATACACTGCTATTGGATTGCTGGGATGCGAGACAGACTCGTACGACTCTAAAGGTGCCGTCGTATCTAAATCACCGTGGCAGCATATTACAAAAGCCGACATTGAGAAAGCTCTGGAAGGCTTTAGAGGTGAAATTGATCAGCTGCCGCCGATGTGAGTGATCCTCTCACGCGATTCTTCTGCTTAGCCTGTCGATTTAAGATTCTCGGCTATCAAAATTGAAGGAAAGAGGTTGTTCGAGTATGCTAGAGCAGGTGAAGTACCACCAAAGCCAGTTGAGAGCAGAAAATGCACCATACATTCGCTCACTCTTGAAGATTTTATCCCTGGAGACAAACACAGTTTCATATACCCAACAAATGAATTGAGCCATGAAGATAAGGTGGCTGCACAGAAAGCACAAGAGTTCGTAAGCCACAGTGACGATCAGAGTGTAGAAAAGAGTGATAGTAATAGCCAACTGAATGAAGACAAAAGTGATGAAGAGAAGATAGACAACGCTCTACGTGCAGAAACAACAGAAGGACCAAAAGCTTTCAAATTGCGTATGACAGTATCAGGAGGTACATATGTCAGATCGATTGTTCACGATCTCGGTAAAGCACTCGGATCATCAGCTCACGTCGTTGAGCTGACGAGAACGCGACAAGGGGAGTTTGCACTCCCTCAAGCTTCGATGGAAGATGGTGGTTTGTCCACTGGTAAGAATGTGATTGATTGGAGTGTGTTTGAAAAGGCATTGGCAGAGAAGACCGACGAATACAAGGAGGGTGAACTTGCAGAATGGGAGCAAAGGCTCATTAGCGTGATAAAAACTGATATATAGATAAGCGGATATCAATACATTAAATCCATTCAAATGCACGGACGAAATGAACTTCTTTCCTCGATGAGCACATTCAGCGGCTTGAATAGTCTACTTGGTGGTAGGGTTTTGAGATCTTCCCAGTCGATCCAGGACCAACCCTCGCATTTTTCTGGTTCAGCGTTTAAAGGCACGAGAGGTGTTTCAGTTGCTTGCTTTGCAATCATGAAGATGGTGACGTAATGCTCTGACTCGGTGAGGCTTCCTACGGTGGTTCCGAGTTTCCAATGGGAAATTGAAGAAGGTTTAAGAGAAGTTTCCTCCTCAACTTCGCGCGCGGCACACTGATCGGGAGTAAGCGGGAAAAAGACAGGAACGGGGAAGAACAACCTGCTCAAATGATTCGCCGTACTCGAGGTGACCACCAGGGAGTGCTGTTGGGTGTGTGAGATGAGAAATAGACGGTGTGTGTGGATATACCGAGTGTTCCATGGCCAATTGAATTGATCCTCTTACCGATAAGAATCTGATTGTGTTGATTGAGTAGAAAGCATCCGATACCAACTTTGATCATAGTGGATGATGGCTGTTGTATTCACACCGCCATGTCACTCAGAGTCCTAATCCTCGGTAACGGTGGAAGAGAGCACACACTGGCGTACACGCTTGCTCAGTCAAAGCTAGTAGAATCTATCGTCGTTGCTCCAGGTAACGGTGGCACTGCGGATATCACAAAATGTAAAAACTTTGAATGCGGACATTCACCCAAGGATTTCAATAATTTGGTTAAATTTGCAATTGAGAATAATGTGGGTTGTGTTCAAACCCTCAAATTCCTTATCTGATTTATATCCGTAGATTAATCTGGTCATACCGGGTCCTGAGCAGCCCTTAGTCGACGGCGTTGAGGGTTATTTCAGGAAAGGCAGGTGTATTTTTCCTATCAACGCCTATCTAATTCCCTCCCAGCTGGTATCAGCGTCTTCGGTCCTTCACAAGCAGCTGCCCAATGCGAAGGCAGTAAGACATTTTCAAAGGATTTCATGGCTAGACACAACATTCCAACTGCGGCTTTCAAGAATTTTGACAAGTCTCAATCCGCTCCAGCCAAGGAGTACGTTCATCAGTCTTACTCAAACGGTATTAGCCTTGTCGTGAAGGCAGACGGTCTTGCTGGTGGTAAAGGCGTTATTATCCCTCAATCTGAACAAGAATGTATCAATGAGGTTGAAAATGTTCTTGAAAAGAATCAATTCGGATCTGCTGGCTCTTCTCTCGTTCTCGAACAACTCCTCACCGGTCCAGAGCTCTCTGTTCTTGCTTTCACTGATGGTTATACCGTACACGCCCTTCCTGCAGCACAGGATCACAAACGTATCGGTGAAGGTGACACTGGTGGAAATACTGGCGGAATGGGTGCATACACTCCTGCCCCTGCCGAAACTCCTCAAGTGCGCAAAGAATGCCTCAATATTATTCAAAACACCGTCACTGGCATGCGCAAAGATGGTTTTCCAATGGTCGGAATGCTCTTCACTGGTTTCATGCTCGACCCAACTGGTGTCAAAGTACTCGAGTATAATGTCAGATTCGGTGATCCAGAAACACAAGCACTTTTGCGTCTTCTCTCACCAGAATCTGATCTCGCTGAGATTATGAAAGCTTGTGTTGACCGCCGCCTCGACTGTGTTAAGTTTTCCCTCAGAGAAGGTGAGCATGCCGTAAGTGTCGTGCTCGCTTCCGGTGGTTATCCCGGCAAATACCCTACTGGCGTGCCAATCAAAATTAATCAGCTTCCACAAGACGTCGTCGCGTATCATGCCGGCACTGCAATTAAAGACGGTCAACTTGTAACCGCAGGTGGTAGAGTTCTCGCTGTATCTGCATTTGCCTCAACGCTGCATGAAGCCCTCGAAAAAGCTTACAAAGGTGTAGATGCTATTCAATTCGAAGGAAAGACATATAGAAAAGATATTGCTCATAGAGCACTCAACGTTACGAGCGAAGAGGGCATGACTTACGCTCAGGCTGGTGTCTCTATTGAAGAGGGTAACAGACTCGTAGATCTCATCAAACCAACCGTCAAAGCTACAAAGAGATCAGGAGCTGATGCTGATATCGGTGGATTCGGTGGTGCTTTCGACCTCAAAGCTGCCGGTTTTAAAGACCCTATATTAGTTTGCGCAACAGATGGTGTTGGCACCAAGATTAAGATTGCCCATAATACCAAGATCCATGATAGTGTTGGTAGGTGTTGATGTATTTTCGAGTTACCAACTAATGCTACACAAGGAATTGACCTCGTTGCTATGTCAGTCAACGACCTTATCGTCCAAGGTGCTGAACCGCTCTTATTCCTCGACTACTACGCCTGCTCCAAGTTGCAAGTCGATGACGCAGCCGCTGTCATCAAGGGTATCGCAGAAGGGTGTAGGCAGGCAAACTGTGCTCTGATTGGTGGTGAAACCGCTGAAATGCCGAACATCTACTCTGACGGTGAGCAGGGTACTAATCGCGACGCCACTTACTTACCCACAATAGATGACTACGATCTCGCTGGATTTGCAGTCGGTGCTGTCGAACGTGGTGAAATACTCCCAAAGAACAATATCAAGGCTGGTGACGTACTCGTTGGTGTCTCCTCATCGGGTATACACTCAAATGGATATTCGCTCGTCCACAAGATCATTGCCCGTGTTTATGGAAACGACGTAGATTACCGCTGCGTAAAGGCTCCATGGAGCGAGCGCGAGGGCTCTTTAGCGGAAGAACTCCTCACCCCGACTAAGATCTACGTAAAGTCAACCCTCCCTGTTATCAGACAGGGATTAGTCAAGGGTATGAGTCACATTACCGGTGGAGGCTTCACCGACAACATCCCTCGCGTACTACCAAAAGGCCTTGGCGCTGTCGTGGACGCTAGCAAATGGAAACGTCCAGCTATCTTTGACTGGCTTCAACAAAGCGGTCGTGTCGCTTCGAGTGAGATGTCTCGCACATTCAACAACGGTATTGGAATGGTATTGGTAGTCGATGCACAAGATGCCGATAACGTTGTCAAGGAAATCAAAAAGACTGGTGAAAATGATGTACACGTCATTGGTGATGTCGTACAAGGTTCAGAAACGAGCGTTGTGAATGTACAAGGATGGGAGAATGCCTAATATTGCTGTCTAAATAGTTCTTTCTATGGTTTTTGTTTGTTGTTGCATTTCCTGTTATAATTATATCTTGAGTGGTGGGGTGAGCGAAGGATAAACGGCGTTGCCAGTGCATTTGACTCTGCCGTTGGTGCTTGATAGGAGATGAAACGTACTGTCAATGGTATTGAGATGGATTTCAAATTCGTCTGCTTGAGCGTGTTTCTTATGAAGGTACATTCTCTCGCTATCTGAATATCCGACGAAGGCTCCTCCATCAACTTCTCTTGTGCGCATTTTGAATTTCCCGTCTTTTGTATTCAGTATTTCGAACGAGAGATACGAGCCGAACGAACTTGGCGCAAGAAGGCGCTCTGTGTTGGTTATCAGTCCTGCTTCCGTACAGAGAACGAATTTGTAGAAATTGGGCAGGACTATTTGTGCAGTGGTCATGATTGTTTGGGTGGAAGAATTTGCAATTTGCTTCGCCGCTCGCCAGCCAATGCGAGGAACAAACCAATTCTTGTTTGTGTGGCCGTGCAGCAGATAACATGATAACGTGATCGAGATGAAATAGTGTCTTATTCTACTCACATCGTAAGTAGTGAATTATCCCTTCATTCATCCTCATCTGCTCGCCCCCCATACAAGCGATCGGGGTTGTCGGATAAAACGCAAATTTTAAGGATGAGGTGTCACAATCAGAGCAAGCTTTCTTTTCTTTTCTTCTCTTTTCGTGCATCGCTTATACTCATGCGCTTGTCGTCTTGAAGCTGCTTTTCTTCATCTTGGCACGGAAGAGTGAAGTCTTCTCGCAGTTCGTCTGGAGGTCTTCTCTAGCGGTTGCAACAATTTGCGGAAAAACTCGATATCTCAGATTGGTGCTGTGGTGCCTTCTCGCATTCAAAACCAAACGATTCGAATTCCTTGCTGGAGTAAATTGTGTGTGCGTCTCGTTTCAGTCAAGACGGACGTGGTATTTCTGAAAACATTCAAAAGTCCATTAGCATTGAGTGAATTTTTCATTAATTTCATTGCAAGAGCAAAATATTGTCAACATTTTGACAAAATTAAACTCCCTGTCTGGGAGTTGAACCCAGCTCTCCCGCGTGACAAGCGGGCGTACTAACCGATATACTAACAAGGATTGATGATTTTCTTAACGCATGTTAGAATATATCTCGTCATTAGCTTGTGCGATAAAGTAGCGTTTTTGGCCCGAGCCTGCTTCTGGCGGTTTTAGATATTAAAATCTATCAATAAAAATGCTTCGAGCTTATTTTGGCCTTCATTAGACTGAGATTGGATCAATTGTATACATTGACAGCTTCAGGGTGTTCTCAGGGATATCGTAAATACTGCCAAGTCTTACCAATTCCGATTTAAACTGTCCGACTCATCATTTTGCAGTAAGTGCAATGTAGACAGTATCACACACAGGATTTTCATATGTAGGAAGTTCGATCAAGCAAGATTATCGTTGAGGAGGAGGATATATGGATTGGGGTTAAGGTTCGAGATGAAATATATGCTTTCAAATGAAGAAGCTCTCAAAGCCCCTCTACGACTTCTTCAAAAACCAGCTCAGCACCCACCCGCGCGCCTCCGGTAGCTCCACGTATTTACCTCCTAATTTACGGCACACGTGCCAAGAAGCGCATCCGTTTGAATCACTACAATCACCAGCTTTCAATGCACAAGAAGTATAGATAGGCGAAAATTATTAATCGTTGTAACGCTTTTGACTATATGTTTTGACTTCTATCTATATATATCATAACACAACAACCTTAAGACGAGTCTCGTTTATATAATAGTAGCAGAAAGGTCTATGCTCTTGATGACAAACGACCACCAGCTATGGAAATATTGCCATACGAGTTGATTGTAAAGTTACTCATTTATCTCCCCCAGGAGACATTCTGCGCACTCAGGCTCACATCAAGTTATATCAACTCAGTCGCCATCTCCGTGCTGTACAGATCCCTTGCCATACCCAAGCGATATTTGGGAGATCTTGACTCGTTTTACCTGATAAAGTTCAACGACTGTATCCTGGGAGCCCATCTGCTGCACACTACATGCACCTCCTCTGAACAAGAGATATAGAGTTAAAGATAAACCTTCTGCAGATTGAAATAAACACCACCGCAGCTTATACTAGACATCTTTGGAATATCATATTACCTCAACCGAGATATTTGCGCCATTTGGCGGTCACTCTCGTCGATGTGATTGAATAAGCAGGTCAACGTTTTTCTGGGAGTACTAGCCATCATGTGACACAGTCAACAAGCTCACACTGCACTTGAATTCGCTGGAAGATACCGCTGTGGCCAACTTCCCTTCTAGACATCCCAAACAGCTCCTTTATAATGCAGGTTCTTTTGCTTTACTTTGTAAACACTCCATAACCGCACATGGAAGAAAGCAACAATCTTACGCTACAAAGGCTGAAAAGCTCGTCCATCAATCGCGTTTAAGTTGTCTTTGACGCCGATCAGCTGTCTGAATTTGAGAGCATTGAATGTTAGTTTTCTGACATTACTTATCCCCGGCCTTGCAATTATAACGAAGATGATAGAAGCTTCAAAGGTTTCTCGAGCAGGGCTGAAGTTAAGCAGGATATTTGAACATTATTCAATACTGAATCGTTTTAAGCAGATGGTTACTAATATTCATTTCAAATTACTAAGGATGTGTTTAAACTTGTGAGACTGTGAATTCAACATGCACAACGTGTTAATAATACAGCAAAATGCATACGAAAAAGAACTCATAAGAAAAAGTTGACGGTGGGGCACGATACAATGTAGATTTTGGAACAGATTGTGTCATTTCAAGTCGACAACCCTTCCACACCGAATTTTACATTTGTATGTGAGAGAAGATAAGGGGATAATAATAACAAAACTGGTTAATATTATGAAAACACAAAATATTAAAGCACACTAAAGCATGATTGATGAGTTGAATAAAATTAAGTGTGGATTGCTAAAATATGCAAAAAGATACTCTGAAATGATCAGAGTCATTGGAGATGCCCGGAATTGAACCGGGGACCTCTTCCATGCTAAGAAAGCGCCATAACCACTAGACTACATCCCCTGTTGATGCAAGCATATTATGCTGTAATCACATGATACTCCTGTTGACATCTCCCTTGAAAATCACACTCAGCTGCCATTCAATCACCCGTTTTAAATATCAATCATACTCGCAACCCCAACTCGCTTCTCACTTTAGTGCACTTACATCCTTCTCTCCCCTAATTGAGGTTTGGCAAAGACACTTTAATCATCAAATCTTTAGCAGTAAAAAGCGCATCTTGAAGCAAATTTGTGATTTATGGTAAGATAAAAGCTTTAAATTACCATCAAATAATCGCAATACCCCTTTGTAAGAAAGAAAACGGGATGATCTCTAACTCTCTTCGTTAAAGTTGTGTAGATATAAATATTCACGCTCTTCCTTACCAACTTCTCCCCATCAACGAATTACACCGTCGAATAAAATCTACCTAAACAGTCATGGATCAGGGTTGGAGAAATCAAAAATAGATGATGCCAAAAGAAAAGCAAAAGGATGGTGAGACTGGGATTCGAACCCAGGATGCATAAAGCATTGACAGTCCCAATCTAATTGGAAAGCTCTTTGCTTGAAATCAACGGAATAACCACTATCCGACCTCACCATTGTACTAACATGAGTTAGTATCATGTCTTGAACTAAATACATATAATTGGTATTGTTGCAAGCTAATTAAAATTCATCAATAATATAGCTTTCAGCATAGATTTCGGTAAATCTTAAGCTGCTTGATGGTTTTCAAGTCTCAATACTACATTTCAGCTCTCTCACCTTACACTCGTCTTTTACGCCGCAATGACGGAGGCTTTTAGGACTCAATAATATCCTAGAGAGACATCTAAAGTTCTTTCTAGCTCTCGAGCCATCGAAACACAACCGTGGGGGATTCGCGGATTGAGACAGAAGTCCATAAGGGGGGCAGGAGAACCTCACGAGTGCTTGGGAAGATAATTCAAAGATTTGAATGAGATTGAGGCGATAGCGAAACTTATAATAACTATCACCACAACCACCAACATGTCCAATGTCAAGCAGCTGGACTCAAGAGTAAGAAGTTTAATAGAGAATGGCGTAAAAGGGAACCATAGATCATTTTTCGTATTGGTTGGTGATCGTGGCAGAGACCAAGTGAGTTATATTGCTTAGATGCGAAGACGATGCCAATGAGTACTCGTAGATCGTAAATTTGCACTATTTCCTCTCACAAGCCAGATCAAGCGCTAGGCCAAATGTTCTATGGTGCTACAAGAATGATCTTGGGTTCACTTCCCACAGGAAGAAGAGAGAGCAGAAGATCAAGAGGGATGTCAAGAGAGGCATCAGAGAGCCAAATGAAGCGAATCCATTCGAGTTGTTTGTGTCTGTAACAGATATACGCTACACTTACTACAAGGACACTCCAAAGGTCCTCGGTCAGACTTTTGGGATGCTCGTTCTTCAGGATTTCGAGAGCATCACTCCAAACTTATTAGCAAGAACTATTGAAACCGTTGAGGGCGGTGGTACCGTTGTACTCCTCCTCAAATCTATGTCTTCTCTCAAGCAGCTCTACAGCATGTCGATGGACGTCCACCAAAGGTACAGAACTGAATCACAGCAAAATCCAATTAGTCGCTTCAACGAACGATTCATTCTCTCACTCGGCGCAAATCCAAGTTGTCTCGTTTTGGATGATGAGTTGAACGTACTTCCAATATCTCGCGGTAAAGACATCAAAGCCGTACAAGAACCACCCAAAAAGAATGCCGAGCTTGATGTTATTAAGGAGGAACTGAAGGGTACTGACATCGTCGGATCATTAGTCAAGTCTACTAAAACAGTCGATCAGGTAGGCTTTCAATTAACCTCTAACCACCCTCTAACCACCTTCACACTCCCTAGGCAAAATCATTGCTTACTTTTGTCGAAGCTATAGCTGAGAAGACGCTCTCTTCAACTGTCACCCTCACTGCAGCTCGTGGTCGTGGTAAATCTGCTGCACTCGGTTTAGCCATGGCAGCATCCTTGGCCCACGGCTACTCAAACATATTCGTCACATCACCTACGCCTGAAAATTTACGTACTCTTTTCGAATTCTTGTTCAAGGGTTTGGACGGTCTCGGATATGAGGAGCATTTAGACTACGATATCGTACAATCAGCCAACCCAGACTTCCAAAAGGCCATTGTTAGAGTCAACATCTTCAAGCATCACCGTCAAACTATCCAATACATTCAGCCACAAGACGCCCATGTCCTCGGTCAAGCTGAACTAGTGGTTATTGATGAAGCGGCTGCTATACCACTACCATTGGTCAGAAATCTCATAGGTCCATACCTCGTATTCATGTCGTCCACCATCAATGGTTATGAAGGTACAGGTAGATCCCTTTCCCTTAAGCTCATCCAACAGTTGAGAGAGCAAACTAGACCAACAATTTCCAAGGAAACCAATGACGGTCCAACCAAAAAGAAAGGCCAGCCAGAAGGTGCTACGACTGCTGGAAAGGCACGCACTTTGAGAGAATTGAAACTGGAGGAGCCAATCAGATACTCACCGGGAGATGACATCGAAAAATGGCTCAATGGATTACTTTGCTTAGATGCTACAGTCACTAGCAAAGCAGCCTTGAAAGGCACACCTCATCCAAACAGCTGTCAATTATTTTACGTCAATAGAGATACTCTTTTCAGCTACCACCCAGCTTCTGAAGCATTCTTACAGCGTATGATGGGATTATATGTTGCATCACACTACAAGAACTCTCCAAACGATCTTCAGCTCATGTCAGATGCTCCCGGTCATGCTCTCTTTGTGCTGCTACCACCACTGAGAGGAGATGAAACTAGTCTTCCAGAACCACTAGTTGTTCTTCAAGTGGCATTTGAAGGTCAAATTAGCAAAGAAAGCATCTTGAATGCTCTCAGCAGAGGTCAAAGAGCTGGTGGAGATCTTATTCCTTGGTTGATATCGCAGCAATTCCAAGATGAGAACTTTGCTCAATTGTCTGGTGTTCGTATCGTCAGAGTTGCCAGTCACCCAGACTATGCCAACATGGGCTACGGTAGCAGAGCTCTTGAGCAGCTCAATGCCTTCTTCTCAGGTGAAATCTACCAAGGTGGAGGTGACGACAACATGGAAGAAACCTTTGACAGATCTGAAGATAGCGGTGACTTGATGTCTGACAACATCAAGGTTCGCGATGCTGCCTCTATGCCACCACTGCTTCAACGTCTCAGTGAAAGAAAGCCTGAGAAGCTTGATTATCTGGGTGTGTCTTACGGTATGACAGAAAACCTCCTCAGATTCTGGAAGAAGAGAGGATATGTTCCATTGTACATACGTCAAACTGCGAACGAGCTTACTGGTGAACATTCCTGCCTAATGATTAGAGGATTGAACAGTAATGCAGACGAGACAAGTGGCTGGTTGTCAGCATTCGCACAAGACTTTAGAAGAAGATTTCTGAACTTGTTGAGCTACAAGTTCAGAGAGTTCCCCTCACTCACAGCTCTCACTGTCCTTGAGGCAACATCGATTGGTACAAATGATGACGAAGGCGGAGAGCCGCTCACATCTAATGAGTTGCACTACTTTATGACCCCATTCGATATGAAGAGACTGGAAAGCTATGCCTCAAGTATGCTGGACTATCACGTCATTGTTGACTTGCTTCCACAAATTACTCAATTCTACTTTACGAAGAGATTCGGAGATGAAAAACTGAGCGCTGTACAATCGTCTATTCTCTTGTCGCTCGGCTTACAAAGAAAGCAGATTGAGGACGTTGAGGTGAGTTGGTATCTCAAAGGAAATGCTTGCTGACATATCCAACATTAGGCAGAGTTAGACGTACCAGTATCACAAGCGCTTGCTCTCTTCATGAAGAGTATTAGAAGACTTACTAAACGTCTTCAAGATGTTGAAAAGCAATCTATCGGAGAGACAATCCCAACAGCCCAAACCCAGATCGCCAAGAAGGCAGACGGTGGTACGGGCGACTGGAGCAAGATGAGCCAGGGCATTGAAGAGGAACTCGACGAAGCAGGCAAAGAGGCTTTCAAGTCGGCAAAGAAAGATGCGATAGATAGTCTTGATGTGGACAAGTTCGCACTGACACAGGACGAAGAAGACTGGAGAGAAGCAGAAGAGCAAGTAAACAAAGGCAAGACCAACGTCAGCGTGAAAAAGAGGAAGGGTGATGACGCAGCGGAGAAGACTAACAAGAAGAGCAAGAAGAGGACATCAAAAGGCGGTTCTAAATAATAAGATTTGAATTCTGAGATGTATATAGCCCATTGATAGAATTATTTATTTTTTCGAACTTCTCCACTCTCCTCTCATACAGTCAAGGCACACCGCGAATGCCGAGTTCAAGCAGCAATCAGAAGCGACTGACGTATGTTCTGAAAGAAAACAGCAGCAAATACCTATTGGGTGTACCTGAAGCCAACGCAAGAATCAACAGAACGTTCCCGCTATATACCCACCTCGATACGCTTGATAATGGAATAGAGTCTTCTACCACAGCGCTCGACAAGGAGGACCACCCAAAGCACTCACTGGGCGTCACAACGCTTGCACTGGATACGGCCACTCAGCTTTCTGGAAAATCAAGCCCTGAGGGTATCTTGTATACGTCAGGCAAAGACGGACTTGTCGCAAGTTGGCAATTGGGACTCCAGACGAGAAAGAGGAGCGTAAAGTACGGCACAAATGATGAGCCTGTTAAGCACTTTGAGGAAAGCTATCAACTCGACGCTCAGCCGATAGATCAGCCAATTTTCAGACAATGTGTACAGACGCACACAGACCATTGCAACGATATTATACTCGCCAAGCAGAATCAGGTTCTGGTTTCCGCGTCGAGTGATAGGACGGTTAAGGCATGGAGACCTCATGCGGAAGATAATCACATGCCGGCTGTGGTTGGCACCCACGGCGACTACGTTAGAGTTCTTTCATACGCGTGAGTAATACGTATTACAATCACTATTCCGCTCACTTCACATAGCCGCGATCGCTCTTGGATTGCCTCAGGTGGATTAGATAGATGTGCCAAATTATGGGATTTAAATGAGGATCGCAACGATGCTGTAATCTCTATACCAACTGAGCAGTCAATCTATTCGATTGCTACTAATCATTCAGCTGGACTGCTGCTCACAGGCACACCTTCACGAGTCGTCAATGTCTGGGATCCACGGTCCTCTAAGCCGATTAACAGTTTGGCTGGACACAGTGACAATGTGCGCTCGCTGCTTCTATCAGAAGACTCTACGAAAGCTCTTTCCGCAAGCTCAGACTCTAATATCAAATTGTGGGATCTTAGACAAATGGCATGCATCAATACATTTGGTCACCACAGAGACAGCGTATGGAGTCTATTTTCGCAAGATCCTTACCTCAAAACTTTCTATTCCGGAGATAGAAGTGGTAGAATTACTAAAATGGTGGGCGAGGACGTCAAGGAGGTCGCAACGGCCAGACATGGTGTTACGAAGCTTATAGCGAGCGATAACAACTTTGTTTTTAGTGCTAGCGCAGGCAGTAGCAATGTGAGCATCTGGAGTGATGTTGATCAACAGCAGCAAGATGAGGATGCCACACCGAAATTATCAATCCAACCACCACCTACTAGCCGTCCAGAAAGCTCATCATTGAAGCAGAGCTCGTCATCATCGATCAGTTCAAGAATATCTAGGTCATCTCTTAACGTAGAACCACTGGCAATAATCAAAGGTCGACATGGTATCATCAGAGCGCTAATGCTGAACAACCGCAGACATGTTCTCACTATTAACACTCACCGACATGTATCTCTATGGGATATAGTTAGGTGTGTATGCGTTGGTCAGTACACCGATGAAGTTATTGATTCTATTCTCGATGAGGCCACCGATGGTAGTAGCACGCTAACTAGTCAAGACATTTTGGAGAAAGTCAGAGAGAAGATCGAAGGCCAAGCTGTAACCAACGCCTGGAACAGCATTGACTGTCAGACTGGTTCACTTACAATCCATCTCGACGAGAGCAGGTGTTTCGACGGTGAAGCATATCTCGATGAGCTTGGTATTGAGGGTGTTAAAATAAACGACGAAAACAAAGATAAACGAGGTGGGTGCAGTAGCCGCTACTGCAGCTTTCAATCTGACAAGAACCCAAGTAAATCTAGCAAATTTAGTACTCACCAATCTTTTACGCCATTTCATAGAGTATGAGAAGAGGCACATCGGTGAAGAGTCTTCAGGAACTGAAGTTGCTTCTTCAGACAAGCCTTATGTTAACCAGAATGCTAGCGGTGGATACGGAACGCCGACGCTTGGTACACCTGGTCTCGAGACACCCCAGATTGGTATATCGAGGCAGCTGGCAACTCCACCTGCGACGCCTGCACTACCACCACCTGCTTTGGCCGAACCACCACCTAGTACGTCGCTAAGCGATCGTACTCCAACAAGTCAGACGAAGAGTGACTACTTTAGTCTTGATACTACTATGCAGCAACACCCAAATGGGGAAAGTACTGCGTTTCGGGATGTTACCTTTAATAGGCCGACTTTGGGACTGATGCCGACGCCTGGACATTCCGGAGCACCAACACCTGCCCCTGCATTTGCATCTGCATCTGTATCTGATAACGAAAGCTTTTCTAATGCTGAGGACGATAACAACCCGGGAGCACCACAATCGCAGTCTCAGCCCGTATCACACAGTAATTCACCCAGCAAATTGAAAGTCTCGACTTCTAGTAGCTCGAGTAGTCTCAAACCACAAGAAAGCAGCTCGCAGGGCGGCTCACCTACGCTTTCGGCATCTCCGTCAAGTAGTAGACTAGGTGGTCTAATGGGCAGGATGCTGATATCGAATGCTCGTTCGAAAGAGAAGAAGGAAGCTGCAAATGTAAAGAAAGAGGAGAGTAGTCCAGTGATAGCACCCACACCACAAACCACTCAACCGCAAAGTCAAGTGACTATTATGCAGAGTATAAAAGGAAGATTCAATCCTGCGTCTAAGAGCGACGTACCTGATATCACACTCCACGATAATATACCAATTGTCGTCAGCGAAGAAAGTCACGATACTGAGGCGTTTGTGAGTGTATACAGAGGGTTAGTTGGCACTACTGGAGATAGTAATGATGTAAAGCACCTCGAAAAGACACTGCCTGAGTGGGTTCTGGAGATGGTACTGTGCAACAATGTTTACAAAGACCCGCGTACGCCCAAGGCTACATTCTGGCTCGAGAGACATCCAGGGGAGACTGAGTTAGGCGATTTACCAGAGAGGTTGGTTTCGTATTGGTATCTAAGTTGCAGCTACTAATATGTCACAGCGGAAACAGACTGAATGCAAGCAGATTCTTGAGAACGAGGAAATTAATGAACTATGTCAAAGAGAAACTCCCACAAGATAAGTCCGTTGCGAAAGATGTAGCAGTCGAAGGAGAATTGGAACTGATATGCAATAACGTCCCATTAGACGTTACACTGACACTTGGAACAATCAAGCAGTTTATATGGCAGCCCAAGAGGAATGAAAACCCAGACGACGACAGTTTGATAGATCCAGTGATATATTATAAAAAAAGACAAATATAATAGAAATAGAGATACATGTGTATATTAGTAATGCGTATAAGTAATGTCATTGATTACAGTTTGACATGATCTTTAGCTGTTTTGTTTCTGAAATGCTTGATTTGCTTGACGATTGATAACAGGATGGGTATCGTGATTGGTCCAAAGAGAGGTAAGTAAATGGCGTACTTGTGTTCGTCGGGGAAGTAGAGCTGCGGGAGTTTTGATGGGTTGTGGAACTCTTTTGTCGCGTGTCCATTTGCTTTAAACGAGTGGAGGTGTCTTGTGGGTAGACTAAGTGAGGTATTGCGAGACTGATTGAGATGGAAGATAGATTTCGGAGGGATGTCGGAGAGTAGATTGATGGTAAACTCGCTGTCTTCGTTGAGGCTGTCTATTTTGGTGAGAAGGAGGTGATCGATGTCAGACTGAGTTGGAGATCTATCACAGACTTGGAATCCGAGAAGTTGCATGAGCTGAAACCTCACAAAGTGTAATGGGAGGGCTGTGAGAGTAGGTGGTAGCACTGTGAGACTGCCAAAATCTGGTATTGTGAGCGAATGGTTTGTGAGCTTGTTGGATTGCGTTGGGATGTAGAAAATGAAGTGAAAGTCCGCGTCGTTTGAATTGAGATTGTAAGCGTTGAGGCTGTTTACTGGATTCTCAATGTCTATTGGGGAGTAATACACATGCTGTGATTCTGTTCTGAACGAGTGTATCTGATCGAGCTGTTTGAGCAGTGGATTGAGCTTAACGCTGAGCTCATTCTCGACGTCCACTCTATAGCCGCTCTTCTCGTATAAAATTGTGAACAATAAATTAAGCTTGTTGGGGCTATCAAAATCCACCAACAATCTGTCATCACTTCCGAGACCAATATAATCAACGAGACCGCCAAAAATAAAAAAAGAAATAAAACACGCTATGATCAATATTGACTTGATTTCGGACATAAAATTTAAACCAAATTCGAATGATTTGTTGGTGACTTCGTGGGACAACTCTTTCAACCTGCTCAGAGATGACAAGGTCCTAATAAATTTTAATTACAGTAATCCAATCCTCAGTACTACCTTTGTTGATTCCTCTAATTTCTGTTTTGGCTGCTTGGACGGTCACCTCTATCAGTACAATTTAGATACGCAAAAACATAAATTGAAATGGTCAGCATCGAACGCGGTATCCTCAACATCGTTTAACAAAGCCCATAATATCCTCCTAGCGTCCTCCTTAGACTCACAACTCGCGTTGATCGACAGCAGGTCAGATTCACCTGCCAATTCCATCAAGTTATCACACAAAATATACGATATAGACAGTTCTGATAATTTAGTTGTTTCAGCTATGGCAGACAGACATATAGCCATCCACGACCTTCGCAAGCTCGACAAACCGGTACAATTACGCGAATCCAGTCTAAAATTCATGACGCGAAGAGTGGCGTGTATGGCAGATGACATTGGCTTTGTCACTAGCTCAATAGAGGGCAGAGTTGCTGTCGACTATTTTGATCCATCACCTCAAGCGCAATCAAACAAGTATGCCTTTAAATCACATCGTCAGTCCGCAGATGGCTCCGATATCATATACCCAATCAACGCACTTGCCTTTCATCCCATCTATGGCACCTTTGCTACTGGTGGGAGCGACGGATTTGTCAACCTTTGGGACGCGAATGCCAAAAAACGTATCAAAAGTTATGGCAAGTTCAAAAACTCAGTACAGGCTGTGGCTTTTTCGGATGATGGTGATACCATGGCTGTTGCTTATTCAAGAGGACCTGAAGAAGCACATCCTATTACACCTTCTGACGACATTGGTGTTGATTTGAAGAAGAACATCATGAATGAAGCCAAGGTGGGTGACAGCTAAGATTCTAACAACATACTGACTCTATATAGCCTAAAAAGTTACAGTAATATAGCAATTATTTCATTAATTTATTGAATTATACGTACACCTATCCAATTAATTATTTGAATCGGCCAAAAAGTCAAGACTTTGAATATAAATGCAAATTGGTGTATAAATCGTGAAATACATATGATTAGGAAAAAGTCTCGTTGAAAATGATATTGTTACACTACACTTGATCCAGTCTACCATTCGATCTCCTCTGGGAAGTACTTGTTGATGAGACCCATGTAGTAAGGCTTCAACTCTTCGACCTTTGGAAGATCGTCTGACTTGGAGTATAGATCGTATGGGTTGAAAGCCAGTACATCCTTGAGTGCTTGGTAGTCTTCTTCGACCATAAATTGACGGTATTCGCCTTCTCTGTGCCATGGGTAGAAGGAGTGGTATCTGATCATGTTAAGTGCGCTCTGTGGGAGCTTGGATTGTTGCTTGAAAATTAAGTAGAGGTATTCGTCGTGGCCCCATGAAATCATGAGGTTTTCAAGACCGCAGTGAGGGGTGTAAATACCGTGCTCAGTGTTGTACTCTGGGTTGTGGCTGTCTGGGTTGTTCTTGAAGGTGTCTGGGTAGACAATTCCTTGCGGGAATCCACAACCGACGACGAATGTATCACCAACGACGTCCCATTGACCATCAGCACCGAAAAAGTACAGCAATTTACCGAGATCGTGTACCAATCCAGCGATTTGCATCCATTCAGGCTTACCATCTCTTCTAATCGCCTCAGCGGATTGGAGAAGGTGATCGATTTGTGAGACTGAAGTGTCAGGGTCTGATTCATCTACGAGTGTGTTAAGCATCTCTATTGCTTCCCAAATGCCCATTTTAGCTCTGGTCTGCTGCTTAAAGTTGAGACGGGCTTTGACATTGTACTCGACAGTCTGCTTCTCGTGCTGTTCGCGGTAGAAGTTCTTGACTCTATCGCAAGCCTCCTCGTACTTTCTGAATTGAGTCTTATCCTTCTCATTGTCGAAGTTTGTGACAGCGTCGAAGGCAATTTCTTCACCGGTAGCAACCTTGCCTTTGATTTCATTGACGGCGTCGACGGCGTCTGAGGTGGACTCTAAGTCTGCACCAGAGCGCTTAAGGTACTTTTGGACTGTGTGATCTGTTAGAGGCTGTGAAGATCTTTTCGCAACACTAACTTTCTGGGGCTGGTCCTGGGTTTACCATACTTGCTATTCAGAGTTGATGATTGACTTATTCAAATAAAGCTGAGTTTAAATAGCCGTCTTAGTCCACTTCCGTCGCATTCTCAATTTCCACTTTTGCCGGAGGCGGCTGTGGGGTTCAAGTGCGGAGAGCGATTTGAATTTAAAAGCGAGGACGGAGTGTGACGGCGCAATACACTTCACATCGCTTTACCCTGCTTCAACTCTTCTAGAAACTTCAATCCTCGCTCCGTTGTTCACCCGGCAGCGTACCTAGCGTCATTCACGTGACCACACTGGTAATGCTAGAGAAGGAAAAGAGAACATTATGGCTTATACAAGCAATCTTTTCTGATTCCGAAAGTGCTATTCAAAAGTTTATATACTTTTTACGTCCGTCCCAATCGATCCGTTTCTCCTCGGAGAGCAGCCGGGCTATGACGTGGGCTCGACGAGAAATCGCTTATAAGACGCATCTTGGGCACACAACCTTGTTTACTTACAACTTACAACTCAAATATGCCAGCAACTTCATTCACTCTCAACAACCAACAAAAGATCCCAGCTGTCGGTCTCGGTACTTGGCAATCAGCTCCAGGAGAAGTTGAACACGCCGTCTCCTACGCAATCAAAGAAGCTGGTTACCGTCACATCGATGGTGGGTCAGTGCCTTCGCAATTCTCTTACAGCTAACGAGTCTCAGGTGCCTTCTGCTACGGTAACGAACACGAAGTCGGTAAAGGTGTAAAGGACTCCGGTGTCCCAAGATCTGAAATCTTCTTGACTTCCAAGTTGTGGTGTACCTACCACACCAAGGTCGAGGAGGGTTGCAGAGAGACCCTCAGTGAATTGGGTACTGACTACCTTGACTTATTCTTGATCCACTGGCCAGTCGCTATGAACCCTAACGGCAATGACAAGCGTTTCCCAACCAAGCCAGATGGCTCAAGAGACGTCATCTCAGATCGCAAGCTTGAAGACACATGGAAAGACATGGAGAAGCTCGTTGAGAAGGGATTGGTCAAGAGCATCGGTATTTCTAACTTCAACATCGAAAAGACCCAACGCATCCTCAACGTCGCAACCATCAAGCCAGTCGTCAACCAATTTGAATTGCACCCATGGTCAAACGAGCTCAAATTGAAGGAATTCTGTGAAAAGAACGGTATCCTTCTTCAAGCTTACTCACCTCTTGGCTCAACTGACAGCCCAATCCTCAAGGACCCAGAGGTTATCAAGATGGCTGAGAAGTACAACACAAGCGTCGGTACTCTCTTGATATCCTTCCAAGTCTGCAGAAACGTTATCGTTTTGCCAAAATCTGTTACCCCTGCTCGTATCGCCAGCAACATCAAATTGATCGACATCGCACCAGAAGATGTTCGTGCGCTCGAATCATTTGAGGAGAAGGGCAAGCACTGGAAGTGTGTTCAACCAGACTGGGGTGTACCAATCTTCTAGATCTGATTTCTTTCCTAACGACTTAGAGTAAAACATTAGAAAATGCATACGATTCGATGAGTATCTGTTTTTTTGTGTGCAGTGACGTGCTTATTATTGGTAATCAGGCGTATGATAAGTTCCAACGACACAGCCGCGTGGGCGCAGTGTGACGTCATTATGAGACACATAGGTGATTAGAAGATTTACAATAACACTTGCGAAAGGCGTCCACTTGGTGATTTGTAAGGTGGCATTATTGCACTTTCGTTGAGCTCTTATTCTTGGGCTGTTTGCTACTCCAACGATCGGGCACGTCGATCATCTGACCCCGGCTGATCACTTGCAAGATGTCATAGTCCCGCCATACCGCACCGTAACAAAGAGAACGGGATGATCTTTGATTCTCTTTGTTAAAGTTGTCTAGTTGAAAATATTCATGCCCTCTCTCGTACCGGATATGTTTAGATACCAACCGGGACCTGAGACGATCAGGTTATCGTGACTACACGGTGGAGTGGCAGACAGCATATGATTCATATGATCCACGCTGAGACTATAAATTGGCGCCAATTCTTCTCACTACTCTCCATCAACGAAACTCAAGACTCAACAAGAAAGAATGATTACTCACACGCAAACTCTCACTCTCAAAGGAAGCGCACCAGCCGTTCAGCCGCCTCTTTTTGAGCTCAACGACGGAAAGCACATCCCTTCAATCGGTTATGGCACGTACAAGGCTAGTGCTGAAGAGGTTTATGAATGTGTCAAGAAGGCTCTTCATGCTGGCGCTAGACATATCGTAAGTTATCACGCGTCAATATATGAGACATGTAACCAAATACCGTAAAGGACTCAGCACACTGCTATGGTAATGGCAAGTCGATGGCCAATGCCATTAGAGACTCTGGTGTACCCCGCCAAGAAATCTTCATCACGTCGAAGCTTTGGGGCACATACCACACCCGAGTCGAACAAGGTGTCGACGACATTATAGCGGAGATGGGCGAAGGTATTGGTAAGTATATCTGATAGTAAAGGTGTCCTAGCTAACTCTCTCACCCAAGACTACCTCGACCTCCTCCTTATGCACTACCCCGTCGCTCTCAATCCAGACGGCAACGATAAAAAATACCCTACAAAACCTTCAGGAGAGCGAGACGTGCTCCTTGACAGAAAGCTCGAAGACACATGGGAGCAACTCGAAGATACCGTACTGTCAACCAACAAGGTCAGATCCATCGGGTTGAGCAACTGCAGCAAGCCAAAGATGGAGACAATCCTCGGTTCTCCAAAACTGCGTCTCAAGCCGGCTGTCAATCAGGTGAGTTACAGCAGCGATATCATTTTCATATTAAAGCATGCGCAGGTCGAGATTCACCCATATCTCCCTGAACATGAACTTGTCAACTACGCCAAAGAGAACAATGTGCTGGTTCAAGCATACTGTCCAAACGGCGGAAGCGGCTCACCAGTGCTGACCAATCCAACCCTTCAGCACATCGCTGCAAGACACGGCGCTAATGTCGGCCAAGTCATTCTCAGCTGGCTCGTGCTTGCTAGAGGAATCAGCGCACTACCAAAGTCGTACAACGAGGAAAGAATCAAAAGTAACCTCGTGTTGACTCACCTTTCTCAACAAGAAATAGACGCTATTGAAGCAATCAGCAAGACACACCATCAGCGCAACTTCAAGGCTGATTGGGGACCAGGTGTCAAAATGGGCTTTGCTGACTACGATTAAGAGCCTCTGAGAGCCTCTTTCTACTTACACAGATTACGATTAAGAGTCTTTGACAGCCTCTTCTCTACTAAAGCACTATACCTTTATCACGAACTTGAATGTGTACATTATAAATCTGAAGTGAAGTTATGCTACATTGTGTTAGAGTGTCAATAGTTTCTATGATTAAGAAGATCATCTCTGTTTGGCGGTAAATTCATTGAAGGAAGCTGTTTACGCTTAAGTTCTTTCGATACCCTCTCTGCTTTCTTCAACACCCTAATGAAATTATTTCTGGCCAAACCAGCCAAATCTGCCTTTGTCCAACCAAGCTTGTACAACTCAGCAAACTAAGGACATATCAGCGCTGAAAGTGACGGAATGGCCAAGCTACTCACCAACGCGGGATAAGTTGAGATATCTTCCAGTCCATAGGGCGTGGTAGGAACGCCGTCAAAGTCGGACCCGATACCGACATGAGATTTTCCAGCAAAGTTGGCAATATAATCGATGTGATTTGCGGCGTCAATGATAGTTGGTGAATTATCACCCATGAAGTCAGCAGCAGCGATAACGACTTGCAAAACGCCATCGTTTGGACTGTCACGCAATCTGACGAGGAGATCATCTGGAACGTTTCTAGGGTGATCATAAATCTCTCTTGCGCCTGAGTGACTCCAAAAAAGCGGTCCGTGATTCACGTCGATGGCTTGATGAGCAGTTTCATCGGACACGTGGGAGATATCGACTAAGACCCCATTCCTATTGAGTTCCTTCACTAGCTCTTTTCCGATCTCGCTCAGTCCATGGTTTGTTCGATGTCCCTCCACTGCCGCGTCTGCAAAGACATTATCGCAATTATGTGCAAGTGTGATGTATTTGATGCCCATACGCGCGTATACCCTGAGAGCACCTAGACTATCTCCGAGCTGATGTGCTCCTTCTAGGGAGAGCATGATTCCCAGTTTCTTATGTGACAATCTCTCAAGCTCTTGAGCAGAGTGAACAATTTTGATGTAGTCAGGATATAGCTCTTCTAGCAAGAATACAGTGTCGAGTTGCTCAAGCGTGTCGCGTACACTGGTGTCTGCTTTATCAGCCACGGGACATTCGACGAAGGAGGAGAATGAAGCAGAGCCAAGAAGGCCTTTGCGAGTTCTTTTAAAGTCGATGTGATTTGGGAAAGGAGAAGGCGCTGGAGTTGATAGATTGAATGCATTAAAGTCTAAACCGAATTCTTCTCTCAGGGCGATTGGAAGATCAAGGTGAGTATCGAGTACAGGTGATTTCTTGAGTACATCCAAAGCAAACGTGAGAGGTTCAATGTATTTATCTTTATGCGCACCATGTCTGCCGAAATAGGAAGACATCTCTCTGGGCCAGTCGGCGCAAGACAAGCAGTACAAAAATGCTGCGAGCAAGAATGCTGGGATGATTTTGGACCGTAATGTTCTTTTTGATTCTGCCTTTGGATTTGGTAGCTGAGATTCTGGCTTCATTTTGGTATGAGCTCAACAATCAGCCACTACCATTGAACTTTACGAAATAAAAGCGAGAATTACAAATCTATCATCAGATTTCACAGTCTAAAGGCAGATATTGCATCATTTATATCGAATATAGAGCAAGTCCTGGGTTACAAAAGCCAATCAAAAACTATTGCCCCCTCAAAACATCTTTATGATTGCTTGAATCTTTAGATCTCTATCACATAACGATATTATTCCTTGAGATACTAAATCTATCTCAGCGACGGGTTTATAGGGCTTTGCCAGCCCAGCTGTTTCATCATGGCTTTTTACAACTTAAGCAGAGCAAAAAAAGCTCCCAGACCTGTGTGCTGCATAAATAATGGATTGATACATATCCAAAGTACTCACTACTATACTCTTTTCGAGGCAACGGTGAAGAAGCCAAAGTGTTGTTGAATGGAGCGATTTTATCTGGTTGGAAACCTTCAAGTTTCCCGATGACCGTTCCACGTGGTCCGCATGTTTGTGTCACCAAACAGAATTTTTAGGCACGGCTGACGAACAGCGCATGACGAAATTGACTCATCTTCAAGTAAGTTGAATTACATGGACACAGATTCAGAATTCAAGTTTGAGCGCAGCAGGTTGAACACATCCTAGCTTCATCCCACGCGTTTCAACCCTTCGCCGGTCGTTCGCCGTGTAATCATCTGATGAGGAACGAAGGCACAGGTCAACTGTTTCTGCCACGTAGCATTGCGTTGTTGATTTTGATTGATTTGGTCCTGTACTTGCTCCGTTTTAATCGCAAATTGATGAGTGTTTGTCTAGGCGAATACAGCGGTAATTTGTGGAGCCCTTATCAAATAAACAAAGATGATTATCGATTTATGAAAAATTTGACACATTCCATCAACGAGGAAATGTTGGTATTTTCGTAGATTGAGGTTGAACATCGATGAAAACTTGAATCGCTAGACGTGTCTGTCTATCCATGACAGGGTCGGACAATCGAAACTACCGAGCTCGAAGTGCTATCACTAATGCGAAATTCTCGGGTCATATTTGACTTGGTATACGTTGTCCTACTCGAGTGCAAGGCCGATCAAGTTGAAAACATAGCCTCTAGCAATGTCAAAGTGTAACACAGCGAATTTTCGCTGTGTAATGGACTTCCTAGAAAATTTATTGAATCTAAATAGCTTTGGCGAATAGCACACTGAACGATGGGCTTGTTACTATAAGCGAAACATTTCTGATGCTCGAGGCGTTGTTTTTACGCGATTGCACTTTAATTTTACATGAAGATACGGTTGGAGATAAACCTATCTCGACTCCAGTGCATCGAATTATCACACGTCAGCACTGATTCCCACTTTTCAGATTTCTCAGTTGTTGTAAGTTCTGTTTTATCACGATTTTTAACTCAACGAGCTTGCTTCAGGACATACCGGCATTGACGCACATTGCCATCGAAGAACTTCCATGAATACCGCATAATCTCTTCTTCATGTGCGGAGCCTCAAGAAATTAAGGCTGAAGAACATGCGTAAGAGTTGTATGAATTCAGAGGAAGTCGATGTGTTCTTGTACGACGTCCTCAATCTCGAATTGCTAGAATCAATCGACCTCTTTATTCGAAATTTCCCATCACATCTATCCAAGTGACATATTACCAAGACTTACCCAAATTGTTGTATGTGGCGTGGAAGGCGTGGAAGGCGTGTCAGCCCTACTAGGCAAGCCTATCACGACGCTAAGGGGAGCAACTTATAATCTATCTCCTATAAAATAAGTCTTTTGCTACCCAGAAAACGAGATTTATTTGAACTGGAGATATGATGATGTCGCACTTACAATTGTCGAAGACAAGGAGGAGTGAATAAAGTCCTCTATATACCAATTATCTAATCATGTCGTTCTTTTTTACAAGTTCTACAACATCTCATGATTTCAATCTGACGCGCTTTATTTGCTATCACAAAAACCTGCTTCTACAGTTAAGCTTAATACCCCCTAAAAGCTTTGAATCTAGGATAGTTCTATGCGAAATTATTGTATTGTTTGCTGCTTTGATGCTGAACTGTTGTTCTGTTTTTCAAAGCCCTACTAGACATTTTATCCTTGAAGTTGATTGGCTTGGCATAAAGATACAAATCTTTCATTCTTAAATCATCCCCAGCGCTAAATGAGAAAACTATTTCTTTGTGATGTGAGACTTTCATCTGGCCTCAGTTTGCAAAACTGCTTCATATGCGCTTAATGATGAAGATTTGGAGATTGAAGTGTCTTTGCCAAACCTCAATCAGGAGAGATAAAAAAATGTGACAGTGCTCAAATGAGAAGCGTAGTAAATTTTGAGTGTGATCAAGTTTAAGACAGTTCTTGAGATACCAGTTTGATAAGATTTTCAAGGGACAAGTCCAGTAATATTTAATAATTATTGCAACAGAATCGATGTTATCAACAGGGGATGTAGTCTAGTGGTTATGGCGCTTTCTTAGCATGGAAGAGGTCCCCGGTTCAATTCCGGGCATCTCCAATTAATTCTGATACTCAGAATATCTTTTGCTTTTTAAAGCTATGAAGTGTAAATTTTTGCTCTGATTGTAGCTTTTTCAAGCATTTCATATTACCAAGATTTGTTTTTATCATCAAAATACCCTCCGTCGTGTCTTTGTAAATTCTCACAATGAAGCAGCGGCCTTGGAACGCAGGTGATGTTCATTAATAACGAATTGATCGGTCAGATTAGGCTCGATTACATCTAACAAAAGAATATGAAAGGAATCTTGATACAAAATTAATGCGTCATATGGAATTTAAGAGTTAACCAAAACAATTAGAGATTCTTGAAGCTCAACTCATAGAGCAACTTGAGCATGTCTGATTGGATGTTGCTGCTTAGTGTATACTTTTAATTTATTCTTAAAAGGTTGGCTAACTTGTAGAACGGGTTTAACTGTGCTGATTTCGTGAAAATTATTTACCTTCAACACGATAAAGACATCTTTGACATTTGAGCTATCGAAGCTAGCGAACATAGACTCTAGGGCCTCTTTGAATTGACAAATACATCTTGTGTCTCGGAAGATGAGAATCAAAGCATTGAGATTTGGGTATAGATGGAGAAAGTTTTGAGAGAAAAGAAATTTGACAGATGGGTCAAGTAGAGAGTTTAAGTGAAGAATCAAGTTTTCTGCTGTGCTAGATTTGGGTAGAAAATCTAGTAAATTTGAGCAACTGTGTGAAACATCTTTCAAATCCAATTTGATATTTTTGAGAATTTTCATTGCGTTAACGCGTTTCAAGTTAGCTTGGTGAATTGTGCTATTTTGTGTCACTTTCATATTTAAATTGCTGTGAATGGTGGTTAGACATCCAAACAAGAATTTAAGACTGGTCATACCTTGTGTTATCGATTAACTTGCAAGACTTCAGCATTGAGGAGTCCATAGAAGAGAAGAACAAAGACTTTGGGATAGATATTGTTTTGTATAAGCAAGTATCGGTGATTTGATTTGTGTGCTTGTTCACGAGCGATAACGACTTAATATCAGTTCGTGTGAGGTTGTCTATAATGATTAATATCAATTCATAAGGTAAATTAAGCATTTGTGTAAGTGAATGTTCCTATAAAGGGCGAACAACCAGTATTCATGGCATGCTACCTCATCGGTCAACAGTCAGCGTGCGAATCATTTTGACTCACATTGTTATCGCGTGTATCTCAATGAAAATCTTGGTTAATTCTTTGAAAATTAATTTAAGTGCGTATCAATGTGCATGTCAGCCATCGCAAGTGATGTCATAAGGCATATATTGAATTTGAAGGTAAAATTAGAGAAATACAAGGAATGATTAATAAATAACATAAACTATATCAACCTCCACTCAAATATCACTAAATCAACGAGTAGTGTAAACCCAGACAAATCAGCCTAATTTGATAATAATTTGAACAGCTCATTCAACTCCTAATTTGTTATTGCTTCCTTGTATAAATTTCCCGCTTCTTCAATTCAATCTTCCTCAACTTCAACGCTTAACTAAACAACCATCATGGACGTTGATGAAGACGTCGATGTAAAACCAAAAATCAACGAATCTGATGATTGGACTACACCTGGAAATTACCACGGAAAATCTATGACTGATGAGATTAAAACCGTTGAAGTTAGTGGATTATTAAGCGGAGAAGCCATCTCACAATTTACAGGACAAATGGCAACTTTTACCCGCATTTCTGAAAACCAGAGGTCTCGTTAAGCAGCAGTATGTAATCCATCTTTTGTCATCTTCACTCCTCATCGATATCTCAGCATCGACTCATTCAACCACTTTGTTGATGTTGAATTGAAGAATATCATTAAAGCAAATGAGAAAGTTACAAGCGTTAGTCTTTTCTCCTGTTTTCACCCTTCCTCCTGCTCACTCCTCATTAAAGGACGTTGATCCAAAGTTTTATCTCAAATACACCGATATCCACGTAGGAAGCCCTGAAAGACAAGACGCTGATTCTGTAGACAAATCTATCACTCCCCATGAAGCTAGACTTAGAGATATGACTTACAGCGCCCCAATCAGAATCAGCGTCGAGTACACAAGAGGCAAGCAGATCGTAAGAAGGAGAGGTATCCCCATTGGTAGACTACCCGTTATGCTTAGAAGTAACAAATGTATCCTCACCGGTAAAGACGAAGAAACGCTAGCTCGTTATCGCGAATGTCCACTCGATCCTGGCGGTTACTTCGTCGTTAAAGGTACTGAAAAGGTCATTCTTGTTCAAGAGCAACTTTCAAAGAATCGCATGATTATTGAAACTGACTCAAAGAAGAACGTTCAAGCTTCTGTTACCAGTTCTACTCACGAACGTAAATCCAAATCCTACGTCGCTACAAAGAATGGCAAAATCTATCTCCGTCACAATTCCATTGCTGACGATGTCCCTATTGTCGTCGCTCTCAAAGCCATGGGTGTCACTTCAGATAGAGAAATTTTGCAGTTAGTAGCTGGTCACGATGATGAATACAAGGAGGTGTTCTATATTAACATTGAAGAGACTCTTAAGATGGGCGTTCACACTGAATTGCAAGCACTTGAATGGATTGGCGCTAGGAGCAAATCAGCTAGACGGGCTGGTCCAGCTCATCAAAAGCGTCCTGTTTGGGAAGACGCTATTGAAACACTTGCTTCTATAGTCTTGGCACACGTCCCCGTCGAAAATCTCAACTTCCGCCCTAAAGCTATCTATGTCGCCGTTATGGTCAGGAGAGTGCTCATGGCCATGGTTGACGAGAAGATGCTTGACGATCGTGACTACGTTGGTAATAAACGTCTTGAATTGGCTGGTCAGCTCCTCTCACTTTTGTTCGAAGACTTGTTCAAGAAATTCAACCACGATCTTAAACTCAACATCGACAAGGTCCTCAAAAAGCCAAACCGGACTACAGAATTCGACGCTTATACTCAACTTCTGTACGGTGGTGATCACATTACATCTGGTTTTGTCAGAGCTATCTCAACTGGTAATTGGTCCCTCAAACGTTTCAAGATGGAGAGAGCAGGTGTGACACACGTCCTCAGTAGACTCAGTTACATCTCCGCACTTGGTATGATGACCAGAATATCTTCCCAATTCGAAAAAACGAGAAAGGTCTCTGGTCCTCGTGCACTGCAACCTTCTCAGTGGGGTATGCTCTGTCCATCGGATACACCTGAAGGTGAGGCATGTGGTCTGGTCAAGAACTTGGCACTCATGACCCACATCACCACTGATGTCGAGGAGGAGCCTATAACCAAAATATGCTACATGCTCGGAGTGGAAGATGTCGCTCTTCTCACTGGTACAGAGCTCTACAGAAGAGACACTTACATCGTATCCCTGAATGGTAATCTGATTGGTGTGACGAGACTGCCAACCAGATTCGTCTCTACTTTTAGAAAATTGCGTCGCAATGGCTATATCAATGAGTTTGTCTCCGTCTACATCAACCACCACCACAATTCTGTCAACATCTCCTCAGATGGTGGTCGTATCTGTAGACCGATGATTGTAGTTGAGAACGGTTATTCCAAAGTTACCTCCGAGCATATAAAGGCACTTAAAGAAGGGAAGGTTGACTTTGATGCCTTCTTGACACAGGGTCTGGTCGAGTACCTTGATGTCAACGAAGAGAACGATGCGTATATTGCGATTAATGAGAATGAGATGACAAATGCTTCAACTCATTTGGAGATTGAACCATTCACTCTTCTTGGTGCCTGTGCTGGTCTTATACCTTACCCTCATCACAACCAATCACCTAGAAACACTTACCAATGTGCTATGGGTAAACAAGCTATTGGTGCCATCGCATATAACCAGCTAAATCGTATCGATACGCTTCTCTATTTGATGGTATATCCCCAGCAACCGATGGTGAAGACAAAGACTATCGAGTTGATTGGGTATGACAAGTTGCCAGCTGGACAAAATGCCATGGTTGCAGTCATGTCATACTCTGGTTACGATATTGAAGATGCTTTGATCTTGAATAAGGTGGGTGCAATTGCTGATTGAAGTATACTCATTAACACAACGCTCAAAAAGGCCTCACTTGATCGTGGTTTCGGTCGTTGTCAGGTTATGAGGAAGTACTCTACGATGATCCGCAAGTATCCAAACGGCACGCACGACCGTCTGGCCGATGCACCAATCGGACCTGATGGTATCATCCCAAAGAAGTTCCAAGCGCTAGAACCAGATGGTATATCAGGGGCTGGTGAACGTGTGGACACGAACGATGTCATCGTCAACAAGCAGTCGCCGTCAAATGCACTCGACAACTCAATCAACCCCGGCCAAGCTGATACCTCAACGACATACAAGAACGCACCAATGTCATACAAATCCCCTGTACCTGGCTACGTAGACCAAGTGCTTATCACTGACACAGAAAGCGATCAAACGCTTGTCAAAGCTTTGCTCCGACAAACGCGTCGTCCGGAGCTGGGTGACAAGTTCTCATCGCGTCACGGTCAAAAGGGTGTTTGTGGTCTTATCGTTCCTCAGGCAGACATGCCATTCAACGATCGCGGGATCTCCCCCGATGTTATTATGAATCCACACGGTTTCCCATCACGTATGACAGTCGGTAAAATGATCGAGCTGTTGTCTGGAAAAGCGGGTGTTATTCGAGGTACGTTGGAATATGGTACTGCGTTTGGTGGATCGAAAGTAGACGATATGTCACAAGTTCTTATCGATAATGGATACTCATATGCGGGCAAAGAGACCATGACTAGTGGTATTACGGGTGAATGTCACACTTTCTACACTTACCTAGGTCCTATCTACTACCAGAAGCTGAAACACATGGTCCTCGATAAGATGCATGCTAGAGCTCGTGGTCCACGTGCAGTCCTCACACGCCAGCCGACTGAAGGTCGTTCCCGGGATGGTGGTCTTCGTTTAGGTGAGATGGAGCGTGATGCGTTGCTTGGTGAGTCTGGATGTACGATGGCAAAGATGTTGTTGCTGACTGGATCACACAAGGTTATGGTGCTGCTCATCTTGTCAGAGAGCGTCTCATGCTGTCATCTGATCTGTTCCATGTGGACGTCTGCAACGACTGCGGTACAATGGGTGCGTTGATGCTCTTGCGTTTAGCATATCTAACAACTTCTAGGCTATAATGGATTCTGCCCTATGTGCAAGAGCCAAAAGAACATCTCCAACATTCAGATCCCATATGCTGCCAAATTGCTGTTCCAGGAATTGCTAGCTATGAATATTTATCCGAAGATCAGTCTCGAGGAGACTGTGTAGGTATTTGCAACAATTTGCAGATACGTAGCGTCATTCTGTACATATATTTATTATGCATATCATTTAATCAGAAAGTCTTGGCTCGTGTCATGATACCTTGTCAGGTGATCTCATGCGCCATTTCGTGCGTAATTAATTATTGGGAATGCCTTAATGTATAGGGAGAGTCATTTTGTGTAATGCGAAGACCACATACCGATCCTCCTCAGCCAGGCACTCAACATTAGATACTCCGGAGATCCGGCTGATAATAGTCACATTTGAAGTCATCGCCACTACCAAAGTGCGATAGAGGTGAGAATGCTTTGAATTAATGCGCGGTTCACAGCTCAAATCCAAATTGACTCCAAATGACTCAAACACAGGCCTAGAATGGCGTACATTTAACTCGTACGGTGAATTCGAATAGAAGGGATTTGAAGCGGAACGCAAAAAGAACAGCCGGAAATAAAAACAAAGTGGTTTTTCATGTTTAAATAACGCTCCCCGCTTGTCTCCCGCGCCTCTGCTCAACCGTCAGATTTGATAGACTGTCTCTCTTTCGTACGTAAGAGTTTACTGATTAGGAACAGCATCTTCTTTAGATTAAACAGCCAAGTTCGCGCGAATATCACAAGCATCACAACCATGGCGCCTAAGTGGTACGAGTGGCCTATGTATGCCTTCGCAACGCATCGCCAATTCAAGAGGCTAGCACACACTGGTACGCCGAACATATCAAAAAATCCATCACCAGAGAGCACTACGGATGATTTGGAGGGCGGCGATGTACACGAGAAGAAGCAGGTCGACACCAGAGGTACTTATCTCATTGACGAGACATCATCGCCTGAAATCGATCCCAAGAACTGGCCGACGTGGAAGAAAGTGGGTTGTTGAGCATGATAGCGGTACCCTACTTAACACACCAAAAGGTTCTCACCATCATTCAACTCAGCAGTCTCGGGCTAAATTTGACATTCGCGTCGAGTGTATCGGCAACAGCGGGTGAAGGTGCAGCTGTGACATACGGTGTATCTCAAGCAGTGGCGAATCTCTCTGGTACCGCTATATTCTTGATTGGTTTCGCATGGGGGTGGGTCATGACATCATATGAGCTTGTCACACCGCTGACTCATTACTAGGGCTCTTCCACTCGCACCGCTCTCTGAAGAGCTTGGTCGCACTCCAGTCTATCTCTGGACGTTGCTAATGAGTTCTATATTGGAAGTAGGTGCAGGCAGATCGACGCACGTGTATGGACAGCTTTTATGTAGATTCTTTGCTGGGTTTACAGGTGCCACCCCGCTCTCCAACTCAGGTGGCAGTGTCGTAGATATCAGCAGACCATCAGAGCGGAACTTTCTGTTTGTCTTGTTCGCTTCGTCGGCATTCATTGGTCCAGTTCTCGGTCCAGTAATTGGTGGATTGCTCACACAGTACGCATCATGGGAATGGTCGTACTACCTGACTGCGATTTGGGGTGTAGTCGTCTTCCTCCATGTCGCACTCTTCGTTGAGGAAACTTACGCTCCTGTGCTGTATAGGGAGAAGGCGAAAGCATTGCGTAGAAAGACAGGTGACAAGCGCTGGCACTCCAAGTACGACAATCCAAATCTCAAAGAAGTTTTTAAGGTAGCCATGGTGAGGCCTTTCAATTTCCTTCTTAAAGAACCAATCGTCATTTTCTTCACAATCTACATCTCTATCGTTTACTTCCTGCTTTTCGGATTTTTGGAGAGTTACGCCGTCATATTTGGTGAATGGTACGAGCTAGATGTAGTGTGGGTGGGTGTGGCGTTTGTACCGATGATTATTGGTATTGTTGCCGGTGGTATATTCCTCATTCCGTTCTGCATGCACTACGACCGCATCATCAAGAAGCACGGCAGCATGCAACCTGAAGAGCACCTGAAGCCGCGTGAGTGGAATCAACTGCATACATACACTCCTCACACACACTAGTACTCGTTGGAGCTGTTGGTCTGCCGATATCACTCTTCTGGCTGGGTTGGACATGCTACCCAGACCGCATACCCGTCTACGCGCCAGTAAGTGCTGGCGTGCTATTCGGATTTTCTCTTTTCCAGATATTCGTCGGGACATACCAGATCATTATGAGCTCATACGCCCGTTACGCTGCTTCCGCATTGGCTGGTTTCACTTTCGTGCGGTACAATATCTCAGGAGGGAGTGTGATGGCTTCTGCGCCCATGTTTAGGAATATGACTCCACATTGGGCAGCTACGCTGTTGGGTATAATCAGTGCACTACTCATACCAGTCGCATACACGTTTTATAAGAAGGGACCTGCGATCAGAGCGCGGTCGCAGTGGGCCGTGTAGGATTCGTTTATTAATTTATACTCTCTGTGATCAGTCTATTTGTATAGAATTTCAATAATGTTATTTATAATTATGTTATCTACATACCACGGCGATAGAGTTGATCTGAATCGGAATGCGGACAACCTGTTTTGGTATATGGGGAAGTAAATAGGGTGGTGTATCAGTGAATTAGTGTTTATCGGGCAGCGGCGAAAATTGCCGCTGTACTCGCGGCCTTTTAGTGCCGAGAGGTTGAACTAATAGCATGCAGCAAGGCTGTGAAAAACATTCCGCGGATCTAACAACGCAGTCCGAATTAAATGAAATTGATTTGAGTCGGAAACAGAGGCTGCAAATTTTCGTGCGAGGGATGTGCGGATAAAAGAAATCACGTAGAACGACGCACTAAGCACGGTTATTGAGATAAGAAAACCCCCATATCGGTAAAATGACATCGAATCATCTTAATAAGGAAGGTAAGCTGATTCTCGCGCTTATCGCCGAAAAGGCAATGATTGCGGGAAATCGGTGGGGTTTCTTGTACGTAAACAAGCACGCAGAGAAACATCAAAGGAAATGACAGAATTATATCTAGCAGGTGATTGTGGCGGTACCAAGGCGAGAGTTGTAATTGCCTCGCAGGACAGCATCCTCGCACGGGGAGAAGGGGGGCCATGTAATTTGTGAGTGGGGGTGGTGGCAAGAGCAGGACTAATAGGATGGCCACTGATACGCACCACAGACAAACAGTCGGACACGCACAAGCTATCAATGTGATCTTAGAAGCGACCTTCGAGGCGATTGGACGCTTACCTGACTATCTCAAGCAGCGTTTCGAGGTCGAGTGTTCTGAGCGCAAATTCAGCAAACCCCTTTTCAAGGCACTCTGGCTGGCTTTGGCTGGTGTTAATCAACCCAGTGATGCTGAGGAGTTCAGACCAGCTGTAGCGCGCGCATTTGCAATGGGTGGCATAGAATCAAATGTGAGAGTAACGAACGATACCGACCTACTCGCTTCGCCTGCGCTCAAGCACGACGACACAGATGCGGCGATTGCTCTAATTGCGGGTACAGGCACGAACGGAATGGCGTTCAGCAAAACGGAGAACAGATCGCTTGAACGAATCGGGATTAGTAGAGGATGGGGCTATCTGCTCTGTGACGAAGGCTCTGCCTACTCAGTCGGTAGATTAGCCGTTCGATCTTTGCTCGCATACGAGGATTTCAGAGGTAACAGCAAACTCTACAACACATCCACAAACATTGCGCAGCTCAATTTGCACAAAGATCTCATGAAACAACTCAAAGTGGATTCTGCAGCTGATCTTATCAACAAGACTTACGCGGATCATTCAGACGCAACACAGTACTCTTTCTCGCGCAGCGAAACTAACCGTAAATGCTGGATTGCAGAGGCTTGTAGAGTTGTGTTCAAATACGCTTTCGCTCAGCCTCCCTCCAAGCGCGTTGTGGATGAAATACTCAGCGACACGCTGATAGCGATACCTGGAGATCCAACGCCAAACACTATGGTGCAGTCTACACATGATGATGGCAGTCAACTCGAAGCGCTAAGAATCGCTGCACAGGCTGTTTGTCCACTCGTTCATATGCTCGTCCGTCTCCTCGGCGACAGAAGCAGAATCAAGCCAGAGACTACAACACTGACAGTTGGAGGTGGTGTGATTTCAAACAACGGTTATCGCTCAATGCTCCTTGAAGCGCTTGATACTCATTTCGGTGTGAGATTCCGTCATGTTGAGATAGTCTCCGATGCTGAAGGTGAAGGCGTGCAGGCACTCGCTAAGCAATACAAACCATCAGCTCGCGTGGCTAGAATCACTATACATACACCGCCTCAATCTCCCAGCAAAAGAAATTCATTGAATTCGTCGCAAACTCTGTCTCCTACGTCGCCGGTACTGAGTGTAGCAACGACGAGCGCATGAAAGTGGTTGAGAGTGGGAATATAAATGTATTTGTATGATTTTATCCAATTATATATATATCTGATGAATCTTTCTTCCTTTCTTTTTTCACTTGAAATCATCTAACCATCTAACCATTTAATCTTCAGTGATATCACCATACTCGAACGCACCAGCTCTGTTATTCTTAGCGGCTTGCAAAGCATCTTGCAGAGTGAATTGCATTTCTGGGTACTTGCCAGCATATCTAGTTTTCTTATCGATGAGTGCCAAGCCATCAGCAACGAGGTCAGCGTTGATGCAGTATTCGGCAGAGATTGCAGAATCAGGATCAGAGGGGTCAAGTAGACGCAGATGGAGCGTTCCATTTGCGTCCTTAGCGTCAACTTTGGCTACCAAATTGCGACCTTGGCAGAGCTCCTTGAATCTATCGAGAGATTCCTGACCATACTCGTGGTCAATTGGGAGGAGATTGACGAAGCTAGTGTAAAATGTGAGCGAGGGTTGAGGTGTCTACGCAGAGACCCAAGACGCACCTGAGCTTAGCTGGGATAGCCTGTGGAGGCATAGTCTTAAACTTGTTGTCGAGAGGCCTAATTTCGCCATATGAAACAGTTTCATTGTTGCCGTAATCGATGAAGACAACCTCGGCAGTCTTGAGGACATGGCTGCAGCGTCGCACGCGCGCCCTATACCACTGACCATCCTGACTGAAACGTGCAGCGACGAGGATACCGTTGCTTGGCGAGAATGGCTCGTTCGAAGTGAGGGTGTTGTAATGAGCTGAGAAAGCATTCATCAATCTGCACGTGGTGTTAGTGAGGGATGTTCCAACTTGACCGCTAACTTACCTTTCAAACTTTTGCGAGTCCTCACTGCCAACGAGCTGGACAGAGAAAGAGAAATGAGGTGATGCTCTGACATCTGAGATGAGAATATCAATCAGATTACCATCGCTCGCTTCATCCTCGGTCGTCATCTGCCGCGCTTCTGTTTCAGCTTCAGCTTCTGCAGCTGCCTGTTGAGCGACTGGATCGTAGTTGGTCCACACTCCGAGACGGCTGTCGCGGGCTTGCTGCTCAGCTTCGAACAGCTCATCGGCAAATGAAAGTCCTTCAGCTGAGTACTCGTGCACACTCGCTAAACCTCGTCTCACCAACCCCACACCAAAATTCTCATTGTTGACGTAGAGTGTACCGATGAACCCACCCGCTTTGTCTGTACTCTCGATGGATACTTCTACATCTCGCTGCATAACGTTTCGAGTGGCGTACGCGAGTGCTTCGACGGCGCCTTCCTCGTTCTTCTCCGACGGGTTGCGTGCAGTGCGAGGAGCCTTGAGACCAGCCAAGACGAGCGTGAGCTTCTGGTTATCTTTTGGTATGTATATCTTGAATCTCGAGCCAGAGGCTACGTATTCCGCCACACCAGTGATCCTGCCACTGCGTTTCCACTGTGGGAGGAATGACTGGGCTTTGCTAGCAGATTCACTTGCGTCTGGTATTCTAGGCAGCGGTATATGTTTGTTGGAGTGGAGGCCCTTACCGCCAGCCGCAGCGGTCTGTTCAGCGACGAGGAGAGCATCATACTCGTGTGATCTATCGTCGTCACGACGGTGTCTGACTACGGATGCCAGTCCTCTTTCAACCAACAACAACCCAATCGACTGGTGTGAAGGACCGACTCTGATCGTTGCAGCTTCGCGTTCTTCAAAGTTCTCCTCTTTAGGACGAGTGTAATCATGTTGGTATACTACGCGCTTGCCAATGAGTTTCTTCCTCAGTAATTCGCGCGCTTCACTTGCCCAGTAAGCCAACTTGGCATCGCTGCTGCGTGGTTGTCTAACAGAAGCAATCTGTACACGCTTCTCCGCACCGTCGCGGCCATGTTTGTCGATTGGACACACAGAGATCTGGTCGCCTGACCACACTCTCGTCACTACGACATTCGATTGGCGCGGGTGGGTAATGTGGCCATTCGCTGCAATATCGGCTGCTGACTTGTTCATCAGCGCTGGCTCCTGATAAGACTGCCACAAATTGAGTCTCTTCTCGCGCGCAAACTTCTCAGCCACTTTAAGCGAAGGTAAGAGGGATGGGCCGTGGGCAGCGAGAGTGGGAGCGTGCCAGTCAGCAAAACGTGCAAAACCATTAGCGAGAACTGATTCTGCGAGTGGAGAACCGTCGTCGAGAGTGACGCAGCCGAGGACAATAGTAGCCGAGGGGTTAGTGCCGAGGAGGGAGACACGAACATTTCTCTGCAAGCACTTAAGTTCAGTGTAGAGCTTAGATAGAGGACCGAATTGCTGTGCGGGTTCGGCGATGTCTTCTCTGCCTGGCTTTGGAGAAGAAAGGCCAGCGAGAGCGAGAGTGAGGTACTGGTGGGAGTTTGGAGAGAGTCCAAGACGAATACGGAGGGTGTGACCGTCGCGGACGTGCTCAACTGTGGCAGGGAACGATTTGCGTGCGTGTGCATCGACAAAAGATTGAAGATCGGCGGGGGAAGCGTGGGAGACAGTTAGTGGCTGCCTGGCGCCCCAAACGCCTCTTTGCTTCTGCTTGGAGTGTTCCTGGATAACATTAAGGGCAGCGTGTGGATTGTTTTGGCGCAACTTAGCCCAGCCATTTCGGAGTATGTGGGTGGACAGGTCCTGGGTCGAGTACTCGCCCTGTGGTAAACTCACAATCCCAAATCTTGGGGAATCTGAGGTCAGCCGGAAGTCAACGACCTTCCCAACCGCAACGTCAATGACGAACTGACGAGCTTCAAAAGCGAATGGCTCATCTTCCTTGTTGACTGTACCGATACGTGGACCTTGTAATCCGTCTAAACGGAGAACAACTTCCTCGGGGACTTGGGCATCTCCACTCAGCTTACCACGTATAACCAGCGTATCAGAGCTGAGTGCTGCTTTAACTAGCTAATACGCGTAAATTTAAATATTCTCCCACTAATCACCACCACTCACTCCTCGGTATTCTCTGTTCACTTGCAATTGCGATGATGACATATCTCCTACAACAGAGTTTGTTGAAAATTATTCTCCTTTTACTCTAATAACTATAAATTAAATACATTTCTTTCTCTTATTCACAAGTCCTCTCCATCAACTACATACTATCCAACTCATCTTGCCTTTTTAAAAATTTTCATAATATTGAAACACTGTCCAGACCACGGAGGTATATTTGATCCTTTCTACTGATACACGGGTTATTGCTCTCTATTATCTTTATCTCCAAGCTCCTTGTCTTGCTTCTTGCTATCTCCATCTCCATCCACGTCTCCTCCAGCCGTCCTCTCCGTCTTCTCCTCGGGCACTTCCTCTGTAGCATGTGAGCGACGTGATTCTGTACGGTGCATATCTCCAGCAGGTGCACCAAAGCCTCCTCTCAATCCAGTCGGTACCTCTCCATAGTAATCTTCAGCATGTCTTCTCATTTCAACGTAATCTGCTGTAAATTCGCCATGCTCAGCTTCATCCAGACCGAGAATCTCGCCCTCCTCATCCACTCTAAATCGCAATCCAGGTACGAGGTTGATAACGAACATGATGGCGTATGTAACCACAAAGACCCACCCTGTCCCCACTGCAATCCATGCTACTTGCTTGCCCAGCTGGACAAAATTTCTGTCTATCCAACCACCCTCGATATCTGAAATAGCGTCGTTGTGTGCGACGGATGCTTGGGTGAATATTCCCGTTAGGAATGTTCCAATCGCTCCACTCAAACCGTGACAAGCGAATATATCCATAACATCGTCAATTCTAGCCATATTTTTCAGTCGCGTTGACAAATTAGACAGGAAAGAGGCCAGAAATCCTATGAGAATGGATGCAGGAGCACCTACGAATCCAGCAGCCGGAGTGATAGCGACGAGACCGCAAATAGCACCAGTGCAAAAACCCACAACTGACCATTTCCTCTCTAAGCGATAATCCATGATCATCCACGTGAGAGCACCGAAGCTTCCCGCTAGGTTGGTAGTAACGATAGACATTCCAGCTTTGAGATTAGCGGCGTAAGTTGATCCACCGTTGAAACCGAGCCAACCAACCCAAAGAAAAACGGTGCCTAGTACGATATGCGAGACGTTGTGTGGTTTGAACAGAACTGCTTCAGTGCCATACCCTCTCCTCCTACCGATGAACATAGAGTAGACAAGTCCACCAACACCGGAAGCGATCTCGACAGGGATACCACCCGCGTAGTCGAGTACACCCCATTGAGCTGCCCACCCATTCGGATTCCATATCCACGCTACTAACGGATCGTAGCAGAGCGTCGTCCACACAAAGATAAAGACCATCGCTGGAGCCACACGCGATCGCTCGGCTGCGGCACCAATCAGCAACGCAGGCGCTACACATGCGAACATGCCCTGATACATGGCGAAGATAATTTCAGGAATTTTTTCATTCGCAGCTTGTGCGGGGAAATCGAGGACATTGATCAAACCAAAGTTGTTCAGCTTGCCGAAGAAAGTGCCCGAGTTTCTGGAAAAGCAGAGAGAGTAGCCCCAGAAGAACCACTGGAAGGATACGATGGAAGTGGAAACGAACGAGAGGAACACCATATTCAGTGCGTTCTTCCGGCGCGCTAGACCTGAGTAGAGGAACGAGAGACCGGGAATCATAACCCAGACAAGAGCAGTGCAGGTTAAAACCCACGCCATATCGCCTGGACTGTACGCATTCACCTCGCCTGTCGACTGCGTCGCTATAAAGTCAGTGCCGCCTTGCTCGATAGCGTCTTGCTCGTTGAGACTGCCGTAAGTGACGTTGACCATAATCGTGATTTAAAGTGGGTTTCTTTATCTCGTTATCGCCGCCGTCGTCGTCGTCCACCAACGAGTATCGCGGGATTTCCCGGTGCAGGAGATAAGAGTTGGGTGTAAAAATAAATTACTAAAACCGGAGATTGAAGGTAGCTGTCTGGTTGTTTTGAATGATAGCATTCAGAATATACAGTTCTCACCTTTATCGCGTCAATAAAGGCCAATTCCGGGTTTTATCAGTATCTCTGTGCTGTGATTGGTGGAAAGGGGAATGACGTAGTGTGCATCAAAATGAGCTATACAATAAATATATGTGTTCAATCTGTATTCATTTCCCAGGTATCGACGTCCTCGGTCTTTTTCATAGTCTCATCTTCGCTTCTCTTTTCAGTCTCATCCTCACTCTTCTTCATTGTCTCGTCTTCCTCCACGCCCTTGTTTGGGCGAGACGCGCGTTCGTCCCTCTCAAAGCCATCTAAAGCGTCGTGTACATACTCAATAGACTTCTTCACATCAAACAGCTCCTTGAGGGATTTCTCCTTATCGGCATCAAATTGCGAGAGCATATCCGCAATACGCTGTTCAGTTTCGACTTTCTGCGACTCGATTTCCTCCACCTGACTTTTAATCAGCCGTGTAGGTCTATACAGCAGCAATGGGACGCCTTTAGTCCCATTCCTCGCGAGGTCCAGGGAGGGTTGAATGAGTTGATTTTTGAAGTAAGGAGCTAGCAAAAATTCTGCGCTATCTCTTAAAACTCTTACTTGAGTGTTTACGCTATCCTCTCTTATACGTAGGGCATCCTCCTTCAACTCCAAATCACTTTTCAGCTTTTTCAATTTGTGTGTTTGTTCGTCGACCTCACGAGCTTTTGTACTCTCTGCACGTATTCTCGTTTGTGTACGCGCTTCTATCTCCTCACGACGCTTTGTGCCGTCTGATTTAGGTGCTTTTGAGTCGCGAGTGGCTTGTTGGAATGATTTGGCGAATAAAGCTCCAGCAGCGCCAAAACCGCGTCTTCGTTTGGGTGGTGTGGGGTTATTGGTAGTTGTGGTTGTCGCTGTTGGGGGTTGTGCTGCTGTTGATGTGGATGGCTTGCCTTCTTCACTGCGAGTGTCACCGGGCTCACCGGGTTCAGCAGAAGCCTGACGCTTCCTTGTATTCTGAACACCTTCTCCAGTCTCTACGCCTGTTCCAGTCTTATTCACTTGTACATTTGTGTCTGCGTCTGTGTCCATGGCCGTTGAGAAGAACGTCGACGACAGTGGATAACAAGACTTATAATGGACGCATTCGAGATACGTATGGCTCTGGTTGGATACCTCCGGAAATTGAACGCCTCACAAGGATCAGTGAAGCGAGCAGTTGATCATTTGCGGGTGTATTCAGATTGTTCTGGTGATTTATGGAAGTGCGTCATGCAAGAGACCAAGAAAGGTGGTCTCAATCAGCGTATAAACATTCTTTACATGCTCGATGACCTCCTCTGTGGGAGTGGTGGTGATGCTGCTGAGAGTACCGCCTACCGCTCCCATATAGCTGCAGCTCTGGCTGATTTTATCGGTATCGTAGTTCCCCTAGAGCCCAATGGGGTTATTAACTTACAGGCTGCTATTGCTGTACTCGAGAATTGGAAACTTAGACAACTTTTCAGCCTACAAGAGCTGGATGGGTTGTTGAAACAGCTTATAGACAGACGAATCGAATACAGCAACCACAATGATGATACAGATGATACTCAATCCACTCAACGACTCCCTGATAAAGAAATACTCAGGCGATTCGAAGAGGATAGGGAGAGGGTTGGTCCGGTGTTTAACTTGTTTGGATAACGTGATGTATTAACACGCACACACAGCACAAGCGCCTTAAAGAGGAAATGTGGGTGCTTCCAATCAGCACCTTGAGTAGGGACGATGCTATGAACTACCATACACCATCTCCAGGTCATAGCAAACATCACAATCTACACAAAACCAATCTCCTGACTCTCACCGCTGATAACGCCCCTCTCAACACAGAATTTGATCATGCTTGGGAGGATACATCAGATTATAACGAAGACGACGTCGAAGAGATGCTCGATGATATGAATAATCTTCATAGCGCGCAGTGTTAAGAATGATAGCAAGTTTTGTATTTATATATGTCATGCATTGTAAACCACTTAATCAGGCTGTTTGGAGGGAGTGGATGAATATTTTCTCAGCTTGAGAAACGGCTTGTTTGAATTGATCTACTTGTATGTGGCAGTTGAGAGGTGTTTGAGAGTTATCTTTAAAGCAAGAGATGAGACTTGAGTGAGAATTTTTAACTTCTGGGAAGTTATTGATATCTCTCTTCTGATGATGTTTGTCTATTTTAGTTTTAATGTCATCAATGTTCCTCTTAACGTTTTCAGAGCTGAGGATAGAGTTGTCAGGTTGTTTAGATTTCGCAGCGTTGTCTTGAGCGAGAGAATTCTCAATCTGCTGGCGTATAGAGTGTTCTTCCGAGCGCAGCCTAGAGAGTTCAGAGTTGATTCGATTACGTATTTGTTCGTCAAGGGTAATTTGGCTGGGTGTCTGCGACTGTGTCTGCGACTCTGTCTTCTGATCATCACTCAAATCATTGACAAGTGAAGTAGAGAATCTAATTGGAGTAGTGGGAGTAGTTTCACTGTGGAAATCCTGTGGAGTGCTTTGGTTACTTCCCATTTTTAATTTACAAGATTGATGATGACAGTTGCGGATCAGAAGAAGGTTGCTAACGACGACGATGAATATATTTAGATTTTTGGGTAATTAAAGGCGATCGCGGGGTGAAATAGATCTAACGCATCATCTGATAGGCGACTTATCACACCTCACGAGTATCTTAATCTTGATTCATAAAATCCAAACATCAAGGTCTTGTAGGGGTGAGTGGGGAGGAGTGAGCTGGCAAGTCCTTATTAACAACCACCAGGTATTTCCTACAAGACTCAGCTGCTATATGTCATCGTCTTCGTTTCAAGATACCTGGATCTGGTTTGGACTTACGTGTCATTATACAATAGCCTGATGAAGCTCTTCTTTATATCAAGCAGTAGCTACATTCTCTATCTTATCAAGATCAGATTCAGGCCTACGCTGGATCCCTCAATCGACACCTTCTCATTGCCTTATTTGATCATTCCTGCGGCGATTCTCTCGCTGATATTCAACTACGCGGACGAAAAGGCTTGGCTGAGTGAAGTCCTTTGGAGTTTCTCCATTTACTTGGAATCCGTCGCAATTCTTCCCCAATTATTCCTCCTCCAGAGAACTGGCGAAGCTGAGACAATCACCACTCACTACTTATTCGCCCTGGGTGCTTACAGAGCTTTATATATTCCAAACTGGATCTATAGATACGCAACTGAATCCTTCGTTGACCCAATAGCCATCATCTCGGGCCTCATTCAAACGGCGCTTTACGCCGACTTTTTCTACATATACTTTACCAAGGTTATTAGAGGACAGAAATTTGAGCTGCCTGCTTGATGGTCTGTTAAAGTGATAAAATTTTATTTATAATTCATTCCTGCTTTTTAGTTTAACTTTAACTTTGCCGTTGGCTTCCTGCTTCCTGCTTCCGAAGGTGGTGTGGAGATGAGCCAAGCGAATGAGTCCAAAGAATCCAAACAATCTAACAAAACCCTCAAATCCCTCTTCACCAAGGCATCCCACTCCGCCATCAAGAGGAGCAGTCTGCCTGTCTCAATCGGTCGGAACAAGGGCGCGGTGAATCAGGGCATGAGTCAAAGCGTAATCAGAAAGAATATAAATCAGGGGGATTTCCGTGTTTTACCTCACCCCAGCCACTCCAATTCTCAAGAATCTTTTGCATGCATGGGCGGTGATGTGAATGCTGTCAAAATTACTCACTCACCCGCCGTCCCTAAACGCACGACTTCGCTGAATGACAGCGTCGTACCCATTCCTAAGCGTAACGTGGGCAACCGCATTCATCGCAGTCATCCAAGTCATCATCTATCGCATCCTCAATCGCATCGTAATACCCAGCCCAGCAATATCAATCAACTTGAGCGGAAACACAATCAGCAACACACTCAATCTCCTCAATCGGTTCCTCAACTCCAAGACATAAAAGCAACGTTCGAGCGGATGAAACTTTATCTCGCGAGCAGGGACAATGCTGGTAATAGTGGTGATAGCCGTGATAGTGGTGGTAGTGGTGATGTTATTCCCACTCCCGTCACTTGTGAATACGCCAGTGCAGAAACTGGTCTATCAGACAGCATCAAAACACCCACACATCTCTCTGTGGCTGTGGAGGAGAGCGGGAGCGGGAGTGATGCAGGTGATGCGAGTGATGTGATTGATGAGAGTCACTCACACTCACACCTTGACAGCCTCAGCTTCCTTCCTCGCTCTTTCTCCACCAATGCTGTTAGTATGGCGCACACAGCGCACACAGGACACACAAATGACTTGCCACTCTCCTCCCATCACAGCCCCCTCAAACGCCCCGGCGCGCTGGTGGAAATGAAGACGAGCACTCCTCAGAGCAAGCAGAAAGACAAGGAGAATGAGGAGCAAGTTCAAGTTGATGAGAGACTGAAACAGAAACAGAAAGTAAAACACAACGACAAAGACATCAACAAACAAAAACGCATGTCTCTTCCAGTTGCCAGTCATACCAAATATAACAATAGCGATGGTGTTAGCCGTAGCCATGGCAATATGTACACGCCAATCTACCAATCTCACCCTCACAATCACACTGCTCAAACTGCGCACACCCGCCCACTTACATACCCCTCCCTTTCGCATCTCGATAGCCGCTCAGCGTGTGTGGCAGCGCAGTGTATCGGTGATGGTGCGAACACAGGCAACACAGGCAACACAGGCAACGTAATCAATCCTAGTAACACTTTGAACTCTTTCAACACGGCTAACTCAGCCCGCTCGAGTCTGTGTAGCGTGAATAGTGCCAGCTCGCCCGCACAAACGCTGTATAGTGCACACAGCGGACACAACACAAACAATACACAAAACATACAAAACGCAAACAACGCAATGTTCCGCTCCCCGCAAACTACTGCAGATGTAGTCACACCTACAACATCGATTAGCGGCAACGGGAGCGGAAGCATGGGCAGGAGCATGAGCATCAATGGGGCGATGAGTGCAAGTGTGAGTGGCGGTGTATGCCTATATGCCCATATTCACACAAGTCCTCTTTTGCTTACATGAAGTTATTACAGCACTCTGGTGAGACATTTGGGAATGCTGTGAATACAGTGAATACCGTCAACACAAACCGACAAACACACACACACCCTCACCTACACAGAATGGCACGTGCAGATCTGTTCAAGCTCGTCGTCGATGCGCAGTCGGAGCTTGGAGCACTCAAGAGTCGCTATGCATTGGAGAAAAACGCTCTGGAGGGACAATTGAGTGATACACTGGAGGAGTTGAGTGGGATGGCGAAGTTGGTGCGTGCTCAGGCTGTGCTGTTGGAAGGGGTTGCTCATGAGCATCAGCGTGAGCATGATCATAGCCATACTCCCACTCACTCTCACTCTCATTCTCCAAACGATACCCCCACCCCCACTCAATCACACTCACACTCACAACCCCTCTCACACTCACAGATGCGCCAGTTCATGGCTGAACAACACGCCTTTATCGCTTATCAAAACACGCTACTGGAGGGGTGTGAGTGCAGCAATAGCAATACTACCCCCGATCAAAGTGTCGTGTTGCACAACACTACACAATTACTGCACAACAAAAGCAATCTACTTGGTGATGTTACTGCGCCGTTTATTCAAACGAAACAAACTAAAAAAGCTGCGAATGAGCAAGAGCAAGAGCAGAGCTATGTTTACGGCTACAATCACAGCAACCTTAGTAACCTCAGCAACAGCACTCTGAGCACCTTCACATCGGACACTGATGCCCCTAACACATTCAACACCTTCAACACCTTCAATACCCTCTCCAACGACATGGATTCGAGCGTACATGATGAGAATGGTTTGTGGACACTCGGATTAGATGACGATGCCAAGCGGGCGTTAGATGCGTGAAAGTGATGAGGTGGGGTTTTTAATGTGTTTATACCAAATCTATGTCAACACAATTATAAACAACACCGTCCTTCTCGAATGTCCCCGCGTAAACTTGTGCCAGCAGCTCAGTTATGGCAGGTGAAGCGTCTTCAATCTGCCTCGTCACCTTGCCTGCCCAAATAAAGTACTCTTTAATACGTCGTATGTCCCAATCAGGCGGTGAATTTGTTTGCAAGTCGCGCAAATTATACAGCTTGTCTGCCAGTTTAACTTGCTTTGCTTTGATTGAGACAGTGCGGGCTTTATCAATCTGTATCTGCTTTCGCACTTGCTTCGACTGGGTCTTATTATCCGAGCACTCTGCTACAATATGTGCCACTTGGCTGCCAAATGTGATCTCTAACTCTGCTAATGTTGTGTCAGTGTCCTCGAGCGTGTCGTGCAAGAGGGCTGCTTGAAGAGTTGGTAGATCGTCGTGGCCAGTCTGGGATAGAATATCTGCGACGCCGAGTGGATGGTTGATGTACGGCGTGCTCGACGCATTCTTTCTGCGCTGGTCTTTGTGCTTATCTGCCGCAAATGCCGCGGTTGAAATGAACTGGCTGAGCTGAGTGGCTTGCATGCTCTGCGTATCCGAAGAATCTGTTTATGTATTTTTACTAGTAAATTTCAAACTAACCTAGTATATTTGAAGAGTCCTCCAAGGAAATTCCAAGTACCACCAAAATGCTCGATTTGTTGATTGATAATGTGCAGCTGAATAGTATAATCTATGCAGTACTTACTATTATTATCGTCACCGCGATCAAGAGCTGGTCTGGCGGCGCTAAGAATGTCCAGCGCAGGGATCTACACCAACGCACGGTTATATTGGCTGTAAGCGAAGTGTGCTTAGGGTGTTTTACGCTGACACAGATGCACAGGGGCTGCCATGTTCTGTACTCGCTTGCACTCTCCCTCAACTCGCTGAATGCGGTGCTACTACGATAATACTCCATCCAGATCCACTCGCTGTGCTGCCACTGCTGAATGCTGTAAAGATGCGCACTAACAGTGAATCTATATTCGTTGATAGATGTGATGTAACAGACATTTCCTCAGTCAAGACATTCTCAGACAACTGGAACAAGTCGGAGCGTATACCTACAGGACCTAGCAATACAATAGAGACTGGGCAGATAAGAAGAATTGATGCTGTTATCTTTTCTACTGATTATGACGGCGTTAGTGGTTTGGATGAAGCAGATTCATCAAAATCAGCCGCTGCTCACCTCCTCTTACTTTCTCTTATGCCTGCTATTGCTCACAGTCCAAATTCACGCGATATACGCATCATTAGGCTCATTCAACCGTTTTACACAGCAGGTACACTTAAAGAGGTGACAACTGGGCGAGTCAGTGGCATAAATAAGGCTGGCACACGCGCACTTCGAGCACACGCCCTCACTAAACACCTTCAGTCAGAAATAGACACAGCAAAAGCCCAGAACGTTGTCCCAGAAGTGGATAAGAGCAGAGTATCGAAGAGTGGTGTGAGTTGCTTATCAGTATGTCCAGGATTCGTTAGGGAAACCAGCGTATATCCACTGTTTGCGCAGTGGGGGTTGCTTGGCGTTCTAATTTATTATATTACGCTGCCGATTACATGGCTCATGACGAAATCCGCAATGGAGGGCGCCCAAGTTGTTCTATACGCGCTGCTCAAGGAGAAACCAGGAAAGGGGGTATTATACCGTGATAATTTGGTTGTGGGGTGCGTGTTTCGTGTGCCTAGATGATACAATCTAACTCCCCCCGCAGTCTCCCGAAGCCGATTATCGAAGAGCTTGAAAATGAGCAACTCTTAAGTAAGCCATGGAATGACGCAGAAGCAAACGTTAAACGCTTTACCTAATTAAATTTAAATTTTCATCCGCTATATTCATTAAATTAATCTGATCTCACTGGAATTGCACTCGCACTCACGAAAATAAAATGGGCGTGTGCGCATCGAAACAAGATAAGGATGGGAAGAACAGGTCAATGGAGATTGACAAGCAGCTCGAAGACGATGCTAAGAAGATGCGCAGGGACTGTAAGATACTCCTCCTCGGATCCGGCGAATCTGGTAAATCCACTATCGTCAAGCAAATGAAGATTATTCATCAGAATGGCTATTCTAAAGAGGAACTCATCGGTTTTCGTTTGGTCGTTTTCAAAAACGTCGTCGATTCTGCTCAATCCGTCGTCCTGGCGTTGAGGAAGCTAGGCATGGAGCCGCGGTGGAATATTAACCAACATTACGCCGATTATATACTAGATTACAGTCTCGATTTGGAGCCAGGGATGTCCCTCTCGAAAGACCTCGTAAAGGCAATTGACTCACTTTGGAACGATCCCATTATACCCGACATACTCGATAGGTCTTCGGAGTGGTATCTCATGGACTCAGCTCCATACTTTTTTGAAAACGTTGACCGGATTGGAAACCAAGATTATATCCCGAATGAGAATGACGTCTTAAGGGCGAGAATAAAGACAACTGGTATCACTGAGACGAGATTCACTATGGGTCAACTTTCTATACACATGTTTGACGTAGGTGGACAGCGCTCTGAACGTAAAAAGTGGATACACTGCTTCGAAGCTGTGACTTCTATTATTTTCTGCGTAGCAATATCAGAGTATGACCAGGTATTGCTAGAAGAATCTGGTCAAAATCGAATGCAGGAATCACTGGTGCTTTTTGAATCAGTTATAAATAGCAGATGGTTCTTGAGAACTTCGATTATTCTGTTCATGAACAAAATCGACGTATTTAGTGCCAAAATAACTAGGATTCCATTAGAGAGGTACTTCCCAGAATACTCAGGTGTGTTGGACTTTACTTTAATTTGAAATGACACTCACACCTTTACTTAGGCGGTGCGGACCTTAATAAAGCAGCAAAGTATATCCTCTGGAGATTCACTCAAACTAACCGCGCGAGACTATCCATTTACCCACACCTCACACAAGCCACGGACACATCCAACATCAGGTTGGTATTTGCCGCAGTAAAAGAAACCATACTGCAAAACGCTTTACGAGATTCCGGTATACTCTAATTCTACCTAATTTGCATCTTACTGCGGGTGGTATTATGAACCACTCTAGTATTACAATTCCAATTCGACTAAACTAATACTGCATTTCTTTAATATACGGCATAACACAACGACTAGCATTGGTTCTAGTTGTTTTTCGCGGTGGCGTTGATAAAGCGCTGACAATTGTTCCAAAACACACACAGACACGTACTGAATATTACCTACACACACCTCAGTTCCTTTCAAAATACACTGATTATCAAAATGTACCAATTATTTAATACACGCACGTTTATTTTATGGTTTAAGTACCTTAGTGCGTGCCCGCCTGTTCCGCCTGTTCCCGCCTTGTCCGTCTACTCCTGACAAGCGGCAGTCGATCAACTCCCCTGACTGTGACTGGGAATAACCCGACAGCCGACAAGCGCAGCGCAAAATGCATAACACACTCGCTTTTGACAGAAAATGTGATTTCTTATTTTAGTTACATAGCGGAACCGACGAAAAGTTCCTTGATAACCGAAAGAAATATGGCACAGTCGGGAGCAGCGGAAGGGGCGGGGAGAATTAAAGGAAGACTAGCCCAGATAAGCAAGTAGAAGGAGATTGAAGGGGTGGAATATTTGCTGAATTTTGAAGAATGTTGAATTTGCTGAAAACTTCCGACTGAACGGATGAAAGAATTGTGCGTTCGGGAGCGTGGTGGTGGACATGCGAGGAATTGCGATGTTTGTAAATGTGTGCTAAGTGCATGTCTTTACATCTCCTCCCCATCCTTCCCCCTGGCACGCCGCACAGTAAACCAGGTCAATGAAAATTTTTAGGGTGTTCTTCGGCCAAATTGGCAACCTGCATGCGCCGGTGAACCCAGAGAAGCCGCGTTAATAAATTCGACGATGTCAGAGACATCAGTAAAAGAAAAGAAAGACAGCCAAGTTGACGAGGAGTTGGGAGTGGATTCGAATAACATGGATAATTTGAGAAACACGATTCAAGATATCCACAGGGATGAGAATGACGAGAATGTTACCGAGACACAGGCATATTCAAGCATCGATGGTAGCAGCAGCCCCACAACATCCACATCCACAACTAGCAGCAAGAGTTTGAGTGTACAGCGCAAGTCAATAACTCACGCACATAACCAACCCACCGTTAAAACACCCCCTTCTACCTGGTTCAAACCGAGCATGAAGCGTATCAAGATGAATATCAGTGAGAAGGATAGACAGGATAAGCAGGAGGCCCAAGAGACGGACGAAATTCACGATGACCACGACGATAACGATGACAAGGATTCGCAGCTCGTTTCTTTTGTTAAGGCGGCTTTCATGGTCAGTTTGAGTCGTTGTTGAGTGTTGCGTTTCTAACACACACCAGGCATTCGATAACACAAACAAGGAAGAATACGCTGCTTACTTCTCGCCCAACCTCAAATGCACTATCAATGCCCTTCCTTATACTGTTGATGGATTGAAGGATGTCTATAACTACATAACTTCAGCGTGGGTGACAGCGGTCCAGGTTGGGTTCAAGCATGTTATAGAACATCCTCGTCTGATGGGCAAGTTGGGCGAGGGAGAAGTGGGTGCAGTGGCCGAGCTGAGTGGTAGGGATATCTTTGGCACTCGCCACCGCGTGAATTGCCTATTCACAATGGTAGTCTGTGTGGATGAAGAGAATGTGCAGGAGGTTAAAGAGTACGTGGAGGTTATGTCGTATGACTCCTGATGTTTTCAGTATGGTTTCTGGCGTCTAGTGTCCGATTTCTTCTCATGCCTCTCCAAATATCTACTCATGTTTTTCTTCTCCTCTTTCGAACAGTATTTCACGAACATTTCCCACTTTGCACTACTTGGAACCATTTCATAGACCACACGACGCGATAACCTTGTAACATTGACGACTAAATGACCTATTTATCCGATACACTTACAATTCTATACTTTGTACATTATAGGCTATCTTCCGATCATATTCAACCATTGCTTCTTGAACACGTCCACAAAGGCTTTGTTGTCCATATAGAAACCCTCTTGTTTCTGAGGAGGGACGACGTTTACGCGCCAAGGAAAGCGTCTGTCGATGTTGAAGGGCAGTCTTGGAGGATTTGTCGATAAAGGTACAGCTGAGAGTGTTCTGTGCTGACCAGACTGCTTAGGTTCACGTAGAGACACGGATTGCGCATCGACAAGGACACCCTTGCCAAGCTTTGCATACTTCTTGCCTCTACCAAATGAGATAGGAAGATTGAGTGAAGTGTGTAGCCTTAATTGATCTGTTTTGGGGAGATGCGATAACCGTATCACTTCACGCGATGAGTTGAAGAGAAGTAGACTAGCTGCCCCTAAACCGATAAAACAGACAGCAGTTCCAGCTAGTAAGCGTTTCCAAGGTGGTGTGGGAGTGTCTGGTTCCTCCAATTTATCATCTTTGTCGTGTGTGTCTTGTAAATTTTCACTCTTCGATTCAAAAGACTCAAAATTATAACAAGCTTCGGCGCATACAACAGCGTATAAAGTGAGCGTACCAACGCAGGCCCAGATAATTTTTGGAGAGAAACGAGCGGGTCGCTGAATGAGGAGGATTTCCTCCGAGTGAATGGAGTGATTTGATTGATGGGAGTGGAACCTACAGCCCAAACTTCTAAATGAAGCACTCGCTATTAAATTACTAGTACTTGCTTTTAAATTACTAGCCCTTACCCTACCCAACATGGTTTACACAAAACACTCAGCTTGATGGGAATTGATGGTGAAAATGATTTTGTTTTTAGTAGGGCAGGCTTATTATTTAATAGTCATTTTCTAAACATCCCTTTAAAGATAATAGGACGGTGATTTGCGCGACTTCTGCGAGTCTGATTTCAACGCTGGCTGGATATCCAGTGGGTTCATGACTGGGATACACAGAAGCACGTGCTCAGACTCACTCTTCAGCTAGACAGCATTAAGAGTCGCTTGCAAACTGACAGATCTATCAAGTCCATTTCCAGTTGCGCACATAAGGTTTGGAGGTATGTCTGTGGCGAGCATAAATCATCAATCTAATTTTCCATCAGCCAGGAAGGCTTCCGTGGCTTTTTCCGCGGTGTTTGGATCCCGCTATGGTCCATTTCCGCCGTCAGAGCCACTTCATTCTCCATTTACACCAAATCAAGGGACTTGTTGGCTAAGAACACGTCCGTTAAACCTATAGACCTCCCCTTTACTGCTCTCTCTGGCCTTTTATCAGGTCTTCCCGCTGGTTTCATTATTTCCTTAGCATCCGCGCCGTTTGAACTGATCAAAATCAATCGCCAACTCGAATTTCAAATCGCTTCCAGTCGAGGTTTGGTTTATAGAGACCTCGGCACTATCGGATCTGGTAGGGATATAATAAAGAAGCATCGTGGCGCTATCACTGGTCTCTACACCGGATTAAGGTTGCATATGATGCGCGATAGCTTCGGCACTGGTCTCTACTTTTCCATCTACGACAGCTTGAAATGGCTTACACGTAGTAATCCAAACCACAACCTCAACAAATTGCCTCCACAAGTCGCTGCATTCTTGGGCGGTGCTACAGCGGGCATATCGAGCTGGCTGCTCGTTTATCCCGTTGACGTGGTTAAAATTGTAGTGCAGCAGCGAATGCTGTCTGAACTGCCACCTAAGTCGCCAAAAGAGATTCTCGTACATCTTGTCAGAGGATCTAATCCGGATCTACCACCCAGACCGCTGCTTATTGGAATAGGTAAGCTGTATAGAGGATTGGGAGTGAGTGCGTCGAGGTCAACACTCGCGCATGGACTCATGTGGGCTTTGTATGAGTCTATGATGGGTAGGATTGAAGAGGAGCACGCAAGTGCACTTGATAGAGACATGAAAATAGCCAAAAACACCAGTAGATTGGTTTGAATGGAGGTATTAGAGTGATTACCTCCAAACAATTGTAATTTATCTTATATAGATTAGTATTCCCCGCTTTAAAAAGGTATTTGCCAATGTTGTCACTGTCTTCTCGCTTCGTTCAACCTTATCATATGAGCAGAATACCAAACTTTACAAAGGGCGTCGAGTACTGGAACGCTACAGAGGCGACTTATAATGGAGTACTGGGGGGATTCGGTGAGTTTGAGTTGATGTAATATCTCAAGGGTAGAGCCAGCTTACAGAATCAACAGGATTGGGTACATTACCACGTGTAGATGCCCAGAGTTCGCGTATGATGATTCTAAAGCTACTCCCACGACTCTCACAGACTAAGAGCATAATGAGTCCGAATGGTGGTGATGCACAACACATTAAGCACACACGCGCTCTCGAAGCTGGTGCAGGCGTCGGTAGAGTGAGCACTGATGTTTTACTTTACTACTCCAACCACGTCGAGCTGGTAGAACCGACGAAAAAGTTCACAGATGTCGCCAGAGAGCGTCTCAGCGTGCATGACAAGGTGAAAGAAGGGTCTACGTGGGTAGTGAAGGAAATAGGATTACAGTCGTGGCAGCCAGAAGGAGTCTACGATCTAATTTGGTCACAGTGGTGTATCCCTCACCTGAGTGATGAAGAATTGGTTACATACCTAAACAAAGCCAAGAAGGCGCTTAGGAGATACGAATCGAATGACAAATACTTTGGTCAAGATGGATTGGTTGTGGTTAAAGAAAACATCTGCTCAGATAGCGATTATACGCTGTTTGATGATGAAGATTCATCGATAACTAGGTGGGCGGGGTGTTGGTGTGCTTGAAACGCTATTCTAACGCCCTTTCAGATCACACCAGGCTTATTTGGATATATTCGATAAGGCTGGTATGTCCATCGTCTATCAGGAAGTACAGCTTGGTTTTCCAAAGGTGAGTCACTGTCTTCTCGGTTCAAAGCCACGACTAAAAAAAGCAGGAACTGTACCCAGTACGCGTTTATGCTCTGAGGTAGCTGTGATAAATATAATTATTAAAATGTTGTTGCTTTCGTTCAACCAGTTCAACCATCACGATGCGTGTACGAGTCCGGAGTCTGGAGGCAGAGAGGATAAATTTTGTGTTGGAGAATGCTGATTTGCCGTGGGTGATGGCTGTAGTGATGTTAAGGATGCTCACAAGGCTACAGACTAGCGAATGCGTTGCGAAGGATATTGATAGCTGATTTACCGTGAGTGGGGGAAGTGAGTGTAACATCCAATACAACTAATACCAACAAACAGAACTATGGCCATAGATTCTGTAAAAATTGAAGAGAACAGCTCAGTTTTGGTGGATGAATTCATTTCCCATCGACTGGGAATGGTTCCGCTTATTTCAACAGCATGTGACAAGCTGATCAATTACAATCGTGATTGCGTATGTATGGATAGCTGTCCAAAGTGCTCTGTAGTGCTTGGTCTTAATATCAAGTGTACAACACCAGAAACTATCCTCGTTACTTCAAATCACCTTCAAGTTATATCACAAGAAGCTCTAGATACTTCTGGAAACGCTATTGATCCGCCTATTGGCCTTTCAAGCGATTTTGGTTTGCCAATCAATTATCACTTGGAAGATGTACATCCAATCACCATTTGCAAACTCCGACAAGGTCAGGAATTGAGAATTACTTGTTTGGCTAAGAAGGGTATTAATAAGGAACACGCAAAATGGGGTCCCACTTCGGCTGTTGGTTTTGAGTACGATCCTTATAACAAATTCAAGCATACTAGTTATTGGTATGAGCAAGATGAGAGATCAGAGTGGCCACTATCCTCTAATGCAACAGAGGAAACTCCACCTGAAGACTCTAACGATGTTAATCATCCTGCTCAATCAAATGACTCTGAACCTAGAAACTTTTACTTTGATGTTGAAGGTACTGGTGCTCTTCAACCTAAAGATATGCTCCTCTCAGCTTTTGCAGAGTTGCAGAACAAACTGGCTGCTATTGTCCTCGCGCTTGATCACCCAGCTGATCAGCAAGGCGATATGAACAGTGGTAATCTTGTTGAAGGTATGGACAATACTACTGGCGGCGCTGGTGCGAGTGGTGTTCAAGCACTCGATGATTGGGCTGTGAACACTGCACAAGGTTTCGATTGGTCTTGAGTGAAAAATATGTATAAAATGTATTATCGTTATATCTTAGTTAATGACTTTGGTTGTGAATTTAAATTCTCCGTATTTCTCCAATTCTTCAATCAAACTTGCGCCTAGTGCTGATGCTGGTGTATAGACGCCACCTTGTTTGTTAGTAGTGTTTTTTGCAAGTAAGAGTGCAACTTCTGAGCACATTACACCAGTTAGACTGTACCCAGCGTGTCCTTTCCCAGTGACTGTTGTGTGCGCAATGTGACCATCAACTGTCTTTGTCGTGTTGTTGACAACGAGTCTGCAAGCAGCGTCTTGTTCAGGTGTGGGACCGGAACCAGAATTTGGAGCAACTTTTGATAGAGCCCATCTGAACCAAGGGAAAGCAGCAAAGAGGAAGCCACCGATAGCCATTAAGACACCACGAATGAGGGCTTGTAGGAAGGAGGTACTTGACAGTGTCTCTGTGTACTTGAAAGTCTTGCTGTACAATTGGGGTAGTAAGGCAGCAGATCTGTAAACAACTCTGACATTATGAGGACCTAGCAACCAAGGAGTACCCCATTTCTGCACAGTGTTGTCATAGTATATCAGCTTCTCGCCGTTTTGCACACTGGCTCTGTCAGATGGAGCTTCTGGAGCGAGTGACCAGACGTCATCATTGAATGATTTCATATGAGCATATGAGGTCTTATCGAACATGGTCAGGAGGCTAGAAATGGTACCACCACTAAACCCTTTAATGAGACCACCGAAAGAGTTGTGAGAGTAGTTGATGTCGGCGTAAACGCCATTGTCGCGTAAGGTTTGCACCGATTTGTAGACGGCCATATCGCTTGGAAGGCTGTCCAAACCAGTGGAAGGGATGAGAATGGAGTTGGTTTGCGCAGCTTTGTAGGAGAGCTGCTTGACGAGATTGATGTAATAGCTGGGACCTTCGCCATTGATGTCTACAAAGTGTACACCCATTTTAACGCATGCTGTAGCTACGCTGAGACCGTATAGTGCGTATGGACCAGCCATTGATAAGACGACTTTAGACCTCTTTACGATATTCTCAAGCTCAATTGAGTAGACTGATAGGTCTGGAATGGATATTGATTGTACGTGTGAAGGTACATCCAGTTTATGCTTCATGTCATCGAGCTTCGTCAGTGATCTCGCACCCAACCCGAGCTTTAATTGTTTGTGGTGAGTTGTGAGGTGTTTTATTGCTAGCTGGGCTGTGTATCCCGTCGCGCCGATTATTATAATATCAAATTCTGGCGCGTCGTTCATGATGATGGTTTAATCGGAAGATTGATCCGGTGGAGTTGCTTGGGTGATAAGCGGGGGTAGTGTGAGAGGGGTGTAAATTTGTGTGAGTGAAGAGTTGTGCGTTCGAATCTTACTCAAAGCAAATTGATTAATTAACCATCTAAAACACCTCTCCTTTCTTCCCAACACATGTTCATCGCGCTAGTCAGTCTTGACAAGAACACAGTGCAATGGACGCTGCAGTACTTGAGTCGGGAGCACAATTTTACTCAACTTGAGCTTGAATCGCAGGTGCCCAAGGAGCGGGGTGGTCAGAGGTTCGATACGCATACGCAGATGATCGAATACGCGACGCAGCACTGGCAGTCCAACTTGGTAACCACAAGTCTGCATAGCTGCACTTGTAGCGATGTCGACACTTTCCTCCGTCGCCCTTTCACTCTTCTCGTAGCGCTCGAATCGAGTATAGAGAATATCAAGAAATCACTCACTCAACAACTCCCTCCTTCCACACCCGCGCTTGATCTCGCTGCCTTTCTTCGCTGGTTCGATGGAGCGTACAGAGCCCAGAGGGATACCTTGTCACGCGCGCAGCTCAACATCTACAACGGACATGAGACGGAGGATGCCTTTGTGGATGTGCTGCGCGAGGCTAACATAGTAGACGAGCAGCGCATACGCCCAAGTTGGGATACATACTTTATGGAACTAGCTGATCTGGCCAGCCAGCGGTCCAATTGCATGAAAAGACGCGTCGGAGCTGTACTGACTCAAGATAAACGCGTCGTGTCCACTGGCTACAACGGCACACCGAAAGGTTTGCTCAATTGTGCAGATGGCGGCTGTAAGCGGTGTAACAGTGGTGTGGAAATGGGTTTCGCAGAATGCTTGTGTTTGCATGCCGAGGAAAATGCCCTTCTGGAAGCGGGGAGGGGAAGGATCGGAGAGTGTGCAGTGCTGTACTGCAACACTTGTCCGTGTTTGGGCTGTGCGGTTAAAATTGTTCAGACTGGTATCAGCCAAGTCGTTTACAATCACGGTTATCGCGTCGATCAGAAGACGCTAGAACTGTTTCGGAACGCTGGCGTGGTTCTTAGGCAGTACTCTTCAAATATAACGCGTGTTTGTTGATTTCATTTCGGTTTTGTTTGTACACTCGCACCTAGCACACCTATGAAACGCAGAGCACCAAGTGATAAATCAACCACTGACGAAGAGTGTGATGATAGCGATGAGATTGCGCAGAATCAAGATCAAGATGATAACAGCAGCCAGGCTACGCTTTCAGAATCTGATTTAGCCCCGGCTGAGGGTGGTGGCGATCATAGTGGCAGTGGAATTAACAACAGTACCATAAAAACCGCTTTAATTCCTTTGAATTCCCCGTCATTAAATCAACTAGCAACTTCCTTAGGACTGCTTATCACGCACTCAGATATCGATGTGAATGACGTTATTGTCAAATCGGAGTGTCTTCCAAACAAGCACAAGCAACAGCACGCACACCCATCAGTCTGCCATCATTGGCTGAGGGATTCTGCTGCAGCGGGCAGAATACTCCCGATAGCGCTCTACGTATTGGACGATTACAACCCCAATAACTCGGAAGACGGCTCAGACGACCTACCACCCAATCCACAATCGAAGAACGCCTGCTTCCGCATCCATCCGCTCAATTCCCCCAATGAGCATCTCGTGCACGCTCTGCGCATCCTCAAGCAGGACCGTGTAGCGAGGGATGAGCGCTGGAATGCATTGGCTTACTCGAGAGCAGCGGCTATGGTCAAATGTGAGTTTGAGTTTGAGTTTGAGTTTGAATTTATGTGGTTTTACATCTAACCCACACATAGCATTCCCCCATCGCATCCGAAGCAAGGATGACATACGGCTGCAGTTGTCGTATGACAGCAATGACACTGTACACACCAAAAACATCGGCGAGAAGAAAATTCGGGCCAAGATAGAAGAATACCTCAATTACGGACGGATTAGTGAGGCTGAAACAATACAAAATAGCGCGTCGCACAAGCTTTACAACGCACTTTGTTCTATCCAGGGCATAGGACCGAGAAGGGCGTACGAGCTCAGCCGCACGGGTGCAAGTAGCCTGGGTGAGCTGGTGGAGAGGGGTAGCATAACGCAGGAAGATGTCACACTAGCCCAGCATCTTGAATTGGGTATACCGAGAACAGAAGTGAGTAGTATAGCAGGAGTGGTGATGGAGAATGCTCGAACACTCCTTCCCCACCCTACGCACGCCATCTGCGGCGGATACAGGAGAGGAAAGAGTGAGTCGAATGACATTGACATACTGATTACGCATCACGGCTATACGCTACAGCAAATGAACGAGTTTCTAGCTAACTTGGCAAGACGACTGCAGGATATGGGCTTCCTCACAAAGCTCATGCGCCAATTGTCGCTCAGTGACGGGCACAGCGATAAGCACGATTACCAGAGTACGCTTCTTGGTGTAGTTGCGAGTAGTAGCAAATACGGTACAACGGACAGTGCACAGGTCACGTTTCGGCGCGTGGACATTATCGTGTGCCACCCCCACAGCTTCCATCTCGAGGTACTCGCGTGGACGGGGTCAGTCATGTACGAGCGCGATCTGCGCGCGTTCGTCAAGCGGCGCAACCTCAAGCTGAACGCTTCATGTGTGTACGATGAGCACACCAACAATGAGGTCGATCTTAGCGGGATCAGGAGCGAGAGACATCTCCTCGCCTTTTTGCATCTGCCGTGGATCGCGCCTGAGAATCGCAATTGTGATTGAAAGGTTGAAATATATTTACATCTATGCTTCATATGCTTCTGCTTGTGCCACTTGCTCCTCCTATGTAGTTGTCTATGTGGTTCGAGCTCCGTTTGTGATACATGGCAAGGACGAGAGTGAGCGGGAGGTGAATGAGAGAGGCGTGGAAGAGTCGTCGAGCAGCCTTATCGCCTGGTCTGTTTGCCTTGATTTCTCTGTAGAACATGAGCGAAAGCCATGCAAAAGGGGCGTTGAGGAGTGTGGAAGTGTAGCTGAATCCCCACGTCGTCAAACCCGACCACGGGAAGAGGATGGCAGTGAGAGGGAGCATAAACAGAGCATGCCTGGTGCTAACGATGCTGTTTTTCAATGGGTTCGTAACACTTAGCATCTTATAACCGCAAGCAGCGTACTGAGGGCGAAGGAGATGAGCGAGGGAGTTGAAATGGGGGAACTGCCAGGTGTACAACACATACGGCAAGGCAGAGAGTGCAGCGGTGTGTTTGAAATTGTTTAAATCGCCCAATTCACCACCACAAGACGCGGTCCAACCAATTAGCGGGGGTATAGCCCCAACGAGGCTGCCCACCCAGGTGTTGACAATGTGGACGCGTTTGAGAGGTGTATACACGGCGCTGTAGAGGAGTATATTGGCAGCACCGAGTGTGGCACTTGTGTTGTTAACGCCGTAGCTCAGTACGCCCACACCAGCCACACCAGCAACCACACCAAACACAACGGCGTGGAGCGGCGACAGGAGGCGTGTGCAGAGTGGACGTATGCGCGTGCGTGCCATCTGCGCATCGAGTGGCACCTCCAGCATCTGGTTGAAAGCGTTGGCGGAAGCTGAGCACAGCGCGACGCCACTGGCTGTACTGAGGAGCGTGCTGACCTCGTGCTGCACTCCTCCGCCTCCCTCGCTCTCCGGACACAGTGCATATCCAGCCATCGAAGTGAGCGTTACGAGGAACGTCAAGCGCGCTTTGCTTAGTTGCTTGTACAGCCGTAGGCGGTGTATGGGCGATATTGCAGGCAGCTTCTTCCACGCTATACGCCGACTTGTGGGTACGTGCACTACAGACGAAGGGGAGTTGGACAGCGGCGTTAAATTCACCTTGCTGGCTTTGCAGGTCGTGAAGAAATGCCTTGTGGACTTGTCCGGCGTTAGCTGATGGCTTGCACTCCGTCTTCTCGCTTACCATCGTTGGTGGGAGTGGAGTGGGTAGAATATGTCTTTCTTAATATGTTCATTGCATTATCGCTGGTATCATTACAATAACTCTCAATTGGCCTCCCAATACCCCCCACTGAGCCATTCACATCGCGTTCTGGGAAGGTACTGCACGCACAGCTCATTGAAGCTGTTGAGGAGGTCCTCAGGGGGTGTTGGGAGTGGTGATTGCTGTGAGAATGTTACTGGGTGTGTTGGTCAATCCTATTCCAATGAAAATTCTCATTGACTCACAAAATTTTGTTACTAGGCTCTTTCTCTCAGTGTCCTTCTGTCGTTGTGAGTAGAGTGAGAGGTCATTACCTAGCAAAACAAGACAAGGCAGTGACTGTGGATTCCAGTAAGATTTTAGCGTTTCTTCGTAGAGGGATTTATCGCAATGAGGCATGTATAGGAGGGTGTTTGTGGGTGTATTGTTGGGCGTGTTAGTGTTGTTCATAGTGCTATTGTCACCATCAACGCCATGTTTAAATCCAAATTTATCCAAAAATTTCACGTCAAACTCGGTTGAAACTGGATCAAAGACAGTGACACGATTCGAATTAATTTGTAAGCGTTGAGTGAGCCATTCCAAAACTACAAGTTGATCTAAAGCGTTGGAATTTGATTCGAAGCTGCCCAATCCAAGTGCAACAATACGCTTTGGTACTGGCCATTCCTCGGCGGCAATTAGAGAATTGAAGATGGCTAAATTTGGTTGAGTATGAGCCTAGACACATCATACAACCCACATTCTACCTCGTTAAACCATTTTGAACGCTTCAAAGAATGTCTTCTCTCTTGAAATGAAATTGAAATCCTGTCCTCAGTGTGATCGCTATTGTCAGACGCCGTTTGCAGCCTTCTATTAGACTTTCTACCACCACCGCCTTTAGATTTTGGCGTATATGCTTTGTATTTGAACATATTCCCGCTGTGGATGAGTGTTTTCTAGCACCAGCCATGGCCAACAACGACTTCAGAAAACAGAAATTATGGGGAGGCAGATTCACAGGTGAAACTGATCCTTTGATGCACCAATACAATCAATCACTCAGCTACGACAAGAGACTCTACGAGGCAGATATCCGCGGGTCTAAAGCATATGCTCAAGCGCTCGCTAGAATTGGCATACTTGATCAATCTGAAGCTACGCAGATTCAACATGGTCTTGATAAGGTTGGTCAGGAATGGTCCACCAACTCATTCACTATCCATCCCCAAGACGAGGACATACACACCGCCAACGAGCGTCGCTTGACTGAGATTATTGGCCCAGTCGCCGGTAAACTCCACACAGGTCGTTCACGCAACGATCAAGTAGTCACAGATGTCAGACTCTGGCTGGTCGAGCAGACCATACTGGTTGAGACATTCCTTAAAGACCTCATAGGCGTAATCAGCAGCAGGGCTTTGAATGAGATTGACGTGCTTATGCCCGGCTACACTCACCTCCAACCCGCTCAGCCTATCAGATGGTCACATTGGCTCTGCTCCCATGCTTTCTCCTTCGCAAATGACCTCGATCGTCTGAGAGGTCTTATGCCACGTTTAAATAAGTCTCCACTCGGTTGCGGCGCTCTCGCTGGTCACCCTTTTTCCATCGACAGAGCAACTCTCGCAAAAGATCTCAACTTTGGCGGCGTTATTGAAAACTCTATGAACGGCGTAGCTGATCGTGACTTTATCGTCGAGTGGCTCATGTGGGCTACTCTCACCCTCACTCATATGTCGCGCTTTGCGGAGGATCTTATCATCTACTCCACTAACGAATTCAACTTTGTTACTGCTGCAGATGCCTACTCTACGGGTAGCTCTATCATGCCACAAAAGAAAAATCCAGACAGTCTTGAATTGTTGAGAGGTAAAAGCGGTAGAATCTTTGGTCAGATGACAGGTTTCTTGATGTCGCTTAAAGGTCTGCCCTCTACTTATAATAAAGATCTTCAAGAAGATAAAGAACCTCTGTTTGATTGCGTCGATAGCATGAAATCGTCGTTACAAATAGCCACTGGTGTGATTTCAACACTCAACATACATCCTGAGCAAATGCACAAGAGTCTTGGAATGGACATGCTCGCTACCGATTTAGCTGACTATCTCGTCAGAAAGGGTATTCCATTCAGAGAGACCCATCACATTTCAGGCAGATGTGTCGCTTTTGCGGAGAAGAACAAAATTCAATTGTCTGACATCACTCTCGATCACCTCCAACAAATCGACAGCAGATTCAGTGAGGATGTCATGCAGGTGTGGAACTTTGAAGCCTCCGTCGATCGCAGAAATGCTATTGGTGGTACTGCTAGAAGTGCTGTCGAGGAGCAAATCAAGACGTTGCAGAGTTTGCTTTGAAATCTTTCCACCAAAGCACAATGTAATCACTTTAATTGGGTATAAACATATCTTTTTCTTCAGATAAACAAAGTTAATACAGATGCTATATTGTCTGTCTATAGACAATAGTAGATTTGAGTCGAATAGGGTGTGTTTAAGTGCAATTTGGTGTAATCATCTATTCATGTTGGTATATCTCTCGCACTTCCACCTGATCCAACACTGTTCAAGCTTTTGCGTTGATTCTGCTGTTGTGTTTGGAAATTGCTTGAGGTAGATCTGCTATATTCCAACTCGAACGACGAGGAGCGATTTCGCGGAAAGCTATCACTATTTGGTATATGTGGTATATTTGGCTGAACTTTAGCAGCATTTGGCACATCAAGGGGTTCACCACTGAGAAAGGACATGGAAGGTGGGGGAGGGAGAGGGCTGCTCGTATCCTCCTTTTGAGCTTGTTGCTGCAGCTCCAGTAGACTACCTTCTCTTTGACGTTCGTCAAGACTAGGTGACGCTGTCATTGAGCGACCAGTCGTTGTCGTTGGTGTTGCTGTTGTTGGTGTTGTAGAATGGACATGACTCGTTGACTTACCCCTTATCCTATTCCACAGCCCCCTTATACCCCCCTTCTTCTTCTTAGAGTGCTTCCCGTCGCTCTTGTTCAAACTGCGTGTCGATGGGTATTGCTTGCCCTGATAAACTTCCATCCCATTCATCGAGCTCGTCCTGTTGGGATCGCGCTCCTTCTCAAGCCCGAGATGCATATCGACCATGGAGCCTGAGGGGTGAGCAGACGCGACGCTCGTCGCAACGCTCCTATTGCTGTGTCTGAAGAAGAGGCTGAATGGGCGTCTGGAATGTGTCGAGGTGGGTGAAGTAGCTGTGAGTGTAGATGGCGACGCCGGTGTCGACTGCGGACTGTGAGGAACTTGCAGCTGCGAAGAGTTACGCGGTACGCTAGTTGGAACTTGCAAATCATTGCTCACGCTCGCCGGTCTGTTTTGAACCTTACTCTGACCCTGAACTTGACTATGACTCCGACTCCTGCTCTTACTGCTATTGCTCACCTCGCCTTTGCCGTAGTTTGTGATAACATTCGCCGCATCGTCAGGTAGAGGCGGTGCATTGGCGAGCGAAATAGCCAAGCTTTGCTTTGAAGTGCGGTTGTTGATTGGGGTATTTGGATTAGCAGTCGCAGTAGCATTCGCGGCCGCGTTTGCACTCGCACCCGCAATAGCGTTACCATTAACGTTAGCACTTGACTCGGACAATCTGCGTCTCCTTGGAGCAACTTGTTTCAGGGACTGAGGCGGGTTGAGTGAAGAGGATGAAGGGTATTTGAGCATAGTGTCGACAGTCCTGTCAATAGCTGTAACGTTGTTACGACTGACTTGATCTGCGACGTATGACTTGAGATTTCTAGCGCGATAGTTGGAAAGTGGTGGATTGAGCTTGGTCCACGTCGCCAAAGCGTCTTCCGTAACCTCATCCTGTGGACGAAGACCTGTTCGCTGTGAAGGTGATATGCCATTATGCTCCTGTGCTGACCAAAGAGCGAGAGATTTCTCAAGCTCGCCATCCGACGCGTTCTGCCAAACCGTAGGGGAAACGTCTACATCGGCCATATCCTTATCGCGCATCATGCATTCCAAGCATATCTCAACGACAGGTGGATTTAGAGTAGGTGGAGTGGGCAGAGCTGCATCGGGATTTATCTGATCGCCCTCAAGGTCTGTGCTTGGATCGCGTGTTGGACCACTTGAGCCAATTTTTGGAGGGAAACCAGCAGGGAAATTGGACAAATTACTTGGCCGAGCGAAATCATCATTAGAATTAAACTTTATTGATCTCAGCGAAGTATTTGAAGGTAGTAACGATTCCGGTAATCGGGGCTTGAGGAATTCTGAGTGGTATTTTAGCTGTGACTAGTTCGTAGGTGAGAATTGCTTATATAAATTCCATCTAACTCACGCTATTCCCATTATCCATTATTTTAACTTTTTCCAAGTTGGTTGCTAGTGTGATAGTTGCATATGGTATGTATTTAACTTGATTTAATGTGTTTGACTTTAATATTATACATATACTATCAATTCCAAACCTCAATCATTTCTTACACTCACTCCCTCGCTCCTTCCCTTATTCTCACATTTCCAGAAATTTTTCACTCATTCTAAATTTCAACATCAACTATATTAATATAAAAGAAAAGAGAGCATTACAAGAAAGGTTCATCTACTTCCTGTACCACAGCGTGGCTTGTCTGTTCCTTCTCATCTTCCTCTGAAGTTGAAGCATAGCATAAAGGAGTGCTTCAGCGGTTGGTGGACATCCAGGTGAGTATACATCCACAGGTACGATACGATCGCAACCGCGTACGACAGAGTAAGAGTAATGGTAGTAACCACCACCGTTAGCGCAAGAACCCATAGAAATAACGTAACGAGGAAGTGGAGTTTGGTCATAGACTTTGCGAAGGGCAGGAGCCATCTTGTTGGTTAATGTACCAGCAACAATCATCAAATCAGATTGACGTGGAGATGCACGGAAAACGACACCAAGTCTGTCTTGATCGTAACGAGCAGTGGCCATATGCATCATTTCAATAGCACAGCAGGCTAATCCGAAAGTCATTGGCCATAAGGATCCCTGTGGAAGGTTGTTAGAGGGTAATTCTTGAGTACACCTTCTTGTGGACTTGTCGCAGCGTCTTCTCGAAGAAACGACGCAGAGAAGCCGTGAAGAAGCCATTTAAAATATGTAAACCTACAGTCTGTCCCCAGTCTAATGATATTATCAGCTTAAACTCAAAAAAGAAGACAGCGACTCACTTCTAACTTTATCCAATGAAGTAAGTGCGTATTCCACGCCATTACGTGGCTGCTCCAGACTGAGCTGGTTTGAGCCTTGTTGGGCGATGTTTGTTGCTGGAATTGGACGACTTGCTTCCAATGCTTCCCCAGGACGTTGAGTGGTTGTTGACAAAGTGCGTGTAAGTGTAGGCAGTCTACCAATTGGTGATAATAATTGAGCTGCTACGTATTCAGCTAGATCCTTTAAAACAACTAAATTCCTCACGCTTCTTTAAAACGGATAACATGATTGGATGGGAGCTGAGCAACAGATAACCATATTATTGTGGCAATAGGAAGAAAGAGTTAAAAATTTAAATGTCTGTACAGGCATTCTCAATTACCGTAGATCTATTCAAATCAATTTATAATTTGTTTACAAAACTCCGCTTTCGCCACGGCTTAGAGGGGGAAGTGCAAACAACTTGAAAGCGGTCTAAATAGACTCGTTATTATCATCAAGCTCTAGCTTACTTTAATCTACGGTATAATTGTACAGCAGATTTTCCTACTGTGAGCCAAATGTCTGAACTCAGTGAGATATATCCTATGATATGTGAGGAATGTAGATTGCTTTCACAAAATACACTCACCCCTGCCAAGTTCCTTTTAGATGGAGTCAGTGTGGTCAATTCACAATCTGAAAAAAAAACCCACCAAGAGCTAAACGACCATTTGTAATAGGAATTGTGAGTGAAGGACCAATCAAAGATGTTTTGGTGTGTGATACTGAGTCACTAATTATCGCAATTGTGAGCTTTTGAATCAATTAAACACAACAACCCACTCCGGGCCCTCGTCAACGTGATCCCAAGGGAAGGATTCGGGAACAATCTTGTCTAAACAGCGATCCATATCAGTACGCACTGTGTAATCGCAATTCTCATTGATAGTGAGTGCAGCAGATGTGTGCTTTATGAACAAATTGAGAATTCCAACCTGAGTATTCGATAATCCATCTCTTATTTGCTCTACAACTTGATCCGTAACCAAATGACAGCCTTTTGATTGACGTGACAGTGTTATTGTCTTTTGATAAGGCATTTTACAGTGGAGTTGGTGGAGTTGATGGTTATGAGAGAGGATAATGACGGATTTAGAAAGGATTCAAACGAAAGTAAAACATGTAATGTCTTATACGATTGTCTTTATTGAGTTCATGTCTTTAGATTTTGCATACTCTAAGAAATAAATTTCCATCTACTCCGATCCAAAGCCAGAATCACGCCAAAGACAAGTACGTTTGACAGGAGATTTTTAAAGAAATAAGTTTAAGTTATTCAAGCTCAACCATCTAATAAGAAATTAAGTATATTTTTTAAGAATGACTTATTTTAGAGTTGAGGACGCGTCTACTCGACGGCATACACCTTTCACTCATACCATCACAGGGGACGTAATTTTGAATATTGAAATCAAAGAAATTAGAATGCAATGTTATTAACGCCATCGAAATTAAATTTTAATCAAATAATTTCGTCTCCTTCGACGGCGACGACGACGACGACATCATCGAATAACTCTGATGAAGATATCTTGGATGAAACGTATTCCTTTTTCAACAGCAGCAGCCAATCATCTACAAGCTCAGATGTACACACCACCATCAACTCAGAATCTTTGAATTCATTCAAATCCATCAACAAAGTCAACTACCTTCGACCACCACCAGAGCCCTCTGTTAATCCTCCACCTTCTCAACGTCCAAGGAAGGTCTTCTCTACTCTCTCTCCCACTGAAAAACCTTCAAGAAGATCAAGTCTACGCTCAAACCACAGTGATCACTCAATTCCTCACTTTAAAAGAAGTTCAAAGAAATCTTCTATTCCTCCAAATTCTACTGGGAACAACCAAAGATATAGAAATATCTTTCCTTCCCCTGATCCTCCTGATCCTCCTAATAGAGCTTCTTTTCCCCTTCAACCAACTTCCTACGCTTCCGCTAGACCTTTACAGGCTGCATTCCAAGCTCCGTCTACTCTCCTTTCGAAGAAATCCAAACCCTTTAATCCCTCAAACATTGGCCCTTCTGGTTCTCCTGCTTATCTTCCTCATATGCCTGACACTCCCGCTAAACCCTCTGCATTCGCCGCTAAAGCTCAAGCTGATATGTCACAATCTTTACCTGCTCAACAAACTAAGAATCGCACTTCATTCTTCGGTAAATCCGCTAAAAGACTCAGTTTAAATTTGGCTCTAGCTGCAAATTCTCCTTCAAAAGATGAAGATCAGAGCAACAATGGTAGAGGTAAAGGCAGAATGGCCATATTACGCAGATCGTCTGCTCTTAGTTTGAGTAGTAATCGCACTACTGCTTCCAGTGATAGTGATGGTAGTCCAAGCACTCGCAAGACTTACGACGATGAATGCTTAACTCCAACAAATCATTTTGATGAAAGTGAGTTGGTTTTCTTATCACTTATTACTCATCTAACACTTAACAGACAACAGCAACACTGCAAACTCACCAACTCCTTCATCAAAATTAGCCACCCCAACATCAAAAACTTCGAAAATCACAAGACGTGCATCTCAATTGTTTGATAGAGCTTCTAACCCTTTATCTTCATCCCCCGAACCTTCATCTCCTACTTCTCCGAAACGACCTTCGCTTTTCTCATCCCTTCGTTCACGTGAAAAAACTAGGTCAATGTCTTCAATGTCCTCATTCATAAGGAGACGTTCATCTTCCAAGTTGTCTATATCATCCAAAGCGGACAAGGACAAGGCCAAAGGGAGGGATAGTAATACGATAAAGTTTAACAATCCGAGTAATAGTGACGGCAGTTCAAGTACTATTAACGTCAATAAAAACCAAATTAGTCCCACTCCACCTCCACCCCCGCAAGGCAGATTCGAAAGAGAATTCTTCATCATTTCTCAACTTGGTAAAGGTGAATTCTCAGAAGCTTTCATTGCATGTAAACGACAAGCGGCTTACAACGGTCAAATATACGCTATCAAACGTGGCAAACCATTTGAAGGTGGTCGCGATAGATTACGACAGCTAAATGAACCAATTACGCTTTCCAAGTTATCACCACATCCAAATATTATCAAATTGAATGATTACTGGGAGGAGAATAACAGACTTTATATACAGACCGAATTGTGTGAAAAGGGTTCACTCAATAACTTCTTGGACGACTATGGCTCCAGGTTTGAAAAATTAGATGAGACACGTGTTTGGAAGATGCTAGGCGATATTGCAGAGGTTAGTTGGATGAGTTTGTGCAAATGCAATTACTGACTTCATCCTTTAGGGAGTTCGATTCCTTCACGCTTCAGGTATTTGGCATTTAGATCTCAAACCAGCCAACATCTTTGTTGCATCGAATGGTACGCTCCTAATAGGAGATTTCGGTCTAGCAGTTCAAGAATCGCAGCTGCGTACGTCAACACAGTACAAGAACTTACCAAAGCGGCGGAAGTCTGAGCCCGATACAGATGGTCCTATATCCATGTTAACGACGGTGCTAGAAGCGTCAGATGGGGTAGAAGAAGATGACATTAGTCTTTATGCAGGTGATTTGGAGAGAGAAGGTGATAGAGAGTATCTTGCTCCTGAAATTCTTCGGGGAAATTATAGCCATGCAGCCGATATCTTCTCACTCGGTCTGATTATCCTCGAAGCCAGTTGCAACATTGTCCTACCAGGAAATGGAGAACCATGGCAGAAGCTGAGGTCACTAGATTTTAGTGAATGTCCATTTGACGATCTATCAATTGCACTCGTTGACCTCATCAAGGCTATGCTCGACCCCAACCCCGAAAACAGACCTTCGGCATACCAGATACTCCAACATCCAATATTAGATAGTGTGAATAAGAAACGTTCTACGGGGGCACTGGAGAGGGAAGAAGATGCTTCCTTCATGGATAGTATAGTCAACATGCTCTCTAAGTCCACACTCAATAAACAGATTATTTATCAAATGAAACCAATACAAAACCAATCTCTACAACCTCAACCATCTCCACAAGGTCAACGGACATCATTCACTCCAAACACTCCAAACACCTCCGCCCAAGCTAGTCTTATTCTCGTCGATCAAGATGACAATCAATTATTTAGTAGATCGTCTACAGATGAGAATTTGATGGATTTAGATAAATAATGTCGCACGTCTTTTGCATGACAGTATCTTGCATAGCAGTCTCTAAGTTATATTCTCAAGCAATCAAAAACCAAGTAGCATATATCATTAAATGCTCTATTCATTCTTTTATTATCGCACTTGTTGCGCTTACTCATTTCGCTTTCTTTACCAGTTTACAAGTATTACGGTTAAATAACTTTATATCTCACTCCGCAGTGGTTTCTTAACTTTCTTGAAGCACTCAGCACTCAGCTTCCAGTTTTCACTCATTTCAACATCCAAATAATCCAATTGAATCCAATTTTATGTTGTAAAACCAATCATATTCGATATTTGATATCAATATTTTTACAAATAGTACAAGTGTATTTAAGATTTGAGTTTGAGAGATTGATGGTGTTTGTATGCGTTAATACGCTCCTTCTTAGCAGCCTGTACCTTTTTTCTTTCCTCTTTAGCCTTGCGCATGTCTCTAGGGATACTAGTCTCTAATTGATTAATTTTAGTGGGAATATACACCAACTGATCGCCGTTCAGCCAAGGAGCAGTGAGTGTGTATTTTTGGATATCATCCAATCTGCGTAGTATAGTCGCGGTGAGTGGGTGTTGTTCTGTGAGTGATACGACAGCCACACGTTTGAGTTTAAGGGTTATTGCCATTGCTTCTTCACTGCCTTTAGGCAACTCAATGAGTACGATTGAGTGTGAGTTCTTTGAGTTGTTCACTGCAATTTGTATCGGTAAATGGGCTAATAAGCGTGAAGGGTTTACGTCGCTTTTGCATGCGAGTACAACACGCGAAGTGGATGTAGAGCCAGCTTCAATGTCTCGTGTAACTGAGTTTATACCGATAAGTGTTGAAGGCGGAGTGAGTGGGGGTGTAGACTTGTTCTCAACTTTCTTATCACTTCGCAGCTTCCGCCTTTCTTCAGGAGAAATTCCTTTGGCTATTGATTCAGATGGAAATTTGGCTTTAAAATCCGTAAAAGAACCAGTAATGTCTTTAAGCACACCGTTTGAAATTGAAGTTGGTGGACAAGGCCAATTCAGTTGATATGGTGTTTCTAATACGGCTTTAAATGCAGGCTTTCTTTCACTTGCACTGGCTTTAGACTTATTCCTAACTGAGTTTTTTGTATTTGCGTTTCTAGCCAAGTTGTTCTCGTGGACGTTCATGTTAAAATGATAATAATTCTAATACGCGTTACTTTAATCGTAATTTCTATCTATTTTCTGTTGAAGTATCGCCAGTTAAGCGTTGAACTTGGTTTCTGCGATACCTGGAAATCTTCAAACGCTATTGTCGATCAGCGTGTTGAAGAGCTAGTCAGCCTATCAAACGACGCAGAAGATCCAAACAGTTTCTACTCTCTCCTACCTATTCCAACTCAATGCACTCCATGTCCAAACTACGCGTTTTGCGAGCAAGGCAATCTCATTTCTTGCCCACAAGAATTCATCCTCACTGACTCACTGCTTTCATTCTTTCCCTTTTCGAATATCCTCAATGGATTGCCCTACGCTGGTCCTATCGCTTTCCCTCCTCGCTGCGAACCTGACTCAGACAAAAGAGCAATGGCTGCAGATGTCGCTGTTCACCTCTTATCCACCCTTGAAAAACATAGAGGTGATGTTACTTGTGGTAATTTAAAGCGTAAAAGGGGTTTGAGTGATATCGACGCATTTTCACTCAGCGAGGTTGATGTTTACGCCTTTATTTCGGCACTTAAGGATGTAAGTTGAACTGAACACTCACTGCCTATTCATCTGATCTTTTGTTACAGAAGACCATCTCTCAAGATGAGTTCGACGATATTTACCAATTGGCTGTGAAGGATCTGGTCGATAATGAGGAAATAGACACTGTGAGGAGGGATAATGGGTGAGTATTACATTTAAGCGTTTGATACATTTAATCACGTTTAAGACGCTAAACGCTCACATACTAACACCTCTCTCAGTATAAACCTCCTCATTGCTCGTAATGCTCAAATCAGTCTCGGATGCAGACTCCGGCTGAAACTGTCCTCTATTGCTAGGAAATGGCGCCTCGAATTCTGCACCTTGGTCGCCCTTTTCCTCGGATACACCTTCGCTTTGACGAAAATAAGACGCGCGACGGCAGAGAAGAAACGAGTGAAAGAATTGGTCAAGTATACGATCGAACATGTGCGGGAGAGGGTGCGTTGCTTTGGTTAAGATTATTAGCACACTTACGTATACTCACACCCCTCTCAGATGGTCGAAAGTATGCACGATCCAACCATGGCGCCTTACGTCATTCCCGAACAGATCAGAGACAATGCGCTCTCAGATATCCACTCCTCGGCTAAGCGACAAAAGCTATGGAGTCGCGTGAGGAGCGTCGTCGAATCTAACGCTAATATACAGCTCAAGCAGCTAGAGATACAGGGCGACATTACCGATGTGTTTGAATGGAAGTCGTCGTGATCTTTGCATTTGTTGTAGCTATGTATGTGATTATATTAGAGTAAGAGGACGACTGAAATTTAAAGATGCACACATTATAGTACAGCAAAGCAACAGCAGCAGGAATAGCAAAAGAATTGAAATAGAATGACCTACTCATTCACCACAAATGCCGTCGAGTAGTAAGTCTTGCGCAATATCTCCAAGCCCCTCATAAAGCTCACCTCAAACAACACCCCACTACCTCCGACTTCCTCAAACGCTGTCTTTAGAAAAACGACCGAGCTCCTCAGTTCGCACAGGATTACTTTGGCAAATTGAAAAGGCTGGGTGAAGTCCATAAGCACATACCTGTCTATCTCACTTTCTATATCCTTAACAATGACCAGAGTGAGTGGGTGTGCAAATTTGCTTATAAGCTGCTGGATGGAAAACTTATGAAAATGAAAGTCATTGAGGGAGTTGACTACGAGAGTAAGCTCCTTGACTGAGTTGGATTGTGGGATATAGTCTATCAGGTTGTGCTTCCCATATGCTAGCTCTTTCTCTCGCACCTCTTCTGCCGCTGCCAGTTCCAACTCATAGAGCATCTCGCGGAGGTTGATGTGCAAACTGTTCAGCTTGGTCATTTGAGATATGGGTAGGCAGCGCTTAGTGACATTCGAGTCCACCAGCGTTTTCGGATAGGCGAGGTGCAAATGTCTTGAGTTGGGTTGCTATTGTTAGTAGCGTCGTATGAGTATGCATCCAACACACACCTAACACTACCCCTCGTCAGTCTGAAGTAGCTCTGGCCAGGCTGCATCTCTGAAGTGTTGCTGTCGACACTGACGTAAGCAAAGAGTACATCTGCTACCAGATTGCGCAATGACTTGTTCACGAGTGATACCATCTTAAGCGTCATCAAGTCAACATCCACTAGAACATTTTTTGTACTTCTGTTGGTAAACACTCGAAGCTAAGCTTCTGATGTTTGGTTAGTGTGTCGAGCTTGGTGTCTTTCGTGTGTTTGCTGTATGTGAACATCTTGGTCTGCATTGGTAACGATGTGAAATCAAGACGTTTTATATGACTTTGTTAGATAGTTGGCTGAGCTTACACTTTGCGTAAACATTCTATTACACTAAGTGAAAATTTGCATCCCACGCTAGCAAAAGCAACACAAGTAAAATAAACTAATGGCTTGTTGAAACAAAACTTTTAAAGGTGTTAAATATCATCAAGTCTTTTGATGTACGAATGCAGGCAGATTCGCATTAAATTGTTCATTGTCCTTATCCTCCCCATCGAGCTGCAATTTGAGTCCTTGAACGGAAGCAGCCCTAGACCTTGTTGAGTTTGGTTTATACTCACCCTGAGGTAGTGATGTACTTTTCTGCATTGGCGTGGCTTGCGATGTATCCCGTCTAAATCTCCTTTTCAGCGGTCGTATCGTCGTTGTCGACCCGCGTGTTATTATACCGATACATACCACTGCCAGCAATATAACAATCTGAGCGATACTCAATCTCTTCCCAACCATCACCTTGAGCAGTGTTAGACTGGCCTGCGCATATCTTTAACACCTACCTCAGATGTCAAATAAGAAACTTCTGACTTTAATCTATCTCTCTCGTCTTGTGTTTCCTTGTGTGACTGATCTAAGACCTTGATAGTCTCAGCTAGTCGTACTTCATTTCTCAGAGCAAGTGACTCGACTTTACCACTTAGGCCCCTCTGAGCAAGTCTTGAATCCTTGAGAGCCCTGCTAAGCATTTGTGACTGAGCTTCCAATGTCGCTAATCTTTTGTTGATGGTTCTATAAATCGATTCACCGGCATTTACCTGCGACGGCGTTCTCTGAGGCTGTTGATACTGAGGGGAGTATGACCTGGTCGATTCAAATTCCCCGTTTTCAGTCTCATTACCGTTTTTGACAGGTTGTGCGGGTTGTGCAGGTTGTGCAGGTTGTACAGGTTGTACAGGTTGTACAGGTGGTACAGGTGGTACAGGGGCAGGATCTGCTGGTGAATAAGAATCCTCTTGATATAATGTCCTCTCAAAAGCTTCAATCTCCTCAGGAGACGCATAAATGTCGTCTTGAAATTGAGAACTTTCCAAGAACTTATGCAAATCTTGGAAATCATCGTGAAAGACAGCAGGTGTTTCTTCATTAACCTTATTGGTAGATTCCACATCTTCCTCCAATCTAAATGCTTCCATCTGATCAACACCGTAAACTCTAAGTAAAGATAGCGGGCAGTAGTACTCGTTTCCGTAATGATCCAAGAAGTCAATGCGCAAATATCTATAGAAATCAGGTGTAGGTCGTGGTAGTTGGAAAGTCTGAACACCTCGAACGTTCCTTGCTCTAAATTCACCTACAGGCAACCAACCTTCCTCAGAGACTGGCCATGAGCGGGAAACGCTAACTCTAAACTTTTTGAAAGCACCGGAAAAGAATTCGTAGTTTGCTAATACGATTGTATCAATACGTATTTCATTGCAGAGTTCTGTAATAACCCAACGCTTTGATGTGTTGCATGGCGTCAGCATGTATCTATCCTTCTTTTCAGATAAAATGGCAGAAGCACCAGATGAATTTGGTGTAGACTGCAAAATAACAGCTGCACAATCAGAGGAAGCATGATTGAATCTATCTTTAAGCGGTGAAGTTGGAATTGGGAGTGGTGCAGGTGTGGATGTTGGTATAAAATCTAAATTATTGATTTCTGAGAGTATTTCTATATCAAAATTGTTGACCTGTGTTGCCAATTCTGAGCCTGGCTCAATCCGTGGCTCAACATCGAATATCGTATCGTTAGCTATACAGAATTCAGGTTTCTGGCAGCTTTGATTATCTGCTATGTCTTGTGTACTCAGCAGCTCTGCTAATGCTCTCGAAACAAACAAAATCCAATTGAATTTCATCTCAACTCCATGATAGTTTCCAGTAAAATCTATTCATTTGTTATTTTTTATAAATACATTAAATATTCTCATTTGTTTCAGTTGTCTCAGTTGTTCGCAATTCCAACGTTAAATAATCCAGTTCCAACTTCTGGTACCGATCCCATTACTATAGATGACGCTGGTGACTTCATATCGTCAAAGTCACCATACAACGCTGCTTCTGCGATAATAGACGCTGTCGTCTCGAAAGATGCACGCAGCAGTGGACTTGGTGAGCCAGATAATCCAGTCTGTAGTCATGTCAGCTAAGAACCTCGCTAATATCACCCCCACTCACCCTATTAAATGGCTTGTATCCTCCATCATATGTCATGTAATCAGCCAACAGCGCCAAGTGTCTAAAGTCAACACCGATACCATAGACTTGGAAAATACCAGCAACTTCATTAATGATAGATGCACGAGCAGCTTCCACACCATAAGTACGTCTAATTGCATCAATGTCGTTGCAGTAGAGCTGATTGAGATCGATAAAGTCTTGTCCAAATCCTCTGATACCCATAAGGTTTGCACCTTCAGTTTGTATCGATCTTTGCTTCTTGGTGCTACCATCCTTGTTCTTCTCCTTATCAAGGAGAATCGCTCTAGAGATACCACGGACTTCACGAACAACAGTCTTACGACAAGCCTTCTCGATAATACCGACAAGCAACATCTTAAGTGCCTTACTGCTAAACTCTAACTCAAAGTCGACATATCCACCCTCACGGTCACACTCTAGCTTAGTCATGTAGTGAGAAGTTTGAACAATCTTATCCTCAAGTTGTGAAAGCTTCTCACCGAGCTGTTTTGAGTGTTTGCGTTGACGCTCACTATCATCTTGTATATCAGATTCATTGTCTGAATCACCCACGTGATCTTCGTTATCCTTCTTGTTCTCTTCTTCATCTGACTCGCCTTCATCAGAGTATGATGTTATCTCCTTAGTCTTCTCAGAACGCTTGCGTGACTCAGCATCTCCTTCATCAACTTCATCATCTCCTTTCTGCGTTTCTCTCACAGGTGCGTCTTCATCCTCGTTGTTTTCATTCTCACCCGGCTTTTCTCTCAATTTCTGTCCTCTGCCGATATTGGCAGCTGAGCCTGTTTGTTCTCTAGTCACCTTACGCAATTCGATAGTGATCTCCTTATCCAAAATGGCCGAAAATCTTCTGATTGCGTAGCTAATATCGATTGGCTCTACGTTATACTCTTTACTGTACTCAGCAGGATCGTAAAGCTTGAGGTGGACGTTATATGTCTTGCGTCTAGAGAAGCCATTCTCTGGCGTCTTTGAAGAGAGCGACTCAATTACCCTTACATCATCTACACACTCCGCAAGAGTCAGCTTGTTGAGGTTCTTACAAAACACCTTCATCTCATCTTCAGTGATGTGTTCGTAAACAGGTAACTTCATCACTGGGGTCCTGATTTGAGCTGACGCCGTCATGACAATCTCACGAAGACGAGGAATACCAAGAGTAACATTAGCGGCACCGTGACCAGCAAAGTGGAATGTGTTCAACGTCATTTGAGTTGAAGGCTCACCAACACTGTATAGCCGGTTAGTGTCTTGGAAAATGTAGGAAGAACCCCACTTACCCTTGAGAGGCCAACAAACCAACGGCTTCACCAGGTTCTACTAAACTACGAGCGTAGACAGTCTTCAAGAGATTCTTGAATTGCTTAGGTTTGGCAATAGCACCACCCTGCTGCTTGAGTTTCTTGGTGAGAATCTCAATCTCAGCATCGGTTACCTTGCTCTTCTTTGATGATTGTGGAACAAGTAGACCATCTGGATTGTTCTCAGCGTACTCTTCCAATGCTTTTGCGAACTTCTCCGAGGTAGAACCGAGATAAACTGAAGGAGAAAATTCTGACAATGCTGGCGCATATTTGTATGGCTTCTTGAGGGCCTTCTTCATGTGTGTGTCAGCAGTTTCCTCATCAACCTTGCCAATCAGTGCCTTTGGATTGTACTTCCTCATCATACTGTCGTAGTTCTTCACAGCAAAGTTGTACTTATTAAGGTAAACTTGCTTAGTAACATCGAGTGCATCCTCACCGTATTGGAATTGAATAACACTGTTATCGGAATCTCTAACAGTATGATCATAGTGCACCTTGATACCCTCCAAATGCTTAATCAAACATCTCTGCAAGTATCCAGATCTTGCAGTCTTGACAGCGGTATCAATCAGACCTTCTCTACCAGCCATACAGTGGAAGTAGTACTCTTGTGGTCTGATACCAGTCAAGAAACGTTGAGCTACGAAACCACCAGCTCTCATATCAGTTTCGAATGGCTTGAAACAAGGAAGAGTTTTTCCTGATACCATGACTGGTACACGACGACCTTCAAGTGACTGTTGACCCAACAGACAAGAAATTTGAGAAGCGTTGACCGCAGATCCCTTGGAACCTGTAAGAACCATGGCTTGGAAGTGGTTAGATGGGAAGTGTCTCCAAAGTCCGTTAGGTAACGTCTTTTTAAGAATCTGTGACTTGATTTGTTCATTCTTGGATGTAGATGCCTGGTCCATCATGGCCAATTTATCATCATCACGCAAAACCTCCTCCAAACGCATCAGGACATTACGTTTACCTTCAGATCCTTCAGATTGCTCTTTGGTCAATCCAATAGAGTCAATGGCCGCTTCAAATCCATATCCCTTGGTACTTTGAAGTATGTTGTCACGATCCTTGTTACCATCGTCCGTCAAGATCAAATCATCCATTCTACAAGTGAAACCACGATGTTGGAGGTACTTAGTGAAAAGTCTTGAAAGGATGGAGAGTAATTTACCAGCGATATCTGATCCATACAACTCAAAAACTGAGTGAACAAGACCATATGAGGATGTACCGAATTGAGAGCTATCAATGATACCTGAGCAAACTACACCATCCAAAATAACAACTTTGTTCTCATTCGATCCCCAAGCTGGCAAATACTCAGCTTTAACTTTCGACTCAGATTCAAGGTTGAGACCACGAGCGTTAGCTGGAGTGATATTCTGTAAAATTGTAGAGATGATTTGTTTACCAGTCCACAATGGCTTAGGTTTCCAAATAGCCGGTGGGAGGAGATGAACACGACCACCGCCAGTATAGTCATTCTCTGGTCTGAGTGCACCATAGAGTAGTTGCTGGTATTCATCTCTCGAAAAGAAGGTCGACTTCATAGTCATCCAACTACCAGCAACGACGTGATCCTGAATGAGACCACGCAAAGGTTTACCTGAAGTAGGTACCAAATACTGACTGTCGTTGTTTGCAATAAACTTCATTTCAGCTTTGGCTATGGCTGATTGAGCAAAGTGCATATTCATCTCGTCACCGTCGAAGTCAGCATTGTAGGATTTGCAGTTAGCGTAGTGCATTCTAATAGTTCTCTCGCCGTGCAAAACTTTTGCTTTGTGAGCCATCATAGAAGGTTTGTGGAGAGTTGGTTGACGGTTGAGCAGTAAAAGGTCACCATCTCTCAGGTGCCTAAAGACCTTCTTGTTTATAGACGTAGTACGTGTTGTCATCTTATTTTGATTATCTGGTCTGTTGGATGGGGTGAGAAGTTGGTTTGCGATTGCTGTCCTCTGCTCTTGAGACTTCTTCTCGAGACTCTCCATTCTGCCGTCTTCGTACTGAATCATGCTGGCTCCTGGATAGTTCTTTGGACCATTAATCACGAGTTTGCGAAGGTAAGACACATTAAATGCGGTTACTGGCTCAGGGTAGGTGAGAGTTTTTGCGAATACAGGTGGAACACCGATTTCACTCGTCTCAATGTTGACATCTGGAGAGATGACCGATCTAGCGGCGTGGTTAACACGTTTACCCATCATGTGCTTTCTGAAAAGACCTTCTTTCTTCTCGAGTACTTGCTTGACACCAGGTGTTGGTTCGCGACCTTGCGGAAGACGTGCGGGATTCTTTGACGAGTCTATAAATGAGTTTACGCCGTGTTGGAGGGTGATGAGTTCTTCAAGGAGTCTCTGGTAGGTTCTATCTCTGATAATTTTAACACCATCGGCACCGAGGCTACTGTTGTTGGCCATAGTCTGAGCATACTCTTTGTCGTTAAGTGCCGACATTTCATTATTGTAGTCGCGAATTCTCAAAGAAGTTTGAAGGACAGCACCGAGAAGCTCATTTTGAGGGTGTTCCATCAGAGCATCGCCCATACGTGCAGCAGGTCTGAAACGAGTTGGTGGAACAGGGATGGCAGACATGAAAAAGATATCGGCCATAGCTTCGCTAGTAGGGAAAGGACCATGACGTGAGAAAATGATTGAAACGAGAGGTTTTTCGTTCTGGAAGAGACGGTGCAAATGACTTTGAACCTCTGAAGCTGGCATGACTCTTTCACTTCTTTTAAGAGCAGCTGCGTTTGCTTTGTTATTTGCTTTGAGAGCGGCTATATCATCCTCCTCGTCAGCGTCAGCGTCAAGATTGTTGTTTTGGTCTTGATTAGAGTGTGGAGGATTGGAGTGAGTGTCGTCACCCTCACCTTCACTCTCACTGCTGTCGTCATCACTGCCATCGCTGCTACTAGCGTTTTGAGTGTGTGCAGTGGATTGTTCGTTAAGAGCATCTCTTGCGTTCTTATCAACAGCAGCTTGTTCTTTGAGAACATCAGGTCTGCTTAAGTTGAGAGCGCTGTGATGAGCTTCTTGTTTCGGAGTAAGTGAATACTCAATAATTTTAATGGTGCCTTCCTTTCTAAAAGCGTGAGCGTAAGCGGAACAATTGTCGCACTTCTTTCTGTACATCTGCTTGAATAGTTGGTGGAAAAGTCTCTTCCTAGTCTGGTAGACCAAGCCAGACTTGTATTCATCCCTTGTCTTACCAGATTGGTGAGCCTTGTGAATGTTGAACCTAACCCAGCTATTGACTCTATCCTTGTACGCGTCAAGCTCGCGATCCTTTTCGAGGGCTTTGAGGGCTTTCTTGGATAGCTTGGTAGCAGATTCTTCGTCGTCAGCGTCAGTAACGCCACGCTTAATGAGGTCGACTTGCTCAGCCTCATCGAGCAAGCCATAGTCGAGGAGAGCGAGTTTAGCGACGTATCTGGCGACCTGGGAATTGTTGTTAGCTGCTGTTATACCACTCCAAATCCACGCACCACCGCAGGATCAAGTTTGAATTTGTGGCAGTACAAACACACGCCACGGAGAATATTAAAGCAGTGGTTGAAGAATAGTGGGTGGTAGTTGACAGTGGGTAGTTCTATGTGTCCAAAGTGTCCTGGGCAATTGAATGAGCTTAATCCGCAAGTGGCGCAGCTGTGGAAGGCGTGAGAGGGGGAATCACTGGCACTGTACAAGTACCCACATATCCCCTCTATCTGACGGTCCCAGCGCTGGATCGTACAATCCCCCAGCTGTCGGTCTTCCCGTGTTATCCAACAGATTCGGGTTGACAATCTGCTTCACGGAAATCTTCTTTATCTCGTCCGTCGTTAAAAACCCAAAGGAGACGCTCTTGGGCTTTGAGCTGATTGGATGGGCGATGTCCATGCCTCTGTTTATTTGGTGATGATGGCTGTGTTTTGAAGAAGATGGTTTATAAACCCCTACTACTACCAAATCAATGGCGAAAAATTATCATTTACTAGTAATTACAACTTTTTTAATGAAATACTATCCATTTCTGTCCACATTTTCACTTTATATGGTTGCTCCTTCCCTCCTACGCCTGTGATAGTGACGACGTGTATGCCTGAATCGAGGAGGCTATCAAAGATTCTCCCACACCGACTAACGCCCTCCACTTCCATCTCCACCTGCGAACTTGCTTCAATGCGCAATCTAACGCGACTCTTCCTGGGTAAATCCAGTTTATAATCTGAACATGGTCTATCCACCACCCCACACGTATCCGGTGCGGCAAACAATCCCGAACCTTCCTGCGCGAGGGGTGAAAGTGATATGGGAGCTGAGCAGTCAGCGAAGAGGGTGAACGAAGCGAGTTGGCCAGCCTCGAAAGCCGACACAACGACCGTGTACTCCCGCCCACTCACCACTTGATCTCTCTCCATCACTGCTAATTTGTGCGTATAAACTCCGGAATCCCCCGCTATGTGAATCCCCCTCAACTCAAACACCCGCTCTGTCCCCCACACTATCTTCACATTCACCGCTATATCCCTATCGCTTTCGAGGACAAGGCGAAGTGTACATCCATCACCGCCAGCACACTTACCAATGCGCATAACATACATCGGGTTAACGCCGAAAGAAAGCGTCGAGCTGTGCCCACCGGCCGTGCGGACTGTCCAAGCGCCAGAAACCTATAAGTGGTTAGCTGATTTACCTGACTGGCTGGCTTTTCATCGCGCTAAAGCGCTCTACAATCATCACTTACCCTCCGCGAATAGCCGTAGGCGCGCAAATCGGACACATTCGCAATACGTAGCGGAGACGAAGCGTAAGCTGTGAGTGTGTAGTTGTATTTGTAGTTGCAATCGTCATCCACTAACTGCGACACTACCACCCCAATGTCCATACCGCGCTTGACGATTTGTTTCGAGAGTGTGTTGATGCTGTTGGTGTGGCTGGCGTCTTGGACAATGTCGCTGGGTCTGTCGGTGGTGTACATATTCTGCGCACTCGTACTGTGTCGCGAGGTGTGGAGGGCGGAGTAGACGGTTTTGTCGCTGCGATCACCGTTGTCGCCAAGTTGGCTACTTTCGCTCCTGCCAATGTGACGCGTCAACAACACCCACACCTCCCCCACTCCACCCTGAACAGTGAAACGAGGGTACTTTTCGAGTGGGTTGCTCCGCTTACCTGCCTCAGTCTCAGTCTCAGTCTCAGTCTCAGTTGCAATAGTGAAAGACGTTGTGGCAGAGTGGGCGAAGATGTCCGGATCCCATGACAGATAGAGGGTGTCGAAGTGCTCGGTGAGGTATTCCCAGTCGAGGGAGAGCGATTGAGTTTGATTCCGAATGTGATTGTGAGTGTGAGCATAATCATAATCGCGATCCCGCGTCTGCCACTGTCCATCAACAATCACCACCCTCCTGTCGCCCTCTTCTGCTACTCTACTAACAGCATAAGCGTGATTCTCTACGAAACCTTGATCGAGGAGGCTCTGCGCCATATCAGCGCTCCTGCTCTTGCTGCCTAGAGTTAAGAGACAGATACCGCTATTGCTGCCATCGAGCACGCGCCTCCACGTCTTCTCCTGCTTGAACAGAGAACTATTAAACTTGATTTGCTCAGGTATCCAACCCGTAATCATCTGCAGATCAGTTGATGAATCACTCCCGCTAAATTCATACGTTCCCCACAGACTCATGATGGCTTTTTCGAGTAGTGCCGGCCATATCTGTGTCCTAACCGCTGCTACTGGGTGTGCTATACCTTGTGCTGCAGCGTCTGCTACCACCTCCACAGCAACTAAATCGCCTTGGGGGGTTTGGGGGAGGCGGTCATCGACGGCGACACACCGCCACGCGCCATTGAGATAGAAACGTATCTCGTACACTCCCTCGTCGCTCACGCGCGGCAGACCGTGCTCGTTGTGCGGGTGCAGCGCACTCACACCCAAACAACCGCCGAAGCGGCCATTGTGGGAGTGGCACGCAGAGAGGGAGGCGACGACGGAGCAGTCGCTGATATCGTGCTGTGTGATGTGTGTGGTGTGTGTGGGTGTGTCTGGCGTGTAGATTGTGTAGATTGCCGCGTCAGTGTGTGCTATTCGCTGGTATGTCGCGCCACGTCGGAGTTGGGCTGTGGAGAGGGCGGGTAGAGGGAGGGGAGCGGGATTGTGATTAGCTCCGTTACTCCCCCGCCACTGCGGATAGACACGCCCGTTGATCACGGCCGAGTGGGGCTGGTTGACGGGATTAGCGCTCTTGCATAATTCTTTCGTACGCTCCGCGCGTTCAAGCACAAGGCGGTATTTCGTGGTGATGGTATCGATCGGCTTGGTGGATTCGGTGGAAACAATGGCTGGGGAAGGACAACGACGACGTAGCTCAAGGTACAGCTGGGCTGTGTTTACATACTCGCTGAATGCTTCCGTATATTTCCCATCTCTTTCCAGCTGGATTGCGTCTCGGAATCTTTTGTCGGCTCGGTCATCGTCGTTGGTCATCAAGTCGGAGAACGCGGCAATGAATACGGCAATGAAGACAGCGAAGAAGGACTTGCGTAGGGGTGTATTGAGGAGGTTGAATGGATTATCAGACGCGGCGATTCAGGATCAGTGTGAGTTTGTTTGGCGGGTTACACACACTACTCACGCTACACACAGCCCACGCCGTAAAACAGCACATATGCAGATCGGATATATACAAGCATTCCACTCGTATCAGCCTCTACCTGAGTATGCCTCTGGGTGAGTTGAGGACTGATGAATTAGCCAGGCAGATTATAAGCGATGGCAAGCAGTTGTTTGTGCCAATAACACGGACACAGGGGCAACCCCCGAGAAACACCCACTCTCCCACCAACGCACACAAGACCATGTCCATGCTCAACATACCCTCCATCGACCACCTCGAGACGCTAAACAGGAACAAGTGGGGCATCCCTGAACCTGATTTGGCACAAGCACACACGCTCCACGATGCACTCTCACCGACTTCACCAGGACTAGACCTCATCCTCACACCCGCTGTCGCATTCGATGGCTCTTTCAACAGACTGGGCCATGGCATGGGCTTCTACGATGGCTATATCAAGGCTGCAACGAGGCATGCTGACGGTTTCGCTCTTCATCCTCCAACTATCCTCGGTCTCGCACTCGTCGAGCAGATTTTGCACGATATCACCCTACCTACCGACACGCACGATGAGCAAATGGATGCTATTGTCACGTCTGAGGGGTTTAAGTGGAGTGTTAAGTAAGTTTTTGTAGCCATATATAATTGATATATAGTCATATACATCACCGTAACCATTCACATGGCCTCAAATCCAGCTTCTTCACGTATACGAGCTATTTCTGACGGTGAGAGGGTTGATTTTATCGACTGGAGGTGGTATCAGCATTATTTTAAGGCAAATCCCAGCCACCCACCAAAAAGAAAGTCTCGAGTGCTCTTTTTCCATACTCGTCACTCTTAAACTCTGCATTCAGGAACGCAGCGAGCTTTTTCCACAATCTTGAATCGGCGAGAGTGGCTTCGTAGTCTGATTTGGTGGTGGAGTGCATGTCGACTGCTGGATCAGGTGCTGTGCGTGCACTGTCGCTGTCTGCTGAGGTGAGGGCGACATGAGGGATTTTTTGAGGTGGAGGGGTATTTGAAGAAGCATTTGAAGGGGCATTTGAAGGTGCAATTGAAGATGGTGTGGAAGGTGCACCTCCGCGCAGCATAAGAGTCAACACACCGCCTGAAGACAGAGCGTCGTAGTCCTTGACCAACTTGTCATCCATCAATGCCTTCCCCTTGAGGAGAAGTCGCTGAGCGCCCACGGAAGGAGCCAAAGCAGCCTCAACGACCTTGTATTTCAAATCAGCGATCGTCGACGACGACTGCACGGAAATCTCAGCCGATTGAGACGCTTTGACGTTCTTGACGGTGAGATTGAGTGTGGCAGGGGTATTAGAGCTGGAGCCACTCCCACTCCCACTCGGCACATCTGCCAATGGAATATCCACCAAATGCGGCTTCTTATCGGCATCACTCAGTCTCGGTTTAGCGTTGGCCGGGATGGTAATATCCTTAGCCTGTACACGCCTATACAAAGCGCTTATAAAATTAATCGACTTTTCATCCGCTGCGACGTGCATCTCTCTCTTGATCGTAGGCGTCCAACAGCCAAAACGCACAAGATGGTGAGAGATCAACAGGAAAATATTCAAACACACAAACACTCACGCTCTCGCAGTCATTCTCCAAGCTAAGAGATCTCCCACACCCGTTCGAATCGGTCGACGACGCGGCCAACAAGACCGACGAGCTGCGAGTCGAGGACGACGACCCAAGTGTTGGGCCACGCTCCAGACGCGCCTCGCAATCCGGGGGAAGGCGTTCGAGGAAGCTGTCTTTAATTTCCGGCGGTGGTCTCGCTCCCAGCGCTGCCCATGACGTAGCCCTCCCCCTGGAGCCAGTCAGGAGCAAGATGATCGGCGATAGAAGGCAGTACGATGTTGAGCCGGCTGCTGATGAGGCGGCCATGATTGAAAAGTCGAAGCAGCTCGCTGCGTGGGCAGGTGAGTGCGGCGTAGTGTGCAGTGTCACGTGATTGTCACGCTTTGCTCACTCCACGTCACAGCTGTAGACCACTACATCAAACCAGAACACTCTGTTATCGCTATAGGCAGCGGGAGCACTGTGCCTTTCGTCGTTGAGCGTATCCTCCAGCAGGGCGAGCATGTCAATAGCAAGAGAAAGTTTATTCCTACGTCTTTCCAAGCCAAAGAGCTCATCGTCAGCAATGGTCTTGCGTTGGGTGACGTTGACCAGTACCCGGTCATCGACGTTGATATCGATGGCGCGGATGAAGTCGACCTCAAGCTGAACGCTATCAAGGGCGGCGGTGCTTGCCATCTCAGAGAGAAAGTTTTAGCAGAAGCTTCAAGGAGATTCATTATCGTTGCTGACTATCGCAAAAACTCGGCCATCTTGGGCAGCTCTTGGACACAGGGAATACCAGTGGAAGTCGCACCATTCGCATATGCTAAAGTGATGGTCAATCTCGAGCGGATTGAGGGCTGCGAATCGGCAAAGCTGCGTATGGGTAAGGCGAAAGCAGGTCCAGTGGTCACAGACAATGGATGTTTCGTTATCGATGCACAGTTTGATGAACACAGATTCAGTGATCCTGAGTTGCTGCTGTCTAAGATCAAGATGCTTACAGGTATAATGGAAGTAGGACTGTTCTGTGACATGACAGATGCCGCGTACTTTGGAAATGTAGATGGCACGGTAACTATAAGGAACGCAGATGGTTCGATCTACGCGCTTAAGAGGTCAGGTGAGGAGCCGGAGATGGTTAAAGCAGCAGGGGAGTTTGAGTAGACTTGAGGGAATACAAAAAATATTACAAGTAAAGGAGTGTACAATAGTTTATGAATATCAATTACATAAAGAACAGTGCGTCGACTATTAATATCAGATGTCTCAAGATTTACGAAAGAATCCGAATAAGGTATGAGGTACGCGTCAGAGACGGAGAGACACAACACAGGCACAGACACACAAACAAGCGCGTCAGCAACACTCCCAACGACACAGCCACATATCACTCCCCACCTCCACCACAGCATGAAAATTGACGCGTACCTTGTCAACGCTTTGACATATTCGCGTGCGTGCAGAACGAGGAATGGAATGCTGAGTTGGCAATATAAAAGATTTTAAAATCGATTAAAATGCTATTAAATAATTTAATTTTTAATTCAATTTATGGCTGTGCTTTATTGGATGAACGCGGCTATGTTGAATATTGCACCTATCAAACGAATCTTCGCGACTCGCTCCTTGAACCAAAACCATAAACATCTGAAATGTTAACTTTATTTTTAATTCCAAAGCCCCCACTAACAGCTATCTTCCAGGTGTGGTATCTTCGCCTATTGCTCTCAAAACGTCTGCAAAGATCGTAAATATGTAATTGACACGCTTCTCAACGGCCTTTCGAGATTAGAATACCGTGGATACGATTCTGCTGGTTCGTAGCTCCTCAAATCTCTTTAAATCTCTCTAAATGTCCCACTCCAGGTATCGCCGTCGACGGCGACGATGACAAAGACATGTACATCTTCAAGCAAGTCGGTAAAGTTAAGGAGCTCAGATCTCACATTGACAAGGCCACGGTTGATTTCTCTAAGCAATTCAACTCTCAAGCATCTATGGGTCACACTAGATGGGCCACTCACGGTCAGCCATCTCCAATCAACTGCCACCCACACCGCTCAGATGTTACAAACGAGTTTAGCGTCGTCCACAATGGTATCATCACCAACTACAAAGAACTCAGACTCGTTTTAGAGAAGAAGGGTCACAAATTCGAGACTGACACCGATACCGAAGCTGTCGCTAAATTAGCAAAGTTCATCTTCGACTCCAACCCAAAAATTGCTGATTTCCCTACTTTGGTTAAATCTGTATGTAAGGAATTGGAAGGCGCCTTTGCTTTCGTCTTCAAATCTGTTCACTTCCCAAACCAATTGGTCATTGCTAGACGCGGTTCTCCCGTCTTGATTGGTGTAAAAACTGATCAAAAGCTCAAGACTGACTTTGTCGACGTTGAAATTCCTGCAGAAGACGCCATTCCTGCTGCTTTTGAGGAATCTCCTACGGGCTCTTCCTTGTTGACCGCTTCTCCTCAACACCAACTCAGAAGATCTCAATCAAGAGCTTTCCTTACAAACGGTCAATCTACTGACCCTATCGAGTACTTTATTGCTTCAGACGCCTCTGCAATCGTCGAACATACCAAGAGAGTTTTATATCTCGAAGATGATGATATCGCTCACATCCACGACGGCGAATTGCACATTCACCGTCTTAACCGTGCAAACGACAAGACTTCATCTGTCAGATCAATTGAGACTTTGGAAATTGAGATTGCAGAGATCATGAAGGGTTCATTTGAGCACTTTATGCAAAAGGAAATCTACGAGCAACCAGAGTCTGTCATCAACACAATGAGAGGTAGAATTAACTTTGATACTAAAGAGATTACACTCGGTGGTCTCAAGCAGTACCTCACTACTATCAGAAGATGTCGTAGAATGGTTCTTGTCGCTTGCGGTACTTCATACCACTCATGTTTAGCTGTCAGACAAGTGTTTGAGGAGTTGACCGAGATACCTGTGTCTGTTGAATTGGCTTCAGACTTCTTGGACCGTCGCACTCCAATTTTCAGAGATGATGTCTGTGTCTTCCTTTCACAAAGTGGTGAAACTGCCGACACTATTCTCGCTTTGCGCTACTCTATGGAGCGTGGAGCGTTGTGTTTAGGTGTTGTTAACACTGTTGGTTCGACCATCTCACGTGAGACTCACTGCGGAATCCACATTAACGCAGGTCCAGAGATAGGTGTTGCATCAACCAAAGCATACACATCGCAATATATTGCATTGCTTATGATGGCTGTCCAACTTTCTGAGGATCGCTTAAGTAAGTTGGAGAGACGTCAACAGTTGATCGACGGTCTCCACGATCTCCCAAGTCAGATCAAGAAGGTTTTGCAATCTGACGAGACACTCACCATGCTCGCCAAGGGTATGATCGATCAACGTTCACTTCTCATCATGGGTAGAGGCTACCAATACTCTACTTGTCTGGAAGGTGCTCTGAAGATTAAGGAAATCAGTTACATGCACAGTGAAGGTATTTTGGCTGGAGAATTGAAGCACGGTCCTCTGGCGCTTATTGACGAGAACATGCCAGTCATCCTCGTCATGACACAAGACTCTTTCTATCCAAAGGTACAATCAGCATTGATGCAAATCACGGCTAGAAAGGGATTGCCAATTATCATCTGCAATGAAGGTGACAAGAGTTTGACCGAAAACTACAAAACTATCCAGGTACCTAAATCTGTTGATGCTCTTCAGGGTCTTCTTAACGTCGTTCCACTTCAACTCCTCTCGTACCACTTGGCTGTTGGAAGAGGCTACGATGTCGATTTCCCAAGAAACTTGGCCAAATCTGTTACTGTTGAGTAAGGTTGTGGTGTTGGCATACTTTAATAGCATATATCAAAAATTTGCATCTATTTCTATAACCGAGAACACTTAGCTGCTAGCATTTTTATCAAGACTTTTTTATATCGCTCGCTTCTTAATAAATGCTTTTACTTTACCAGCCTTAAATTTTTGCTCTTTGCGTTTTGCGTTTTAACTTTGTTGTGAACGATGACGTCGTGTGGCACGCCGATAGAGCTACGCTGTGGGATTACATTGCAGAATAGGCTTGTCAAGGTGAGAGAGGGAAGCAGGGACAGAGAGCCAAGTGCTCACACTAGCAGTCAGCGCTAGAAGAGTCGTTGTGCAAGCTCGGAGGCAGTGCGCCGACACCCGCGCTCGTGCGTCTCTATCAACAGTGGGATGTAGGTGGATGGGGAATGATAATAACGGGCAATATACAAGTCGATTCCCGCCATATAGGCCTGCCATTCGACGCGACGCTGCAAAGTCATGCATCAGAGAAGCATGGGAAATACGAGGAGAACAAGTGGCGCAGGCTCGCCCAGGCAGTCCCGCATACTCCTCTCATTGGCCAGCTCAATCATCCCGGTGCACAATCGACGCGATGGACCTTCTCGAAAGCGCCGTGGACGCGCAATGTCTCGGCCAGTGGGAGTGGGAGTGGGAGTGGGAGCGAAAGCATCAGGCAAAGTAAAACCATCAGCCCTCTCTTCCCGCCTTGTCGTGCACTGAGCGAGATTGAAGTACACGCAATTATTTCTCAATTCATCAACGCTGCCCTCTTCCTCCAGCGCAGCGGATTTGATGGCGTACAGATACACGCTGCTCATGGCTACCTCCTCGCGCAGTTTCTTTCGCCGGGCACTAATAGGCGCACTGACGCGTACGGTGTGCGGTGCACAATTCTCGTGCAGATCCTTCGCGCTGTGCGTAGCGCGTGTGGGGATACTTTCTGCATCGGTGTCAAACTCTCTGCGGGTGATTACAACAATCACAGTAACCATAAACAGCGCAGTGGTTTGTTGATGGAAGATGCGCTGGAGAATTACTTGGCTATCGTTAACTCAGATGTAGCCATTGACTTTGTCGAAATCAGCGGTGGGAGTTATGACTCACTCGCTTTCTTGAGCCGTTCTCAAGGCGTCTTCTTTGAGGAGTTTGCGCGGAAGATTCGGAGGAGTGTGGATGGTGCGGATGAACACCATGTGCACTCAAGCCACGCTAACCACCCAATCACCCAATCACCCCGTCTCATTCTCACAGGAGGTATCCGCTCACGCACTACGATCGATCGCCTACTGAGTGAACAGCTTTGCGATATGGTCGGTATGGGGCGGCCTGCGTGTGTATTTCCCGCTGTGGCGCGTGCTATGGTGAATAATAGCGAGCACTCTGTCGACCTCACACCGTACGAGGTGGACAGCGTGTGCGGAGTGCGCACGTTGGGTTTCGTAGGTGGGAGTGTGCGGACGTTGGCCTACACGCTCCATTTGCACCGGCTGGCTGGGGGCAGGCATGATGTGCTGGGTGCTGTGAGTGTGTTGATAGGTGTGTTGGTGCTGCTTTTCAGTTATTTTTTCTACTTGTACAATAAATCAAGCCCTTTTCACGCCGCGTAGTTGCTCGTCGTTGCCACGTTCCCGCCCGCCTGCTGCTTGAGGTGCTGGATGGGAGTGTCGCCGGCGTTCGACGCTGCTATTTGCATCTGAGCGAATGTGAGCTAGCTGCTCAACAGCATTCCCATACCGCACTTACCCTATCTTGGTTCTCTTTGTGCGGCGCAAGTGTTTCGCCTTTGAAGCCGACGTAGTACAGCCTGCTGCGCGCGCGGCCGACGGAAGAGGGGAAGAAGAGAGCGATGGAGTAGACGTTCGTGAAGCGTGCGACCCGTAGCGGGTATTCTTTCGTTAATGAGGGTTGGCGGGCGATGTCATCCTCCTGCGTACTCTCCAAGGACATGTCCTGTAAGCAAACACTGCCTTCGAGCTGGTCGAAATCGGGGCAGTGGGGCGTGTTTGAGTATATCTTCACGGCACTCGGCCGCTGTTCACCGCCATCGATTCCAAGCAGAATGGATTTTAGTTTCACTGAGACAGTAAACGGGATAAATACGATTAGCTGGTCATCAACAAGCGTCTCTATGTGGGGTGTGAGGGTGTTGCGGTTGTTGTACTCCTTGATGACGTCGGAGGCAGTGCTGGCTGGTGTAAGATTTAGCCCAGTGACTTGAGACTTGAATATATACTCGTAGAGATTGTCTGTAAGGGTTTTAGTGTAACCCCAGCAAACACCACAAACACACCACCCATTTTAATTGCCCTTATCCACGCAGATGACCAAAGCTCTCAGGGCTATTAAAGCTGTAGGGTTTTTCTTCATTTCACTGCTAATTTACTCGTGCATACACACGATAAAGCTCAAGTATTCCAGCAATCCTTCAATAAAACACGTGGAAATGTCTACTGGATTCAGAAACGTCGGCTACTTCACAAACTGGGGCATTTACGGTCGTGACTATCAAGTGGAGAATATCCCCGCTGCCTACCTCACCCACCTCCTCTACGCATTCGCTGATGTAGACGCTGCTACAGGTAGAGTCAAACTCAGCGACTCTTGGGCAGACGAGCAGAAACCAGGCAACGGCGACCCATACGACGATAGCGGCCGCAATCTTTACGGTAACCTCAAGCAGATATACCACCTCAAACAGCGCAACCGCCACCTCAAGCTGATTATGAGCATTGGGGGGTGGACATATTCACCAAATTTCCATGCTATGGTTGTAGACCCTTCAATGCGCTCGACGTTTGTTCAATCAGCCATACAGATCCTTCAGGACTACGCTCTCGACGGTCTCGACATCGACTATGAATACCCGGGTAACGCCGAACAAGCTTGGGGATATGTGGAGTTGCTGAGAGAGTTGCGTACTGCATTAGATGCCCTTCACCCTAACAACAACCCATACGAACTCACCATCGCTGCCCCTTGCGGTGCCTCCACTTATGAGATACTATACGTTGGAGAAATGGACAAGTATCTCAGTTTCTGGAATCTGATGACGTATGATTTCAGCGGTAGCTGGGATTCACACACTGCACACCAATCCAACCTCCGTGGCCAGCCTATGAGTGTGGAAACGGCAGTCAATTGGTACAGAAGTAGAGGTGTGGCTGGAGATAAGCTAGTTGTTGTGAGTGGAGTTATTCTCGATCGCTCTCACTCATCTCACTCATTTCACACCAGGGTATGCCGCTGTATGGTCGCAGCTTCGCTAGCACTAACGGCCTCGGTCACCCCTTCAAAGGCGTAGGCGGCGGCAGCTGGGAAGCTGGCAACTACGACTACAAAGCCCTCCCTCAGCCTGACGCGCAAGAATATTTTGATGGCGATAGAATGGCCTCCTACTCGTACTCAACATCCTCCAAAGAGTTTGTCACTTACGATAATATCGATATCGCATTACGTAAGGCTGAATACATCAAGTCTAATAACCTCGGCGGTGGTATGTATTGGGAGCTAAGCGGTGACCATCAACAAACTAACAGAAGTATCGTCGTTAACGTCGCTCTCAACTTTGGTAGACTCGATGGCATCAACAATCATCTCGAATACCCTCACTCACGTTTCGAAAATATCCGCTCCGGTTTGAATTGATGTGTGGGTGGCATTAAAATGCCTTTAATGTACATTGACTATATTGCACATTACAAATAAAGTAATACAAATTTCTTTGAGTTAAGTGAGAAGTTGGATGTTGATTTGTTGAATATCGATAAATTAATACTGTTGCATATTATTGAACCATGATTATAATTCTCAAGTTTAACTAGTCGCAAGTCCATCTCAATTGAGTATTTTCTGCTTGATTGGAAGTTTGCACATATCCTCGTCGTCTTCATTGGGTGATGAGTAGATCTCATTCGAGGAATCGTAGTCATCTTCATCGTCAACCTGTCTCTGTTTCTGCTTCTGCTTCAGTTTCTCTTCCTCCTTCAGCGCCGCCTGTCTATCCTCGTTGTGGTACTTGCTCGAAACAATCGTTCCATTCTTGTTGATGCTTCGATTTGCAGATTGCAAAGTCAATGATTTGCCATCGATAGAAATTGATCTACCATTGTTAAGAGCATTTATCATTCTCTTGTCGTTAGCTGCTTGAGTTTGTGGTACGCGCATCGTTGATTTCAATTTACCGTCGATCACCTGACTCGTACGTTCAAGACTGGGCGGTGCACCATATGATTGATGCGCATCATGAGCACCATGTGCACCTTGCCAATCACCTGTACCATTTACAACCTGGGCATTGTGCCGACTGTTCTTGCGACTATTAACATCCTGGGCTAGCGTAACGCTATCATCCTCATTCTCCCTCTTCTTCTCATTCCCACTACTACTGTCATCTTCCATATCTGCATATTCTCCAGCCCCGCCTGAATTATGCTTGCTGTCACCACTACTTTCTCCGCTACTACCGCTGTGTAAGCCGCTGGCTTGCTTATCCACCTGTGACAGTGTGAGATCCATAGGAGAAGGTTCTTTGGTTAGTGTGGGTGAGTCAACATTTGTAATCTTATTTGTAATCTTGTTAGTGTGTTGCTGGGACACGTTGTTTTGAGTGTATTGCTGGGGTAGCTCTTGCTGTTCAGGTTGCTCGTGTTGCTCTTGTTGCTCACTCCCATGGGACGAGTTGTTGTGCACTTTGGCGTGTCGCTTCAAATTGGATGCCACTGAAAATGACCTGTTACAGCCAGTGACTTGGCAGACGAACGGACGTTCACCTGTGTGTGAGTAGGTGTGTATCTATATCGTGTGAGTGGGAGCTCCCTCGCTTTTAATAAGTCCGACTCACCTTCAATGAAGAAGGTCTGTTGAATGTCTTATAACAGTATTCACACGTGTAGATTTTTCCTTTCGAAGTTGAAGCAGTTGAAGTGGTTGAGTGGGTCGGAGTTAGCTGATGAGTTGTATTGGAAGTTGAGGCAGTTGCGTTTACGTTTGGATTTGCACTTGCATTTGCACTACCGCTTGCTTGATTCAAGTCAGGCTCATTATCCAACTTGCGCACTTGGGAATTTGCGTACTCATCGTCTTGTTGAGAAGCAGCAATGGCTTGACTAGTTGTACTCGAGTGGTGATTATCAACGTCATTACCCAATTTGCGCTTATTCGTAGTCATTTTGCGGGGTAAAGCAGAGCTATCAAGAGACCAATTGTGCAAAGAAGGTAACTGCAATGAAGAAGAGAAAGGGATAAGTTCTGGTGGGTGCTCAGAGCTTTGTCCATGTGGCTTATGATATTTTCTATAAGTTGGTGTAGGTAAAGGTGCAGGCATTTGAGGTAATGGTTCTGCGGGTAAGACTTTATCAAATTGGTATTGAGAGGGAGAAGTGTGCTGGTGATTGTCTTGATTTATTAGATTACTTATACTTGGTTGTACTATAGGGTGATTCAAGTTAATCACGAGTGGACCAGAGAAGGTATGTCTACGCGACTTTGTAGATTCTGTAGAGGCAGAAGAAGATGAAGCAACGGATCCGGGTGACTTAACTTCTGAATCGTTATTTTGAATAAAATTCACGTGATTCAATCCAAATTTCAATGGATCGAGCTTATTCAACGATGAGGATCTTTGGCGGTTGACTGAAAGCCTTTTAGGAATATCCTGATACTCCCCACTACCACCACTTGTATAATTACTTGCTTCATTAGATTCTGTATTCCCCCCGGATATATCAAATGAAATTGCTGAATTTGAAGTCGAAGTCGACGTGGCTATTGGGAATTCTAGTTAAACTTATATACGCGCACTTAGCTGAATCCACTTACCACCCTCCATTTTTTCCTCGTCGATCACTTGGTTGTTCTTAACGATCATCATTGCCCTTGGAAAATTATACAAGCTCCACAACTAATCCGAAAGTTCGGTAAAATAGATATTTTTCTTTTTAAGCTTCATTCTATTCAATATTGCTCACTTTATGCTTATAAAGGCTTTTACTGTAACTTTTATCGTAAATTTTACACGTCTTGTGTTATGACATCATGCCCATTACGCAATTCACTGTGTCGGTGGCGATCAAGTGGGTGATATTACAATAAAAGTTGTTTTTCGAGGCTCACCTAGTTCCAGCGTTATATTGTATTAAACCTGATCACTTTACCCTATCCGAAAATAACATCATTCTTCGGTTTAACATCATATATCTGTGAATAACATCATACGCCTTATGTAATACTCACAAAGTAGCGTTCTCCCACTCTGATCTCTTCGTCTTAGAACCTGGCCTTAACACGCTTCTCGCTTTCCACAGGCTTACGTAATTCGTTGCGAAGAAACTACATTATCCATTGACAGCAACTGGGCTTTAAGTACAGCCAATGGTTTTGGAGTTGGCAGGGCTTTTCCCAAGTGTTTGAAAGCGCGTGTACCTTAGAGAAAACTTTCACTTCTACACCTTGAGGCACTTGACTAGTAATTAAGAGCTTCTACCCCTTTTCTCTTATTTATTCTTCACAATTTTGTTTGGGATAGTTGAAAACGCTATTTGAAGACTATGAAGAGTTGGACATACGAATTGCACAAGACTGTCTTTCAAAATGTTTTTACTTCAACCGTTTTTTGGCTCACGAAGATGAGTGTCACATATCAGCAATTCTACAAGTACCACAAATCAAAACTACACCTTATCTTAGCGTCGCTTGGACTTGCAGATAAGACATTAGGCTTGGATTATAAGATGAGCTTACAGCCAAATACAACAGCATATGACAGAAAGGCCAGTTTTAACACTGGCATAACATTTCTCGGAAATTTTTCTTGCTTTATCCAGCGATTTCTCCACACTAGATAAGCACTTATCTGTCTCAGGCACCCGTCCAATTCCCATAAATCCAGCTAATTGCCCCTTTTTCATTAACACCAAAGACTCACAAAATGAAAGACAAAGCATCAGTTGATTCAGAAAAAAGCGCCGTCCATAGACCAGTAAACATCCGCGATGTTGACGAGGAAGTGGACGCATTTGAACATCTGAAAGGGACTGAAGGATACGTTGAATACCGCACTTTAAATTGGTTCCAGGTGGGTATGTCCCTAATTTAACACCTCCTAACATTAGACAGGCTGGCGGTCTTCTCCTTGCTGAAACTCTCGCGTTGGGTGTTTTGTCCTTCCCTAATTTGGCAGCGCAAATTGGCGTAGCACCTACAATTGTCGCTACAATCATCCTTGCCTTTTTAGCCTGGATTACTGGTTATATTCTAGTAGACTTCAAAGTAAATCATCCTAGTGTCATGAACTTTGCGGATGTGGGCCGAATAATTGGTGGTTCAATCTTCAAGTGGGTGATGCTCATTGGAATAGTGCTCAAGTCAGTCCTCATTCAAGCATCTCATGTCAACAGCGGTGGCACGGCTTTCACTGAGATGAGTCGTAACGCCAGATGTTCAGTTTTGCTCTGCTTCTGTATGGCACTGTTCGGATTCGTTTGCACTATTCCACGGAAGTTTAGTCACGCTAGTTGGGCCTCGTTCGTTTCGTGCATCTCCATCATCACGGCTTGTCTCATTACAATCATTGCATGCGGCGCGAACCAGGCTGAGTATAGCAATGCGACGTGGAGAGCTGCCAACAACCCTGGAGTCGCTGGCGTTGTGAACTCTCTTACGAACATGATCTTCGCTTATGGGGGTCATGCCGCGATTTTCGCCTTCGTCTCAGGTGGGTGCAATACTCTCTCCACCAACGCAAATTTTGGCAGATGTTAACACGCGGCAGAGATGAAAAAACCGAACGACTTCAAAAAAAGCTTGGCAATGGTGCAAGTTGTTTCAACCTCCTTCTATATTACTATCGGTGTCGGTGTGTACATGCTCGTTGGAGAGGAGAACGTCAAGAGCCCAGCCCTGTCAATCCCAGGCTACAAATTGGAAACAGCAGCTTATGCGATTGCGCTTGTCTCTATCACAATAAGCGGTGTCATACCAGCCCTGAACGGAATGAAACAAATCTGGGGTAGATGTGTTTTATATTTGTTGATTCTCCTGACTCGCTTCATAGTTGAAGCATTCAGAGGCAAAAAGATGCTGACCTCAAACGACTGGAAGACATACACAACGTGGATTGCGCTGGCCTTCACTACCTGGATGATTGGTTTCTTCCTCGCCCAACTAATCCCATTTTTTTCCTCGCTGCTGTCTATCATCTCAAGCGTGCTGACGGTGTGGTTCACTTATGGCATTTCTGGTATCATGTGGCTCTATGACAATAGGAAAGGCAGTAACAGATCACCAGAAGGATGGTTCAGCAACAGACAGAAGACGCTCATGTTCGCGTTTTCGGTGTTTATCATTATTATGTCTTCTGTCATCACTCCGCTGGGTATGTACAGTGCTATCGAATCTATCAAAGATGGCTATAGCACTGGTGCGTATTCACATCCGTTCGCGTGTAAATCTGACTGAGCTGGGTGCACTATTGCTTGAGTTGCTTTCATTTTCTAGGGTTTAATGTTTTCTAATGTTTATTTTACGCAATGTTTAAAGGTTTGTATAATTAAGGAATATAATTTTTCACGCTCATCAATTGAAAGTGTTGGTACATAGACGGGGCTTTGTTAGAACTAAAGGTCTCAGTTTTCTCTTTAACGGCGGTAGCAGTACAATGTGGAAGGCTGGCAACTGGGACTTTATAGCCCTCCCTTAACCTGACGTGCAGAAATAGTTTGATGGTGAATAATTAGCCTCCCGCTCATATTCCGATGTGGGCTGGTAGTGTCTTGGTAATTGTTTTTATTTATTGGATCATCTAGACTTGGTTTTAGTATAGGATGACTCAACTCAATGGCGAGTGGACCGGAGAATGTATGTCTACGCGACTTTGAGAGTCCTGTGGAGGTTGAAAATAATGATGAGACTGATTGAGTTGATTTCACTTGCCTGTTCCTCGTAACTAGTCAAACAGCGCATCCTGCCAACGTGTCTAAATTTTCATACCTTATCTCATACAGATACGTAAAAAAATTTTGCAGAAAGATAGTAACTAAAGAGTCATCAAAAACCTTTATATCTTGATTACATACACGATTTCGCCTATCAGTCTTACTATAGTCGATGGGCGACAATCAGTGATCGGTGCCTGTCGATAAGGTATAATTAGCTGATAGAGGAAATACATTTACCGGTAATTGAACTTCGGACGTTCAAAAAATGTCAACAGTAAAGAAAGCTAGCCATGAAAGTGATATTGAAAAAAAAAGGTTTCGAGACGAGCGTTGAAGAGGTGGATGCTTTCGAAAAAAATAAAGGCAACAAAGACTACTTAGAGTATAGGACAATGGGATGGTGTCAAGGAGGTGAGAGGAGTTCAGTTGCGAGACACCCTCTCACAGATCATGCTAGCGGCGCTCCTCTTAGCTGAGACACTCGCGCTTGGAGTGTTATCGTTCCCCAATATTGCCAGTCAGATAGGCATAGCGCCGACGATAGTCGCCACCATTGGACTTGCTTATCTGGCTTGGGTGACTGAATATATATTGATAGACTTCAAAGTGAACCATCCAGCAGTCATGTCTTTTGCAGACGCCGGCCAAGTTGTCGGAGGGCCCATATTTAAATGGGTGCTGTTTGTCGGTATAATGGTCAACACTGTCTTCATCGCCGCGTCGTATGTAAATAGTGGCGGAACTGCTTTTGTAGAGATGAGCCATAATGCGCGCTGCTCTGTGCTACTAGGCTTCTGTATGGCGCTTCTTGGCTTCGTAGTGAGTGGGAGAATGTTTATTTAGAGATGCTCAGTCTTATACGAACACAGTTCACCATTCCTCGCAAGTTTCAACATACATCATATGCGTCTTTCGTCTCTTGTGGCTCGATTGTCACGGCATGTCTCATCACTATCATCGCGTGCGGTGTCGATAGAGATCAGTGGAAAGATGCGAGCGGTAGTGTGACATACAAAGCTGCTGCAAATCCAGGCCTCATAGGTGTGATAAACTCATTTACAAATATATTATTTGCGTGAATATCTCATTTTTGGGTAATGCATCACTCACGTCGCTTCTAGGTATGGGGGACATGCAGCCATATTCAGTTTCTGCTCCGAGATGAAGAACCCCAACGACTTCAAGAAGAGTCTTGGAGTAGTGCAGTTAGTTTCAACATTGTTCTATATCACCGTTGGTATCGGCGTGTATGCGCTGGTGGGAGAGAATAAAGTCAAGAGCCCAGCCCTCTCAATCCCAAGATATAAAGTTGAGATTGCGGCTTATGCGATAGCTATGGTATCCATAATTGTAGCTGGAGTCTTGCCAGCTTTGGTTGGCATTAAGCAGCTGTGGTGTGAGTAGGTGCTGAAATACTGAGACATTGAAACTGACACGCACAAACCCACAGTAGAGTTCTTCCGCGAGAAACCAATGCTTACAAGTAATAATTGGAAAGCGCAGGCTATCTGGACAGCGCTCGCGTTTGTTACGTGGATGCTCGCATTCGTTCTTGCACAGCTGATTCCCTTCTTCTCGTCACTGCTTTCGATCATCTCGAGCATTACTAATATGTGGTTCACGTATGGACTGTCGGGTGTGATATGGCTTTGGGATAATAAGAGAGGCAGTCATCGCTCACCGGGTGGGTGGTCCGCAAGTCCAGGGAAAGTTGGCATGGGGTACTATCCGCTCTTACTATAATCCTTGCTGCTGTAATTACACCGTTGGGTATGTACATAGCCATTGAATCAATCAAGGTGGGGTTTGCTAGTGGGTCTTACTCACATCCTTTCGCTTGTAAATCAAGCTAAGACGCGGTCTTGCTAGATTTCCTCTCTTTCAACTGTTATGATGCTTTTTTATGCTTGTTTCTGGCAGGAATGTCTTACAGTGTGCCGTAGAACCAAGTGACCTTGTTAGTGGTCTTACGAGGCTTTGAATCGGAGAAATATGAGTTTGAAAGAAGCTTCGAATCTGTAAGTCTGTCGAAATTTATAACTTGGCTTCTCGGTTATCGTATGATCGCCGTCTTCTCTCTTCCCAGCGAGCAACGCAATGATGCTAAAAAGAGGACTGCAAGGAGTGCGAGAAGCAGTTAGCGGCAAAGCCTCTCATGGAATTCAAGGTAGCCAACGCAGCCAACGCAGCCACCTCATCCAACTCCGCCAAATGAGCAAAGCGATAGAGAAGCGTGGGTTGAATTGCACGCACACAGACACACCAACTCACCCTCCAAACAGCGCGGAAGGTCACGATTAGCAGTCTCAACAAGCTCAAGAAGCAGCATATGCCGATAACTGTGTTAACGTGTTATGATTATCCGACGGCGAAGAACATTGAGCACACGCACACAACACAGGACGGGATAAACATAGCACTCGTCGGTGATAGTCTAGCGTTCACTGCACTTGGCTACACCTCCACCTCGCAACTCACACTCGACGAGATGATCCACCACTGCAAGGCGGTCAGTCGGGGTGCGAGTACGCCGCTCATTATCGCTGATATCCCTTTCGGGTATGTGGGTCTATCTGACGAGGCGGCGGTAGGTGCAGCGATCCGACTCGTGCGCGAAGGGGGCGTGGATGGAGTGAAGATTGAAGGGGGAGCCAAGGAGGCGCGTGTTATCGCAAAGGTCGTCGATGCGGGTGTTCCGGTTATTGCACATGCTGGTTTACAGCCTCAGCGTGCTACGCAGACTTCTGGGTTCAGGGTACAGGGCAAGACGGCGGGCAGTGCGCTGTCGATCGTAGAGGATTGTAAAGCCGTGCAGGAAGCAGGCGCTTTTGCAGTTCTTCTCGAAGCTGTACCACCGCAGCTGGGTGATTACATCACTGAGCGTCTCAAGGTACCCACTATCGGCATTGGCGCGGGTGGGGGTACTGATGGACAGGTGCTCGTGCAGAATGACATGGTAGGCGCTTTCGACGCTTTCAGGCCGAGGTTTGTAAGGGTGTTCGGCGACGTTGGCGGTGCAACTGGTGAGGCTATTGAGAGTTATGCGCAGAGCGTGCGCGCAAGAGACTTCCCCAGTGCGGAAGAGTCGTACACTATCGAGGAAAGCAAGTGGAACGAAATACGTGAGCATATAGAGAAGAAAGAAAGGCAGCAGGAGTAGAGTGTTATGTGTACAATGTGCTATGTATACAATGTGCTTTGTATACATGTATTGATTACTTGATAAGTTGCAAGAGTTGCACGAAGCCAAGAGTTGTACTGGCTGCAGCAAGCGCGATTCTTCCGCAGTGAATGAGCATCCATTTATACAGCAAAGCGTTGACGGTGTTGTCTCGGTCCACGACGCCTTCAGGCTCATTTGTCTTCTTGAAGAGCTTCTTGTTCACGGGCAAGACGAAGATGCGTGTGTAAGGGAAGAGAGAGAAGATGAGAATGGCTGGGGCTGACAAGACAGCGCGGTTAGATAGATACGCAGACACAGAGAAGCAAGCAGTAGCTGTGAGTACTAGCGGTGGAATCGTCTTGACAGCATTCTTATAGGAATGGTGTAGTAATTTCACTGTGTTGGAGTTGCTTGCATTGGACAAAGGCGAGTACCATATTAATGGCCAGGATGCTGTAAATCCTGTGGTGATACCAGCAAAGCCAGTGCCGAGAGCTAGAAGAATTGAGGGTTTCGACATTATAATTGATGGATGTGTGACAGAGAGTGCGTGTGTAGAGAATCAAAGAAATTGAAGCATATTAAAACCATCCCAAGTATCTTGATCAATTACCAATACAAATCGAATTCGAGCCATTTGAGCTATTCATCCATGTGATACCATCACTCTGATCATAGATGACGTTATTCTGAGTCTGCTTGAATAAAGTCGAAAGCGTTTGTATTCAAACAATCAAGCTTTGGATTACTGCGTTTGATCAAAGAATCTTTAGGTTCACGTTCTTCTTCATGAGCGTGGCTTTCTGCTTTTGAAGTCTTAACATTTCTGCGTAGTCTCTTCAATAATATTACCGTACTGTTTTATATCTGAGCTGGTTTAAAGGAATCAACGTTTCTCCTCTTTAATTTAACTAGACAAGCACAGTGAAGATACCTTGCTTTCATCGAGTCTTTGACTCCGCTGGCTGTAATCGAGTGAAGTGTAGGACATGTTCTCCAGGAAGTCATATCTTCGTGGAACATACACTTCACTACAAATGTTTATTTTTCCCTCTTTTATTTCGACACTCCTAGCCATCCATAACACTCTCTTATCGATTGAAACACTGCTGATGCCAATCGATAGCATAAAAGTTAGTAGGCTTCCCAAGTTCAAATATTGCTATTATGCTGAGAATTTGCTTAAATATTTAAAATACATAAAATCAATCAATTATCGATACATTTTGCCCTACTCATCTTCCTCATCATCGCTGACGTCCCATCCAGCATGTCTCATTTTTGTTTTATCCATTGCACGCTTCGAGGTGATATCCTCGAGCAATACCAACAAATCTTCAAGCTCCTTTTGTGAGTTCTCATTATCTGCAGCCTGTGACTTCAGAGTGTTATTTTCGTTATTGAGAGTGGTATTGTTATTGGTCAAAGCATGGATCTCTGAGGTATGTGTATGCTTAAGAGATTCGTTTTGTGCTTTTGCCTCAGAAAGCTGTCTTTCAAGTTCGTCAGCCTGGGAAGTTTTAGCAGTGAGGGTGTCATTGAGGGTGTCGGTAGATGTTTTGAGCTTGTAATCGTATTCAGCTTTGAGGCTGGCTTCATACTCTGCCCTATTTCCTGCCTCATTCTCCTTAATATTCTCAATCTCCTTCGTTAGCCGTTCCACCTCTCTTCTCGCAACCTCCTCGCGCTCAACTCTCTCAGCGAGGTCAGTTCTGAGGGCTGCTGACTCCGGCGAGCCCTGCTCCCACAGTACCTGCAGCTTGCTCCTAGCATCGCCGAGTTCGCTGTTCTGGGCAGTGTTAGCTTTTCTACTCCTACACCCATACAAAAACTCAAACTCACCACTCGTTCTGCTTCCATTTCACAATTTGCGTACTGCACTTTAACCTCCTCGATGCGCTGTCTGAGAGACTCGACGAGTGCGTCTTTCTCCTCCAACGCCTTCTTGTATTCCGCAGAGGCGTCCGCATCCGTATCTGCATCTACATGTGCATCTATGCGGGCAGGTGGGTGGCTGCTTGGGAGCACTTCCTTATTTTCTCCCACATCCTCCACATCCTCCACATCCTCCCTCACCACACTCCTCTGCACGGCCATGAACGAACCCTTGAAAAACTCCACATAATGCCAGTCGAACCACCACCCCTCATCGTGAGGATTCTCAGCCAGCATGAGTGAGTCATCGGGTGAGCTCACGCGTCCGAACCGTCTATCAGCTCTGAAACGCGCGAGAGACTGTATGACGTTATCGACGCCAACCTGCTTGTGAATGAGAGTGTGTAGATCTGTCTTAGTCACTTCGGCGTGTGCCTCCGTGTTATATCTGTATATAGCGGCGAGCGTGAAAGCGCACAGTCCCTGTATGAGCGCATCAACCCCGCTGTGCTTAATGGGCTGAATCAAGAGCTGGAGGTTGGACGATTCGCGCAGTATGTCGCTCACCGTGCGAGGCGACTCCCATACCCACACACTGAGCAGGATCAGATAGGAAGTGGTAAGTCGCGTCCAGTCGGTGTGGGTATTGTTGTTGTTGCCGCTGTCAACGCTATCGTGTTCCTCTTCCTCTTTCTCGTCGCGATTCTTCATCGCTTTCTCTCCCAGCTCACCTTCTCTCTCATCCTCACCTCCCTCGCCGCGGTTGATGGAAGAGAACTCGGCGGCGCGCGCACGCGCATCGGCAGCTGCTCGCTCACGTGCACAGACGGTAAGATTGCCGAAGATGCCATGAAGGAGGCTGATGGATTCTTCATCACCGCTCTCGCTAGTTTCGCCACTCTCCGTGAAGGGCACATTGCGTGCCATCGCCTTTGCATCTTCCGAGTAGCGCAGTATGTGGGTCATGATGAGGCTGGCGAAGAAGACTTTCTGAGAGATGAGGGCGCCGTCGGAAGCACCTCCAGCACTCTCACCCTCCCCATCAGGCAAGGTGGACAGGGCTTCGAGCAGGAGTGAGCCGGCCGTGTGCGTGAGCGAGCCATCGTAGTTGAGTGTGTGGTGGGAGTGAGACATACTGGCTATGATCTCGAGCTTGAGCGTGTCATTGGATGTGATGAGGCTCTCGAACGCAGTGAGTGCGGCCACCTGGAGCATTAGATTGTGGCCTTTGAGCGAGTCAACATCATCTACCATCCTGTTCTCGTCACCTGATTCTCCATTTAAAGCTATATCTATGAGAGAGATTGTGGCTAGACGCGGTGGGAGCTTTAGGTAGCCGGCTGCGTATGCTTCTGAGTTGAGGATAGGTTGGGTTTGGGAGTGTGTAAAGAGATGCTGATTCTGAGGCGATGTGGAGAAGATGGAAGTTAGGGCAGTCAAAGTTTGTGCTTTGAGGGTGATTGGAGCGTTGGAAGAGAGGGAGAGGTCGATAAGACATTGTGTAAGACCTGATTGAAGAATTGCCTGTTGTGTGTGAGGGGGTTTCTCCAAAGAAAAAAAAAGGAGAATACGCACCAAATTACCCTGCCTATTACCAAGACCAGCGATGATACGTACGATATCAATGACGATAGCAGCGTTTATAACTTTCTGTTCAGACCAATACTGCAAGCAGAAGCTGTCCAAGTTTTCAGGAGAGTAAGAGAGAGAGTAACTGAGGTTTTTAACAAAACCCATTTCTCTAAAGAAGGAAATGTTTGAGGAATTGTATCTGAGCAAATTTTGAATACAGTGTAGGCAGTCTTGGACGAGGATACCACCATCGATAGCGCCTTCAGTGAGGATAATATTGAAGAGCTTATCAAAAATACCTTCAAAAGCAGCAATCTTTTGTAATTCAGAGTTAAAATCAGTGATGTAGAGAAGAATTATGATTGTCTCAGATCGGATAAAGTTGGAATAGTCAAGGAGTTGAATTAGGTTAGAAAGGCCGTTATGAGAAATGAGCTGGTTGATAGTGAGGGACTTGAAGTTGATTAGAAGGATGTTTAGTATTTGAATTGTGTAGAGTTTAGCGTAGGATGAGCTGTTTGAAGTTAAGATTCCAAGCAAAAGACCAATTTTACCATTAGATAAGATCAGCTTTGTTGATTTAGTTGACAATTCGAATATACAAAGAAGAGTATCCAATAGTAGCTCTAATTGGCTGTTTTCAATGGAATTTAAAAGATCTAGGAGAGGTACTAGTAAATTTGAAGCTACCAGACTATTAAAATCCTTATTAAGGGATTTAATAGTTAGCAGCTGCGATTTGACATCAACACGCTCAATTATATTTTCCTTTACAGTAGAAATAACACCATTTACGTTTATTTCACTGAGATTGCTATTAACCAGGGCATTATTAAATTTATCAACTAATCCGAATAAGCTCATCGTTGTGTTGGCACAAGGGTTACGTCCATCACGTATATTCTTGACTGAAAATGCATCACATGTGTGTTTTGTTCTTTTTAATGGATTTATCTAATGCTCCCCATAAGTACCATACGTACACCCTGCAGTCACCCACTTATCGTTAAGAATGTACTCGACGTTGATAACGAACTCAAACCTGAATATGTTAGTCGTTCTATTAGTGTTGACCAAGCCACGCTTGTGACGTACGTATCAAATCCACTCAAATCCTATCAAAACTCACTAAAATCAAGAACGTTTTCAGCTGTGTCGCTCAGAACTCTACGAACATCTACAAACGCTTTTCTAGATAATCTTAAACTCGTTATTTCATCTATTAACACGTTTGATAAGCAAAATTATCGCTCGACTGACGTACTTGATATTAAAGAAGGCTCAAAGGAGAGAGACAGGCATGGTCAATTACAAAATCAATAAATGCATCGTTTTCTTCAATTTCAACATTTTCTAAACACTTTTACTTTCCAGTGAGCCATCCCCACCAGCTCTTTCCTTTGTCGACACCTTGATCCTTTCTAGCTGTAGCATACTTCTTATCAAGCTTTTCTTTAACGTCACCAGTGAGTGAGCTAGCTGAGCCTAACGCCTTAGCATAAGCATTCTCCGCTTCTGCTTTAACATCGCTGGCTGAGCTATTGGCGCGACTGCGAACATCCGTATAAGCTGCTTCTGCCTTCTTCACAGCCTCGTCGTAACCTGATGAAGCTGCGCTCTTGGCTGAGTCGACGTATCCACCTGCAGCGCTTTTGCTCTTGTCTGCAGCATCCATTGCCTCCTTCTTAGCCTTTTCGATTTGGGCTTCTTCGCCGTTTTGCGATGTATAGTAGTAGCTGTGTGTGTTGTTAGTTGAGCTTGAGTTTAACGCGGCCCACTTACTATCCACCGCCGGCAACTGCACCAGCGAGGAGCAACTTAGGCAGAGCAGAGCCACCTTCGTTTGGTGCTGTGCTGTATCTGCGAGCTGTTTGTGTGCGTGCTACTCTTAATGCTGATCTTGAGAACATGGTTGTTTGTATTAAAATGGTTACCTCAGATTAATCCAAGTGTGACGCACTCCATATGACGTCATTCAATAGTAGCTCAGTCTGTGTCTACGTCACAGTTTTAAAGGATAACGATATGCGGATGGTTGAAGAATTATGAGCTGGTGGTTTTATGGGATTATCAAGACCATTGCTGCATCTGTCTTGATATCTCTGTGAGATCTGAGATTTGCAACAAACGCGAAGCTCGCTGCATTACTTTTATATTATGTGACCTTTATCAGACAGTGGTGCACGGATTTCTTTTGTAATAAAAGTTTATACGTTTAGTAAATATCTATACATCTACACATGCTGCACCAGCTTCTTACAGCCCTCTTTCCAACCATTTCCAACAGCAAAAGCCTCTCCAAACTCAGCCTCCAGATCATGCAGTCTCTTACCCACCAAAATCAAAGAGTGGAGTGGTGGACCAAACGCATCCTCATCCACCTCCGCCAATTCCCTCAGAGTGCCCGCCTTGATGACCTGCTGTTCAGCGCCTACTCTCGAAAGACTAACAGCGAGCGTTTCGCGTGTGTAAGCGTCCTCGCTATATCCCTCAGCTTTCTCATCGAGGAGAGTGAGGAGCTGCTCCACCGCCCTACTCACACTCATGTACCGTGGAGGCTCGAATATCTTCCTTCCCCTTGCCAGATTCTCCACCGACTGCTCCTTTACCTTAATATCGAGTAGTAGGAGTGTATGAGCGCCAATGCGCATGTTCTCAGCAATGCGCTCGACAAAACTGGATGGTTTCCACGTTTCTGTGAAGAACGGAATACTGATCGTCTGGCCAAAGTTGTAGAGCTGCAGACCAGAAGCGCCAGCCGCATTCATGATGCTTGCGTTGTGGAACACGCGTGTAGGCACACCTGCATTTCTGGCCCGCAGGAGAAGATCAGTGTGTGTTGTTGCGCTGTTTGGTGCGTTCGTTAGCTGCGCAAGGCTTCTCACTCCCTCATAAACCCACCCATAGGGATCGCCAACAACGAGGAATGAAACGTCGACCTCACTCGCACGAGATAGAATCTCCTCGGACTCCGTCTCTACCATGTCCCTATCAGCTATTGTCACAGCCCTGCCGTAGAAATCCTGCAGTTTTTGCACATCCACAAGAAGTATAGAGGTGTAGGCTTCAAGATAGACACGCTCAGATTTCCTCACTGCTTCCAAACCATTTACTGATATGTCCTTCTCGTCTGCCAATCCCAATCCAATTACGTAGAGCATGGCCGTGTTGTTGCAAGTGGGTGTGGTGGTGAGTGTGGAGGAAAACGACTAATGGAACATAACTTAAGGGTCTTTTATCTGTGTAGATGATTGCTTGAGATGGTTGAGATACCTAAGATACTCCAGATACTCCAGATACTCCAGATATCCCAGAAACTGAGATACTTCAATTGAGATAGCCCTCGAATAGCTTTCGCAGATATATCCTGATAACATTTACTAAAACGTCACCCCAATGACGCAACCACGCTTCGTAGCAAAATTAGCTTTCGTCGCCCCAGACGGAGCGGGCGGGCAACTCTGGCCGATCATGCAGAATATCTGCAAGTGCTGAGCGGATCTAGAGTTCAATTAAGGGGTGTCAAGACGCGGAACCTTGCAGCCTCGCGCCGTTTGGCCGCCGCTTGTGTAGATTACATCATACAAACATTGGAAGACTGGTGTATTTGATGTGTGTGTAAATTGGAATAGCGTTATATCCAATGAATATGCTAAGCTTCGGAAAGGCCATTTATTAATCTAGAAATGAAATACATATAAATCCTATGGTACAAAAATCCAGTGCAATTGATTTTTCGAAAGTTGAAATATAATAACAATCAAAGTTATAAACTCCTCCTCATGCCACCTCAAGCTTCCTGCTGAGGTATTTCAGTAGCCGTACAATTAGCATCACCTGTAGTGTTGAGGGCATACGCAGCCAACGAAAAAAAGTGGTAATTATCAGCGTTGTTAATAGCAGCTGAAGCGTTATTGGCTGCCAAATCTAACACGCAACTCATCCCATAGCAGCTGTATCCAGACGAATCGTCAGTTGAGACAAGGGGAAATACATAGCAAAACCACCCACATATCAGAAGTATCAGCGATCTGATGGGACAGTTCGTGAATCTAAAACATACGTAAGTCCAAGTAGCGCGATGAGTTGTCCACTCACAATGATACCCGCCTTCACCCACCCTTCATCTGCTTCGACGGTATTGCACACCTCATCTAACCCAACGTAATTCCAAAAATTATCGCAGAAAGCTACGACGCTTTGATCCACTGTGATATACATTAGTCATTATCACAGACGCTTCACCCTCATCAGATCAGTGGGCCCGAGAGACGGAGGACGAAAGACGCAGACGCAGGCAAGACTTACTCGCCGAATATGCAATAACCCCTTTCTCGCAAGATGACACTACACGTGAGAGTGAAACCTATGGTAAGCGGAAGTTAAATTTAATAAAGATGTGTCTTACGCGGATCACTGCAGCTCTCGCGCGGTTGGCCGCTGCTCGCGTAACTTGCATCATAAAGGCTCATTTGCTGGATGGGAGATAATTTTAGTATATGAGTGTAGTATGTATCTCCTTCCACCCACCTTTATGGTCTCCACTGGATTCGGCGTGGCATTGCCATAATTTCCGAAATATTGCTTCAGCAGATTGGCGTCGCTTAGATGACTATGCGAGTTAAGATTTGAAACATACGTCTAGTTGCGTTCTGTTCTACTTACTACTTTGTAATCGATAGCAACACTTCTGCCTCATCCATTGCTTGCGTGAGCTCCGCTTTGTGTGCATCGCAGCTCTGATCGACGCTCGCACGTCCCCTGTGAGCAGAGAGAGGGAGTGCACTGTGACTTGTTGTAAGCGAATTGTGCAAAAGGCTATGGATTTACGTTGGTGTTGCAGCCTTATGGTTAAGGTATGCCCCGGCGACAGCACCTATGATGACATGCATGCCGACCAAAGTTGGGAATATTTTCATTTGAGGGTGCGTTTGAGGGTGTTTGGAAAGAGAGCGGAAAAAGAAATGATCGACTGAAATAACCTCGTTTCACATCCTCTGATGCATTCAATACCTTCTATTTGCGTTTTGTACACCTTCCAAAAGCGGCGTGAAAAATTTGCAAGCGATATGCACGGCAGGGAGAGACAAGAATAAGGTTTATTAAATTAGAGTTGTTAGTCATGTGGAGAATAAGCTTTTATTGAATATTTAAGAGTGGCGGGAGATTAATTCGCGGGCTTTAGCTGTATTGGGGGGGAATTTGCGCTCAAACCACTCAACCTCACCACGGCCCCTTACCCCTGCTCATCCATGCATAAAAACTGCCCCTAGGCCAAATAGAATTTACTCATCGGCCCAGGTTAATTAGGGCAGCGGCCGGGGTTGAAGGTGAGACCCCTATTTTTCAACGGTGCCCTGAATCTGGGCAACTCTGCCATGTTTTAGATGCGCTCCATAAAAGGTCTGCCCGCTGATCGAACTGATGGTTTCTTAAACGCAATCAACTTACAATTACAAGATTGAAAAACAAGAAAATGCCTGCATCAAGGATGAGAGTTGACCCAGCGACTGGATTAGTGAGTGGTACTAATTCACGCACACTGCATAATACTAATTAAATTCTATTTCTATCAGAGCACAGCGAAGCGTACATGGATACCAAGACTGTATTGTGCACTCAAGACACAGCACTCAGGGATTGATTTCTGCTGCTCAGGCAACTGCATAGTGATAAACAGAGTGGGTAACTGGGTTGTGGAGGTGTACAGGCACTGACATCTGCAGACGCAATTCATCGAGTATCTCAAAGATATCCAGCCAGTAAACAGCAAGAGCGGACAAACAAGCGATAGGTGGGACGCGTGGCAGAGGAGTGCAGCCAACTACTCGCTTAAGACAGAATCAGAGTGTACATGCAACCCCAATAATCCAATCAGAAGTTTTAGTGATCTGTTCGTATACAGCCACCCAGATATTAGGAGAGGATACCTGCCACACCCTTCGCTTATCCACAAGAAAGTGCCCAAGAAGCAACAGCAACAGCAGCAGCAATTACAGCGTGGTGCTTCCACAGAGAGAAAGAAGAGATCTTACTCAGAGGCAGATACTAAGACTGCTTTTACCCGCACACACCTTCCAAAGAGCGTTAGTGCGGTGGAGCACAGTCGCCGAAAGAGCACTGGTGTGATCACACAGCAGCAACAACAACAACAACAACAACAACAGAAACAACAACAGCAAGATCAACAGCAACATCAATTTCACCCACAATACTACGGATATCCAACACCAAACTACTCACAATACTCCTCACCGATCGAATTCGAAGCGCTACTCCCTGCACCACAGCAGCAGCAGTTCGACGATTGGCTTGTGAGCGATTTGAGTATGGGGATTGATGGCTCATTACTCAACGATTACAATTTGGGCGGTGTTGTAGAGAACTCAATGGAGAATTCAAATGGGATTGCTCACAACTCAGCTTCAAACTCACTCGGATTATTGCCAACCAACATGCAAATGCCCGCTAACATGGGTATGTCTTCAAGCATCGAAATGGGACCTCACAGCGGAAGCTTGACGCCTTTGTCTGACCCGGTCACGCCAACAATGACACCTACGATGACGCCATCATCCAACTACATGGCGTCACTGTCACCTACGACTACATCACCATACAAGGCGAGCGATGGCACAATGCAAGCTGCAAACGCGATGCAACAGCTGCTCTACGACGATGGATACGTCTACCCCAAGAGCGAGCCTCAATTCAATTACAATGTATACTATTGAATGAGTCTTTTTAGCAGCTCAAATTCGGATTACTATACTACCTCATCACTCAACTGGACTATTTTCACATAACATGAATCATCAATCATCAATTGATCAATGTAATGACATATGCTTATAAATAACTTATCATGTATTGTATTCAACATATATTATTTGCGATTCGCGTCGTTTTACTCGTCCAACTCTGCGAACCAGTCCTCAGTGAGAACATGGACGCCCTCCCTGTCAGCTCTAAGTATGGTGCGATACACAGCAATGACTTGGGAAGGGGAAGGAGCGCCTATCCAAACCTTACCATTAACACCTGTAGCCAATTCGAAAGGGAAGTTGAAAGCGTTCATGAGTGAGTTCATCAGTGAGCTATTTTTCTCCAGAAGGGATTTACACAAGTTAATGTTAAGATTATCAGCGAGCAGGCCACCTTTGAGCTCTCCATAACCCTCTGCTTTACCTGTAGCAGGGTTGAGACATTCGAGTTCAGTCTCCATATCCCTATGAGCGAGACTGATGCGAGCATAAACCAGTGAGCCGACCTGGGAGAATAGCGCAGTGGAGTCAGCAATTGACCAACTCACGACTCAACTGCCCACTCACCTTGAGATTCGGCTTATTGCGCTTGGTGGCTCCTTCGAAAGCGAGTGCATCGAGGTTAGCCGTGGAGGCTGAGCCCACGTCGACTCTGTAGCCGTCCGCGCCCCTGAATATCACTTGTCCGATAACGCTGTCGTGCGTGCAGGCGAGGTACTTGTGCGACGGTGAGCTACTTGGTCAGAAAGATATACACGCACACCCACTCTCCGCTGTTCTGCGACGTGTATGTGCGGTCTAGTCTTTTTCCTGTCCGTATCCATGTCAATATCGTTTCTGCCGCCATCGCCACCGCCACTGCTGAGGACGCCTGCTCGTGTACTGATAGCACCTGTAGTACGCGTGGTGTGTATGCCAGCTACAGCGCTGGATGTACTGGGAACGTCTATGCTGTCTCCCGGGAAGACGTGCATTTGGTGGTTGATAAACAACAGCCATCATGTTCTCAGGTATTGCTAGAAGCGTCGCTTTGAGAAGCAGCAGAGTGGGAATTCCCAGAGCTGCAGTCACTCCAATCACACTCAGTCACACGCACAGATATGCTTCAGGCTTCGGATCGAGCGAACAAGCGCAACTCCTTGAAAAACTCTCGAAAGCACCTAAAGCCATTGAAATTATCAAGCAACTCAGCCAGGTTATGCACGATAAGGGCGTTGAACCTGGCTCCAACCCATCAGCATCCACACTCTGGTCACTCGCGAGCGATGAAAAAGTAAAGGAATTATCTCAAGAGCTGAATAACGAGTTGAAAGAGGCTGGTATCGATGCCAAGGAGATGGTCGGTGATATTATGCCAGGCAGCGACGGTGAGAACGGCGACAAGGGCAGTGAGAATGTTAAGTAGATGATGAATACATGAAACTTGTACATGTTAGTCACATTTCAGTTGTCAGATGGCTCGTAGAGATATTCCCCCTTCACCTTCTCCACTATTGGCTTCACTTTCTCGAAGACAGCGAACACAACGGCTTGTCCAGGTGCGACACGGAGAATACGCGGTGCGATACCCTTATAGAAGGACGCAATTCCCTCCTGTTTCCACATATCGCCAGCGACTCCTAACAGCCTTGATAGCGCAGTCTCGCCCTGCACCCTGTGAGCCTTCTGGATGCGCGTCTTGATAGTATCGATCGGAGCGTTTGTCAGTGGACCAGCCGCGCCCGAGATGAAGCCAAATATGACTGTCTGCCAGCTTGGTAGTTCTGCGCCATTGTAATGTGGCTGGTACGTGTACGCGGCAGCCTTGAGTTGCTGGTACGCAGTAAAGTTGGCGCCCTGGTTGGTTGCCTGGCGAAGCGCTGTGAGCGTGACACCCCTGTAAAGCGTCGCGATGCCCTCGTCTTTTACAATGGTATAGCAGGCGTGCGCGGCGTTGCGGTACTAAGTACGCAGCGTGCTGCTGTCAGTATTGGTAATTTCGTGGCATGGTGAAAATATTCACCTTTGGGACATCAAGCGGATCCATCATTGAGTGTTGCTGCGATTGCAGACGGATCTTGACAACTTCCATAGGGGTGACAACAGCAACCGCCTCTGTCGTGCCTGCGCCGAGACCAGCAATGAAAACCTTGGTGGGGGCGAGTGAGCCGTCTCTGTTGTTTTTTCCCAGCCACAACTTGTATTGTTCGAAAGAGGCGAACCTAATAGCCATCTTGGGGACAATTCCTGATAAAACCGCACCTAAACCTTTGTAGAGCCCGAATGCAGATTCGCGGGTGATGATGTATTTACCCGTTTGGTAGAATCCAAGGGGCTTCAAACCACGCGCTTGCCTCGACTTAGACAGCTGCATGCGCACTTTGATCGTGTCAAGAGGATGACACGCCAGTGCTTCGGCTGCTCCAGCTACACCGCCTGCGATTAGGTGCGTCGACAGTGGTACTTTACCGTTGTCTGCTTTGCTCATTTTGCTCATGTTGGTTGTGTTCTTGGGTGTTCAAATGCTAGAATACCCGCCTAATTCCCCCGTCTTGTGCTGGCTATTCCCTGAAATCTCCGAATCATCACGTGTTATTCTGGGCGTGTGAAAATGCATGAAAATGTTTATACACTAGAATAAGCCCCTTAAGCCACACTATACTACATATATTAATTAGCAACTACGTGTTATTACCCTCGTAGAACACACCTGCGTGCGAAAATTCTCACCTTTATGGAGCAGCCAACGCAGACTGGAGGAACATTTCATAGTCCATATTGACATAGCCGCTCCTGTTGACGTCTAGTCTATAGAAGTTTTCCGAGAGCGTCTTTACAGCGACGCAGCATCTGACGAATCTGCGAGTGTCTCAGCACGGCAAAGATACCAAACACTACTCACCTGTCGAATGAGATACCCTGCATCCCAGCTCCGTATGGCACGCGTCTGTTGTAGTTAGGATTGCCTGTATGTGCAAAGTCCCACAAAATGTATGAAAACAGACCAACGAGGAGTATGTTGATGAGCGATGTGAAAAAGTTGGAAAGTGAGAAGACAAAGATATTTGAGAGGAATGCAAATGAGAGGCAGAGGAAGAAGAAGATATGCGAAGGGAAAGCATTAAACGTCAGCCAGAGCCTTGGACGGGACATGCATAACTCGCCGTATTTATCCTCCAACACGCGCAGGGTGAATGGCGTGAGTCTGTAAAGAATACTCAGCATCATAACAATATGACACGCTCTTTACGCACCTATAACCGAACTGAGAGAGAGCAGCAGCCAATTCATGTCCCTCAATCGTTCCCGATCTGTCCACATCGAAATGTTGAAAGACGTTGCGCCAGTCGTTGATGTACCTGGCAATCAGATCAGCCGCGGCCAACGACTCGCACTGGCCAAACACACTTAAAAACGCCGGCAAACTCGTCGATCGAGATGGTACCTGTCTTGTCAACGTCAAAGATACCAATCAGCATCTGCGTTGTATCCAGATCAAAGTTGCTGTAATCGCCATTTACAAGCGCCATCTGTAACTCTGTAGCGTTTATCTGACCGGTCCTGTCTCTGTCGACCGTCTCGAACCAGCTGCGTACATTTGGATCAATGTACGTCGTCGGTGGACGTGGTCTCGTGAAGCCTGCACTAGCGTATGCGTTGGGTGCAGGTGCACCGTATGCGCTAGCTGGGCTGTGCCGAGAGTATGAAGGCGCCGCCGCTGCTGCTCCTGTCATTGAACCACCTGTGTAGCCAGGTGCAGGACTGTGACGTGAGTACACAGGTGCTGCTCCTGGTGCTCCTGCCCCACTCGCATAGCTACCTCTGCCTGCAACTGCAGGTGCTGCGCCGTAACTGCCCCTGTGTGCGGAACCGTAGCCGGGTGCACTTGGATAGTTGGGTGCGCCGCTATGCGTGTGCGTCAGTGCTGTTCACGTCCCACACTCTTCTCCCTACTATCCACCGTAACTCATTGTTTTAACTTTGGAGGTGATTGTCTTAAACCAACATCTTTATCGTCTTATAAAATTCCATCCGCTTACAAAACAAAATTTTTCATTTACGAGAAATCATCTAAAGAGAAGGTGTTTAAGTCTAGCGAGTGTCTGTTGTTTCTGAGAAGAGTAGTTGAAATATTTCACAATTAATGTTCCTGAGTCGGTTGAAGCGAGATAGTAGAGTAAAATCAATAAAGTTAGTTGAAATATTGAAAAATTCCGAAATTTACCAGTTTAACAACACGCAAACCAGCTCCGTCCGTAAAATTGTATTAGTCTATATTAGTTAATTAGGTAATCGTTTTGCTATTTGGGTACTTATTTAGATGCGGTTCGTCACATCTTGGAATACCGGACTGGTATCGAAAGTGGGTGTTGAATTTGGACTTGGTGAGGGTCTTTGCGATGACCTACCATTCATACTCGCTGAGAGTGATCTAGGTGGATTCCCACATCTATCTTTACCGTAACTTATTTTTATGCCTGCTTTAATATACTCGTCGTCATTCTTTATTGCCTCTATTGCTTTGATAGCGTGTGCAATGTTGGTAAAATTGACAAAGGTGCATCCCTTTTCCCGCAGCGAATTGACTTGTTCAACTTGACCAAATACCTCGAAATCCGAACGTATTTTTGTTTCATTGAAGGTATCCATATCAGTGAGTGCACCGACATAGACATTTCTAGTTGCTCCATTTTGAACAGATAAAGCAAGCGTTGGAGGGAGTGGGCCTGAGTGTTTACCCCAACCTATTTTCAGTCTACGGTTGTGGATAGTGATACCTTGATAAGACGCAACTTGATAGAAAGTCAAAGCGTTTGTTGGATCGATGAAGGTCTGAAAGAGTGGGTTATTAAATGTTTAGTTAATTATATTCCGCACTAACAACAAATGCGATATGCTTGTCTGACAAATACCTAATGGATTGAATAATACCACCTCTAATAGCGTTGCATAATTCTTCAGCAGTAGTCTCTTCAGATAAATTACCAAGGTAAACAGTCCTATTACCGATGTTATCAAGAGGGACAGTAGGGATGGCAGGGAGATTAGATAGACCTGAGAGACTGTTCATGTTAGTCAGACCAGCGAGATTGTTTGAGGTTAGTTGGGGGTTGAGGTAGTTTTCATAAGTGTTAGAATTGAGGAAAGCGGCTGCAGCAGAAGGGCTAAAACCAGCCATCGAGTAAGGGTATCCGGAGCTAGCAGCAATAGCAGCAGCAGTTCTAAGAGCTTGAGTAGAGGGTTGTTGTTGATTGCGAGGAATGTAAGCGCATCTGTCTTTACCGTAGTTGATGCGCTTGTTCGAGTAGTTTGGATGGTGTGGGAGGTCGTTAACAACCTTTATAGCTGTGGAAATGGAGAGATAGTGAATGAAGGCAATCTTCTTATCATGAACAATCTTAATTTGATCAATTGGACCAAATTTACTCATATCTTTTGACAAGCTGTCGTGTGTAGTTGAGTCGTCAATACCACCAATATAAACGTTTCTGGAAGCGTTTGATTGTTGTACAGCGAGTAAGACATTTGTTTGAATCTGAGAATTTTTACCCCAGCCAAACTTCAATTCTTGCCCATGTAGAGTAATTTTACGCGTAGTAGCGTCATGATAGAATTGAATAGCTATAGTTGGATCCAAAAAGGCTAGAAAAGCGTAGGATTTCTCAGGGAAAAGCTTTATAGATTCTAGGGGACCAAATTTGACGAGATTTAGGAGTTGATCAATAGTAGCGTCTGATGGGAGGTTTCCAACGTAGATGTTCCTGCCTGGGTGTTGGAGAGGAGAGTAAGAAGGAGAAGGAGAATGAGAATGAGTGAATGTGGGTTGTAGAATGAAATGATTGTAGTCTTGGATATCATTATTTAGTAATTCCATCATTTGGGTATTTGTTGGTCGTTCCGGGTCAAGAACGATCCAAGCGTTGAAAATTAAAATAAATTTGATAAATTCTTTGAGCGTACAATTGAGTCGATGGTTGCATTCTCATCTCCCAAGATGTCCTCCAACACGCCTATCTGAGCCATCTTCTGCCTTCTCATCTCGACAATTTTATCAGATAAAACCATTTTGTTGTAAATCAGTGAAGTCAAGACAGTCCAATTAACTAAAAACGAAATTCTGTTTCTAATTTATTCATTTGATTTCCTTCTTTGATTGCTACTTCCATCATCTACTTACTTGTTCATTCTTCTCAATTCTCAACATCGAAATGAAACGAAGTCTAAACCCTTCAAATTCAAATAAAAGGTATAAATTTGAGAATTTAAATAAAAAATTCAACAACATCAATATTAAGCAGATTCTTCTTAAATCTTTGAACGATTTGGATTACACTGATGACAGCGATCACAACCCTTTTCACACTCGATTACAGCAGATTTCTGAAATTAACTTGCACTACGGCTTCACTTCCTTATACAAAGAAATCTACCCTCTCACTCACTCCCTAGAACAAGTTATTCACTTTAAATCAAAAATTATATCCTCCATCTCTTATCATTTATCTGTTAAATTCGGTGATGATCCGTGGAGATCTTGGATTGGTATCTTGGAGTGAGTTACCTGGCTTTTTCGCGTCATTTTCATCTAATTTTGGTCCAGTTTGATACCTCCTTTGGCTAGATCTTTGTCCTCTCTTTTACACCCTCACCTTGATCAGATTCTCCCTATTCTCCTCTCCATCCCAACATCTGACATAGCCCACAACAATCCTCAACTTTTAGAAAAGAGTTACGTCGTTTTGGCAAACCTCTTGTCTCACCTATCTAAACACCTCTTAAAGAACAATGCCGCAATTGATATCTACAACATTCTCATCCCTTTCATCACAAACACCTCTGAACACGCCAAATGGATTGCTCAAGCTTGGTCTGCTTTTTTGAGGAGGTGTAAAGGTCCACCGCTTGACTCTTTATTAACTCACATGTTGCAATCTACTTCAAATTCTCCTCTACTTGAAGAATCCATCGCCATTTCCATCTCTGAAGCTATCCAATCCCCGAATTACTCTCTACATTCACGCACACACTCCATTTTTTCCTTTATCCTCAATTATTCCCTTGAAAACCCCTCCTCATCCTCCACTAGCATTACTATTCGCGTTTTAATTGCAGCTATCCACCACATAAGAGATCCTGCTCAATTGAATCCCATTTCTGATGTCATTGTCAATGCACTAGACCAAAACACCAATCAATCCAACAATGTCAGCAGCCTCTCAGTTGCAATGCGGTTTGCTCAGGTTTTAATGGGTGTACGCAAGGCTACACGAGTTGATGAATCTTCGCGCCGTTCAGTCTTCAAACTCCTCCTCACATTGTCCAATAAATCGCTTCAATCCTCCACTTTTATCCAATATTTACAGCTTTTGGCTACCGCTTTATGTGCAGGCAAGCTTCAAGACCTTCTTAGCCCGGGTATTCAAATTCTCGATAAGGTCTTCTCTCACAATGACAAATCGTCCGTACTAGGTTTCTGCATGGCATTGTCAGAGTTACAGTGGTCAGGTATCGAGCAGTTTATACTCCCGCCCATGTCAAAAACATCATTTGCTGACAATCAATACGAGTTTTACACCCTCCTCGCAACTTTGGCTGAACGTGCGCAGTTACCTTTAACAAGCACAGTCGCACAGCAGCGTTTCCAGGCTTTCTTCAGAACCATCAACAAGGATTTGTGCAAATGCGTTCAAGATGCTGCCGCTCGTATCGTCAGCAACACTTCTACCGACGCGCATATCGATCTCTTGTCCAATGTCGCCATACTCGTCCACGCTAATGTCGGTGTTGAAGCTAAGCAGTTCTCTGGGGAAATTATGAACCTCTTCGATTACCTCACTAGTGCTAGCACTGATGTCAACGTGCAGCATGAGTTTTCCCACCATCCTTACAACAAAGTTTGGCTGACGTCGGTCACTATTTCAATCATTGCAAAATTAGGAAAGGAGGACACAGTTAGGGAGCGTATCAACGATATCGTGTTGCGTTACTCCAATTACGCAATGATAGTAAGGTCTTTGTCACAGTTATGCGAGCAGGGTGTCTCACCGACGCTGTCAACCGATGCAATCAATCTCCTCAAAATAAACATCCTTTCATACTCAACCGAGCTCAGAGTGTCATCACTGAAGCTACTCAGTCAGCTCAGAGGCGAGCAAGAAGTCATTTACGACAAGTGCTTCCAAGTCGACCAAGTTCCGCTTACTATTGAGAGTTCCCGCGATCGCAACCTCACACTGCGACGCGTCGGCCAGCATCTCTTAGCTGCTGATGCCAGTGAAGAGAGTCGCAAAGTTGGTGCTATGTTTATGTTATGTGAGTGTCTCTGCTACAATAAAATTCACGCTAACAATACCCCAGCGCAATTCAAAGTTAATTTCCGTCCTTTATACGAACAAGCCTCTGATTCCCTCGCTGAGTTGATGGCAGCACAGACAGGATTGTTGTGGCCTATCTTTCTCCCAGAGTTGGAATACGCAGTAGGTGCATCTCAGAGAAGCAATGCGAGTGCGCAGGCGCCTATTTGGATGCTCAGTGACCAAGCTTTCAAGAGGAGTGACCGGGGTGTACTCATAGCGGGCGACTACGTCACTGATGATAATCATTTCAGATGTACCAATCTCGATAAATGGGACAGGGGACTTGAGAATGCATTCAATGATCTCAGCAAACCTCTAAGGAGAGCGGCGGAGGTGAGTTTATGTGTTATCCATTAAATAATCTAATCTTCGAGACAGGCTCAAAAATCGCTCAATCGATTTGATATCAACAACTACGAGGAGTTGCTGCTTGAAACTCTCACCAAATGTGTCGGTGTTGCTGAGCGCAACACTAAAACTCTCAACGTCCTTTTCTTGCGCTTCGCTGACAGGAGTGAGGAACTGGACGACGACGATGAGAAAGAGCATCAGTCGCTCAAAATGCTTAGAAGCCGTCTGAGTGCGTGGCTGAAGCTCTATTCGGCGTTCAACAACCCCAAAGCTATGTATCGTGCGGGAGATATGCACGCCCTCTTCCTCGAATACCTCAGCAAAGGTGATGCAGGTATACAGGGTCACGCTCTCAATTGCATCCTGACATGGAAGGATCTTTCAGTGAATGCGTACGAGGAAACACTCAAGAATCTCCTGAAGGAGGGTACATTTAGGGACGAGCTGACTAACCTCCCGCTTAATATCGAGTCGAGTGCTATTAGTCCTAGTCATCGAGCGGGGCTTATTCCGATCGTTATTAGAATGCTCTATGGTGTTATGACGTGGCGCAAAGGAAGGAGCTCGGGTAATCAGGGTGCTGGTGTTCGTAGAGTGGCTGTTCTAACCGCTTTGAGCGAATGTCTCCCAGAGGAGCTCAGCACGCTCATTAAACTCATGACAAGCTCCCTCCAGAATGCAATTCCTGCCGTAGGTGAAGAGTTGCAGCTTAAAGATCTGGACGCCCCGCCAGCTGGTAAACGTCAAATCGGTTTCCTAAGTCTCCTTGAAGACCTGCTCAAATATATGGGCAAATCGCTCATCGCCTATTGGCCCACTCTGCTTGGATTGACCTTGGAGTTGACGCACGACGCCCACAGACGGATAGCTGCGCATAAGGAATCTGATATGGACGTGGATGTAGTGGGCGTGGATAGCCAGGTGGCGCATCACACACCCTTGCGTAATGTTAGACTGCTGGGTCTTAAAAGGTTGGGAGACTTCTTCCGCGTCCCGTCTATCGAATTCGATTTTGATCCTTATCTCAAATCTGCATTCAAATCGTTTATCTCGCCGAGATTGAAGCTGCTCGCTGTCGAAAACACCCAGGCACCCTCATCGTTGTTAGAGCTGTTTGCTGTTTGGTCAGACTCCGCTGCGTATATTCCGTCTTTGCAGAAGTACGACAGCAGACTGCTACCTCAAGCCTTCTCGATTATCACTGCAAACAACGTCAAACCTGCTGTTGTATTGCGAGTGTTCGATATAGTCGATAATTTGATCGAGGTGTCCGCTTCAGATGAGGTGGGAGACGAGACGGATGAAAGCAGGGCGTTGAGAACGGTCGTGAGGGAGGAGATTCTCAAACCTAACGTACACCATCTGTTGGTGTGCCTCACTGACAGGTTTGACAAGTTCGGTAACAGCGGTGTGCGTGACGACATATCGAAGCGTCAAATAGGAATATTGTCTCATATCGCCAAGTATGTGCATGATCAAGATCAAGCTAGGAGAGTGCTGGATTTGCTGCAACCGCTCCTCAGACAGTCTTACAAAGTTGTGAATGAGAAGATCAAGACGGAGTTGCTATCTATTTATGCGGAACTGTTGAAACTTGTCCCAGAATTTCAAGACCCTACTTCACTTTTCCATACGAGGAACTTCGGTCTGTTCGCTTCACTCTTTTCACTCCTCAGATCGCGACCAGCTAGGGATGAGTTGGTCAAGATTATGGGCGTGTTTAGCTTGGTTGACACGTCTTTTATGCGCACTTTCGACCTTGTTACTAGTCTCAACAGCTGGTCAAGCAAACGTATCGGCGAGCCAGATTTCGATAGACGTTTGGCTGCGTTTGCAGCGCTCGAAAGTGAGAGTGGAGGGTTACAAGGCAGAGATTGGTCTGTTGTTTTGCACAATATGCTCTATTTCATAGGCGATCCTGAAGAGATGTCTATAAGGTCCTCAGCTTCTAATGTCATGAAAGTGTTTGTGCATGTTGTTGGTGATAAGGGTGGCGACGAGCTGGAGGAGCTGCTTCTAAGGATGCTCTACCCCGGCCTGCGTAGGATTCTCAAATCCAGACACGAGCTAGTGCGTGTCGAGGTACTCTCTGTCATCGCTAAGGCCGTCTTTGTGTGCGACAAAATGGACACTTTCACGCAAATGCGTCCTTTGCTGATGGAGGGCGACGAGGAGGCCAACTTTTTTAACAACATTCATCACGTGCAGCTGCACAGAAGAAGCAGAGCTCTGCAGCGTCTCGGCGACTTTGCAATGCAGGGAAAATTACCAAATGATGCGCTTGTGAAGGTGTTCATACCGATTGTTGGCCATTTCGTGCGTGTTGATCGCTTCACGATGTGCTCAACTAACACTCATTTCAGGTCTCTGGCGCCACGGAGAAGAAAGATCACAATCTCACCACCGAGGCTATCAAAGCTCTCGGTGCATGCTCGAGCAGACTGGGGTGGAGTGCTTACAACAATCTCGTTCGCTCATATCTCAAGCTCGCCAAAGCCAAGGACGCCAACGAAAAAGTGTACATCAGAGCTACTATGAGCGTTCTTGAGCACTTCCATTTCAGCATGTCGGAAGAAGTCAGTGGCGACTATGAGGAGAATGATGAGGAGAATGAGAGTGATGACGAAGATGCACCTCCACAGCAAGCTAGTGCGGCTAAGGTTTCTGACGCAGTCACTAACAGACTCCTCCCTCTTCTCCTTAAATATCTCGAGCAGAAGGATGAGACGGAAGCGAGCATCCGTATCCCGATTGCAGCTGGTTACGTGCGCGTCGCTCTCTTTCTGCCTGCCGAGGTGAAAGAGATGGAAGTAAACAGGTTAATTACTGTCCTTGCTCAGGTGTTCAAAAGTAAGGACAGCGATACGCGTGTGCTGGCAAGAGAGGTTTTGTGCAGGATCAGCACAATAGTTGGGCCAGACTATCTCCCATCCATTATTTCCGCTCTTAAGGAGGCACTTACGCGTGGTGCTCAGCTGCATGTGTTGTCGTACACTGTACATTCGGTCATTGTTCACCTCATTGGTTCTGAGGCTGGTCGGTATGATAATCTCGATCTGGTCTCACAGGACATAGTGTCGATTATCACAGAAACAATATTTGGGCGCTCAGCGAAAGATGCGCAGAACGAGGAATGGAAGACACAGACGAAGGAGGTTAAGTCAGCCAAGAACAAGTCACTCGACACGTATCAGATCCTCGCCAGGCTTTGCTCACCAAGTAAGATGCCAGTGCTGTTGCTGCCCATTCGCGATATGATCACTGTGTCGGCAAACCAGAAGACTATTGCGTCAGTTGATGAAGTACTTCGCAGAATTAGCTTGGGCGTTATATCCAACGCGCAATTCCAACCAACGGACGTTCTCTCGCTGTGCTACAGTCTCATCGCTCAAAAGAGCAAATTCGCCACACCGTCCGAGAAGAAGAATAGGAAGCGGGAGAATGTTAAACAAGGTGCGGTAGTGCAGCTGAAGCGGGATATTCGTGAAGAGCGCAACTACTTTGAACAGAACTCGCACAAATTTATCAATCTAGGTTTAGATCTCTTCAACACGTCTTTTAAACGTTCACAATTTGACTTTAAGAGTGGAGAGCATCTCGCGCGTCTCGATCCGCTTGTGAGCGCAGTGGGTAATGTGCTCTATACGTCCAACACGGATACTGTCGTTTTGGGCTTGAAGGCCACTGCCAATGTAGCGAGGGCGCCGCTGCCGTCGATTGAGAATAGCTTGGGTGTGTTCATCAAGCGGATTTTTGCATTGTTGGACGATTGCGGGGGAACACAATCAGAGTGGGTAGTGGACTTAATCGAAAGTAGATGATTGAAACTAATTTGTCCAACAGACTCGCACAAACTACGCTGCGCACTCTTGCAGTATTGCTGCGTGAAGTGAAGAATGCTACGATCAAGGAGGAGGAGCTTAAGCATCTACTCAACCTCATTAAGCCCGATCTCGAGGAACATGACCGCCAGCACACGTTATTCATTCTCCTTAAAGCCATCGTTAACAGGAAGCTGATCGTGCCGGAGATATACGAAATGATGGAGCGCGTGGCTGAGGTTATGGTCACTAATCAGTCTTCCCACGTCAGAGATCAATGCCGGAATATTTATTTACAATTCTTGCTCGATTATCCACAAGGCAAGGCGCGCATTAAGAAGGTGTTCGACTTCCTAGCCAAGAATCTCAGCTACGTGTATGAGTCGGGGAGATTGTCAGTAATGGAATTGCTTTCGGTTATTATTCAGAAATTCGATCAAGAGAATTTGAGGAAGAATTCGGATATCGTTTTTCTAGGACTAGTGATGGTACTTGCCAATGATGATTCAGCCGTGTGCAAGGAGAGCGCCAATGCACTAATCAAGAGCCTGCTATCGATTTACGATAAAGATGAAAGAAACAAGGTGGTGGCTATGATGCACAGCTGGTCTACTCAGGATGCTCAACCTAGTTTGCAGATGCTATCTGCGCAGCTCGCCGGTATCTTTGTTGAGTCGATCGAGAAAGGTAACGGAAAGGGTTATGTGAACGGAATAATTACAGATTTGATGCGGTTAATTGGGGTGGATGAATGGCAAGTGCTGTACCACACCCTCAACGCCATAATCAAGGTAATCAACACATACCCTCACGCGGTGGATTATGTAGAGTGGGCTGCTGTCGTGAATAGTCTCAATTATCAGCATGTGTGGGTGCGCTCCCAGTCAGCAAAGCTGGTTAGTGCCCTTTTCACAATCACACAGCCTTACACACCTAAACTGGGAACGGGCGGCATGTTGTCGCTCGAAGGACTAGTCGAGCTGAGTAGAAAATTCTCATACGAGCTCCGGTCGAAGCATCTGGACAATGACATGGCGCACCAGGTTGTGAAAAACCTCATCTTTATTTCCAGATGTTTCGCTGGTGTGTCCGTGGAAAATGAGGATGGGAATGGAGAAAAGGCTGTCAAGGCAGCTGAAGAGGGTGAGAAAGAGGAGGATGACGATGAGGATGGGAAGAAAGAGGAGGAGGTAGAAAAGGCGGAGGAGAGTTGGAGGCGCGACCCACTCGGCTGGCTCTTCCGTAAACTGTCCTTCCAAGCCAGGTTGTCATTCTTCAAACGCTCATTCGAGGACAATGTGCAAGACAAGAAATTGTGGATCATGCAACCCACTTTCATCTGCCATTGGATGGGATACATGGTAAACACACTGGATAAAGATCGGTTGACAGGGTACATGTATCAGATACTTCACCCTCTTGTCAGAATCACTGGGGAAGAGAATTTCAAGAGAGATGCGCAGTTGGAAGAGCTGCAGAATTTGGCCCAGGAGGTAATGAATATGCTGCAAACCAAGTTAGACAACACGCTCTATCTGCGCGTTTATCAGGGTATTAGGCAGCGCATGGTGGCTGTTAGAGACGAGCGAAAGACAGTACGCAAGCAGAATGTGGGTGTGGAGTGTTTGCGATAAAGGTTTATCTAACGATGACATACAGATGGTCAGGAATCCTCAACTGGCTGCTCATCAGAAGAGCAAGCGGTCTGCATCCAAGGTGGATTCTAAGAAGAGGAAGAATAATCACTTTGCGTGAGTATAGGGTTGTTGAGGTGGTATGATTATCTGACGCGTCATAGATCACAAAAGAGAACGATTTAGGGTAGTATTAAATATAGATGATAATTTATAGATATTTATTATGTTAAGTGACAAATGCATTTATTTTACGATAACTTTACACTATGTAATACAAAAAACGAGCACATGTTGCACACTCACTCACTGCGTTCTTAGTCTATGTAATAGATGTTGGATGAGTCGGGGAGGAGAAGCGTGAAGTTCTGCAGCTTGTATGACATCGTCTAGGTTGATGGAGGGTGGAGGGTTGATTAGCTGTGCACTTATAAATCTCCTAGATTGTGGATTGAAATGTAGTTTGAGGGTACATTTAGGGTGTGTTTCTGGGTTAAACTTTCCATCTAGATTTTTGCGGGCATCATAGTCAATCTGCAGAGTAGCAGGTTCGGGTGTGTGTACGTCGAGGATACCAATGAGACTTGAATAGACCTTGGTTGCAGTGTCTAACCAGCTATTTAAATCTTCAATGCCATCTTGGACATGCTCCTTTGCGCGTTTTGCATCAATTCCCATTCTTTTAGCGGCGGATAAGTCAGATTGTAAGCGTTCATCTTGTGTGGAAAGGGATTTGATTTGCTGTGTTAGATTAGAACGTTCTATGGATTGATTTTGTTTGATATCGGATAAATTTTGCATTTCAATGATTTGATCATCGAGGATTTCTTGTGCGACAGAAGGAGTGAGGCGTTGTTCTGGTGGGTGAGTAGCGCGTAACTTAGCCAACTCCAATTGAATTTGTTGAATATCATTAAGGAGAGTTGTTGTTGTGGAAATGTCTTGGGTGTAAAGAGAGTGTTGATTGTCAACAAAGTCAACGAGTTGGTTGAGTTTGATGGTCTTATCATCTGCTTCTTGTTTAGCCTGTTTTAAAGACAACTTGTCATTCTTATTTGAATCTTCCAATGTGCTATTATCTTCTGGAGTGATGAGTGGTGGTTGTGAGGACAAAATTGATTTTAGAAAATTCTCCTTTGTTTGTTGTTCAACGAATTTGAATTTGAGTTTACCAAAGAAGTCAATAGATTGAGAAAGTTCAGAGCCATAGTGGAGTGGATTACTAGGCAGTGAAGGTGTAGTTGAGGTGTCTGTTGATGTATCCTGCGTGTCCTGCGAATCATTGTGTTTTAATATTGAATCAAAATATAAGTCGCGCTTTTCATCTAAAATTGATTGACTACTCTTTATGAAATCCATCGCGTGTTGATAGTAAACGTCAAAGACGCGTGAAATGGAAGAAATATTAAATAGAATATCCAATCAATCTGATTCAATTTTAAGCTTAAAGAGAAATCCAGGACATTCGAGTTATCCTGTTAAAGCTGCGTTAGGGGATATTGATATTTTAGATTATTTGAGGGATGGTGAGGAAAGTGAGGTGAGGTTATTTGGTGGTGGTGATGATGATAAGGCGAATGATAAGAATCTACTCACTTTAAATCCAACCAATCATAATAAACTAGACAATGAAATGGATATTGATATAAATACTCTATTAGACGCTGCTATAAAGATAATAAATGATTATAAGCAACTTCCACGTACTATTAATCATATAAATAATCTAAAAGTGCTTGTTGAGGAGACAAACACGGGGATTAACAAATATCAGCGTGTTATTCAATCACCTTTGGATAGTAATTTGGATACAGATGAGTTTAAATCTGATATTGAAACTCCAAATGATTCTAACACCGAAGAACTAATCAAAGTTCAATCAACTCACGTTAGAAACCTTGAATCTCACCTATCTGCTATCAAAGATCGTAAAGATTTCTTACAATCATCTTTGAACGAAAAGAAGTCTCAATTTCATTCACATTCACATAACAAACAACCTCTAACTCCAATCCAACTTCCTTTACGTCAATTGAAAGATATTCAACGTCGTAATAATACTCCACGTAAACCAAAACTTGCAACTGTTCGTAGAGAGCAAGACTTATTCAAATCCATACCAAAAGATGATGATTCTTTCAATTTGGGTGGTGAGGAGACACTCAACACTTCAACTCTCCTTGGTAATACACCGCAAATGAATTTAGTTCCATCAACTCCAATCCCTGATGGTGCAGCAGCTGCAAATGATGATATACTCTCTCAAATGGATACTCCAATCGAGACAAAGAATGTACCAACTATAACAAATCGCTCTACCATACCAACTACAACAAAGCACTCTACCACACCTACAGACACACCTGCAGACACAACTAAACACGAAAAATCAAATACACAAACTCCAACACACACTCCCAAACACAAATCACAAACATCCACACCCGCACCACCACCCACCCAACAAACTCAACACATTGAACTCACACCAGAGGTAGAAGCTGCGATAGTGGGTTACTTTATTCAAAAGGAAAAACACATATACTCACACATCCACAGAATTTGATTTGGGATGGTTTTGGCGAAGCGATAAGAACACCATCCACCAATGGAGGCAAACCGGATCTCGCGCAGATGCTACATATGCTCCAGGTGACAGTGGATAGTGTTCCAGCTGCGCATGTGGACGGCAGCAACCCCAGTAATTCACCCACACACTCCCTCCTCAGCATCACATCCTCACTCACCAAGGAAACTAACAGTTTGAGTCCGCAGACGGCAGCAAGTGCAGCACTGCTACTCAAGCTTCTCATCACACCTGCAAATCGACTACCTATGCAGGATGCTAAAGACCACCTCGCTCATCTCGTCAATCAGAGAGGATGGCCTGCTGAGCTCACCACCAAGTCCATCTACGCCCTTGTCGGTAAACGCCTCCTCCAACTTGACAGGAAAGGTGCTTCTGCGACGCTGCGATTTAGGATTTGACTTTTTTTCACTAATTAAGTGTGTTATATTTATTTACTCATGTATTGGAAATCAGATATCATTTAGTCGTCTTTTTGCATATATCATCAATCTTGCATACCGTCTCAATCACTCAAAATGCTCAAATCGACATTGAAGGTGCGTATATTGCCATCAGAGCCTGCGACAGCGATAGACTGAGCGTCGACAGTCCACACACCACCAACGACGCCACCGGCGGCGACGTTTTTGAGTGAAAGATTACGTGATGGCTTGTGCACTGAGTAGAGGTATACGTTGGTATCGCTTTGGTGTGTTTAGTAAGCACTGCTACAGACCAGCCAACGCACTCAACTCACAGTGAAGTACTCATCGCGACCTTTGAATCGCTTGTCCACTCCACACCGGTGACACGTGCCGTATGGAAAGCCCATGCACTAGTGCACAATTCGCCATCACGCGTATAAACGACAATTTTTCCGCTGTTCTGTGGGAGTTGAGCTGTTAGAAATGCTAGACATGTGAGACATGTGCTCAACCACTACTCACCTCTCCAACAGCGATCAATTTTCCGTCAGGGGAGAACGAAATTGTGGTTATTTCCGTCCTGCCTCTTTCTACCACTCTCACTTCATCACCTAGCTTGCCTGTGTGTTTATCGAATTGAACCAGATGCACTCTGCCAGTTTCATCACCTATAGCGACAAGATCGCCATCAAGTGCTATAGCGGAAGGTACGTAATTGATGTTTGTTGTTTTCTTGACGTTCTCCTGCGCAGGCGAATGCAAAGCCTGCGCATACGCTATAACGTCAATCGCTCCATTAACACACGTCACCAGCGCATGCGTACCATTCGCTGTGAGACCCTTGGCGAAAGCGGTGAGAGGGACATTGAGGGGTGTTGTATGGGTGAAATTGGTGTTGATTGCGCGCAGGTTGTCATCGAACCCGATCATAAGTGCACCAACGTCAACAGCGGGATCTTGCACAATTCCTCTAGTACACAGCTTTGTTACACATTTGCCAGTGCTACCACGAACGGCGGCACACTCGCCGGTATCTCCCTTGAATGAGCGCAAGTTGCCGTCGAATGAGCCGGTGAGAAGGTTCTTATCTGCAGACTGGGCAAAAGCAGTGATGGCACGGGTAGGGCCGTGAATATGAGTATGACTAGTGTGATTATCGTCTTTTTCTTGCTTTTCTTGATCCACATCAATCACATTCAGAGTGCCATCCACACCGATTGAAATGACGTTGTTACCCTTACCATCAGCATTTGACGGCCACACTATCCCCACTTGCTGACTGCCAATATCTTTGCCGACCTCGTATGACAAGAGCTGCTTGAAGGTATGTGCACACCACACCTTGACCGTTCTGTCAGCGGAGGCTGTAGCGAATCTGTTCGAGCTGCTCTCCCATGCTATACCATAGACTGATCCAGCATGTGCAGAGCGCGCTTCGTGGATTACGTCGCCTGTGTTACCGTCATACACGACAAAGGCACCATCAGACCCCACGCTGACGCAGACCTTATCATCAGGAGAAAAGCGGACATCCTGAACGAATTTGGAGTGAGATTTGAGCGTTTTGTTTAGTTTATATGGCGTGCCTGTGTAAAATACTAGCGTTGTGTCATCAGAAGCAGTGAGAGCGCGGAAGGGGCGTTTAGAGCGCATCGTTACTGCATTAGCGGGTTTAGAATGGCCAGATATTTCACCACAGCTCGAACCGCTGTCCATCAAGAAAGCACGTCCAGTACTCTCACGGCCTGAGCCAACAGCGATGATTCGCTGTGATTCTCCATCCCAATCGAGATCAGCAATGGGGCCAGTTGTAGCGCGTATTTCAGTCTTGAGGACGTGATCCTCACCAACCAAATCCCAGACGCGGACAGTGCCAGAAGTGTCGGCGGATGCGCAGTAGAAACCAGAGGGTGAAATACGCGCAACTGTAATTGGGTGGATGTGGCCTTGGTAGATGAATGAATCGGATGGATTTCCTAAGTCTCTAATCACAACTGATCGCCCATTGCCATATACAAGCTTCTCCCCTTTCACATCCACGCTGAGCTTTGTCGCTCTACCTCTCTCGCTAAATGGATTTATTGGGTGTGTTTTGGCTGCGTGCGTTAGTGTCTTGCTATTCGATGTGCCTACTCCTCACTCTGAGAAAATGCTGTCATGGCTTTGGTTAAACAAGTAAATAATTTCAATTCATGTTCAAATCAATATCTAGCTACATTCACATTTACTTCTCATCACTGAATATATCAGTTTGCCACGCTTTCGACGGATTTACAACACGATTTGCTGGTGTCTTAGCACTCTCCTCTTGAAGCGCATCGAAAACATCTTGTGGAAGTTGTACGTTGACAGCTGTGGAGTGTGTAAGTGGGTGCTAGATAACATAAACCAACTCACCATCCAAATTCTCCTTCAAATGCTCCTTATTCATTGAACGAGGCAGTGGGTTGATTCCGCGCTTCAAATGCCACGCCAAAATGAGCTGCGTTGGACTGACATTGGCTTTCTTCGACAGCTCCTGTATCAGCGGCTCCTTTGAGTAGCTTGCCTGTTTCGTGTCTGAACCAAGTGGGGAGTATGCCTGCGTTAATATTCCATTCTCCTCATTAAACTTAACCAAATCTGGTTGTGAACAGTGCAAGTTTATCTCTACCTGGTTAACGAGTGGCTTTTCTTTAGCGAATTTGAGAAGATTTTCAGTCTTGCCTGCTGAGAAGTTGCTAATTCCGAGACTGCGCACTTTACCTTCCTTCACAAGACCCTCCATAGCCTCCCAGGTCTGCTCGAGCTTTTCCATAGCCTCACGGTCAATCACCGGCAGCTGCTTTCCTTCCTGTTTGACAGGCATCTTATCGAGCACTTTGTCTGGGTTGGCAAATGCCACCGGCCAGTGCAGCAGGAGTAAGTCGAGGTAGTTGGTACCAAAACTCTCAAGCTCTTGCTCTGCACTAGCTTTCACAAGCGATGGATCCCAGAACGAGTTCCAGTTCTTGGTGGTTAACCACAGGTTCTTCCTATCGATTCTACTCTTGGTGAGGGCCGCACCGACTTTGTCAGAATTACCGTAGGCAAACGCACCATCGATATGTCTGTAGCCTAAGTCGAGTGCGTCGCTAACGACTCTTTCCGTGTTATTCTTATCAACTTTCCATAAACCCAATCCAATTGAGTTGATAACTTGTCCGTTTCCAAGTCTGAAGTTTTTTGGTAACATGAGTGGTCCTTTTGCGGCTGCCATGATTGATCTTGGGCGTTGGTGGGGAACGAATCATGTCGTCATTTGCCACCGAAAGTGGTAAATCCAAAATCTCAAGTGTAAATCAAGCTAAAGTAAATAACATGATACAATGCCTTATGACAAGATGAAAATTCGAAAACAAAGAAGAGAGAAGATATATGTGAATGACGTCAACGTATATGTACATAAATGCATGATATTTGCAGTTACTGATTGGCTGATTTGTCTTCTTCCACCCAATTCCTCCAATCAGCCTCGTCAAATTCATCAGCGTCGTCAAATAGATGCTCTAACGCTTTGGCGGCTCTGGATCCAGCAGGTGGGTACCAGTCATCATCTTTGGATCCACGCGAGGTAGCCTGTGGTTTGTTAGGGATGTTGAAATGTCTACAAATACACAGACAGCTGGTCCTTCCATTGTTTCATCAAATGGAGCATACCCTTTGAATGATTCTGTCGTGTCTGCCCTTTCTGTATTCATAATATCGCTGTTCTAGTTAAAGAACCCTTATCCAAGGTCACACGCATACACATGATGACATAGTGAGACATTAATTAGTAGTACACGCGGGTGAAAATTTAGTATCCAAACTTATTTGCAATTTGTTCAAAGTGATATAGACTTGAAGCTATTCTGACACGCTCCTTCCGATCAGCCACCCTTTTCAAGCCGTTGCTTCTATCTGCGCAGAGCACATCCAGCCTATCAAAGCAATTCCCAGTCTGGCACTTGACGACGACAACTGAGAGCGGTAACGAAGTCAACTTTGATACAACTGGCTCAATATCGGCACTAGACATTCTGTCGAACACAACAGCCAGCGTCTCCAGGCTGGGGTATCTGAGGATAAGTTCATCCAGAACTATCCTGTTGTGTTCAATGTCACTCGTAGAGTGCAGCCGCAAAGTCAGCTCCGTCACTGTATTTGATGCGGGTAGGAATGTCGTCAGAGAGAGATCTCCAAACGGCTTCCTACTCCCTCCCCTACTAAACAGCTCCATTTGCTGGCTTATAAAGCGCAAATCTAGTTGAAGCGTCTGGAGCTGCTTCATTTTTGCAAACTGTTTAGGCAGCTTCAATGAATATTCACAGTTAACAGTCAAATTTCTTTGTTAGCAAGGCGAGTCAGCCATGTTTAGTTGTGTCGCTGGGCACCTACCGTATATGATTTACCACTCTAGGTGAATTAAGTATCGTTATTCCCTCCTTATCGAAGTCGGTGACGGTTATCGTTTGCAACACCCTGCAGCTACTCGCACTTGATAACTCCTTCACCAGCGTGAGGCTCTGCCTGTCTTTAAACGACAGCTGCGAGAATATCTCATCCACTAGCTCAAATGGCAGATTTAACATGTTCAGAGTTGGTGGGTAAGTGTACAGTTTTCAGCCCAGGATTTACAATTAAACACCAAATTAAACATTATATCATTAGCCCAAATCGGTGATCAATAAGATTTTTCGCCGGAATGGTGTCGGATGACAGACTTCCGGCAGAGCACGTCGGCATGGAATATTACTACACAAATAATACAATTCTTATACATTTACATTATTACACAATCTTGGTTTGTTGGATGCTTGGTATATCTGCCTCGAAGGACAGTTCAAGGTCGGTTTTATGTGCAGACCTGCCAATATCGAGGTGGCACTTAGAGATATTTGATGCCAGGCTGTGTTTTCATGTCTCTCTATGCCGCAATCAACCCCAAACAGTCCTCGATTGGACTGAAGCCACAACCCATGTGAACGTCAATGAATCTGACCATGAACGAGCCTGGTAGTCCCTCGCTTAAAGAAACATTAAGAACTCTGAGACGAGGGTAAAAACATGTCGAAATTGCCTCGGTTGAATGCCTCAATGAATATTGTGTGCGGGATTTGGCTCAAGTCGAAAACTTGCAGTCGTGTGAGTTTGGAGAAGAGATTTGCTTCCATGTATTCCCATCGCTCATGTATGATGTACTATCTTGAAGAGACAGGTAGCTGATCTCAGTGCAAAGGACTGCGCGATGTAAGTCTATGTCGTAGTTTTTGATACTGATTTTACTTCAAACTGGCGACTTGACATTTTGCAATATCATCGAACTTGATCTGTCTAACTCGATTACGTGCAGTGACAGTAAGACAAAGCTTCTTACATTGTCGCAAAGCAACACACTGATACTGGCACCATTGATGATGAGTGTTTTGAGTGAATGTATCTGTGGTAGCTCATGCGACATAATATCCTTGATACCATGCGCGTCTAACTCTCTGAAACGATCAAAATCGAGTGACAAATGCCGCACGTTCAACTTGCAGTCCGCGAATTGCTGTGGAGGAGCGTAATATCAGATTATTCCAACACACAGAAAATAAAATTCGCGAGTATTGGCGTAACTAAATACAAAGTGAGCGAATTATAGCTATCCGACTTATTAACTAAAATAGTACAGCCCAGTGGCTATTATCGCGTGATATTATCGTAATATTGTCAATCTTAATATTCTTTTGAGTCACTTGGGAAGATATAAATGATGGCTCGAGCATTGAATGGATGTCACTTGTCCAATTGAGTGTGTTGAGTTTAATGCCAGTGTCATGGAAGTAATCCAGCAGCCTACAGAAATTGAAGTAATAGCTGCTGACATTGCGATAGCTTATGCGTTTATCTGAGAGAGAGGAATTGGTCTAGAAATGCTGTGGTAGTGTTGGTGGCCAAGTATTGTTGGTCAACGCAAGTGAGTGGCTGGAGAATGACTTGGGATATTCCATCAAAGCACTCCTCCCATGCATATTAACTGAAAGCCTAAAACTGACGTTTGTATCGCCAAACTCGTCGATCAGCAAGTCTAAAACCGTGTAGAAGATATCTTGGCCCAGTCTCTTAAATTTCGAAAGACATGGTTCGCCTTCAAAGACTTTCTGTTTGGAAGCCTCCCCTTAACAACCTCTGTCTTTGTTGATTGGATAATGGAAAACCTAATTTGGGCGGGCTTTGATCAAGTGAGATGTATGAGCACAGATTTTGTTCGTTTCCCGTAAATGCTTCCCCCGCATGCGTTTGCGTCGTTTGATTTTGAAATCGCTACGTCTCCGCTAACGTCCATCACGTCAGTAGACGATAGACGATCTCAGTCTTTACAGGCGTTGAGATGGATAAGACTAATTACACAAGCGATGATATCGAATCGCGATATACTCCCGGTGCAGGTTGGTTTATTTATCCGCCGCTGCTGCTCATTCTAATCAAACAAAACAAAGGCATCGGCGTTTTTGCGAAGCGACAGTTACAGCCCAAGCAGACGCTCTATGAAACGAGCGACGAGTATTTTAGCATCATATACAGGAGATACTGGAAAGAAGTTTGTGGTTTCTGCTACAACTACGATAGTGGCCTCGATTGGAAGCTCAAGGAGAATCACATCGGCGTCGTTTTCTGCTCCGAGGAATGCCGGAGTAAGTTTATGAAGAGAATTGCAATCGCGCCAGATCTCCACGCTTTCCTCATAAGCGTTGAAGAATTCTCTCGAAAACGCAAGCAATTGAAGACAGCGCCCGATCCGGAAGACGACGATATCATACCGGATAGGAGAATAATTGAGGAGTCGTGGACTGATTCACAGAACACGCTACTCGATATAGTCAACACTCTCGCCTCTGATAAGCCCAACAAAGCACAGCGGAAGCTGCTCAGCGAGGTACAAGCAGCAGGATTGCGAGCTTACGATGAAGACAGTGACACGGATATAGACAGCATAAAAAATCTCGCCAGCTATATTGCTACCAACGTACTCTCGCCATCGACTGTCGCACATACACTCACCTTGAGCACTACCATTGAGCCATGCACATTGAGCCGGCTACTTGATCAACAGATCAATCACTACTTGGCCCTAGTCAGTCTGTTGCCTCCATCGCTATCTCAGTATGCACTATCTGCACCGTCAATTGCCAAGATATTGGCCGTAGACAGATCAAATAGCTTCGGAATTTGGAGTGGGAGCTCGGACTTGAAATGCACACATACAGAAGAACGCAGCGAGTTGCTTGGGTCAATGCTCGTACCTTCTCTCTCGCGCTTCAATCACTCGTGCTCACCAACAGTCTCAAAACAGCGATCTAGACACACTTGGACATTCTCAACAACGGATGTTGTGAATGCGGATCAAGAGATATTCATCACTTATCTTGGCGGCGATGAGAAGACATTGAATGTCGATGATCGTCGTCAGCGATTAGTCAATGGATGGGGATTCATTTGCGGGTGCGTCAAGTGTACAAACGAATCCACACAATCGGATATAGATTAACTTATTTTATGGATGCATTGATATATTCCAAACTTTTATGCGAGTTGCTCAGTCGAACACGATCACACCTTCGATGATGCTGTCATTAACATGCTGTATGATTGCATTCGGGTCACTGTTATTAGTGTATGCGTGTTGAATATCCCATTCTAAGAATCTCTTCATTATCGCTTGCGCCTCCAGCACTTCTTCTGATGGTTCAGCGTCCAAGTTTTCCAGAGCTACTTCGTCAAGTGTGTCTAGCAGGTAAAGCTGTCTGAGTGTTTGGTGAGTTGAATCAACTCGCGTCATTGCGTCGCCTACGAGATATACCTCCCCCTATCGACTATTTCTGCAGGTATGTTATTCACTAACGCGCAATCAAAAGCTCCAGAGTCCATGCTGAGCTCTAACTCAAGTCTGCGTGGCAAGTAGTAATTAGATCGGCCTTGGCAGTACATCCACGCATCACGCACTTATGTAGATGGGTCAGCACTGGCTTCCCGTTCTCGTCTCTGCCACTCTTAACGCGCATATGAGCAACAGTGATCGGTGCGTCCATGTTGATGTATCCGCTACCCCAAAGATCTGCGACAATTAGCCGCGAGTCACACTAATCAACCACTCTCCTGCCTACCGTGAAAGTGTGTAGTGGCAATCACGAATGGACAATCGTCGCCCCTCTTAACCAGATGGTTGACACTCGCTGCAAAAATCCCTGCGCCATCTAGCCGAAGCTTTAGAGTACTACATTCGAAGCACTTGCTTGCCTACCTGATGGAAGAGTTCCCTTTCCAAACTCATCCATCAAGACGAGTGAACGGCCGGTAGCATTGCGCATAGCGTGTGTAACCTGAGCCAAGTCGATCATAAATGCCGACTGCATCTGGAGAAGACTTGAGTGGCAGATTAGGCTGTGAACTGAAACACACTTTCGATGACGACTCTTTGCACATAATGCGAGTGAAGACTTTCGTCGTTTTAGACTTTGCATTCTAGTCACTCTCGAGGCTGAGGCAGAGCTCACGTTTGTCTACCAAACCAATAGTAGCAGATTCAGCAGGGACGTAACTGAAAAGTTGAGTTGAAATAGTTAGTCACGTGCCTCAGCTCACCATCCAATCTGCGCCATGATAACAATCAGACCGACTTGTTTGAGATACACGCTCTTTCCACTTCCATTGGCACCTGTAATAACCATAGCTGAGTTGTTTAACTGAACGCTAGTCTGTCTGTCAGAGCCGGTGGCTGAGAAGCTGCTCAGCTGGTGCGTGGGTGTGCGCGGAGCAGGAGTGTGCGAGGCGCTCGGAGCAGTGCCTCTGCTCTCTATAATATCGATATCATCATCGACTCTGATTCTCGTCTCGCTTGTCTTCTTGAAGAAAGTGTCATTTTGCACAAAATCATTGACGCACATTTCTTGAAGCGGATGTCTGCCCTCTGATATCCTGATGATTGGAGTTGTTGCAATCAGTGGCTTGCTGAAACTGTTTAATTCGCTTATGCGCGTGAGTGCGAGTAGTCTGACGCAATGTCAGCTTGTTCACGTAAAATAAACTCAACTCACATATCCAGCTCGGCAATTGCTGCAGCCATTTTAGACAGCTCCTTTGTATAGCTCAACACAAATTGACTGAGATCATACGCTATCTCTGTCTCTCTGTCTGCGATCATCGTTGCGAGATCGCCGAGGTGGGCGTCAAGCTCAAACATCCTGTCTGATTTGAAATACACAACCTGAGTCGTGAGTTGGAAATTATACCAACTTTAGACAACCTCACTGATTCGGTCATGAACTGAGTCATTAAGAGATGCTCAGCGCCAAGACTTGCGACTCACTTGATACACCCATCCAATGCGCGCACCGATCATGTCTTTATCTTCGACATCTTCGTAGTGGTTGTTGACAACATCAATAGCAATCAGGTATCCAATTTGTGGAAAGTAGACCACATTGATCTCCTCAGCAACGCCAGGTGGTGTTTCATCGTAGATTTGCAGAGCGATTTGCGACAGCAGACTGTCTATGCTGTCGTACTTGTGGCGAATAGTGTCTTAAATTGGGTGTTAGAGGTGCAGCAACATCTAAAAACCCCACACCAAGATCATCGTCGAACCCATCAGCGATGATTAGTCTGCGCGATCGTTTCGATTCGACAAAATCGACCGCGAACATTATAGCTTCCCTGGTAGTATGACAAGTGGATATGTCAAATGCAGTAAGTATCTGGCAAAGTTATTGAGTTGAGTTGACAGATGCGCTCCGCCTACATCCAGAATCAACTGCTTAGATTCGAGTACAGCGAGACTTGCAATGATTTCGTACTGCTCTTGAGCGAGTACTGTCAACTGAACGAGACAACTAAAGAAACGATAACTCGTTTTACCAACTTTGAGCGAGTTGAACACATGCAACACATTGACACCCTTTCCGACTTTCGATAAGCTTTTACGCATCGCAGCCACAGCATTGACATTTTGCGGATGGATCAGTATAGCTATGGCGTCGAGTCTGTTGTTGATCACTTTGACGTCGCAGCTCGGCTGTCTTAATCTTCTCTGCAGGAGCTGTGTACCAGAATGTGTCTTGGTTTCAGAAAGAAGATTGAACAATGACAGACCTTCCTTGCTTTTATTGGAGTGCATCGATGCGTGCTGTTCATCAGCGAACACACCCAACGCCATCAATGCATCGTTATCGATCTGCATCACCTTGTCACTAGACGATTGAGTTTGACGCGGTTAAAGAGTATATTCGAGGCTTACACTTGCCACGTCTCCAAACCGACCACAGCTAGATCTTCCACTCGACAACAAGCAGAAGTGATGGCCTCGGGTGCCTCCTGAGCGAGATGGCGCTGCAAGGTCAATATCAAGCAGCCTACAGCTCCAACTGAGAGCTTGAAGTCGAAATTAATCAGGCCCGATAGGTAGATTTCCTTGGAGCGCTCATCCATTGCGCTCATGTCAACGGACTGCTGTTGGAATGCTGACTGGGGAGTAGCTGTAGGCGTAACAGGTAAATCATTAGACCATTCGATGTTGGACAAATTGAGCTGCAAAATACGCGACTTGGATGGATCATAAGCGAAATCCTTCCAAGGATTGAGGTGGAGAACAGCGTTTGTTTTTACACTGGCGATGAAGAGCTCAACAGCATCGATGAGCGATTCGGGTGCAGTGAGTGAGCAGTATACCTCGTCTGGCTGCAGCTGATGCAAAACTAGAATTTATCAGTAATGTCGTCATTAGGAGATAGTATTGTCTGACTGGTGGTGATAAGATGATGAGATGAACTATCAGGGGTATCCTGCATGACGCGTATCTTGTGAGTTAGTGTATCGAAAGAAGCCACAGCGATCTCGTCCTTGTGCGCGCTGATTGCGAGAGTGATCTGCGAGTGGTTTGGTGAGATACCCGTGCGACGGCAAAAAATCTAGGAACCTTTTCATCTTCAACGTCGTCAGCGTCTATCTCTGCCTGGGATAGCTGTGACGTTGCATCTCTTCTCATTCCCGCGTATCTCTCGTATCGTTTGTCGAGCATGATAGGGGTTGAGAAGCAAGAGCTAGACAGAGATAATAAATACACTTAAATAATATTACAACATTTTTCAGCAAATTCTAGGTTGGTATAAGCGGGCAAACGCGGGTACACGCGGGTACACACGGATACACGCTGGTACACGCTGTAACGCTATCACGTTCTTCTACGCTGCGTTATTCGTCTGCGTGTTTTTTGTTGAGTTCTTCGACTTCATTGGCAGTGAGGAATCTGCCACCAGCACCTCTAGGGCGTCTCTTAGCGTGTCTATGCCTAGATTCGTGGAGGTATGGCTTTGTAACGCGTCAATACAACTCAACTAAAGACATGGATCATTGCTCACCTTCCTTTCCTTGGAAATTCTATTCAACTCCTCGAGACGCTGTCTGATTTGCCTCCTTTTTAGAATTCTATGGTACTGCTTTGCATTCACGTATAGCGGCTCTTCATCTGTGCCTGTATCGTTTATTGTATCGGTGTTGTTTGCGCCGTTTGCGTTGTTTGCGTCGTTATCCTGGGAAATCGACAAAGCGGATGGATTGTCGGCGTGATGTGAATACCAGCCATCGTCAGGCTCGTATTCTGCTTCATAGTCATCGTCCTGGTCTTGATCCTGATCCTGGTCCTGGTCCTGGTCATCATCGTAGCCGGCGCTTGAGTCGTCTTTGAAATCTTGGTCCTGGTAGTCATGCTCAACAGGCTCGCCGTTTAGCTCCTCTGGAAGCAGTGAGCGCAGTGTAGGCAGCTCTGCGGTATAATCAGAGGCAAGCTCACTCCACTCCTCACTGAAACGATCATTGTAATTTTGACCAGCGATTACAGGTAGTCCAGCGTATGCAGTGCTCTGTGGCCTCTGTGAATACACGGCGTATAGATCGCCCGAGGTGAGATCGTCGAAATTGTTGCCAGCGGCCAAGCTCATGATTGTTGGGAGATAAAGATCATCGGCCTAGTCCGAAATGAGTTATTTAAGTATAATGATGTAGAATAATGCCATTGTATAAAAATTATGTAATAAACTAAACTATTTAACTATTTACTCCTCCTTTGCATGGTTAGAGGTGTTAGGGCTGTCAGGGCTGTCATGGCTGTTAGGGCTATCAGCGCGTGTATCACTGTCACTTTGTGCTGAAGTGTTGTTTGAAGGATTCTGAAGGGATTCTTTGCTGTGATTTAGAGCTGAGTGCGTTGAATCCTTTGTCTCAGTAACTTGATTAGCATCGTTGACTTGCTTTTTAGCCTTCTTCTTGCCGGCTTTCTTCTTCTTAGGGTAATCCCATTCATACATGGGTATGAACGAGTCAATGAAGCCAACATCTTCGAACAAATTTGGGAAAATCCAAAGACCGGGGCTTGCAGTGAACATGGTGATGATATAAATGATCAGTCTGATTATGGCAATAACGAAGAAAAGACCAATCAAGCCAAGCACAGCGACAGAAAGATACCAAACACCAATTCTGAGACTTGTAGGCCAGAGAGGGAACATGACGCCGATTAGAATAACAGCAACGAGACCTGCAGAGCCAAGCATAGCTCTGAGTTGAGAGCCAGCGAACAGCCAAACGTAGTAGTCGTCTGGAGCAAACAGTTGTTGATTGTTGATCTTGAGTTCTCTAGGGGAATCTTTTCCACCGATAGGGTTACCTCTATCTACGCGGAGGAAGAAGGCGAAAGGAATGATACTATGGAGTACCTTTGTAGCGTCTGCTTCGGATGTGATTTGGGGAACATTGCTCAACTTTGCGTAGGAAGGAGAGAGGAGGGCTTTGATTGCGGATCTACCTGGTATATATAAGAATCAGCAGTGAATTGGATGTATAACAGCAGCCTAACCCTTGAAATATTCAGCGCGCTTGCCAGAAAGAGCGCCGTTACGTATCTTCATCCCAGATTTCTCTCTGAGGAAGCTAACGACGTTTTTAAGGTCTTGTGGGCTGCGTGGTGAAAATAAGAATTGAATTTGAGTCTAAAAAACCCCCTTACATCTTTTGTTGTTGATCCATTATCAATGTGTTGGCAGTCAAACGACAACGACCATGAGTTATTCAGACAAGCCAATCGTTAGTCGTGGATATCGAATAACAAAGAATTATTTAAAATTAATCCTTGATAACCATCAATCAAGGCGTATCTTCCAATTCTTATGTTTGAATTTCACTTATATGTTTATTCAATTGTTATACGGCGTTTATACCAACAGCCTCGGACTCATATCTGATGCTATTCATATGGCTTTTGATAACCTCGCTATTGCAATTGGTCTTTTCGCGTCTATTATGGCTACATGGAAACCTGATTCAGTTTTCACATATGGGTGTGTCTTAGTTCTTTTTGTTGGAAAGTCTCACTCTGATATACAAGTTATGGTCGCGTTGAAACTCTTAGTGGCTTCGCTAACGGGGTACTCCTCGTCTTGGTGGGTTGATACTTAAATTGCATGTGTTAATTTGACACGCGAACACGCGCAGATATCCCTATTCATTATATTTGAGGTGCGAATTGCTCTGACGGCGCACTAAAGCCACTAACCCCCATAAGAGTATCGAAAGAATCATCAATCGTACGCTAACGTCATTGGTCACTGTCTTCTTTCTCGCTAATCAATGACGCAGCACCTGAAATGGAAGTCTCACAGCTAATGATGGTTAGTATTGGTGGCTTGTTGGTCAACCTTTTTGGTATGTTTGCAATGGGTGGTGTGAGTTGGATGTTCATCACTCTCGATTGGCTTTAATCAGATCTTTAATAGCACCACCATCACCACGGACACAGTCATTGCTCCCATTCACATGCTCCTGAGTACAACCACTCTCACTCACACTCACCAAGTCCAATGGAAAGTAAAACATCCGCTTTATCCAGAGACGATACCCTAGATGAGCATGACCATGGGCATTCTCATTCTCATGGACATTCTCATTCTCATGGGCACGATCACTCTCATGATCACTCCCACTCCCACTCAAATTCCCACAACATGCGAGGCGTCTTCCTGCACATCCTCGCCGATACCATGGGATCAGTTGGTGTAGTAACAAGCACGCTGATGATCCAATACTGGGGATGGACAGGTTTCGATCCAATAGCATCACTGCTGTGGGTTTGAAGCTATAGAATACTATACCCACCTAGCTCAATCTTCTCCATCAGAATCGCAGGGCTAATTATCGCGTCTGTCGTGCCTTTAGTTATCGATTGCGCCAAAATATTGAGTCTAGATGTCGGCGAGGCGCACGAAGCCAATATAAAAAAGACGCTGATAGAGGTAGGAGAGGTTTGTGATTGTGCGTAGTTGCTTACACACCACAAGCTTCTTAACATTGAAGGACTTGATTCGTACGACAACGCACGGTTCTGGCCTCAAGACGACTCGAGCCTGATGGGGGCGATACATATCAGAATATCATCGTACAGCGAGTCATTCGACCACGCACATCGACAAGCAAAGAAGCATAGTAGCATCGACACAGTGGTGGATAGGGTGGAGTGGAAGTTGACGAGCGGTATACCTGGACTGAAGGATGTAGCCATACAAGTGGAGCCCAGCCTGTAATTGTATTATAAGCGACTTACATTAAATTAGTAATTTTCAGCGTTTTCAGTAATTTCAATTCGCCAGGAACAGCCGAGGTCCGTGCGGACATAGTTTGGCTTTTAGCGGTAAATTAAGGTCTAGACAGATACAGAAACCAGCAGAATTCACTATATTTAATAATATTGATAAAAATTTTGAGCATTCTTGGTTACCCCGGAATTACCATCAGTGATTCTGTTATCAGCACACAGCCATGTCGTCAGCAATATTCCAAACGGCGGACGCGGCGACGGGAACAAGCGAGATAAAGCCGAAGAAGACGCGCAACAGACAAGCGCTGAGCTGTACAGAGTGCAAGCGTCGCAAGATCAAGGTCAGTAGGAGCTGTGTGTGTCGGTACATACTAACAAGAAGGGCAGTGCGATAGAGAGCATCCTTGCGGAGCGTGCAAGAAGAGAGGAGAGCAGTACAAATGTATTTGGGAGGAGAAGCCAGCTTCAAAGCCCGGCAAGAGCAGCGCTGCTAGCTCAGACGATGTGTCTTGTCTCCGAGAGCAGCTATCAGATACACAGGCGTGTCTCCACGCACTCGCAAACTTCCTCCGCTTCTCTGGTATTCCTATCCCTCAGAATATATTCGATAGCATCGGTGTTACTACCTCACCTTCGAGCACCGGTATTCTGGCTGATATGGATTTTGAGAACGAGGAGACAGCTGCAGCATTCACGCTAGAGGGTATAGCTATGGGAAGGAAACCTGACGAAAGCTTCAACGACGAAGCTGCGTTGTTGCGAAGGAAAAGGACAGATTCGATTGGTTCGGTAGGCAGGCGCACGGTACAAGACACACCGATCCCATCGAACTCATCTACCTCTGTACCTGTATATTGTGACCCTCCGAGCATTACCACTTCACTCGACCACACCTCTACCCCTTTGGCTACTTTCCCATTCACTCCTAAACCAGAGCAGATTACTATGACAAAGGATATCTTGCAGTACCTTCCAAACAAACACAAGGCTGATATACTCGTTAGTTTCTATATTCAGCACCTCGAGTGGTTCCATAAACCCCTGCATGTCCCCACCTTCCTCTCCGATTACGCTCACTATTGGCAGGAAATGAGCGTCGGTTTCGCTTACGATAACATTGATTCCAAGTGGATGGCTCTTTATGCTAGCGTGCTGTGCGTTGCTACGCACTTCGGTGGTGAATACTACTATACTGGTGGATTTGCATTCAGTAATCCAGATGTTGAGACTCGTAATGAGAAGGAGGCCGATACTTACTATCAGATATCCCGCTCGGCATTATCGCAGAGTGATTTCCTCATCAATCATTCAATCGAGGCTATTCAGACCATCATAGTAAGTTTGAATCTGACAGTTGATCCAACTAACCAGCGACCTTTAAGATACTCGGTTTATATTTACACAACAAGAACCAGACAGAAACACATCTTATACTGATGAGCACAGCCAGTGAGAGGGCTTTTTTCACGCACGTAACAACTCACAAAATACAGTCAAAATGGCTCAGCTGATGGGATTGTCGCGCATACCAGATGAGATACCTGGCGGAGAAGCTGAAGGGGATGTATTAGAAAGAGAGGTAGGAAAAAAAAGACTAAAAGGCCACTCCACACTAACAAAAGGCAGATGGGACGACGTCTCTGGCATTCGCTAGTATTTCAAGACTCTTTTAATGCGTCAGCAAGCTCGTACAGCTACGCGATACACGTTGACCAGGTGTGTAGATATGTGTTATTGGAGTGATAGGAGTGAGAGGTCGCTGAGACACCCGCATAGATGACAACAAGCGTACCTGCAAATGCTGACGACGAGGGCCTGGTACGGCAGAAAGAGATAAATTGTCAACCAGACAGCGTTTGGACAGACATGAGCTACTTCAGAAGCAAGTTGCAATTCGCCAACATAACACGCAAAATAGTCGATACACTAAATAGAGATAGCAAAGGATCGTATGCGTTTGTGATTGAGATGGATGCTGAGTGAGTGAAAGTGCATTTGCGACTAAGACATACACTGACACGCGCTTAGATACCGCGCAGCCCTTGATCGCATACCAACATTCCTACGACTGGATTTGGCTGAGTACGATGCAGCGGTGCTGTCGATGAAACCATGCAGAGCTTGGGAAAGACTGATGATGAGTTTCACGATACATAACCGGCTGATGAGGCTGCATAGAGGATACATGACGGAGGGATATACGAATAGAGAATACGCATACTCGACACAGGCTTGTGTGGCATCTGCTAAGACGCTGCTGGAGCTAATGAAGGAAGGTCAGAAGTATAATTGGCCTGCAAGTCGGTGGTGGGTAGTTCTCATACAATGTTGGACAGCCTCTGTAGTGATGTGGGTATTGTTGATGTTGGTACAAGATTACTTGCTCACCATTCATGCAGCTTAATAGACCTGTTCCACACAGTCGACACAATCGAAGCGGACGAGAAAAGCAAGGAGGTCGGTGAAACGTTGATGATATTCAGAGATATACAACATACTTCTACAGTGGCCAAGAAGGCTGTTCTCACACTCGACAGACTGCTCCAAGAAGATAAGCAGAGGAGGGGTGATGGAGTACCGGCGAAGAAGCGCAGGATATCAGTGGAAGGATTCACTCCCGTCGGTCTGGCACCCAACTTTCCAGGCTTACATGGAGATACTGCTACACCTAGACAGCCTCAAAACATGCTCGACTCTGTGTTCACGTCGCCGGTCGATGGCGGTCGGACAGTGTGGGAGAATATGTTCATGAAGGAGTTGGATTTTCTCAACGACAGCAATGTCGATGTGAACTGGAAGTTCGATGAGTATAGCGCGTTTTAATAAGAATCATCATTTTCACTCATCATTTAATTTGTACAGCACATGTATTTTTCTTATAAGACTACCTACGTCATTTGGAGTGATAATAATGTGGGCGGATAAGGAGAGAAAGTGAGCGAGAGTTGCTAATAGACTACAGGGCCTGGCTTTGCTCTGCTAAGACTAATGTGGAGGTATGTAATGCCGCCACTAGGCCACTAGGCCACTCGGAGGGAGGTGCTCACCGACGCACACACACAGCTCATTAAGAACCTACGCTCATCGAATCTAATCCACAGCGATATAGTGGCAAATGCAATGAAGAAGGTAGACAGAGCGCACTACGTAAGGATCAAAGCGGCAGCTTATGAGGATAGTCCGCAGTGAGTTTGAGTCAGCGAGAGATAGTAGAATGAGCTCATCAGAGTAATCTCAAGGTCTATTGGACATTCAGCTACTATCAGTGCACCGCATATGCACGCACACGCGACCGAGAACTTGCTGAGCTTGCTCCAACCAGGATACAAGGTAAGTGTGGGTGGTTGGTAAACGCTGTATTCACAAGTCAAATCGCAGGTGCTGGATGTTGGCAGTGGCAGTGGTTATTCGTGCGCTGTGTTCCATCAATTAATCGGCAACAACGGCACGGTGGTCGGCATCGATCATATCGAACAGCTAGTGGAGAATAGCGTGGATAATCTTAAGAGAGATGGACTAGAAGATGCAATCAACAGCGGTGCTATCAAGATGATCGCCGGTGATGGTAGACAGGGTGTGGCTGAGCACGGCCCTTATAATGCTATACACGTTGGTGCAGCTGCACCGCGAATGCCAGATGTGCTGATTGATCAACTCGCTACTCCTGGAAGAATGTTTGTTCCTGTCGAGAAAACGGGTGGATATGGACAGTCAATTTGGCAGGTGAGTTGGGAGTAAAAGCAATGATTTGACTAATTATAAATGTTTAGGTGGATAAAGATGAGAATGGAATTGTTCACAAGGAGGAGTTGTTCCCTGTTATGGTGTGTATTCGTTGGTGAATATTTTCACGAATTTGCTAACCAAAGATTAAAGTATGTGCCATTGACAGAAAGAGAGTTGCAAAGGTAAAGATAGTAGCTATATTAAATGTACAAATATAATGACATCATGAATCAATTCCACGTCTTCTTCATCTAGAATGTACTCAATCAGTGACGCTCATGAGTTCTGTAGATTTAGAAGCTCAATTTGGTAGATATTAGTCATTTTATACAGTTGCGCATTTCTAACGCAATCTAAAGACGCTGAATACTTTGCTGAACCTTCGGAGAACAAGAATCCGCATGAGTCATTAGAACAAGTTAGTTTTGATTGATCTGCGTGGCTTTACAGCACCCGCTAACAAAGTCATTGCTCAGATTCGCAGCAACATCGACCAGCTAATGGATGATTACAGTCACCAAGGCATTTCCCTCACTGGTCACCTCATACACGTCTCACACTATTTGCCTTTCGTTTGTATGCTCAAGCATCAGAATGAGAAGGACGAGCAGAAAGACGAGCCCAGCGACACTCCCAAACCAATTCTCACAGAAGTTGATCAAGTTGGCTTCGAGAGGCGTAGCGATACCCCAAATCAGCATTCCTTCCCCATTGGCCCTTCTGGCGCTTCCTCTGAGCTTCCCAGGCGTAGAAGAATGTCCACTGTTTCCGCACATAACAATTTTAGCCAGCCAAAGTGGACTTTGTCTCATAGGAGAGGCCACACCGCTATGAACGCTGGTATCAGATCCCTTGGCTCTCAATTCAGACAGACTAGCATCGGCTGGCCTGGTGACCTCAGACTTGGCAATCAACGTGGTGAACTCATTGAATCCTCCTCTCTTACTGAGACAGATAAGAAGGCTCTAGAAGAGGAGCTCAAAGTTCAGCGGGAAACTCAAACTGACGACATGAGCTGGATTCCCGTCTGGATTGAAGATAAGTTGGCGCACATGCACTACGAAGGCTATTGCAAAACCACCCTCTGGCCCTTGTTCCACTATCTTATTTGGCAGGAGCATTTCCCTGAGCAGGACGAGTCGGATGATGCTACCTACCAGGCTTACCTGGAGGTTAATTGGGCTTATGCCAAGAAAGTGGCTGAGATATGGAAACCTGGCGATTTGGTGTTGGTCCATGATTATCACTTGCTCTTGGTACCCAAGTTGCTCAGGTCGTTGATTAGCGAGGCTTATATTGGAATGTTCCTTCACTCTCCCTTCCCGTCGTCTGAAATATTTAGATGCTTACCACGTCGCAAGGAGATACTCGATGGTATGCTCGGCTCGAATCTGGTGTGTTTCCAAACATATTCTTACTCGCGCCACTTTCTCTCAAGCTGCATTAGAGTTTGCGGCTACGAATCCACGAGCTCGGGTGTGGAGAGTAATAGCTTCAACACTGCCATCTCCCACTGTCCTATTGGGATTGATGTGGAGAGGGTGCTGCTTGACAGAGACGCGGAAGGTGTTGAGCCCAAGGTTAATGCACTTCGACAACTCTATCACGGCTGCAAAATTATTGTGGGCAGAGATAAACTAGATGTGGTGAAAGGTGTTGTGCAAAAGCTACAATCATTTCGCAAATTTCTTGAAGAATTCCCCGAATGGCGCAACAAAGTTGTTCTTATTCAAGTAACATCCCCATCTCTCCACGAAGATGCAAAGCTGGAGTCAGATGTGGCCGATTTGGTATCACACATCAATAACGAGTTTGGTGGATTGGGATTCACACCCGTGCATCACTATCATCAGATGATCGAGCGTGATGAGTACTTTGCGTTACTGTCGTCGGCGGATTTGGGCCTGATAACTGCTACGAGAGATGGAATGAATACAACATCTCTTGAGTATATCATGTGTCAATCGAAAACATATCAATCGCCACTAATTCTGTCTGAGTTCACTGGGATTGGTGGGATACTTAATCAGACAGTGAGGATTAATCCATGGGATATATTTGGTACAGCACGCGCAATAAATAAGTGTTTGCTCATGTCAACTGAAGATAAGGCAAAGAGGCAAACTGAGTTGTTTAGGAGAGTATCCTCACATACATCGCAAACGTGGGCTTTTACGCTGATCAAGGAGTTGCTTCGTAATTTAGGTGTTGGTCAGACAGCCAGAGTGACGCCATATCTCGATCACAAGCTAATAGTGGATAAGTACAAAAAAGCCAAGAAGCGGTTGCTATTGTTTGATTACGACGGCACACTCACGCCGATAGTGAGTCGACCATCAGCTGCGGTGCCTGGACAGAAATTGAAAGAAATACTACCTCGAATTACGTCGGATGAGCGCAATATAGTTTTCATCGTTAGCGGTCGCGATGGCAACTTTCTGTCGGAGCATCTAGGTCACATGCCCAACATTGGTCTCAGCGCTGAGCATGGCTGCTTCATCAAAGAGCCTAACAGTAAGGAATGGTGGAATCTCACAGATAATATTGATATGAGCTGGATGGACGATGTGGAGGATATATTCAAATATTTCACAGAACGCACGATAGGTAGTCAGATAGAAAGGAAGAAGGCAAGTATAACGTGGCACTACCGTAATTGTGATGCAGAGTTTGGTAGTTTTCAATGCAAGCAGTGTCAGGATTTGCTCGAGAGCAATGTAGTTAGCAAGAAGCCAGTGGAGGGTGAGTGATTGAGTGATTAAATTGTTTTGTGCACCCAAGCTGACATAAACTAAGTGCTCGTTGGTAAGAAGAACTTGGAAGTACGTCCGCTCGCCGTCAACAAGGGGGAAATAGTGAAGAGGTTGCTATACGACCACTCAGACTCAGAGTTTGTCATGTGCGCAGGAGATGATAAGACAGATGAGGATATGTTCAGGTCACTGTCTGATATCTTCGTCCTCGCGCCAGGTTCGACTTCTTCGCTGAAACCTATCATGAATGCACCGGTGAGCGTTAGCATGGGTGGTGAGAAGGAGGAGACACTGCCTGGAGTGGAGATCAACATGAATGCAGACGATATATTCACCGTGACTGTCGGACCGGCTTCGAAACCCAGTCTAGCTGGATGGCATTTGACGACGCCAGAGGAGGTGATTGATGCGCTAGAGAAGTTGGTGGGGTAGGGCAATAATTTATTTTCACTAAGGTTTTTAAGTTATGCATGGACATTGATTGGTTTATTGAATGGCTGAGGTAGGCGAGGATAATATACATTTATAATGGGATTACTAAGTTGTGCATGAACATTGATTAGTTTCTTAAATCACTCCTCACCCTCCTCGACGCCTCTTTAGACTGTAATTTTGCAGCAACGAGGCCGTATTTGTCGCTGTGTTCGGAGGCCCTGTTGTAATTATCAAGGGCGGTAGAAGGGTGATTGAGCATTTCATTCAAGACACCGACGTTGAACAGGCCGACGGCGAGGGTGTGATTGCAAATTTTGTCCGAGTGCGCGCTGTCAGCGTGAGTTACCAGGTCCACCGCTTTATCAGCCCACTTGAGAGCGTTGTCCAAGTTCTTAGATGAGGGATGAGCGGTGAGAACGCTAGCGAGGTTAGTCATGAGTAAGGCGGCTCTACAAGTGTCAGAAGTGGATGGTTGGTGCAGTCTGAAAGTGGGTGGGGGTAGGAGGAGAGTGATAGCCTGCATATACAATGGTATGGCCATCTCAGCGTGTCCGCTCTCGCCATATATAGCTGCTAAACGCTCGAGACAGCCGCCGAGGTCGGACACAGCCACCCACTTCGGGAGGTCGAGTTGGTGCGTCATAAGGGAGTGAGCGTGGGTGTTGTCGGGCTGTTTCTCCAACGCCTTTTCCCCGTCCCTCTCACTCTCATTTTCCTTGCGCGCCTTCTCCACGCGCGACACACGGAACATCTCATCGAGAGCCCATTCGTAGTAATGTTGCGCACTTGTGCTGCGCATAGTGTAGGCCATATCACCGAGTTTAACAGCGAGAGCGATAGCTCTGTGAGTTTCAGCGGGAGGCGCGTCTTCTTTGTGCTGTTGGCGCAGGAGGTAGCTGAGTGCCGTAGAGAGCAACCGATGCGCGTCACTGATGCGCTCGCCAGCCTTGCCGCTGCCTCCGCCCTCACTCCTCCCGACCACTTCGAGCATATGAGCGAGGGAGATGTGCAAACCGGTGACGACGAGTGGCTTCGACACACCCAATCCACCCTCGCTCTCGAATTCACTCTCGGGAAGTTGTTCCGCACGGTCGATCACGCGTCGCCAATGCTCTTCTGCGCGGTTGTAGTCGCGTCCTCGCTGCGCTTTTACGGCTAGACGCAGATCCGCGCGGAGAGAGGGTGGCCATTGGTTGAAAGCAGAGTAGTACTCGAGTCTGTGGGTGTGAGTGGGTTGTGAATGCAATCAATCATTCCCCTCACAGCGAATATATGGTTACTCCCAGTCCTGTGCATGCCAGTATGGCGAATAGGGTGCCTAGTGGAGCGTAAGTGGATGTTTGAGTGACACACAGTCTGCCACTCTTACTCACCTTGTCGAATTCCCTTTGGTGGCTGCTGCGTTTGCGTGTAGTGGCGGTGTGCACCCATGTTGTTATTGTAAATGTTTCTGCCGCTGTAACAGTGCTTGGATGCTGTTGCAGGCGCATTGGCTCCTGCCTTCAACATGCACATGGATACTCTTCGCGACACCCGCAGGCTTCCCATCATGGTCATTTTCGAGAGTGGACGGTGAACGGTGGACAGTGGAGAGTAGACAGTAGATTATAGACAACAGTGTGCCAGGTTCATGACGGGAAATACATAAAGTCTGTCTTTGTAAGAAAGCACACCCGCACAATTAACTATAATGCGTCATATATAATAATCGTAAAGTAACAAAAAACAAGCCCTTTTAATACCCTAGTGAGCACCAGCGGTGGTAGTGCTAGGAGTCATATCCTTCTCCGACTTGACGTCGACGTTGTGGAAGTCGAGTATCTCAGAGTACATCATCACCTTCCACTGATCAGTAGGGAGATCAGCGTCGTTGAACGACCAATCGAAGCGTTCGTTAGCCGTAGGTTCATCTTCTGGATCGTGGTAAGGAGCGAGGTAAGGGTGAGCGAGGGCGTCTGCGGCTGTAATTCTCTTCTTGGGGTTAAAGTCGAGCATTTTTTCCAGCAAGTCGATCTCCTCCGCGTTGGCATTAGGGAAGCGGTCGGCGAAGGAAATTTTGTGTCTCTTTGGTAAAGCGTCTACGAAACGGCGAGTGTTTTCGGATGTGATGGTGTTGATGACATCCTCAGGCGGTGAGCCGAGCAGCTCGGTGATGACGGTGAGCTGATGGACGTGGTCTTTGCCGGGGAAGATGGGTCTGCCGTCGATCATTTCGGCAAAAATGCAACCGACAGACCAAATATCAACGGCGGAATCGTACTCTTGCCAAGTAAGCATGATCTCAGGTGCCCTGTAGTACCTCGTAGAGACATAACCAGTCATCTGGGGATCTTGCAACCTGGCCAAACCGAAATCACAGATTTTGAGGTCGCAGTTTTCGTTGATGAGGATGTTGGAAGGTTTCAAGTCGCGGTGGACGACGCCAGCTGGGTGTACGAATTTAAGAGCACGGAGCATCTGGTAGAGGAAATACTGAACGAACTGCCTTTCGAGGGGGCGTGAGGAGAGAAGACGGTGGAGGTCAGTACCGAGCAATTCAGTGATAAAGTAGATATCCTCGCCTGGGGAAATGAAAACGTCTAACAAGGAAATGATGTTCTCATGGCGGAGGTGTTTCAGGAGTTTTAGTTCGCGGTAAGTGCGTTTTGCGAGTACGGGCGCGGAGAAGGGCTTCATGACTTTTTTTATGGCGACAGGGCCACCGGACTTCTGGTCAGTGGAGGAGCAGAGGAGACCGAAAGCGCCCATGCCAACAGGCTGCAGGTCGGTATACCTGGTGGTGACTTGGAATATATTACCAAACACACTAAGCTTGACGAAACTGCTGTCTTCTTGGGACATGATTGGAGGAGTGCGAGCTGTGGTTTGGTAGGAGTGGGCGAATTGGGCGAGCGTAGAGAATAATGGAGTGATGATGTCATAAAATGCAAAAGTAAAAAGCGTGGATACAGCAATCAATACATGGCCCTGTAATTATCAAAGTTGGATTGTACACTCTCAACAGGATCTTCAAATTTTCGGTCTTTGTGGGAGTGTTTGATGAGGTCGTATAGGTCGACGGAGCCGAGGTTCGAGTCTTCGGATAGCTCACCGAGATCTTCCTTGTTTATCAGATTAAGCTGGTTTGATTTGAGGTTGCTGAGTTGGAATCGACACGCACACGAGTATAAATCGAGTTTGTTGAATTCGCTTGAGGATATTATCAGGTGCTGCTCAATTATCTTGGTCGATGTTATGTCCTTGTATTTGTCTGTAAGTTGAAGTAGATCTTTAAAGTAAATGAGGCTGTTATCGGGCAGCTGGGCACTGGTAATCAACCTGATATAATCATCCAGCTGCTTATTTGTTTCTGTAGTTTGTATTTCAATGTCCTTGTCCTCCTCAGCACTCCCACCACCACCTTCCAGCACCTCCCTAAACATCTCGCTCCTGCTAAGCAAGTGGAACATTTCCACCTGGTATTTCTTGTTGTAGCAGCTGATCAGCGTTATCTGATTCGTCATCCTTCTTACTCCCCAACCACCAATGTCCTCCCTCGTTTCCCGCATACACGCTTATCAGAAAAATAAAAATTTATACTCCAGTTTATCTGATAAGATTAGGCATCTCACTCCACCCATCAACACCAAGTTGACGGGCTATATGCTGTTCCTCAAGCAGAACAAGTTGGATGTCAAGGTGGCTGCTGAGAGGTGGAGCCAGCTCGACGCTGAGTCCAAGCACCGATACATCCAGCAAGCGTCCACGCTCCCTCCCATCAACTCGCGCGGCACTATCAACAAGCACGACTACAAGCTCATCCGCAGTATGCAATTCGAGTTGCTTGAAGAATTTCACCAGAAACACCCACTCAAACACCCACCAACACGCCTGAGACCGAATGTTTATCCAAGACACCAACGCAGTCCTCCCACTCCCTGGCAGCTCTTCATTTCCGAGTTTAAACCCGTGCAGTCGAACCACCCCACAACAACCCAACAATCCTTCTCAAACCACCTCAAACAGGCCTCCCACCGCTGGAAGCATCTCAGCAACGACATGAAATCCCGCTACTTGAGCAAAGCCAACCTCAACAAGTCTCGTCATGTCATTGAGGAGAGTAAGAAGGGTGAAAATTTTACACCTTAGTGTATTCGTATATGTATATGTATCTATATTTCCATTTAGTACACCTGCTTGCGCACCCATTCCATTTGTCTGCCCCTTTCCAAACCGATCTCCTCAGCACTCTTCATACCCGCGCCCTTCTCGAGACGGGGCACTTTGACGATACCACTCTTGCTCATAAGTTGTGGCTGAGCGCCGCCATGCAGAGCCTTGAGGGTGGCTTTAACCACCTGCATACTGTTCTTGCTTCTCCTGCACTTGGCACTGAGGTCTTCGATGCCTGCCGCCTTGGCGACTTGGTGGACGAACGGGTTGCACCGAAGTCCGAATCCCGCCGGCCTGCTTCTCAACTCGACGACTGAAGCGCCCACCTTAGATTTAAGTTCACCATAAACGGTACGGTCTTGAAATCTATCGACATAATCCATTTCGCGCACGCCGGCTATGGTAGCTTTACGGATAGCATCGCCGTTGCTGTCACCCTTGCCTTCGCCCACGCCCACCATGCCTTTGCCGTTACCGACGACTACCAACGCATACTTGCTCATGATCTTCCCTTTGCTTGTCTGCTGCATGACGCGCTTGGTGATGAGCGGGAAGGTGTATTCGGTGAGCGAGCGGAGGTGGGCGAGTGTATAAGGAAGACTCTTGCTCAGCTCGTGTAGCGGGTCTGGAGTGGGTGAGTGGATGTTTAGCTGTAAACGCACTGCTCACCCCCTTGGTACATCTTTGTAATGGCCTTTTGACGCTCCCCTTCGAGCACCTCAGTCTCGCTGGGCAAGCCTGCCTTGAGAGGATCCTCCCCTTGGGCTACATCCAGCCGCGGGTAAAATGCCCCCAGATCCGGCCACTGCGATAGTTTGTTGAATTTTATATCTTTGCGCAGTGTGGGTTTGTTGGGTAACGTCGTCGTGCTCGTCGTGCTCGTTGCCTGGTGCTTGTTCTGTACGCCACCCGTTCCACTCACACTCCCTGCCACGCGCACACTCCCGCTCCCTTTCAACGCCCGGTTCACCGCTCTGCTTATCTTCATCAGATGAGAGACGAGATGCAAGATGTCAAGATGTGAACAAGGAGAATATCAGTCAAATTACAATTTGCATTTTATTTATTTATTAATTATTTATTTTATTCATTCATTTATTTATTCATCTCAACCACCATGATCTGCCCACACTGCGCCAGTGTCGGCGAATACGACGACAGTGCGCGGGCGTATATCTGTTCTTCTTCCGAATGTGCCGCGGTGCTCGGGGTCTATCTCGACGAGGGGTATGTCGGAGGCAGAGGTGCCGTGGACGCGGCACAGCCGACGCGGAAGCAGACACACCCACCAGCCTCCGCCGACCACGTCCAACACGCCCTGCAATCCATCTGCACGCGCATCCTCGCTCCCCATCTCCTCGCGCCCGCCTTGCATGTGTGGCAGCAAGCCAGCACGCGCGTCTACACCCGCACACCCGCCGCTGCCTTCTTCCTCTGCGCCTGCGTACTTCTGGGTGCGAGTACGACCAACACGCATCACTCCCCCGCCTACAGTTTCTCCCTCCCCCGCATCCTCATGGCTGCCAACATCCAGCCTGATGCCGAGACGGTCAGGCGGACAGTACGCACTGTGCGGCGCATCAAGCGCGCGCTCAACTTCCAAGCGGGTGTCGATGTATGCGCGTCTGTCAGCGCAGCCCTCGATGGGCTCTTTGCGCAGGCTCAAAGGATGAGGGAGAAGGGAGTGGAAACACAGTTTCAAGATGAGCAGCAACTGCACACATTGGACCTCCGTAGCGTACACAACTTGGCCCGTGACTTGCTCACCCTCGCCTCTCATACCAACTACCTCGACAACAGGCGGCGCGGGCGTCCCGTAGCGGTGGCCATGGCGACACTAGCCATCGAGTCGCATTCGAGCGTGAGTATGGGTGCGGGTGTGGGTTCGAGCGGGCGCAGACAGCTTATCGCGTTACTGAGCCGGTGTGCGAATAGTGATAGTGCAGCTCCCTCCCTCTCCATTTCCGTTTCGCACCGCGCCGTCGCCAATGCCACCCGCGAGCTGCTCAGCCTGCTAAGGAAAATCGCTCGAATGCACATACCCATCCTCGAACAAGCCATCTGTGAACTCAAACGGAAGAGGAGTGCGAGCAATAGCGGTGACCATGGCACGCATACGCAGAACCAGAAACATCGCTACACGTCGCTGGCGTGGGTGGGCAATGTGGTGCAGTATGCCCTCACACACCTCGACACGCAATCTCTCGCACACACTTTTACACCCGACTTGCGCAGGAATAAGCCCAGCTCCAGCTTCAACTCGGCCGCAAACACCAGCAACACCCCCTTTGCCGCAGCTGCAGTGGCGTTCGTACGCGATAGACAGCCTGCCGTTATCAGCGTAGACGCATCTCGAAGGCTGATTGCCGATATCGAGCGCGTATTGGGTCCTGCTCATGCTCATCCCACACGCACTAGATTCACTGATAAAGTCAGCGACGATATTTCCGATAGCGAACTATTTAGTGATGAGGAATTGGCATCGTATTTGCACTCCCAGAATGAGGTTGCTGCTAAGCAAGTGGTTGTGGGTGATAGATACGACCTTACGCAGTCGCAAATGCAGTCACAAACGCAGTCACATGAACAAAAACGCAAGAAGAGGCCCGTGGATGATGCCAACACTGATGCAAATGTACAAACACGAAGCACCAAGGCTACTAAAGCTACAGATATAACCAGTACACACATTAAACCTGCAGATATACCCGATGGCATGAGTATGAGTGAAGAATTTGAAGATATCATTGATAATGTTTGATGATTGATGATTTATTTGATGATGCGATGCTATTCCACAGTTACTCAACAACTCTGTCACTACCGCTCATCCCCTTTACCTTCTCCACCTTCTCCACCCCTCAACCTGCCCAGAATTACTCCCGATGTTTGCTCCGCCTGGGCCACCACTTCGCCCAGCCAGAGCGGAGCACGGTTTATATAACGCATCCTGTCTACAGCTTCTGCGTGTTTTAAGTGCATTTTCTGTGCTGCTTTGGTGGTGGCCGTGGGTTGTGGCGGGTCGAGTGCATTCCACCTCCCCGCAGCGACCGTCTTGCGTCTATTGCGTGTATTTTTTGGTGAAGTATGGGAATGGTATATGTCTGTGATATTTTTGATAACCTTGTGTGCCGTTGTGCCCGTGTTGGTAGCTTCACGGTGAAAATGCTCGGTGGCTTTCACTGACAAGTGAAGTTAGATGAGAGCTATTGCAAATAATATACTCATACCACGCGTAGTCAATTCCTCACTCCCCCCAAACGCCCCAGCCACTTGAAACTCATTCCGCAGAAGACGATGGAGCTGCTTCTGTGAACGCCGCGATTTCCACGCTGCACTCTGCGCAGACTTTAGTAACCTTCTGTAGCCCTGCTGGCGGTTCATGATGGTTGCTGGAATGCACCGTGTTCTGTGTGAGTTATGGGTATGAGCATAAGCATGCAATTCTTAGTCTAAAATAGACTACCAGATACGCATTCAATGCTCTTCGCTCAATCGTCACTGAACACCAATGACTCAGCTCACAAATTCCTCAAGCACCTCAAGCACCGCTGTAATTCTACGCGATAACAGCACCCAGAGTCTGGAGAGCAGCAACAGTAACATTAACAGCAATAAAATAAGCACCGCAGCCACAAGCAGCCCCATCTACGTCGAGTTCGACCCTCTCGACGATCTCGACGAGCACGGCCACAGCGACAACCCACTCCACTGGTCCACAGCGTTCGTAATAACCACACACACGCACAACCGCACTCACTCCACGCAGCCGCAAAAAGCTTATCCTCATCGCCACAATAGGCTTCTGTTTCCTCATCTCGGGCTGTTCCTCCGCCTTCTCTCAGGGCCAGGCACAGATGGTGTCTGACCTTGACTCCACGGACCTCCTCGGCGAGCTAGCCCTCGGGATGTACATAGTCGGCTACAGCATCAGTCCGCCCCTCCTCGCCCCACTCTCCGAAGAGCTCGGCCGGAATGCCATGTATCAGATCAGCTATACCCTCTATTTCCTTCTGTTCCTGCCTATAGCTCTCGCACGCAATATGGCCACCGTTGTCGTTTGTCGTTTCCTCCAGGGCGCCTTCGCTTCTGCGGGCACATCGCTCGTCTCTGGCACCATCTCGGACGTGATGGCGGCTGGCCGTGCGAAGGATACTGTCGTAGCTCTCTTCGCCTTCTCTGCTGTATTCGCCATGGGCCTCCTACCTATACCGTTCGGGTGGCTTATTGTTTACGACGCGCGCAGCGGATGGCGTCTGATCCAGTTCATACAGATGGGAATGGCGGGCGTGTGGGCTGTGTTTCTGTTCGCCGTGCTGCGCGAGACCCGTCCACATGTTATTCTCCTCCGCAAAGCTGCCGCGCTCGCCCGCTCCACTCACCTCCCTTACACTAGCAAGATACAGAAACCTGCGCTGGGGCAGCTGCTTAGAGTGTCGTGTTGCAGACCGCTGGAAATGCTCGTGCGCGAGCCTATCGTGAGTAGCCACCGTTACCTTTGTCTTGCTTTTCTGTCGGCCCATACACAACAATCCCACTCACAACACACCCGCAGATCACCTTCTTCAGCGCATGGCTAGCCCTGGCATGGTCGTTCTACTTCGCCATCATTGGCTCCATCTCGCACGTCTTCGGCACGCTCTACGACATGAACCAGGGGCAGCTGGCGGCCATCTACACGAGTCTAGTCGTCGGCGTGAGTGTATCGCTTCTCTTCAATTTTTGTGTACAAGATAAGCTATATGCGCGCAAGCTGGACATCCGCGGACCTGAAGCGCGGCTATATGCCGCAATGCTCATCGGTCCGCTCCTCCCCATTGGCTGTTTCATCTACGGGTGGACATCCTACTCCTACCTCCCCTTTGTAGCTCCGTGTGTCGGTCTGGCCGTTATCAGCTGCGCGTTATTCACCATCTATCTCGCAGCTACCCAGTATGTCATGGACGCTTACGGTCCCTTCGCTGCTAGTGGCGTGGCTAGTCTCAGTATCGTTCGCAATCTATGCGCTGGTTTCTGGCCTCTCTTCACTAACACTTTCTTCGATAACGTTGGCTTTCAACTCGCTCCTACTATCATCGGATGTGCTGCCGTCGTTTTCTCGCTGACTAGTTACGTGTTATTTTTCTTGGGTTCGTCTTGTTCTTTTCTGTCGCTCCTCACTCACAACTCCTCCCCAAACATACAGGCGCGAGAATTAGATCAACTTCCCGCTTCGCTCAACATCTCGCATGCTCAGATGACAACGGCGACGACAAAGACAAGACCCCTTCTCAGCCAACGCAATCAACGGAATCAGTCTAACGGAATCTCTCTCTCCTTTGTATCTTGTGTATTATCTTCATCATGTAATATTTTTTTTTTCTCGTATTGGTGTACAGGTGTATGCGATCAAATAAGTACATTCCGTTTTACTATTATATTCTCCAGGGAGACATATATGGCGACGGTGTTGGTGAGTTTTCCGATGCGGGGCTAAACAAGGTGTTTGTTTTGCGATTCTTGGCAGGAGTAACGACGGCATCTGGAGGTGTAGACGTCCAAGTCGACGTAGACGTTGACATGAACAGGTTGGCATAGTGTGTGAGCAGATACCTGCGACTCGAGTCAGCAAACCGCGCACTACTCGCGCACGCGCTCCAACTCACTTGGAAAGCTCCTCCCATCCACCACCGACCCTAACCATAACCGTGTTAGAGCGGAGTATCCGACAGAAGCACAGCTTTGGATCAGGTGCGCCTATCCAGTACTTGCCAGTCTCGTAAGACTTCTTCACGTCAGTAGCCGCCATTACAGCCCTCTCGATGTTGACAGACAGAGGTAGCGAATTGACCACCTTCCCTACAGCCACTAGAGTAATCCAATTAGCATTATTTCATCACTCCCTTATAGTAATACACAAACTCACAATCAAGTTTCGATTTGGGATTGGCGCGATACGCCACTTTGAAGCTCGGGCGCGGCGATCTAGTGGAGTGTGACGACGACCAACTCTTCTTCCTCCCACTACCACTCCCATTCCCCTTGGAAGGTGTGGTCGGAGCAGGAGCGGGTGTTTTGAGAGACGAGGCTGATGTCGAAGTCGACAAGATCCGCTTCTGACTCGGACTGGCATCTGACTGCGTCTTGTGCGGCATGGGCGTCGACACTGCCCGATTTGTGCGACGTGATATGCTAGACCTGGTTGCTTTCGTGAGGTCATGCTTACGCGTCGGCGTAGTATCATGCGCTTGTGCATCCAGCGTTGGTTTGGCCTTGCGCGGCGACGGGCCTGGCAGATTGAGTGAGGATTTGGACCAGTCTTTCATATTCGGGATAGCCGGCACTGGCGGTATATCTCCGTCGTGCGTGGCGTCGAAAAGTTTCTTGTGCGTTGAGCTTGATGACAATTTCCTCGCGCGAGGGCTGTTGTAATCTACCAGACTCAAACCTGAGAAAGCGCTGGATGAGGATTCAATAGAGCTAGATCTTAGTCTATTAGACGGCTGGGACGATGAATTGCAATCATCGTCCATTGTCATCTCAATTACCTCTTCGCAAGTCGTCCTGAGCCGGCCAATATGCCTCAAGACACGCTTATCCTGTGAATTCTGTATATCCTTTATGATATTTTCGAATGAGCTCCGAAGATCATCTATCTGTTTCTGCTCATCAACGGCGTTCAGCATTTGAGACAACAAGTGGTCGCCATCGTCTATCTTTTTCCTCAGTTGAGATAGCACCAACATTCGGTCGAGTGTCTGTCTACTCTCGTTCATGAGGTCTTTAGAGGGCTGAGTATCACACTGAAGCTGATCGAGAACCTCCACCAAACTAGAGTGGAGCTCAAGCGAAGGTAGCTGAGCGATTGTGTTGGAGTCGTCGAGCGTTGAGAATGCGCGGTCTCTAATATCAGCTATTTTGAAATAACATCTGTACATTGAATTGAGTTGAGACAGAAACTCCTTTGCGTCCTTTTGCACTTTTGTGTTGATCTGAGCAATCAAAGGCGAGGACTGATTGGAAAGAACTTTGATTTGTTGAACTAGTTGTTGAAACGCTGAGAGAGCATCGTGTGATGGTGATAATACGAGTAATCGATGAAACTCATTACTTAAATGAATCATCGCGCTCGACTGTTGTCTTACTTGCTGGAGAAGCTCAACAAGATTGTAAATTTCAGAGTGTAAAGCAGTGTAATTAGTTGCAGATGATATAATATATTCAAAAGCAGCTAAATCTGCGAAAGGATGGGGATTTGACTCTAGTTGAAGCCATGAATCGAGAAATAAGTGATGAATGAGAGATTTGTGTGTTTGTATGAGACTGATAAGCTGTGTGAGTGAATTTTCGAGTTTATCTTGCTCGTCTAGGAATGAGTCAGGAACTTTAATCAATTCGATCATCTCATCAACGGCGCTAGAGGAGAGAGTGAGGATGTCGACGGCGATACTCAATGAGTCGTTGGAGTTGTTAAAACTGAAGATTTTCAACAATTCTAAATATCTTTTATGCTGATCAATCCAGTTTAAGCGTAATTGAGTGAGATGAAGATTGAGTCTATGTTTATCATGAAGTTGAGTGGCTGATTCGAAGACGGTTATAGCCTCTAAAACGACTTGCAAGTAATCTGTGTCTTCTTTTGACAGCTTCCTATTGGAGGTGTTCTTAGCGACATCTTTCAAGCCTTTATCATCAAAGTGTGTTAAATCAACGTGTATTCCCTTTAGCTGGGTGATAAATGGCTTGAGTGTGTTCTGATCTGGTAATTCAACATCGAATGGCTTAAATTGAGGGATATCCTGCACAGCCTAATCCATTTGAGTCTATAGATTCTAATATTCCACAGTGCGCCACTCACATTAAGTATTCGAGATATTTGCTGATGCTGTCCGCGAAGTTTGTCCATCAACTTGATTGTACAAGTCAAACGAGTCAACGTCATCGGATATGTGGACATATATATTCAACTTTATTTTCACTTGTTCTATAAGCTCAACTTCTTAAAATTTTCCATTTAATTTCCCTTGAAGCGCTTCTTATCAACTGCCATGGGCCTCGGTGGACGCAAAGAGAAGCAAAAGCTGCGAGACGATCCTCGGAATCGCCAGTGGGCGGATGATCAAAATAAATTTGGATTTAAAATGTTAGCGAGTAGCGGCTGGAATCCTCAAGTTGGTCTCGGCGCTGCAAAACAGGGAAACGTGAACGCTATCAAGTCTTCTTACAAGTTTGATACCATGGGTATTGGCGCTGATATGAAGAAGAAGGATGATTGGAGTGGGGGACTTGAGTTTGGTAACATTCTCGCTAAACTTAATAAGGGTGGTGCTGCTTCCTCCCCAGCGGCAACTTCCACGGCAACTCCCACTCCCACTCCAACTCCTCCACCATCTTCCACTTCTAAAAACGTGTACGTGTACATACCTCTATACCCCTCCTCTCACGCTTATCCACTCAGATCGAGATCCAAGTACCGCAACGCCAAATCTCAGCTCAATAAGGATGCAATGAGGGAAATTCTAGGTGTAGACGCCAATGGCTCCGTACCATCTACGGCGGACCCTTCTCGCGAGAATTCCCCCACTGAAATTCCAACGATGAAGAACAAAAGCAATCTGTCAATACAAGAGTATTTCAGAGTTAAGCTTCTCCTCAAGTATCAACAAGCTCAAAATGCTCCAGCCGTTGCTCCATTAAATAATATACCTCCTCCCGTTGAAACTCCAATTGAAACTCCAGATAGCAGCAGAGGTAGCTCCCCCTCACTCAAACGCAAACGCTCAAAGTCCATCAAGAAGGAAAAGAACGCTTGGAAGGATTTGCTTTAACTTATTTATTCACCAAAAAGAAACAATATATTCTAGATCTTGTTATCGTTGCTATACTTGTAAATTACATTAAAATCGTCATCATCGATTAGACTAGGATGTAAACTGACTGCGTCCATACTCTCCTTAAGTCTATCGTCACGTGGTTCATCCGTTAAAGCTTCTGTTAGCGTTACTCCGTTGATATTCGTGTTTGATTGTATAGGTGAAAATGTCGCACTTTCTGTCAACATACTGGGTGAATCCACTAACTTTGTTGGCGATGCCACGCTCTCTCTTCTTGGTGCTGGTCCTGTGAATGGTGATCCTGGCATTTGGCTCATCAGGTCATTCTCTGTCGCTCTATCTTCGACTATCATCGACAAATGTCTCTCCAGTTTGCTTATAGCATCATAGCTGTCATACAGCACTGGGTCCTCAAATGTCCTCTGTGCCGCTGGTCTTTGTCTTGCACCTGTTGCTGCTGCTTGCAATGCTGCATCTTCTGATGCTGATGGTTTTTCCATGGAATCTGTTCTCGTTGAGAATATCTGTGATTCTGGGAAGACGTTTGATTGCGAAAAGGCTAGCGACTGATCGCGCGATTTCGATTCGGGCATTGATTGAGATGGTGTAATACCACTGCTCAGCTGATTGTTAGAATCTGCAAATTGAGCGTGCGTCTGAGCTAGTTGAGCTGCTTGTGTCTGAGCCAGCTGTGCTTGAGACGCTAGTTGTGCTTGAGACAAAGGTACCTGAGACGGAGCGAGTGATTTTGATTTCGTAAGTATCGATAAATCACGCTTTGTTGGTGAGTACGACGAATGCGAGTATGTTGAGTGTTCTTCTTCTTCACTACTCTCACTAGATTCGACATCGTCAGCCTTCACATTTTCTTTCTTCATATGATCATCCTCCTTGTCTTTCTTAGCCTCGCTATCTTTCAATTCAACCACAACAGGCTCGACAGGCGACTTTTCGTTCGAGGAGTTACCATGCGAGTCGTCAGAGCTTGCTCCACTAGCGTATCCCAGCTTCTGTACACCTTCAAAGTCTCCTTCCAGAGGACTTTCAACGACCTTGTCAAATGTCATAGCTGAGGACCTAGTTCTAACTCGAGCAGGCGGTGGTGGTCTCTGAGACATTTGTGGTTTTTTCACCGAGGTCATCGACGACGCAGTCGATGCTGTTTCACTTCTGCCTCCGTAGTGTATCACTCCTGTAGCAGCGGGAAGGGAAGGTCTGTAGCGACTATTCTTCGTCCAACGTTTTTCAGAATTAGTGTCTTCATCTGTGCCCCATTGGTGTTCTGGCGATGGGTGCAGTTTGTGCTGAGCCAAGGCAACGAATGGCCCCAAAGCTATAGCAATCACGCTCATAACAATTGTCGGTATTGTGAGCTCATATGGTCGTTCAAGTTCCTGGCGCGGTGTAAGCAGAGCAGTGTACAAGCGCAATGACAACGCACGACATAATGGTGTATATTGCCATCGAAGAACTTGCGAAGTCCCAAGCTGAACCCATCTGGAGATTCAACAAGAACGTCGATACCCAAGAAGAACAAGAAGAGACCTGTCCAAGATATTCCAAGGGCCTATTTCGTGTTAGATAGTGGTTGAGTGTATCTTCAATCACATACCTGTCCTGCTCTTCTGGTCTGTTTGAAAAAGAATGAAGCCAATCCGATACCAGCCAGGAGACCAACAAGAAGCGCGCGGGGCCATAGATCTTCTGAAGCTTTAGAAGGAATCAAAAGCGTTGCAAGAAAACCGAGAGCGGTGACTTTGAAACATAAGCATTGTAATAACTAGCTAACCAACGCACTACTCACATCCAACGGGAGCGTAAAGAGCGAGACCAACTTTGACACCGCGTGCTAAAACAACCACTAGCGTTACTACTAAAAATACCACCTGCGCGCGTTATGAGACCGTGTTTAATTTGGCAAATCACACACACCGCGGTTGCAACAAATATGATGATATCAGAGCCTTTTTCGGTGTTTGATAAGCTATTTCTACCAATATTGTCAATAAAAACGATCCATATGACTGCATAATTAGTTGACTGTCTGACCATGCACCCTTACTCACTCATAGCAGCAATCAAGCCAATGTTAAAACCTGGACCGACTCTCCAGCGCTGACGTAGACCAATCGTCGCTAAAATAAGACCGATTATGAGCGAAAAAGCTCCAAAAAGCTTTCCTGCTACGTCAGAACCACCATCTGTCGCCGAGCCTTGCTCGACTATGTCTCCGCTTTCGCTGTCAACGGCAGATACTGTTCCATCTGGTGCAGTCGTTGGCTGTACCTAATTAGTTTGTGCATTTTTATAGCATCTTTGAGCTTACGTATATCTCTGCATTAGCATAGCACGCCAAGGCGAGCAATAGAATCGTTGATGCCAAATTTTTCATCCCAAGTTGTCGATATAGGGTATGTAAACAAACTTTGGTTTGGTCTTCTTTTGCTGGTCTGTGATAACGAGCGCTTCATCGAATATTACTAACTTGCCCGATTTGGTTCCATCTTCGCACTAGTCTGAATACTTCATTCCAATGTGAAAATCTTAATACTATATGGGTATAACACAATTTACAATTCATCAAACTCTGATTAAATCTTTTAAATTACTTGCGACTGATATCATTGTCGATAGCAGCCTTTTGCGTGTATCTCCTTCGAGGATCTCATCTCCCGAGTATTCACATAGGACTGAATTAGAGTTTGATAGGTTGTTGGCTATAGTTTCTATCCTATAGATATCATTCGATTCCTTGACACGCTGGCATATTATCGTTATTGTCGATGTAGTTGATATGATTTGGTTGAGGTAACTGCTTAAGTCTGGTAGCCGAGTATTGCGGTGTTGTCGGGAAGAGGATAAGACATGCTCTATCATTGCTGTAACTTTATTGGAGTGCTCCTCGACTTCTTTCTTGCACTCATCCCATGATCTCTCAACATTCTCGTCCTCCACCATCTCTTCATCCGTCGAGCCTGATAACGGCCTTCTTAAACCTATTAGCTTTGCCAGTTCTATTGCTGACATTGCAACATGAGACGCTGCAGCATCGAGCAGTGAGATTGGCGAAAGTCCACCACCCATTGCGTGATTGTGTGTCGCTGTCATCATATTGTCTAGCGTAGCGATCAATCTTTCTTTCGGTACATTGATACGATCCCTTTCTGCCTTTCCAGCGCTGTTTTGCCACGTTTCAGTATCGCTTTGTATCGATATAACAAAGCCGACGATTGGCTTCATGACGTTCAGGACGAGTGATGGAGATGTAGATCTACCAGCAACAATGAGATCATCAATCGCAGTCTGCAGCCCTGTAAGCGACTCGAATGCAATTGCACCATGTTCGTTTATTGATATATTGGCGGCATTGTTATCAGGCAATGGCGGCTGCAGCCCACTCGAACGCTTGAACCTATCTAGCTCTGACTTAACCAGACCAAACCTATCTCTGAGCTCCTTTAGCTGTATTTCAAGAGAGTGGATGTAATCTCTATTTTGCTCCTCAGCCATATAGTGAGACTCTTCTCTTTCGCTGAGATTTTTGACCTCCTCTATCAGCCGTCCAACATGACTCTTAAGTTCATCCCTTTCTCTCTCAAACTTTGACTCCTTATGTGCAAAATTGAGTTTCAGTCTGTCTGCTTCACCGCTATCAAATGCCATGCGAAGAGGTGAAGAGGCTGCTGCTGCGGGTCTAGGCGGAGGATAGAAGAGTGGCGGAGTACCTCCATCAACATGTTCTTCTCTGGGTGGGCTTTCATCCCGTGAATGCTCGAGGTGCTCTGGCTGTTCTTGGTGCTCTTCAACGTCCTTCTTGTTAGAGTCACTAACAAAGTCTCTTTTAGATTCATTTCTCATATCATTCTCCAACGACTCCTTGAAATCATTCAGTGAAGCGTCGTTGAAGAAAGATGAAGAAGCCGTTTTGTGCTGATTACTATGATTGTCAGTGTCAGGTGCGATTGATAGACTTTGATTAGTGGATTGTGGAGGTTCAAAGTCCTCTGCTGAATTGTCATATTCGGGAATAGATGGTTGATGGGAATCTGTGTTGGCGAAAGACTGTTTGTGTTAAAGATAAGGTAAGCAGTCGGATATAGACTCACATCGAGGTGGGTAATGTGGGTATTAGTGTCTGGTACAGAGCTGTAGCTAATACTACGAGTGCTTCTTTCGCCTGCGTCGTCTATGCTGTCCACCCTTAGACCGTCGTGGCTGTAGCGACTACGGTCTATCGTAGGGGGAAGCGGCAGATCTGGCTGTTCGTTTTTTTCTTGGAGAACAGATACAGATAAGGTTGAGTGCCTCGGGGTCGATTTAGTGAATGGTAAGGATGATGTTGAAGCCAGAGAGCTATTTCTTTTGAGATCTGCGCCCGCAGATTCTGTGTTTTGAACAAACAAGGCCTCATTACCGGCATGATTACGCTCAATTGGATCCCTAAATGGATCGACGTTTGATAAGCTGTTTGTAGATTTACGCGAAGATTGAATGCTGTTGTGCTTTTCGGTAGAGTTGAGATTTTCACCGCCAAACTCAATTTCCATATCGACAAGCTGCTCATCGACCTTGTTCTTATCGACCTTCTGTTCCTGCTCATCCATTAACTCAGGATATCTCCTAACAAGTTCAAAGTAGACATCGGAAGCCAGATCCTTGAAACGCGTCTTTGGGAGAGTTGCAAGTTTTTGCCTGGCCTGGTTACGCTTGGGATGAAATTCGGCTTTTGTGGGGAGGTAAGGGGTTGCAGAAGTCTTGTCTATGCTGTCAGATTTACTAGAGCGCGGGGTTGAATCTTCTTCGCCGTCAAAGCGCCTCTGCAGCTCGTCAAAGACATCGGTGGACAATTCCTGAAATTGCTGACGCGTAAGCCTGGTGAGCTTGTCTCTGGCAGAAGTTCTAGAAGAGTGAGACTCCTTTCTTAAATGCGTGTCTAAGAATTCTGATAAAAGGTTGAAATGTACGCGAGCAATGCGGCGAGAATCCTCTCTGCTAGATGCTTTCGGTGAATTTGTATTATTTCCGGATGTGGCTGCGTGCATAGTCGATCAATATCGCTCAGTTGAATTGTTGTTGGTGGTTTGAGTGCTTGAGAGTGGCAGACGCGTAAACAAGATAATTGAATTTTACCAAGCTATTTTAGCTGTATTTCAATTTGGCTTAACCTGAGCTTATTTCTTACTTTGTACTCGTCGTCATCATCCCATCCTGCATCTGTACAACCAACACATAGTAAAATGGCAGCGTTCGCTAAAGCTTATCAAGTTCGTCATTAATCTAATCTATTCCTATCTTACTCCTTGTAATCCACAGTCCTCCTTCAATCGCAGACCTAACCTTACGCTATCATTAACAAACGGTTCGCTATCCGCTATGGCAGATACCATCGCACAAACTATTAATGTAGGCGATATTCACATTATACACGCGTTTCTTATCCTCAATACAGCCAGAAATGGATGATAATCAACAGCGGAAGTGGAACCCAAGAAGAACTGCAAACTTCTTTATCTTCGGTGCTGCCATGGGAACTCCTCTCAACTACTGGAACAAGTTCTTGGAAAAGAGATTTCCTCTTAAAGGCCCTGGCGCACTTCCGCATACTCCAATAAGTCTCAGGATGCTTTTCACTAGGGTCGGTGTGGATCAGTCAGCGATGTAAGTATTTTGGTTGATTACACGCCTATAACAGTCTCAAACTTCAAACAGGGCGCCGTTCGGTGTAAGTCGCATCCATATCCGATGACGTCACACTCACAACATTCAGCTTACCGCTTTCATTGGCACCATTGGTGTACTCGAAGGGAAGTCCCTTAGAGAGTTAAAAAACAAGTACGAAGACCTGTTCCTCCCAGCAATCCTTGCAAATTGGAAGGTTTGGCCTTTGATCCAATTGGTTAACTTCCGATTCTGTCCATTGGCGTAAGTGGATATGGTTATGAAAGCATCCTTGCTAAGCTCCTTTAAGCTTCAGAGTACCATTTACCGCTTCATGTGGTGTCTTGTGGACATTATACCTCAGCAACCTCAACTCTAAGAAGGCACCAGAAGAAGTCCCATCTCCAGTTACGATAGAAAAAACTCCAACTAAGCACCGATGGGAACAAAAGCCAACCGGTGAATTCTCTAAGGCCGAATTAGTTGGCGTTGCCAGGTAATCAAACTTATAACGACTAAAATAACGTCCGGATTGACGAAAGCAGTTGATAAAATAGATAGGTGTAACTTGTAACGTAGAAAATTCATCTTTCACCGTGTTAAAAGTGTAAAATGAGGTTTCCATAGCATTGCTTTCCCCGCGTGGTGTGAAATGTTTGCAGGTGCGTTGCCCACGCGTTTGAGCAGACAGGGATGAGTAATAAAGCAAACGCTTCGATTTTCTGCTGAATTTCGTCCTTTTTGTTTTATCTTATTCTTCTATCATTAAGTTGCAATTCGGATTCGCATCACATACCTCAAAACGAGTCTAAGAGATAGCAGAGGGGTTTAACAGTCCATAAACAATTTTAATAAGGCGTAAGAACTTATCAAAATAGATATATTCAGATCACTCTGCAAATGGCCAAAAAAGTGCAAGGTTGAACTCAGCGAAGCCGTATACTGGCAGTTTGAACATTTCAGAATAATCATCGTTTTCATACAGCCTTTAGCATTCCAAATAAATCTTTTCTCGACTCTCCGCTAGATATTCAACGAGTTGGATCTCGCCCATATCAACTATCTAATCTCAGATGACTGATTTACGAGTTTTAATGATCTCCGAATAAAATTACTTCACAAACAGCCCCGAATACTTTTTATAAGATAATGCCAGATTTATATCCCTGAGGATTCAATCGCGCACTGTAGGATGTTCAAAAGTTGCAATCCGACATCACTCTTTACTACGCATAGGATGTGTATGGAGGATTCTAGGCAAGGAATTGATGCATAAAATTTCTCGGACTTATAGAGACCCCAAGAACCCAGAAAGATTGAGTGATCAACCTTGTCGACGCGATTTACGTTTCCGACAAGTAGCGTCTACAGGACTCAAATATGGCTCCAGGGAAAAAGTACTGTCATACCGGATCATCCCACGCCTATTGGGTACACTTAATTTAAAGAAACGAGGGGGTCAGGCCAACTCTGAAATTGGGGTTTGGCTTTTCACCTGATGCATTTCGAGATTTCAAATAATGCGGGTGTGAAGGTGATTTAGGCCACGTTGGAGTAGTGGAAGGCAGGATATTGTCTAAAGAGCTTTTCAAGCAACCAAATTACGCTCCCTGCGACATGCCACATCTGGTTTGACGAGCACCGAGCGCTATACAATGCTACATACTATAGGCGCACTCTTGAATGGCTCGTGAAGAAACCTGCTACAAACGATATCCAGATTTCTCAGGTTTCCAGTCGTTGCGGTGCTATGACGAATACGTCATAGGTGAAAATTACACCCGAATTTCGAGAATGATATACATTAATTCAAGAATACACTTACTTCTTCGGTATTTGCATTGGTGATCTACAATGTCGAGCCGCCATCGAGCACGATAAGATTACCAGTGACATGCGAGCTGCCCCTGCTCACCAAGAAGAGAAGGGTTGCAGCAATGTCGCTGTCCTGTCCTAGGCGGCCTGTGGGCTGACTAGACAGGAGTTCGTCCATGTGATCCGCGACGGCGTGGCGAGTCATACGCGTTTCAAACACAGAAGGCAGCACAGCATTGATCATGATATGTTTCCTGCTCAGAGTCTGTGCGAGCGTCTTGGTGAGATGATTGAGAGCTGCCTTGCTAGCGCCGTAAGACCACGAGCCCGCATCTGGCGATACAAGTCCACCAGATTGAGCACTCGTAACCACTCCGGCCACAGATGACACGTTCACAACGTGCGCTGGCTCGATGTTGCTCTTCCCCTTAGCCAACAGGTCTGCCAAACCGACAATCATGTAAAACGTTGCTTTCACATTAAGTGCCATTATATTGTCAAAGCCTTTCTTTTCGGGGAAATCTTCAAGCTTTGCGCCCCATGTCGCGCCTGAGTTATTCACTAGAATGTCGATCCGCTCTTCCCTCGCTTTGACATGGTCCACGACGACATCAACGCCAGCTTTCGAGGAGAGGTCTGCAGGGATGTACTTGACAGCACACGAGGGGCTCAGCTTCTGTAGCTCGTGAGTGGCTTGCTTCAGCTGATCTACCTTGCGTGACGTAATGTAAAGTGTTTTCGCGCCGTTCTGGACGAGTGTTTGCGAGACGATATAGCCCAGGCCCGATGCACCTCCTGTGACTATACAAGCTGATCCTTGGATGCTGTATAGCTCTGCCAGATTGAGGTTTCGCTTATGTGACATAGCCGGTGATGGATGTAATAAAGGTATGGACGAGAAGGATTTCAAAAGTATCAATTATTGGCTGGAAATTGTTACATCGAGGGTATTTAGAGTAGTGTTCATATACGATCACGCCTTCCAAGAATATTACAATTACTGCTTGTTACAATTTAGATGCTTCAGGCACACCGAGGACGCCATCGAGCCATGTAATTACATCTCTGACAACCTCGTACTTGAGATCACCTGCTTCCATGAAGAGCTCGTGTCTGGCGTTGGGGTATATCTTGAGTTGCTTCGATCTAGCCATGACCGAGTCAATAAACAGTTTGGAAGCCTCGAATGAGTTGAGATTATCACTATCACCATGCGAGATAAGTAGTGGTACATTAGAAGGGTAGAATTTGTAGTCCTGCGAAATTAAAAGCGAGCCATAACGCAGCATATCACAGACACCACCAAGCGTAGCTGTCTTAGCAGCCAAAGCATCCTCCTCAATCGCATTCTGTACCACCTTGTCGTGTGTTCTGTCCTCAGGATTGATCATTGGAGAAATTGTAAAACTGCCGACGATACCTTTGCACTTGTTCACGAGACTAATCAGGAAGTTTGGCGGTGGTTTAGTGAGTCTTATCAGGGGCGACATGGCGATCGCGCCCTTCAATTCTGGCAATTTGAGGTGAGGATTGCGAGTCAGAGCACCAAGCGTAAGGCCACCGCCCTGTCGCAGTGTAAGAAAAGCTCGCTGTGAATTACATTATCATACCATTGAGTGGCCCATTAAAAACAGCGGCAACCCCACATTTTGTTCGGAGAATTTGAATATAAGGTTTTGGATGTCTCCAAGTGCGAGTTTCCAGTTGGTGAGGCCAGGCTTGGGGTTGCCGATTTTCTCGTGGGTTGAGCGTCCAAAGCCTCTCTGGTCGAAAGCAAATACCTTATATCCAGCACCAGCGAATTGCGGGAAGATGTGGGTGTATCTGTCGATATGCTCAACAAAGCCGTGGACGAAGAAAATGAGTGCTTTGGGGTGGGTAGGCGTGTACGTCTTACTGTAGAGCTCTACGCCATCATCGACACAAACCCAGCTAGTGTGAATTTGAATATCGCCCATTCGAGAGTGAGAGTGAGAATGAGTGCGATTGGAAGGAAGGTGGAGGTCACGCGTGTCATGGCTTATAATACCACAAGTTTTACATAAAAGCCATAAGTTTCGCAGTCTGTAAAGCACTCATAAGCCATAAGATATACATGATAAGGAATCTAAGCTAATCTAAGAGAGAAAGTTCGACTAGGAACAGCTTTGACGTTACTAGTTTTACACAAGGACGCAGTGCAGTATGTTAATATAGAGAAACAATTTCGTGAACCAGCCACTCCAGTCGCATCCACCGATCTATCGGAGCTCAGAGACAAAACAAATAATTCGAGCACACACTTGTCTCGGAATCCCGATAACAAATCGCGAAATTGATAATTACGTAATACAAGATTCAGGGTATTTTAGTATATCCTGAGGAGATGTATGAGTATAAGCAGATCAGTGCGCAAGTGGGCAAGCAAAGAATGAGCTGTGCAAGTGAATTAAACTTTAGCTTTGTGTATTTCAATTACTTATGTAAATTGACGTATGCTCCGCGCTGTCAGTTTCCTGTGATTTATATTTCCGCACCCATCTTGAGGTGTAGGCTGCATTAATCGGCTAGTGCCTTGCGCAGCAGGCCAGTACACAGCTGTAAGTCTCGCAAGTCTCACGATAAGTCTATGGAACGATCTTTATGACATCAGCCTTTCCAAGTCACTGCAAAATTTTAGTGGGCAGGAATGTGGCTGTGCATAGGAGCAGAGAAGGAGCAGAGAAGGAGGAGGGGATGGAGAGGGCTGTTTTAGGGCTGTTAATAGAGCCAGCATTGTGTAGAATTTCCCTTGTTTTGGTTGCATGGGCCTGTTCTAATGCTCCACACCACCCTTAATGGCTCGATCAAGCTTAAAATTCTTTGACTGGAACATCCTTGGCCAAAGATCACAAAGACATTTTGCTTCTTCCAGCACTACCAACACAATACACCACAGACTAGAATGTTATTCGACGACTACCTCGATGACAATGTCTTCTCATTCGATATACATTCTTTAGACCCGTGTGAGGGCTTTGGCACGGCTGCGCCAGCATTTGATCTAACACAAAACCCATTCTGCTTCGACTGGATCTTGCAGCAATCACATCAACCATACGGATATGCACATGCACCACCCAGCACAGCTACGACTGCAACGACAGGAGCTTCAGATGATTTCTGTGTCGACCCTTCAACAGCAGCCAGTATTCCGTCGTCGTTTACTACTCTAGCGTCACTGCCTTCGCTATCGCCGCAGTCACAGCCATCGGCACTTCCACTCGAAATGGGGATGGAAATGGAGGCAAAAATGGAATTGGCCGAGAGCTCATCCTTCGACTTGAGTGCACCACTGCCTAGGGATAGGCTGGGCTCAAGCGCTGGCTCGACCAGTAGCTCCTCCAGCTCAGATGAATCGCACTCAGGACCGATGAGAAAGTACAAGTGCTCCCTATGTCCTAGGGCGTTCGCCAGGCAGTTCAACTTGAAGCAGCACATTCAGACTCATAATCCAGACAGAGTCAAGCCGCATGAGTGCACTTATGAAGGTTGTGGTAGGAGATTCTCCAGGAAGCACGATCTCGTTAGACACGCACAGTCGATTCACGGTGTGGCTGGTCCACCCACCAAAGCATCCAGGAAACAATCTCCTCAAGCGATCGCTGAAATGATAGCTAGAAGGCAAAAAGCTAGAAACAAAGTAGCTTAAGGGTCTAGCTTACGCTGGCGCTATTCAAGTGAGTGGCTAGTTGGCTAACACACTAAACTAACGCAATTTTACCAGACAATCTCAAATCTCACAGACACTGTGATGGCTCAACCTATAAACGCCAACGCAACGCCAGAGAGAAATCTCTGATAGTTTTTAAAGGAACTCCCAATTTGCTCTGTCAATCCCTTCACTCTTTCTAAGACGCGTCGAGTCGATTGATATGGGAAATGAAGTATCTTTCAAAAGCAACACTCTCATTCACTATTGGTCTCATCTTTTTCTTCTTTCTTAAAACCCTCCCCCCTGCCCGTGGCTACAACGATTTGTTTTTATTAGACAGTGGCTGACGTTATAGTCACCTTGAGCAGGCAATTGGGTAAAGTATGTTTAGACAAGCCACTTAACCTTTTCACGGATTTCTCTTTCACCAATAAACGCAAGTATCTTTTTATTTTCACAGCTTTCTTGTCCATAAAAATGAATATATTGATCAATTGTTGAGAAAGCGTTGGTAGCTGTGGTATGATGGGTCTTGTTGGTTGACCGTCTACATGCGACGTCCACTGCACATACTCTTCCTAGGGAGTGACGATTTTTCTGTGGATGTGCTGCGAGCGGTATGGCGGAGGCGGTGTAGTGGACTTAAGCAAGAAAGCGACGGCAGAGGAGACGTAGACAAACTATCAGTCATCACACCAGCACCAGCTAGAACGGGGCGAGGAAAGAAGCAACTACGCGTGCCGCCGCTACTGGAGCAATCGCAACAGCTGCAACTCCCTACATACACACCCACTGCCGGTGAGCTACCGCATATGGCCAGCCACCTGCCCGCACTCGACGTCATACTGACAGCCTCATACGGACACCTGCTGCCCACCGAGCTGCTGCGCGCCGTGCGCCCGCAACACGCCATCAATGTCCACCCGTCCCTCCTGCCGGCACTGAGAGGCGCAGCGCCGATCCAGTGGGCCATTGCGCGCCAGCTGCGCGAGACAGGCGTAAGCATCCAAACAATGCAGGACGACGTCTTCGATAGCGGAGAAATACTCCTGCAGAGAACTCACCCGCTTTCGTCGTCCACCTCGCACAGACCTACTACGCCCTCTCTCGCCAAGGAGCTCGGGCTGGTGGCGGGCGAGATGGCGGCCGAGGTGGTGGAGAATCTCGACCATTATATCCGACACTCGTACGCTCAGGACACAGCGCGTATAACACACGCACCAAAAGTAGGCAGAACTGTCGGCTTTGTCGACTTTGCTTGCATGGCGGCAGAGACTATCGACAGCAGACACCGCGCTTTCAGCCATCAGCGCCCACTATCAGCTACACTGGTACAGTCCAACACTACGCACCAGCTACTCAGCGTGGAGGTGGTGGGTGGTGATGGCCTTGTTGCAGACACCTTCTCAAACGCGGTGGAAGGCTCAGCTTCCCTCATTGATAGCCACCTCGTCGTCAAATGCGCTCGCTCTTCTTACCTCCGTGTCCACTCGCTCAAACCGCCCGGTAAGCACGCAATCAGTGCGCATGAATGGTGGAATGGACACAGACATGGGCTGAATATTGTCAACTTCACAAAGCCATCACTGTAACATAAAAATTTATCATAGAAATACAATGTATACATAAGAAAGGGAATCATCTATAAAAATCCATCTATTGAATGGAATGAGCTGCTGAAAGGATCACCATCCCTAATATCCCCTTCCATGTTCATCCATCTCCATTCATCTTTTGCCGTGAAAGCTGTGCCTGGAGCGATACCAAATTCATGGAAGTGATTCTGGGCGATATACTCGTGGTTGAAGGCGGAGTAAGCGTTAGGTGAAGGCGCAATCGTCTCGAATGCCAGCTGCTCAAGGAGAGCGTCGTTGAAATGAGTATGATCAAATTGCGATGTGGGTTGGGAAGCGGATGAAGAGACAGTATGGCTAGCGGAAGTAGTGGTAGCGGCAGTACTTACACTACCCACACCACCCATACCACCCATACCTTTCTCGATGCCATTCATGTCCAACTTGTTGTGCAACTTGCTCAGCGCAGAGAGAGCTACAGGGATACGCTCAGACATCCTCCGATAAACTTCAGCAATAGTAGCCAACTCAGACATGACCAACTGTGCAGCGTCATTATCGCGAGTTTTAGCAGCGTGAAGATAGGCAGCGATCAGGATATCGCTTGCGTCATTATAGATAGACACTACGTAACTAGGCAGCTTGCACAGATCCCAACTCGTCCCGAGGAGTCTGTAAATGGTACTCATGATGATACGCGCGCACGTCATTAACCTCTTCCTCGAAAAACTATCATGGATAAAGCCACTATGCAGACTCATCATAGCCTTGATACCGACCAAGTGAGCCAGGTAGATACCAATGTCTAGCCCACCGTCGACTATTTGCACAGAATCTACCCAGCTGTCAGGCACTGATGTCCTGTAGCGCAAGATCAGCCTGTCGAGTTCACTGAATGACCCCAACTGGTTGGCTGATTGCAAGCCCTGCTTAAGTACATCTCGCTCGCATACGTGCTTGAACCTGTTCACGCGCGCGAGGAGCACTGAGGATTTAATGACAAAGTGGAATCCATCGGCTTCATGCTCGGTGAAGAAGTCTTGGTCGTCGATGTGCTGGTTGTATTCGGGGATAGACTGACTAGGCGACAGACTATCATAGTCGGACGTTTTGATTGGTAGCTTTGTAAGTATCTCGTCGTCGGCAATGTTGGATGGATATGTACTTGATATGCTTGAGTAGAGTGTATCAAAAATGTACGCGAGAAAGAAAGTGAATTTGCGGCACTCCCTCTCAATGTCATTCCGGGGTGGTGCTAGAAGTGCGCGGTTTGGGGTCATCTCCATATCCAGATGCAAACGAAGAACGACCGTGCCGCGAATACACATGACATTGATGCGATAATGGTCAGCCTGTGTGCATGAGTGTGCATGTTAGAATGGTTCACCTCTAATCTACCTACCTACCCATCGATCTTCAATGTGAAAAAAGTGGGACATGATAATCAAAGCTTGTAAAGCCTCTGCCTTTTGAGTAAGGGTGCTGTTAGACACTGTCTCAGTCTCAATAGCGTCACTGGCGAGGCGGGCGTGCACCTCCAAGAAAGTGCTGGGTGGGTTGAAGGTAGTAAACGGATTGCATTCGCTGTGGCGCGGGATAGCAACGGGATTAGTGGTCCTAGGGGAGTGTCTGCTAGCTGAGCAGAAGATGGCGTGCATCAAGGCTGAAGGGGGAGCATCTGGGTGTGAGCAAGGCAGCATCGCGCGCTGCATGAAGCTGGGTCTGTGTAAGAAACCCGCGACTATCGGACAGGCGTTGAAGAAGGTGTTGAGGAGGTGCAGCGTTAGGTCAAGTGGAGGGTAGTAAGGATTCCAGTTTGGAATGCCAAGGGATGTGTCGTAGAGCTGGTGGTTGTATGCGTTGGCTGTGCTGGTTGCACCCGCTGTACCCGCTATACCCGCTATACCTGCCACACCCACAGTACTCCACTTCAACACATCTTTTTCGAGCGTCTGTATCTTATCTTCCAGGTCCTTGACTTTGTTCTTACGCTTAATCCCCTGCTCGTGCCTATCCCTGTCGTCGCTACCGGGCTCGGGGTAGATGCATTTCTGGCGGCTTTTCGCGCAAGGGCCACAGGCGGGCTTGGCTGGAAGCGTGAGCGTTAGCGTAAGAGAGTGATGGTTGCCAATGAAGGAGCAAATTCACCTGCGTCACATTTCTAATCGATCGATGCGCGTGAGATGTCGATGAATTGCACAGGCACGACAGAACCCACCATCTTCCTCCGTCGGCATGTAAAGCATGCCAATCCACGCTTTAGTGCGTTTGGGTTCTTGTTGATCCGCCGGGCCGCGGCTGTGTCCATGTGATGGTTGAAGTAAACAAAGAAGAAAACTAGGTAAAAGAAATTTAATTTTTCATAAATGGCAGTGTCCGTCGCCTCATACGTTACATGCTACGCGCTACACGCATATACAGCTTCTGCAGACCATCGATTCCCCGCTTGGCGAGGACAGACGGCGCATTCACCTCATCGCTCTCGAGGCAGCTGGAATACACCTCTGTCGACCACGGCCCTACGTAGCCGGCATGCATGATCGTGCGCACGAAATCCTCGAGCGGGAGATAAGCGCCTCTGCCTTCCTCGCACGGGAAAAGTCGGGCTGAGCGCGACCACTTCATGCGTGCAGGCGCGTTACGCGACGCGTGCCACATCCTTCCCTCTCGGGCTCTCTCAGCGTCTGCGATCTGCAGCAGGAACAGTTTATGTGGGGGGATGGTGTCGAATATCTCCCCCAGATAGTCGTACAGCATATCGACAGTCATTCCCTCCTTTACGCCCGTTGGACTGGAGGGATCGGCGTAGAAGGATGCCCTGGAGTTATGTGTGAGTGTTGAGCGGTGAGCAAACAAGACGAGGCGTAGCTGCGCTGAGCACACACCACTCCGTTACTCACAGAGAATTGAAAGTATCCAATACGACGCCTACGCTGGCCAAATCAACGCGCTGAACGATATCCCAGACCTGAGACCACGAATTGACGACAGTGCCCCACGCGAGGGGCTCGTAGCCGATGCGGAGGTGGAGTTGCTCCGCTCGTCTGCCCAGGGCTTGCAATGCGTTCACCTGTGCATCTCTGTATTTGCGATACGAAGCACCAGCCGCTGCTAGCGGATCGAGTGGTGCGAGGTTGTTCGAGCAGATGAGCAGCAGATCCGTGTCGAGACTGCGCATCAGTTGTAGGTAGCGCTCCGCCTTTTTCAGCGCGTACCCCAGCTTCACATGGCAATCCCCGATGTTCTCGAAATCTCGCAACGGTTGCAGGCAATGAATTTTGAGTGAATTCTGTCGACAGAGAGTTGATATAGCAGCTGCACAGCTCTGCTCGAAGGATTGGGCAATATTTGCGCTTTGTGCGCTGTATGCAACGCGTACACCGTCTACCTCCTTCTCTTGGTGCAGATGCGAATGGACATGTCCCTTCAATACCTCCGGATGCATACCCAATCCACACTGCCTAATGAAATCTTCGAAATCCGGTATAAATATCTCTATGCCACTGTAGCCGTGTCGGGCAGCAGTGCGAATCTTGTCAGGTAGAGTGTGGTGCGCGAGCGTGCCCAGCGACAGACTTGAAATACCAAAATCAGGCTTGGCCACGCTACCGTAGTAGCCAGTCGACGATGATGACGAAGTCGCCGATGTCGGCTGTGACGTGCCTGCAGCGTGTATTTGTTCTGCTTCAAGGTTCACCCGGTGTTTGAGGTGTTTGGGGTGGTTGGCGTGCGCAGCTGCAGTTGCATCCATCTTGAGTGACTGTTGTATACGCCTAGCCATGCCCATATTTTACGCGTTTCGTTGGTCGTTTTCGAAACACCTTCAAATAGGCCAAAGATACCTTATTCGCGGCTGGTTGGTGGAGGCAGATAGTAGCCGCTAGTAGATAGTAAATGCCCAGGCAAACGATAAACAAGCAATACACGCTGGGATTTCAATTTCAATTACATCAAAGCCCTTATTTTATATTTCATTTGGGCTGTCACCACGCATCACGCATCACGCATCATCACATCATCCACATCATCCCATGGACATACCACAAAAGCAAGCCAAATTGAACCTCGCAAACACACCGCGCGGGAGTAACTTCTACGCGTCTACACCGGGCGGCACGCGGACAGTCTATTCCAAGGCAGACCTACTGTCGCTGGCGAGCAGTCCACTATCCAAGACACCACCGACTGGTACGTGGCGTGGGCGTGGTGTATATGGCTGCCAGCTAACGCGTCTTAGGGCTAAGCAACTTCCCTGCAGCTATGTCGCGTGACGGTGAGGGTGAGCTTAAGCAGAAGCACAAGCCCCAGCAGAAGCCACAGCACAAGCAAGCGCAAGCAAACAAGCCGGATGGCAACACAAACAACCACAGCCAAGAAACAACGTTCGAAATGGATGATGATTAGTTAGATACCTGTTGTACACTGTGTACACTCTCCAATATCCTCCTATACTTGATTTTATCCATGGCGGATGCGTATGTCTTCCTCGAGTGCTTCGAAGGTCCCTTCACCCTATTTTCGAGAAGTTTGGAAACTCTCTTGGCGCCGAAAGCGCGTTGAAGGAGGCGTACTTCACTTGCATCCTTCTTGTTCAGCCCGCCCTTGAGTGCTTTGTACTGCGAGAGGGATTCCGTTGCAGGCTCGAGACACCGCCTGGCTTCATCTTCTGCATCAGCGCTGGGGTTGTGCTGCTTGAAGAGATTTTCAGTGACGAGCGTCGACCAAGGCTTATCGATCTGTGCACTGCGTTCGACATAGGGCTTTAGAGGTGCTTCTCCGCTGTGGAAATTCGCTGGTGCTACAAACACTCTAGCCTTTGAATCATCGAGGATGAACGTGTTGTTTGATTTCCCGGCGTGCCTCCCCGCTGGCCCTGTCCTGTACCCATCGATATATCCCGTTCTTGTGCCTGCTCTAATGAGAATCAGTCTATCTACACACTTTAAGCCGCCCCACCCTTGTAGTAATCCTTGTTTCCGCCCTTTGTCGTCAGCTGCGTGCGTCTCGCGCCTGCTCTGATCGTGGATGCGAACATGAGTGTCTTCTCCCAACCACCAACAACCCAAATAAATTTAAACAAAATGGGTTTTAGGGTAAATTCAGATAAAATACTGGAAATTGAAAGATCGCTGTCTTCTCTCAGTGATCTCAACCCTATACAAGATTTGCTGGGTTATCTCAACGCCGATGGCGTCGACGGGAGAGTGAAGCACAAGACGCTGTTTGTACTGCAGAGGGTATTCAGCACGCTCCTCGTCAATGGCAGAATCCTCGGCCTGAAATCCACCTCCGACAACGAAGCCATCACTCTCACTAAGAAATGGTTGCTGGACAAGTACACGAGGTTTTTCAACACTCTAGGCACTCTCTTTCATTCCACAGAACACAGCCTGAGAATTACCTCTCTACACATTTCCATGTCTCTACTACGCACAGAATCATCCTACATTTCAAACAAGACAGTCCCACCTTCTCCACAATTCGCTATTGATTCCTTCCGCAGAATAGTTAGACCCTTGCTCATCAATAAGAAGCCCATGTTCGACGATGTACGCAGCGAGTGGCTCGACAAGTGGATTGGTAAGTGCGACGACATCCGCTACTTCTTCTTCAAGGAAACAATACACCTCTTTAGAGAGTTCGATGCGGTCTCCTCCCCACGTCCAAAACACCTCACTTCCAATGTCCTGACTTTGCTTGAAAATCTTCACTCTATGCCTACACATCAATCTGAAATCGACGAGTTTTGGGTCCCTGAGATAGCTAGACAGGAGAAGGAGCAAGTCAAGGAATCAAATCTCGAGCAGTCTAAACAAGACAACCAAGACTGGACTGCGTACTTTGACCAGATGATCGCTGACGAGGAGGAGGAGAAGGAGAGCAAAGCAACTGACAAGAACTCCAAGAAAAACAAAGTGCGCGACACCATAAGTCTCAGTGCACACAGAGCCATGTACTCTGGTGTCTGGCTGACGATGCTAAAGTGTCCGACCGGGTTAGATGTGAATGAGAACAGAAGGGCGTTGATAGTACTCCACCAGCTCGTCATTCCATTCCTAAAGCCATCCGAAAGAGCTAGTTTGGCAGACTGGCTGAGTGATTGCTGCGATGCTGGCGGTGTCAATGCTCTCCTCGCCCTCAATTCGCTATGGAGATTAATGCGCGACCACAATCTGTGAGTGATGTGATTATAATCAAATAATCATTACTAAACTTGCACTCAGCGACTACCCCGATTTCTACAAAAGGTTGTATGCATTATGCGACAGAAATGTGTTGCATGTGCTATACAGGGCGCGATTCTTCCGTATGTTAGATCTGTTCCTGAGTTCGACGCACCTTCCCGCGTTACTGGTTGCAGCTTTCATCAAGCGTCTCAGTCGCCTATCCATTTCTGCCAGCCCAGCTGCCATAGTGATGCTCATCCCATTCACTTACAACCTCCTCAAAAGACATCCGGGGTGCATGCACCTCATACACTCAGATCGCGCAGTGCAGGGTGTAGATGCGGACATGTACACCTTCGATGAACCTGACCCTATGCAGTCGAATGCTCTAGATAGCTCCTTATGGGAACTCGCATCGCACCAATCTCACTACCATAGCAGCGTTAACAGATTAGCTCTCATTCTTTCACAGGTCTTCTCTAAACCTAATTTCGCTCTCGAAGACTTTCTCGATCATGCCTATAAAACCATGTTCGATACGGAGATTCGCCGTAAGATTAAGACCACCCCCGCAACTTACGACGGTAAGAGTGTAGGTGTGTTTGGAGGACACAAACGGAAATTGGATAGCATTGCTGATGTCGATGAGAAAAACGCCATTGGTAGTATTCAAGGTGATATTGTTGCTCAGTTGTTCGAGTTCTAGACATTATTTATTTAACTTTATTCGCTCTACAATCAGACTCTCTCGGCAATAGAGATGCAATCTCCAACAACACCCATGGCTGTAACGTCCGAGCCAGCGCCAGCGCCCTGGACAATAAGAGGGCGAGCGCCGTAACGTTGAGTGTGAAAGAGGAAGATGTTGTCAGAGCCCGAGAGGGAAGCGAGGGGGTGAGAAGCGGGGTAACTGTAGAAGAGAGTGAGATGAGAGCAGTGTGACGAGATTCAATCAAAAAGACCAGACTCACGTTTCCAAACCACACTTGACGGTGCCATCAGCGGTGTCGACAACGCCCACATACCTCAGCACGCTATTGGCATCGCTGGCTGTCTTCCTAAGAGACTCGTAATGAGCGTCGTGGTGCTTGAGGCCGGATAAGAACTGTTCCGGGGTTGTGTCACCATCGAGGCCAGGCGGAATGAGTGACTCGACATCCACACTGTGCACACCCTCCTCGAGACGGTTTTCCAGACCTGGTACGAGACGCGAGAGGATAGCGAGTTTGCGCGCTACGTCACTCCCACTCAAATCAGATGCCGGGTGGGGTTCAGTGTATCCCTGGTCGCGAGCATCAGAAACAAGCTTGGAGAAGAGGATATCGTCGTTGGTGCCTGGTTTCGAGAAGGTGTTGAAAAGATATGACATGGTGCCTGAGAGGACACCTTCGATTTTGGTTACTTTGTCGCCTGTCTTGAGGAGTGTCTCGAGAGTGGAAATAACTGGCAATCCAGCGCCCACTGTGCTCTCTTTGTATGCGTACGCACCACTAGCAGCGCTGGCGTCTCTAATGTGGTTGAAGAGACTGAGGGACGCGCTGAAACCGACTTTGTTGGGTGTAACAACGTGCACGCCGTGGGATAGAGCAACGGGGTAGAGACTGGCTACAGCATCGGATGAGGTGTTGTCGATGAAAATACATGGCTGGTGCTGCGATAACTGAGGAATTAACTCCTTCTCGATAGATTTAGGCGTGGCTTTGGACAAATCAGCTTTGGCGGAGTGAAAAGGAATGCCAGATGGATTGAAGTAAGTTGCCTTTGAATTTGAAATACTTATAAGCTTGAATTGACTGAGCTTGGACAGCTGCTCAAGCACACAACTACCAACACCGCCAGGGCCAATCAAAGCGACGTTGACTGTCTTCTGAGTTGATTGTGCTGCGTTGAATAAAACCATTTACAAGTTGATTGTTTGTGTGCAACGATGAATATTTTCACTTGTCACATTTTTTATTTTTTATTTGGGTATAAAACGGTTTTTTGAAGAATATTTTCTCTATTCTTAACAATCAAGTGAGTTTAATGAGGGCGACAAAGATGACATTAATTACCGGCGTATCACCATGACGATACTAATAAGGCTGTATTTTTAATACACTGAGTCGCCTGAGATATCTCAAGCACCCATACTAACACAATTGCTAGTGTAAGCAACACTCACTCATCAGTCACGTCCCCCTCGTGGATGACTCTACATCTACGCGATATCAAACTAGAGTCTCTGAGCCAAGTGCCTTGAGGTTATTGTGGATTTCTGAATAGAGGAAGATTTGACTGATTGGTTAAAATTCCTACTAACATTAATCTGTTAGACCTAGCAAACGCTTTTCTTACGCTTTCGGTAAGTCTTCTTGCCTCTAGAGCAGTCTCGGCAGCTACATGATGTCTTATCACGACGGTCTTCCGATACAGCTTGAGGAAATGGCCCGTACCAACCAACGCAATCTTCGGGCAAACCCCTCTGATACCTGCTTCACTGCTCTAGTGCATTCCTTCTTCATTTATTAACAACTCACTTCAGATCATTCTATAATACCTCTCTTTAGTTTATTCTATGACCATAATTTGTTCAATGCAATATAAATATACTTTATACAATTGTTTAGCTTGTGTATGCAGGTCTGCGTCAGTCACGACCTCTTTGCATGACGTGCACTCCTTCTTGGGTAATTGGCCCATTTCTCCGCACGACTTTGCGCTCGAAAGCCTTCATCATTTCTGCTGTTTGTGCTTTCTTCCAATGGATCATCACTAGAAAACGCCAACAAGTTTGCGTCTGCTCCCGACTTTCCGTCTTTGCTATCTTCCTCACTTTCACTAATGACAATGCTGTCGAGAGTCTTTTTCTTATGTGATTGGTCGTCTTCATCTTGTTTGTCATATTGGCCTTCCTCGAGTTGCTGACTCTTATGACTCGCACGACTCTTCCGGCTCTTATGACTCTTCTGACTCTTGTGACTCTGCTGATTCAATTCAACGTGCTCTTCAACCGCGTCATCTTGCTCCACTTGGACATCTTCTGCTGAATCCAGTCTTTCTACTCGCACTTCCCGCTCTGAACCTTCAGCTTGCGCTCCTGCATCAGCTCCAATGAGAGTTAAACTAATTTCATGCCCATTCGAATGGTGCTCTATCGCTTCGTTAACTCTCTCATCATCTACGTGCTCGCTGTGTTCACCATTTTCCTCGTACACCTCTTGCTCGCCGTTTGTCTGTTTATCTAATTGATATTTATATTGAGCTGGCTTAAATACTTGTTTCCATGATACTCTTCTCATTCCTTCCGCAGTCTCTTCATGCCTAGCCATAGTTTGACCAGGAGCATGTGCAAAAGTCTTCGATGGCAATACCATTCGAGTTGAAGACTTTGTCATACCTAAAGTATACTGTCAGACGGCTTCCACTGATTCCAACCTCTTCTCACCATTCAAGATCCCTCTAAAGTAATTGTTATGATGGGCCCTTCTTTTGTTTGCGCCTTGACCCCATAACCATCTTGCCATACTCTCCTTTACTCTTTCTGTTCTTAGCTGCAGATTTCTCTCAATTTCCTTCTTGATATAAACGTCTTGTATCTCTCTTTGTTCCTCCTTTGTCAATGCATCATTCTCCTGAGCGCGCTGTATATCGGCTTGAATCTGCTGTACGCGCTTAATCTCTTCTACTCTCCACTTCTCGCTTTCAATATCCAGATACATCTTTCTTTCATTCAAATACATCCTTCTTGCGGCTTTAAGTTCATTTTCACGTTCTCTTTCCTCCACTTTTTGTTTCTCAACCTCCAACTTGCGCTGCCTTTCTGCTTCAAATTCCTTTTCGCGACGCTCCTCTTCTGCTTTTTTCCTCTCTGTCTCCAAGTAACGCTGTCTTTCAGCTTCATATTCTTTCTCTCGCCGATTCTCTTCCTCTGTCCACGCTAGCTCGACTTTCTTTTCGTATTCTTTAAGTTTGCGCTGATACTCTTCATCCTCGTTAAGCTGTAAATCCTCTGTAGTCCTCTTGCGCTTGAGTGCGAATAGATTATCACTGTCATCTGTACGTCTCTTTCTACGCTTTAAAGATTTCTTGTCGTGGTGACTCGAGTTGTTGTTAGCTTTGTCGGGATGCACAGACTGAATTTGATGCTGACTGGCCATTAGGTCGGCTGGTATCTGTTCAAACGATTCAGCTTGTTTGGGATCCTGTACTTTGGAATTTTGTTTTGCTTCTAAAAACAGTGAACATTAATAGTATGAAGCGCTAAGACAATACTCACCATCTTTCAAGTCACTCCGTCTAGCCTTTCTTTCCGAATCAATGCGCTTTGTTGGCTCGCTCTTTCTTGTTTTTGCTGCTTCGCGTTTCGATAGCGTCTGTTTGGTTTCATCATCTGCGTTGTCATTTAGCTTCGCAGGAAGAAGGCTTCGTCTTGATTGACTGGCTAGTGGGACTCTATCATTAGACAGTACATCATGAAGCGTACGCCGTCTTCTCTCCTTATCAGCACGTTTATCGACATCTTCCTGCAATTTGTCCTCTGATTTTTTGCTTTTTTCAAATAACAATCCAATTCGTTCTTGTCGCATACTTTTGTCTTCATTGAGTTTTCGCATTTGCTTTTCTTCGTTCGGCTTTTGCTTTTGCTTCTCTTCAAGTGTTTGACGTTCTAATGCTTCAGCTGATCGCTTCTCTTCTTTCTCACGCTTTTTTGCGCGCCTTCGTTCTTTTTCCTCCTTAGCTTTCTCTTTCTCAATCCTCTTTCGCGCCTTCTCTTTTTCTTTCTCTTTAGCTTCCTCTCTTTCCTTCTCCTTAACTTCCTCTTTCTCTTTCTCCCAAGTTTCTTCTATTTCCCTTCGCCTAGTTTCCTCTTTTTCTTTCGCTTTAGCTTTTTCTTTCGCTCTAGCTCTATCTTCCTCTCTGGCTCTTTCTTCCTCCTTGATTTTCTCTTTATCTCGCCTCCTTCGCTTTTCTTTTTCCTTCTCGAGCAAAGCATTCAACCATTTCTTATTAACATGCTTATCTTGACTGCTAGCACTGGACTTGCGAGGGGAAATGATTGGCTTCACATCTTCCATATCTTCTGGGGTTGATAGACTTTTTGGGTAAGAGTTGAGTTGTAACGGATTGCTAACAGCTGTATTGCTTCTTTTCTCTCTCAGAAGTGATTCGATAGCATTATCATCATCAGCTTTACTCAGGATAAACTCCCATAGCGCCGGAAACCCACTAATGAAGAATTCGTCAACGGAATCAGGAAAACCTCTACACTCTTTCTGTACGAGCATACCGATAAGTTGAATCTTGAAAATCTCATCATCACGATTTCCAATCAAGACATTATCAGAAACACGATGTAGAACAAAGAAACGAAGGAGTTTTGGAGATTGGGATGAGTAATTGACTTCATAGCCACAGACAATAATTTGAACTTGGTGATTAGGGGAGAGACTACGTAAGATGTACCAGTTAGTGAGATTGACTTGATTTATCACGTAAACTGTTTGAGGTGGTGGTGGTACTAGCTGTGATAGATGCTGCTGCTGCTGTTGTTGTTGTTGTTGGTGGTGGTGTTGATGATCTGAACCGTTCGTTGGAGTTGTTGCAGGTGTGATTGGCTTATATGATAATCGATTAAGTGGTTTAGACGACGGCGGTGGCATAATATTAGCGGAATTTGAGATTGCATTTGAAGTATTCGCTGTATCATCTTGATATTTATTGATAAGCTTCGCGTCGTGGCTCTTTGATGGAAAATAAGAATTCAAAGGCAATTTAAAGATAATTGATAGTTAAACACACCTTTCCGTATGCAGTACCCTGCCATAGTTTTTCAAAAGCCTCGTTTATCGCAAATTCGTTCATCTCATTACGCGGTGGTGGGTGTATTGAAGAGAGAGAGAGGAATAAAAGATAAGAGACTTTCGAATCCCTGTGTACTGTTCACTGTTTATTTGGCACATTTTATATCCCTTGCACCGCTTGCACCCCTTGTAACATCTCTTATCACGTCACCCTTTGTGTGTGCACGTCCTCGTACCAAGCGTATTTTTCAGCGGTGACTAGTATTTTACTTGGAGACAGTTTCGAAAGTCCTTGAAAACTTTTCTGTCACTTAAACTGCACAGTCACAATTCAAGGGAACTGCCTTATATCTGACAAGTACAACTTGAATATAAACAGCTTTGATAGCTTGTTTGGTTGAGCTATATCCTCTGGCGCTTCAAATCAGTCAGAAGCAGCGCCAATCCAATAGCCCAGCCCAACCCAGCCCAGTTATACTGCCCAAGTCTTGGTTCAATTATGGCATATGCATCTGCAGATTCTTATAGATACCATCAATCAACTCCTACGTCCTCGTAAGTCGCGTTTGAGCATTACCAGCATTACCAGTTACTCAGCCTGTCATGGAATTCCTGATGCTGCAATGTGTTCATACCTTCAGCCTGGGTCCTGTATCTAACTATCAACAGACAGAGTAGTATTAAGATATATGTACCTAAAAGGATGCACAATATCACTCCAAATTGCCCTAGTGATTCTATGGATAAAAAATATAAATCCCGTAAGCCGATAGCCAAATCATTATCAAGTGTCTTCTGACTTTGCCCTTAATTTAGCTCTGAAATCTTTTAAAAAGCTTTCAAACATCTTCGATTCAAATACTCATCAACAAATCGACGTGTTTGCTCAATCCAATCAATCCAAAGCGTTATACCCAGATCATCTTAGAAGAGCGAAATCGCTCGACTCGAATCAAGCAAAAAAGAATAAAGTTATGTCTACTCAATCTAGAGTTCGAAATAGGCTACGCAAGTCTCCAAAAGAGCACGTTGAACAAGACCAAGACACGCGATACGATCGAGAAAAGTACTCTTCAAGTTCTGCCACGCGCAGCAGGTCTAAAGATCGTGTTAGCCGGCTTCTTTCAAGTAGAACTTCTTCTTCACCTGCTCCGCCCGTCCCCCAAATTCCCCAAAGCACTCATTCCTCTCATGATATTACACATAGCTTCACCACAATTTCACACCCCTCTGAAAAAGCTCAAGACACTACTCATCGTCATAGTTATCCACCCAAGATTGAAATACCCACCGTTTCACCTTTCTCAAAAACGTTAGAATTCGTACCACCAAACCAAAATTGGGATCAGTCGGAGGCATTCGACGTCCGCACAACGCAAAGAAAAGATCCTTACAAATCTCCTGCTGAGATGCTTGGCTTGAAAGTCGCTACTGAAAGTCCGACGACATTACCATGCTCGAGCCCCTCCACCCCTACCCAAAGTTACTTCAATCATCCAGTTGCTTCTCCACAAACACTTCACATGATCGCAGACGATAATCTCTTCTACGAAGCTTTGAAAGACTTCAGGAAAAGATCTATCGTCTTTGGTACTGCCGATAGTGACGTCGTTGCAAGTTTGTGTGGTAAAGGTGATGAGAAGTCGGTAGTTTCACCCACACCTTCGCCCACAGCCTCGACTTTCGATGAAGTTTCAGCTCGTGAAGACCAGATAATGTCCGATCCTGCGTGGAAGAGTGAGGTGAAGAGGCTTTTCATTATACGCGAGATTGCAAGTACAGAGAGGTCATACGCCAAGTATCTCACTCAGTTACTCGATGTGAGTTTTCAGTGCACACCTACATACCTGCACACCTCCTAACTAATTCAATCAGCTCATCAAGACATCATATCCATCATTCCAAACCCAACCAACAACGTCAATTCAAATCATAGACGAGAATGGAAGTAAAAATCCAGAAGAATCTTTCAAGCATATAAAACTTTTAGCAAAACACTTACCCGAGCTAATCGCACTTTCGAATCAACTTTCTCAGAGGATGGATGATGACCCTTCAGCCTATGGTGTTGCTGTGGCTTTCATTAGTTTGAAAACAGATCTAGAATCAGTCTTTGTCAACTGGAGCAGGGTATATCCTCACGTCTTAAATTCCATTATGAAGAACAAGTCATTGCGGGAGCAAATGGAGAAGAGAAATAAGAGGGGCAAATCAATGTCATTTGTTGAGACATCCAAAACTTCCAGCTCTGAACATATCCTCCAATCACCACATGAAACAGTCGAGAGCTATACAACCAACAAGAAAGGAAGGGTAAAGACAGAACCTACCAGGGCTACTAATGAGAAAGCCTTAACCAAGAAGAAAAAGCAGAAAGCTATTGAGGAAAGTTTGGAAAAACTGACGATGAATGAGAGTCAAGTACATCAGCGTTTGAGGCTAAATGACGTAGCGGTGATGCCATCTCAGAGGGTTACACGATATGTCTTGCTGTTGAAAGGTAAGTTAAGAATCATACAGACATTACATTGTAGTATTGACATGTTCTAGACCTGTCAAAACATACTCCTGAAACTGCATTGGCGCGTGGACTAATAGATGGGGCACTTAAGGGTGCGCAGAGCGTAGCTTATGAGTGTAACAAAATGAGCAGCAAGCTCAAATGCTGAGCATTAGGAACGAAAGTAACGACCAACCAAATTTCTTGAGATTATTTATCATCTACACTAATATTAAAGCAACTAATCAAATTTTCAATATAAAATCACACCAGAAACATTAATATTCTTGGATAACATTTCAATATCTTGTAATGCATAATAGAAAATTGGTATTTTTAAATATGTTTTGAAGGTTCTGTATTTTCAAGGCCCACCGCTTCCGGGCACTGGAATGTTAGCCGCCGTGCATCGACATTTGAAGGGCAACGTCGCATGCCTGTCATTTAAATATTAATCAAGAACCTTGATCAGCGAACACGAGGATGGATGAAATTACAATAGCTCATGCACTTTCCAACAGAATCTCCATTGATGTTGAACGGAGCCTGATACACCAGGAAATGATAACACCACCGCATTCGACGACATCGACCAATTTCAGCATCAACTCAAGAACGTCGGAGATACTACGTAGGAGACGCGCAGGACGTGTCTTACCTCCACAGAAACCAATACCAACTTGTCCTGTTCCACCCATACCATCGCATCCATATGCCAACTCAACCACGAGCAATTCATTCGCAGGCTCCTCACCTGCTTCTTCACCAAGACCTGATCATCACTCGCACACGCTAGGCGCACCGAGCGTGTCGTCTGCGCAATCCATCTTTTACATGCCCAACTTTGACGAATGGTCGATGAAGAGTCACCAACTCTCAAACATGAGCAACATGAGTGGACACCTTAGCAGTAATGAAAGCACGCATGAAGGCAGAGAATCGAGACAATCTTTCTCTAGATTCTCCAAGCGTAAATCGAAGGTCTTCTCAACGAGGATACGGAATTTCTTTAAGGAATAAATAGTTAAGAGTCGATAGTACAAGCATGCAGCGCAATACCAGTTATTATCTCAACATTTATTTATAGCATTACTGCTCGTCGTTCTTTTATCACACTGTCACTCAAAAATCTGCAGGCAGCATGTCTGTTTCACGCTCACTAGGTTTATTGATTCACTCCAACTTGTTTTATTACAGCCTCACCATCATGATTGTACAGATTATACATAACAACATTGAATGTTCAACGCACACTCCAATTGAGACATAAGAATATCACTTAAAATCACGTGCATAATTCCATTAAAGTCTGTGTATCACAGAGTGGAGTGTATTCAGCAAAATGTCAGCCTCTGCTTTACCGAAAATGAGCATAGGACGAAGTCTGACAGCGCGTTCACCGCAGCCGCCAATGTTTACACCTCTGGCTCTCATCTGTGACACAACCAAGTCCCTTTGTGCTGGTGTGGGCATATCGAACGAGATAAATGTGCCTTGTTTGAATCCTCTTGTGTTTTCAATTAGTGTATTCTCACTCAATGTCTTGAGCGATTTGTAAATATAATCGCCAACGTCTTCAGTATGCTTGACCAATCCGTGCTTGTCTATATATGAAATCATTTCGCGTGCTTGCAAAGCCCTGATTGGATCACCCATCCAGGTATTGAAATCTTTTCGAGTCAGTCACGCACATTATCAGAGCCACACTCACTTCTATATGGAAGAGATGGTCTCATTTCAAAGTTGTGATAAAATCCAGCAGCCTGAGCCTGGTATCGATGTCAGCTAGTCATTATGCGCAATCTGACACCCACCTTTTTGGAGAATGTGACCATGTCTGGCGGCGTTTCGAGTTGCCATTTATCGTGAGCCCAGAACGAGCCAGTAGCACCTGCTTCGGATTAGATAGTGAATGAACATCACCTCGCACCTACCAAATCCTGTTTGCACTTCATCGACGATCATGTAAACGCCTTCCTCCTTGGTAATCTCTCTCAATCCCTTAAAGAAATTGGCGGAAGCATGATTGTCGCCGCCCTCTGACTGTATTGGCTCGACAACTAAGGCTGCCACTGGCTTCTTGTGCTTGCTGGTGAAACATTAAAGAGTGTTATGTTTCCAATCAATGCACTCACTGTTCACGGATCGTCTGTTTGACCAGATCGAGAGACTTTGCCTCCGCTGCTTTGTTGTGGTCGATGTGATCTTCGTAAGGATATTTGACGCTCGGCCAAGCGACTTGCGGCCAGTCGAATGCAGGAACACCAACCTACTGCATGTGAGGGTGGAATACGTGATTAGCATATGTCCCACCTTATGAATTGCTTTCGAGCGTGTTGTTGATAAGGAACCAAACAATCTGCCGTGGAAAGCCGACTCGAAGGACAGAATGCAGTAATCAGGTGATCCTGGTGCAGCATTCTGCATGCAGCTCTTCAAATCTTCCTCGCTAAATCCAGATCCATGATGTCTATCGCGGTATGCCATAAATGCTGCCTTGTATGCTGATTCATTAGCACATGAGCCGCACATGGCAGTGAAAAGCTTTCAAAGGGTTATTCCACTGCTTTGTTTTCAAGTAGCTTAACATACCTGCTCTAAACCCTTAGGAGTCTTCTTGAGTAATCCATCTTCGAGGATCTGCTTCCAATTTGAAGGAGGGAAGTTGCCCAAGGCCGGTCTATTAATTGCAGCTGTAATGAATTCATCCTAGAAGATTTAAAAGTGGACTAAACTTGCTGTGGTCTGCTTACCGATTTAGCAAGCTCGATCAAAGAAGGATTGTTGTATCCAATTGCAATTGACGCTGGGTTTGTTAGAATGAGGCAGTAATATCCCATAAAGCACACCTATCTGTTCGGATATTAGTACTCGAATGACATCAGTCTACCAACTCACCTGAGCAAATGCGTCGAGAAGCGTATTGCCGTCAGCGTCGACGATATAATTTCCAGAGCTTTTGCTGTAGTCTTTACAGCGTCAGCAATGAAAAGAACCGCCAAAACACTCACCAACTGCAAATTGATGTGACCTATCCTCTTGATATTGAGAAATACCCTTGGAAATGGACTGAGATAATGGCCCTGGAAACGATGCTGTTTTAATCTCCGGCTTGAGAGTTTGAAATTGTCGAAGCAGTCTTGTACACCTCATAGTTTAGAACACACCTTGCCCAATCAGCCCACTCACATTATCAAACATCGGTTAGCCCAATCTTCGGCTACAGCTTTACGATTAAGTTGTTTAGATTGAGAATTAAAATTAATTTTCTATTACAAATGCAGTCTGTCCTATTATTCCCTACTTGGCACTGATCGTTGCTCTGGCTTGTGCCAATGCTTCGATTGCTTTATCAGCCCTGATCGAAACGATACGCATGTCGGCTTCAGCTTTAGCCTTGTCAAATATTCTACCAAGCTGTGGAAAGAATGGCTTGACGTGTTGAGGAATACGTTGCAGGAATATGGTAAGAGTATCAAGAATTGCTGATTTGATTGTTGAAGCAACCTTCTCACCCTTTGCTCAAATGTAAGCGTATTTCTTTTAAAAACTTATGGCTAGACTCACCTGTATTCTAATAAGAGGTCCGGTCAATTGAATAACAAATGGTTTGATGTTAACCTCATCTGTCCTTTCAATCACATGTCCGATTGCATACGCAGCATTTTCACGTTGCTTTTATTTTGTAAGTACGTGTGTGGTTTAAGTAGCCAACTCTTACCTCAACATTTCCAGTAAGCAAACCTGCCAAGAGCATTGGAACAAGTGGCGCAATACCCTTTGGACGGCTAAATCCTGCCACAATCTTTCCAAATGAACCAAGACTTTCAAGTGATGATCTAAGTGGAACAGCAGTTTCATCAAGTTCATCCTTTGGTATTGATTTGACGAGAGCATCGAGAGATTCTCTTGCGCTCTCAATTACCTCTTCAACTGGATCGTCCATGGCGCCAATTAATTGTCTGAGCCAATCATATCTGTAATATTCAAAGTCCTCCTCTGTAGATTGGGCGAACATCGTAAACATCTTGTTACCCGATACTCTTCTCGTTGGCTCGACATCCTTGGCCCATCCAATCAAAGTCATCATGATCACATTGAGACCTTCTATACCTTCCACGACGTTAAATAGACTAAACAACGCCTTTTCGATTGACTCTCTTGTCTCATCATCAGGCTTTCCTTCTAATGCCACGACGTAGGCGCGCAAAATATCGGTAATTTGTTCATTGACAGCATCACCAGCGACCTTAACGAGTTGCTCCAAAGCATCGGCTTTGAAGGTTGTGATTGGGTTCGATATGAGTTTAGGTACCAGTATTGGGAACACAGCGGCTGCTCTGACTGTCATAACTTCCTTCAATGCCTCCAATGCAGCGACTGCTGACTGAGTGTTTGATGAAAGGGCATCAACAAGCGTTGGAATAGTCTCATCAATAGCAGCACCACCAATATGAAGCTGCATAGCATCAAAGGCTCTGGCAGCTGCTCCTCTAACTCTCTTGTCGTCGTCAACGAGACACTTGCGCACGGATGAAATGATGATATTGTGATGACCTTCAATCTTTTCGCTTTCGACATTCTTGAGCAATTCGGCGAACGCAATACACACACCCTGTCTATGTTGAGCAGAAGCTGCATCCACTCCTGAGTGCAACGTTGGAATAACATCTTGCAAGATCTTTTCACCGAGTTTTCTACCAATTTCACCCAATGTTCTTGCAGCAGTTTCCCGCATCTCAATTGAATCACTAGCAAGAATTGTGACAATCTTTTCGATAAGTGTTGGCATAATTTCTCTGACAGTTCTTGGAGTGTTTGGTACCAACGCCTTCCAGATTTGCACTGTAGCAACTCTGACAGGGTGTGCTTGATCAGAACGCGAGAGATAGATAGCTGAAAGAATCTGGTTACGTCTTTCAACGCCAAGAATCTCAACCAATTGATTCTTGGCTGTTTCAGTCCGACCATATGTATCATCTCCACCTTCTTCGTCTTCTCCGCCTTCACCTTCGCCATCATCAACTTCAATCTTGCTAGAGATACCTGTGATTCTGAACAGGAGATCACCCATGAGTTGTGCAGAAGAGAGTCTGATTCTCCAACTCTCATCGAACAATCCACGTTCAAGTTCTGGCAAGAGAAGATCAACAGCCTTGTTAGAGTAGTTGGCGATAATCATTCTGGTAGCTCTCATAGACGCTTCTCTAACATACTCCGACTCATCAGCAATACCACTCAAAATTGGCTGAACAATTCTGCCGAGATGAACAGTGAATCTGTGGCCAAACGTTGTTGGTAAATAGATGAGCAAACTGATTGCACCTTCTCTGACATATGGACGTGCGTGCTTGGTGTCTTCGAGGAATGAAGGCAACAGTGACTCCATCTTCTCCATACCGAGACCACTCAAGACTTCTGCCAAACCTTGAGCAGCACCTTGTCTATCTACACCTGAAGTATCTGATCTGACCATGCTAATCAAGCTTGGAATCATATTAGGGAAGTTTTTCTCTCCTAATCTTTCAATCAAGCTACCCAAAGTTTTAGCAGCAGTTGCGCGAGCCTCTGGGACAGGATCGACGAGAACGTTGTGTACATGTTCAAGAAGAACCTTCATATATGGCAAGAAGTCCTTTGTTTCAGTCAATGAGGCCAAGTTACCAATAATTTGAGTAGATTTTCTCTTCATTTCAGTAGAACGTTCGCGTAAACCTCTTTCAATGATTGGTATGATAAGAGCAAGGGAAGGTCCGTCAATGTAGTGAACAAAGTCCGTGTTGAGAAGCGTAGTCAAAGCAGTTGCCGTCTTGGCAGTTGGATCGACAAGTGCCTTGATCAATACTGAGGACATAGCCTTGATTTCTGGGTTGTTGATGACCTCACCGAATTGCTTTAATGCTGCATTGGCCGCTGAGCGTACTTGCGAGTGAGTATCAGTGAGTACTTCGGCTATCTGAGGGATAATTGTTGGGAGAGACACCGATAGTTGCTTTGCAGACATGAAAGCCATAGCACCAAGCAGTTCAATCGATCCCTTCTTTGTCCTCCATTGTTTCTCTTCCAAACCTTCAAGAAGTGATGGTAAGATGACCTTGACGCAGTAACCCTGATTATTGTCAATTACGTGCAAGTGTTATATTAAGGCTAACTTACGCTAAGCTTACTCATGATAACTTTGGCAGCATCCTGAGTAGCTTCACGAACGTCTGGAATTGAGTCACCAAACGATGTAAGCAAGATAGGCATCAAAGTTGGAATCCAAGGTTCAAATAGGCGATCAAGAGTTGCTGAGAGAGTTTCAAATGCAAACAAAGCACCTTGTCTCGCTTGCATATTTTTCTTATCTTCAGCAGACTTCTTCAGAGTGCGCATAATATCGAATTGCTTGAACGAGCTCAGGCCAACGCCTTTAACAACACCAGCCAAACCATAAGCAGCACCTCTTCTTGCAGCGTATTTATCAGCATCGATGAGTTCATCAAGGAGATATTTCACCAATGAGTCTCTCTGCTCCGTTCTAGCCTGCACCAGCGGTGGTAAACAATCTGCTACTGCAGATTGAACCAGTTCAGATGGTGTTTTCAAAGCTTCAATCAGTCTATCAATAACAATTGGAACTCGCTCATCACTTGGTTCAAGATGTCTAGCCAATCTACCGAAGAAAATTACAACTGCCTCGAATACCATATCTTGCGTTTCAGTTGTAGATGTTTGCTTAAGGGTACTTTCAAACATCTCAATGAGTGGTTGAAGAGCTTCCTTGCCCTTGATATCAATAACTGTGATACCAGCTTCTAGCATCTCTCGACGAACACTAGGATGGGCATCTCCGAGAGCTTCCCCTTTAGTCATAAAGTCGAAGAGACCAACGATCTCCTTCTCGTCGAAAGACGATGAGAGACTGAGTAAAGACCCAGCAATTGCGTTTCTCGTTTCCCAAGGGTCCGTCCTATCAATAGTTTCAGGAATAATCATGCCATATTCATCATATTCTGGAGCGAGCGGCTTAGCTCTCTCGTAGTATAGCTCCTGCAATGCCTGCTGCGTTGAAGAAACCTGAGCAGGGTAGTTTTCTACAGCCCCAGTGAGTGCCTTAGCAGATGAGAATCTGACGTATATATTCTCGTGATCGAGGTAAGGGATAAGTGTTGCAAGGAATGTTTCAGGAACATCTAAACCATTATCGTCCCAGAGATGGTTAGCTAGTGCTGCATTTTGCTCATCATCATCATGACAAGCGAGCCAAAGCTCAGATGGGAATTCAATATCAGTGATATCGATTGGCTGTGAAGTTGTTAGCAAGCATCAATAAAACCTCTCTACCAACTTACCTGTAAAGCCTGTAAGCATGATGAGCGAACATAAATTTCATCCGCGAGAGTGCCTTGAATCAATTTAGTAGACTCATCATACGTAGCATTATCGCGGAGAGATTCGCCAAGATTTACGAGCGTGCTAGATGCGTCTTTGGAATGTTTGGTGTATGATCCAATAGCTTTGAGGAGGACTCTAATGATAGCTGAGCGAGGATAGTTCACATCACTCATTACAGCACTATGGGTCGAAAGCAGTCCCAATGACAAAGTCAGCTGCTCTTCTAGACCATCGTGATCTTCTCTAGAAATACCAACGCCTGTTTCGAAAACGACCTTGTCGATCAATGGCATCAGGAAACCCAATGTAGTGGCGTCTAGTAGGCTATTGTCGCTAATGCTCTTGACACGCAGAAGGATGCGAGCTACCAATTCACCCAAATTCTCAACCAAGTATTCTTGAGGAATAAATGGGATGTTGTATGCGCGCAGTGTGGCGTAGGCGATTGAATGTTTTGTGACACCTAGTCTTTCAGCACAACAATCAGCAAGAGTCTGCTTTCATGTTAGATGAGATGAGAGCAAAGCGACAGACTCACCAAGTAAGCGTCCACAGCGTCATGTTCAACAAGCATACCGCCTTTGAGAAGTGCACCTTTGAGCAGTACGAGAACCAACTCATAGACAAATGGCTTCAACTCATCAACACGAGCGGCAGAAATGGCTTTAACAGACATAAGACCAATGCGAAGTTTTTCGTAGACATCTTGAACGTGATTTCTGACGCCCTTCTCCTTCTCAAGTTGGGCATCAACAGCAGCTTTATCCTTTGGTGAAAGCTTCTGAGTGGTCTTCTTTTTAGCTGCTATTGACTCTCTTATTTCATTCTCCCATTGCTCAATAGCGTAACCCTTTCTATTCTTATCTTGAGATTGGGTAGACTTTGATGCAAGGACGTCCACAAATGGTACTCCCTCCGGCATTCTCCACATACCGATGGAAAGATTATCAATAAAGTGCAAAGATTTTGGATCTAGATCATGCTTAATTTGCTCAACAGCCATTGGCACAATGAGCGAAGGTGCGACAAAGGTGAGTGTAGTGAGAGCTCTAGAAGCAGCTTGGGCAGTCTTTGGTGATGCCGAGCTAGACTTGACAACGTCAAACAATGCCTGAGCGCGTTCGCTGACAAGTCCACGCGCATCAACTTGAGCATGTTGAGCCAACTCGATCCAGGTACCGCGATTGACGCCATCGACAAAGGTGTGGTGTGCTATCAAGATTGACTTGGCAACAGCCTCTTGACGGTCAGAGAGGTCAGCAGAACTTGATACTGATGAGACAAGCGCCGGACCCGCAACTCTATTCGTAGCTGCTCCAGATTCGATACAAGCTGTGATCGCATTGATCATAAAGTCAGAAGTACGTGGAGTAGATTTCTCAGAAAGTGTGCGAATGCTTTCTTGCGTCTCCCTACGAGTCTCGCTGTTGGATGAACTTATTATGAGATGTAACAACGCTTGACCAATAGAAGTTGACAGCTCCTTATTGAAAGACACAGTGTCATCTGCTGCAACAGCTTCAAGTGACCTTCTGAACCACAATTCCTCATGATACGTTGTTAATTTCCTGTAAATCTTGTCGTTGAGAAGGAAGGATGGCTTGCTGCCGAGAGCCGTAACAGACCTCATGTTTTGACTCTGAATGAACTCTTCAACGACTGCCGATCTACCTTCAAGACCGGCTACATGGGACATGGTGGCGACAACAATGTATCCCACGAGAGCTCCAGCTGGTGCAGTAAGAGCGCTTGCGGAGACAGTCTTGAGCTCTGCGTCGAATGCAGGGAGAACAGTTTTGACAAATGGCTCGAGTTTGCCCAAGTCATTGACAGACCAAATTACATCACCTACACAAACACCAGTCGCACGCTTGACCACTGGCTTAGTTGATCCCAGACCGCTAACAAGGGGAGTGAGTGCGGATGCAGAAACGCCTCCATGGGCGACTGCATAAGCCAAATGAGGTGCAAGTGCGCTAGTTAGTGACTGCATCGCTGTGTCGTTGTTTTCTTTTGCGATAAGCGATGGGAGCGTTTCCGCGATCGACTGAGAGATATTATCACCAGTAGGAACGTAGCTTAGAAGAGTGAATAAGGTAGCGCGGTGCTCTGCCGATGCCGCTTTACCCATCTTTGGAACATTGACGATCTCATTAGCGAAAGGTGTCCAATCAAATTTCCTCTCGAAGACTTGGTTTGCCTTGACAACTGTCTGTACGAACAATGGACCGATTGATCTAACATCGGGATTTTGGTTTTTGGTAACAGAAACCAAAGCATTAATGAAACGGGTGATGATGCCATCAAGATCACCGCTGTACTTGGAGAGTATGGAGATCATCAATTGAAGAGTACCGTCTGGTGAGCGCAACAGCATCTTCTCAACAACTGGGAGAATATCCTTCTCCAACTCATCTTTTCCTATAAAGTTGCCAATGAAATCGAGCAGGGCATCTCTATGGCGACAGGGCACTTGAGTCTTTGATGCAACAATCATGTTGACAAAGAAGTTTTTGATATCAACCTTCCTTTGATCGACGTAAGACCAGCCAACGCCACCTTTGAGACCTTTGTCAGTCTCAGATTTAGCTCTTAGACGCAAAGCAACATCAATGGCAGTACCGAGAAGCGGAGCGTGGGAGATGCTGGGCTGGCTCAGAATGAGAGATAAGATTGAGGGAATAGTAGAGTGATGTTGGCGGATGAGTCTGCGGGTCAAAACCAAGGCAGAGAGAGATAGTGAGGGCTTAACTAAATGGCTATCCCTAAAAGAGAGCTGTAAATCGAGTGATCTGGATAAAAGATTGATAGAAGATGACGAAATAGCGCCGTCTGAGTCAATTTGAGCGTGTATGAGTGCAACAGACTGATGAAACAACGTGTGAGCGTTTGTAGCATATGCAGAAGTCTTTGAAAGTCTGTTGTGCTCCTCAGACTGCCAATTCATGGCGTATTCGATAGATTGGTTGAACTGGGTAAACAGCTTTGGCAGGAAGATGAAGTATTCGTATCTGAATTTTTGAAGAGAAAGAGAGGAAGCGCTGTATAGACCAAGGAGGTCATCCAGGCATTCATAAAGGACATTCCCATCCACTGAAATATCGTCAGCACCGTAGCCATAGCCATAGCCACAACGTACAACGCTTCAAACGAGAATCAAATTCGTATAAGCTATTCAAAGCCACATTAAGCTTAGCTGATCTGACAGAACCTATAAATTGAGTTATGAATTCCTCATCGTTGAGAAACACTTGGTGATCGTCTCCATCTCCATCGCCCAAAGGAATCTCAGCACTCCAATTTGCAATTTTAGACATTTTATCGTCTTCAAATTTATTGGATTTATCGAGTTTTTTTAGTTTTGTTGAGTTAATCGTGTTGGTCCTTCTGGTGGTTGCAGTGGCAGTCGCATAGCAGTCATAGTGATTCACCCAAATCAAATCAGAAAACAAAAAATTTCATTCAGTTCTAATATTTTACAAAGCACAGTAACCACCGTCTGATTGTTGTTAGTTGGTGTCCAATTGATCACGTTACACTCACCAACGAGTACGTCCGTTCCTGTTACAAAGTTCGATGCTGGCGAGAGAAGCCAGACTGCTGCTCCGTTGAGATCTGTAACGTGTCCCATTCTACCCATTGGTGTTCTCTCGTACCATGTCTTCTTAAGGTTTGGATCAAATTTGTCTGTAATCGCAGTGTTCATATATCCTGGAGAGATGGTGTTTACGCGAATCTTATAAATAATTTTGTTTAGCTGCCCGTCAGACCACCTTCAAACAAAACACTCACGTTGTGTGGTGCCCATTCACATGCAAGTGACTTGGCAAGGTGAATAACTGCTGCTTTAGATGCATTGTATGCACATTGTGGTTGTGGGTAGTTGACTATGTTGCCTGACATTGATCCAATGAATACCATTGAGCATGGTCTCTTGTTTTGGATTTGTATGTTGGCGATAGCCTGAGCCACGAAGAATGTACCATTCAAGTTAATGTCCATAACGCGTCTGAAACGGTCAGCTGGGTAGTCCTATAATCCTTATCAGCATTGATGCTGAAAAGTATGCTAATTTTCTCACCTCAGCAGCAATCTGTGCGCGTTAGTTGGTTGATAAGGGATATATAAAGTTCACCTACGTTGTCAGCAACACCAGCTGAAGTGAGAAGAATGTCAACACCGCCGTAGTCTCTAACAACACCATCTGCGGTAAATGAAAAATTAGCAGTGTTTTTGCACCTATAAAAACCCGACCCACCAACGGCGCTTATGACGGCCTTTTCGTCTCTAACGTCTAATTGGTAGAAAGATCTACTTGACGTCAGCAGTCGCCAATACTTTACTCCACACTTACGCGCTGACATTTGGGAAAGAAGAGTGTAATTCCTTGACAGCAGAGTCACCCCTTCTGCGAGTTAGAGGCTGGTGAGCTATATACACCCACACTCACCACTCTGAGAGAATATCGAAGATACCTGATTTGGTGAGCTTCGAGCTGGCGAACCCCACAGCCAGAACTCACCAACTGAAGTACACCCAGCTTCGCAGAATGCGCGCGTCATCTCGAATCCAAGACCCCTGGCACCACCAGTGACAATTGCCGTCTTTCCGGTAAGCCTGGGATCCGTGAGCCATAACGCCATATCCAACGACGCCGACTCACTCAAACTTTTGCAGCGTGTTGAGCTGAGTCGATTGCGCGACGAGTGGGTTTTCGCTAACAGACATGATGTTTTTTAACTTTTACCGTAGCTGATGGGTGTAGAGGAGAAAGCAATGTACTTGCAACCGAGGTACCATACTCCAAATTCAAAAGTGACGTTGAGCTCAATGCGAGTGCATTTCTCAGCACGCGCAAAACACATTAACTCATTTCACTTACATTTTTCTCTTATAGCTCATGCTAATGCGTCTATGACGTAACTCTTATTCTTACTTTGGTGTGAAGGCGCGAAGATTGCTCTTTTGCAAGTAAATCTATCCTTCAACGGTTTTTCATAGCGCAATTTTTCTAACCTTGTTGGTGTCGCTCCTCCGCCTCAAGTAATCTATTTACGTAATCGGCTCGGTCTGCGTGCGATGCCAGCGCTGCCTGCTAATTGTGCGCTTACGTTTGTAAGTAGTAGAAAATAAACATCTTTGTAAATCTATGAATCTATGTCTATGTATACTCTGCATACTCTGCTTAAATTAAGTGTATACATGCAAACCATTCATCCATGGCTCGTAGCGGACTCTCTGGTACTTGCGAGCCAGTGCCCAGCCTTCGTAGTCCTCTCTAAACTGCTTCTCCTTAGCGATGCGCTCCTGCTGCAGCTCCTCCTCCGATTTCTCCTTGCGCTCGCTTTCCTTAACCTCTCTCGAAGCCTGTTGGCGCGTTTTTTTGAGTTTGTCTACCAGATTGTCATAATACTCCTTTCTCCTCCTAGCAATCCCCTTTGGTACATCTTCAAAAGTCTTCTTGATTTTCTCTTCGGACTCTACATCGAATCCGCAGAGTGTACCTCCCTGTGCTTTGTACTCGAGTGTTTGAGGCTGCTTCCATGGCTCATCATAGCTGACCATCTCCGCTTCCTCGTCTGAATATGGTGGTTCGACCTGCTTGACGTTTGCATCTATGAGCTTCATAACCGCCTCACACCCCACACTGGCGCTCTTGCGGTGATTGAAGAAGCCTGCAACCATCTCTGGGATCTTTGCAAACCCAACAAGCTCATAGAATGGCACGAGAAGCACCGGTGCTTGTGGGGGGATAACTGACGGTGCAGATGTCAAATACTTGGCGACTCCTGTGGCTGAGCCAGACACTGGAATGCTAATTTCTGGGATAATCGTCTCCAGCTCCGCATACTCCTTGAGGGTATCTTCATCACCCGGCTTTGGGAGAGCAGGAATGATGGAGGACAATTCCGCGAGCAAGTCGCGCGAAATTACACCAGACTTCCAGCCCTGCGCGAGCCCAGCGAGGTATTCCTTCACTGTGTTTCTACCTATGAGGACAACGCCGCCTTCTCTATCGCGCTCGCTCTGCGCAGCTATCGGAGTGAGCGATGGCGCCTCTAGACCCATAGCTTCTCTACGTTGAGCCTGCGTGCGTTCTCTGAGTGTCGTCGCGAGAGCACCGTGCTTGTGGCCCTTCTCTACGACGAAATCTATAGCTGCTGCATTCAACACAGGCTTCATGTACTGTTTGAAGAATTTTGCACCTGTTGGCTCGTCGTATTCGGGATACAGCGCTGCGTAGATGTGCACTCGACGCGGGAGCTGCGACGGCCCGCCCATCGCTTCTTGCGAGAGGTGATGCACCTTGTCCATGTGCTCCTGCATTATCCTCTTGGTCTCTCTCCTGTCGTACGCATATAGCGCCGTCGTCGAACCCGTCAATCCTAGGAATATGCACCAATTCCTCGATGGCAGCCGCGGCTTCCAATTGATCACTGACTCTGGCACACCAACAAACGTCAGTATGCGGAGACTCTTGGGGACTCATTTTAGTTGTGCGTCACGCTTATCCGCGTCTTTACTCACTTCGCGAAATTTGGACATTGGTGAGTGGGCGAAAGAGAAGACAAATCGGTAACGTATAAATACATTTCATTAAATAGCGTGTAGTGTGCTCATGTTACAACTGTGCGCTGGCTCTGTTCACCGATACCAGTACCGGTCAAGCTCTTCTCTAATAGCAGACACCTTGAGTGCTTGCTGAGTTTCCACGGTGAAAGTGTCAGGCTGAGTGTGCCTGTCAGCAGGTCAGAAGAGGCCTACCAAACGAAATTAAACCCACGCTCCAGCTGTGTTTTTGAACGGTACAAACCACACCCACCAGCCAAACAACCCGGCGCGACCATCCCACCCCAAGACATCCATAAAGTTATTTAAACACCCGCGATCGAATATATTGACCAGAGCGAGCTGCGTCAGTTTACTTCTCTCCCATCCACTAAGAGAGGTGGACGGTGGTGGCGGTGGCAGAATGGCGCTATCGGGTGATGTAGTTGGTGCTGTATATCGCGGACTGTGACTGCGGTGTGCCCGATCCGTCTCTAATGCCTCTATAGTTGTTTTGTTACGCCCTACAAGCGTGCAGTGCCAGATCCAAAAACCTAAGAGCGCTAATCCCAGCGTACACGTCTCTACGGCCGCAAAAGCCCACTCGATCTGTGCGTACCAAGGATCTATTGTCATGTTGAGCTTGATGGAGCGTACGAGAGTGTATACTGTCATTGCGAAAGCATACAAGCAGAGAACTGCTGCGTAGAAGAGTAATAGAAGGAAATACTTGTAATTGTAAAAGCCGACGCAGCGATTGAGCACTATTTATAGTGTTAGCTGTTGATTTAGCTGTACGATCCTCGCTTCACTCACACCACGGACAATGATGATCCATTTTGTACACACATCTGCTGCATGATGAGCAGTGGTGTGTACGATCTGATGTGACTGTGTTATTCAAACTGAAAAGCCCATAAGAAACTCGCCCACCTGGCTTGAACAGCCTGCATTTCCGGCAGAATCTCCTTGAGCCGTCTGACTTGCGCTCCCATTCGTGCACACGGGATTCTGCAACGTTGGAGGAAACATAACCAGGCTCAACTACACAAGCCCTGTAATAGCTGATAAAGAAGCATAGCAGGAATAAGACGTAGAAGCCGTTGTGAGTGAAATGCAGATGGAGTGTATGAAACGCGTGCGAGGTGAATATAACTAGCAATACAACTACAGCTGATAATCCATATTTGCGTACCGCGTCAAGCATCTCATGTGCCTTGAAGGTGGTGGTACTGGTGAGAGATATAAAAACACAGTCAAGGCTTGGATGTTCTTATCTAGAGCTCACATACGCCTCCCCATATCGGATTCAAATCCCCTTTGCCGCTTCTCACTTCTCTCGGCCAAGAATGCATGCTAGTTGGGTGAATCTCTATTCATTCCAAAGATCGAATCTCAATCACCGATATTTAGTCAAGCTTCTTTACCTGCACCAAACCGGCAAAATTATTATCAATGGTACAGCTACACACAGTGAACCGACCAGACCACCAACAGTCCGAGACAGCGGCAGTGACAAACGCGCTGTCTCAACTAAAGAACGATTCCACAGCGACTATTCCAATTGAAGATGAAAACAAATACCTCGTTGAATTCTCAGAGAATGACTCAGAGAATCCGAAGAATTGGTCCCAAGTGAAAAAGTGGACCGTCGTATTTGCAATCACTCTCATAAACATTTGCACAGGCTTGGCGATGACTGTATATGCCAGTATTGGTGATACTATGATGAGGGACACTGGTGCTACTCACCTCGAATACATATCAGGAATGACCACTGTGCGTTTACTCAAACATCATGACGCGCTCTGACAAGTAACAGTTCATGCTTTCTGTCGCTTTCTTACCTCTCATACTCTCCCCAATGAGTGAGAGCTTTGGCAGGAGAAAGATATACCTCGTCACAACATCTCTTCACGCGCTGCTCTTCCTGCCGCAAATTTTAGTGAAAAATATAGCTGTTATCGTCGTGATGAGGTTGTTACAAGGGTGAGCGGTGGTTATGATAGTATGAAATAAGCTAATAACGAAAAGTGGCTGTAGCTCTGTTGGTAATACACTTGTTGGCGGTAGCATCGCAGACATGTTCAACGCCAGTGAAAGAGGATTACCAATGGCTGTGTTTTCACTGTGAGCTAATCTTATGTCTTAATATTGACACTGACTCTTGTAATAGATTTGCTATTGGCACCCAAGGTGTCGGTCCATCTTGGAGTGGCTACGCTCAGATTAATTTAGACGGTATCAGAGGGCTTGGTGGATGGCAGTGGGCTCTCTGGATAACTGTGAGTTATTATCGCAAGCATATGCATCTTTGAAAGTAGTCTAAATTAACTGAAACAATTAGTTCATCATCAATTGCATCTCGTCGATTATAAACATACTCGTATTAAAGGAGACGAGAGCCAATGTTATTATCGAAAGGCGTGCTCATGCTGTGAGTAACTCAGTCCCACATCTGGTCAAATCTCACAAACCACAGCTCAAAACGAGAACAGGATTGCCATACTATGCAACAGGAACGGTTAAATTCACTGCCAAAGACATCACCATGTCCCTTAAACGCTCGTTCCAGCTCTTTATCGAGCCAATCGTCTTCGCGCTCTCACTCTGGTGCGGTTTTCTCTGGGGTGTAGTGTACTTGTGAGTTTATGAGCGGCTTTTCACCCCAACTTAATAGCATTCAGAATACTGGCAGCCATTCCATCTACTTTCGAAGCTGCCTACGGATTCAACCCAGGTCAATCACATCTCGTTTTAATATCGATAACGATAGGTTCAGTCATTGGATTCCTAAGCAACTTTCACCAACAGTCCTTGTATCGTCGCAGAGCTGCTAGGAGCGTGAACAACAAGTGTAATCCTGAAGTACGCCTTTACTGGACTTGTGCAGGTGGCTTGCTCTTCTCCTTTGGTTGTTTAATCATGGCGTGGACGACACGTAACGAGGTTCAATTTGTCATTCCTTGCCTTTTTGGCTTAGTGATGCTGATCTGGGGTATTTATGTCGTCTATACCGCACTTTTCAACTACCTCAGCGACTGTTATGAGACATACGCAAGTTCTGCTCAAGTTAGTGTTACAATAGCATTTTATATTCCTAGGCTAACTCTTCAAAGGCGTCAACGTCTGCATTTAGAAACTTTTTAGGTGCAATTTTTCCTCTGTTCAGTATGAAAATGGTACGTACTAATACACTAATTCTGCTCGCTTTTTGTTAACGCCAGCTCAGTATGAAGAAATGACTGCTCCGTGGGCATCCACATTGATAGGTTTGATCGGACTTGCCCTCTCGATCATTCCCTTCCTGCTTATCATGAGTACGGACAGTTACAATCCCACCATGTACAAACTGACACCATCCCAGATGGTCCTGCTATTCGCTCAAAATCTAAAATAGCCAGCCAGCTTGCAAAAAGTGAAGAAAGAGAAGCTGTCCATCCGACTCTTAAGAGCGTACCTACTTTGAACAAAGTTTGAAGTCCATCATCATAGACCAACCCTGGATACCATCTAGAATCTCTCTAGCTCCTTGAAACATTACGAATAAATTATTTTGTGCATGATACATAATTATACATTATCTATTGGAAGTCAATCTTGCGTGCCTAAGTCGATTAGTTAAGTTGTAAGTTTCAGTTTGCAATCAAGATTTTCGCTCACAACTTTCCTGAGGTCGGGCTTATGATCCTGCTCGCCATCAGCTTTGCGCTTGTTATTGCCTTGCCCTGTGACGGCGTCAGGAGGGAGAGCTCTCGGCTCCAACTCTTTCAGTGGCTTGGGCAATAGTGGCGGGGGTGTTGGTTTAGGCTGATTGGAGAAATAAGGAAGTCTGAGAGCCTGCGAGGGTGCGTCAGTGTGCCTCAAGTAGTTCAAGTAAAAGTTAAGACATACACTACCAGCACTTATCCGTTCATGAGGATTGTAATGCAGACACTTTCCAAGCAACTCAATAGCGTCATTTCCAGCTGCACTGAAGAGATCCTCCAATGGTTGCTTAGGGTAATCCTGAAATTTGATGTAAGACGGTAGGGATGTGTGTCCCTGCATAGAATTGAGCGTCAGATGTAGCAAGTGAAAATGACAAACGCACAGGCCATTCAGACTCTTTAGGTGTACCCAATGCTCTGAATATTGTATTCAGCTGCTCTATATCGTTCTCGCCGGGTAAATAGGGCGTTCTAAGCAGCAATTCGGCAAAAATGCAACCAACGCTCCAAATATCGACTGCTGAGGAGTATGCTCTAGCACCAAACAGCAGTTCAGGAGGTCTATACCACCTCGTAATAACTTGGCAGGTCATTTTCATGCCGGGATCGGCAACGTCCCTTGCCAGACCAAAATCGGCAACTTTGAGGATGCCCTTATCGTTTATTAGGAGGTTGTTAGGTTTAAGATCCTATGCAGGGCTTAGAGACGCGTATAAAAAGAAGTAGACTAACTCTATGAAGAATGAAGTTACGGTGACACCAATCGACACCTCTGAGGGTCATGGCCATCCAAGATTTGATATCACCTGGTCTAAAGATAAGCGAGCGATCTTTGATAATAAGCTCGAGATCAGTGGTAAGAAATTCGAGGACAAGATTGAGGTTTTGTTTCGCAGAGAAGACGTCGAGCATCTACAGCGACTTAGATTGCGTCATTAGGTTTTGATAGCTGTATATACACACCTCTATCACGTTCTCGTGCTTGAGCTCCTGCAGGAACTTAACTTCACGGATAGCTGACATATCGAGACCGTCTTTGAACTGGCCGATTTTGATCTAACGCGGCGTGAGGAGAGCGTGTAGATATAAGAATTTAAACACCTTCTTTATAGCCACCATTCTCCCCGTTTCAACGCAATGCCCTTGGTAGACGGACGCATACTGGAATGCGGAGATAAGGAATGCGGCGGGAGATGGCACAGCGCACTCACAGTACCTTCACCGACTTTCCTCTCTTTGGAGTATCGCTTCATAATGGCGGTGTTCAGCTGCTCCATTTGGTTTGTTGGTGGTGGCAGTGGCAGTCACGGAGCAAGAAAGATTCTTTATCTCTTGATCACCAACGACGATCATCTAAATCTAAATGGCAGATAATATTCCATCGTCGCAGCACACGCAGCATACGCAGCACATAGCTGACACGCTCTGCTCTGCCCACACGGACAATACATCTCCACCGCTCACACATGCAATGTTCCAGCGCAAGCCGCACACCGCATCGGCGACGAGCCTCAGCGTCGAAGCAAGTTCGAGCGCGGGACAGGGCAAAGACGCCACACAGCGCCTGCAGATCCAGCAGCTCAAAGCCACGGCACAGAATCTAGGCCTGCCGAGCGATACCGTTGGATATAAGATGCTGGAGGCACTCGCAACAGCTCCAGCAGTTGACGATGCTCTATCATGGCACGATGTTCTCGCCCTCGCATCTTCAGATAAGGTGAGTCATGTACCACCGCTGTCACCCCATCTAAACTGAGGCTTAAGGCTGTTTTGCTACTGCCGAATATCACAAACTCTTTCAGCATACCCATTAATCCATCTCAAATCAGAAATCACGTTGTTTTCACTACCACCACTCCTCATTCCGGTGCCGGTCTTAGTCCTGCTGATAGCCCTGCGCAGGTTTTGGCTGCAAGCGGTTTGCGTGGTAGCATTGACTCGTAAGTAGTATTTCTTTGCTCAGTTGTTGAGGCTCACAAGTACCCAGCGGCAAAATTGTGTTTCACGGCCACTTAAGCCAGAACTATGCGGAAAGTAATCTGTTTGATAGCAATACAAGATCGTGAGGAATTGGTTGCAAATGCTATATTACAGCTCACAATTACACAGCTCACTGCTGAGCAGTCTACCTCCTCTTACAACCCACCACGGCTTTGAAACTAAATTTCCAACCCACAAATGCCTCTTGCTTGGATCGCTATCTATACCATCACCTCCAACTCCCAAGCTATCTACCCGTTCCAGGTCCTCCTCTCTAACGAATGCTGCTAAGTTGCAGAGCAAGTCGACTTTCGCTACTTTCTTCGGCGGTGGTGATAGACGCACTTCCATTCTCACGCCCTCGTTTTCCAACCAAACAGAGGAAACTGAGCTCGAGTTTGGGCCTCCGGTTGAAATCACCGTGCGAACCATCGATAACAGCATAAACTACGATGATGTCAAGAGGGAGCTTATCAAATCGGTGATGGATCGTATAAGGGAAAGGTTAGAAGGGTTGCCTAGAAAAGCTATTGCAAGGGTGGTACAATTTGTTGTTCAGTTTTATCCTGCTACTCCGTCAGCTGCTGCCTTGCTAGCCAAGCGGGCACCATCGAAGAAATCAGGTTCCGCTGCACCGAAACTGAGTGATCCAGAAACGAGCACAGCTGTAATTCAAGAGCTCTACATCAAGGTTCGTGACGAGGTCAGTTCCTTGTTGTGGAACGAACGACTGTCCCGGAGGGAGAGTGCTGACGAGGAGATTACTGAGCGGGAGAAAGAGGCGTTGGAAGAAGAGGTTGAAGATGAAGCATCCTTGGCAGTTGAACGTGTTGAGAGCGTAGTCACTACAGAGATATTTGATCTGTAGGTGCGCTACAAAGGCTATGACGTCTTCTGATAAGTAACTCAGACTCTTCATTCCCACCAACGCTGAGATTATAAGAGACGATACTTTGGCATCGAGGATTGCTGCTCTTAACATGCTCGATTTGAACTTGAATCATTTAGGCGTACAAGTCCCTGATGCACCACTCAATGGACAGAATGAGGGCGAAGCTGAAGCTGACGCAAGGAAAGGGCTTGAAGATGTTGTGAATGACTGCGGTCAAGAGCTGCAAAAGATAGGTGGCTGTTTGAGTCCAGCCGTCAAGATTGATGTCCTCATTCAAGCACATAAGAAGATAGTTGGTGAGTGTTGCACTGCTTCTAAGCATCAATTGACTTGTTACATAGACGGTTTGGCAAAGCTACCGCCAATTAGACTGCGCCCAGAAAGCGACAGTCAGGAAGATCAGGTGGAGGATGTCAAATCTCAGAGTGAAGATAATGACAAAGGAAAGCCACCCAGTAGCGCAGATTTGATACTTCCAATGCTTATCTTCTCAATGGTAAAATCAAATCCATCGCAAATCATTAGCAATCTTTTGTTCATTCAGCGTTTTAGAGCCGAGGGGATGATGTCTGGTGAAGCAAGCTATGCATTGGTAAACGCCACAGCAGCAGTTGAATTCCTGAGCTCAGTCGACCTTTCAGAGCTAGGCTTAGGGGGTAGCGACAGAATCGTAGGTTTTGGGGATAACGTTGAGCAATCCACACTTCCTTTGCAACCGGTTCAGGTGGAATCAGATGAGCTTACAAGCAAAATAAGAAGCAAGGTTACGGGTGAAATAGGGGATTTAGCTGGCTCTGCAAATAAGGTATTTACAGGAGTTGTAGATTCAGGATGGGGAGCGTTACGAGGTATTATTGATCGCAAAGAAAACACAGTCTCGCCACCAACGATAGTAAGAACAGCAGATGAGCTCACTTCTAGTCCTGTCGACAGCCGCCCGCAAAGCATGTTTAATAGACGCGCAAGCAGCCTCTCAGTTGCAAGTATCGCAGCAAATGTCGCCAACATAGCGAGCGGCAAAGACAACAAACCTCGACTAAATACGCTGCCGGACAATGACACTGGAGATAGAGAGCTTGTTAACATGTCTAGCTCGGTGTCTAGCAGGGAAATACCAGTCTCACAGAGCCTTGACTTTGAGCACAAGCGCAAAGATTCAGATGCAAGAAGCGTTAAGTCAATGAGCAGTATGAAGAGCTACAATAGTAACAAAGAGGAAAGTTTTGGTGAGAGGATGAATATAACTAATCGGTTGGCTAGTATTCCAGGTCTAGGGAGGTTTTCACTCAATCAAACTTCGCCTCAAGCATCACAGGAAACTGCACTAGGTGCATCACCATCTCAGGGCTCACTGCTAAACTCATTTTTTCCATTCAAAGGTAATCATTCGCGCACAGTTTCATACAATAACAACCATTCTACTTCATTTGAACCACCAAACGCACAATTCCTCAATGCTCACGCCGATGAACTTCGATTAAGCGATGTAAAGGTACTGCTTGAAGACTATAAGCGATTGGCGGGAGTATTGGAGGTTTTGCAGGGCACTTTGTCTCAGCAGCAACATCAGCATCAGCAGCATCAACATCAATGACAACAGCATAATTGACAGCATAATCAATAAAGACGACAATAGTAATACGCAGTGGATCTGCACTCGATCAGGTCAAATGTACATGCATTCATTTAAGATAAATTAAGACGGTTATACGATTTGTGTCACATCGGGTAGTGTGATTGAGAATGTGGGTATGAACAATTACCGCTTAAGGATAGATTAACTAGGGATTAGGGCCAAATCTGGGTGTTTTAGAATGATGAAAATTATGACTTACCAAATGCGGTGAAGGAACTGAGGGAGCTGGTAATATAGCAATTACTGAGTTAGTGAAATTCATTCCCATACCCTCAAGCTTGCATTTTTAAGCGCATTCCATTCTCATTCCAAGGGTAGACAAACATATTAAGGAGAAGGATTCCAAACAAACGACACAATGGCATCAATAGCAATAGCAGCAATAATCGCAGTAACTACGCTTGTCGATACGTCGATAGTGTCAAAGAGCCATGTGATATCAAGCGTACAGAGGCTGAAACACATGGGAAACAGTGTAAGGAATCTGCTAAACACAGCAACAGCCGTGAGAGAGAGACTATCAGTGGTATCAGTTGGTTACCTGTTAAAGTATATACCGCTAAAAACAACAATCAGCAAGACCGGGCCTATATCGGAGAAGCACAGGCTACGGATAACGGCAATCAACAGATCAAAGCGTATCGAAGCCATGCTAAGAAAGCAACCAAGTCGGAAGATAGCAGCAGTGGACAATATGAGAATAACTACGCTTGAATCTAATCTAATCAAACGAGTATTCGAATAGATGGACTGTACGATGCTCATACTACAATTAAACAACTGGCCTTTGTATAATTGTCCTTTATGCAGCGATTGCTTTTATATAGCTTGTTTATATAGCCTGTTTGTATTGCAGTGAGCTGCCGTGATACGTAGGTATAGCGTATACAGCGTATGACTCCAGGCACAGCGCAGTGCCTTTGTCAAGTACACGCAGCTGTTTTTTGATATTTGGTTTATATTTTTAATTCCCAGCTTGTGAAGATTTACCAGGAATTCCATCTCCTCATCTCTTCACAGTTACTTTGAAGAAATGGTTGGTTAAAATTTAATTCTCCCTATAAAACCGCTAATGTGGCTCAGTCTTACAGCAACGGTGGCTACGACTCTTATGGTGGTTCTGGTGGTTACTCTCGCGGTGGTGGTGGTTACTCCCGCGGTGGTGACAGCTATGGCGGTGGTGGTTACGGCGGCGGCGGCGGCTATGGTAGAGACAGAGGTGGCTCATCCGCTTACGGCAGCGGTGGTGGCAGAGGCTACGGCGGCGGTGGTGGTGGTGGTTACGACGATGGCTTCGGTAACCTCGGACAGCCAGACTTCAACAACTTAACCAAGTTTGAAAAGAACTTCTACGTTGAAGATAAAAGAGTCCAAGATCGCAGCGAGCAAGAAGTCGCTGACTTTAGAAAGAAGCACGATATGTCCATCGTTGGTACAGGCGTCCCTAGACCAATCACCGGTTTCGACGAAGCTGGTTTCCCTAATTACATCTTGACTGAGATTAACAAAATGGGTTTCCCTTCCCCAACCTCCATTCAATGTCAAGCCTGGCCAATGGCTTTAAGTGGTAGAGACATGGTTGCTATCGCCCAAACTGGTTCCGGTAAGACCATCTCTTTCGCTTTGCCTGCCATGGTACACATCAATGCTCAACCTTTGTTGTCTCCTGGTGACGGTCCAATCGCCTTGATCCTGGCTCCAACCCGTGAGCTTGCTGTTCAAATTCAAGAAGAATGCACAAAGTTCGGTAAAACTTCAAGGATCCGTAACACCTGTGTCTACGGTGGTGTTCCAAAGGGCCCTCAAATCAGAGATTTAGTTAGAGGTGCTGAAATCGTAATCGCTACCCCCGGTCGTTTGATCGATATGCTCGATATGGGCAAAACCAACCTCAAGCGTGTCACTTACTTGGTCATGGATGAAGCTGACCGTATGCTTGATATGGGTTTCGAGCCTCAAATCCGCAAGATCGTTTCTCAAATCAGACCTGACAGACAAACACTCATGTTTTCAGCTACATGGCCAAAGGAGGTCAAAGCTTTGGCCCACGATTTCTTGCACAACATGATTCAGGTTAACATTGGTTCTTTGGAGTTGTCTGCCAACCACAATGTCAAACAAATCATCGAAGTCTGTAGTGAATTTGACAAGCGTGGCAGACTCGTCCAACACCTTGACCAAATCTCACAAGAAAATGCCAAGGTTCTCATTTTCATTGGTACAAGTGGGTTTATTCTAATTGTTAATCTTCTCAGTCTGACTAAATTACTCAGAGCGTGTTGCCGATGATCTCACGAAGTACCTCCGTCAAGACGGCTGGCCTGCACTCGCCATTCACGGTGACAAGCAACAACAAGAGCGTGACTGGGTTTTAGCTGAGTTTAAGTCTGGCAGATCACCAATTGTGAGTAGTTCAGCAGTTCACCTTCTCTCAACCTCATCTAATCAACAATTTAGATGCTTGCTACTGACGTTGCATCACGTGGTTTAGGTAGGTTAATTTTCTTTGCAGCGCAGCTTCTGTTGTTGTTCATCTTGAGGGAATGAGTGAGAGGTCAGAGAATCGTATCAGACAAAGATCTTTATTTTTGACCTATCACATCCGCGGATAGGCTGATTGAAGAAGAGGTCGCGTTGATGTTTTTGGTAAACATTAAACATTAAACGCCGCCTTTCTGGTGCTTACTATAAGCAAAGTCCAACTGTCATCCGCTACACTGTTAGTTTAAGGCAAAGACATTGATATTATTATAGTAAGCAGTGCGATTCCTATAAAACCTCGAGATATATTAGCACTTTCATCGAGTATGAAGGTGCTAACTCTTTTACTCGAAATTACTATGATGTAGCAGCAGCAGTAGAAGTTTCTTCGTTGTCGATGCTCTTGAATAGTTACTTACTTATACCTTCTACTAATTCAGATGTCAAGGATATCGGATACGTTATCAACTACGATTTTAGCAGCAATGTTGAAGATTACATTCACAGAATCGGTAGAACTGGTAGAGCTGGTACTAAGGGTACATCTATCACCTTCTTTACCACTGAGAATGCAAAGAATTCTCGTGATCTTATTAAGATTTTGCGTGAAGCTAAGCAAGATGTACCAACCGAGTTAGATGAAATGGTAAGATAGAGAGGAGCAAGGGTTGCGATTATTAGTAACGCGATTTTAGGCTTCATTTGGTGGCCGCGGTGGTGGCGGTGGCCGTGGTGGATACGGTGGTCGCGGTAGAGGTTGGTGGAGTGATTGATCTACCTTTCAAACTAACAGAATGATCAGGCCGTGGCGGTTTCCGCGGAGGCGGTGGTGGCGGTTTCAGCAGCGGTGCCAACAGTTTTTCTGGTGGTAACATGAGACGTTGGTAAACATACCACCTGCTGAAAGCTACTTGTCTTTATTTATAAAACATTTTCCTCATCTTTTGGTATACAAAGAAATTGTAGATATACATTACTTATGCAATAAATGCATAAGTTATAGATTACATTGACGATATAGATTGCACGCCGAGCTTTTTGATGGATGAAGGCTCGTTATTGCCGTATGTCTTGAATACATTCTCGTTGTCATCCATCCAATTCACACAGTGTGAATTGGATTCTAGGAGATTCTTTACCGTTGACCAGCTGAATCTGGCTAGCTGAGGCAATCCGAAGACGCTATCCAGATTGTTCTTTAGCCAGGCGACTGTATTTGGGTCTGAGAAGATTAAGTAGGTTGAGAAGAATTATTGATTTGTATTATTGTGTAAATCAACACTCACCACCTGGATATCCACTACCTAATTTCATAGGCTGATCATGATCCTCAGAGACATCGATCGATGAATTCTCACTCTTGAGCTTCTTTGAAGAGCTGGCTGAGGCGTATGAATTGGTGTTTATAGGTTCAACGAAAGTCCAATTATCGATGATTGCATCTCTCGTAACTTTGGCTGCGATCGAAGCAGCTGAAACGATAGGGAACAAAGAATCAGCCTTTGAAGCAACGGTGAATCCAATATTAGGAAACGCCACTTCCAGTTTGGATTGATAAGATTTGGCTGGACCTACAGTATCCACATAAACATGTTCCAACTGAACGCCTTTGGATAGTACATCAGTAATGAGGGAGAAAGTTGCATCGTGTGATTGTGCATTGAGATTGTAAGGCACTTTCTTAAGCATCCCCGCGCTAATATCCTGAGGAGCCATTACTCTCACTGACCACGACAACTGATCCGATAGAGAAATGAGTTTGTGGAGGAGAGACTGACGAGACTGAGCAGTGAGCGCTTTGGAGTCAGCGAAGCCTGCTTCTTTGAGTGTATCCTCATAATCGACGCTGCAATACGCGATACCGTAAACGAGTGGGCCTGTACTTGGTGAGAGGGGGCTAGAGTTGCAGATTGAGCACACCTAAAACTGGTCCTCTTCCAGCTTCGTCGACGCCCATTATCACTTTCGAGTCAAGTAAAATGTCGGGCACATTAGAGTGGTATGAGTACGATGTTTGCAGTGGTTGATCACCATTCATTGACGGCGGTAAGGCGTGGACTTGGTCTTCTTCTCCTGTGCTCTCTTTACGCGCTCTTTTCGCCATGTTGCGCGTCGTCGCGTTTTCTTTGTTGAGCGTACGCAAAGGACAATGAGTGTAAATAAGGTTTTGGGAACAATGAGAATTGGGTGGAGTGATTAAACACATGTACACAAAGCTCTCTCTTCACAGCCACGCTACACTAGCATGCAATTTGTCCCGCAATTTGAACTGACTGGAAAAGTAGTAAGTGTGTAAGTGTAGCCATATTTCCATAGTAAAACATAACACACATATGCTGAGATATTCCAAGATTGTCGTACACTATGCTCGTCGCAGATTCCATCGCTCTGATCGTCAGTGAGGTCAGACACACGGATAGCACACTCTCGAAATACCAGCAGACAACGAATCTGATATTGGTGATCGTTGTGTTGGGATTTCTAGCATACGTGAATACGAGGACATCAAGATTGGTATACATGGTAAATATCGCTGCTACATTGCTCACGGTTTACAATCTTCTCAGTCAGTCTACCGAGGTCTACAACCTGATCATAAGCTACTTATCACTTGCAATAGTCGTCATTATGAACGGATCGCTGCTGGTTTTGATGAAATTTTTGATAAAGGAAGACGAAGAAATTCAAAGTACGAGTAGTAAATTTAGTACTAGTGGACCAACGTATGTACAGGAATTCGACGAGCAAATTAGAGATCTCAATCCGAAGAGATTGAATAGGTGCACGATACGTGATAAATGTAAGTACAGGGATATAGAGAAAATAACCCCACAGACTAATAATGCATTAAAGCAATAATATCTGGGCCAGTATGAGTATTCCACATTCGTTACTTACAACCACCATCATCTCTAAGCCGCAATGAAAATAAATTGGAAAAATACAGAAATTTTTATAGACGACGATATTTACGCTAAACCATTAAATCATATCATGAATGAAATACGCATTTCGCACTTTGATGAGCAGTTTGAGGATTTGGAGATGATATTGGAATTTGAGAATTTAGAGAAGCTCACGGTGTATGAGGTAGGTGTTGGAGTGATTAAATATACTTAAAATTCTAATTTATACCCAATCCAGGACAATATCTATGCAAACGATGTCAGTTTGGCTGATGTGGTTGAATTGCATAATCGTTTAAACGAGAATGAGCAACTTAATATAAATATGTCATTCACCGATACGAGATTCTTTACAAATTTTAATAGACTTGCTAACAAAAGTGGGTTCTACACCTATTTGTTTACTTATAGCTCACATTTCATAGCATCTGTTAATGAGGAGAGCAAAGAGAGCAAAGAGATCAAACAGAGATCTATTCTTGAGTACAGAGCCGAGAGTGACGACGATGACCCATTCCTCTATGAAGCTGTCGATGTAGACGAGAATGACGACGCTCAAGTTGTTGAAGGTGCGGTTCAGGATACTTCCGATGAACTTGGTGAAGACAATGATGATGGTGTTGTAGTAGAGGAAGTCACTACAGTTGAAGGTGTTCCTGCAGAAGACCTGGGGCATGTGCTAGATGATGATAATGGCGATCAAAACAATGTAAAGGTAGAAGAGAGCACAGAGACGGTCACTTTCGGTGAATCAGTCGATGACAATGAAGAGCTTGATCAGCATGATCAAGTAGGAGAGGACGTAGGCGGTGATGATGAGCGGAATGATGAAGTTGATGAAGCTGATGAAGCAGTTGAAACTCTTGAGACCGTTGAAGCTGATGACGGCTCAACTATTCAACGCGTAGAATCGACTACTCATCACATATATGACGAAAAGCCAGTTGAAATGGGCGAGGAGACGGTTGATCAAGTTGAAGTTGCTCAACCCGTACACAATGAACAATCAGAGCCTTTTGCTGCCTCTAAACTAGACAACGATCCTTCGATTGGCGATCAAAATGGTAACAATGACTCACAGATAGATGCAGGGGTTGTTGAAGAGACTGGTAAGACACAATGAATTAAACGATCTGATCTTACAACCCAATAGAAGTTGAAACAACAACCGCTATAAATGATAACACAGGTGAAAATCTCGAAGAGAAAGGTTAGTAAGTTTATTATGAAAAGTTTCATTCTAAACACCTGGAACAGTGGTCGAATCAGTTGATGTACCGACTGAAGACACACACTCTTTGGCAACATCAAAGAGATCTTTCGAGGAGGTAGAAGCTAACGACAACTCGATAGATCTAGGTAAGACGTGTCTCATAGCCATATCGATGTCGACTAATCGCTTGACAGGAAATGCAATTGAAAGTAAGCGCATGAAGAGTGAAGAAGTAGCGTAACAATTTGCATCAAGCAGCTTAAAGGTTTGGCACATATATCACATAGAGGGGAAAGTATTATTTATTTGCATGATTACTGACGACAGCAGGATAGGTAATTGGTGGTAACTGGTTAGATAATGCACCAATTGTATAATTATACCAGAATATGTTGAATGTAATAAACACACGCGTCACTATATCTTGAACGTTGAGCACGTTAAACATCATGTCTGGCGAAATTCTAGTAAACGTTGAAGATTCACTAGCCAACAAGGACGTAATCGCCGAATTGTTCCTGCCACCTCTTCTTATGCTCCACGCAGAGATGCAATAGTGAATCTGCAAAGCCTAAGAGATATGTTAGTAGCGGGAGATGAAGACATTACTCAGCAGCTAGGTGCTCATAAGGAAAACAAGAGATGTGAGTGGTGCGCATCTCTCACCATATCTTTCCATCTCAACATTGGCAGCGAATACGCTGCTTGTTATGAACTATGTGCTAAACGCGCTGCATAGCTCCCGCAAGGTAAACATTAGAAGCATCTACTACCAGAATGTCAATGCATTCAAGAAGCAATCCAATGTTGAGGAAATACTACAGCGAATTAGCCATGTATTGGGTATTCGCAGGGAAAGCCTCAACGTCAGAGCATCGCACAAAGGATTATTTCTATCCTCAGCTCTGTCTATACAGCTATGCAATGGGAATGTCTTAAACGGAAGTGACTCAGTCGCAAACTTCATACCTACAATGGAGGATATACACCAGGTAGACGTTGTTTGTTGCTAGCTTGCTGATTCGTAGCATCCGCTTAAATGAACTAGTCTCAAGTCGCTTTCGTTCTCGTCGTTGAAAAAGAGACCGTTTTTTCAACACTGCGAGAAATACGGTTCACGTGCTCATCTGTTCATGGTCCAACTATACTATTGACGGTGAGTGCTAGTCCATCAATTCATATTAGCCTCCTCTCAAGCAACTCAGGGAAAAGGTTATCCTGATTTTGCTACACGAGATATACTCAGCCATTTGGCAAAAATTCTTCCAGCGAGGTGAATTAATGACAAGCACGTGATAAAGCAACTCACCCTATCCACTAAGCATACCATTCATTGCGCTGGTTGATTCTGACCCTCACGGTCTGCATATATTCTTCACTTATAAATTTGGAAGTGACAGGCAATCAGAACAACACAGAAGCTCTAGATGCTCACGATTAATGCTATTAGGCCTGCGTTGTGAGGAGTTTGATTTGTTAGTGTCTTACTTTAAGCTAATTCGTAAACTCATGTTTTATAGTTTGTCTATTCCACCAGACCAAAGTTTGAGGCTATCGGATAAAGATAATTCGATCTGCAGCAAAATGGAACAGACACTCGATCTGAGACAATATTCATCAAGAGACGATCCCTGCGAGTGAGTTAGCGTTTTATTATTCGATTAATATTTAATCAACATAGAGGGATAAGGTGGGTTGAGGTTTGCATCGTCTTTGCATTCACTAAACCTTCCCTCAGTCTGGACAACTTACGGTGAGCTCCGCTGCCATCTCCACGCTAAAAACAGCTTAGTCAGGTTTAGCAACGAAATTAAGATAATGAAAAGTCACAACATAAAATGGGAAATAGAGGCGTTGTATAATGCTTCATCTTCCCATATCGCGGACACGTTTTATGGTAAATGCCTCGAGAGGTACATTGACAACAAAATGAGCATGTATTTTGATCAACAGGCTGTTCTCAGGATAGGGGAAGGCTATGAATCTCTACTCATAGCACCAGAGAAGACGTTGAACGGCATCTCACACTTGGACACCATGAACATAGGAAATGAAAATGAAGATATTTTGTTGGTTAGCGACTGTGATGAGGACGAGCTTCTACTGGGGTAACATAAAGTACAAACACTGATGAAGCAGAATTCCATGCTTGTTCATAGTTTAATATCTAAGTACAATTTTCATATCTAGAAGTTATTTTCATATCTAGAACTTGAAGACTTGATCTTCCTTGTAACCCATATCCTTCAATACACCAGTCAATTCACCTTGAGCACCTTTGCTCGTCTTACCACCAGAAATGGCCTTCATCATTGGTGGAGGACCACAGACGTATGTCTTGGAGTTAGAGTCTGGTGCAGGGAGGTGTTGCTTCAAGAATTCACCATTAAAGTATCCAACGTGTCCATTCCAACCCTTGGCAGGTTGATCAATAGAGTAGATGACATCGAATTGGTCAGAGTGCTTCTTCTTGAAGTCATCAAACACCTCCTTCAATAATATGTCCTCAGGAGTCTTGTTGGAGAACAAGAGGGTAACCTTGGTCTTGTCTGCTGGGTTGTTGAGGATAGTTTCAATCAATTGCAAACCAGGTGTAACACCACTACCACCTAAAACGAATCCGACCTTTTCGTATGTGTTTGGAACCCACTTGAATTTTTGAATTGGACCTTTGATAGCAAGTTGATCACCTGGCTTCAATCCATGGACATGTGGGGTGAATTTACCATCATCGTACTTCTTGATTAAGAAATCTATACTGCCGCGCTTGTCGGCGGTTGAAATAGGCTACAATAGAGCGATTAGATTGTAGTAAAAATGTGAGTGAAACGCTTACAGTGTATGGTCTCATGACTGGCTTGCCATTGTCACCAGTAACGGAGTCATCGGCAGCCTTACAGACGACGAGACCTGCAGGCTCGAGACCAGAAACTGAAGAACCAGGGAGCTATTAAGGAAGTGAGTTTTATCGTAGAGTGTACACACCAAACTCACGTCAAATTCAAAGATGGACGAATCGTGGTTATACTTCTTGACGTTCTTCAAGGTGAGGTTAGTGAAGCCATCCTTAGTCAAAGCGATTTGAGGAGTTTGGAGAGCACCGATTCTATCAGACTTTGGTGTCGACATTGGAAGAGGACCGGAAGGAGAATCTTTGTTGAGGTAAGAGTATCCACCGACGAGCGCAGCAAGTGCACCAGCACTGAATATCATTAGACTTGGTTAAATTAAACAATTACTGATACACACGCTCCGATGTAGAATTGCTTCGATTGGCCACCCTGTGGTCCAGTTGAGTATTGGCGTGTCTTCCGCACTGTCAGCTTTGTTTCTTCTAGCGCGATTAGCACGATATCCCACGTACTGCTTTGGTGAATGATCTAGCGGCGAACATGGTGGTGTATGACAAACTCGATTTCAAATTAGCGCCACTTGAGATGTCGTCACAAATGTAAAATTCAACTGATTTTTATAAATTAATTAAAAATTCTTGCTCATAAGATTCATTGTCGCGTCTAAACCCTTTTTATCCCCCTTAAATCTCATTTTATGGTAAGAAACGCGTCGTTAAATGATACAGCCACCGTCAACACCTTCCAAGCAGATCAAAAGGCGCTACGACCTCCAGGATTCGCCAACCAAACCAAAATCTAAGCGTAAAAAAGAATGCCATATTCACAAATTACCTGATGAGCTCCTTGATATGGTAGTGCTCAATCTCGATAGGAGAACTCTGCTTAGATTCGGCAGAGTTTGTAGAAATTTTCAAAACATCATCCTGCCGCACGTGTACAAGCGTCCTTCGATAAACTCACTCGAATTTCTTCCGCCTTTTCATTCAGTCGTGCTAGAATATCAGCTCCAATGTGAATCTTTAGATATAGATGTCATGTTGGAAGATCAACGTGACCTGGATATGGTTGCTGGTTTACTAAATAGTCAGCGTAATTTGAAGCACCTCTCTATATCCATAAACAAGACAAATCTTAATACCCCAAATGACCTATTCAAATCTATAAGTGACTCAAACAAGTTGGTATCTCTCTCTGTATTCTACGAAGAAGATGAAGGGCACAATCTGCTATCAAGGCTCATCGATAATCTCCCACCGTCTATCAAATTGCTCTCTTTATTGTCTGGTTGGTACAGCGTGTGGAACAGCTTGCTCGAAACTCAAATCGAGCACTTGCGATTCAGAATTTGGAATGAAGAGGACAACCCTATACGGCCGTATCACTTACAACGGTTCAACTCCCTCATCAACGCGAATGACAAAGTCAGCAAAATAGAAATCGAGACTATCAATCAGTATCTCTGTGGATTCTACCAGAGAGGAGAGTATCAATCAATGGCTTACGTTAATCCAGCAAAATCAATTAAAGTTCATAATTGGTCTATATTAAGGAATCTATATTCTATAAAGATTTAGGTTTAACCCATCTACCCTCCTCGTCTCTCTTCAAGACTTTAAAGCATTTTATACCTAGATAATCACAAATATCACTGACTGTAAACCAAGCGAAGTATGCCCATATTAGACCATTCACTAGTGTGATTGTGTAAAGTGTGTATCTTGCGCTCATTTCAGTAGAGTGTAAGAAAGGAGCTGGCAGGTGGCTATCCACTGCTACCAACAGTGTCAAAAACATTGACGGTAAGTATTTAGGGAAATCAATCTTGGCGACGTGTCCCAATATGATCAAACCAACTAGGTGGGAGAATTGCAAGCCCCATTGTATTAAGAAGACCAATAACGGTGTAACATAAGTTCCTTTGTTAAATGAAATTGATGATGGTCCGCATACCCAGAGAACATTGACAAATGTCTGATACACGAACGGCAATAATCCCCACAACGGTGAAAGCGATTGCGGATAGTCTTGACGCGATTTTCTCTTTTTATCAACGTTTGAGTATGCTGTGTATATATTTGCTAATAAACCAACACCAGCAAAACCCATAAACAACTCATTGATTTGAATATTCACCCCTAAATAGCTCTTGAGTGATATGGACCAAATATGCGGGCCGTATACTCCAGTAAGGGCATACAAACCGACGATAATGACAATTCCCTCAACTGGTCCTGAGAAGACACTGAGGAAGAGTGTGCCTGTATGATATTCCTCCCAAGTGCTGAGGTAGAAGTTGGCAAGTGTAGCAATTTGAGAGAGTATTAACCACCAGCCTCTGCCGATGTTCAGAGCAGCAGCACTCAAGATTACTTCTAAAGTAGTGTTGAGTGCATCGCAGCCATGGTCGAACAACTCTCCGAGTGGACCTGCCATACCTGTTCGACGAGCTTGTTTTCCATCTATTGCGTCTAAAGATTGGTAAGCAAACAATCCAATAGCCCAGCTGTACATTTGTTAGCGTACTCCCCGCTATCAACCCAAACACACGTGAAGTAAATCCAATTTGGTGGACAAGTGTTGCTCGCAGAGCATTCAAAATTGCCATCGTAGTAAAGCAAGGTTGCCAAGTTAAAGATAATGATAAGCAGACCGCTGAATGTAATCTGTGATCGAAATTAGATAGCCGCTACAACTTCCTACGGCAACGTACAGCGTTTGGAGCGATATATTGAGGAAAGAAAGTGACAACTGGCGTAGCTGTGAGATATGCAAAGATCATACCCCTTTAAATACCCACGCTTATTCCAGTACGGGTTGAGAAGGTATCGACTAAGCAAAGAGCTGGTGGTTTGTGAGAATAGTGCGTGATAAGGATGGCTATACACACTTGTCCACGCCTGAGTACTTGTATTTGTGTAGATTTTTAAGATGCGTCTCTGGTATCGCACTCCCCGTCATTGCGAAAAAGAGAAGACGGTGAGAAGCCCAGTCTCCTCTTCATGACCAACAACAAAGACTCAGCTGTGAATTTCGCCAACGATACCTCAGAATCTTTCGTCGAAGTTTGTTCAATTTGAATTTTATTTTCTCTGCGCTAATTCGATACAGTCGTACTACAAAGCGTATGATCTAGACAGGGAGAAAGTGTCGCAGCTGTACAGACCTTCATCTGCTATTGTGTACAATGGAACACCCGTGCAAGGTGTGGAGAATGTCCACAATCTGTTCATGAGTATCCCTGCAAGTCAACATGAGATTCAGTCTTGGGATACGCATCCAATACAAGGTGGGTTTGTCTGGCAGATTCGCAGTGATATTCTAATCAAGCATCAAGACGTCATCACTCCAAATGCTCCTGTGCCGCCTAGTATACTCCTCAACGTAACAGGCTTAGTAGCGCACGGAGCAGCCGCGATAAATGCTCTTTCAGACGGCAAGAGTCTCGGATCGAAGAAGAACAAGGAGATCATTCTATTACCCAGAACGTTTTCGCAGAATTTTATATTACGCAATGAGAACGATAACTGGTTCATCATCTGTAGGTTGTTTGATAATAAAACGCGGAAAGTATTAATGAATGTTACAAAAACAGCTGATTGCTTTAGATTCGTTGGCTAGATTATTTATGATTAAATTATATTTGTACTTGTAGTATCTTTGGTAAAGAGCGATAGACTTATCAAAACTTTGGTGACCTTGCCTCGCCTATGACTGCCTTTTTCCCTCCATATTTCCTCAGTTTTGCGAGTTGCTTTCAATTGGCGTTAGTATCCTATCTAGTTCATCGGAGCTGCTCACTTTTTGGTCATCGGACCGGGTGATGAAGGCAAGAACCTAATAGTGTGAATATACACGTAGTATAACGCGCGAAATAACTCACGTAGTCGATATTACCGACCATCTTATCGTATACCGTCGCTTTACCCAAAGGCAATCCCGTTTTTGCACCGCCAACAGCATATCCACCTTTGAGATGACATGAGCGAGCTGTTCGTTGATTCGCTCATTTAAATACCTTCCGGGTTGGCTGAAATTCCAAATGGTGAACCACTCATATCAGCTTCCTTGTCGCTCGTTTTATTTTGAGAGTGTATTTGTCTGGCGGCTAAGCTGATGTTACCAGGTGTTGTAAAATCAACTTGGTAATCATACAATTGGGATAAATCTTCATAATCAAGATGGCCGTTTGCGTTATAGCTATTTCCATTTGCAGCCATCTCTCTCTCAGCCTCAATCGACATCTTTTAAGGTCACAACACTTGAGTCGTTTAATAAAATAAATATATCTTTACACTTATATTCATATTCTGTCATGTCATCAATTATAAGCTGGCTACTCTGAGTCTGAGATAAGATCAGTTGGTAACTGCGGCCTCCAAGCAATGTCTTCCATGTCAGCACTGAATACAGCATTACCGTATTCTCTACTATCCCTTCTAATCTCTTCTGCAATCTCCGTCGATACGCCCCTGTCTTGAGCAATCAAAAGGTTGGCAACCTCCGGGACCAGTACCCGTCTAATGAAATCTTTGGGTGAAAGTGGATTCGTAAGACTTTGGTTGAGCTTTATTTTGCTTTTTGGCTTGCTCGTTGACAATGCATTAAGAGTGAATGATATTACCATCAAACCTATCTCTCCATAATACCCAGGCTGTTCATCCTCGAAATTCTCAAACTGAACATCAAGTCCGTTAGCCTTTTTACTACCAACCTTAGCATAATCTTCACGAGCTTTGATCCAAAATCTACTACTTTCTTTATATTTGATCACAACTTTGATTTTCTTGCTCAGCTTCATGATCCTATCTGAAACTCTATTCCAATCATGCTCAATTGGGTATCCTTTTTTCTGACCTTCTGGTATAACTTTTGTATCTAGTTCGTGGGCTGTACAGAGTTCAGATTCCGCAACAACGTGTGCTTTCATCCCGTATGGGTTCGAAGTTCTAGGTGATAATTTAGCGACATTCAAGAACTCTTTCAATACCGTTTTGAGATGTTGAGTTCGAAGGTGGGGTAATTTGTTATCGCACACTGGACATAGTTGTATGTCAGATGGCTTGACAGTTGGCTTAAAAAACGCTGGAATGTTTGATTGGTTGGAATGATTTTGTTGTTTAGCAGCCCTTGCCTTGGGCTTTGGTTTGGGTCTTTTGTCACCACTCAAGAGAATCGATTCTTTCTTTGGATGTGGTTGTGAGCTCGTAGTTGCCTTTTTCTTACCCTGCACAACGTCACCATCAGCATCTTCATCTTCTGATAGTCTAACTGCAGTGGCAATGGCTCTGTTCCTAGCCCCGGACGATTTTGGTGATTTCTGCTGCTCTTCTTGAGAGACTGACGTTATATAGGAGTTGATAACATCACACTCTTTAAATAAGCCGTCTTTCTGACTCTGTTCAACCGGATCAACAGAGGGCTTTTTAGTATTGGCGACAATTATACGCTGAAGCTTCTTCGCTTTTGGTTTTGAAGCTAGAGGATTGCTCACTTCAATACTGTTTTCATTAACGTCTTCATTCGTGCTGTTTTGAATGTTGTTATTGCCCCTCCTCTTCTTTGGCGTGGGTTCACCCTCATCATCTTCGTAATTTGCAGAACGAGACACGTTGATCTTTGTGTTGTGCGGCTCTATTTTCTTTGCGTCCCCTGTTTCTTTCTCCTTACGCGACTGCTTATCTCCCTTCTTCTTTTTGGGCGATAATTCCTTCATATCGAGCTCTTTCTTATCGACACTCTCTCTTCTTTTCTTGCCAATTTGATTTTTTGCGAACTTGGGGCTTTTATTAAGATTATCGCTTATCTTCTTTCTTATAGGTGACAAGCTATCAAGACTTGATTTCCGCACTTTGCTTGCTGAAGGGGCTAGAATTGCATCATCAAGGCTCGGCGGAGATTCTGAACCGGAATCGCGAAGCTCGTATTGAAATGGAGGACTGATGCTCTCCTCCTTTTCGGGTGAAGCTGAAGATCTATGAAGGGCATGAGGGCTTAAAACTCGAGAGCAAATCAGACTGACTGTGTACTAACACCGGTAATGTCATCCAGTAAGAAGTTTGTTCTGTTCCTCTGTCTAGCAGGTCTCTCCTCAACTGGAGTCTCAGCTTCTGGTGAAAATGAAAACTTCTTGTTGAGATTTGATTTCTTCAAATTGTTATTGTATCTGTTCTTCCTACTTACTGGAGGTGATTTACTGCTATACATTGTTATTGTCAAGGTGTTTCTTAAATGACTTCAATGTCTACATACGGACTGCATGTGGATGCCGCAGAAAAGGAATTATCTGGTGTGAAATCAATGGGACCCTTCTGCTTGAGATTTCTCATCGCTACAGATTTCTCAGGAATGAGCTGCTGCCGTGTTTGCGCGTCTTCATCTGAATCTCTACGAGGAGGTTAGGTGGAGGTAGGAAACGCTTGAATAACCAACGTATTAGGACTAGCCTGTCTCTGTGGCTTCCTCTTAGCTATATGATTGTGCTGGTTCCTGTAGTCCTTGACCTGCTCGAGGGATATGCTCTCCACTTTGGAGGAGCCTGGTGGTTTAAATGGGGCACTTGGTCCAACCTTCTTCTTTCCCTTTGGAGCAAATACTGAACTCATCATTCAAGTGGACAATGCCGTACAGCCGGTTCGGTTGAGTTGATAGTGGAAAATAAAAGGGGTTCAAACCAAATAATCAATTGGGTTCATTCATAAAAATCAAATATCATCAAATTGATGCGAGTATTCCTCAATCTCTTCGTCATTCAAACTGGTATCTATGCCTTCAATCTCTTTCTTGGCTTCTTCCCAAATTTCGACGTTCTGTTTGCTATCAGTGGGGGTTTCTTCGATAAAACTCAACTTCTTACAGATTTAGCCCAGTTAGAGTGACACTCTGCATAAGATATACACATTTCTCGTATATCAGCAACCTTCTGTCGTTGGAACCTATCCAAATCGGCTTGTATTGTTTGGCTTGTATAGCTTACGTCGTATGTAGATGCTTCTAATGCTGACTCGAGCTGTATCGTTGTTAGATTGCGATATGATTGCCGACATGACTCACTCCTTGAATAGACTCGCGCGTCTTACCAATACTATTTCTCCTGGTAGCTTCAGGATCAGCATCCATAATGCCTTGAAGTGTGTGTGATATAGCACCCAAGAAACTCAAGTTGCTTTTCTGCTTTTTTACCTCTCTCGATGAGTTATCGGTTAATATCGATTGAGAAGGCATATCTTCTTGCTCATTTGGACTATTTTCATTGTTGTTGTTGTCTTGTAATTGCTCTTGATCTTGTTGCGGTTCATCCAGTAATTTCGTAGATGAGAGCCCTTTAGACAAGGCTGCGTCTAATCTTTGTGCCTCTTGTTCAGATCTTTCTAGCTCAACGAGATGCTCGCGTTTAGCACCCAGTGCATCGATAAGCATTTCATGCTGCGCATGCTTTTGATGTCTGTATTCCAACAGCTTTTTGATGATATGAGCAAATTGACTATAAATGTGTATTGGCTTTGAGAAGTCCTTCTCCCAAGCTTGAAGCTTCAGCTCTGTCAGTATGTCCATCGAGACCTCAATAACCATGACATACCATTGCGTTTGTAGATATGTACGTCGAATCAACAGCTTGACCAATCTTTTCTAAAGCAGCAGCCAGTGTATCTGACTCAGTCAGACCAAAGCCATTGAAGACGGCTCCCAATTCGGCATAATCATTGGCGATACCTAAAAGTGTGAGCAAATTAGCCGAATCTCCGAGAGAAACTCACCAGACCACCTCTTGGTCGTTCGTCTATCAACCCTCTCCAAAGAGCTCTCAAAATGCTGAGCAAACTTTGCGGTGAACATTTCACTATCGAGAAACCTTTGATCAGGTCTTCTTAGTGGCTGAGAAGGGGAAGGTGTGGGTAATGACGCATATGCAGCAACGTTCTTGTCATTTGTGGGATCGTTTGAAGAAACGTGTAAGGGGTTTCTAGGCAATTTAGAAATAGGAGGACTGTTAAGAACGTGTTTCCAGGATATCTCTGCAGATAAGAACTTGTGGAAGAAGTGTTCTCTGCCAAGAATCGGGTGTTTTGCGATACGTGACAAGAAATCCTGCAGTGTTGTCTTCCTGGCCGTGACTATTTTAGTCTCTTCTTTTGATTTGTTGGCGTATTCACCGATTGAGTGCTTTGAAGGTATAGGTGGTATGATGAGCGTAGGGTAGAGCCTTCCAAGGACATGGCGCAATGATTCGAATTCGGAATATCTTCTTGCGACTTGCTGAGACTGCAGGGAATTGAGTTTGCGAGCCATAGACGGAGGCTGACACTTACATCAGATTGAATAATATAAGTGATATATGATGCTTTAGCGCCCTCATTGGATCTCACTGCGTCTATAATCTACAACAAATCAGATAAGCCACGTATAAGCCAGGAAATCTCACCTGGATATTCACGTTATCGTGCGTAGTCGATTTAGGCGCGAGCTGGTCAGGAGTGAACGGAGCTGTAAATTTATTTGAATCGTATTCCTCATTGTAGTCATCCAATTCATCGGTCTGGTTGAATGGATTTAAATCTTCGTTAGACGTTGTCATCGTTGGCGATCAACCCGCTTCAATCGCAGCCACGATGGTGAAAGACACGGAATATTACGATTTACTCAGTGTCAAGCCTGAGGCTACAGATTTAGAGCTGTGCGTGTAGATTTTCCCCTTTCCTCTGCGCCATGCTTAGTCGATCAATATCTCAGTAAGAAGGCTTACAGGAAGGCTGCAATCCAATGGCACCCAGACAAGGTATACGCTTGCTCGCTCTCTACCACATACACTCAACTTTACAAACCAGAACCAATCCCCTGGCGCTGAAGAGAAATTCCAGAAGATCGGTGAGGCTTACTCTATCCTAAAAGACCCACACGAGAGAGCCTGGTACGATAAGAATGGCAAGAAGGAATCAGGTGCTGCTAATGCAGACAGCTTAGATCCTGAAGCTCTTTTCGGTCAGATGTTTGGTGGCGAGGCATTCAAAGACTACGTGCGTAAAGCTTAGACGCGTTGATCCTAAGTTCATGTTATTCAGATTGGTGACTTCTCCCTCGTCAAAGATCTCGCTGGTCGCGCTGAGGTGTGTGTCTTTGTTTATACCTCCGGACGCGTCTGATTTTCACAATCGATTAGGTGACAATGACAGAAGAAGAGAAGGCATCACTAAGAGCAGAAGAGGAAGCCGAGCTTCGCGGAAGTGTCGGTGCTCATAACAAAGATGGTTCCAAACCATCTGCTCCACCCGCTCCTCAGCAACAATCTATCGGTGAAGGTGCACATGCCGATATTTTAGCTCCACCTCATCCAGATGCTTCTGAAGAAGAGAAGGCGAAGCACCAGAAGATTGCAGACGAGCACAAGAAGCTCACAGATGAACAAAAGGTCAAGTTGAAGGAACACGAGGCACAAACTGAAAAAGAGAAGGAAGAGGTGTGTTCGATGTTTACTGTTGAAGATTACATTCTCATCATAATTATTCACAGAGAGTGAAATACCTTACAGAGTGCATGAAAGACAGACTGAGAGTATTCGTTGAAGCTCGCAATCCTGGATCTGAGAATGATCCTGAAACCAAGAGATTCCAAGATGGTATTAAGAGGGAAGCCGAGGACTTAAAGTTAGAGTCTTTCGGTATCGAGGTGTGTGTTTATTGTCCTTTTTGATATCTCTTATACTCCACCAGCTCCTGCATACCATTGGTGGCGTTTATTTGACCAAAGGTCAAAACCACATCAAGAGTCGCAAGGGCTTCTTAGGATTGAGTGGCTTCTTTGGTCGCGTTAAGGAAAAGGGCTCCATTCTAAAGGAAGGTTGGGGACTGCTTGGTAGTGCGTGAGTAGAATGCTTATTTATGTGCTTTGATTTAGCAACTCTCAGTCATGGCGCACAAGTAGCTATCGAAGAAATGAACAAGCGTCAAGAATCTGGTGAGGTGCCAGAAAATGAAGCCGAAGCTCTCGGTATGGATGTTACTGCCAAGGTATGTCTTAATTTCATGTTTCGAACATCGCTAAGGTAGCTCATAGATTCTGCTCATTTCCTGGCGAGTTGCTCGTTTTGAAGCCAACGGGGTTCTTCGTGAGGTGAGCGAGCGAGTCTTGAATGATCCTCAAATTTCAGAAAATACTTCTCTTCTTCGAGCAAAGGTACACAAATAAATTTTAGTTGAATCAACTGACAACCTGTCATAGGGTATGATCATTATAGGAGCAATCTTCAAGGGTGTCAAGCCTGATGAAAGCGACGAAGAGCGTCGCGAGCTAGAGAGGTAGGCTACCGATCAATACGAAGTCTTTTCTAACTCGAAATAGGCTGGTCGCTGAAGCTGGCAAGAAGAAAGGAAAGAAAGACAAAGCTGACAAGGCCGAAAATAAGGTTGAAAAGGCCTGAAAGGGTGGCATTTTTGGTGGTCATGGTCACTCAACCTTCACACCATCCACTAAGGAATAAATAAATGTTATTTAAACATTTGGTGATAATATTTTGGGGTGTAATGACTACATTAATATTTCTTGTTTTAATATTGCTGATGATTACGCTATAGCGTAAAGTAGACAAGCGAAGCAAGCGTGATCCATTTAGAAGCCTTATATTCCTGATAATTTATTTCTGCAATTTTATGTTATCGATTAACTCGGCCACCCTTGACATCTACTTATCTGATGACTTCAAGATGTGTTTGGGATGACAAGGCATTTTGTATAGACTTTTTCAGTACTATCAGATACTTACAGCAGATTGATTTACACGAATGGATTAAAGTGCTCAGATGCACAGTAAATTACCAAGTGTACGCCGTTAGCTGCGTGGCTAGGAACGAGGGTAGCCGGGTTCGTGAAACACAACAAACACAAGGCGCGAGCCACGTGATTCTCGGTCGCCGCTGCGGTATTTAAGGGTACCACACTTCTTTTCTCTTTTCCTTGCGGTTTGCTGTCTTAGGGCCATAGTAAGGCGGGTATAACCCTTTCCCTGTAAATAGCCTGCGCTACTCCCAGTAAGCTTTATCTCACTCGCTCGACTCTCTTTAACCTTCGATAAAACCAGGAAGTCCATTTAATGTCCGCTTTGAGCGATATCCCTAGTAAGTTTGCTAATATTACTTGGTCTATCTAACCTCAACCACCAAGACAAGGCAGTCCGTAGACGACTGAAGTCAAAGCATAGACTGGAGCAAAATCGAATTGATGATTTCAGGCAAGACAATGGCAATCAGCAAAATGATCTGAGTCAAGGCAACAGCGCAGATGATCCTAATGATCTCATCTTTAAACACTGACACTAACACTGATACTAATAATAATACCAACACTAATATCAACATTGGTTATATCATTTTTAGAAAAGCACACAGAGCTGCCACATGCCGCAATACTGCCCAAGTCGCACTCTGCCGCTATCTACGGTTTTCGCTGTCAAATAAGTTCCTCTGTCTAATCAGGTGAATTTATAAACTCTTTACTACAACAAAAGTTCTTTCTTATGTATTTAGCTTGTAGGGCTGAGCTGTACTTTGAGGCGGCGACTTTGAATGTACAGGCATGCCAATACCTCGCCGCTGCGCTCGTGATTTCCATTCTGATCGTATACGACTAGACTTTCTTATCAACTGGTGCGCTTCAACGCCATCTTCAATTGATTCAGTGACTTTTTCAACGACGGTCGAATGATTGGCGTCATTCTTATCATCTCGAAATCGCAGAAATCTCCAATTCTCCTCATTTTTCATCCAACTAAACTCGGCTATCTTATTGTGTAAGTCTATACCGTCCTTGAGGAAGTTTTGCCACTCTTCTTCTGAGATATCCCAGTTGTCAAACCAATTGTAGAGTTTACCACCTTCCCATTGTTGAAGCTCGCACAGCGGTTTCTTTGCAAAGTCGCATGTATTTGTATTGTCGTCACTCGCTGAGAACCTCAGCGATATCCTGAAATCAATGCTATTCTCGCTTGGATCTTTCCACTTGATGCTGATAGACGTCAGCATAAAGATGAAATTATTTCTGAAACGCTCACATTCTTGAGTCAGTCCCAAATACGTATCCACTCTCAACACACGTGAAAATTAATCCATCGTTGCCATGTTGGAGATTTGGTATGTGTGTTTTGAAGACGTGGTCGATAGCGTATGCAAGATCCATTACCTTCAACTTGATTCTAATAATCATATGAGATATGGATTGCGTGCTGGGATATCAACTCACTCCAATGGCTGAGATGGATTGCCCCTCTTAGCCAGTGACTTCAGAAATGGCTCAACGACCCATGATCTCAGTCTCTGTAAATTATGAGTCGAGGTGAAGCACTTCTATTACAGTTCACTCACACCATATCTGGAGCCCAATCTCATATTGTAAATGTCTTCGGTTTCGAGCACCAACAGATCGAACACCAAGTATCTCAATTTATCCTAAACTAGCTTAAATTACTTAGAGGCTACTGATAGGCCCTGCTTACCTTGCCAGATTTCTTATCGTGGTCGATAACCAATTCGCCATCAATGAGAGTTTTATTAGCAGGTGTAAGCAAAGTGCTATCTTTATAATTTGGGAAGTAAAGCCCGCGAATCCGTCTATAAACATTCTTCCTGTCTATCTTAGATACTCATTGTCAGGTTAAATCGAGTTGGTATAGAGTGACGACTAACGAAGTACGTCTCTTGCTCATTGGTTGTGCCATTCGTCAGGATAAGTAGTAGACACCGCACGCCATCAGATTTCTCACAGACCCAGTAGCTTTAACGATTGTCTGTGAGCTTATACGCGAGCTTTTGATGCGACCCACTCTTCTCTTTCCAACGCTTGCAGTGATTTCCAACCAAAAGACACTGGCTGTGATCCAGGAAAACTGTGTATTGATAGTCAGATAGGCTCTGCGTCTTCAACTTGAGAATCGACGTACGATTTCGATCTCGTCTGGCAAAGTTCCTGCACCAAGCTTTTTAATGAATGGCATTGTTCCGGCGATGTTAATATCTGACCGGGTATGGGCGGTATTCTAGACATGTTATCTTTTCGATGGTAGTGGTGGTGGTGGTAGTGGAGAAAGTTACGGATGAATAGCTCATATGTATCAGGTACCCGATCGATGATTTACAGGCGCTTATATTCTTAATATTACAAGCAAAATCCAGTAGTAAATATCACGTGACATCACAGAGCACATTGCTTAATATTTGAAATGCGAGCATTGCATAGTAAATACAAAATATTATAAGCCTGTTATAATTCTTGTTTCAGACGACCTGCATCTGTAGAGCACTCAATACTCTATGATGATTGAATGTAGTAAGATCCCAATTCAGTTGGTGAATCGTTGGACAATAATTGATTCAATTGGTTGACGCCTTGCATGTTCTCCATTACACCAAACCAAGAGTAACCGTGCATCCACTCTTGCTCGTCCATCCAGCTAGATGTCTTTTCCATCATTTGCCAGACTTCGCTTTCCGAACATTGAGCGCCACCAGCAAAATTCTGGCAAGCGTACTCAGTCAAGTAGACGGGGAGTTGGAAAGTATCGTGGAACTTTTGAAGAGTGCTGATAACACTCTCGTAATCAGTATCATAGATGTGGACAGCAACAGCGTCGAAGCTTGCACCGTTTTGTTGGAATTCTTGCAACCACTTGATACCGTCACTGCCAGATGCTGAATCTCCAACGCGAGAAGTGCATGCTGGCGAGATGAGCGTGTATTGACCTTGATATTGTGCAATCTCTTGGTTCCATAAACTGGCAGCATCAGCTGGGTTCATGTTTGCTTGACCCACTTCGTTTGGCTCGTTGAAACCGAGAATGTGGGTAGTACCCCACTCAGCGAATTTACTCTTTTGTTGGTTCCAGGTTGAAACTTGCTTTTGACCCCAGAGTTGAGGGTAGAAGTCGAGATCACCAGCTGAGTCTACTGGCCATGGACTCCAGGTATAGTACCAGCCTATGTTACCCTTTGACCATTTACTGATGTCATTTGCGTTACCATTTGGCCAAGCGAGACCAGCTTTCTCGGTGCCGCTAGTAGTGCTGTCTGAGTTGCCTGAAGACGTGGTAGTTGGACTAGCCGCTGGCGAGTTTGTTGAAGTAGTGACAGCACCGCCAGTGTTTGACGATGGTGTAGATGAGGTGGTTGCACTAGGCGCTGACCAGCTTGAAGTCGTAGTAGCAGTAGAGTCACCGGAGCTGTTGTCTTGACTACCACCATTTTGATTATCCCAATCATGATCCCAGTGGTGGCCGTGGTGATCTTCGCGGTGATGGTGACCCTGGTGGTCTCCGTGATGGTTTCCGTGATGGTCTCCGTGATGGTCTCCGTGATGGTCACCATGGTGGTGCCAGTCACGCTTTCCGACGTGATGACGACGTCTAGCAGCGAAGTCACCGTTGTGGTTACCAGCTAATGTGGTTGAGACAAGGGCGAGAGTAGCAAGCAAGATCTTCGAGTGCATTGTGATTAGCGAATGTGGTGTTTAGTAACGAATGACTATAGCGGGAGTTAGATTTAGCTTAGCTGCTGCTGCTGCTGTGATACTTACGTTTGGCGCACCAGGCGATGACTTTAAAGGTAGAGGACAAAGAACAGACAGTCACATTTTATAATACCGCGTGAACCTTCTGGACCAAACTACGGGAAACCAGGTCCCAAAATAACTGGATCAACTACAATGACAGAAATGACAGCTGTAAGAGCATGATAAAGGCTACACACAAACAATTGTGCAGTAATAATATATATCCTGGGTTCCTCTTGCATTGTCTCTTCTACCGCTGTTTACACAAAATTTCATCCGATTGGCTGTGTCTTGGGTGAAATGAGAGACAATTTAAATTAACACATCTCAAAAACCAACACATCCAAAAATATTCCTTCTTGAAATATCTTGTTATTCATTTTGCATGCCTTTATAATCACTCATGTCACAAATTTAAGGCTAGGAACGCTGCATCTAGGTACCATAGAAGAGTCTGTGCGCGTTTTCAAGACAGGGTCATAAATGATGTGAGACATATACGCACGGCCTTTCAGGGTTCAATGGAATAATTAATTACAGCTCGCCGATATCATCATTTGGTATCAAGTCCTCCTCTTCCTCTTTTCCCTCTTTCTTCGCAACCCCGTTCAACGGTTCCTCTTCGCCGTCTAAGGCTGCGTCTGGAATGAATGTAACTGGTTCACAATCCAAAGTATCCAAATTTACGAGGGCAATCACGCTTTTATCTGTGAATTGCGGTATATTTACCACACGCGCTTGCTGTCCTTCTGGACCTAGATTGATGCCTGGTTAATATTTTACCCTCGATAAACATCACAAACACACCATCTATTAGCTCCGTTTCGAATTCCTTCTGATTTCCGTTGATGAAAATATGCGGGCATTCACTTAATATGAAGGGATCCTTGTCAGTGAACGGGTAGCACCCTAATTAACTTTTAGTCATAATCATGTGCAGCAACAATCATCTCACAAAGTGTATCTGGCGCCGTAGGGGCAATATGACGCCATTTCAAACTGTCAACTGCCAAACCAAGCCTATCATGACTTTTGACATACTTGAACGAGTCATCTAGCGTCTGGCCACCTGAAACCAGTATTCTGTTTTATCTGTCAGCCTATATGATCATACACATCGACCATTGACCATCGACCATCTCACCTTGTCTCATCTATCGAAAACCATGTTGGATTAGTATGACAAACCACCGAACCCTGCTCAAAGTTATCATGTGCACCTTTAAACATGGCTTTAGGGAAGGGCTGCTGAGGCAATAGAGTACCCGCAGGATCGTCAGGTCCTGGTAAAATGTCAATGTCTACGTAATTTGACAATTCAACCAAAAATCTATCAAAGTCTGTAGAAGGTAAAGATGAGTACGTTGCTCGATCTTTTCCGAATCGTTTTGGTTTCTTGTCTTCATCTGCAATAGGTGGACTCATGCAGTTACCAGCAATAACCAAACGCGTGATTCTAGATGACAAGCTTTGGTCAGTTGATCCTCCTTGTTGTCCGGTAATGAAGTCGATAAGCATTCTGCGTGTCAACGCATCATTCGCTCCTTGCGATCCCAGTCGAAGACCCGAGACGACGGCAACTAGGGGTGATTTATCGCTATCCATTGATGTTATGTTGGTTGCTTGCGGTGGTATTCCTGGGTAACACACATCCAACACGGTGAATTCTCCTGGATCCTTTTCAATCCCCAAAACACCGATGATGATACCTAAGATCAAGATAAGCGAATGATTGAACATATCAACAGCATCGTACCTGTGACTAGTTGTGTTCTTGCAATAATTGGTCCAACCAACTTGATTCTACCGCTTTCATCCTCCAGACACAATTCGTCGTTATCGCTGTACATTTTCTCTGTCGGCTGAGGTGCTGCCACCCAATGCTAAGTATTGTTAAGAATATTGTGCTTTTTCTACCAAATAAACCCACGTTACGAGCAAGATCATCCAAAACGTTGGGTTTCAACTTCATATCCATATAGATAGTACCGACAAGATACGACAGTTTGTTCTGTTCAACGTCTAACACTCTACTGTGGAATTTTGGCTTTTGTGATTGACCTAAATCACGCGCTGTCTGTCAGGATTCTCATATATTCAGGCTAATCAACCACCTCACCTGGAATTTCGTTCCACTTGTTGATAGATCTATTCTGCGTAAGCTTCTTAAGCTTAGCCAGTCTGAGATAATAGAGAGATGCAAATTGTGCTTGATACGATTGTGTGGTGTGCTTTACATTGAATGCAGACGATAGCTGATCAAGATTATCGTACTTTGATGTCAGACGCGTTGGAGCCTTGTCTTCTACCTCCAAATCAGGCCTATGGAAAATAAGTATTCAAATTTAGCGTGTTAGCTGCATTCCCACCAGCCATCTGTGTTCATTGTTTAGTGGAAAAGGATGGTATCAAATTAGAACTAAATACTTTTAAACAACAAATTACATTCTAAAGTTCAGTTTTATTGCTAATGTCTATGAATTGATATACGATGCAGGTTGCGGTGGTGAGCTATCAACTGATGTAGGCGGTGACGGATAAGCGTGATCTTGACGATATTTTACTTGGTTATTTGCTAGATTGTTTGTATATGCTGGCATTTCCATGACGTTCTCGCTTGGATTGTTGGTGATTGGATAGAATGCTGCAGAGGAGGTATATTGCTGCCAAGGGCTTTCTTTACCGCTAAGAAACTTGTCATCTGATTTTGTCGTTGGTAATGCAAAGTCACGTAAGGCTTCATCCCTCCTAACTTTAACTTCACCTTTGTTAACATCTTGCTTTGACTTGTTGTACAAGTACAACCCAACGCCTGTCATGACAATACCAATAATTTGTATAAAGTGAACACTTTGCTTGAAATAGATGATAGCAAGGCAAATCACCGCGATCCTTTTCGTGAGTGATGCAATCGAGTACGTCACTGGGGAAGTCGCAGCTAAAATGGCAAATGCAACGAGATTTTGAATAAAGTGTACGAAGCCATTGGAGAGTATACATAAGCTAAATCCAACTGGGCGATCAACAGATGATCCAATGAAGAGCAAATTCCGAACGTGCCCAAAATCTGAGTAGAACCACAGTGGAATCATTGAAGTAAAAGCCATCAAAGATGAGTAGAATAACAAGTTAAGTTTATCCAACTTCTGCGAGCTGTGCTTTTGAGTATCCGAAGGTAATAACTTCTTGCTGAAAATATTCTGAGAGACGAAGACAAATGTTGATAACAAAGCATAAACCAGTCCGGGCGTGTTTAATAAAGACATATCAAAAGACATTGCAAGCATAACTCCAATGGTTAATGGTAGCAAACTCAAGTACGTTTGCGTTGAGTAGTTGACTTTAAATAAGAATTTGTAGGACAGCACTGTAAAGAGGGGCGAGAGTGCTTTGATCGTATGAACGGTACTGACTGGTACTCTAGAGATAGCCATTGAAGTGAGTACGTGACCGCCAATCTGGAACACCGCCATTGGGGAAACATTGATAAATATATTCTTGTTGATTGGCTTCAGATTTGTCAACTTAAAAGGCCTTTTCGTAATTAGATAAGTGAATAGTGATATGAATCCGAATTGATATAGCGTTAGACTAACAGGCAGCCTGTGGTGATTGAGAATGACTTTGCCTGTATTAGAAGACAGCGCTGAGGATAAGTACCAACACAGACATAAAATTATGAATTTTAGGTGTTGGACGATCATTGAGAAGCTCTGTTGAATCTTAGCTGCGAGTAGACCAATGTCGATATTCAGCTATGTCACCAATTTGAAATTGTTGTTCAATCCTTTCCACAGCTCTTCAAAATTATGCAGAAACGTTCTCTCCTTAGTCCCTCCTAGCGTTAGTATAGTGCTACCACTACCCAAAAGCTAACCGACGTAGGCTTCCACTCAAGTTAACGTGAATATCACAAAGAGAGACGTCAACTCACAGATGGTCCTCGAGTACAAAAATGGCCAGAAGCTCGACTTGGAGGTGACCGACAACTTGGACTATCACTCCCTCATGAGGCAGATAAGCAAGACGCCAAATGAACTCAAGCTAAAGGAATCTATTTAATGCATTATTACAACTCATTTTTACCTAACAATTGTCAGTCAATCCTACACAAATCTCACTCGACACACCTTTACGTTTCTTGACTTGGACTCGCACTCTACAAGCCCTTTTACGACTTGTTCTGAGATGTTGGAGCACATTTCATACACATGTCTGTTGGTATAAGCCCTGCCGATGGCCGTGGCTGCATTCCATTGGATCTTGTAGTTAAGGTGAGGTCTCAGCTCATCTTTTAGCACCAATAGCATTTGCTCTGCTTGTTTCACTTTCTTTCCTTGCAATCCCTGACTCTTTTCAAGTACACTTCCGTAAGCTCGACACACGTGTACTTGAACCTAGGCGTAGTTAGGATGAGCATGCTCACATTGACATCAGTCCTACCTTGCCTCTATCTTTTAAGTCCATTCGGCTGGTTATATCGAATAATCTTTGCCATCGTGCTTCATTCATTTCATCTCTGCGACTGGTTAAAAATTTCTGTGGCCTTAATCACACGTACGGTTGTAATGCGTCCATGTAATCTGCTAATGCGAACCCAGCATTTTGTTTGACAGCGTGTAAAGCTTCGCCGAGGCATACCACGCACGCCTTTTCTAGTCTTTGCGAATATACATCGTTCTATGAAATTAGTTTGCAGTATAGAAATGGCTGTTACTACTTACATTGCGCACACAAGCATTGAAAAAAGACTTTCTAATCGCAGACAGCCCTGCTAGCTTAATGCTCTCATTATCCGCTGAGATACTTTCTATCACCCAATCAACCATGCTGTTCAATGTCTTATACTAAGCTACATCAGCAAATGCATCGTGCCAGCATCATCACCTACACTGAGATAATGTTCACTAAATAGAGCACCCATTAGCACGAGAAAATTGCGTTGAAATGCGACATCCCCTCTGCTAAATAAATATGATTTCTCGAGCACCGATTCATCTTGCTCTAGAATAATGTCGGGGTGTAGAGATAGTAGCAACAACGAGCTGCTCTTTGCTTCAATACTATCTTCGTTGAAGAGTTTGCTGAACAGCGCTTTTACGTTTCCTTTGCGTTCAGGATCCGGTAAAGATATCCATATCGAAGCGAGAACTTGGGCTGTTTTGAATTTTATTTGGGATGAAAGGACGTTGTCATAAATTTGGCGGAGTAAATACGAACTCATTTCTCTTAGGCTGTCCAAGTCCTCTTTGAAAGTATTCGTGGCAATCATACTCATACACACGCGCAAAACTGCTGTCTTGTTGCTCTCTTCTAAGTCGTATAGGCTGAGCACCACTGTTTTAACTTGATTACAGAGGCTTTTGGGTGTCTCGCTCGTCATCTTAGCGTAGGGTGTTACGTTCAGCAAACAATCAGCAAGGTCGAGAAGTCCCAACTGTATATCAGCGTCTGTTTCATCATGAAGACAATCAGCAGCACGGTTGTGTGACTCCAAAAGTAAAAAACCCAATCTGTAAGACATTGAGGTATAGCTCATAGACTTCTGATTCATATCGGCTGACTGAATTAAGAATGGACGTGATAAACGCAGTATATCTTCCATGCAATGAATCGTCGCCGCTTTGGCGATATTATTGACCTTATCGCTTTGCAGTATATCCCACAAAGTCAACGGTGATGCCAGATGCGGCGCCGTATCTGGAAATAACTTGAAGATGTGATTGAAAACGAATTTAATGTGTGTCTACGTTGGAATGTTAGGTAGCGCTGGGTTGGATTGAAGGACTAACTTTTGCGAGTTGTGAAATGCACATTGTGGCTTGTAATATGACATCAGATGTTTCATCTCTGCTTTTTGTCAATAAGGCATTATTGATCTAAACAAACGTACCTTGAAGATCTATCGTTGTAGTCAAAATCCTCAATATCAGAAGCATGATCGTCTTTCGATCGCCAGTTATGACTAATCTCAGCGCTCTTATCTGACGCAACCGACCGAATAGAAGATATTGACGGGCATCTCCTTACGCAAATATCCTCCTTCTGTAACAGCGAAAGGACGTTGGACAAAAACAACTCAACAAAGGATTGCACATGTTGAGGAGTGAGTGTAAGCTTCGTGATTGCGACTAGAAGTGAATGCAAAGCCAAGCTTAGAAGACTGGGTGCGTGTTTAGGTATGTCGACTAAACATTCTATGATCTGGGCTGTCCTCGCGCTTATCTCCTTCTTTGGCTTCTTAGAGTACAGCTGAATGAGCACCTTTAAGGCTTTCTTGCGGGTGCTGAATTTATTTCCGGGGCTTCCAAAGCTCAAGCAAATATCCAAGAGCTCCTCGTCTCCCTACGCTATCTTAGTATGTGTCATAGAGCGCGTAACGGGTATCTCACCTGTACATTGTTCGAAAGGAGCGAATTTATAGCTTTCAAGAGTCTAGAATGATCCTGAGCACTCAAATTAACTAATCCATTCAGATCATCCCTCAGCAATCCCTGAAATCTTTCGAGATGATCTGCCGACGACTGATTGTGATGCTGCTGAGGATATTTAGCGACTTCAAAGCCTTAAACACCCCTCACGCTTATAATAATCTCAGCTGAACCTAGAATTTCTGCATTTACGCTCATTTCCCCTAACTTCTAGACTGTCGACAACCAAGAGGATGATGTTGCTTTCACTGATAGCTCAGCGTGGAATACACACCAGCGTTCGAAGAGCCATGAGCATAAAAGATAGCCTGAGAGATGGACTGAAGCAATCTATGAAATCCAAGGACGCCAGTACTTCAACCGTTATTAGATCGTTATTGAGTGAAATATCATACTCGGAGAAGGAAAGCGCAGACGTGGACGAGAGCAAAACTCTCAAGCTTGTCCAGAAGGCGATTGCTAGGCGTGTGAGTTGATCGAGTGCTTGTATTGCACCCTCTGATCGCAATACAGAAAGATTCCGCGGTACAGTATGCGCAAGCACAGCGTCAAGACTTGGCTGACAAGGAGAACTTTGATATCTCTGTTTTGGAGAGGTACATTCCAAAGCCATTTAGTCAAGATGAAATGAAAAGTCTGATCAATACCGTCTTGAATGAAGCAAAGTTGAATATTGCTGAGCTGGATGGCAGATCTATGGGCCAAGTGATTAAGGAATTTACTGCTAAAGCAGCCGGACGCGCATCTGGCGGTGACGCATCTAAACTTATCAAGGAAATGAAGAATCAACAGTAGCACTAGAAATGTTTCATTTAATTGTACAACACTAGATGAAGAAAGTAGATACAGCTTAGCTTATTCGCGCACGCTTCGAATCAGCGTCTTGTTGACTTGTTTTATCTCCGTCTGAACATCTTCTCTCACGTTTGTTCGTGTCTTTGACTATATCAACCAAGTCTTCTATGGCTTTGTTCATACTCGATTGGGCGTCAAGTATTGACGATAATCTCGCGTCGATATTGAGATTCTCCTGTGACGATGTTGTTGGCGATGGCGGTAAAGGAATATTCTCTGCAGTCGGAGCCTTGTTTGATTCCCCACTCGTTCCTATTGATGGTATATGAGAGGATGCTGAATTTCTTGCGTTCTTGTACGCATCACGCCAATACGTAGACGGTACAGTTCTGCTCTCCGGCCTAATGATGGGGAGTGTCACGTCAGGTATGTTTAGAATCTGGGACATAGGGTGCTGCTGTTGCATTCCCTCCGAAGGTGTGGTCGTACTGAAGGGTCTTGAAGGTCTTGTTGATGGACTAGACGGTTGTCTGTTTTGGTTTGCAGTGTTTTGTGATGCTGGCGCCTCATTTGTAGAACCTTGAGCTTCATCGTTGGTTTGAGCTTCTGTCTGGGTTCTAACAGCGTCATGTCGGTTATTATCGCGTCTTGGGTCAGGTCGAGGTGGGTCATTACCAACTGGATTGTTTCTAGGACGATTGTTGAACCCACTTTGTGGATTTGGAATGACAGAAGTACGGCTATAAAAATATGAGTTGTGTGATATTCCAACGTCGAGCAACATACCAGGTTGGACACGTTTGCTGACGCTCAAGCCAACTCTTCAAACAATGTCTGTGGAATATATGCGCGCAAGGTAACTTCTTAGGTGTTTCATCCAAGCCGCTCGGCCAAGGACCAGGATGCTGGGATGCATGCACTAGATCATCCCTGCAAATGATACAGAGCTTGTCAGACAAAGCATCTAACTCGGCAACCGTCGCGGCTTTATAAAGTCTATCCATATTCTGGGACGCAGTCTTGTAACGCTGGAGATCTTTGATCTTCATTGCGAATACACGTGCTGTGAGGAAAAGGTCTCGAATCAGATTGAGCGGGAATCCGAATGATGCGACGACGACAAAGAAGAAGGGGGTATAAATACAGAGCTTCAAAAACTCTGTGAAAATGTCAATGTAAAGAAGATAGAGCGACTTATCCTCCCAAGCTTGCTCGGAACGAAGGTCAATGAGATTGACGGCGAAAACGATTGAATAAGAAATGACGTCAGCCACTAGTATAGCGTACTGACCTAGTCAGCAACTGAATTAATAATGTATAGTTTACGTACCTCAGACGCAAAGAGAATAATCATTGTGACGCCATTGATATAGATATCTAATACCGAGATAGATAAGAGTGCCATGTCTGCGATAAAAAGACCAATGAGAACTGCGGACATCCTAGCTATGAAGAGTCTAGAGGCGATCTGGTATTGGACCATCTGCGGGCGTTTAGCGTATGGCCTAAGGCCAGCACATCGACATACATATTCAATTCTATCGTGCGTGAGCCAGTGGAAGACCTTTACGAAAAACAGGAAACCAAACATGAGGCCGTAAAAGAGCTGTTTGTGATAAGTGAGTGTGTGCGTGCGCAGGAAAGAGGCACCACCGACATCGAATTCATCGCGGAACATAGTCATTGCGAGTATCATCTCCGTGAATCCATACCAGGATTTCTCATACAGGTGCTGCCGTCGGTTGTGAGAGTTGATGGCTAGCGCGTGATCAACCCACTTCGATCTCCAGCGTTCGCAGTTCACCGAAAAGAAGTTTCTGAATAGCCTTTCCAATACACAGCGCAGTAAATAGCAAAAAGTTACCGAGAATCTTGCAAAAGTTTGAGCTATGCGCTGTACACGCCTAAACACACCCACAAGTGATGCACCGTTGCTATTGCTCAAGTAGACGACGACAGCGTAAACGTTTGAATAATTTCTAAATGCCGAGCTTATTATTCCAGCCGTAGATGCTATCGTAATCAGTCCATATAAAACTAACTTTATCGACATTCCAACTTGGTGGTGACTTTCAACGTACACTTGAATCAAGGATATGAAAAAGAATTTGATTTTGAATAAGCTGCCTAATGAGCTTCTGATTGATATAGCCACTTCCCTCCCCGTTGACGGTATTTTCCATTTGTCACTCACTTGCAAGGCACTCCACCAACTTGTGCGCAAGCACCAAGAAATTATTTACCACTCTAAATGCATTGAGCTCGGCTTTGCTGGTCTCCATACACAACTGAACCAGCTCAACACAGAGATACGCAAGCGTGACTTTCTCAGCCTATCGATAAATAGTATCAGCGATTGGAAACAATACTGTCTATTTACAGTGCTGCAGAATAATCTATGGCCTTCTCGGTGTTTAGAACCCCTTGGCACTATCCATCACTTGGATCGTGAAGACTGCAGCGTTTGGCGAGTAAAGGTGGACACTAAACTTAAGCTCTTCATTTACACCTCGACCTTGGGTGGATTGCTCGTCAAGTCTGCACAAGACCCTCATACCCTACTTGATTTCAATCGCACTGTCTCACCATTTGCACATCTCGAATACTATAAAGAGAACGACAGTGAAGGCTATGCAAGTACTCATGGCTCTAGGCTAGATATATGGAAGGTATCCAAGGTTGCTGGAGCTGTCAAGCTAGACCATGTGACTCAGGTTAATGTCCCTTTCACAACACGCGCCTCTAGGATGAAATATGGTGTATTGAGTGTCGCAGCAGCCAACGGCTCACACATAGGTTTAATTGATCCCAAGACTGGTGAGTTAACAAGAGTAATCAACACTATCCCCTCTATACCAAGCATGCGCATGATCGGCTATATCGAGCAAACTGCGAATGAGATCCTCATCTGCAGAGGTAGCACAATTGAAATATATTCCAAGCTTGATGGCTCCTTAGTCGCGAAAATAACTTCAGAAAGTATTATTAATTCAACGTACTTTCTCGATAAGGAAGATATTGCTCAACTGTCAAGTGAAGATGTTATCGAGGGATTCGGGCTTTCTTTCCAAAATGTTGCTATTCTCAACCCACAACTATCAAATGACATTGGTAATAATGATAATGAAACCAATACTGTGGACTACAGTAGGAATTACAATATGCTCTCAATTGACGAAGACGAGGCTTTGCGCGACGGTATCCCAATCAGAGATGATTTTAATGGTGTTAATAGAGCACTCGAGATGCACGATGAAAATGAAGAAATTGATATATTTGATGCACTCAATCAAAATCTAAACTGGGATGCTGTTCATGTTGATGCGAATAAGCTGGTTGCATATTCTTCAAGTCGTATTATGATAGTGAATGACTACGCGCAAACTTTAAATGGTACAGACAGTAGAATGTTGATTCAGCTACCATCGACTACTGACGACGAACCTTCACCAATGTGCTTCGAACACTCACGAATGATTTTTGTGTTGGGTGGACGTCTATCTATACTACCACTCCACGAAGATGTACCATCAGTCATTCACATATCCCATGCGCACTCAGATGATCCACCATCAGCTTTACAGGCGACAGAAGATGCTGTCATATTAACATCTTCAGAAGAAGATGACACTTATGATTGGCCTCACTGTCAGAAGATTCGTTGGCTGGATCTTTCTCCCCCAACAACATTTGCTGATTAAGAAATCATTGTATTATCAACTGTTCAACAATGAGTATTTATTTGTGACAATTCGTTAAGTAAATGAGAAAAAATAAAACTGTGCTGTAGGTTTACTGTTACACTCAAAGCTAAATATCAGATTGACCAAGTCTTTCGTAAGAATCTGATCCTTCAACGTTCCTAGATGCAGGTTTGCCTTTGTTAATCCATTTTTTGATATTGTTGACTGAGTTTAGGAAAATGTTTTGACTAAATTGTTGGCGCAAGTTGGTCTCTGATTGACGTTGCCTCTGATCATATTCGTTGAAGTTTGCTAAAGAAGGCAAATTTACAGAGGATTGGCGTAATGATCTCGTTTGCTTTCTCAGAGAAAGCTGCTCGACTTCTTCCGGAGAAGGATCTGAGTCACCAAAGACATCAGACATCCTGAATAAATTGTTAGCTTTCATTTCGGAGGGTAGTATCGCAACTCACTCCTCAAGAGGAATGTTGGCTGTTTCAGGGTAGAGGAAATAAACCAATACGAAACTACATGCACAGAATAGTGCGTGCATTGGATAGAGCCTCCACTGAATGACATCTTGAAGTATCGGAGTGAGCTCTCCGACCAAAAAATTTGCCGCCCAGTTTGATGCTGTAGATAGTGAGACTCCCTTAGCTCTGAAAGAGAGTGGCATTATCTCTGGTGGGTATAACCCTGCTTTCGTCAGCAGGAGAGCAAGAAGAATATAAAAGACGAACAGGGGATTGGTCCCCATGAGTAACCGAAGGCTGCATTGAACACAATGACGCAGATAACGACTGCAGTAGGGGTGATTGGCTTTCAATTATTAAAACTTAGCTTTACTTTGCATATTTCACTCACGACGTCAATGTAGATCCACCACCCGGTGAGAGTCAAAGAAAAACACATCTACTAGAGGTCAAAGGCTAGGTATAGAGTGATTCTCACTTACAACAGTTGCACCGCTTAATAGAATGAAGCGACGACCCAATTTGTCTACCAAATACCATGGTGGAATCGTTGATGCGATGTATCTGTAGCTGATCAGATCAGAGAATTTGCAATAACATACGCTAATTACACCAGTGAGTTGATACCAGTCATCAATAGGGCATCTCTGCCAACCCATCCAGCACTTATCATGACTAGAGGCATGTAGTACGAAATGACGTTAATCCCATTCTTAGGTAGATTTAGAAAGATTGGATGTACTTGAGAGTAATCTCACCAGCTGTGCAAAAAGCTGACTACTCATTGCGATGAAAACTCTTGCTTTGTACTTTTTGAATAAACACGTGTATGATCTGTCGGGTTCCATACTGTCTTGCTCAACAGCATCCCTTATTTCACGATACTCCCGATCAGCCTTTACGTTGTTGTAGTAGCCACCGTGGATGTCAACAAGCACTCTGAAGCCCTCATCATCCTGCTTTTGGTCAAGCAGCCATCTTGGGCTCTCTGGGATAATGAGAGAGCCTAATGCCAGGATACCACCTATGATACATTGAAAAAGGAGGGGTAGACGCCAAGAAGCGTCAGATTTGATGAAGGAGGTGAAATAGTCAAGCCACTGTGTTTGGTGAGATGTGTTTGACGCAGTGTGATCCGGTTGACATACAACTGAGCAAGCATATCCTGTAATATTGCCTGTGAATTCGATACAGGCTAATTTACCTCTATGGTCAGCTGAGTGTGGGTTAGCGGAGTGTGGGTTAGTGTGGCAGGGAGAGATATACCTGGTGAAATTTCGCTAGTTGGGGCGTAGTCAGTAAATATATCTTGCAATTTTAATCGATCTACCTTTGATACTTTACTATGTTAACGTTTGAAACAGCTATGTCTTGTACCTAACTCACAATAGGTACGATCATGGATAGCAAGCCAACACCAAAGCCGGATATGATGCGACCAAGGACCATAGCCATGAAGCTAGTGCTGCCACTTTGGATGCCACCACCAATCACAAAGACAGCTGCACCCCAGAAAAGAGTGCGTTTGCGGCCAATTTTGTCAGCGATGGTGCCTGCGAGGAGTGAAGTGACTGGGAATGTCAGATTGAATTGCAGAAGCAATAAATGCGCTCACTGAAAGCACCAACTTCCTGTACGACGTGAGAATGGGTGGATTGAGAGACTCAAGTACTCACAAGAATAGCGACCATAGTGCCCAATTGAGTAGCAGTTGGGTTGCCAAAGTAAGACCTAGTGGGTTATTGGAGTTTTGAGTGCAAATTTGTTAGACATACTTGAAGTATGGGCCAGTGATGATACCACTCATAACACTATATCGTGTCAGGCGGATTAATCAAGTAAAAAGACACAAACCCTTGATCCTGTGGGCTGTGAGTGTTACTGTGGCAAATAAACAGACGCAAACTCACGTATCCGAACTGTAAAGAGTGTTAGTGTGAAAATGCTTATATAGTGACATACCAAGAAAACACCAAGGGATGCAAAGCATGTAATGGCGTAGAGTAAAGGGCTACCAACAAGCTTGGATGAGGATCGCTGATGCTGATTGATTTCAGAGTCGTCGAGGTGGAATTCAGCTCTGTGGGGGTAATCGACTGGTCGGGAAGTGGAGGTTGTTGCTAGCGGAGGATTGGACATCCTTGCAGCTAATGGGATAAAAGAATAAAAATTGAAATCAACCGCGTTGTTGTCCAAGTTAAAGATACGTCAGTTGGTTGCGAATCGCGATCACGATGGCTGAATTCACTGAGAGGGAGCTGAGTGATACAATTTGTTTATTCGATGTGCGTTTGCCGTAAATGAAGAGTATTTTTATTAAATTAATTTCAGGTGGATAATACTCTCACGCCTGCTATGCGGGTGGGTGATACCACCTTTTGAGATAAGCGCTGAGATTGCACGCAGAATGTTGAAATTGAAATGGTGCAGATCCTTACAAAGCTCAGGGAGAAATGCGTTATTGGGTTTTGTGAGTTGTATTATCACGCGTCTAAATCACCCTCACCTGCCTTAGTGGGAGGGTGTGTACTCTTCATCCGCTATATCTCTCTAATTATGACAGATCAAACCTAGTTAAAATCACAAATCAGCTTGGAGGCTCTTTGGATCTCAGTGCGTTGTTTACACGCGTAGTACTCCTTTCTAAGCACACACAGTCCTCAATTCATTCGATTACGCTTTCGCAGAGAATGGCTTGACTGCGTTTAGATTAGGATTGCCTATAGAGACCCAAAGCTTTATTAATTTCCTTGGTGAGGATAGGTACAAGAAGCTTGTCAACTTTTGCCTGCATTATATCGCAGATATTGATTTACCTATTAAACGGTGAGACAAATGGTTTTAAACAAATGCTCCCCTTTAACACATCAAAGTGGTACATTTATCGAATATCGCACTGGAATGGTCAATATTAGCCCGATTGGCCGTAACGCGAGGTATGCAGAACGTGTTATGTCGGAGGATGCCAACTGATATATTAAAAATTAGCATCGAAGAAAGAAATATATTCGAAGATTACGATAAGGTGTGTCAATACCTCATCGTACTCTTTCAATTCACATCTCACGCGACCCAGAAATTCGGCATCAGAAGTAGTTTCGTTGAGAAGCTAAAGGAAGAATTTTCTGACTGCGGATTGGTTTTTTCAATTGGTGGCCAAATAAGCTTTGACGTCGTAAGTGAAACTGTTATTTCTCCGATGTTTCTGATTTATCTAGTTCCCCCTGGGTACGATAACCTTATCTCCCGGATATTGCTCACATGTGACTAGGGTGGGATAAGACATACGCACTGAGGCATATAGAAGCAGATAATTTCAAGAATATACACTTTTTTGGTGACAAGGTGAGTTCCACTCCGATGATGAAATAATCTGATGAGGCCCAGACGTTTGAAGTGAGTGTGATGATTGCGCACAGACGAAGCTGATTGATGAATAGGGAGGGAATGATTATGAGATATACAATCATCCGGCGACCATAGGACATTCAGTCACAGGTCCTAAAGACACTATTGATCAAATCCGGGATATTTTCAAAATTTGACATACTCCATCGGAGAGTACAATTTTCATGCATAATGACGGACAATTAAGCGTATAAGAATGTATATGTCAAAAGGAATTTACGCAGTTTAGAATTAATTTTTCCTTTTTCGGCACTATTGAGTGACGTGAGAACGCCCAGCCCTCCTTATTAGCCATCACCCATACCAAAATTTAATGAGCGTCAGAAAAGAAGTTTCAGACAATCCACCGGCGATGAGCGTTGCCTCACCAAATAAGCCAGCAGTTGTACAATCAGGTGAGACTGGCGTGTATTTCGTTTACTGTGTTTTGTTTACACTTCGCACAGATGTTGACAGAAAGCTACGTTTCTACAGCGTAATACAAGCATTCAAAGCCTCGAGATATCCATCTAACAGCCAGGTTTGTTTGCGTTATTATCCGAGTTCTCATCTCACACGCCACAGATCGATGAAACTCTGAAATACGTCACTGAAAGCGCACCATTTGAGGTAAACGAGCTCAGCGCAGAAGGAAAGAAGCTGGTACAAGATGCTAGGGGGGTTATTATGACTGTGAGTTAAATTCTCTATCAAATCACCTTTTTACCCTGCGAAGGCCAACACTATCGTCCAAGAGAAAAACAAAGATGAAAAGATTCAAGACTTCCTCTACAAAACTCGTAAGCACGTTTCTATTTTGGAAATTGCAAACTTAACGCCACACAGGCTCTGTTGACTACTCAAAGGCTAAACGCGACGAAATTGTTCCTGGTTTCACAAAGGACGGAACCAAAGAGGAAGGCCAAAAAGGTGCGCCTTTTGATTGTTTCTATGTGCTTCTATTCTAACAAACCCACCAGCCTTGGAACACTTACAAACAGTTTTCAAATTACTTGCCACCAACAATGAAGTCAGAAAGCTCCTCACCGACTGCAAAATTATTGGCCAAGATTTGTTTGCTGATGCTGCTCAAAAGGCTGCTGAAATTGCTCGCCCAAACGAAGACAAGCTTGCCAAGATTGACGAACCTGCTTCTCAAGGTTGGGTAAACAAGGATGGTCGCGTACTCGGCCCTGATGAGACTCCAGAATTTGACATGCCAAAGTTCAACAAAGCAAAGGAATCTCGCGAAAAAGGTCACGAAAAAGCTGAGGATGTCAAGAAGGCTGCTTTAGAGCGTAAAGACGAAGCAAAAGAAACCGCCGCCAAGCACACAAACGATACTGCCAAAAAAGTTGACTCTAAAACCACTGAGCAATCGGATGTTTCAGACATTCAAAAGGCTGTCAATGAAGCTGGTCAAGAGAAATCTCAAGAGACCAACGCTAAAGAGAAGGTTGAAGTAGGTAAGGAGAAGGCCAAATTTACCGCTGAGAATGGCAAGCAAAATCTCAAGAACAAGGTTCCAGAGGAATACCGCGGAAAAGTGAAGGAAGAATTTGAGGACACCAAACGTCACCTTGAAGAAAAATTCCCTAAAGAGCGTCGCGAAAGGTTCATTGAGCGCATGAAGAAGGTTCTTTACGAAAACCAGAAGCACAAAGACTGGAAGGAGGCTTTCGAATTCTTTTTCAAAGAGTTCGAAATATACTACGGCCACGCTAAGACGGCTACTGATACTGGAAAGGACAGTGCTGCCTCGGTTTTGAGTGATCCAAATGTCAAACAAGCTGCCAACGATCTTAGAACGGTCTTGGAGAGATTTGCTAACGGACGCAGCGCTTCACCGATCTTTGATGCTTTCCACGACCTCATCAAGACTTTCGCAAACGACAAGGAACTTTCTAACTGGTTCGAAAAACTCATCGCATACATTCGCAGACTTGTTCTCGAACCTGGTTACGTCCTCAAAGAAGAAGCAAATACCGATGGTGACAAGCTTGGTAAGGATATTCGCGCTATTGTCGAAAGCGAGAAGTATAAGGGCCAAGTCAAGAACAACCTCTCCAAGGAGATCGCTGACTTCTTTGAGTCTATGGGTGAGGACCCACTCAACAAAAAGTTCGGCGAAGACTTCAACAAGCTTTTCCGTGACTTGCTGTTTGACTCCAATGGCAAATTCACTTTTAAGAAACATCTCTGGGCTGACATCCGTGACCACATTGTTCCACCAGTCGTTGAAAGTGTCGGAGCTGTTCCAATTCCAAGAATTGAATACACTGATCCAAAGCTTGATGTTGTTATTGAGAACCTTGTCCTTCAAGGCAAGAACCTCTTACCAAATTACGTCATTGCTGAGGCTTACAACAGGGTATGTTTAGAAAATCGATATCAGATTAGTAATTAACTTTCAATAGGTCAAATTCTCACCTTACAAAAAGATCAAGAACGAACATCAACACGACATCAAGATTGAGCTCGGTCAAATTCAATGTGACCTTAGAGACGTCGCCTTCTACATCAATAAGAAAACTGGATTCAAGGTACAAGATGCTGGTCTTGCAGATGTTTTCTTAGGTGGTAAAGGTGTCAGCGCTAAGATCCACCTAAGCGTTAAGGGTGGTACCAAGGATGTCTTCCAAGTCAAGTCTGTTCAGGCTAGCGTTGGTACTCTGAAATTCGATATCAAGGACAGCAAGCACGATATTCTCTACAAGACAGCTCGTCCACTCGCAACCAATCTCATCAAGAAGCAAATTGTCAAGGCAATTGAGGATGGTATCAGAGGTGGTCTTGAAACACTCAACAAGAAGTTGGTCGAAATCAAGAAGGAGATGGAAGAGTCTGAGAAGAAGGGTGATAAGGGTAGCACTAAGGGCTCTATCATTAAGAACAAGTTCAGCTCGAAGAAGGAGAAGGGATCAACCAAACCAAGTCCATCACAGTTCAAGATTGTTGCCAACCGCAACTCAAAGCTGATCGACGCTGGTCACAGCAAGGGATGGATCAACTTACAAGCTAAGTATGAAGACCAAGTCAAGCAAGGCGAGGCTTGGAGAAGCAAAGCATTTAGCGTTGTTCCATCCAAGTCAAACAAGAATCAAAAGAAGTAAACAGGATCAGCGAATACTTCTAATTCTTAGTCATTGCTATCACTTTCTTTTAAGTTCAGCTGCTTTATGCTGATGACAATTCTTTTTTTTACTAATAATTCTTGTTTCTCAAAGTACAAGGGTGTTTTTCCAGTATTCTTCCATTTACTAATCTAAACTTTAATTAGTATATATTTACTAAACTTATTTAAGCCTATTTAATACTTGTCACTCATTGAATATATTTTTAATTATCTATGAAGTGTCTTATGTAGCAATAGGCATTCCGTTTACAATTCAAAAAATAGAGATAAGAAGATTGCCTGATCCTTCAGACAGTAGTGTACAAAATTAGGCGACCTCATCCTTGACGTCAGCCTCGGCAGCATCAGCACCTCCTTTTTTGCCTCTCGATAAGAATGAGGCGTTTGTCGTGGGCGTGAGTAGCCCTATATGAAAGATACCGCTCAACCAGGCAGCAATAACCATTGGCATACCATCATTGGTGTCGAAAGCAGCCTGATCTTTAATTACAGTGCCTTCCCAGCCATCCTTCAGCTCAATTAAACGGTAGATGCCTGATTGAGAATTAATCAGCGTGTTTCTGAGCTGAGTGACAGCCATACTCACCTCTCCAAATGATTAGGAATGACATTGCACCAAGCATTGTCAATCTTAGAGCCAAATTTCTTTGGTTGGGTTGCGACAAAGGATCTATAGCGATAGGATCTTGGCGCTTAGCCCTAACGGGCCATCTCTTGTAGTATCTAACTACGAACTCAAGTAAAAAGTAAGAGTAGAAGATAATGCAGGCAAACTGAATAGCAATACCAGCCAGCATCACATTGCTACCCGTGTGGAGAAGCTCCCTGTTAATACTTTTGCTAGCTGACGATGCAATACCACCACCTATTCACTCGTAAGCAAACGCGGCTCTATGTGGATGTTAAACGCCTACCAGCAGCCTGAACGAGAATACTGAAAACGTCTGCAGTGATGAAGACAGCAGCGAACATCCTTGGACCGAGAATAGAGAAATTCGGGCCGTACTGCAGGCCAACGACACCAAGATCGACATAAATCATTGCAGAGAGGAATGTAGGACCGATGATAAGTGTGGCAATTTGCATGATATAAGCGTCCCGATTGTCGCCGCACCTGCCACCCCATCCAATGGTCTCGAGTATCAGGAAAGGGACGATGGTGCCGTAACTGTGGGGTTTTACTGAGATTTAGAGCGATTTAGCAGGGTTTTACTCACAGCCACCACTGCTTCGTTATCCCAGCGAGTACGCAGTGTGCTATGAGCGCTATCCCGAAGAGCACTGTAAAGACAATTGCATGTGATAGGGTAGGATTGCCATCTGGAGTAGAATAACCGTAGTAATCTACAGACATTTTAAAATTATGCTAGTAGTTGTCACCAATTAAGATGTAAGCCCAAGACGCTGGGCGCTGCTGGGCTCGGTGACGATGATCACCGAGATGAGTGCCCGACAAATCGCAGTGGTTAATTTTAGGCAGTAGTAGCACATGTCGCAGTAATGCGAATTCTAGCTAATTTTTAAAAAAGTGATCATCAGTCATCCAACACTGATGACCTCACCGGTTTGTAAGGTAGTGAGGGATTTAAAAAGGCCTTAGCTACACTTGAAAGAGGCCAGATATGTTTTATTGAGCAGCAAGTACTCAATCATACCTACAAATCGCCGCAGAAGTGTGGAGATCCGCACAGTGAAACCTCATACTGGCAGATTATATACTCTAGTAACATCGTTGGCTTTATAGGAATCCTAGCACTCCAAAGATACTTTTCTCTCCCTAATCTGCTCGATATCCGCCAAATTGGATTTCTCGACCACCATCTATCTCATCTCAGATGGCTGATTTACGAATTTTGATGATGTCCAAATAAAACAGCTTGAAAAACAGCCCTAAATTATCTCTAATACATGTCGCCAAAATTATTTTCATGAGTCTCCAATTGCGCACTGTAGGCTGTTCGGAAGTTGCTATCCGACATCGCTCTTTAGCACGTTTTAGGATAGATATGGATGGTTTGACGTGGTTAATTAATAAACACGCATATTTGCAGCTGATTGAGGGTGCAATAATCCAGGAATCTCAAATGCTTACCCGTCTAGACGCGATTTACATTTTTCGACAAGTAGAGTCTACAGGACTTAATGCTGGCTCCAGGCCAAAATGTACTGTCTTTCGGATTATTAAATGCCTATTTCATCTAGAACATTCAAAGAAAAGGGGGGTTAGCCCAACTCTCAAATCGATGTTTTGACTTCATCAGGTTCATTCAGAGATTCAAATAATGATGGTGTTAAGGCAGTAAAGGCCAAAATGGAATCACAGTAGTCAGGATAGTAGGAATTCATAACTTTAAATACTAAATTATACTCTCTGAAACATGCCACCTCTAGTTAGACTAGTACAGAGCACTTCACTACGTCATTTATGAGTAGCAAACATGCAAACTTCTTACAAAGGTGTTAAAAACAGATTGGTATAAAGACAGCTTAATGGCAGCCGTCTATGAGCCATGGCCAACTCGTCATTGAGTACGTCCTTTTCGGCCTCGATATAATGTCCTTTACTGTGCTAATTCATGTAAAGGTGGGAGATGAGAGATGAACTAATGTGTCATGTGTATGTATTTAGTCTTTGAATTTAGTACCAAATGTCGTTTATTGGATTTTGCGGTGATTGGCCATTCCTGATCTGTTGCTGAGCTGCGATAATAACCTTTATACCTTATGTGATAAGAGAAAGGTGCAGCGGCTGAATGCATTAAAATTGATGCTTATTCAATGATACTATCGAATATGAAAATCAGACGCCATTATCATTCCTCTATGTCATGGACCCAATCGAGAGGACGCTAATCTGAAGAAGTCAGTAGTTTTAAGGCTCTAATGAGGTGCAGCCTACAATATCACCTATTGTATTTACGAATAATTGTAAGACACGAGTGCAAAAGAGTACACAGCTCGCGAATCTTTCCAACTAAGTATCTCTCACAGCTGCAACTTAAATAAAAGTCCTAATTAACAATCAGGCTCACATGCATAGCCAAATACACACTAAAGTCTGAATTTCTTTAGTAAAAAGTGTCCCAAGAGGATTAAAGCAAAGAAAGTGGATAAGAGATGCCAAATTTCTATACGAGTTCGTGTTTGCCTTCGCTAGAATATGAAGCGTGATTGCGATTTCTCATCATCGACGGGTCTGGATTCAACCAGCCAATATGGAGGAGAGAAGAAACAGCCAGGCAAAGCAACATTGGCATACCGTCGCAGGTGTCGAAAGCGTCCTGATTCCTCATCAGATCGCCTTCCCAGCCAGCATTAAGCTCCCTAATTTGAATCAGCTGCGTGACCGAGAACAGTAGTATTAACTTACGCCACTCTAAATGCTGATCTCCAGATTACCAACGTGGTGATAATACAGAGCATAACAAGTCTGAGTTTGAGTTTGAGCTGCTCTCTGCTTGATAGTCTAATAACAGCTGCTGGTGGGCGCTCACGCTTAACTGGTCTGTTCGTGTAGTATCTGACAACGAATTCACCGAGGAAGCAAGAGTATGCCAATACTACAACTAGCTGCAATGCAATTCTATGAGCTTGTTTAGATTTGTTTTGTAGCATGTGAGCAGACTTACCCTGCTAAGACAACATTAGAACCGAGATTAACCCTATCAGCTGCATCAGCTCCGTTACTCTGATTGCTACTAGATGCTGAAGCTGCAAGGCCACCTCCCTGTCACTTGTTAGGGAGTTCAAGGAGCTGGAGTCTACCCACCGCGGCTTGAATCAAGATGCACAAGACATCGAGCGTAATGTATACGATACCAGTTGTTTTGGAGGGCATAATGCTGTAAGGGCCGTAGAGGCGAAGGACGTTTGCTAGATCATAGTATATGAACGCAGTGAGGAAGCATGGTGCAATAACCAGAAGAGAAGTTTGAATGATATAACCTGTTCTTGAATCTGTGCATCTGGCTGTATGACTATGTCAAAGCATGCACTTGAAAGTTTTGATCGCTCACCCGCCCATCCAATAACCTCCATCAGACCAAAAATGACTAACGTTGCATACAGCCACCACTGTTTTTTCCAGCCTGCTTGAATTATGTGTGCAACAGTGAAAAGGCCAAAGAAAACAGCGAAAACGGCGGTATGTGATAGGGTGGGAAAGCCATCTTCAGTGTTGTAATGGTAAATATTTCCTGGATCTGACATATTTGTGGTTTTGGTGCAACTTTAAAGTATAATTTTTCCTTTTATTGGCCTCAGGGGATAGTATCGCCGGCTCAGGAACGCAATAATCTCCTCTACCCGTCGCCGGTAAATCTGTGAGAATCACGGTGATATTTGACCGTAAAGATTTAGATGAGTCCCTACTAAGCTCTTTGATCTGCGTCGGAACTCCTACATTATTGCCGTGGACTAAGAATGGCGTAGGTAAGAACGAAGGGGATTTCTTGAGCATAGGACTTATGAAAGTACTCGTTTAATTTGTATTTATTAAGACTTTATACGTTGATGTTTCTTGGTTTGTTTCATCAACCATCATACTTAAGGATGCTCGCTGTCAGTGGACACTACGCGTGAATAAACCATCTGAGAATAAAATAGAGACTTACACATTACGGTATCGACGCTGTGTTGCTTTCAACTGTGCTTGCTGGCGTTAAGAGAAGCACAGGATTCAGGTGAGCGAACAAGTACGCAAGTAAGCAAAATTAATCAGAAAACAGCCCAGATATAGAGAAGTTCACGGAAGAAGAGACAGCAAAATCTATTGCCAAGAAATATTTGGGGATTGGTGAATTTTGTTATGGTGGGTATATGGTATAGTGTAGTGCACCAACTAAAATCGATCCATTAGACGGCGTGACCGGATATGTAGTCAACAGCTCCTACTTCAAGAGAGGCGAGCGTAGATAGAAAGACATGTACAAATATAAATACGTTTTCGCACACATCATAAATCAGACGTTTAATATCAAAGTATCGGTAAAATCATGAGTTCCTCGCAATAGTGTTACAAAACCCAATACCCTGTTTATCTTATACAGCTTAAATTTAAGCGACGGTCCAGACACGGACAGCGTTGTCGGTGAAACCAGCGAAGAGAGTTTGACCGTCTGCTGACCATGAGAGAGAGACAGCTTCTGGCTCACGGGCGTTCTTGCCAATGTCAACAAAGTCTGGCTTGAGTTCATCGACGATTGACTTGGACTCGAGGTCGAAGATCTTGATGCATGATGAAGTAGCAGCGCACAACCAGTAACGGTTTGGTGAGAAGACGAGTGCGTTGACAATGTCACCAGCCTCGAGGGAGTAGAGGTGCTTACCCTCGTTAAGGTCCCAGAGCATGGTGATACCGTCCTTACCACCTGAGGCAGCAAGAGAGCCATCTGGAGAGACGGAGACGGTGTTGATGTAGCCAGTGTGACCGTGGTGGTTGGTCTTGAGCTTGCAGTTTGAAAGTTCCCAAACCTGTAGACTAGGTTAGTACTGAAAATAAAGAAATTCGGACGTTGGTTGAGTGGTCAGAGATCTTGGTGGTTCATATGTCTCATCGAGCGTACTCTCTGAAGTAGCAAATATTAAACAATACATCATACCGACTCGTCTCAACGTCATCAAGTAGAGAAAACCTACCTTAACAACCTTGTCCCAACCAGCTGAGACAATGACAGGGTTCATTGGGTTTGGTGAGAAACGGACGCATGAAACCCATTCTGAGTGACCTTCATCCTTAATGTCGAACTTGCATTCACCAAGGGTGTTCCAGAGCTTGATGGTACGGTCACGGGATCCCGAGACGATTTGTCTGTTGTCTGCGGAGAAAGACACAGAAAGGACATCAGCTTCGTGGCCGACGAAACGTCTGGTGGTGGCACCAGTGTTCAAGTCCCAAAGACGGAGAGTCTTGTCCCATGATGAAGACAAAGCGAATTGACCATCGTAAGAAATGGAGACATCAGATACGAAGTGGTTGTGGCCCTTGAGGATACGCTTTGGGTAACCGTATTGGGCGTCGTCGCGGGTGAGTTGCCAGACGATGACAGTTCTGTCACGGGAAGCCGTGAGGATCATGTCTGGGTTCTCAGCAGAGGTTGCGATGGCAGTAACCCAGTTTCCATGTGCGGCTAAGGAACCCTTGTAGTGAAGTTGCTCTGACCTGGGATGGCTGTCAGTTATATATATCTGTGGCTATTAAATTCTTACATTTTAATTCAAGTGTCTGCTAGAGAAGAAAGAAGGTTTGATTTGAAATTTTAAAGCGCGCGGTGTGTGAGTAGACAACCAACGACCAAGGCCAGGAACCGGTGCAAAAATAATGTCAGAGATATTTAGCCTCTATTTCGATTTAATTTCCAAGGATTCCCCTTGGAATTCTCATCATCACGTCGATCTTTTGCTTAGATTGAGGAATCTCGTAGACAGAAATACCAACAACAGCAACAACACCAATACAAAATCAGCGGAGATATTGAATTTCTTCAGTAAATACAACGCGCAATTCAAATCAGCTACAAATGACGCCGTTGATGCGAATGCTATACACAGGCTTATCAAATGTCGCGACACCTACTGCACCCCCTACGTTCACTCCAGCTTAGAAGATCAATCGCCATCCTCTCTAATGACCCGCATTGAGTCTGCTGCTAAAGAATTAGGACTCGAAGCCTTCCAGGATCATTCAACACACGCTCAATTCACTGTTCATACAGTCACTATAGCTGGAACTATCTTAGTAATAGATGTTGATCTTACCAGCTCACCCAACCAGCAACCTTCACTTACCCGACTCCAAACATCCTACGCTACCAACTCAAACAGCGCCCTTGAACCAATTGATAAGCTCTTGATCAATGACTTGAACGATTTCGTAGCACCGAAAAGCGATTTAAGTAGTACTGAATCAACCCCTCTCAGAAGCGAACGTGCTTTTCAAAGATTTAAGCGTAATCTACATCAGCTAGTCTTGCTTGACAAGCTCAGTCAAAAATTAGGCAACGAGAATGACCTTTTCGTGAGCTTTGAAGCGCTTATTAAGGCTTTCGTCGATTTGTGTTCTGCAGAAAACTCGTGAGTCTTATCCATAAACCAATCCACCGCTTATTCAAAACTTAGCTTGATATCACAACCTAAATATTTGCATCTATACCCATCATTAGACATATCTGGACATGGTCTAACTCTCAATCACTCAATACGACCTTATCTCACCCAGTTGCTGCATGTGTCTTCTCGTGAATTGTTTGACCCAGCCCAAGCTATTCAGGCTCTTTCTCACAATGACACTTGTACTATCCATGTCGAGTTACGAGAGAGCTCGTGGCCTTTCAATCAACCAATCCCGTCAAAAGTTCATCCAACTTTTAAACATCACGTACCATCAAACGCAAACTTACAAGTACTACCAAGCTCTGAAAAAGCCATAATAGCTTATGCTTGTCTAAACAAAGATCTCTATTTACCAAAAAATGTCTGTTTGGCGATACAGTCTGCGCTGGGATATAGTGATAATATGCAGAATGATCATAAAGTGGAAATTACTTGGCTGGATTGCTTATACCAGCGCTTCTTGCAAACATCTGTACGACCTGTAACTCAAGTAAGTCTCTCATTGTGCAGGTTGTTCATGCTCATCTCACTCCACAGTCACTGGCTAATTCAAAGAGTCAACTATATACAATAAGCTGCTCAGAGGGTAAAAATAACATGGCAAAGCTATCAGTAGTACCATTTAGGACATTCTCAGAACTACTGAGAATTATAGAGGTATGCATTTTCTAACACAAGTGAAATTTTAACGTAAAACAGATTATCAAAGAGCACTTGTACTTCGAGGAGCTTTTGACAAGCTGCTTGTATGGATGCAAGCTCTTAAATGAATGTAGCAATCAAATTGGCGTATCAGTGATCCTTACAAATGAACCTCTTTCATTAGAAGTAAATGTCGATAGTTCGCTAATTTTTACGGTTACATATGAGCAAAATGAACTTACAATTAGATCAAATGGATTAGATGATGATACAAGAATTAGAACGATTAACGTCATATCAAGAACAAGAAGCATTCCTATCACTGTCTCTTGGCTAATCAATAGATTGGACACTACCAAAAATGTACCATAATAAACAATGAAGCAAGCAAAATTTTAAACTTAGAAATCACTACATAACGAAAGATGCCAAAATTGTACATGCAATGATTTTAGAATGTTGGAGTATTACCTAGGAATAGACTCGGTTCCTCTTTCCTTACCCATTTAACGAGCGATTGAGCACAATTTACAGCAGCGCTATGTGGCATCGATGCAGGTAACGCGATATACAGCTCGAATATCCTTGTTGACCATACCAATACACTCTCATGTTCGTTTTTAATAAAGTAAGAGAGCCTCTGACTAGTGCGAGGTCTTATTTGTTGTGGCGCCTGCGGGCTATGATTTATCCTTCTCGGACCTAACTGAGGTAGAGAGGGCACATAAGACATCATTGACGTAGTTGCTTTAAGCATATTCGCTGGTGTTAACACTGTTGCTCTAAGGAGCTGTTGTGAAATTGAACTATTTATTACCCTATGTGGTAATGTCAATTCGGTATCTTTCATGTTGTCGTTGTTGATTTGTAGATTCGACGTCGTGGGTATAACGTGATCGCTATTATCGCTTTGATTACTTTCATACGTCTGCTCATTATTTTGCTTTTCAATTCGTTTGCTTTCGACATTATGGCTATTGGAATTTTGTTCTTCTTGCCTAGGACGTGCTATTTCGGAGGATTCGTTCGGATTTTTATCTTCATCTTCCTGTTGAGTTGTGGAAACAGATGCAGAAGAGGAGGCAATAGCTGACTGTTCTGTTGATAAATTTTTCGTGTCACCAGCTCGGATTAAACTATCTCCAGATCCAATGATACTACTTCTGTCAGCAAACGTACTGTCACGTCTGCTAGCATTGTCATTAGGAGATCTGAGCGATTCACCTGAGCTAGTCTTTGGTATACTAGATTCAGAACTTGGAGAGTGAACGAGATTGTATAGCTTGTCGTACGAGTTTAGTAGACGTTGTCTCGAATGCATATCTTGTGCGTAAATGCTATCGTAAGTAGGACAAGTAATCTGAACGTTGGCTTTAGATTTGAATATGAAATGCCGAAGACCTGGAACAGAAACATCACCACAGCTATAAATCGAATCACTTGCACCTTTGTATATGTCATCAAACACGCCTTGATCGACCATAGTCTGTTTAACTGTGTACCACCAACTAGAGACATCATCGAAAGATTCAGGGTTACCTGTGATATGTATCACACCAATTTCAGGGAAGCTTGAAAAGCCCATTGACTCTCTGAGATGTGCCGATGGTGGAATGAATGCAATATAGGCATTTAAGAAGCCGTTAGTAATGAATTTGGGAAGAGATAACGGTAACCATGATTCGCAACTACGTAGACTAGGCGACGAAGTTACTGTATTGAGAATTATAATGAGATCTGTGAGTTAATATGAGTATGATTGATGTAAATTTGTAGGTCGACTTGCCCGTAGGATGAATACTATGCCTTTTCGGTCTAATAATCGTGATGACTTTACCGAAGGCAAACAAGATGGTATACAAGTGATGAGATCTGAGGTGCTTTGGTGGGATTAAGAGGTTGCCAATGTGAGATCTGAATTTGAAGTCCATTTTGAAAGGTTGAATGGCTTGTAAGTTATAATGAAAACTAGACTCCAAAGAAATAATGAAATTCTTTAGCAGAGCCTCGGAACCTTCCACTAATTGCCTGAGATCGTAGTTCGGTTTCGTAGTGAGAATTTTATTCAAGTGATGCTTTGGTATAATCGATAACACCTGTTCGTGCAAGAGACAAAGCCTTGTACTAATAATCTTGTTAGATTCGTTTAGATTAGACAAGTACACGTAAATGAGATGGTCAAACTTGCTGAAGTGGATAGTGAGATCATTGTTAGCCTTTATGAACTTCAACTCGTCGCCATCGATAGAAACTAGGTTGAAAATAAGGTTCAAAACGCCCATTAGCGAAGTATAATCAAGGCCTGTACTGCCATTTGAGATATTGGTGACGTTGCCCAAACGTAATGATTTTATGGAAGTAGTCTTCAAGGAGTCAAGGGAGGTCTTAGATTTCAGCGCCTGATTGAACTGCTTGATAGATAGCCTGTAACTATCATGGAACTCGTCGCTGTTGAAGACTGGCTTGCCTGACTCAGTGAATATGAAGTACAACTGCTGGAAATTAGAATTGAACGTGACTTTGTTCTTGCTGTCTTTAGTCTCGTCCTTTACCGTCGATTCTTCCGAACGTTTCAATTGATCAGTGAGCCTTTCCTTAACGCTGTCTGTCATGGTTGGGTTTAAACTGTCGAGGACGCTTATTAATTCCAAGTTACCTCCGATTCAACAAGCCAAGCAATGGCTAGCTGAATTTGAAGGTCAAGTTTCTTATAATCTTTCACAAGGTGTTCCAATTGATCCTCCTTCTCCGTTACTGCAGCAGGAGTTATCAAGGCGGAGTACAACGAATAGCGTTTATCAATATGGTGATATATCTGGACACCCTGCCTTCAAGGACGCATTCTCAAAAGATCTCAACGATTACTACAAGTCAACGTTATCTACTGATAACCTTTTGATTACACCAGGTGCAAATGCTGCATTTTACACAAGTATTTTAGCTTTAATCCAATTTGGAGAGAATAATAATGTTATCTTACAATCTCCCTTCTACTTCAATCATGAAATGACTCTCTCTCAGTTAGGCGTCGCAACGAAACTGTTGGATTGCCAATCCGTCAACTCATTTATACCAGTTCCAGATAGTCTGACTCAATTAATTGATGTGAACACAAGAGCTGTAGTTCTGGTCACTCCCAACAACCCAACTGGCGTATCAATACCTTCTTCAATACTTGAGCAATGCTTGCGTATTTGCTCGGACAATGACATTCCTCTTATCTTGGACGAAACTTACAGATCTTTTTGTTCTTTTACCCAACCTCACTCTCTATACTCAACGAAACTCCCGAATCTCATATCCTTACATTCTTTCTCTAAGGATTTGGCAATACCTGGTCTCAGACTGGGTTCCATTGTCGCCCACAATGATTTCATTCATCAATGTCTAAAGATATCTGATTGTTACCAAATTTCATCCTCAAATTTAGCCCAATCTGCAATCGCACCGATCTATGAAGACTTGAGTGAGTTTAAACAATTTCAGAAAACATCTCTTTTAGAGAAACATCTTCTACTCAAGTCAATCATTGAGGATTTGAATGGTTGGCAAATATCCTCATCTGGTGCCTATTACGCCTTTATTAGATACCCATTTCCTCAATCGTCAATCGAGATTGCCTCTATTTTTTCGAAAGAGTTCGGTGTCTTGACATTACCTGGTTCATTTTTCACTACCGATGACAAAAATGATGCAAATTACCATCTGCGCGTCAGCGTTGCCAATGTCACTCAACAAACATTAATCGAAACTAAACAACGTTGGGCAAACTTTGATAAATATATGAAGAATTCATAATAATTAGGTGTACATGTTTACTTTACAGTCATTGTTCTTTTTGCTTGTCCAATATGTGTGCTATGAACTTTCAATGCGAATCTCAATGAACACAAAGACTCTTGAAGATGATCTTGCATAGGTGATAAGTTTAAAAACATCAAAGTCTTACTATTGCTGTTCAAACTGTTTTGTAATAAGTATGTCAGCTTCGAGTTTCTATATGGAATGTGAGAGACAGAGCCACTGTTAGATGATCCAAGAGCTGAAATTACGTCTGATAGTGAGCTGAGTGATTTATTGATGGATTGTGTCTCTTTCAATCTAACAGGGTCACTGAGAGTGCCAGTTGAATCTAACCTCTCCGAACCTGCTAGATCAACCAGGTTGAGCACCGATCTCAGCTCTTCACCAGTAACATCATTCTTCCCATGCAGTTTTAAGCTAAATACACTTGAGCTACGAGAAGATTGCTCGTGTACTCTAGTGGTTGCTGTCGTACGCTTCTTATTTGCCTTCTTCAACAGATTATGTACATTACTTGGCTCGTGTAGTGGTACAACAACCACATCGGAAACTGTCGTTGAGCCATTCTTATCGTGTGTAATATTGTGTTTCTTCTCTTGTTCGCCCGAGCCTAGCAGATCGTTTATTGTCTCATTGTACTGATGAGACATGAGTGAGACTGAAAGTATGCAACTTTGCAATCACTTACAATCTCTAAAAACTGTCCTTGCATATCGAATGACCACCCTTGATCCTCCAATTTACGTGTAGTGTCAAAGATGTGATATATTGCTCTCGGAATCATACCTGCATCTCTGCCTGTATGTGACTACTAATGGTAAGCAACTTGTATAATCTTCCAGCAAGCTAAACTTACACCGCCTTCCATTGTCCACGACTTGCCACTTCCAGTCTGACCATATGCGAATATGCAGACCTGTGACAATATGTCAGATAAGTCATCAAGCAGCAGTGAGACCTAACGTTATATCCGTCAAGTACGCTTTGAGTAAGTTGCTCAATTTCACTGAAAATCTCATCTTGCAAAGACTGTGGACCGAAAACTCGATCGAAAGTGAAATTATAGCTTTGATCACGGTTTTTACCTTCAGCAGTGGTAGTTGAGGATTCTAGAGTGATCTGTTTGCCACCATCTTTGTTGAGTCCGTCTGGGTAGACCAATCTAGCTACTTGACTCGTGTGATCGCGTTGTAATTTTGGTCTAACGCGTGCAAAAACTCTAACATTTCCTTTCAACTCCTGAATAGTGTTATGTAGCCTCTTTCTCAAGGTTTCACCAGCTCTTAGTTCATCTTCCATCTCTCTCAATTTATTTTGCATGACCATCATTTCGTCTTCTCTGGTTGCACCACTTTCTTTTGCCTTACTAAGCTTGAACTCAGCATCGGCTAAAGCTTGCTTGATAACCTTGGCATCAGATTCCAACGCCATAGAGTTATTTGTATATTTGGCTAACTCAGACTTAAGCTTCTTTGAGTGAGTTTTTTCCATGTTCAGTTCCTCTCCAAGAGCTTTGTGTATCTTTTCAAGATAAGATACTTGAGATTCTAGTTCATCTACACGATCTTTGTGCTGCTGTTCCAATATTGAAAGTTGATCGGCATGTTGAGATTTAGCATCATTCAATTCATCCGTTGTTGCTTGTCTTTTACGAGCTTCTAGTTGTTCGCGTTCAATTAGTTGCATGCGATCACGCATTCTCTCCATTTCGACGACTACCAACGAGAATCAGTTTTAGTAGGATACTTGGTGGTGACGACTTACTTTTGCTTAACTCGCTGTCAGTGACTTCTTTGAGATCTTTAAGTTTTCCTTCCCAATACTTTTGTGCGTTCTCATCAAGCGGCTGATACTATTCAATGATTTGCTAATGTAGATAACGACAACGAACCTTTGCATTTGTGGGCTTGAAATTTGATGTCTTGAAAGAGTCATTGGACACCGATTTTACAGGTACTGCTGTTCGAGATTTCGCGGTTGATGTCGCTGCAGAAGAGGAAGCCTTCCTCTTGAGTGGTAGACGTGAAGAGCGCTAAAACGTATACATTAGATGTTGAACGAGGCATGCACGCGTAAGACCCACAGCCTCCATCCGATTTGATTTAAGTGTTGATCGCCAGAACGAGATGATTCACTACGCGTCGCGAAAACAAGAATTCTTTTCATTTCATGATGCAAATAACTTGGAATTGTAATACAATACTATCACGTTTAACTGAAAAATCCGCTACGATCTTCACTGCGCATGCGTGACATATGCGCTAATAGGAGATAAAGCCTGAACAGTCTTGCACAGTTTTCATCGTCTTTAAACGGATATGGCGCGCCTAGCTGGTATGCTGCTGAAAATCCTGATACCATAGCAACTTCGTGCATGTTAACAAGAGTATATGCCCCCGCAAAGCACGTATTGTTCTTCCCGTTTATTGTCCATAACCATGGAACTGTTCCAGCATAATGCTGGAATCGATGACTTTGCTGTTTCCACCACTTTTCTAATATTATTTTATCTCGATTAACTTGATATTTTGTCCAACGATCGCTGGAGTCCTGATCGAGATAGATTGTCTGATAGACATGATTTTTAGGTACTGGAAGCGTTTTATCTCTTTCAATATGCTGAGAACCATCTGATGTTGCACTCTGTGAGTGCTCCTTGCCTTGATTCCCTGCTTGACGTTCAGTTGGTGGTGCATCTTGAGGTTTTAGATCTGCATCTGTTCCTACTGATGGCATGCCCTCAAATTGACCTTGATAATGGGTTAGATCAAAACTCATTTCAACTTGTGAAGGATCCTCTTCATACATTTTGATAAGATATAATGGTCTCCAGTGCTTTTGAGCAAATTCAAAAGCCTTTTTACTATCTAGGTCGTATCTTTCAGCGTTGTATTTTGAGTCATACGTCATCTGATAATTCTTACGCATGTAATCATAATCGTGATGAGTTACGGTTACGTCCCATTTGTATAAGACATTTCCAAGAATTTTCCTCTCACGCCATGTTGAACCTGAACCGGCATCAAGGATTTTGAGAGCGCTGTCAGCATCACATGCGAAGATGACCTGATCGAATGACTCGAAACGATGATGACTGTTCTTTAAGTCAGTTAAAGAAGCCCTTATATTACCACCAGCGTTTTTCGCTTCCTTTGTTCCTCTTTCAATGCTGTTAACTTGATTTGAAGCAAGAATTTTGACATTTCCGTTAGATTGAATTTTGGATTTCCATTTTCCATATATACGCGACAGTTCAGGAAAAGCTTTCATATGCGGTACGCTTGCCAAAAGACTTTTTTCACTGAATTCGAACAACCTCATCGATGGATCGAGGAAGACTCGTTCAAGAATAGCGGAAGAAATATGCTTAGTCTCATTACCAGTACCAAAAAATAAGGCAACCAGGGGATAAACCATTCTATCACCAAAGGAAGGGTGAAAATTGAATATTTTAAGCATTTTGTCCACGGGTATGAGAGCGAAAAAGATTTCAAAGCGTTTAATAGTGTTCAAAACACGACCGAACTGTAAATTGAGGGTGAGTTTGAAGGGATGCAGTGCATCAGCACGACTAACCTTCTTGATATCCTGCTGAAACTGGTCGACGAGGTGAGATGGGAATACGTTTGACCAAAAGGAGTCCACAGTATTTCCGAAGCTAATTTGCATACCAACATCACTTGCTCTAAAGCCCAGTACAGACTCAAACATAGATAGGGTGTTGTGAAACACCGGACTTGCGCCTTGTACGCCATCATTGATATAATCAGCACCGAAAAGATGATCATCTAGCTCATAGCTTGTAGCACTGCCTCCCAAAGTGTGAGACTTATCAGTTAAAGTGACGTTGTAGTTCTGTGGTTGTAACGAAAGAGAGTACGCAGCAGCCATTCCAGAGCACCCAGCGCCAATGATAAGGATGCTTTGCTTAGAATTACTATTGGACATGATAAAGTAATTTAAAGAGTGATACTAAATGAGTTTGAAATTAAATTGAATAGATTGCATCATCCACCAAGTTGCAGCGTTAGGGAATGTTGAGAAGTCTGATAAGATGTAAACCAAATTTGAAGCTATACACGGGTGGCAAAGAGTGTAGCCTTTGCGAGGAAGCCAAGGTAGCGCTAGAGAGCGTGAAGAGGGAACATGAGTTCAATCTGGAGTATTTCAACATAAGGGATGATAGATTGCAAGGCGTAGAGTACTGGAGAAGTATGTATAAAGTAAGTTAGTGTATATAAGTAGAAGCTGGCTCAAAACAAATAGAACGACGTACCTGTTTTACACATTGATGAAGAAGAGGTTATGAGGCATAAGATAAATGAAAATAAACTCATAGAATTAATTAATCACCCCCTCTAACCTTAACCACCATCAACTTCGAGGAAGTCCGCTAATGTTGCAATCACTCAGAAGGTGCAACTTCAACTACAATAAACTATCATTCGATAGCAAAGTTGACGATAAATTAATAAATTGTAGACTACTGAACTCAAATCAATTGAAGAATTTTAAAAAGAGGCCGTTTAAATGTAAACTTCTTGCAAGGGACTTTATTGATGATAGTTTATACAATCCAAACTACGGCTATTTCAATAAGAATGTTGACATCATAAAATACAAGAACATTGAATTTAACAAGGTTAAGAATGATAGTCAGTTGCAATCATTGTTGTCGATTAATTCATCAAAATCATCAGAATGGCATACACCAACAGAATTATTCAATCCTCATTATGGTCAAGCTATTGCGAATTACATCATCAATCATTACTTAGCGTATTACTACCCTCATCATGATTTGAATTTATTCGAAATTGGTGCAGGTAATGGCACTTTAATGTTAAACATCCTTGATCACTTGAAATCTCATCATCCACAGATATACAATAGAACTTACTACAATGTCATTGAAATCAGTGACAGATTATCATCGATTCAACGTAGATTGTTATCGCAGCACTCTAGACATATAAACATCATCAATAAATCATTCTTTGATATTAATTCAGTTCATCATCAACCTTGCTACTTTTTAGCGATGGAAGTCTTTGATAATCTCGCACATGATGTTATCAGATACTCTAACGACTCGAAAATTCCAATTCCTTATCAATTATATATAGCAGTGGACGATCAAGGTGACTTTCACTCCTTATACTCTCCTGCTAATGACCCTTTGATTCTTCGTTACTTGGATTTATCGTCTTCTTTTCCGTCGCTACAATCCAATCAATGGGCAAAATCCCCTGTTTTCCGTTATTTATCCAAATTCATTCCTTTCCTACCAAACTTATCTCAACAGGAATTTCTCCCGACAAAGCAACTTCTTTTTTTAGATAAGTTATCCTCGTCTTTCCCACATCATCACTTGATAGCTTCAGATTTTCATTCCTTACCTCAATCTATACCAGGTATCAATTCGCCCGTCGTTCAAACTCGTTTGAATGGTGAAATGATTCCTGTTGATACTTTCTTAGTTCAGCCGGGACATTTTGATATCTTTTTTCCTACAAACTTTGAGCTACTCGCTCAACTATATACTCGAGTCACTCAATCAAAGTCATCCACTTCAAGTAGAGTTAATAGGGACGTTAGAATACTAAGCCATAGAGATTTCATTCAATCAAATGCTATAGAAGTCAATCAAACTAAATTATTAGATGGTAGTAACCCCATGTTAGATTATTACAACAATGCGTCATTCATATTAACTTAATTTATTACATCTACTTATTCTGTGTGCTTTGTACTGCATTCAATCTATTCTGATAAGATTGTGGTTGTGATTGTCTTCTTGCTCCTATTCTACTGTCTTCATTCGTACCAAATCCTGGTATTCTAATGTTATAGTTGCGCTCTTGTAGATTTCACGTCAGTCATGATAATAGATAATTCAAATATCGACCAACCTAAATGTAACTGTAAATCTCTGACTTCAAGCGTATCACCCTTTCTATGCTTTGCTAACATACATCCAAAGTTTGTCACACTGTCTATGAATTCGTCTGCAATTTCGAGCATTAAATCTTCGACTTCGGGCTCTAACTTTTCCTTTGAATCTACAGTTTCAACTAATTCTTGAATCTTTCGTTTACCTAATAATCTATTGTTGTCATTCTCTAACATGGATTTTGTATCAATTTTGTTCCCATTACCCATACCACCAATCAATTCATCAAAGTTTGATGGTAAATTCCCTCTTTGCATGGTAGAAGGTTGTCCTAATACGGTTCCACTTGCTAGTCCTGAATTCAATGTTGGTCTGGAGCCCTGTTGATTTGGGAATGATTCAGCTTGAAAATTCATATTTGGAACCTTGTCATTAATAGGTAAAGACTGATTGTTGCTATTTGCGAGTTGTGATTGTATGGCGGCTGACATATTGCTTTGCGATGTGTTGGTATTTTGTTGTCCTGGTAATGAATTTGGTGGGGGGGTTGCTATACCAGTCATACTGCCAACAGCTGGAGACGCTGTACGAGGTATTGGTGTACCACCTCTACCATTTGGATTAGGTGTGCTAGCACTACTACGTAGTGCTGGACTACCACTCCTTTGTTGCTGCATTGCTTGAGCTTGTGCAACACTAGCATTTCTAGACAGTACATTACGCTGGTCTTGTCGAGCTTTTTGTTGTTCATGTAATCTTGCTAAACCACGCAATTGATTCATTTGCTCGGGATTGAGTAAGCCTCTTCTTGCCAATTCCAGAAGTGCAGGAAGTTGTTGAATCATACTTTGCATATTTTGCATCATTTGGCTTTGTTGTGGATTTTGAGGAGTTCCCGGTTGAGACTGTGATGCTTGAGCTGGTTGAGCTGATTGATTCTGCTGATTTGACTGTGTTGGTGTATTTGGTTGCATCGCAGCTTGTTGCTGCTGCTGAGCAGCTTGAGCTCTCTGATTTGCCATATGACGCTGAATGAGCAGCATCTGCTCTGGAGTTAGATTCTGTTGATTTTGCTGATTATTTGACATTTTGAGATGATGATGGAGGAAGGTAAGGAGGTTTCGAGGATAGAAGGATAAAGCTGAATGTATTGCAATTTAAATAATAAATAGATTTCAGCTGTAGATAGCACTCTGCAAATACATTCACCTCTTGCACCAAAACGTCGTCGATGCTGAGATTCATTTTAGTTCAAGTGAGTTCTAAATTATCCCAGTATACGTCTAATATGCCCAAAGAACAGACAAGGCAAAACTAGATTATCAAAGTGGTACGTCCCGGTAGAAGATGAGGACAAAGTACGTCTATTATCGACTGTATCGTTTTCTATCAACTAAAGGTCTTAAAAGATTAAGCTACGCGGCGAGGTTCACAGACTGGTCGCCCCTCGTGATCAAAAACATCAAAGTAACTTTGTCGAATTCAGGAATTACAAAGTCGTTTACAGGCGATACGCTGGTCTCTTCTTCTGTGTTTGCGTAGATGCAAATGACAATGAGCTCGCTTACTTGGAAATCATTCACCTCTTTGTTGAGGTTTTAGGTGAGATTATCTATCTTCAGTTAGAGTTTCTAACTTCGCGTTAGATGCTTTCTTTTCAAACGTCTGTGAACTGGATCTAGTTTTTAATTTTTACAAGGTGTATGCAATCCTTGATGAAGTCTTTCTAGCTGGTGAAATTGAAGAGACTTCAAAGCAGGTCATTTTAAACAGACTCGAGTATTTAGAAAGATTAGAGTAGTATATACCTCCAGTTACGAAATTTCCCTTCCATATACCACTTCTTATGATTTTAAACGTATACATGATATACAGCTGAAGTTGCAGCACCACAATAGTTCAGTCCATCTCTGAATGTCCCTTACCCCATTTGTTGAGACACAATCCTATTTTTAATGAGAGAGAAATAACCCCATGAATCACTTACTGAGCTCAGGCATCTAACATGTAAGGGTTACAGCATTGCGGGGTTTTACCGTATAAAGTAAAAACGTTGTTACTTGCTTCTAATCGTGACTGGAACATAACTTGCATTTTTAGTTAGAATTTTACATATTGCGGGTTTCTGGGGCCCACTTGATTAAATATAAACATTTTCTTCTACAATCTATCTTGTCCACAACTTTGTGTTGATCGCAGATTTTTACAATCGGATACAAAGCACCCATCGTTATCTTTCTCGAAGTTTGCTACTGCTGTGGCGATAATCTTATTCGCAAGATAAACACAGTTGGTCTTAACGCTGCCACCGCTAAGTCGCATTACTAGCGAAATGATTGTATAAAGATTATTAAACACATTCAATACATGTTATAATGCATAAAGATTTTGCCATATCTCTCGTTGCAGTGCACAACCATAAAATCATACTAGTCGGCTCTACATCATTATGACTTCAGGACAAGTTTTAAGTTAGCAAAAAGGTTCAAATGCTGAAAAAAGTATTTAAGAATTATTGAAATAGTATAGGCTATTTTTTCGAATTGAAATTGCTCGGCTTATCCTGAAAAATATCAAGTAAGTGCGATGATGAGTACATTGAAATGGTGTGCTAGCATTATCCTTAGAAAAAATATTTTATTCTAAGCCTGCCAACATTATGATTTTACTATTTAATCATTCATTCACTCAATATTATTATATTAGATTTTCCTTCTATCAGACATCTCCAAAAAAGGAAATTATCTTATAGCTCTAGTTCAATTAAAAACTATTTGCTAGACTTGAAGCATTTGAGTACCAATTCCACCCTGTAAGCTGATTGAAGGGACCATTTTGATATGAATCTGAAACAAGAAATAGAGCAGACACGGAAGCACTTACGTGCTTAACAATGCAAAGCATCTTCATTGAATAAAATATTCTATTGTTGCTCAATACCTCAAGCATAGCCTTTCTAGGTGTGTGCTGCAGATCTGGACCCGCGACTTTCACATTATTCGATTTCGTTTCCTCACGTGTATATCTGTACGCTATAGATTTTAGTAGTGTAAATTTCAACCAAATTCAATAGTAATATTAAAGAATATATTTTAACGAGTTGCATCAGAAAAAGGCTAACTGTGCAACCTTTTCAACTAGGTACGGGATGCGCAGAATGACTTTCATATCGGTCATATCAGGCAGAACTTCAAATTATCAGGCTAATGTATACAGAAGAGAGACATTAATATTTTGCAGACTTTTAAATCCCTTATTTCTGTGTTGTTCTCACCCATATCACGCATATTTGGACATACGATTCCCATTTTTGGCTTGAAGGTTCAAACGCGATTTATGGTGCGAATGAGGTTTGATTAGATGAAAATAATGTAAGAAGTGTGTGATAAAGTTCTAAACTCATTAAATTGAGTATTATAAATAGAATAACTCGCATTTCATAGGTTGTGCTCTATGCCAATATCACGCAAACAGATGAGCCAGCTATTTGGGGGTTTCAAAGTGTGCTTTTATTGAAGTATTGAATGTTTGGAAAGTATTAAATCATTTTGAAAAGTATTAAATCATTGTGCAACTGTGTTTTTTTAGGTGATTTTTGAGAAGAATGGTATAATCAAATCGAGTGACAAAGGAGGAAGTAATTGCGTGGAACATGGATGGGAAATGACATTAATAAATGTCTGGTGTTTTATATTCGACGAAAATTTAGTTGGACACAGCCTTTTTGGAGGTCTGTGACGCAATGCTTCGCATCTTCACTCAGCAGATCAGCAGATGACATCACGAAACTTGAAAACCTTCAAAGCCCTTTTGGCTTACTTATACTAATAATATTTGATCTTGGTGGTACAGAGGAGCTTGATTTTCCGGTAATCGCTGATCTAGCTAGGGTATTCTGCCCTCATTGATGTCAGGAAGTGAAACCAAATTCATGTGATGCTGCATTGCACTTTCATCAAGACCAATAAAAACGTGCGTTCACTTTATTAAGTTTCCAACTGATTACGTGTGTTTGCTGTATAATCGCTGAACAAGCCATTATTCAACTCAGCAGTGTTAGGCCACGGACTCGGATTGATTCCAGCCTATTGTTAGATACTCATACTTCTAAGGGAATTTGAAGGCGTTAAGCTCTTTTTATTATAACAATTTGGGTATCGTTATGTGATAATCAGAATCGCAACCCAACTACTATTCAAAAGAACAAGATGCGTACATTGACTTCGGATACCATCCATCTTAACCACGAGTCCTCAGTGAGACTCTCAAATCCTTTACCTTAGTTTTCAAGGTAGTTTCAGCGGTGCGCACTCAATAGCCTTTCTTTTGTACGAAGGGTGCGCTAAAGATGTCATAGTTCCACTTGAGACCTCAGGGGAAGCAGTAGCAGCTGATGTTGATAATCGATGTCGTTCATAAAATGTAGCTTTTCAATTACGAACGATATCTTTTTGCGCAAGAAAGTGACCCTGAGACTCAAGACTACTAACGGTTAACCCGAGAATTCTGTATTCGTTGAGCATAACATCCTGCCAGCTTACGACTGAGTACCTCTTTCGGTTATGATTGACCCATTCATCCAATAAATTCCAAGAAATCCCTATGCATTAATGGGGATCGAGATCCACCCACAATTCAACCAATCGGCATGCACTAGATTAGGTTACAAGTATGAGCAATTGCAAAATGCCTAGATTAGATACACATCAGGCCTACTTTAATTCCCAAAATACGCAAAACCCTATGCCCTTATCGGCATGGAAATTCATGCATTATACTCTCAACGTAACCCGTGCACTAGTATAAGTTTAATGGAAGTGTGAGTAATTTCAATAACAGTTGTACATATGATTGCTAAGCTTAATTTGGTGTATAGGCTGTTGGAAGCTGAGCGTGTTGGCTTAGGTTTTGCTTAAAGATGAAGACGTGATGTTGGTACCTGATTTAAAAAGGTGGCCATGATTGTAAGCCGTTAATGTGTCTAACTAGAACGATGTACCACCTATAAACTTTTATACAATCGCTGGTGTATGCTCCCCACTGAGCTGACACAGGCAGAAGGAATTAGGATTCATATAGGTTTAATACTGTTTCAAGGCCGTAAAGTTCCCAACGATTCTAGAACACAACTATGAATTCATCATGACACATTAATTACATTCGAGCCGCTCAATGATTTCATCGTTGCTGCCTATATGCTTACTTTTTGCGATTCGCACGATGGCTTACAAATCGATAGGAAAAAACAACAAAACCTCAATATAAGTACAACTACAAGTGAGAAATAATAAAAAAATGGTACTCAATTCATTATATAGGATAAAACGAGAGCGTCCAAATTAATATGAACTAAAGCCAACCAGTAAATGCCCATTGCAACCTGTTAATTACTTTCAGCGATAGCGAACATCTAAACTTCGTGGTCGTGTATTTCATGACATAAAGCTTGCCTCTAAACTATAACTCAAAAATCGCTAGTTTGGTTCATAACAGACATATTTGAAGTAGCCTACTACATCGTTTGTGAAAAGAACACTTTCGTTCAGATTGAATCTTGAATCAAACTAATGAGAACGTCCGCTGTCAGTATCACAATTATCGAAAGTCATGTTATCAGCGTTATATCAGCATGTCGGCTGTGAATTGAATGATGAAATAGTTACTAATAAATAGCTAGGCATGCTCTTATCAAGATTACTATCAGCTGAATGTCTCATGCGAGAGAGGCAGTACCAAAACATCTTACTGTTGGTTTTTTTGTTTTTTTGTTTTTTCTACTGAATGCTACAATTAATCCTGCTAAACGAAAACCAACTACCATTCGATTAGAATGTTCCTGGTTATTTGTTCAAAGTGTCGTTTGCAGCATCCTAGCAAGTTTTGTAAAAATTTGAAAATGATCTAGCGAGGAAAATGTTTTTAAAGTGGGGTTAAGTGATTACGATTGTACGTCTAAAATATGTTGAAAGCTACGGTCGGCATACCCTTAAATTGATAATTACATTAGATTTTTCTTTCGAATGATAAAACAGGAAAGAATTTTAAACAAATGAGTTTGAAACCTCTTTATATAGACTAATCGCCCAATATATATCCTATTCACAAGCAGAACAGTGATCAGATCTTTATTATTCAAATCCCGTAAGAAATTTACAGAAAAGCTAAGTTAGGTCATTTAGATATGCAAATGAGGCTAACGGAGATCGTAAACGTCATATTATAAAATACACTTATTATTATCAGTAAATTTACACAATCACATCTTGTATGACAAATGTCTTTATCACTTAAGCGGACTTATCATTATACTATTACCCACATGTAGTTACAGATAAAACATAACAAACGTTATCAATGTCGCGTGACTTTTTGTCTTGAATGCCCTCAAAAAAGGAATGTTTTAAAATCGACGGATCTTCAAGTTGAGTAAAATAATATCTCAATTTTACTACCTGAGAAAATTAGATTCTTAGTATGTAGGTTATGGATTCTCTAAATCGTTGAAGGAAATAAATTAACGACTAGAATTTATAGCATTTTCGAATTTTCGAACGACAATATCTTCATTTTAACCTAATCCGACAACCTCGTGTACTAAACCTAGATCATGTATGGGAACTTTCTTTGCTTGCATTTCGCTAAACGTTGGTAACAACGTTATTCGATAGCAAGGTAAAATCAAAACATAATAAAATGCATGTTTCGGGGTCTACAACAACGAGTAAAATAATGTTAATGTTTGAATATTGATCTCAATGATAAAAAACATGTATTACCGTGGGTTTGATAAGAATGAGGAACTACAATTATTTAACCCCCAGTTCTACTATGCCCATGTGATAGACTTTCTTCGATCATTCAATTCACAGCCGACATGCTGATATAACGCTGATAACATGACTTTCGATAATTGTGATACTGACAGCGGACGTTCTCATTAGTTTGATTCAAGATTCAATCTGAACGAAAGTGTTCTTTTCACAAACGATGTAGTAGGCTACTTCAAATATGTCTGTTATGAACCAAACTAGCGATTTTTGAGTTATAGTTTAGAGGCAAGCTTTATGTCATGAAATACACGACCACGAAGTTTAGATGTTCGCTATCGCTGAAAGTAATTAACAGGTTGCAATGGGCATTTACTGGTTGGCTTTAGTTCATATTAATTTGGACGCTCTCGTTTTATCCTATATAATGAATTGAGTACCATTTTTTTATTATTTCTCACTTGTAGTTGTACTTATATTGAGGTTTTGTTGTTTTTTCCTATCGATTTGTAAGCCATCGTGCGAATCGCAAAAAGTAAGCATATAGGCAGCAACGATGAAATCATTGAGCGGCTCGAATGTAATTAATGTGTCATGATGAATTCATAGTTGTGTTCTAGAATCGTTGGGAACTTTACGGCCTTGAAACAGTATTAAACCTATATGAATCCTAATTCCTTCTGCCTGTGTCAGCTCAGTGGGGAGCATACACCAGCGATTGTATAAAAGTTTATAGGTGGTACATCGTTCTAGTTAGACACATTAACGGCTTACAATCATGGCCACCTTTTTAAATCAGGTACCAACATCACGTCTTCATCTTTAAGCAAAACCTAAGCCAACACGCTCAGCTTCCAACAGCCTATACACCAAATTAAGCTTAGCAATCATATGTACAACTGTTATTGAAATTACTCACACTTCCATTAAACTTATACTAGTGCACGGGTTACGTTGAGAGTATAATGCATGAATTTCCATGCCGATAAGGGCATAGGGTTTTGCGTATTTTGGGAATTAAAGTAGGCCTGATGTGTATCTAATCTAGGCATTTTGCAATTGCTCATACTTGTAACCTAATCTAGTGCATGCCGATTGGTTGAATTGTGGGTGGATCTCGATCCCCATTAATGCATAGGGATTTCTTGGAATTTATTGGATGAATGGGTCAATCATAACCGAAAGAGGTACTCAGTCGTAAGCTGGCAGGATGTTATGCTCAACGAATACAGAATTCTCGGGTTAACCGTTAGTAGTCTTGAGTCTCAGGGTCACTTTCTTGCGCAAAAAGATATCGTTCGTAATTGAAAAGCTACATTTTATGAACGACATCGATTATCAACATCAGCTGCTACTGCTTCCCCTGAGGTCTCAAGTGGAACTATGACATCTTTAGCGCACCCTTCGTACAAAAGAAAGGCTATTGAGTGCGCACCGCTGAAACTACCTTGAAAACTAAGGTAAAGGATTTGAGAGTCTCACTGAGGACTCGTGGTTAAGATGGATGGTATCCGAAGTCAATGTACGCATCTTGTTCTTTTGAATAGTAGTTGGGTTGCGATTCTGATTATCACATAACGATACCCAAATTGTTATAATAAAAAGAGCTTAACGCCTTCAAATTCCCTTAGAAGTATGAGTATCTAACAATAGGCTGGAATCAATCCGAGTCCGTGGCCTAACACTGCTGAGTTGAATAATGGCTTGTTCAGCGATTATACAGCAAACACACGTAATCAGTTGGAAACTTAATAAAGTGAACGCACGTTTTTATTGGTCTTGATGAAAGTGCAATGCAGCATCACATGAATTTGGTTTCACTTCCTGACATCAATGAGGGCAGAATACCCTAGCTAGATCAGCGATTACCGGAAAATCAAGCTCCTCTGTACCACCAAGATCAAATATTATTAGTATAAGTAAGCCAAAAGGGCTTTGAAGGTTTTCAAGTTTCGTGATGTCATCTGCTGATCTGCTGAGTGAAGATGCGAAGCATTGCGTCACAGACCTCCAAAAAGGCTGTGTCCAACTAAATTTTCGTCGAATATAAAACACCAGACATTTATTAATGTCATTTCCCATCCATGTTCCACGCAATTACTTCCTCCTTTGTCACTCGATTTGATTATACCATTCTTCTCAAAAATCACCTAAAAAAACACAGTTGCACAATGATTTAATACTTTTCAAAATGATTTAATACTTTCCAAACATTCAATACTTCAATAAAAGCACACTTTGAAACCCCCAAATAGCTGGCTCATCTGTTTGCGTGATATTGGCATAGAGCACAACCTATGAAATGCGAGTTATTCTATTTATAATACTCAATTTAATGAGTTTAGAACTTTATCACACACTTCTTACATTATTTTCATCTAATCAAACCTCATTCGCACCATAAATCGCGTTTGAACCTTCAAGCCAAAAATGGGAATCGTATGTCCAAATATGCGTGATATGGGTGAGAACAACACAGAAATAAGGGATTTAAAAGTCTGCAAAATATTAATGTCTCTCTTCTGTATACATTAGCCTGATAATTTGAAGTTCTGCCTGATATGACCGATATGAAAGTCATTCTGCGCATCCCGTACCTAGTTGAAAAGGTTGCACAGTTAGCCTTTTTCTGATGCAACTCGTTAAAATATATTCTTTAATATTACTATTGAATTTGGTTGAAATTTACACTACTAAAATCTATAGCGTACAGATATACACGTGAGGAAACGAAATCGAATAATGTGAAAGTCGCGGGTCCAGATCTGCAGCACACACCTAGAAAGGCTATGCTTGAGGTATTGAGCAACAATAGAATATTTTATTCAATGAAGATGCTTTGCATTGTTAAGCACGTAAGTGCTTCCGTGTCTGCTCTATTTCTTGTTTCAGATTCATATCAAAATGGTCCCTTCAATCAGCTTACAGGGTGGAATTGGTACTCAAATGCTTCAAGTCTAGCAAATAGTTTTTAATTGAACTAGAGCTATAAGATAATTTCCTTTTTTGGAGATGTCTGATAGAAGGAAAATCTAATATAATAATATTGAGTGAATGAATGATTAAATAGTAAAATCATAATGTTGGCAGGCTTAGAATAAAATATTTTTTCTAAGGATAATGCTAGCACACCATTTCAATGTACTCATCATCGCACTTACTTGATATTTTTCAGGATAAGCCGAGCAATTTCAATTCGAAAAAATAGCCTATACTATTTCAATAATTCTTAAATACTTTTTTCAGCATTTGAACCTTTTTGCTAACTTAAAACTTGTCCTGAAGTCATAATGATGTAGAGCCGACTAGTATGATTTTATGGTTGTGCACTGCAACGAGAGATATGGCAAAATCTTTATGCATTATAACATGTATTGAATGTGTTTAATAATCTTTATACAATCATTTCGCTAGTAATGCGACTTAGCGGTGGCAGCGTTAAGACCAACTGTGTTTATCTTGCGAATAAGATTATCGCCACAGCAGTAGCAAACTTCGAGAAAGATAACGATGGGTGCTTTGTATCCGATTGTAAAAATCTGCGATCAACACAAAGTTGTGGACAGGAAGGAGGCATTTTGTAGTACCTGCAAACGCAATTTACTCTTGGCTGTAGCTGAAATACACTGCTGACTGTAATCAGTTTTCTTCTGTCATCGCATTTAGCGCCTCAAGTGAAAAACTAAACTCTGCTAGCTCTTTGGAAGACGCTGAAATCGACATATCAAGTCTTATCTTGAGCTACTTTACCAAGCTAAGGACATCCTGAAACATCCCAACAAGCTCTAAAAGGCCTGATAAAATCGAAAGCTTTCAATGTGTTGGATATACTCGACAACTGACGTTGCAAATATGAGATGAAGAAACAAACTTCTTTGAAACAGCTTTGATGACTTACTTTATTATGTAGCACCTCCCAATTTCGCAATGATTGCCTTCGTGGAACGTATCAATTAAGTAACCAGAGTCGATTGAATGAAAGGTAGATCGACGCATGCAAATGTTCAACAACTTTTTATCGATGTATACATTTACCCTGATAGATAACGTTATCCCCTGGTGGGTGTCTGCCCATATATCATCATCATGAAAAAGGTAGCTAGAAGTACGGAAGCCGTGTTCAACCGGGTTTGAATATGCTGAAATAACTAATCTCAATATTCAAGAATTCAAATCTGCTGTGCATCTTCGTCCACTAACATCTAGCATTACAGATGACGTCCGCACAGGAAGCACAGTATAACCAGCCCAGCTTTTTGCTGATTGTAAACAATATTCAAAAGATTCTCTTACCACACTGTTTCTGTTTGAGTTGGTGAGATGTATCGACGGAGTTTTGGCATATGTATCCACGTGTATACGACGTGTATTGAGTAATATTAGATTAAAGTTTTTTTTAAAAATAACCAATGATATTCACATATATCTTTCCCTTGGTTGTTAACCGCGACGATGTCTTTCGGTCGGTCGATGGAAGCGCCTATGGATTTTAAATACAGTGATAGACCATTGAAAAGAACGCATAATGAATACGATAATGAGATGAGCTTTAGAAGCAATGAAAACGTAACATTCAAAGACGATGACAGAAGGAGTAATTTGGTTGGGAGCAACACGCCATTCCTTTTCAATAAAGTGGATGTTGAGCCTAATAATGCTGATATTGAGAAGAAAGATTATGATAATTTTAAATGGGACGTTAAAGCATCGCTCGGTTTAGGTGAAGTTGAAATGACAGACTTAAGTACGAGTAATGAAGACAATAAATTGAAGGTTTCTAATAGCGCAGTTAATAAAATGCGTAAAAAGAGAATACGAAATCAACAGAGCAAGGAGAATACAAAAGACGAAGATGATAGATTAGATTATAGATACCAACAAGATATACCAAAATTATTATCAACTTATGCACAAATGGGTTTCAATTTATTCTTACTATTAGGTTTATCATTATTAGCATTCAAACTAGTACGAACGATATTAAAAGACGTTGAGCACAAAGTAGAAGTATACGTACAGTCATTAAACTCAGAATCATCAGCATGTGCGAGGTCATACGCGCTAAATCAATGTGATCCATCGACGAGGGTACCAGTTAGTGAAGACGCATGTATACATTTTGAGCAATGTATGCACAGGGATCCGACGACAGTGGGCATAGCAAGAGTCGGGGCAGCAGCGTTTGCAGAGATATTAGAAGGGTTTGCAAATGAGATAGGGCTAAGAGGCGCTATGTTGATATTAGTTTTGCTAGGATTCTTGTGGATGATGAGGAATGTTGGGAACAGAGCCGGTGGAGGAAGTGTAGATCAAAGGATGACGATAGACGATAATAAGATTGAGGAATTTCAGATGTTCTTGAGATCGCAACAGGGTCACAAAGGCAGCAATAATAATTTAAAGAAGAGATGGGGTGGAGGATATAAGATAGAGCCAAGAGATGCATTGATGGAGAGAACAAGAATGCTAAGATGACTTATTATAAAATTGATTGATTGGTGGCATGAATCTAGTTACCTTGTCGTGATTTTGAACGTGTAATTTAAGTTTATTTAATAAGGGGTGGTTAAGCCATTTCGCAGGCGGTTGCTTACGATCTAAAGACCAATAATAAATATCCCAGTCAGGCTCATCCATTAGTTGATCGAATTCAATAAGCTCGTTTAGAGTCATTGATGGTAAATAATCCTTAGCAAAGGTGGATAAGATGAGGTCAGATTCCAAGGTACCTCTGTGCCTTGATTGATAGATCAATCTTGCTCTTTTCTTGTGAATGTCTTCATTGTGTCGTTTGATTGGTTGGGGGAATAACGTTTCATCTAGATCTTGAGATTGAGAGGAAGAAGATAGTGATGGATCGAAAGGTAGTTTATACGGGTCGCTTCTAAGAAGCCTGGTGGAAGAAAATGACCTAGTAGATGGCCTGGTGAATATTCTAATCATTGCTGAGTGGCTGATAATTGCTTATGTAATCGTTGTAGTTGGTCATCTTCCGTAAATGGCTGAGAATATATATAAAATTCTAAATGCTGAAAACTTTCTGACAATTTGTCATGCTTGATGAGCGAGTATAAATAGTACTTCAGAAGGTGAACATTATTCTGCTTGATAACTAGCACTTTTAATATGTTTAAAATATCGTCGTCATCTATCAAATCAATGAAATCAAGGATTTCGAATAATAAATGGCTTGATAGATTCTGTCTAATCAACAAGGCAATAGCCCTTTTAGCCTTATCCAACTCATCCAACTGTAAATTCAATAAAAATAGTTGATATAATTTGAGTTGATTCTTGTTTTTAAACTTTGTAGAATTGAAAATAGCCGACATTGTTAAATGAGTGAATTAAGTAATTATTTTAACAGTCAGTTGATTTCTTGGTTTCGTTTGTACACTAATCCCTTATTCAGAGAAACTGCTACTGATAACAACGGATGGTAGATGTATTTTAGTAAGAAGTCGCCAAATAAATTAAAATTATTAACCTCTTCAAAGGGTCTATTACAAGGCTTTGATGATAAATCAAACATTATACTGTCTTCGTCGTTTGAACGTGTTTTCAGTAAAGATGAAGGCGTCGAGATTGTCCCTCTAGGTTTGTACCTCATTAAAGGCGATAACTTGTGAGTTTTTTTTTATTCCTCCTGCGCTTCCACTCATCCATATCTTTAGAGTCTGTGCTTCTGAACTAGATACCGATATAGACGACAACCAAGATTGGACAAATATTTTGGCAGAGCCGATACATCCTCTTACTTATTAAACATCCTTTTAATCTCTGTATTCCATTTATTGAGCATGTACTATACAACAATCTTCTATCTTCTCAATTGAATCGGTATCCCATAAACCACAACAGCTGAACCTGTTAAATACTTCAATCTACACTCTCTTCGCGATTCTGCAACTGATTGTGTTAATGTTATACTCTCTCCAACAGTTTCACTCCTCATTGACTCGCTGTTTAATCCTATTTTATCTAAAACACTTTCTGATAATCTGTCAATACTATCACATCTATTAGTAATCGCTTTTTCGTCCAACTTTCCACTCACTCTCTATCTGTGACATCCCACAAATTAGCTACTAAGCAAGGACATCCGGCCAACAGATAGTTGTTTGGATTGCCATTACTGTCAAAATCTCCATTGCTTTTCAATGATCCTGATGAGCATCCCCATAACATCGTACTTGCGCACTTGGGCATATTCCTTATCTTCTGTGATCTAATGTATTTCTGTCCACCTCCATGTCCAAAGTAGATGAATAAATCTGATGTTTCTAACGCATTCGACAACTCCACCTCAAGTGGCTCTCTCCCAACTATACCTTTCCATCCAAATGCTTTCATTTCTTCAAACCATCCGCCAAACTTCTTTTCTGTTCGCTTCAAGTCTCCAGAAGGATTAATCAAACAGTAAGTATTCCTTGGATTGACATATAATCTATCCTGATTCAAGAAATTGATATAATCTAGTCTATCTCTCAAGAAACCTACTGATGGTATCCTTGAAACACTTTGATTTCTTAATCCAGGTATAGATTCCCATGGCATAGATTGTGTTAACTTATCCAATGTTATAAAGGTATGCTCCACTTTGCCTTCATCTTTATTATCAGCATACTTATTGTGATACTCTTCCAATGCGCTACGAATATCAATTGTGGCTTGATCAATATCAATCTCCGAAAGCGCTAATTGTATTCCATGGAATAAGTAGATATCTAAAACAAAGTATATCAAGTCTTCAAGCTCCTCATCTTTGCAATTTGTAGATAAAGCTGAGAAGCATTCTAGTAATGCATCATCCAACTTCACTTTAGTAACTGGCTTCTTTCTTCCGCTGGTATGGATATGCTTCTTAAATACTTTCTCGAGACATCCTCTCAATCCATTAAGTGCACTTTCTGACGTTGCAGTTGGTTTGATAAACAATGATTTGAATACTCCTAACCAACAAAACTCAATATTCTTCACCAATTGTCTCATCCTTGAATCTAATGTTTTGCGCTTATTCCACCATGCAACCTTTTCATCATCACTTTTGACATTACCATCACTTGCTGATTTGATTGAATCATCGCTCTCTTCAATGACACTCTCGAGTTCATTCATTGCATCCATATAAGTAAATGCTCCTTCTTCTCCGCCACCTTCACGCTTGTTTTGTCTGTTGTCTAAAGGTAGTGAAACTACCAACGGTTCTAAATTCTTTCTGTACTTCACAACGAACATTGTTTTTTTATCATCGGTTATTGATATTGAGATTACTGTAAAGTTCCTTGGTAATTTATTGATAGTATCGCGCACACCCTGCTCAGGTTCTGAAAACTCCTTAACGTGCCTCATTCTTACACCCTCCCAGTACTTGTTGATCTTTAGATCCTCGTTAAAAAGATTGTCTTTCTCGTACATTGGTGACCCTAATGGTGAAGGTGAAGGCATGAACAACTTCTTTGATCGTTTATTTAAAGGTGTGAGCATTCTCATTGAACTAAGTTGATCTATAGCAGGCCAATTCATATCATTTCGAGCTTCATTAGTAGCCAATTTATTATCAATCACCTCCAAAAGCTCTCTACGTAATGTAATGGCCGACCCAAGATCTAAGTATGCCGCTGCTAATGTTGAATTGCTTTTACTAACCTTACCAAGTGATGTTTGAAATGATTTGATTAATGCGATTGCTAGACAAGCCTGTCTAATGTCTTTAACAGGAGCCCTATCAATATTCAATTCGAGTGCACTCGTGAAAAATTTTTCAGCATCCGCTAATGTTTCTATGCTTGGTTGGCGCGATGTCAAGCGATTGGAAGTATTACTTGACGTTGATCCACATGGTATTGATATCACTGTATTCTTATCAACATCAAGGTCAGTGCTCTATTTTTTCCATACTCACAAGCATCTGATAGAGACGACATAAACAAGTCACTCTGGAAGCTATTATACGCCTCTCTTAATCGCATTTTACCTAAAAGCATATTTTCTTCTGCTTTATTGGTTGATGTTGCTGGAAAATCGAACAACCTATCCAAAAGCTTTTGGCTTTCATTATTCTTCTCGTCTTCACTAAGCAGCCATATTCTTTGACGCAACAAATGTCCAAAAATATCAGGTAGTAATGGATCATAGTCCGTTAAAAGATTGGATTCACTTTTAGCACTAACAGTCTTCTTGGGTGATGTAAACAGTGTTTCTGCTTCACTGTAAGTTTTGTCTAATCTCTCCAAAATTAGACAAGCAGAAAGATAACCTGCGGATGCATCAACGTTAGACTGTAACTTGAACAGTAAGTCTCCTTTCGCTTTCTTGATCAAAACAGACGACTCTGTGTCATCTTGTCCACCTAACGAAAGTAAAGCCATATCAATCTCTTTCTTAGCTTCATCTAAGTTAGACAAAGACATATTAAGCTCTGCCTTAGCTGCATTGATCTTTGCATTAAAGTTTGGCGATGCTAACGTTTCTGTGAGCTCGAAAGCCTGATCAAGAAAGAAACCTGCTTCTCTTGAAGATCCTCTGCTAGTGTAAATTGTTGACAGTAACAGCAAGCAATCAAATAGTGACTGCGATATTCTCCAATGAAGGCCCGTACAGCGTCTATTCTCAAACACATTTGAATGAGAGCTAACTTGCCTAGCCTTTTTCTCGTCTACATCCATTGAAAACGGATCATCGTTGTCTTTATTCGATGACGAATCAATTGTTGGAGTCAACTTAGACAATTGACGTGCGGCATTATTAAATAATCTTAGCGCTTGAGCTAGACATTTTAATGCAGTTGGTACATCTTCTCGATTGTAAGCTATTGATGCATATACTGTAGCTGCAATTGCTGTCCTTTCAAAATTCAAAGTCCTCGTCAATGGATTTTTCAGGTGTTCCTTGTCGACAGTAGCATCATACAGCTCTTTGAGGGCATAGGCGTCATTGTACGCAATCAAGCTAAGGTCGCTGTTAGTCTAATTTCACACATTTATACAACTGCTTACCTCTTCTCAACATTTCCTGTGATAGCCAAGTACTCAGAGTATCTCAATTTGAATTCCATTTGAGAAGCTATCCAAGACTCTGATGTTTTATCTGATGGTACTTCCGCTTCCTTCATTGTAGCAACCTGTGCAAATACGGAACCTGCTCGATAAATCTTACCAATCTTGACATACTCTGCTGCTAACGTTGTTGATGCTAACAAATAGTCTTCAGAACTGTTGTTGCCATTCCGTTGCTGACTATGACAAAGTTTCCTAAGTAGCTTGAGAAAATCAAGTCTAAGAAATGTGTGTCCTAGTACCCCGAGCATCTCAGTTACCATCTGTAGCGCATTATAACACCTCTCAATATCATAGACGAGGTTATTTTTGGAAACTTCTACTTTAGTTTCTTTGATACCTTTATTCGACGTTACTGCATTCTTTATGGTTGATGGTTTGACTACTCTCCTTGTAGCAGCAACCGGACGAACAGGGCGGGCCGTCGCTGGTTTAGAAGACTGATTTGTAGCTGATGCCGCTGTACGGCTACGAGTTGTGCGCGTATCTGCTGTTTGATTCACTGAACCATTACGAGTTTTCGGCGCTGCGTCGTTTGATTTACTGTTCTGACTTGGGGGAAGAAGAGAATGTAAGTTGTTGTCTCTCATGATAGAGCTCTTTCTTTGAGATCCGGTACCTAAAAGTGACTTTAATATTTCCTTTGTATGTCTTGCTTCTCTCAAGGCTGAAGATGAACCTTCTAGTGCGGTATCACTCGATCTGTAGTAGTATATAGCTAAATACATATGAGCGGATAACATGAAACTCATTGTGTAGACTTTGAATGTGTCATCTTCTTTGTAATCTTGACCCTGTAAAATTGACCGAACTTCTTCGAATATGACTTCTGGCGCCGGTATCTGCATATCGTCAAGAAAAACTGAAGGACCAAGTACAACCTGCTCCATCAATCTTAAAAGTACGATCACCCTCCTAAGAGGATGCTCCTCCACACTGTATCCGCTAGGGCTGATCAACTCTAGCAGCATGAAGAGAATTGCGGAGCAGGTATCACGATCCGACCACCCACGCTCTTCAATTTGTCCCACTTGTAACTCTATTAAACTACACTTGACATTTTTCTCGATATTTTCATCCTCTGCACGACTATTGAAAGAAATTTCTTGCGGTTTCAACATGAGTTTCGATAGTCCGATTTGCATAGCTTTCTTAACGATAGCTTGGAAGTTTTGAGAATCATTAAGATCGCCCGTTTCAGTGTTTATTGGTGGTGACGTCGTTTGCAGTGAGCATATGATTGATTTGCTAAAGGCATCATAGGCCGAATGGTTGTCGTGAACCTTTGAATAGCAAATTGCTAGTAGCTCATAACGTCTAGGCCGTTGATCGATCATGATATTTAATATCTCTTTGTCACCTTTAACTAGATCTTCGTTTGGTTGCCTTGAAATGCTGTCTTTACACATTCTGATCCCATACTCAGCGACATGTAAGCAGCTTTCGACTGCAGGAATGCATTGTGCTTCTGTACCTGCTTTACCATCCTGAAATAGTACACATGACCAGTTCCAAAATGCTGAGGCGAGAAGTCTGTTGGCCTGTGGTGACCTCAATGGTTCGATAAACTCCAATGCTCTAATTAGATAGGAGAAAGAGGTTTGGCTATCTTTCAGCGAAAGTTGAGAAAGCTGTAGTAGCGAGTCTAGTGTACCATACAGAATTGGGGGAGACAATGCTCTGCTTTGCTAAATATGTCGTCAGACAAGTAACAGTAAATCAATAAACTCACCTTGAGATGATACTCTGTCCAAAGTGCGATGCCGTCGTAAAGATTTAAGGCTTTAGCGTTCGATTCGTTGATTTCGCTAAATTGCGATAACTTATGGTACAATGATCTTCGAATACCATCAATGATTTTCTCGGTTTTGTGCAATTTTCCGTCGTCAAGATTAAGGTACTTTAAAGAATCCAACACGTGAGTGAGTTTGGAACATTCTTTCTCCTCGAGGTCTTGCATGTTCGATTTTGATGCCAAGTTAGCGGTAGCTGTCAGCAAAATCACGTTGTACTTAGCGAAAAGGCTTTCGGCATCACCTGTCAAATTTAAGGATGACATGTCTGTGGCTAGGTTGTCGGTTTCTTCTGTGTTGACTTGATGCTCATTTGACAGAAGCTGGGCTAGTAATTTCAAAGAAGGTAAATCTTCAAGCTTCTTTGCTATACCCATCCAGCCCTCACAGAACTCAATCCATCCGTTCTCCTCAATGAACCTTGAGTGGTTACGATCTTGTGCAAACTCAACCATTTTAGACCAAAAAGGCTTGACCTCGTTTGTGTAGGGTGTCAGAGCATCCTCAGCTGATCTCAGCAATGACAAGCCAAACTTCCAGCCTTGAGTCCACCAAAGATTCAAGTCAAGATTGTGATTGTGATTAATGAGCATCAGCGCTTTTGACCTGATTTTGAAATGAATGAGAGCAGTAGATGACGAAGGTTTGGTTTCGTCAGTTGTGGCTCTACATAGCAACTTGTAGAGAGTGCTAGTTCCATTAGCATACTGCTCCATCTTCAACGAATGCCTTAGCGATGGTAACTGAGAGATCAATGAGCCACGACTGCTTAGAACGCTCGATAGTGCAAGTAAGTCAACATTCGGTAGAGAGAGAAGAATGCGTGTCGATAATTGGAAGTAAAGCAGTTGTACGTTTGCAAGCTCTGTTGATAGCGTCTCCTTGGGAATCGTGTGTAGCAATATACCTTGTGGCTTGTTTGGAGGTACTTGTATAGGTGTTGCTGCGTCTTTACATAGTTGACGACAGAGAAACGGATGTAAGGCAATCAATTCCAGCAAAGCGGATTTTGTCTGGGAAGAAATTAGAAAGAGTAAATGATGTAAATGTGACTCACAAATCCTAGCAGATTACATTCCTCGACGCACTTCAATGTCGCTCTGCAGATATCAACACCTTTGGTGGGGAGTGAATCTTCAAGCTCGCGTAGCGTTTCGAGTGATACCCTAGCACATGCCACAAGATGCGGTAGGTTTTCCTTTTTGATGTTACCTTCGCTCGCAGATCTCGATAAGCTAGCGAATGACTTCAAGCATGCGTTGCAGCACCTCAACGCCAAGGTCGCGCGTTCGGCCAATGAAGAGCCGTTTGCACGGCCTGGGGATTTAGGCTGCAGTGTTGCCATCAGCTGCTTGTGCAAGCTATCCGTGCAGGTAGATATGTCCATCAATTTATCTACGAATTCATGGGGCGCTACCGACGTAGGAGCAACATTATTGGCCGTTAGCTTTGAGCGCGATGGCATTCTCGTCGTCGCTTTCCTGCTTGAAGTACTTGCCATCTTCGTTTGGTGATGGTTTCGGTTGAGATGTAAAGACGCGTGGATATGAAGATATATAATTTTAATAGTATTGAAGATAATAACAATCACATTCTATTCTTATGTAGCGCGTCATTTGATATTACTCGCTGCCAAAACCCACGCCCAACATCTCGATAATCCAGGATCGAAGCTTGCGTCTGGAGCGTTCTCTACCCAATACTTGACGTACTTTGCTGCCTCTTGATAGCTTGAAAAAGCCCAATTAGTCAGAATTACCGCATCCCAACCACTGTTTGTGGGAAGGACAGAACGCAAATGAGATTCAAACTCCTGCGATATGAAATCTGGATTCCTAATGTAAGGAGTAATGGGTGATAGTGGCAGTATGTGAATGCCATGTATGCAATGGATATCTTGAGAGAACCAAGTGCCATGATCACGCTTATTTTCGAAACACATACCAACTCTATTTCCACGCCAGCGGGGCGGCATGCATGTGTTACTATCGTCCAGAAGGCGATAGTGGCTTGTTGATGTTTGCATGGCAGCTAATTGGAGACGAGCTGTCAGTGATTGAACTGTATCACCAATCCCTTCAGCGAAAAGTGAGGCAGAATAATAGAAGTGCGCCGCCTCAGATGTGCTTTCTTCATCCTTGCCGTCTGTGTTTGGTATCAAACCCCTCGCCCATGAATGGCCCACGTACCAATCGAATGCTCTATGAGCACAAAATTGACTAGTATCTTTTAAAGAGTTGACAGAGTTCACTATCTCAGATAGCTTCGCCTTGAGATCACTGGATAGTGCTTGCTGCGAAAGCAAGACAGCACCTGCGTAAACCAGATACGAAGCGTGAAAGTGTATATCATTATAAAACGACGAGCCAAAATCCGACAAAGGATCGTTCGTGACATGAGCTGCAGATGAAATGATTCCACCGATTGTAGTATCGTAAATAAGGGGAAAAGGTCTTTTGTCGCTTAGAAGAAGATCAAGGCAGCTGCTAAGAATATCTGATGCAAATGTGTTTAAGTCGTGATTAGAGAGCACGTAATAGGCGATTACTACCGCATTAGCGAGTCTCCCGACAAGTTTACCAGCAAAATACAAGCTCGGCTCACTCGATACCTTCGACAGCCAGTCTAAGGAGAGCTCTTCTCGTAGTGTTTGTTCAAGCCACAAACCTTCGGTGGGCGATTGTAAATTAAAGCGCTGTGGTTGTAATTGCATAGATGGCAATGTGTGTTTGAATGAAAATTCACCAGTTATCGATGAAACCAATGAAGTTGGACCATTCGAGGGAGTGCTTAAAGATAGCCTTTCTTGCTTTACTCCTTTTTCTAGTATTAATGAGTTCAGATGGTGTGGTAAAAGATGAAACAGTGTAGATTTTGCAGTCGTATTCTGCTTGTGCTTGAAGCAATAAGTGCCCCTAAAATAATTTGAGATGCGCGTACTCAACTCAGCAATCAAAACCCACGATTTAGCACTAGGAAAAGATGTCTTTAGCTCCATACCCTCAGACCAAGACCCGCAAAAGCTGTCATAGATGGCAACGCTAGAAGTCTCCTCATCAGATAGCTTGGCAATCTGCACAGTACCACACCAGGAGTCGTCTGCGTTGACTGGCGAAAGGGTATGCATGTCATCCTTAGTCCAACGTATGGGAGGCCAAGTGTATATGACCCATTTGCCACCATCGTTACAGCTTACAAGCTGCTTGGAGCTATTTTCAGAGCTTGGCAAGCTATCCTCAAACGCAAGCTGTGATCTTAGGACTGGTTTGATTCTGCTGTAAATACCTGTGACGAAAGCCGAGCCTCTTGAAATTGGTACCCTCAAAGAAGAATTACTAGAGGCAGAAGTTTTGAGAGTAATATTTACGAAAAATGAAGACATGTCACTGAGACTGATATCATTCAGATTACCCGCATCGTTTGTAAAGGATAATGAACCGATAAAAGGCATCCAAAAGAACTTGCAGGCAATTCCATTTTCAGATTGAGGACCCCATGCCTAATAGGACGTAAGCTGTGCCGAAATTGCTACCGCCACTGACCAATTGACGTTCAGATGGACAGCTGACGATCAGACTACCGTTCTGATTTCTAATAACATACGGTAAAGGATAAATGGGGTCAGTTGAGCTGGAATTTATAAGAATATTTGAATAGAATGAATGGCTGTGTATCGGATGATCGTTCTGCAAGGTAAGATGAGGGTGGGGTTGGTGATCGAACGGCATCATGAGACAGTATTCGTACGATTAAATATATGATTTAATTTCGGTTAATCTCTCTTATCACAAAGTAACTCAGAGTAACTGAAAATAATGAAACGTAATCAAGAAGAATGGTTATCTGCCGCAAAAGAGATTGCAAGCTGCGTTGGCGTAAACGTACACGAATTGCTATCAAGAACAACGCCACTGCTAGACCTATGTCCGGTGCCAGTTCGCCCGGCAGTAGAAGTTCTATTGTCATGCTTTGATATGATTACTGTGAGTTAGCACGTTAACATATACTAAGCAATACTCATTGAAGAATAGGAAGTTCAAGATCAGTTCGGACAATCACTTAGACTGATTGAAAGATCCGCAAAGCTGCTCAAAGGCATTCGAGGTCAAACGGTTGGACTGGATGATTTGATGTTACCTACAAGACTATCAATAAGCATTTATAGATTTGAGAAGCTGCTGATAGATATACAACAATTCATACAGTCTCAAATAAAGCGTGGTTGGTTCAAAAGATTCCTGTTTCGGCACAAACTGAGGGCACACCTGGATGATTTCGATTTGGCGATAGATGATGTAGCTCAGGAGTTTGAAATTCTCTCACATTTATCAATACATAAAAGGCTCACTGAGGAAAAATTTGACCGAATTCAAGACAACTCGCAAATAAGATCGATGATGAGCGATGCTCTAGATAACGATGAGGAATTGTTAGAGCAGCTGCAGCTACAGCGGTCAAGCATCCAGTCTCTCGAGCAAGCTTTAGACAAGCATATCGCCACCAAGAGTAAGGACGAGGAGGTTGATAAGATGACTCGACGGAACAAACCCGGGAATGTCTTGCCAGACGTAGGCAGACTTTCAACGTTGTTTAAGCCAATTTCATCCAATAGTGTTTCTCACGATAACACATACCTGTCATCTCTGCTGAAAAGGGTTATACGCACGCCGGGAGGCTTTAAATAGCTCAATCACTAAAGTTTGCGGATAGATACCCTCAATTCATTACCCAACTCACCACATAAGATTACCATTCTATTTTATTGTATTTGACGCGATGAAATATTTTTATATATATCTGAATTAAAGCTAACTATAATCAAAATATGAATCGCCGACTTTTCATGCTCTGAGCAATAAAGAAGGATATTACCATGACACAATAAGTGTTTATGGAGAGAAAGCGATTGCTAATTGACCAACAAGGGTAAACCACCAGCCACGGGCTAAAGCACCAGTGCCCTCATCTTCTTTGATAGCACGCAAAGCGTCACCAACGCCATGATAAGGCTGTTGTCTGATAGTTACAACTGCGTCCTCGTATTTGTTATGATTGGTCTCTTCATCCCAATCCTGTTGACCCAAAGGCTGTACCATAAGTCTAGTTTGAAGAACGTCGAGTGGGTTAATGAGGAGGATGAGTGCAACGGTGAGAACTTGCCAAGACACCATGCCAAAGAGAGGGATTACAGAGAGGAAAGGTCTCAAAATATGGATGGTGACGGCGCTGATGAGGATTCTTAAAGCCAGAACTTGTAAGAGAGTTGCATTAATCATCTTGAAGGGATTTGACAATTCATTTGGAGTGACCAGCTTTCTGATGTTCTGACGGGGAGTAAGAACAGGAAGATTGTAAGGAGTAACGATAGCTCTCTTAATGAATATTTCGAATGGTAAGGAGACGCAGCCGATAAAGATTAAGCCAACAATAGCAGCAAAGTAACCGAGGAAGCCAGCAGATAATGTTAAAGGTAAGGGGATGAGAATGAGGAGGCCAATGAATATCTCAGAGATGAGAGTAGGGAAGAAACCTATATCGTGTAAGAATAGAGGGGAATTGGAGAAGTGACAGACCTTTGAAAAAACCAGCAAGACCTTCAACCTCTTTGACACGCTTTGCCATTTTAAAGTAGGTGTCGACATTTGGGCCAACAGTAGGATTGCTTTCTGGGTCTAAAGAAACGCCCTTTGGATTGAAGTGAGCACGGTGCCTTGTGAGTACTCCAATCACGGGTATAACGATGAGGAGGCCGATAAGAGCGCTGACAAAGATTATTGGGATCATAATCAAAATAGAGAGATCAGGAGCCTCTGGCATTGGATGATTGACTAACGGCATTTCAGCTGAGCTTGATGACGTTGTTGGTTCAAGTTGGATTGAGTCTGTTAATTGATTTTAATTCAAATTTTGATTAAACATTAAACATTATTGCAAATTACATTCATTGAATAGATTATTGCTATCAAAGTCACCAATAATTTCTTTGGGTGGAGATCCACACTCTTGAATCTGAGTGGTGTGAGATTGAGAGATATACACAGAGTACAGTAATTCACTCACCTTTGTCATTAAATCAAGTACATTTGACTTATCTGTGGCCTTACTGTCATTGCTATCCTTGCCATCCTTGCCATCATTATCAAATACCTTGAGGATATCTTTCACGTATCCAAATTGCTTAGAGTAGTTTTCAAAATCTTCATGTTTCAACTTTGGAGGTTTATTTTGTTCAAGGTATTCTGGGTACTAAATCCGGTTAAGTGAAAATCCATGTGAAAAAGGGAGAATAACGCACTTTTGAAGATAATTCCTTCAAAGGTTCATAAAGGACATCTTTACTAAGTAATTCGCCCATAACCGATTCAAGTATTTCATCAAGATTCTCGTCGCTTTCGTCAGTTGCGTCATTTGAGTCGTTTAGATTTAAATTATTAAGCGTGTCTTGTATAGCTTTATTGAAATCCCCTTGACTTCCACCTTCCTTATCCTCAAATTCATCTAAAATGCCATCAAACTCGTCCACTTCTCCTTGCGGCATCACGTTTAATAGGTTAAAGAGCAACGACGAATAAAATAAAATTTAGAGATGAAATGTTTTTAAATAAATTTTATCAGCCAATTCAAATTAATCAACAAAATAATATTATAAACCCTTTCTGGCAGGAGCAACTCGTCAGAGCCGAAGTGAGTCTTGTTATTTGGTTTGATTGGTGTATATTCACATATTGCAGGCCATACGATCATCCTCTTCACCACATCATAGAGCTAGAGCTGCTGCTTTGGCCCAACGCGGTCAACAATCTTCTGCTATAGCTATCCTCGATCCTTCAAGACGTATATCAACACCGAAGCAGAATTCTGCGACTCTCAATCAACAATCACCTACAACTCCAAACGCTCATCCATCAGCTTCTCATGTCCCTTCAAACAACTCTGACAAAAAGTCAAATTCAAGCTGGATGGCTTTGGATATGGGTGGAATGCAATTGAAATCACTCTCACCAAGCTTATTCACTTACCAATTCGTAACCAACCTCTTCCTCAACCACAACAACCTCTCTTTTATTCCCCCTGAAATCTTTAAACTCAATCAACTCGTTCTTCTTGACTTATCAGGTAACACCTTGTCCTCTCTTCCACCTGAGCTAGGTCTCCTTTCTCGCCTTAGAGAACTTCTTCTCTTTGACAACAACCTCGTTTCGATACCTTCCGAATTTGGTTCCCTTTACCAACTCGAATTCCTCGGCATTGACGGTAACCCTCTCGCTGACTCTTTTAGGCAATTGATTCAAAAGGAAGGTACTCCCGCTCTCATTTCATACCTTCGCGATTCTTGTCCTGTCACTACTGGTCCCCCTGAACGTGAATGGCTTGCAATGGAAACTGACCTTCCTTCTCCTAAAGAAGATTCTCCTCCTCCTGAAACTTTCTCTTTATTGTGCTACAATATCCTCTGTGATAAGTACGCTACTTCTCAAATGTACGGATACACCCCTTCATGGGCTTTGAATTGGGATTATAGAAAAGAAATTCTCCTTCAAGAAATTATGGGCTTTTCAGCTGATATTGTTTGTCTTCAGGAGGTTGACATTGAACAATATGAAGATTTCTTCTTAAATCATCTCTCTCACCATGATTATAGAGGCGTTTACTCTCAAAAATCTCGTGCAAAGACCATGTCTGAGAATGAAAAGAAGAGAGTCGATGGTTGCGCAACTTTTTTTAAAGGCTCAAAGTACCAATTGATCGAATCTGAAGTCATCGAGTTCTCTCAAGTCGCTTTGCAGCGATCAGATTTCGCAAAGACTGAAGATATGTTCAATAGAGTTCTTACTAAAGATAATATCGCAAACGTCGCTTTGTTGGAAAACATCGAATCTGGCACGAGATTAATCGTTGCCAACGTCCATATACACTGGAATCCCGAATTCAGGGATGTAAAACTAGTTCAAGTTGCAATCTTAATGGATGAGATTGAGAAAATATCAAAGAGATTCTCCACTTTGCCACCTAAGTTGAACGTACAATCAGGCAAGAAGGGACCAGTGTACACTGACATGTCTAAGATTCCTCTCATTGTCTGTGGTGACTTTAACAGTGTTCCAAATTCTGGGGTCTATGAATTCTTAGGCAAGGGACACGTTGAAAGGGATCATGAAGACTTTATGCATCACCAGTACGGTGCATTTACCACTGAAGGCATGAAACACAAGTTTGCACTCAAGTCAAGTTACGCAAACATTGGAGAGCTGCCGATGACAAACTACATACCTGGATTCGAAGAGGTCATAGATTACGTCTGGTATACTCAAAACACATTATCTGTCGTTGGACTATTGGGTGAAGTTGATCAGTCTTACCTTAACAGGATTGTTGGTTTCCCTAACGTACACTTCCCTTCAGAGTGAGTATCGATGCTATGAGTAACTCTTCACACTAACGCTGCCTAGTCACTTGTCTTTATTCACAGAGTTTAGAATCCGTCCTCCATCGCATGTTACAGATGTACCTCGACAGAAATGAGCACCAGTATCTTATTTAAGTAATCTTATTACGCAAGCCACCTCGTTCTCCATTTTGTATTTTTCTATTTCGATTATTATCCCTTAAACGCTACCGTCATGGCTCATGCTGCTACGGACGATAACAAAGTGCCTCCATTAGCCAAATATTTGGCCAGCAATGAGAAGAGAGAGAGAGATAAAGTACGGTTTGTCGATATGCACTTACATTCTCCCTAATTCCTTCCCCAAAGGCGATAAGAAATTTGCGTAATTTCCTTACAACGGGTAAAAACGAGTTGAGCGATTTAGAAAGCGCAAGATTATGGAAAGGGATTTTCTATTGTGGGTAGCTATTCTGAGTACCAGCTAATACTCACCTCTGCGTCGTCTAGGTTTCTGGATGTCAGATAAACCACTTGTTCAACAAAAGCTGGCATTCGATTTATCCAGTATTCTGCTTGAGATTCCTGACCTTGATAAGGTTTGGAGCTTCTACAAAGGCTTCTGGGATGAATTGATTAGGGAATGGACAGGCTTAGATCGATACCGGTGAGCAGCATGTTGTTCCAAGTAAGGCGCTCTAATCAAATAATCCAGCATCGACAAGTACTATATGCTCATCAGAAAATTCCTCTATGCGGCTATCAAAGTCTGTGTGAAGGATAACTTCAAATGCCTCGACAAATTCAATGCGATACTACAAGACCCACGCGGTAAAAGCCCATTGGCGTAAGTATTTCTGCTAGGTGTGAGTTATAGACTACTCACAGCATCATCAGATATGACGATTACAGTGTTCCTTCTTCACTCACCTACCACTTGTCCGATATATATACCGATGAAGTAAATAGAGCGCTTTCAGATGCAGAGAATGATATAAAAGTAAGCATCTGTCTTATCGTTGGTGCTTTTCTAACGCATGAATAGGTGCCATTGTCTCAAATACTCAAGCCATGGTCGCAGCTGCTGGCTCATACACGCAACAACGCAGCATACAAAAGAGTTTCTGGTGGTGTGATTGACAAGCTAATCGGCGAGGACGACGAAGACGTTGAAAGTATCAGGAGGTTCATCGATTTACAGCAAACAAGAAAACTTGTTGCTAATAGTCTCTTCGAGGAAGCTTCAAAACCAACTGCCAACCCAAGCAACAGACGGAAACTTTATGAATTCGTTGATGACTTGAGAATGGAAGATGACTGAGTGTGTCTCGAATCGGACATTTACTAGAGCTTAATTTATGTAAAAATCATGTATATTGATTATTATCACCTTGTCTTTGTTTTTTTCTGTCAATGATTTTATCAATTTCTAAATAAAGATATGTATTAAGGTATAAATCAAGCAAATGATATAGTCCAGAATTACTATAGAAGATTGAGTCCAAATTTTTGTAAAACATTTCCATTTTCCCAATAGATAAAATGTGTATAAATAAATCAATTAGTAAGTAGTCTTTTCCAAATCTTTCCAAGATTTAGTCCTAGTATTCCTCATTCTCGTCCTCAGACCAAATCTCTTTCCTGACAATGATGCCCGAATGGCTTGGTATCTCCCTTTTGGTCCTGGAAGCTTTAGGCAGATCTTCAACCTGATGATCATCTTCGCTCTCATACTCCTCAACATGCTTGGCTTTCTTGCTTGCCTTTGTCTTGGCAGAACGTGCCGACCTCTTCTCACCAGTGCGGGCGAATAACTTGTCTAACTTTGCTTTTGGTTTGCGCGACCTGTTGCTCTCAGTGACGCTTGTAATGCTCTCACTATATTTGATTAGTCTTCACCCACAACTAAGTTAAGACATACTCAACTAGCCAATATTTACCTCTACCCTTTTCGCCATCTAGGCGATCTTGTTGGTAAAAGCAAGCGTAAAGACTTAAATTATGTCTGACTGAATTTTGCCATCCTTTTGAGTCCCTTTGTGACTTGTATGATTTGTATTTGGATATGAATATGTCGTAGATTTGATCGAGTAAGAGTTTACGCTTTGGCGCTCTTTTTATTGCATCAGTCAGTATTTGAGCATACGTTGTTGACGGTTTTTCTGAGTCTGGATATTCACTAAGCACTATTGCTGGGTTTGCGTCAAAATCTTCCTGACTGACTTGATTCATATGTGCTGGTTTGACCGGTGTTGTTAATGGTGGTGATGGTGGTGATGTTGGTGAAGCCGTATGAGGTTTTGATTGTAATTGTGATTGTGAGCCGTCCGATGCCGACGATGAAGCTAGTAGAGTCAACCTTGGTGGGATCTGTATGTGTGCATTGCATACAGGCGTTGGGGAAGCTGGCTGAGAGAAGTCTTGATCTTTTGAATCCTCAAGCTCGGTTTCGTCATCAACATTTTCAGCGACGTCATTTTGCTCACTCAAGCTAGCATAGTGAGGCAAGTTGATTTTTGGTTGATCCAAGACAGGACTCGCTGTCAGTTTGAAAGAGTATGGGGAATCATTGACATCACCATAAAATGAAGATGATGGACTTGTTTGACTCATACAGTAAGTGTTGGATTCCTCAAAACAATCTTCTGGCTGAGGAGGTGAGTAGGCGGGCGCAACGGGGCTGATTGGAGAAGAAGGAACGAGTGAAGGAGTTGTAGGCGTGTTGTGGCAGTAGAGCTGATTGGTGGAAATGGCTGAGCTTGAGCTTGAGGCTGAGCAAGAAGGGATTGAGTGAAGATTGTTCTCATAATCCAAATCGCAAGAGAAGTACTCTAGCCAGTTGTCCTGCATAATTGATGAGCTTAAGAGTAGGTCGCAAGCAGTAATTTCAGCCTCAGTCTTCCAAATATCGTCAAATTGAGACTGGGCTTGAGTGTTAGGCGTTGTCTGAGTTGGATTCGCAATGTAATCGCTGAACATTTTATGAGATGAAGATGAGAAAAACCAAGAGAATGAGGATTTAACTAATCAGCATTTTTTTCACTGATTGAATCGTTGAAAGGCTCTAGGTGATGTAACTGAGGGTGAGTGGGTGATTTCAGCGGATATGTTGAACGAGAGTAGTAAACATAGTATTTATAAACCAGCCAATACATACATCCTATTCAAATCCACATTTCACTGCTATTTAATATTTTCCCCGTCTTTTAATCGCATTACGAAACCCGCCTCTATACGATCATCTGTTAAAATATAAAAAAATGTTTAGAATTTCTAGATTAGCGCCTTTAAGGCAATTTAGGTCATTGCATACTTCTACAAGCTTAAGAGACATCGTCAAGGTTCCACAGATGGCTGAGTCCATCACAGAGGGCACCCTCAAGCAATGGAACAAGAAGTTGGGCGAATTTGTTTCACAAGACGAGGAGATTGCTACAATTGAGACTGACAAGATTGATGTCTCTGTTAACGCACCTCAATCCGGTAAAATTACTGAATTATTCGCTTCTGAGGAGGATACTGTTGAAGTTGGTGCTGATTTATTCGACTTACAGCCTGGTGAAGGTTTGTTACCGTTTTTCTATTCTGGATCTCCCTTCTCACGCCTTTTCAGCACCTGCCGAAGAATCAAAACCTGAACCCGCACAAGAAGCGAAGGAGCAACCAAAGGATGAACAGCAACCAAAGACTCAAGAAAAACCAAAGGAAGAGGTTAAAAAGCCTGAGTCAAAGCCTGAACCAAAGTCTGAACCAAAGAAGGAATCTAAGCCAGAGCCTTCCCAATCTCAACCTTCAAAGGGCTCTCGTAATGAAACAAGAGTTAAGATGAACAGAATGCGTTTGAGAATCGCTGAGAGACTCAAGCAATCTCAAAACACTGCTGCTTCTTTGACCACCTTCCAAGATTGCGATATGTCTGATTTGATGGATTTCAGAGCCAGGCATAAGGATAGAATAATGAAGGAAACCGGTGTCAAATTAGGTTTCTTGTCCGCTTTTGCAAAGGCTGCTTGTATCGCCTTGAAGGAGATTCCAGGTGCAAACGCTTCAATTGAAGGTGACGAGATCGTTTACAGAGATTACTGTGACATTTCCATCGCTGTTGCAACTCCAAAAGGTCTCGTTACTCCAGTCATTAGAAACGTTGAGCAAAAGAACTTTGTTGAGATTGAACAAGCTATCGCTGAAGCAGGTAAGAAGGCCAGAGATGGTAAATTGACACTTGAAGATATGGCTGGTGGTACTTTCACTATCTCAAACGGTGGTGTCTTTGGCTCTCACTTTGGTACACCAATTATTAACCTTCCTCAATCTGCCGTTCTTGGTATGCACGCCATCCTCGAAAAGCCTGTTGCAAGAAATGGTCAAGTCGTTGTCCGTCCTATCAACACCCTTGGTTTGACTTACGACCATAGAATTCTTGATGGTCGTGAGGCTGTCACCTTCCTCAAAAGGATTAGAGAAGTTATTGAGGATGTTGCTTCAATCAACCTTTACGATTACAAATAATTATAGTCTTTATCTTATAAACAAAGTATTGAATAAATTTCACACATTCTTGAAAGCTTGAGTGGTTATATCTGAATTCATGGAAAGTACTATACAAAGTTTAAAATGCAAGAGATGAATGGAGGGATTGAGAGATGTAGAGACTATAGTAGAAGAATTAGAGTGATTGTCCATGTGATAATTATTCTAGTTCGTGTGATGAAGTCTGTTCGTATTGCCGATTTCTGAAAGACATTCTCGTCAAACCAGATGTTGCAGCGCTTTGAATTCTTTCAAAAGGCCTTGTCAAAGCATCAGTGAACCTATTCCATCTTTGCATTCGTATGTTGGATGATGAGTTTGATTCATCGTTATTTCCATCGTTATTTCCAGCTTGAGCTTCTTCCTGTCCAGATGAACGTGCAGCAGCAGCGCCTGGATAAGCTTCTTCAGGATTTATATTGGCGTTTGCCTCTCTTTGACCTTGTCTAACACTGGCAGCCCATTTAGCTACCCTCCAATAACTCAGGACTGATATCATGAGTATGAACCATCCAACTGCCATTAGTAAGAAGCTTAACCAATCATTAGCAGCACCCAGGGCATCTAAATCGATGGGCGGTAGATCTTGAGGAGGAGGTAATTGTTGAGGATCGTTCTCATCTCCGGGTGGAGGTGGTGGAGGTTGTTCGCCATCAGTTTGGTTGACCATACCAAATGGAATACCCATCGCTTGACCAAAGAAACCGGTTGGTACAGCGTTATCATCATTTGGTTGATCAATAGGAGGTTCAATGGGTTTTGCGCGTAAATAGAAGCCATATTGAATGAAAGTGATACCCAAGCCAGCTCTACTACCATGTCTAGCTGCGTGAGTGGTGTGTAATAGGTAAGTGAGGAGAAATCCAACAAAATGGAAAGACATGCTAATAAGTAAATTCCACGCGAAGCTGAAGAAGATACCAACAGGCAAACCATCAACAATCAAATCGTCTGTATCGAAAGGGTTGGCTGGAGCGACGACAGTAGTATCCCAATAAGGAGGAGTAGAATCTAAAGCGGCTAAATTGTATGACTGTAATAAAAGAATATGTCAAATGTGATGATCATGTGATAGAATGTGATACTAACAGGGGGAGCGTCCTCTTTGTCGGTGGATTCCTCACGTACGTATTCAACGCCAGAGCCATCGGGGTTTTGACGAGGAACAAGTCTACCATCAGAGCCAGGCTTGGCGGTAATATTAGCGAAAACGCCATCGTTATTGATACCAGCCCCAACGGGTGAATGGTCTCTATTAATCTGATAAGCGCTATAAGGAGCGTTTGTTCGTTTTATGATAGAAGGATGATCAGTGGGAGAGCCAGGTGGGGGAATATCAGCGTAATCATCGTCTCTATTTGAAATAGAATGGCCGTGTGATTGCGTATCGAATAAGACGTTGTTATTATCGTTGTCATCGTCATCAACATTATCTTGATCAGATTCATTCCCAAACGCATCCTCCAACTCATCCTCGGGATTTTGAACCTCAACACGTCTATATCTCGGCGAACTCATGAGCGGACACGAGAGGGGTGAGGAGGCGTATATACCCAGTGTAAATAATAGAAAATTAAAATTTAATCGTTATTTTAAATAATAATATTATATTTACATGTATAAACCACGTTGGATATTCACTGCCACCAGCAATCGCAATCGCAATGGAAACAGAGCAGCTTCAGAAGTTTATCTTGGCTGAATTGAACAATCTCGGCAGCATTCAAGATAGCAGGAAGTTATTCTACACTCCGATCTCACGCCATCTCGATCAACCAAATGATAGCTTGGTCTTGCAGTCTTCTCTTCAAGGCTTACAGAGTAAAGAGGTGAGATTTGGCACATGTATCCCACTCCTTCTAACCCTGCATGCCGCAGATGATTGATTACAAGAACCACGAAACCTACACTTACACTCTATCCGATGAGGCCTTGGATCTCATCAAGAATGGCAGCCACGAGGCGAGAGTCTGGGCATGCCTATCCACTGACGAGGGCTTGGACCCAAAAGAAATAATCACTAAAGTTGGCTCTACGTCTGCTAAAGTTGGTCAAGGTAGAGCGTTTAAGCAAAATTGGATAAAGAAAGTCGACAACAAGTTCTTTAAGAATGTTTTAGATATTGAAGACGTTACAGTTAATAACTTGGTTTATATACAAGCTCACAATACCCTCAATGATGAGAAGGAATTGAGTGATCTTAAGAAGCGCAAACTTATCAAGCCAAAGAAGCTGCTTCACTTTTCAATCGCTAAAGGTCCTCAATACTCACCAGAGTTAATCACATTCGAAACTGATTTGACATCTGATATGTTGATCGATGGTAGCTGGAAGAACAAGTCTTTCAAAAAGTACAACTTTGACGCCGCAGGTGCTCTTCCTCAAGGTGGTGCTCTTCACCCTCTTCTTAAAGTACGCGAAGAGTTTAGAAATATATTCTTTGAAATGGGTTTTGAAGAAATGCCTACAAATCAATTCGTTGAATCTTGCTTTTGGAATTTCGATTCGTTGTTTGTTCCACAACAGCACGTTGCTCGCGAATTACAGGATACTTTCTACATAAAGGAACCAAAAGTTGCAGACGTTAGCGATAAAGAGTACTACAATAAAGTTAAAACTACCCATGAATCTGGAGGATTCGGTTCGATAGGTTATAGAGCACCTTTCAGTGAAGATGAGACTAAGAGATTAGTTTTGAGAACTCACACAACTGCTACATCTGCACAATGTTTGTACAGATTAGCGAAGCAAGAGGGTGGATTTAAACCTTGCAAATTATTCTCTATAGATAGAGTATTCAGGAATGAAGCTGTGGATGCTACACACTTGGCAGAATTCCATCAAGTTGAGGGTGTAATTGCTGATAAGAATATCACTCTTGGTGATCTAATTGGATTCATGGAGGTATTCTTCAAGAAGATGGGAATGTCACAACTTAGATTCAAACCTGCTTACAATCCATACACTGAGCCATCGTTAGAAATCTTCGCTCATCACGATGGCTTGGGTAAGTGGGTTGAAATAGGTAACTCTGGCATGTTCAGACCTGAAATGCTTGCACCAATGGGATTACCGGATGATGTACACGTCTTAGGATTTGGATTAAGTTTAGAGAGACCAACTATGATCAAGTACGCTATCAACAACATACGTGACCTCGTGGGGCACAAAGTTGATATTGAGCAAGTGGAAAAGTCTGAAGCTGTTAGATTTTAGATTACTTGATCATTTGTAGATGATTCATATTCAAAATAAATTTAAATATTCTTAAATCTTACATCACAACTCTCAACACGGCTTAATGGATATCAACGCATTATTAGCACAAGCAAGAGGAGGCGCACAGAGTAATCCAGGCGCTGATAACCCAACTGCTGACAGTGAGTAATTTGTCATATATTTCACTACCACGTACGCTTACGTGTACGTGTGCGCATACGTTCAGATGGAGAAACGGTTCACATTTCATCTTTGGCTTTATTAAAAATGCTTAAACATGGCAGAGCTGGTGTACCAATGGAAGTAATGGGTTTATGCTTGGGAGAATTCGTTGATGATTATACGATACACGTTACAGACGTATTCGCCATGCCTCAATCTGGTACAACCGTTAGCGTAGAGAGTGTTGATCACGTATTTCAAACTAAAATGCTTTCAATGCTTAAACAAACTGGTAGATCAGAGATGGTTGTTGGTTGGTACCACAGTCACCCTGGTTTTGGTTGTTGGCTGAGTAGTGTTGATATAAACACTCAGCAATCATTTGAGCAACTTAATCCACGCGCTGTTGCTATCGTTGTTGATCCAATTCAATCTGTTAAAGGAAAGGTCGTCGCAGACGCTTTCAGATTAATTGACGCTCAAAACGCTTTAATGGGTCAAGAATCGAGACAATCAACGTCAAACGTTGGTCAATTGATTAAACCTTCTATTCAAGGTCTTATTCATGGTGTTGGTAGACACTACTACTCGTTGGCTATTCAATACCGCAAATCAAAAGCAGAGGAGCGTATGTTAAGCTCTCTTAGTGGTAAAGCTTGGACAAAAGGCTTGGAAGTTGAGAAAGCTGATGAATTTAGACACAAGAATGAAAACGCTGTCGAAAAATTCTCCAATTTGGCTGACCAATATGGTAAATCTGTCGCAGAAGAACTTACATTGACACCTGAACAATTATCTACACGACACGTTGGTAAACAGGACCCAAAGAGGGTGAGATTGATAGTTACATCACCTCAACTCACACTGACACATCACTCCAGCACCTTGAAGAGCATGTTAACACATCACTTGAATCATCCACTGTACAAATGCTCGGTATGGGCGTCTTAACGAGCGTATAATTTATTTTCATTTTTTCATTATTTCGTCACGGTGTGCGCTTGCGGCATTTGTTGGTTCGGTTTCGCGGTATCACAACAACAACGACGAAATGCCAGCAGTAAGTGGGAGTTAGCGTGAGTAAACAGTCCAAACTAATGGCGATAAATAGACACTCGTATTAACACGCCACGGAGAATCTGAATGGAACAAAAAGAACTTGTTCACTGGATGGGTTGACGTTAAGCTCACAGAGAAAGGTGAACAAGAAGCTAAGCTTGGTGGTGAGCGTCTCAAAGCATCAAACACGCAATTTGAGTGAGCCGTTCGTTTCCATTCGCCGATGATTGGCTAATAACCTATTAGTTGCGCATACACATCATCCTTACAAAGAGCACAGAAGACTCTTGAGATTATTCAATCTGAGATTGGCCAAACCAGTATCCCTGTCACCAAAGACGAGGCTCTCAACGAGCGTCACTACGGTGAATTACAAGGCTTGAACAAGGACGACGCTAGAAACAAGTGGGGCGAAGACCAAGTCCACATTTGGCGTAGATCCTACAATGTCCCTCCACCGGGTGACAACGCTGAGTCTTTGGAGCTCACCGCTAAGCGTGTCTTGCCTTACTGGAAGTCTGAAATCTTACCAAAGTTAGCCGACGGCAAGAACATCCTTATCGCTGCTCACGGAAACTCACTCCGTGCTCTCATTATGGACATTGAGAAGTTATCCGGTGACCAAGTCGTCGGTCTTGAACTCGCTACTGGTGTTCCAATCGAATTCAAATTAGACATCGTTGATGGTGAACCAAAGGTCACCTCAAAGAAGATTTTCAATCAATCACTCTAGATAGACTTGTATACAAGAAACACATTCTATTACATTTAACTGTTAGTTATACAAGATTTGCAAGATAATTTAGTTTGTGATTTATGGATCAGAGACACCAAGACCATCTCTAAGCGCAGCATAGAGATCGCCTTGTTCTGTGTCTCCAATGAGAGTCCATCCACCAATACCGCCGATACCCATATCCTGAGCCAATTGAGCCTTTAGCTTGAATGATTCTGGGTCATCGTAAGACAAAACTTGTGATCCCGAGTAAAGGAATGGAGTTGAAGAGCACTCATCCCACTTTCTTGTCCAGCCACCTGCAGCGTCAAATTGTGAAGCAGATACTCTTGTCAATGCACCTGAATTAACAACTGCATCAAAGTCTACTTGTCCTTTAGCTGCCGTGCCATCTGCGTTCTTGATAGTGACTGGTGTATTAGATGGGTTTGTACCGGTACCGCCAGTTGGTATGGATGGTGTTGCGCCTGGAACAGCTGGAGTTGACGGCATAGTTGGGACGGCTGGTGTAGCTGGTTGGCTATTGGTTGTTGTACCTTCATCTGTACCTGGTACAGTTGGTGTTTGTCTAGCTACCAAAGCCTTTGCACTTGATTCGTGGAGATATCCGTAAGCTGGAACACCCAAGTAGATCTTCTCAAGTGGAATACCAGCCTCGTTCCATGCTTTGATTGAGTCTTCAGCGTTAGCGCCTGGTTTTGAACTGCCGCACTTGTCGCTAAGGGCGGCATTTGGACCAGGAGCTGGAGCAGCGTTGAAAATATCGTAGCTATAACAGTCGTGTCAATTTTGTCTCACTATCTCAAACTTAAACAACTCACTTCATGATAAGAATGTGATCAAACACTTCTCCGAACCCACTGACATCGTCGAGAGGCGTTCCATCTGGACCAGCAAATGGATACACCGATGTTGCAGCGCTAAGGGTGACGTTTGAAGGTAATTGAGGTTTGAGAACTTTGAGGAACTTGAGGTAGTTTGCACTGTCTGAACCAGTGTGTGGGTTGCCAGCACCTGGTAAACCAGGGTACTCCCAATCAATATCAATACCGTCTACGTTCCACTTCTTTTGAGCTTCGACCATGGCAGTTGCAAGTTTTTCCCTGTTTGCTTCAGTTGAAACTGCATCACTAAATGGTCCAGATCCTGTCCATCCACCGATGCTCAATTCCACTCTTCTAGTTGGAGTTTGAGAATGAGCTGCTTCGACCAACGAAGTGAGCGTTGAGTCTGTTCCTGAGCTCAACTCAATTTCATAGTCATTCGAACCGATCAAACCAAACGCGTATGAGATATAGTCGATATGTGACCAATCAATTTGGTTCACTGGAAGTCTGTTGGTTTGCCAGTCTGGGTAATAAGCTCCGATCATTTTCTTGCTGGTTGCTTGTGTACCAAATCCTGATGCAGACATAGGGTATTCCCATGCACTTTGATTTGTGTATGGTGCAGCACCTTCCATATCAGCTTTGTTATATGATGGACCACCTTGCAATTCCGTGAATGGCTGCTCGTTGACCTCCAATTGACTCTCCATGTTCTTTAAACCTTCAATTCCATACTCGCCTGAAATAGCCCTGCTATTCAAACTGACTGAGTTTGTTGATGTAGTGAGTGAAGCTATCAAAGCTGCTGCAGTTAACCAGTAACGCATTTCGATTTAAGGTAATGTAAAAGGAATGTGGGTCTTGATAAAGAGAAAGTAACTCAAAATGAGCCGCTTAAATGTGTTCAGAAAATCACGCGCCAAACTAAAACTATATTAATCACGCTTTTGGTATGTGCCTTCCGCATATAGAAGTTGGTGAAAATATTCATCTAAAATCGTCTTGAATTGGCAAAACAAAGTAAATCTATAGTGATTCTGGATGTGGTTGCCTCTTATTCAATATTGCCACTTTAGCCAAAGCTCTCAATTGCTCCTCAGCGTTGGTGAAAACTTCGTTGGCGCGTCCTTGTAATCTTTTGACTTGAGGGTCCTCCATTGCAGCTGTCAGTCTATTAGCTTGCTCATCCAGCCAAGTGATTTGTTCGGGGATTTCTTCCTGCTCTCTTGAAGCAGCAATAGCGTCTTTGAGAATCACACTATATTGGTCGTTGACTTGTGTGTTTGCTAGACCTTCTAGAATTGTTGGTCCTACTGTAATAGCGTCTACTCCAGCCATTGCTACTGCATCAATAGGAGCTATAAATCTGTAGCATTGTCAAAAACTTTTGATTAGCTCTCAAACTACTCACGATGCTGCTTTAACCTGCGTTTTGATATTGGCGGTGCGATAATAACGTTGAATTTTGTGTGTGAGTTTCACACCTGGTGATTCTTTAGCGGGATTTGCGTAGTCGACGTAGAATTTCCTATTGAAATGTGCATCCAATTCATTGAGATACGGTGAGATAGCAACACAACCAGCTTCTGCTGCAGCAAGTGCCTGTTCAGTGCAAAACACAGTAGTAGCGAGCGTGTTGACACCACTTTGAGAGAGTAACTTGCAAGCCTTAAGGCCATTTACTGTTGCAGGTACTTTGATACAGCACTCCTTACTGCTGATACCGTATTTTTCAAATGTTTTAACAATCTGCTCGCAATGTTTGACTATGTCATTAACATCGCCAAGCTTCGAACAGCATGTCTGCAACAACACTAATCCCTGTGGATGCAATCTTGGTTTGATTTCCTTGATTACATTCACAGATGCAATGTCTACCACTAATTGCTCGAATGAAGTAGAGTCGGTGACGTCGACCCCAAACTCTTTTGCCGACTTTAAAGCTTCATCGACGGCGAATGCAAGAACATGGGCGTGCTCAGGCATCGTAAGCACAGACTGTACAATGAACTGGTTGCAAGTCATGTCCCTAAATGGCGCGTACTTTGTAACGACATCGACGTCAATAGCGTCTAAATCAATAGTAGTAACATCTCTTATAGCATCTAGCAACGAAGTCATTATGTAATTATTTGCTTGTCGAAGTTTAAATGCAAAAGTTATTCAGTCCGATCTTATCTGAAAAGACGTGGTCAGCTGATCACTCGATATTAGCTTGCAAGTCTGTAATAGCGCCATAGCCAGCTTTGGAAGGACATCCGATACCCATCTAACACTGCCAAACCTTGTAAACGACTTAAATGTCCTTTCCGCTAATAGGTAATAAGTCAACACGTCATTAAGTCATATCAATAATATCACTCCATTACCACATTCATGGCTCTATTATCCAGTTAAAAGTATCAGTGTCTATGTTGCAGCGCCTCTCAATCACACTTTAATCGATCCAGAAAGCATGTTGTAATCGCCATATACAAAATATCTATTTTAAGAAGCGGCTGCATTCTTGTTGACATCTGAGCTGGCCTCTGGTGTTGCAGCTCCATTTGCTGCATTCCTAGCTTCGTTTTGTATGTTTATCATTTTATCAACGATGATTCTGTTAACCTTGGATGCGATGTTAGACACAGCTTATAATAATAACACTACCTACTTCTTTCCCAACTGTCATTAAGATTGTGCTGATTGGGCCACCGAGGTTTAAAGTATAGACGAAATAAGCAGTGACTAATCCAAGTATCGATAAGGTTAGATAGAGCGGATTACTGAGAACAGCCCATAGCTCATTCCAACCCAATATCAATAATGCAACGTAGAACCATAACGGTATCTTGGAAATAGAGCTGACGACACTACGTTTTGCTTCAACATAAATAGCATCAGCGTCCTTCTTGAATCTACCAGCAAGCTGTGCTTCTTTTGCTTCACCTAGCACTTGAAGTGATTCTTCATAGTTGTACGACTCTTCAAGATCTGAAACCTTTATAATGTCTAAAACGCTATCATCGAGTTGAGGATATGTGAACAAATTGTTAATGTCTTGAGGTTTAATGTTTCGGTATAATTTCAATAATTGTAGTGTGTACTCTCTTGCATCAGCGTAGATAGCTTCTATATCATCTGTAGGTCTCCACACCCTGGGTATACCTTTATCATCGTAACGGAATTTGTCTTCAAATATTGTTCTCAACCTGAACAACAAGATTGATTCCGAACACTGCTCTTCGATCTTGTTGCGCAACGAAATCCATGCTCTACGCAACAAACTGCCTGTGGTAGCTTTAATTTCCTGATCTGTACTATTCAGTCTCTTGGCTTTAGTGACGTAAGATGTCTTCGAGCGCTCTATCAGAGCGTTGAATCTATCTAGTACTTTATCCCACATCTCTGCATCTGGGTTGTTCAGAGATACTTCAACAAATTCACCTGCGTCCTTTTGAATTGAGCGCTGTGATAATTATAATTAGCTGTTTGTTAACCACTTTAATCAACACGCACCTCAAGTTGATTTAAGAGTTTGATGAGCTCATCAGATCTACAGTCTGCCGATACTGTATCGATGTCGACTTTGAGTTGCTCTAATGTCTCAATATAAGACCAGTCTGTACCAGCTAAGGTGATTTCTTTAGCCTGATCAATGAATGTCTGGAGATGATGAATTGATGACTCTTTCACGACATTTGAAAAGTCATAAGAGTCAGATTTGAGCCTGGCATGAAGCTCCTTTTTGTAACTGTCAATTGCCTTCTTGTGCAAGTTCTTAACCTGGTTGATGTATAAGGGAGAGAGTGTAGTGCTGATAGTTTCCGTAAGCTCTTCACGCTTCTTCTCGTAAACTGTTTTTGTGTAACGGAAGGCAGTACTGTCGAACATGTCTGAATCTTTGATAAGCTGCGTCTAAAAAAAAGAGCAGTAACAAACCTAAAGCCTCCTTCTTGGAATCTCTCATAACTTTACCCAATTCTGGCACAAACTTTCCAACTTCCACTGGTTTCCTCACCGCGATTAACCTGGAGTGAAATACCTTTAATGCCTCTGCAGCAATTTCATCGCATCTATACTGAGCCAAAAGCTCTTGCTGTGTTGGAACATCTAAATCTTTATTGTTTTGAACCTTGTCCTTTACGAGGTGTAAGAAAGGACACGGGGAAGCTTACTTACATACCCAAATTGTTTGCAAATAATGACTGAGACCATCAGCTGGGATTTGTCTGTGGTATTCCGGCTTGAGAATATAGTTTCCAGATGTGCTTTTTGTAAAGTAATCATTTCTGATGGTCGAAGTCTGATGATCGAATTCGTCTGGTTGTAAGAGCTTGTGTGGTAGTGTGACGAATCCGAGGTCAAAGTAGTCGCTCAAGTCAGCTTTTGCTAAGCCTTCAGGCTGTAAATGAGTTAGTAAATTGTCGAAGGGACCCAAACAACAGTCTCACTTTTGAGACAGAGTTCCAGATATTCTCGATATCGTTAGTTAATGTCGAGCGGAGATTGTCAAGTGGTGTAGTACCAATATGGTCGCGAATAACAAACAAAAGCAGGGTCTTTGGTGGTTTGCTCTCCGGGAAGCTACGCAATAGAGTCAGCTAATCGCACTACGCAAAGCAGGAGACACACGAGGCTTGAGAGTTTGCGATAAACATGGAGAAGTTAACTTCCATTACAGTCTTGAGAAGACCCATGTTGGCACCTTGATAAAGACCAACCTGGTGCTCCCACATATTGATAAGGAGAACGGATGAAGCAGCCAAAGAGAAAAGCGCAGACTTTCTTTCAAAGTCCTTTCAATGGTGATTAGATTGTGATTAGGACCGTAGGCTGACACACCTGATCTTCACCACGCTCGCGACCGTCAGTACCCTCGACATCCATAACGAGAAGAGGTATTTCTTTGGCCTTGCACATCCAAATACCTGGGTAGTGTTAGGTTATTAGGCGTGGAAATGAATCAACACACCCTTTGTGGTCTGCCTTCTCTGGCTCTCATTCATGACATCAAAAGTAGTGCCAAATAGTCTGTTGAGGAGGGTACCTGGTATTTTGTGAGATGAAATCATAATAGAAGATCATTAACGCACTTTTACCGGTTGATTGAGACCCAAATACGCTGACGACGTTGTAATTGAATCCAGCGTTGCTAAGACCCCATTCACCGAGTTGGGGAGAGAGCTGAGAGCTTGGAAATGATAAGTGATGGCTTTAAGGGGTGGAGTAACTCACCTAAATTCTTTTTCTTCGTTGACGACGTGTAATCTAGAGCCCATTACAGTCTTGGTGGTTAGAGTCGAAGGGATTTAGCCGTTCAAAGGGTAAGGGAATAACAAAACCCATTCATATCCATATCTACATTAATGCTATTACAATGTACTCCCCTCAAAACTTCTCTACGCGTAGAAAATCAATCACGTCGCGTAAGGACCGATAAAGAGAAATATACATTGAATGATATCCTATTTACTCGTGTAAAATTGTACAAACTAGAAAATTTAAATATGAATCAGTTGGAGTTTCCACTTGGAGTTTCGTCAAATGGATTGTCGTGTCTTTTGACAGCTTGTGGCGATTCTGTAGGTACAGTGGACTGGAATCTGTCTGTGAGCTGTACAGGTTTAGCTCTGAGAGGCTGATGAGTATCTAATCCACAACAAACACACCACAAACTCACTTTGAAAAGTTCTTTTTCTTATGATTAGCCAATTTAGCTGTAACTGGAGTCATCAAGTTGTCTGTTGGAGACACAAATGAGTTTGAGCTGTAAATGCACCGTCAGCCACGCTACACGCTTGTTTACGCGCCAGAGCTACCCACGTTTGCTTCAACTTCTGCGCAAGCAAAGCTCTTTGGCCAGCGCCTTTATCCTCATTCTGGTCATCGACAACGGCAGCTGATTCTGGGTGGTGTAATTGCTCTACTTGCGGGTTCTCCTTGTTTTCCATTTCGATTGTAATGACTTAACCTAACAAACGCGTTGAATTTAACTTGTAAAGAATAAATCCGCGGATATTCAATTTGCTCATTTAAATCGTAAATCCCTGCTATATTATACAGCCACTTTTAAATTCCTCTTATCTACACCGCCATGTCGTCGTCCAAGCCTGTAACTGCGAAACCAAGCGACAAACCAAGGAGGAAGATCTGTGTCTTGGGAAGCAGGTGAGTTGACTGCTCTCCCCCTCTCTCCTTTCTTATCGGCTCCAGAAACGTTGGTAAGTGGCTCACGGGATTTATAAACTTTAATTAAGCCTTGTAGGAAAATCGTCACTGGTAGTGCAATTCGTTGAAGGCGTCTTTGTCGATTCTTACTATCCAACTATCGAAACAACTTTCACAAAGTCCATCAAGTACAAAGGCGCTGAGTATGAGTGCGATATCCTCGACACAGCTGGTCAGGTGGGTTGATAACCCTTTAATCTACGTATTCAAACGCTGGACAGGATGAATACTCCCTCATTAACTCCAAACACGCTATCGGTATCCACGGCTACATGTTGGTCTTCTCTCTAGCCTCACGCGCTTCGTTTGAGATGGTCGCTACTGTTCATGATAAGCTACTCGCTTACCACGGCTTAGAAGCCTTGCCTGTTGTCGTTATTGGTCAGAAGAGCGACATTGTCCAGCAGCGGTGGGTTTCTCTATTTATCCACTTGCCACCCTAACACCACTACAGCGTTGTCGAAAGAGAAGAAGCCGAGCAAATGTCCAAAGAATTGAATGCTTCGTATGTAGAGGTTTCAGCAGCAGCAAATGAAAACGTTTGTCAGTTATGATGTCATCTCTCTTGATTACCCGCTAATTACCTCCAACAGCTAAAGCATTTGAGTCAATGCTCGCTGAGATAGAGTCTAGAAACGTTCCACCATCTGGAGAAGGTGGAAGCCAGGGTAAATGCGTATTACAATGAAAATTTTGCTCGTACAATCAATCCTTTGATCTTATTTTAATTAAACAATAGTTACTAACTTTTTCTCATATATATTTAGTCTTTATTTTGTTGCGGGATCTTGAGAAGATGTCCCATTCGCTCCACTTTAGTTCTCAGATAACGTTCGAGATCGTCGCCGTGTGCTGCACCAGCTCCTATAAGTGTCGCCCCTGAACGTCTAAGCACGTGTTGTGCATATTCATCCCCACTGTCATTCTCTGCATTTGAAAGCGACTTTGCAAATACATCCTTCTCCTCTTCTCCACGATTAGAAGCTATGTTCGGAGTCTGCTCACCCCCTGTACTGAATCTTTCTGGATTTGTGAAAAGATGTTTAGCCTTAACGTCTGCCATTGAGACACCATCATTGTGACTACACTTCCATGCTCTTGGTATCATTTCAACTCTATCATACACAGGGATACCTTCTGTTTCCAACGCACTGACTTTGTCTGGATTGTTTGTCATTAGTCTAATACCCGATGAACCAACGCCGAGGCCCAAGTCTCTCAAAATTGAAGCAGAGATTTCGTATGTTCTTTCATCTGCACCAAAACCAAGAAGTTCATTGGCAGTGACAGTGTCATGACCAAGATCCTGCAGGTTGTACGCACGCAGTTTAGCAGCTAAACCGATACCACGACCCTCCTGTCTCATATATACCACCACGCCTCGTGCCTTGCTGAAGTGGTCTTTGGAAGTCCCAACAAACATTTGACGGAGTGCTTCATCGAGTTGCTCACCGCAATCACACCTCTGCGAACCAATAGTTTCACCAGTGTAGCATTCGCTATGTATACGCACTAGGGGAGGTAACCGATCTTGATTTTCTTGTCTGAGTGCGAATGGCATAGCGTTTAAATTATTAGTGGACGCAGTGTTAACTTGATTGACTGATCTCTTGATTTTGCCCACGTAAGCACCTCTAGTGAGCCGGTCGAGTTCGCTCTCACCCGCTCGAACGCCGTCGAGGGATCTCGAGCGTATATCGTTGCTTGAGACGTGCTCGCGCTTAAGCTGATCGGGGTCTACGATGAATGCGAGATGTTCCTTCTTATCGTGGTTGTTGGTATAGAGATGGCAGAACACCTCGCCGTGTGGTGTTGGGATGCGTGTCCTGACCTGACACGTGACTTCCAATGGCAGTTGTTGCTTTTCCACCGACTGCACTGAACCTGATTAGGCAAGGGTTAGCACGCTGATGCGCCGGCAAGATGAGATAATACTTACTCCGCGAATTCTTTCTCTCGTGCTTCAGTTCACTCAGCCTTTCTTTGCGTGGCTTTTGCTGCGATTGGTAATTCGTAGGCAACCGCTTTGGTTTCGAACCGGTGCAGTCCATACCGAACCAGTCATGCTGGTAGTGGTTGTGGGTCGGTGGCTTCGCTGCTGCCAATGCCAATATCATAGGATCCATAGAAGGTCGTCTGCTGCCAATTTGGTTGGCTTTTCTGCCGACTTTCGCACTGGGATTGGACAGACTGTTGAGAACATCAACGTCCGATTCAGAGACGTGATGCGTCTGTGTGACTGGCGAATTGGACATAGTATCTGATATTATAGTGCAGTAAACGCCGTTGCAAATTGAGCGGATGTGATGGATGGATGTTGGAGGTACTGGGCAGAGGCACGTTCAGCGTCGATGACGAAGCATTAGTCAATGAGTAATCACATCAAATCCGTAGCCTTGTCCCCTTTGATATAATTCCACGCACTGCCGATCTGATGCCATACTGTGCAGGCTTCTCAGTTACACTCGGTTGTGATTCTTTGGCTGATATCATACAATGTTTTACTACCAATTAGTTGGCTAGCCAGTTAAAATCAATAATTAGCGTCCTGCTTCATCCACGACGCTGCATTTATCTTTACCGCCACTTCAATCTCTCGCCCGCTGGTTCTACGCATAGCATCTCCGCATAAACCCTCTTGTTTGCTGTGACAGACTAGATTGAATATTAGCCTTCTAGCACATAATAGCAATAGCAACTGCACGCGCCACTGTTTGAGCACTATCTGCTAAGCTTGTGCAAACACCAAGATGTCCAAGGCCTCCCCAGTCATTCGCTGTATGCTTTGTGCCGCACTACCTGGTTTTGTTGCCTAATTTCAAGTGAATATGAGCTGAAGCGTGCGCTGTACGTTGTTATCTTGTGGCTGGAATTGTCAGCGTGATTGATGTCGCACTTCCTTTACCGAGGAGCTAGCCAAGGTATTGCATACAAATATGCGACATTACAAAAAACTAAAGGCCTCCATTTGTCTCTGACACTCTGATGATGCGTTGTGCTGTCTTCTTTATGAATGACCTCAAGATGACTCTAGGAGGTAGCAGGGGGATTTCAATTATCCGTTTAGTAATATTATCGGGTATTAAGAATGCGAACTATTCTCTCGAACAAAGTTTATCTTGATCACTCTGCAAATGACCAAGCAGTCGAGAAAATATGTACATCAAAGTCTTATAATAGCAATTTGTATAATATAACCGCATAAATATTCTTGTTAGCTTTCTAGCACTCAAATCATAACTTTAACTCCTTCATTTGCCCAATATCCACCGAGTTGGAATTCTCCTTTACCACCTAACTCATATCAGATGGTGATTGAAGAGTTTTCAAGATCTACAAATAAAAGGTCTTGGTAGGTAACTTCATGAATATAATATTGTCAGATTTGGATCCCTGGTGCCCCAAATTGCGTCCTGCACGTTGATCGGAAGTAGTGAGCCGAAATCGCTCTAGAGTATGCTATAGGATAGATACGGAGGATAAAACACGCCTCTTTGATTTATACAGATTGTTTTGACTTGTAGAGACCTTGAGTGCCCAAATATCTCACTTATTCGGCCCTATAAACGCGATAAATGTTTTACGTTATGTGGCGTCTACAGGACTCAATATTGGCGCTAGGAAGAAATATTGTGACTGCGCCTTACTTACGCTTGGAACAAGAGATAGATATGGAAAATTGGGGTCAGCCTAACTCTGAAATCGTGGGTTGGCCTTCAGACCAGCGCATTTGGAAAATGTAAATAATGGGATTAGGAGGGTGATAAAAGTTGCATTGGAATCGTAGAAGTCAAGATATTGGGAGTGTGTATGTTTGTTCTCCAAATTGCTCGCTTTGAGACATGCCAAAACCAGAATAAACTTTGCATACCCAGTCACAACAGATTTATAGCAAGATTGCTCAAGTTGACTCATCCAGAGAGCAGCACGGGACATGATGTATGTCCACGATTGATTTCAAACAGTGCATGCCAAATATACTATTGTACAAAACAGAGCGTCTGTCTAGATTGAGAACAACTTCAAGCCGCATACTTATCATCAACATCGTCCCTATATAGAATCTACACTTGTCAGTAAGAAGTACGTCGATTCATCAAACTCACTTCAGGTTTGAAAGGCCATTCGTTGAAAGCGTCGATGACCTTAGCAATTTCTTGTATTGTCAAGTCTCTGACAGCTTTGTCGAGATCTACACCTCTATCTTCCAAAGGCTTTTTGAGGGCAACGTCTGCATTGACAGCAAGATGCCTTCAACCGACGTTAATATATTCAAGGCTTATTAAACCACCTACTTGAGTGATTTACGTAGGCTGTATTTACGCGTCACAAATATTTGCCTCGTCACGAACTCCCATGACTCTAACGTATGCATGTTCGGGAGAATATTAACCAATGGCTCGACCCTTGTGCCTACATAGTTGGACAGATTCGCAGCCTTCTTTGTCTTCTTATTTGGCTGCCTAAGTTGTGGGTATATTCTATTGTCATCTGGTCTTAGCTCTGTCTCTGGCAAGAGCACGTCTACCACAGACGTCGCTTCTCTGATTGCTGCTATTCTGCCTCGTTCTGGCTGTCCTGGTAGGTGTACAAGTCGCTTGCATAGTGTTAGCTTAAGCCAGAGAGTGAACAGAACACACCTCATACGACGGACTATTGATTAGCAATCCCATTGGTACTCTTCCCTTGCTATACAGCCAGCTACGGAAGACCATGCAGTGAAAGAACTGTCCAATCAGCTGCTCGCCATGTACTGTAGCGGGCACCTGCATAAATACTGCAAAGTGATCGTGCATCTCCTCCCACGGTCTGACTAGGACGCCGTCCAAGTGACCCTCTTTTTCTAAATCAGTGTAGACCTGCCAGTTGTAAGGGTCTTTGTCGATGTACAACATTCTGTCATTGTGTTGTTGTGATAGCGATTTGAGTGGTTTGCCGAATGTTTGTGCAGGCTCAATCGATATAACTTTTCCGACGTTTTCCAGCTCAAGCAGTGCTTGAGAAATCAAGCCAAAGCCTGTAAAAAGTCAGCGAGCCGTCTTCTGCTGCTGATAGCGTTGCGCACCGGAATAAGCATCAATCACAGTCACCGGGGAGGTGCTGCTGCCCATGCTATCAATTTTCATAGAGCGAACAAAGCGTCTAGCGGTATCTAAGCAAGATATAGTGTCCCTGCCCCTGAGCTTTGTCCCGGAGAAGGTGAATTCCTTCTTCCAAGTATCTTTGGCTGGGAGATGCGAGGCCGTGGAGAAGGATCTAAGTAGCAGTCTAGTGCTGATTGTTCTGCTGAGCAGCATCTCTCATCTACTTGCTCTGCTCGTGCTCGTTGCTGTTCAAGGGCCTCTCTCTCACACCACCAAGATCAAATGTCTGCAAAGAGGCATATCCCGAATGAATTCGATGTACTTATATCTCCAAATCAGCCGCCGCAGAAAACTACAAAAATCGGTGACTCCGAGCTCAGAATCACGCTTCTCGGTGCTGGTCAGGAAGTCGGTAGATCTTGCTGCTTAATTGAATACAAGGGAAAGCGTATAGTCTGCGATGCTGGAGTTCATCCGGCTTACACCGGCTTGGCCGCTTTACCTTTCATCGATGAGCTCGACTGGTCAACTGTCGACGCACTGCTCATCACTCACTTTCACTTGGATCATGCAGCTGCGCTCACTTATATCATGGAGAAAACTAACTTCAAGGAAGGCAACGGGAAAGTCTACATGACAAGCCCAACAAAAGCCGTCTATCGTTTCATGATGCAGGATTTCGTCAGAATATCAACCACTTCCGCTGAGGATCAACTCTTTACTGAGACTGAAATGATTGCCAGTTGGAGAAGTATTCAGGTTTCTGATTTCAACCAGGAAATCGTCCCTGCGAGTGGTGTCAGATTCACACCTTATCCTGCTGGTCACGTTCTGGGTGCTGCTATGTTTTTGATTGAAATTGCCGGTCTGAAAGTGCTTTACACTGGTGATTACAGCAGAGAAGAAGACAGGCACTTGCATGCCGCAGAAATCCCGAAAGAACAAACTGATGTGCTCATCGTTGAGTCCACGTATGGTGTACAGACGCTTGAGAACAGACCTGAAAAGGAAAAACGTTTTACTGGTGCGTATTTAGTTTCGTTTGTAAGCTCTTAAGGCTTACAATATCAAGAACTCGTTCACAGCATCATTCGTCGCGGTGGTCGTGTACTGATGCCGTCGTTTGCATTAGGAAGAGCGCAAGAATTGTTGTTGATTCTCGATGAATACTGGCAGCGGAATCCTGACCTACACAGTATACCAATTTACTATGCATCTAACCTAGCCAGAAAGTGCATGGCGGTGTATCAGGCTTATATTCGTACAATGAATAAAAACATCAACAGAAGATTCGACAGTGGTGAAAACCCATTTCAATTCAAATTTATTAGTGAATTAGGCGATCTAAGGAAGTGGCAGGATAAGGGTCCATGTGTTATGTTAGCATCACCCGGTATGCTTCAGAGTGGGACTTCAAGAGAGCTACTGGAGAGATGGGCGCCAGATCCAAAGAACGGTCTGATTATATGTGGTTATTCCGTTGAAGGTACAATGGCACACAGCATTGTCAATGAACCTGACGAGATTATTGGTGTAAATGGCAACAAAATACCTAGAAAGCTTAGCGTAGACTACATATCGTTCAGTGCACACGTAGACTTCACTCAGAATACTCAATTTATCGATGAAATCAAACCACAGCATGTCGTTTTAGTCCATGGAGCATTAATGAATATGTCTAGATTAGCGGCCGCTCTTAGGAGTAGGTATGCAGATCGAGGATTAGATATAAAGGTGCACATGCCAAAGAACGCCGAACCGCTCAGGCTTGAGTTTAAACCGGAGATGACTGCCAAGGCTATCGGAAAACTGGCAGAGAAGCAACCAGCTGAAGGCGAAGTAGTGCAGGGCTTGCTAGTGAACAAAGACTTTACTTATACCCTTTTGGACAGAGCTGATCTGAAGGATTTTGCTGGTCTCGCTACCAATACCATCATTCAGCAACAAAAAGTCAACCTAAGTGTCGGATGGGAGCTAATTAGATGGCATTTGCAGGGAATGTATGGAAGTGTCGATGAAGGTTTCGACAACGACGGTCTGCGAACTATTAGAGTGAGTTTGGTGTTGAATCTTGAAAAGGCGGAATGCTCACATGAAGTCAGATAATGGACACTGTAGATATCAAGCAAGCTGAAGAAAACAATGTTCTACTCGAATGGAAGGCAGGAGCCATGAATGATGCTATTGCAGACTCAGTGCTGGCACTGACATTGAGTGTTGAGACGAGTCCCGTGTCTGTGAAAAGTAAGTGAAAGCGTTGTTCATAAGTTAATCTAACGTGGCAATCTAGTGACAAGTACACCATGTGTACACGCGCATGAACACTCGAAAGAAGAAGCTGTAGAAGATGTAAAGGAGTTTGCGATGAAATTGGACAAGATAGTGGCACTACTGGATGCTCACTTTGGTGAGATAAACCATGAGGAGGTTGATAATCAGCACAAATTGATCATCAATGTCGACGACAACGAAGTTAAGATCAACGTGGAGACGATGGTGAGTATGAGCAATTTTTTTCTTCTTGCTAATTAATCTGCGCCAAGCATGTGGAGTCCCCCGATGAAAGCCTTAAGGAGCGTGTAGAGAGCGTGCTCGCGATTGCCATTATGACAGTGACACCATTGAGTGCTGTCAAGTGTAGCTCGGCTGAAGAATCTAAACCAAAGGACATTGTAAAAGTAGAGAAGTAATTTATTGTTGTACAAAATGTTTGAAATAGAGAAATACTTGTGAAACAGTTGTCGTACTTCTTGTCTCATGCCATCAAATATAATTAAGAAAGGCATAGTGCCGCTTCTAGCTCTTTCGACTGCTTATTTGTACCTCAGGCCATCTGTGCCGCACTTTGAAGAACCAACAACTTTTCTCGATGGCTATAAAGTCTTATCACAGCGCAGGATCGTTGCTTTAGGTGATCTACATGGTGATTATCAGCGTACAATAGAAGCATTAAAGCTTGCCGATATTATCGATGAGGATAATCATTGGGATGGCAGCAAAGCCACTCTAGTGCAGACAGGTGACATCACTGATCGGGGGTGAGGAAGACTTGAAGCGTGAAATCTTAGAACGTTACTGAAGGAACTACTTAGGTCTGACATGATTCCCATATATCAATTGTTCGAGAGTCTACGCGTCGAAGCAGCTCGAGCTGGAGGAAGCGTGCATACGATACTGGGTGTAAGGGCCAATTTGGTGCTGATTAACAATCTCATAGAGCCAATAGAACCACGACATTATGCAGCCTATGGACGACTGGAGATATGTGCATCCAAAGGAAATGAAGTACTTTGATGACAGTATTGAGAAACGACAGCAGGTATTCAGTAATCAGGGATGGATAGGTAAAGCATGGCTACAGAATTACGATACCACTGTGAATATTTCCCATTTTTTCGAAGCAGACGTCCAGAAGTATGGGTTGCCAAGCAACATGTCTACACAATTTGTCCACGCAGGACTCCATCCATCTTATGCATACAATGAGTTGAATGAGGATGGTAAAATTTGGCTCAAGAAACTCACCAGTGGGGATAAGAATTGGTCTAGAAAGGAGAAGTTACTTTGGAAACCAGATGGGCCGTACTGGTACAGAGGTGCTGCTTTAGACAGTGAAACAAAAGCCTGTGCTATTGCGAAAGAGGTCATGCAAGCAGTCGGAGCGAAGCGCATCGTTCAAGGACATACACCAAATTATGACGTGGGTTGGCAGTGTGTTGATATGAAACATCTAACAGCGTGTTCAAGGGCATAGTCTCAAGATGCAATGGAGGTATTCTATTGATAGATACAGGTATGAGTCGCGCCTATGGCGGTGTGACGTCCGCATTAGAGATCAACGGCTATGTTCTGAGCAAAGACGAGAAGATATACTACAGAGAAGTAGTTAGAGCGTTGTATCAGAACGAAAAGGAGACACTTGTAGACGAAACACATAGCGTATAAATGTAGATGCATTCAAGTAAAAAAAATGTTGCGTAAAGGCTTCAGAAGACTGCTTACAGAAGTGCAATTGATACAAAATAAACATTGAGCCCTTCGATGGGCAAAAAGATAGGGTTCGACAGGGATTTGAACCCTGGACCTCTCGCAAATTGGTGTCCCAAAGCGAGAATCATACCCCTAGACCATCGAACCGATAAAATTTCTAGATATAATATCAAATAAATGCACATTTACATTACCTAAACTAATTTCTCAAGAATCTACGTGGTACACTCATCCTTGTATCATCACATTTCTCTCGCCCTGAAAAGTGAAATGACGTGAATGAAAAGCGTTGATCGCGAAATAACAGGAAGTCGAGCTTAATTTACCCTATCGATATATTTGACGATTGAATCATTATAGGTGTTTGTGCCAAGTTCATCAGGCAAGTAATGTTGACTGTAGGTTGCTTCAAAGTGCTGACATCGTTGAGGCGGCGCAAAAGTACCGCTTAAAAGACGTTGAATGAGTCATTAAGATCAAGGATTATATAAGGCCAACAAGCTTGATCTCAGATGTGTAACTTGTCACAGCGACTGAAAATGGCTCGACGATACGGCAGCGGAGGCTTGAAGCAGTAGGAAAAAGTAGTCATGCATGCATTAAAAGATACTGAGTTTAATATAGACGCACATTTTCCAAACTGACCAACTGCAAAACAAATTTTTTGCGCCTCCAAAAGACAAAAATTATCTCTCTGACCACTTCATCGTAAGTCATGGCCACCAAAGCAGCAGCAGCAAACACGTCTTTGGGACCACAAGTCGCTGAAGGCGAGCTTGTATTCGGTGTCGCAAGAATCTTTGCTTCATTCAACGACACATTCGTCCACATTACCGATCTCTCTGGAAAGGAAACCGTGACCAGAGTAACTGGTGGTATGAAGGTCAAGGCTGACAGAGACGAGTCATCCCCATACGCTGCCATGTTGGCGGCACAAGATGTCGCTGTCCGCTGCAAGGAAGTTGGCATCAACGCCCTTCACATCAAGATCAGAGCCACTGGTGGTACCGCTACCAAGGCTCCAGGTCCAGGTGCCCAAGCAGCTCTCCGTGCTCTCGCTCGTGCAGGTATGCGTATCGGTCGTATCGAGGATGTCACCCCAGTTCCATCCGACTCTACTCGTGTAAGATTCTTTGAGGCTTTAGTGAAGAATATTATTGACGATTTTTACAGCGTAAGGGTGGTCGTCGTGGTCGTCGTCTCTAGATCAACGCTGCAAATGTACTTACGGTCCAATGCCGTCCCCTGCGATCGTTTTTTACTTTATACATGTTTCCCTAGTCGCGCGGTCGAGGCAGGGCATTTGTTTTTTAATTTTCCTCGTGTTTTCTCTGTGCGGCTTTGTTTGTGCTCTCTCAACCTTATCAATGAACAAGGTGGTGAATAGCAGAGCTAGGCGTCTGATAGCGCGCAGGCGAGATTATACAGCTGCGGTGTCCCTAAAATTATCAGACAAACTTCGCTCGTTGCAAGAAGATGGCAGCAGTAGTGAGGCTAGTGGCAGTGGCAGTTGCAGTGGCAATGGCGGCGATATTCAAGTAAGAATACTACTCGTCTGCTTATAAAGCTCACTATTATCAGATTAAACCCTCGATTGTCCCTCATTTGCACTATATCGATGATAATCTGCCTTCCGGTTTTTCACATACATCAAGAGCAGCACCACAGAGAAGGAAGAAGGAAGGCGTGTTTAGACCACAGGAAAACGAAAAGCGCTTCGACTTTAATCCTCTTAAATCGAATCACATTAGCGGTTCGTAGACTGCCTGCCATCACTTGTCAAACTCAAGCATCCTACAGGCGTTAAAGTTGATCAACCACGCATACCCACTCTCGTATCAGCTCTTCAGCGAGTACTATTCCAGCCATCGCATCCAGTCTGGCTTCGATGTCCCCGAACCGGTGTATACAGCTTTCCTTCACATTTGGAGGATATTAATCCTCCAGAGGAATTCGCATTCGATAGACTACCGCCATATATGACGAGTTCTAAAGACAAAGTGCGTTTGCTGTTCTCTTTGAGATATTGCCCGGCTAATGTCCATAGGATCTTATTGATCTGACAAAGAAGCAAAACTGCCGCTACCTTGGATCTACATCTAGTATGACTAGCGTGCTTTCCCATATACACTTCTTGTTGACTAATTGGAAACCTGTCAACTATGAATCTTTATCGGAAGGGTTTCAAGGACTTGTAGGTGGTGTTTGAGAGGAAAATTACAATCATAACACCACTAATACAGCCAAACGACTTTAGCTATGCAAATAAACTCCCAGCTGCAATAATACTTCGCAAAATAGACGATGCATCGACAGATAGTGAAAACAAACCGGTTTACGCTATAGACAAAGATAAAAGCTACGATGTTGAAGAAGATAATGTGCTTCTTTGGGTTGGGACGCAGTTAGAAAAGCAACTAACTATGGATCCTGAGGAATTCAGCGGTTTACTACGCACTAATCCAATGACTAGTGCGGTTGAGAAGAAAATGAATGAAAGGGAGGCCTACCATTACTCTAAGGTAGGGCTTAGCTTAGTAGAAGCGCTTCGTATGCTTACAGTATCCAGGCTAACAAGATATTGATGCGATCGCAACTCGACGGATTTGACACAAGATTGCCTCGCAAAACATTTGACATCAAAACTAGAGCTGTTGTGGCTGTAAGGCAGGATATCCTGAATTACAAAGCCGGTGCGGGATACAACATCAAGAAGTCACGTAAGTGTGTCTTAATTTGTCATGCTCAAGAGTCAAACAATCATTAGGTGGACTGTTTGAATCGTTCGAACGCGAGTACTATGATATGGTTAGGAGCTCATTCTTGAAATACAGGTAAGAGTGGAACATTTCGTTGGTACAAATCTGATCAATTCCAGTCTACAAGCACGTATCGGAGCTATGGATGGAATTTTCGTTGGTGAGGTCAAGTATAAGCCTGCTCAGAGACTTAATAACATAATATTTAATCAGCTTATCATAATACACGCCGCATCTTCGGCTTCCAATACGTACCGCTTGAGGAGATGGATGAGAGACTACACGGGTCTACTCTAATGGCTACACAGTCTTTTAAACATTCGGTTGGCGTGTTGGAGAATGCTTTAGACGAGGCCACATCCCTCATACCGAATGAGGTGGGTTATGAAGTGAAAAAAGTTGAAATAATACTCATCAGCGCTGTTTAGACACTGAGTATAACTTTCGAAACCCGAGAGGGAGAGCAGTTCATGAGTGTGTATGTTGAGTCAGCTGAAGACACACGTCCAGATAAAGCTACGTATGTAATCGACTACGAAGTCGAGTCATTTTTGGACAACAAAAAGGTACCTAAGGACAAGCATGTAGATTTCACTACTGTAAAAGGAGAAGATCCGACTTGTGAGTGAGATTGGGACCAATGTTTCGACGCTTATGATATCACAGGGACAATCAGATTGACTAGTCGGACATCGACACTCAAACAAGTGGAAAATGTGAAGGCTAAACTATCACAATCGAGGGAGTCGCTGGTTCTTATGAACTCTGTAGTATTGCCACCTGGCATGAGCGCAAAGGATCTCATGAAACTGAGAGAAGAAAGGCGTACATGGAATTCACCGATGGCTAGCGCAGATGAGGGAGACAGAAGGCTGAAGGACATTGAGGAAGAGAGAGAAGGGTACATCAAGGAAAAGTTTAGTCAGCATGGAGACCCCTCAAGTCAAAATTTGACAGAAGATCAGTCAGAAAGTTTAGAACAGATAAAAAGGGATGGAGAGAGAATGGTGAAGGAGAAGCTGAATGAGAAGCCGAATGAGAGAAAGGATGATGGAGCATCAGTAAGGCAACGGAAGCCAAGCTCATTGGTTCGACAACTTCGGAAATTGTCCAAGGCGGGGCTAGAGGAGCAATCGATGATGAAATCAAAGTTCGGAGAAGAACGCGTGAAAAGAAAGCTCAAGTTTAGTGAGCGGATGTTTGCGAATAAATCTGATGCATTTGAGAGGAGGTCTCGATTGGATGTAAAATAAAATTAATTCATTGGCGTGCACGCACGCCCTTGATCCTTTGAACCGAACCGAGCATCATAATCCATTGTGGAAAATAAGAAATAAAGAAATAATCAATGACAGCGTTTAGTAGGTCTATAAATAGGCTACTTGAATACATCTAACAATGGCTCAGAGCCAACGGATAGACCACCACCACCAAAGCACGCTAATTCCACAGACGCGTACAAGGCGGCATTGAAGGATGTCGTTAGCGTCCAGGGAAAGCCTCTGCCATCGCCAAAGCTCCCACAGCAAACTTCACTTCCGCTGTCGAGATCACGTACGCACGACGATTCCAACCACTTGACCGTTCCAGATAGCACAGCAAAGCGATCAGCCAAAATGAGCAGATCGAATACGACGAATTCAAAGCCAGACAAGAAGCCTGGAAAGCATTTTGATGTAATTGATAGCTGGGATGTCACCGCAGTTACAGGATCAGCCCGTGAGTCTGGAATGATTTGGTAGTAAACAGGCTGAGGCTGACATATAACGCTATTCCAGTCTGGCACCACGACAGTCCATACGATGCAGCATCACCTTCACGTAACAACCACAAGAAAGCACCTGTTAAGGCGTTCGATGCGCAGATGTTGGCTGAGTCGCAGCACGTCAAGCCTGTTGAAACAGAGGAAGAGAAGGAGGTGAGAATTAGAGAGGACAAGAAGAAACGCAATCCATTGTTAGAGGTTTGGGGAAAGCATGAAGAGGAGCCCTGGGAGGCTTTCAGCGCAGGTGCACCAAATCAGCCAGCAGGCAGGTCACATATGCATAGCAATTATCAAGAATCACCTCTTCTGCCAGCCAAGCCACAGAGAAAACCAAGCTCGAGAATACCTCCACCACGCCCAATACAGCTGGGCGAGGAGATCGACCCTGACAAGCCCATTCAATGGTCTGGCGGATCTAGAAGACGCGCGACGGTGGGAACGGGTGACACTATCAATCGCAGTCAGTCTATTTTGCAGAGGTGGAGATCTAGCAGAAAGTCGCCTAAGCATGGTCAGAATCAGAGTCAGAGTCAGAGTCAGAACTACAGTACAAATTCGAGCGCGAGTCACACACCTTCCATATCACCATCTCCAAGTGCTTACGATAAGGATCTGCCTAAACCTCCAACAGCGGCAGCATCACCTTCATCTCCTGCAAGCAAGAAGACGGCAACACCACCACCAGTGAGTTACACTAACTCTGCCAACTCGCCAAAGAAAGACAAGGAGAATGATGGACAACCAATGATCACAAGAAAGAGAAGCTTGATGGATAAAGTTAGAGGGTTGGGTAAGGGTGTCAAGACGCGTTCAAGGGACGTGACTAACTGATATAAGATGCGAAATAAAGACTGACGTATTTCACGTATTTCTCTTTACGTTTTCCTAATGTTTCTACGTATATCTACATATACATAATCTATAATTTACATTGTACAAAATAACCAGCTTAAATTCATTCATTGATACATCATCTGAAGCATCTCACAAAGGCCTCATTACCGATGGTATCTTCTAGCTGAGTGCACCTCTCACCGAGAAAGTGTTTGATAGACTCGTCGTCCTTCCCAGCCAAGCGTACAACGGAGGCTTGTGGAGAAATGTTAGTGAGAGACCAGATTGGACGACTACCGACATGGAATCTGCCATTTAATACAGAGTTTAGAGATGACTGCTGAGTGTGAAAATCTTCACGTATACTTTTAGTCTTTTCGCCGATGAGGAAAAGCATGGCGTAAGCGTGAAAGGGATGCAAGCGTGTTTGTATATCAGGTTGAATTAGATGTACGCTATCTTTTACGATGAGATGTCCATCGACGTAGATGGAGTTGATGGAGGTGTAGCGATCGAAATCCCAGTATTCTCCACAAGCACTTCTACCACTGTTGAGAGAATCAAGGATAACAGCAGAGGAAGTGCCATCCAAGAAGAAATCCTGCTTCTGCTTGTAGCGGGAGTGCGCGAAGGGCTGGATAGGGTCTGGGAGGGAGACTATCGTGGCGTGGGGGTGAACATTTACCATCAACTTCTGCTGCGACGTCTTCCCGCTACTCTTAAACACCTTTGTAGAACCTTGCGTAAGAAGAATGAGAGTGCTTCTGTGGTGTATATCCACGCTGAGATCGCAAATATCACCAGATACTAACCCCCCGCCATACTGCAGCGTGTAGCATATCCCTACACCCACCGGTCCTGTGCGCAGAGCTGGCGTGAGCAATTTGAGGGGGTAAGCGGCGCACAGGTTGGAGAAGTAAGTCGAGTATCCGTCGTTGGTAATGGCAATATTGTTGCGTGGGTGTGTGAGGATGTCTGTCTGTCTGTCTGGTTTTTTCCAAGTACTGTTCATTGGCAAGAGTATAGTACAAAATGGTTCCACTACACACTATCCGAGCACCTTCACTAGCCACTCTGCCAGGTCTTGCAGCTCTTCCTGACACGCGCCGTGGCCGATACCGTCGTATTTCGTGAAGGAGATACCGCCATTCTGGGGCTGCGACACAGGCACATCCTTGAAACCGAGTGACTTGATATACGAGCTAGTAAAATCGGCGTATTTAGTAGCGACGACGGGATCGTCACTTCCGTGCGCCTGGAAAATAGGTAAATGTTGGTGGTGAGGTCCGAGCATGGATTTGATTTTATGACGCAGAGGAAGCCAGCCGGAGAGAGCAACAGTACCGGCCAGCTTGCGCTCGCTAGATAGACCAACGAGGAAGGCGAGGCAGGATCCCTGGCTGAAGCCGCCGACGAGAACGCGATGCGATGGGATACCGCTATCCACCTCTGCAGTGACTAGCTTGTTGATCTCAGAAGCACTCTTGAGCAGACCATCTTCATCATCTGTGCCCTCCAGCGTCAGACTCGTGAGGTCGAACCAGGATGGCATCGACATCCCCCCGTTCACCGTCACCGGCTGGCTCGGTGCGTGTGGAAGAATGAATTTGACGTGTGGCAGACTCTTACTGAGAAGCTCCGCTACTGGTTTCCATCCATATCCGCTGTCGCCTGTGTGGGTGGTATGTTGGTGTTACGTGTATCATGTTGTAAAAATCCTCCTCACCTAAGCCATGCACAAATATTAAACTCGCCGTTTGTTTTGCCGTCGCTGGCACTATCAGGTGTTCTAAGACCATTTGTGGTGACTGTTTGATTGACAAATCCGGTGTAAATTATGTATGCAAGTGTAAATGTATGCAGGTAGTAAGTGTATGCGAGCGCACGCGTTGTGCACCTTAATCCTCCTCATCACCATCGCTCTCCTCACTATCATCGCATGTGACTGTGCTTTCTACTGCCACAGATCCACCCTTAGACAACACGTCGATATCCTCAACCATTCTATCCATATCATCTGGTATAAGCCTCCTAGGATAGCTAGTGAAGAGGTTGAATTGAGGCGAGTAGTCTGTAAGTGGTGGATGCGGTGTGTTTGATGCATGTTCCACGTCAATGGTATCGATATAAGTGTAGAGGGTGTGGAGGGGTGTTTGTGGAGCAAAACCGCGTACAATTCTCCTTCCATCAGGCAATTTAAAAGCCAATTTGATGCCGTTAGGGGGCTCATTTGGGAGCGTTCCCTTGAGCCATCTCTTGTATTCAACCAACGCGGCTTCTCTGCGCACATTCTCCAACTCGGTTATCTCCCTCTCTCGAGCAGCCACCTCAGCCAGCCTCTTCTCTTGTGCAACCTCTTCCCTTCTGCGCATAACCCTCTCAGCATCACGCTGCATACGATCAGTCTCCTCTTTTTCCGCTGCTTCTTGAAGGTAAGATCTGCGCTGAGCCTCGTATTTCTCCAGACGCAATCTGCCTAGATACGCACCCACTCGCCTCAAATAGCGTGAAGAGAGAAAGTTTACGAAGGAGTCGCCAAGCGTATCCCCGCCCGACACACTGCCCAGAAGGGACATGGTGGGTGTGGAGACGAGTGGATTGGAACGAGTGGGGAGTGCCTGGAGGGAGTAAAGCTGTACGTAAGGAAATGCAGATGTAACTACACTACACCCCGTCGCGTACTCATACGCGTGCTTATCTACAGTGACATCACCGACGTAAACGAGACACTGGTGTTCTTCAACCAGCCTTACGAAATGAGCGTTGGCGAGCGTTGAGTGCTTGAATTGGGTGCTTGTCTCACTCCCGTCTATCACGACTATTATGCCAAACTGAGCTGTGTTTCGCGCTTCTTTGATGGCTTCTGAGGGAGTGCCTGTGTAAAAAGCGGGAAGAGATGGCTGTGTGGGTGTATTTGTGTTGCCTGCATTGCTAAGTGCGGTCGTTGTTGAAGATGGCCCTTGTACGCTGTTCACCGCCTGGGTTATCGACGAAATGAGGAGAGAGTTAGCATCTTGTGGGGAGATGTAAGTAGGTGGCTGGCTGAGTGAATTATAGTTGAACACAAAGGAATAAAGCCAGATTGGGAGTCTTAGTATCTTCACAGCCAGGTAGACCAAACCGCGGTATAAATTGTAGAGTAGAGAAAGTGGAGATAGTGGAGATGCACTTAATCGAGACGTGCCCCCTAAGCCAACATTAGCTACAGAGGAATTGGGTGGATATTGCTGGGTGTTCTGTGTACTCTGTGGGTTCTGCTGCCTATCGAAATAGCACTCAACAGCCCCCTGCAAATTCCAGCCACTCTGACTGAGAAGATCCTCTGCCAATTCACTGTCCTCGATGCTTAATAATTCCTGTAATTCCGCTATCTTAGTGGTGGATGTCATGAAGAGAGAGATGAATGTATCAGTGGACTATGAATACAGGTGTAAATATAATAATATTTATATTCCACCGACTTGACCGGCTCACCCGCCTAATCTTCCGAATTCATTTGGCATTTCAAACGACGTCATTCACAGCATCATCCACCACACCCACTTAAACCCCCTTAAATCATGAAAAGACCAGCGTTGATTATTATAATGGGTACTTCTGGCTGCGGTAAGAGTACCATAGGTGAAGGCCTATCCAGCACTCTCAACGTAGAATTCATCGACGGCGACAATCTCCATCCGGAGACCAACGTCGATAAAATGACGCGCGGGGTGCCTCTCAGTGATGAGGATAGACAGCCGTGGCTGCAGCGTATACACCAGCGAGCACAAGATATTAGTGATGCGAGTGAGAGTAGAATGGAGAAACGACCAGTGATCCTCATAGCGTGTTCGGCGTTGAAGAAGATCTATAGAGACACACTGCGTGGAGAGACCAATGTAGATAATAACACTCAGTTCCTGCCTATCCAGACATACTTCCTCTATCTCAAAGGCACTCAACAAGCACTAGAAGCTCGAATGGCAGCGAGGAAGGGGCATTTCATGACGTCCAAGATGCTCAATAGCCAGCTGGAGACGCTAGAAGAGCCAGATGAAAGTGAGTGTGATGTAAGGGCTGTCGATATTGACAGAGGAAGAGATGAGGTGTTAGAAGAGGCTGTATCATCAGTTAAAGACTTATTAGACTTGTAAAAGTGAAATGGCCTTGTAAATTTCAAGTAACCTTATAAAATTCAAGTAGACTTCAAAAATCCAAGTAAACTTGTAGAAATCAAGTAGACTTGTAAAATCAAATTCATTCAAGAGTTTTTTAATGTCCATGATCATGCAACGCTTGCTCAAATCTAATCCCGCAATATCCACATGCATGGGCACCTGGCTTGTCCAACTTGATGTATATCTTTGGGTGTCCGAGTGGTCCACCGCCACCGTCACAATTAGCCACACGTCCCTCAACCAATCTAACTGGCTCATCTGCTATCAGCTCAATCGCTGCCTTTGGATTTGGCTGAAGTCCCAAGTTCTTCTGCTCAAATCTGGCTCCAACGAATGCGTCTTCTTTGCTTCTCTGCCTTGGTGACCATTTTGTGGCCCTGTTATCTGCTTGCTCGGGCAATTCCGTTACTGGGTTCCCTCTTTCCTGCGTCGTGTTGACCGCAGAACGTGGCTGTGATGGTTGAGGGGGTTTTACAGCAGTCGTACTACCACTACCGCTATTGGTATTCGCAGCTGCTGTTGAGTACGCGCATCTTTTACCCGCTAATCTCGACACTCCCCTAAACATCATCATCGTATGTATTCAACCAATTAAAATACATCTTTTAATACCTTTATAAACCCTTATTACAAACACACACGCAACAAATCCAACGCTAGCAATGTCCCAACCTCCTGGCAGAATTTCTCATCCTGGAACAGCTCATGGAGGAGTATCACAGCGTCTCTAGTCGCGCTATCTCCCATAGCACTCGAAAGGGCGCTAGGTTTGTTGTCTATCAGGAGTTGTCTGGCTGTCTGTGCCGTTTGAACTTTTTCTTCATCGCTACGACTCTCATCCACCCCTACACCCCACTCACGCATTGGTGGCGGCCACAGTGCGTCTTTGAGCGAATTGAGCACCTGGGCTACATTCCTCACATTCGTTACTCCCTCCACTATCGACTGTAACGCCGTACGCACTGTACTCGAGTATGACGTCCTGATCACCCTCTCAAGCACTCTGAACTGGTGCAATGTCAGCAAACGAATTAAACTCATAAAGCGCATCACCCACAAATCCACGCCTCAGCGACCACTGCTGCCCACTCAACTCATACGCCTCTTCTAGTATTGAGAATATCGAATTAAGCACTAGATTGAGATCCTCGTCGTTCATAGGCGGTGTGGTCGTTGGCTGTGTGGTGGTGGTGTTATTTGCTATATCATCATCATCTTCATATGCTACTGTTGCACTGGGTGCGCCCTCGCTCTCACTCCCCACGCTCTCCTCTTCTTCCTCCTCCTCACTGCTCTTGCTCTCACTTCCAACAGTCGCATAGGCGCTGTGATCGACCTCCTCCGCCGGCGTCCTCATATCAACCTCGTTGATGGTATCATTACTAGCTACATCTGAGGCATCTGTTACTTCTGCTACTTCTTTGGGTGGTGTAGGTGGTGCAGTTGATACAGCAGGGCCTCTACCACCCTTACCACCCAATGGTCCAGGAAATGACAGCCGTTTCTTATTCACCCCAATATCCGAGACAGCCTGAGCAAATTCGCTAAATGTCTTACCTGGCTGAGTGAGGTTGAAAAGTTTGCTATTCCTACCATTCCCAGTCCCACCTGATGCGCTTGTGCCGTTCTTACCACCCGCGCCCGTCTGCTCCTTGCGCAGAAAGTCTGTCACGATTACAGAGCGAGAATAACGCGGATCAATCAGTAGTGTCTTGATATAAGCGGCGAGCAATGCACACACATCTGAGCTCCTCTTATGCTTCAGTGTGGGCAGGTACGCGCGCGGAAAGCTCGCTGTGCCTGCCATAGGAAAGGCTTTCTGCAGTGCACCGTCCAGTTTCTCAAACTCCACCCATCGTCTGAATAACATCCATCCTGACTCCCCCTCCTCTTCTATAGCCACCATCACCTCTAACGTCTTACCATTTACAAAGTCGCGAGGCGACGGCGTTGATACATCTGTCACATCTACCTTGGTGTGGCGTTGGTAGTAGCTCGGTTCAAATTCTTTCGGTTGCACTTCCATCGATGTTCTAGATGTGCCAGATGTGCGCGGCGTGTTTACTTCACTGCTCTCTTTCTCCGAGTTGGTTGATGGTACACTAGGTACACTCCCACTTGGTATACTCTCACCATCTCGCTTGATCATTGTGAATGTGCCATATTCATTCTCGAGATTGGTGTATATCTCCACTTCGATGGGCAGGAAAGCGTTGAGAGAAGCATCTCCATCTATCTTCATTCTGGTTGCGTTGATGCTCTCCAACAACCTCACATCTCCAGGAACGACAGCCTCTTCAGCTCTAGCCAGCAGAGCTATAGCATCCTGTCTGAAAATTGGTTCCGACGGACTCGTTATTGTCACTATCTCTTTGAATGTCGTCACTTGAGTGAGCAGCCGCAACAAACCCTCCCTTCTTCTCATCTCCAGGAACCGCTCGAAATCATCATATAACTCGGAATTGTTCCTTTGGGCTAATATCTCTCGCAGCGTTGGTGTAGCATCCCTTTTCACTCCCACCTTATCCTCCTCCTCTTTCACTCCTATATCACCAATTGCTTCATGTGTTGGTTTGGTGAAGGGCGAGACGACTCTTGTCTTCTTTTCGCTAGCTGTCGCACCTAGATCCTCCTCATCAACTGGAAGTGGGCCTTCTTTCTCTAAAATTGACGTGGAAATAGAAGGTCTCTGACCATGGTGAGTTTCTCTACGCGGACGCTGTTGACGCGTTTTGTTTGTCTGTTGATTGCGTTTTGTGTTGTCATTGTCGTGATTGTCTGGTATAGTTATTTCATTTCCATGCATATTCTCATGCTCATGTTTATGCTCATTATCACCACACTCATCATCCTCCTTATATTCCCCAGGAACGGTATCAGAGTTGACGACCTGCTCCACCTTCACCCTCATCCGCTCAGCCTCCTCGCGCACTCTTTGCTCCTTCTTCTCGTCTTCAAACAAGGCAATTACGGTGAGATTGACCCAGTCTGGCGTGAGTATGCTAACCGCCGCCTCTATCTGACCAGCAATAATCTCAGTGAGGAGGGACTGCAAAGCCCCATTCTCCGCATCTGCAGGTGCTGAAGATAGTGCAAGTATTTGAGCAGCTGTGCTGCGTAGCAAGGGGTGATAATCTTGATTTTCCTTGGGTTCCACTGTCGATCCGCTGTTCTGAGACGGCATCCGGCGGGTCCTCAGCCCTCTCAAGAGCGTCTGTGCGGTAGAACAGAAAATAAAGATAGCCTGGAGTGTTATGAAATGGTCAGTGCTTTGTCGTTAGCCATTGGTATACTTTGACCTCACAATATCACTCCCGCTGCGACCTGCGACTACTCTCTGGCAGATAGACGAAGTTAGGTGGTTTAAACTCCTCCTGCATTCCCTAGGAAAAGCCAAATCAGGCGGATTGAGTGCTAATGGGATGTACCTAAGAGTTTGTTAGGTGGGTCAAGTGACAATAATCGACGCGCACCACCAGTTGACGAAATCGCGTACAATCAAGTCTAAAGTAGAATCTAGTGGCTCGTATAGCTCAGGCAAGACATCCAATTTGTCTGTGTAGGTGCTCTGCCGGTGTATATCACTATCTCCAAGTGATGATATCGGTGCAAGTGATTTAAGTGATATATTTCTGCTGTCATTGAGATTATCAATGGGATTAATAGGAGGACCACTGTCCTGCGTAGTCACCGTCAGCTAAGCTCAGGCTCTAGCACGCCATAACCAAAACCAACATCTTGTAAGAGCGTTTTGACAGTGAAAGTGAAATGATCTGAAGTGGCAAGGAATCTGCAGCATTTCAGCATCTCCGCTGTCGATCAGCCTGGGATAGAAACCCACCCAGCCAGCAATACAACCAATATCGCCTGCCATTGGAGATAGAGGAGTAATACGCCCACAGCGATCATAAACGCCGTTCGAGATGGCAGATGATTTGTGTTGAGTATCTTGTCGATCAATCCATCAGCAGGGTTCATCGTTGCAAGTCAAGGAGGATATCTTTTGATTTGAATATATTTCAATTTGTTTGTATTTATATTTATTATTTGTCTTCATATTGATATCTACATCTCCTCAGCTAACTTCAATGACAATCGACTTCGATTCGTACTACTCCATCGACTCAATAATTGCAGACAACCAGGTGGCTATGGTGTTTTTATATACGCTTATTCAATTCACTTACTCGGTTCAGAAAGTTCCCTCTGAATTCCTCACCAATGTTCCAGGACAAGGCTGGCTTCAAGGTGGTCTTGAAAACGATGTGAGTGGCAGTCGTAAATTACGCGTCTTCTACCCCACCTAACACGCTCAGATTAAAGAAGGCGCTAAAATAGATCTACCCTATTGGCTGTCTTCAACGCTAGCTTTATCGTGAGTTGAATGGTTATACGACAAAGTACGCCACTGAAACCACTGCACAGTGAATATGACTTCTTGAACTTATCCATTCCTCCCGCATTCTCCACACGCGTGACAAACGCTCTCATCGCGTCTCCTTCTTTCGTCAAACTCGCAAATCTTAACCACTTCTGGTACTCCTTTGGTATACGCATTAGCGATCTCCTCGAGGATAACCTCAAACTGCAACAGTCCCTCCGTCTAGCTTTCACTAATCGCCTCATTGACATCTTCGACCTAGGTCAGTATGAAGGCAGCGTCGACGATAAGGGCTTCGAAACTGACTTCAAAGCTGGCATGGATGAGCTGGAGAAACAGCGTGCGTTTCTTTGACTAAATTTTCACTTGTCTCACCCTCTCCCAGTCTTCCACATCTGTGCCGCATCTGCTGCTCAGCATAAGCGCTTATAAGCACTCATCAATCAATTTAATTAATCTGATCAACCATTTGTAAAATGTATTACTACTCCTATGAATGAAAATACTAAACAGACCTGCTTGTCCGTCATACATTCATTACACGGTGATATACATAATGAAATATAAATAATACAACTCATTACTCGGTAGATATGAAATGAAATGATGTACGTTGCAACACCAAAATCGTGAAAGTCATTACGCTAATTTTTGAACCGGATGTGAGGTGTTTCATAAATGCAATTTTGGTCATTGTTGTGTCAATTTACTTGAGACTTCTAAGCGACATGCGATGCTAAAGATTGCCTTAGATCTGCTGTATGGAATCTGGAATAGATTGTTAGTACTGTCGTACACTTTGAGATTGTGAATCATTGGTGACTCACCCAAAATGCTTCATAACCGTAGTAAGTTGTGACTTTTGAACCGGCTTGTTCATCGTCGCAGACCACACGCCCTGTTCTTGTATTCTAAATGTAGTCTTGAACGAACTGACAGCGACAATCGGTTTGTTTTGGTTGAGATTTGATAGGTTTCTGATAGCCTTGGCGGCACTTTCTCCATTCAAGTTCGGCATTTCAACATCAAAGAACATGATATCAAATTCTATATCCCCTGTAGCACAGCTGACCGCTTCAGTGCCATCTCTAACAACAACACACCGGCATCCCAATCTAGCCAGAAGGGTTTCAAGTATCTTCAAACTAATCGGGTTATCGTCAGCCAGCAGCACATCAACAGGTCGATCATTTGCTAAATCAGCTGACGATATCGATGTCGGTGGTGTGCCTACGTCCAATGCCTTCATTGACTCAGAATGATCGGATATCGATACATTTCTAGATCGACTTGACGGCAATGGCGCTTTTGCCTTACCAAGCTGTGCCTTCAGCCTCTCTACCGCCAAGCTCTCCGATGTTTTCCTCGAATGTGCTTGTGAGCTCTTACGCTTGATTCCATTTGAATCAGCCAGAGATGAGGATGCTGTGCTGGTTGTTGGAGATGGTGGGCCTGTTGAGTTTAGATTGTACGAGTTACTTATTTTGTTCTGTGAAGAAAGTGACGACTTGCGGTGCTTGACTGATGATCCTCTCTTTGCTCTCTCAACAGGTGAAAGCTGCTCCTCGTCAGAAGACACTGAGTTACTTGGACCCATAAACTCGTTCCTCATTTTCCTTATCACCTCATCATTGGCTTGTTTGAGAACAGGCAGATTCTTGAAACTGAATGGACCGAAATCATCATGAGTCCTACCTCTGTTGCTTGAATTTGTGAATAAAGCCGAGCTAGTCTCAGAAATTGGCGTTCCAGGTCCAGGAGTAGCCGTTTCCGAAGGATTGGCTCCCTCAATGGGGATTGATGGTGACTGTGGGAAGTTTATTGGCGGCGTCGATGGTGCAGGCTCAAATTGCTGGTCGGCAGCCTTGTTTAATGCTTCTATTTGCGCCGAAAAGTCATCATTTAATGCTCCTCTTGGATCGAAATAATCCGTGTCCTCTGGGTTTGTTGCGTCGGGTATGAACGCTGCCTCCATTGTCATTAGCTTCTCCCAGTCTATATCAGCGAAGAACGGATGGGATTTGACTTCCCATGCACCATTTGCCCCTAAACGCTTCTGAGGATCACTGCACAACAACCTCTCCATTAAGTCTCTTGCATCTGGTGAGACTTGATAGTCTGGATCATCTTCATGCCACGATATCCTTCTCGATAGTATATTCTCAAATACTTTCGACGGCGTGGCATCATTAAATGGTGGGATTCCGTACAGGAACTCATAAAGAATCACGCCAATCGCCCACCAGTCTACAGCCATGTCGTCACCACCAAAGCCAAGAATCGTCTCTAAAGTTTTGTTAGTCAAACACCAACACTTTAGTTGCGATAACCCACCTGGCGCCAGATAATCGGGTGTGCCTGCAAATGCTTGGGGATTACTCTTGAAGATGGGTGAGTCGTCAGAATGAACAGGAGGGGTACCTCTTCCCACAGCCTTATTCCCAGATGAATCTGAGTCCGAAACAGCTGAATTACGTCTGGATCTACCCCAAGTGTTTGAAAAGTAGGATTGAATAAACGAATTTGAAGCCGGCATCGATGTATTCTCATTCGGGTTTGCAAGGTAGGTTATGCCTTGAACATCTAAATCGTGACTCTGTTGCGACTTCTGCCTTGACTGGTCGGTCGTACCTCTAGCCTGCCGACCAAGTAAACCAATTTTCGATAACCCAAAGTCAGTAAGCCTAAGATGTCCTTTTTGGTCAATGAGCAAATTGTCAGGCTTCATATCACTGCATAAAGTTAAATTTGCGGTGTAAAATATCCCAACAACTTACCGATGAACGATACCCTGCTCGTGAAGATGTTCTAGACACACTACAGCCTCGGCGACATATCTCTTTGCCCAATCCTCGCTCAGACCACCGAGTTGCTTGATGAGTGAGGCACAGTCACCGCCATTGAGATACTCCATGACCAAGAAGAGGTGCTCTTTGGTCTGGAAGGTGAAAAACAACTTAGCAACAAACGGTGATTCGGCGGTAGACATCAGAATTGTCCGCTCTGCTCTGACATTCGTGACTTGGTTCTTGGCAATCATATCAGCCTTTCTCAGTATCTTGATAGCGTAGTAGTCTCCAGTAGCCTTCTTTTTGGCCAGGTATACGCTTCCAAACGCGCCCTTCGAGATAGGTTTGATGACTTCGAAGTCGCGTATGCTGGCAGGGGTGGCACGCGCAGTCGGAACGAAAGACATGCGCGGAGAGTGATGACCGATTCTAGAATTCAGTCTACGTGACTCTGTCTCGCGTGTAAATAATGAGGGTATGTGTGGCGATCCACTTCTGTTTCTTTCAAATCCAACGTACTTGGTGCTGGTAGATGGACTACCACTTGGCATGGCACTGGTATATGCATTGAGACTGTTCCTCTTCTTCATGTGAGTTTTAGTGCTACTCTTTTCGATTGGTGGCGATGTTGCTTGCAGTAAAAGCGAGTAGCCGTCGCCGCTAATCTGCGACAGCGGGGAGGTGTTCGATGGCGATACGCTTGATGTCTCTGTTGAGTTGGTTCGTGGTACCAATAAAGATTTGGGCGATTCTGTGAACGGATGCGTTGTGTTGAATAACTGCGAATGACGTGGTACTATCGTTTTCTCTTTTTCAGATTCATTATCGTTCTTCTCTGATTTCGGCGGAGGACCAGAAGCTTTAATTGAGCCTTTAGATGTCCTCCTACTCATCTGCTTCGAGCTGTTGTTACTACTCTTACCTTCGACTGGAGTGTCTGTACGGGATGGCAAGCCACTGCTACCAACGTAAGGATAATAAGATGGAGCAAGCGAGCTGGATCCTTTTTCGTCCATTCCACGCGAGCAAGGCGGGTCCTGTTTAGTTGGGGATGAGGCCTGAGAAGACTCCCCACTAGCACTATCACTGGCACTTTCAAATTCTTTTTTAATAGCTTCCTCCCAGTCGTGGTGAATCTTCTCCGTGTATATAATGGTGTTACGCATACGCGTCACAGCTCTCAGCTTCGATTGTAAAACTGGTTCGATGTTGTTGATCAATTTGATGAAGGCATCTTCATCCGTAATCGGCTTCTGCCACATCCTGATCTGCTGAAATTTACTTTCAGACGACGGTGAAACTAATCGTTGCTGCTCAATTGGCAATTCAGCCTCTTCTTCATTCTTAGCACCGGGTGTTGAGATATCCAATGCAGTTTCAACTCCTTCGAATAAATGATCGAGCATTCTGATTTGCTTGATAGTTGAACGTCTGCCATGATCATCGATGAGGAGCTTGAAATTAGTACCTTCGTAAATTGCTTCTCCCTCTTTCGTACCACCAATAACACATTTCAGGTCGTTGATAATGTCTATAAACTCTGCAAGATTTTCATTTATGCTGTTAATATCCATCTCGAGTCGGTGAATTTCGTTGCAAGTTTCGTTGTGTCTCTCAAAGAACCACATTGGTATTTCCAGTTCACAGATTCTGCACAAAAGAGGCTTCTCCAAATCTGCTTTGTTGCCTGACAGGATGAGTTGGTGAATGGTCGATTGCTGTCGGGCAACTTCCAAATCAAACACGCCTCCGGATCTTACAGCTTCAGATTCCCGCTGTTCGATGTCGTACTTCGTTGGTGGAACTGGCTTCATCACCCACATTGTATGAGTAAAGTCGCCAGTGTATCGCTCCTTCATCATCATACCTTTCGCTTCAAACTCTGCATAATTCTCAAAATCGAAGTCGTAGTCTATCTCTTCGCCATTACGAGCATTCTCTGGTACGACATATAGTCTGAACCTCACTTCCTTGATTGAATTTTCGTCTTTGCGGAATGCTTGCGTAGCTTCTATGAAAACGGTCTCGTCTTCGGGTGCGAGGACCTCGGATATTGGTCTGCCATAGAGATCATCGGGGTTAGAGCTTGAGATATGTAAGCATAGGACACTAAAAACTGAGTTACCCACCCAACAACATCTGCCCATGAAGGAGCGATGAATTGGAACTTAGCATCGTCCAGGCTTAGATCAATCAATATGTGCTGAGTGCGTTCGACGCCAGCAGCTCTATCGAGATCTTCGGGACGTTTGTTCTGCTGAGAATCGTTATCTGGTTCATTTTCACCAACCTGGTCCTCTTGTACACGATTAATCGATGTAGTAGACTCGTTGGGGGCCAATGGTTTTGATGCTAGACTCATTGGTGGCGAAGAGCGCACACTTGATGGTCGATGTTGTGACTGCGCTAGTGGCTGTTGGTCGTATCGCAGTACGGTGGCTGGTTTAGGAGACAACTCATCAGGATTCTTTATCCAGACATTGTTGTCGTCACCGCGCACCACAAAACGAATAGGGTCTTTTTCGTCATCACTCTCGTTAAAGTTCCAGAATCCTTTTTCAGCTTTAATGTGCTCGTTAGATCCGCAATAGAGAATATTATTAACACTCACCTTCCCACCATTCGACTATGCGGCTGAGTCCAGCCACAGCAAGCAGAAACTGTATATACCACTGTCTTCCATCCCACGAGGGGTTGGCGTCCCATTTGGTACCTAAATGACGCGCGCGCTGGACTGTCGACCGACATAGGTCTGGAATGCTCGTGTAGGTGCTCAATGGTGTATCTATAACCTCCTGACCGATAAGAATGAGATCTTGGAGCACTTTCATAAAATCATCATCATCCTCATCTTCATTCTCCAAGTCATCCAGATCGTCGTCCAAGTCCGCAGTGTTTTCCATCGTCGATGGCGGTGGTGATCGTCTGCGACTTGGCGAACGGGATGAGCTTATTGATCTCTGTCTGTACCTCAATGGTACTTGCGATACTCTCCTAAAACTAGACTTTTGTGGGCTGACGTTGACTGGGGACGAAGCCTGCTTCACTGCATCTAGATTATGCATTGATATCTTTCGAATTGGCGAGGTGGGTACAAAAGAAGCCGAGAATCTGCGTGATGTTGATGACTTGCGTGGCATAGACACGCCGATCCCGCGGTTTGGAATTGATTGGTTTGAGTAAGATGAGGGTAAGGCATCAAACCCTATTGAAGAAGCTGTTGGAGAATCATTCAACGAAAGTGCCACCTCGTTATCATCAACCGCATCGTTCTCTTCATCTTGATCTTTATTCCTTCTTAGCTCATTTTCAACGTACTCAGTCACTTGGTTAGTTACCCATTGTACTTCCCTATTAGCTTGCTGCTTTGCATTAGTCAACCTTGCTTTTATCTGCGATTGCATTGCCGAGACTGGCATTCCTTGCACGCTCGACTGACGGCGATCGGAATCTGAATCATCTACAAAGAAATTTTTAGGGAAGCTCTCTGCATTGGGTAGTTGTGCCTGTGTGTTCAAGCTGGGAGCTACACCCGTATTAATACCCAACGCGGTGAGAGAACCTCGTATTGAGTCTCCAGATGACTGTTCGTTTGGCTGAGGCGATGTTTTTCCTCGCAATTGAGCAGTGAGCAGTGATTGTTGAGAGTTGGGCGATCTGATTTCAGGAGACGGCTCTGTGCCGAAGTATTCGCCAGGCATTGAGGAGAATGGGTCTGTGAAATCTGGTAGAGTGAGAGATGTTAGTTGCTCTGGCTCTTTCCCTTTATGGCTGTACATTGGCATCGTTTCATCATCCTTTTCGTTTGATTTGGAGGTACCTGATAAGAAGTTTGTCTTGACTGCAGACCACCAGCTCTCGATTTTGGCACCTAGCTGATGGCTCTTCTTCCTGCGCAGCTCTGGCCTACTAATTGAACTAGCTGGCGACGGCGAATTAGTATTGGGTGGACCCAGATACCTTGATTTGACATCAGTCGTTAAAGAGGCAGATGATGGCTTGCGTTGGGGGAAGCGGAAGTCTGGATGCTGCTGATAAGATGGCGGAGGTGGCTTGGGCTGAGCTGATGGTGGTGAGCGGATGACTGGACTCTGGTGGATAGACTTGGGGGTGAGTGTCTCTGAAGACGCCTGTATCTGATCGGACATGATCTTTGCCTCTTTCATTTGCTGGTACTCCTCCAGCCAATCGACCCACTTAACATCCCTATCGTCAGATGATGGATTCTGCGACACAGAGCTCGAACGATGTAAGTGGTGTTCGAACGATGGCTCTGCGACACTGACCGTGCGCATACGACGTAGAGGCTCTTTGTTATTTGGGCTGGGACTCTGAAGAGTCCTAACATCTGCTGAGCCCCTACGAATATGATGTGATTGATTTCGGCGGATGGAGGATGGTGTAACGGAGGCCGATAAGGTTGAGGGGACATTGGAAGAGTTGCGCCATTTATTGAGCTTGACTTCTCTGCTCTGGAGAATGAGTGCTGCATAGTGGTTTGTGTCCGGAGTTGCGGCGACAGGTGACTTCACCACGGGTTGAGATTTGGTGAAGACGAGAGGCGGCCGCGGAGGCTGGCTTTGAGGGAGCGGAGCCACATGGGATCTAGGAGAGATATCCATGGATGATGGCGACGTGCTCGGCTGCTGCTGGCTCTGCGGAGGAATGTGGGATGGAGATTGGCTGTAAGTGGTCAGAATTCGAAGACGATTAAAGATTTGTACTCACGCAGGCTTGCTCTCTTCGACGCTGCTGCTCAAAGCCAGCTTGGGCACGTCTGCATCGCATTGCAAGTTGGAAGATGAGATAACCTTGGCCGAAGAGAGCGGGCTGGGGCAGGATGGAGCAGTGTCAAACGGCTTGTGATATCCCTTCTTGCCGCTGATATCTTCGTCTGTCTGGAAAATGGAATTATTCGAGTTCCGTTTGTGCATGAACGAACAGGTCGTCGTGTGAGATCAAGAGGCTTATCAATGGATATTACAAAACGTTTTATTCTGTCTTCTTGGTCTTTGACAGCTCATAGTAGAACCTGCGTCGTCTTTAGCGCTGTAGTTTCCTTGCTCGTTGAGCTCACCAGTTCACAGTCGTCCACAACGCAACGACGACTCCCGTGAGAGCTATCACGTGCGTTCTTCCATTATCGTAGTCTACCGCTAGTATCAAGAACACCAAGTTGAAGAAGAGCAGCGTGAATATTATGTTGGTAATGAGCAGGAACTTGTTGTTCACTCCGGGGATTAGAGGGTTGATAGACATGGTTCAACAGGGATAATGTGGTGTCTGCAAAGTAGAAACACTCTACACGCTTTATTACACTGGATGTGTTTCGCGCTGAAAGCCTCGTTCGGTCGACGCATACAGGTCTTCTCCGTGCATCAGATAAGCACCGCCGATTGCCTTTTCTCTTCACTAATAGGCTTCAAATGTGGCAGTATTCAAGGAATGAAATTTTTAGGACTGCAGTTTTGAATTTCCTCGTCGTTATACTGCTTCGGTTAGTAGAGTACTCGCAGCGTGATTTTGTGAGGTAGTAGGGTGATTTGATTCGTCTGATTAGTGATTACATCGGATGATGTTGAGAATACGGACCACTCTATCGAATAAAGTATGCTGGGATCACCGTGCAAGTGGCAAAACAGGGAAGAAGATTAGTACGGTAAAGTCATATAATAGAAATATATACAAAATAAACCACATAATACTTTTCATTGGCTCTTCAGCATTTCAAATCTACCGCTGTATCATCCCTCCGCTCAGCGTTCACCGACTTGGGATTCTCCGCTACCATCTATCTCATCTCAGATGACGATTTACGAATTCTGATAATTTCCAAATAAAAGAAATTTATAGATAGCTCTGACAAGTAAGAATATGAATTTGCTAGATCAAGATCTTTGGTGCTCCATATTGCACACTGCACGCTGATAGGAGGCAATTGTCCAAAATCGCACTAGCGCTCGACATAAGATGGATGTCGAGGATACCACACGTTTAATCAATAGATGCAAATTGCTCTGTCTTATAGAGACCACAAGCACCCAAAATCTCCACTATACGGCTATATAAACGCGAAAAACGTTTTACGAAAGATGACGTCCACAGCTATTAAATCAGACTCCAAGAAATGAATATTGCTATTTTACATCACTTCACACTTTGGAGAAGAGACTTAGGTATAGAAAGTGGGGGTCATCAAAACTCTGAAATCGAGTGTTTGCGTAGACCGGGTGCATTTCGAAGATTCAAATTATGGGGACAAAGATGTGGGAAAAGTATCTATGAAATCGCTTAGATCACAATATTTCACTAAGGTATCTCAATTTGAGGCCTTGGCATATAGGGCTCCACCCCTCTAGTAAAACAGCATTACAGGGGGAAATTTAAACGCACTGGGCAGCACAAGCCAATAAAGATCACATGCAACTTGTCAAATGCTCAAAGCCTACGGAATGGGACCTTCATTATGCATGCACCGCTCACAAGGCGTTTGTACCTTGCGGAACATGTCATTCTTCACTTGAAATGGCTTTGGCGCCAACGTGAAAGGAAGAGAATTGGGGTCATAGATAGATCTACCAAGCCCAAAAAGAGCATTCGACTAATCAGAAAGGTCGGCAGACAGGTCTGCTCAGATCTAGGTACAGATGACATGGAGAATGCATACGTGATGAGTGGGTATTACAGTTTATGAGGATCAGTCGTAGAACCTGAAGAGAGTTAGATGGTTGTTGGAGGGGTTAATTACTCACTCTAAGAACAGTAAAGAAAAGCCAGCGATGAAAAAGAAAAAGATAATGAACAGTCTCGAAGAAGACTGATTGTCTTTGGCTTTGAAGAGTTGTTTGGAAGCGTCACCGAGGCTTCCTGTGCTAGTCAAGGAGTCGTCGTATAGTTGTTCGACGAGATGGGACTGTTGGGTGAGATGAGTCATGATCTCAGACTGTAAGTTGGTGATGGAGAGGAGGGAGTGTTGAGCTTTTTCGAGTGCGATTAAGTCTTGTTTATCGGAGTTCCTGAGTGCTTCAGATTCTTTGTCTAAAAGTAGAGTCTGTTGAGGGGAAAGGTGTGAGTGATTGGTCGAAGGCGTGGGTATATCAACATCCTCTAACTGAGCGTACTGTGGTATAATTTTATGTTTCTTGGAAGAACTCTGCTGTATTTTCTGATACTTATGGGACAGTTTAAAAAGGAAAGCGTTTAGCGAGATGAGTTTGCCGTATTGGTGTTGTTTGTGGACGGGGTTGCTTGATTGACCAAGCAGCGTATCTACATACGAGGTAGAGAGACTTTGTTCAATCTTGTCGTCGAGTAGCTTGAGCCGGCTGCTCGACAGCTTTAAGATGGAGCTGATCTCTTCATCCAACACGGCGAGATTGGTAGAGCTGTCGATAGAGTTGATCACGTTATTAACATTATTGAGATTGTCTAGTAAGGATTTGGACTCTTCGTTTAGCTGAATTGGCTGTGGTGCTTTAGAATTTCTAGGTTTACTTGGAATTTTAAAGGAATTGGAGTTAATTAATAGACACTGTCTAAATTCAACCGTTCTATCCATTTTGATTGGTTGTTGGTTGTAGAGCTACTTCCATCTAAATTATATTCCTATCTATTAAATTATACCCAATCTATCTAATTTAATGGGATTCACTGGTGATAACGGTGGCTTCTCTTTCGGCGGCAGCCCAGCTAGCCCAGGTAGTCCTTCTCAGCCATCACCCACACAGCCATCTCCACGTCCTTCTCATGGCAGGAAACACTCCCACAAGAGGCACTCCTCTGTATCCACACGTTCCCACTCTATGCAGCTCATGTCTGGGAATGATATTCTCGATAATGACGACGACGACACGTTTTCTCCGAAATCAACCGATGAATCTGCTCAAAACTATGATATGAATGAAAGCGGTGGCAGTATGTCACTGGTTATGCCTACGACCGCTCAACTGGAGCAATTGAGTTGTTAGTCGATGTCTCACTAATGCAAAACCCGCTAACTCTCTTCACAGCGTCTGAAAATATTCCTATTCACCCTACAAGACATTCACCTATGTCCATATCTCAAATTCCTCAATTAGGCGCACTGCTGGAGGAGGAAGAGGATGATGATGGTGGATCGAAACCGCGCAATCCGACGAGCTCCTTCAAAAGCTACAAAACCAAGCGCAATTCTGTAGATTTGGATAGTCTGATGAAGAATGCTGCACCTCAACGTCCTATTAGACCTCTATCGATGCACAATCAAAACACTAAATCTCCTTTCAATTTTACCAGTAAGGTGTCTCAACCGCCATCGTTCCAGCGCAGTGGGTCAACCTCATCGGAAATGTCGAATGCAAATTCGTACTCGCATTCGCACTCTTCAATTGCCACATCAAACTCGCTCAGCTCACCGCTGACGAATGCGTCGTTTGGGAAGAGTGCTGATTTTGACTATGGAGGGATGCCACCTATACCTAGCGGGAACAGTAGCAGCAATGATGCAAATACCACGGCGCATACAGATATAAATGTAAGCAGCGTTAGCACGCCACCTCGTCGCAAAGGCTCGATACAATACCGTAGGAGTGACGACAAGATGGATGATCTGGCGGGAGTGGTTGGAAGTGGAAATGCGAGCAACGGAACCACCAACAAAACACCACCAAAACAACTAAACCTAGTCAACAAAGCACGTTCAGGGTCGATAAGTTCAAGTGGGTCAACGGAGACGGAGCTATATGGATCACCATCCACTCGCGCCTTTCTAGAGCAGCAGCTTGCTCAAATTCACGACGAGCTGGGTGAGTACCGTGATAAGCACGAAGCGGCAGAGAGGGAGTTGGCGCAAGAGCGGCGAGAGCGGGAGGCTAGTGAGGAGGTCGTGCAGCGATTGCGAGCTAGATTGGATCAGCTACCTTCGATTCATGAGCATACGGCGCAGGTGAAGATGGTGCGCGAGATGCGTGAGCATGTTTTATTGCTTACGGGAGACCTCGACAATTGTAGAGAGGCACTTGATCGCGCACACAGAGATTTGGAAGAGGCTCGTGTAGACGCTCGCTTTGAGAGGGACTTGCGCTGCCAGATTGAGGCGGAGCAGCGGGAGGAGTGGGAGGAGTGGGAGCGGGAGCAAGAGGAAAGAAAGAGTGGGCGAGAGGAAGATCTTTGTGAGATGCAAGACAATAGTGAAAATCACTCACACTCAACCTCACACTCACCTTCACACATTCACCCTCCAGACGATGATGACCGCCCTGTCCGCCCCCATTCGCTGCTTGTCGATTGGCGGTTCCCGATGGCGGCGTACTCTGCGCCAAGTGGGCGGATCGAGGAAGAAGAGCAGGAGCAGGAGCGGGAGGAGGAGAAGGAGGTAGCGGAGGAGGAAGAGTTACCGGGAGCAGACGGAGTAGATTTCAACGACGCTTTTGCACACGCCGCCTCCGTAAGTTTCGGTAGGGATGGGAGTGTAGATGATGAAGGCTGCGCTTTGCCTCCTATTCATACCCCACCTGCGCAGACTGCGCAGATGATGCAAACGGACGTAGTGCAGCGCAGCGGTAGCAACAAGAGCAACAAGAGTAGCGGCAATGACAGCTACGGGTTCTTCCGCTCACGCTCAAACTCACTCCTCAATCGCGCTCGCAGCTCATTCTCACCTTCGACAAATAAAGATAAGAAGCCGAGTTGTGTGAGTAGGGAGAGGCAGCTCGATAGGCTAAGGCATAGCCATAACGGGTTTGGCGAGGAAGTCGACCTCTCAATCGCTTACGCTAATGGTGAATATACATTGAGTGAATTATAGACGGCACTGGAGGTGTTTTTAATATTATTCCTTCTCTCTCTTTCACTCGC